TATAGATAGTCTCTATTAAGGTCTTAGAGGGGCCCCCTATCTAATTTACTAGGGTTTAGATATTAGTAAAGAAGATATTATCCCTAGTAAAGATATTAATAAGAAGAGATCTCGCGATAAGATAAAGGTCTTTAGTAAGGGATATATACTACTAGTTAGTCTATAAGTCCTATTTAGCCCTAATCACTATAATATAGATATTAGAATAATTAATCTAGAGATTATTAAGATTACTATATAATCTAGGACTATTAGTAGTCTAGGGGATAGATATCTAGAATATAGTTAGTTATAGATAGAGGAGATATATAAGAGAGACCTACCTTAATATAGATTAGGAATAAGAGCTACTAGAGTAGTAGATAATAGATTAGAGAAAGTTCTTCTTAGGAGACTAAAGATTACTTTAGTAGAACTAAAAGATAGAGGATACTATAAGAGAGCTTCTAGTAAAAAATAGAGTAAACTAAGCTAGATAAAGATAAGAAGCTATAGATTAGTAAAGATAATAAAAAAAGAAAAGAGAGAGAGAAAGAGATAGTTTATATATCTATCTCTTATAGTAAATATTATAGTAAATATTATAGTAAATATTATAGTAAATATTATAGTAAATATTATAGTAAATATTATAGTAAATATTATAGTAAATAAGTATACTCTAGTAAATTAAATAAAATTAAATAAAATTAGTTTAAATTAAATCATAGTAAATTAAGGTAAAATATATTAAATTAATTAGAATTAAAATAAAGAATAGAGTTAAATAAAATTAGAGTAAAAGTAAACTTAATAATAAATATAGAAATATATATTTAATATAGTCTAGTACTTCTAGCTATTAAAAACTACTAAATAAGTTAAATATAGTTAAATTACTCTAAAAAAGATATAGAGATTCTATTAATTATAATTACCCTACTTATTAACTTTTAATAAATAAAATCCTTAATTTACTAATATATCTAATTATTAGTTTTCTTAAGATAGATAGATAAACTATATTTTAATTAGGGATAATATAGGAAGAGAGTTACCCTATTAAAAAAACATACTAACTTTATACCTTAGTAACTATACTTTTTATTATACTAAATACCCTAAAAATTAAATAGAGGGTAATTAGACTATTAATTAAGAATATATATAAATTTTAGCCTTATTAGAGCCTAGAATATTAATATAATATATAAAAGAGTATATTTAATATAATATACCCTAACCTACTTCTTTTTCCCTATACTTAAGAAATCTACCCTAAATATAATATAGTATATTATAATTACCCTTATAGGTTAGATACCTATTTTTCTAAGATAGAAATCATAGGATACTTTAGATATCCTAAAATAGTACTAAATTACTTCTAATTTAGTATCTAGATTAAAAGTAAGCTCTAGACCTACCTAGAGCTAGTCTATAATAAAGAGATATTTAAAGTAAGATTATTATAAACTATTTATCTAGCTCTTACTTAGCTCTTACTTCCTCTATATTAAGGAAGAAGAAGAATCTCTCTTTTTTAATTCTTCCCTTCCTTAAGAATTAGTTTTAAAACTAATATAATCTATATTACCTTAGACCTTAAATCTATACTATATTAGTACTATTTTATATTCCTCTTAGTTTCCTTTTACTATCTTCTTACCTAGCCCTTTTATTCCTTATAGATTCTTCTTCTTCTTTAATATAGAGGAAGTAAGAGCTAAGTAAGAGCTAGATAAATAGTTTATAATAATCTTACTTTAAATATCTCTTTATTATAGACTAGCTCTAGGTAAGCCTAGAGCTTACTCTTAATCTAGATATTAAATTAGAAGCGATTTAGTACTATTTTAGGATATCTAAAGTATCCTATAATTTCTACCTTAGAAAAATAGGTATCTATCTTTTCTTTTATAATAACTATTCCCTCTCTTTCTATAGAATTAACCTTAATTCTAGATAAAGAATAGTATAAGAAACTAATAGAAGTTTAGGGAATATATATTAAAGAACTTCTAGTTATATATAATATATATTTCTTTATTTAATATAGTATATAGTAACTTTAAAATTTTAGTTTACTCTTAGATACTACTTTACTTTTACTTTACTTCTATATTATATCTATATTATAGTTCCTATAATTTAGTATACTAGAGTAACTATAGTAATATAGCTATAGTATATATAATATTTTCGTAACTAGTTACTTACTTAGACTCTAGTTAAATCTATAGTAGATATTATAGCTAGGATTAAAGCTTTTACTAATCTAGATATGCTAATCTTAATATCTTATTTATATTAAGGTATAACTACTATATTATATAACTATTATACTCCTACTAAAAAGATATATAAATAAGTTAATACTAGAATAGTAGGGGATATAGCTAATTTTAATCTTATTATTAAATAGGCTATAAAATTCTAGGAGCCTCTAGGAGCTAAGAATCTACTAATAGAGGACTAGATAGAAGATAAATTTTATTTAAGGTTAAAGTAAGTAATTTATAATCTAGAGTAGAGCTTAGAAGCTTCTTTAATAATATATTATATTATATATAATTTAATAGCGAAAAAGATAGTAATTCTAGTATATATTAATTTACTATTATTTTAATATTAATTTACTAATCTCTTACTTTTAGACTACTAAAGTAAATTATTAGAAATATCTTATCTAATATAGATAGGATACTACTTTATATTATCTAGCTAGAGTAGGCTATAATATAATAGGTCTTTAATATAAGCGTTTATTATAACTTTAAGAGGGCGATAAAGGATATATCTACTAGCTAGTAGTAAAGTATATACTCTTAGAAGAGATTAAATAGGCTATCTATACTATTTAGGGTATAGATAAAGTTAACGCTACTAGAAACTATAAGGAAGATAATCCTATAGAATTATAAGTAGTAGAGATTTAAGAGACTTTCCTATTAGAGCTAGTTATAATTTAAGTATAAAGTAAGGTAAAAGTAAGATTAATTTAAAGTAGAAGTAAGAGTTAAACGCGTTTTCTTAATTTTTTAAATTTACTAATTAGAGCTAGTATATTAATATTTTCTCTTATTACCTATTAATTATATTCTAAGGGCTAATCTTTCTATTTTAATAGAAAGTAATCTTCTCTATTAATCTTCTTCTTTTCTTTAGCTTCTTCTACTTCCTAATTATCCTTATCTTCTAGAGATAGGAATAGTATAGTTTTACTTTACTCTTACTTCTAATTTACTATCTTCTTAGATAGCCTAAGGTAAAAGAATTAGAAATTATAAGGAATAAAAGGGCTAGGTAAGAAGATAGTAAAAGGAAACTAAGAGGAATATAAAATAGTACTAATATAGTATAGATTTAAGGTCTAAGGTAATATAGATTATATTAGTTTTAAAACTAATTCTTAAGGAAGGGAAGAATTAAAAAAGAGAGATTCTTCTTCTTCCTTAATATAGAGGAAGTAAGAGCTAAGTAAGAGCTAGATAAATAGTTTATAATAATCTTACTTTAAATATCTCTTCGTTATAGACTAGCTCTAGGTAAGCCTAGAGCTCACTCTTGATCTAGATGCTGAATTAGAAGCGATTTAGTACCGTTTCGGGATATCTGAAGTATCCTATGATTTCTGCCTTAGAAAAATGGGTATCTATCTTTTCTTTCATAACAATATCCTAGGATTCCCTTTATTAGGCCTAAATCGTGGCTTATTGTAAGATAGCCCTAATTATAGAGCGAGACCTATTATAGGATCTCTCCTCTTAGTATAAACTATAGCGTATTATAGGATAGTCCTTATCCCATGATCGCCTTTATCGTGCGATTAGTCAATCCCTATAGTTCCTTAGAACCGTGGTCTTTCCACTATCCCCTTAGGTTATTCCATATTATTCGTCTTTTATGGTTCGGCCATGATTCTCTAACCATGCCTTATACGTGACCTATATATCGTTCCTTCTATCCTAGAACGATTAGGTATAATTACCCCGCGGGCGGTGCGGCCCCCTATAGGTCCGTAATAGCTTACTTAGCGAACTAGCGGACCGTGATAGCGAACTAGGTAACGATTGGCTCGTCCTGGCTAGTGTTCTCTATATATCAAATCACGGTATTCGCGCCGTTGATTAGCTAATCTATGCTAGTTGTGTCGTTCTTATTGATTCTGGTCGGTCTTAGCGTGGTAAGTTTTCGGTTTTCCCTACGTTCCGCAGCTACAGAACTATGGTTTGGGCGCGCAACTCCAATAGCTGCCATTCTGACCCGTAAAACCGGTATCAAAACGTAGCCATTAAAGTAATTAAGATTTTGAACTAGGTCTTAAAGCCCTAGGACCTCTGGTTGGCGAGATATTTCAAGAATTCGTTTTGCCAAGTCGTATTTAAAAAATAGGGGCCTATTACTAAAGCCTCATTCTAAATAATTGATAATAATTCAAAGATGGATCGAAGTATCACGGGACTAGTAGCAAAATAATCACGAAGACTTGATAAGTCAGAAAAATCGCTCAGATTTATTATAGCATGCATGGTGGTGGAGGGATAGCGAGATAAAGCTGGGGGGTGATAGGGGGTGATATGGTAATATTTTCCTGTATTTCTGTGGTAAAAGCGGTGGAAAAAGCGGTCTGAAATAAATAAAAGAAGTGGGGCAAAAACAGGCCCAATACCTCAAAAACCCACTTAAGCTAAGTGTCGCTATCCGTATGCCATAGGGGTGTTTCTATGTGTTGTCGTGTTAACGCATATGCAGCTCCATTATTTGTTTCTTGAAAATTGGAACAATCTATTGATCATTCCCCGTACATCAATCGTGCAAAAGGTTATAAATACGAGAAAGCAACGTATTACTGTATTTAGACATAGAGGTGGGTCTGCCGGCTATTCTATGGTTTCGGTTGCCGCTCTTACGAGCTCACTTCGTACTAGTAGCTTGCAGTCCGAGCACACACTGAGCTGCTCGGTCTTTCCCACCCGTGGACCTCAAATTTCCAGATTTCTGTCTTCAGTATCCCCGTCATGACCCCAACAGTTGCAGTAGCCGGCGCTACGGGCTCCGTAGGCAAAACTCTCGTGGAACAGATCCTGAAGGAGGAAAAGTTCTCTGTGATTGCTCTCACACGAAGCGTATGCCCCTAAAATCCCCCCCCCCCCCCCCCCCTCTGCCTCCTAGGCCCCAACCAGAGAGCAGACCATTGAGAGCTCTGAAATAGGAATATGTTGAGTCGCCAATCGGCAACGCCAAGTACGTGCAGGTAGACTATAATGACCAGGAAGCACTTGTACAAACGCTAGAGCGCCATGAAGTACAAACGGTGATCTGTGCCATTGGCATGTTGGGAGACGAAGGCTCCGAAGCTCAACTCAAGTTGATCAAAGCTGCCGACCTTGCTAGCACAGTAGCAAGGTTCATAACAAGCGAATTCGGCTACTTTACAAGTGAAGAGTGGGTCAACCTTACTGATTTTTACTCGACACGCTGCTGACATGCTGACAGGAGAAAGGGGGTAGATCCAGGCGTCAACTGGTTCCTGAAGGCCGCAGACCTCCTCAAGACCACCGGGCTGATTTGGACTCGTCCGATCTGTGGTGCACTCATGGATTTCATAGGACTTCCATACACGCGGTCGAACATGCCCCGAATGCAAATAGTCCTTGATGTCCTCCATCGAGAAGCCTGTATTCCGGGAGATGGCAACGTGCCCATATCCATGATCTACAGTTTTGATGCGGCGACGTTGGTTGCAAAGCTCTTAGAGGTCGAAGAATGGTCGGAGCTCACCATTTGCAACGGGGATGATACCACATTGGCGGAGGTCCTGAGAATAGCGGAGGATATCTGCGGTAAATTTTATGTCCTTTTCACCACGGCTTGCATTTTTGCTAATAACTTTCGCAGGTCGCAAGTTTGATACCAAGTACTTAAAGGAGGAAGACATTGCCAGTGCCAATATTCCTATACTGAAGTTTCCCGAAGAGACCGGCATTCAGCCAGAAGAGCTTCTGCACTACAGTGTTTTCTCATATCAGCTTTACCTCTCAAGAGCATTCGAGCTACCAGCCGAGGGGCGAATTGGAGATCGTTTCCCAGGTTTCAAACCCAGGACTGCTCGGCAATTTTTGGAAGAAACTTGGAGACCTCATGTATAGTCTGACGTGTACTACTCGAGCCACAGGGTACCTTCCATTCTGTCTGTCTATGGGCCATGTGGGTCATAAAACTGTCCTCACCTTATGTACCGCTGTCAAATACCCAGCGTTGTGAGATTCGTCGGCAATGACATCATGACCTTGGGTGTCGTGTTAGTTTCTATTTCCGGATTCATTTAACTGCTCACCCAAGTGCTCACCTCCTTCTTACTTTTCCTTACCAAGGAAACCCCAAATCAGCGACCCATAAACTCCACACTTGTTATTATTCAGCATATCTTTGCTTGGCTGGTCCTTCCCAAATTTTTATGAACGTGAAGTTGGCGGAATGCCTTCTGAGATATGACCAACATGAGCAATTCAACCGACCCGGCATTGCTCACCGACGAGACACTACACTATGAGCTAGATATTGCCGACAGGTGTGGCGAACATGTGCGCTTCGGCGAGCTCGTGGCTGCAAAGGAGATTTGTTAACTATTATAGTTACCTTTGGTGACACCGTCTACCACGTACCTGACAGGCAAAGTAGAAAATACATATGAGGAACGAGCTATCAAGCCCGCATGAAACCTTCTAGTCCGTCACTTTTTTTATATCTACAGCCAAGACTACGTACGCAGTCTATCTAGCCAAATCAACCAGAGGTTCCTCGACACAATTTCCCACCATGCTAAACCAGCCCGAATCATCGTCATTGGCTGTGGCGACTATACCTTGATCGACCCATACATGGAAGAAGTGTCGGGGGAATTTCCCATCCGCCACAGTACAGGAGGATGTGCAAATGACCAGGACGTGGGACGGGGCAAAGACGGGGAGGCTGCAAGACTCGTTCAACGATTTGCGCCATGTCTCGCGGAGTTGTTACGCTCTGTACCGCTGGGCAAACGATCCTTTAGTGTACGTCAGTATGCATTCGGATGTAGAAGAGTCTACGCACAATTTTTCATATTCAACCTTGTCCAGTCTTCGCCTCGTACTATCGATGCACGACATACTGTTGAGATATGACACAGATATCGTCCTGGCGAGGATCAGCCCAATCTCCAACTTTCGGCCCGACGCATCCTCCTCTCGCAACAATATGACTGTTGCTTTTGGTTCAATTGCCCTTCGCGTCCTTTGGCAGCATCATGGCTGACGATCGATCAGAACGGTCATGGAGAAGTGCTTATGGGCAGGCGTACCTGATTCCCAAAGGATGCTTCAATACGAGCTAGCTGCAGCTGCAGTCGTGGCGGAGTGCATATATGCTGTTGGAAGCCCCGAATCATTCGGGACAACGACCACGTGTGTGTAGACCTTGAAAGTGACGTTCTAGAAATGGCGGTGTAACTCGAGACATGCGTGCCTATTGAACGCGGAAGGTCTCGCTGTGAGGCAGTTTCTGCTGGGCATGATTTATTAACTGGATTAAACAAAAGGCTCATGACTCACATAAGCAGCTGTCTCACGGGTTCTGTTGGCTTAAAAGTCATTTCGGTCAGCACTTGGTTGCTGGCTGACGGGCATGGAATGTTCGCAGCGCTCGCCAGGATCGGATCGATATATAAAGACCAGGCTGGTCGTAACATTTGATGTTTGAGCATAGTCTCAGATTATATTTGGCTGACAGGGGACATACCTCAAAGTTGCACAGGAAGCTTCGCTTGTGTTCTCATGGTTAAGGAAGCTAGTGAGAAGTAAAGTTGTTAGCGCAGTTTAACGAGGCTCATGAGTAGTTGCATACTTATAGGAGGTTTCCGTGCTTAGTCTGGACTCCTGGCCTAGCTAGCGGGCACGAATACGAGTAGTGAGTGGAGAGAACCACTAAGTGTAGAGGGAGAGCCAGGTGACTTAGTGGCTCTAGTGTGCACTGCTAGTATTATAAATGAAAGAACATAATGGAATTAAAGGTAAAGGGCTTATTATGGGTCTACTATAAGAGGATATCTTGATTTCAACTTAAGGAAACTGGTTAGATGTAGTATAGAAGAGAATCATTTCGATAGAGGACCGAAGGAGGAGGCTATATCTATTCATTTTTCGTTGGTCTTGTTATCGCCTACTTTGTATTGCCGCGGTGTAATCATATCTATCTATAGTAATAGTATAATCATAATAGAGACTAAATAGACGAGCATTAGTATATATATAATCACTATAGGCCATACTTAGTATACCTAGTCAGCACTACATAACACTTAAGTCTAGGATCTTACGCCCCACGGTCCTACTAGAAACATACTATACTAACCACTACTGGGCAGGGGAACATAGCTTCTATCTTAAAGCTCTTTTATTTAAACTAACGAGACGCTAGTTCAGACTCCATCTCCAAAATATAATACGTGCATACGCCGCCGTTATGGAATTTACATATCTTTGCGAGCATGTTTGCTATACTTTACGCGAAGCACTCTGCCATACTATAGGAATGTCAGTAGCGGATAGAGTGCGTAATATAGAGAACATACTCACCCTTTACAAGATAGAAGGTACCGGAATGAATGCAAGAGATATAAATGCGAGTGTCGAGCTTGCCCAGGCCACGCCGAGGTTGCGGTACATAGCTGACGCGAACAGTGGGAAACCAGTACCGAAGGAAGACTGAGAAAAGTCGTTCCCTGCAAGTACGGAGGCGGCATAGTCGGGGTACGCATCGACAAGGTAGTTCATAATAGAGATAAACGAGAGAAAAGCTCCGATCGAGAACCACGCAGAACCAATGATAGGCATAATCCAGTAAACGCTTGGTCTGGCGCTCTAACCGAACCAGAAAAGACAGATGGGAATCGCGAAGGCACCAACGCAGGCGGCGGGCAGATGGACCTCTGGTGCCACCCTTCCTTGCTCGTCGAATATAGGCTCTAGATTTTTATATATCCACCAGTAAAACGGAGGGATGACGATGATTGCCCCGACCAGGATTCCGATGAATGACAACCCCTCCTAGCCAAGATTGAAGCCATATATCTCCATGAACACGATGGCGAAAGACTCGAACCAGACGTAGAGCAATCCGTAGATGAGAGCCAGGTAGAGATTGAGAAGAAAAACCAGCGGCTCAGTAAAATTCAAGGTCAGCGGTCTCACCAAAATCGTCTTTGCGATGTTTCCGATCGATTAATTCTGAGTGTCAAGGCCCGCATCGCATCGCAAACTCTCGTTGCCGGTGACTTTCTTAAGGCATCTAGTCCGGCGGTAGAGAATGTTGGCCGCAGACGTTTCTGGCAACAGAAAGAATAAGACCAGCAACGCAAAGCCTAACAGCCACATAAGCTCCCAAATTGGCCACTTCCACCCGTTGGCTTCAGCCGCAAAGCCTCCTATGAGTGGGCCTAGCACTGGTCCACACACGGCACTAATTCCCCAGATCCCCATTGCATATGCCCTCTTGGCCGGACTGTACATGTCGGCGATGGATGCGCCTCCCTGTTTGTATTAACCATGACACGTCTCGCCAGTTGACAAAAACACGGAAACTTACCGTAGCCAATACTGGCGAGCCGAAGAACCCGGTCAAGAAGCGGAAAGCAAGAAGCTCTCCCAGGTTGGAGGCCATCAGGGTCGGCACCTGGAGTGCGACGAATATGACTAATGTGCATATATAAATGGGGTTGCGTCCGATCAAGGGTATTTCACTCATGGGTGACCATATGAATGGACCAATCCCGTAGCCAGCCACGAACAGGGACAGGCCTAAGATGACGACGACCTGGCTGACACGGAATCCTTTCATCACATCTTCTTGGCCAGCAGGATAGATGGAGCTTCCGATATAAATGCCGAAGGTCAGGAGGCAGATCTGGAATGTAACGAACGCCTTTTTGCCCGAGGACCAGTTCTGCGGATTCTGTTACGCAGACGAGGTATAAGTACGATGATCGTCAAGACATATTAAGACGTGGAAACTTACCTCAGGGTCCTTGTCGTCTCACCAGTCCACTATCAAGACGTTCAACCCTTTTTCGGAATCCAATTCGTCTCTGGTCATCCCCTGGGATAGTATGCCGTCTTCCCACGACCGAGACGAAATATTGGTGACTCGGGGCGGACTCTCTGTGTACGAGCTTTCGTTCAACTCGTCGTCTGAGATGTCCCTCGAGCCTGTACAGTCATTACGGGCCACATGTACAGACTTCTTCTTGTTGACATAACGGCGCCATAGTTCTGGATTTATTTCCTCTTGATATCTAAAGACGCACCCGTTGGTTATAATGTGGCAAAGCTTGCCGAAAAATGAATCTTGCAGCAGGCAAGGCATTGTTGTAGCGCGGGTCGCTAGAATCGCGGCCCTTTAGCGGAAAGTGAGATTTACAAACTCCGCTAATCGTCAGAAGGCATCGAGATGCTTTTATTCGAAGACAATATTGAAAATCAAGAAATAGTCCGGCCTGTTTTGACTTCACGAAGTCTCAAGAGTACAATCGGTGAGTACTTAGAAAACCCCGTTCAGATAGATGACATCGAGAATGGAGAGTAGTGGCCGCACATGCGCTGGTTAATGGTATAGACACCGGATACCATCACACGATATCAACACATTGAACAGGATTTTGAAGCAAAGGGTTGGTTAGTTAGTGACATCAGAACCTCAACCTTCTGATGTGATGGAAGGAAAAATCTCACATTCCGTTAGGACGACCGCCGAGCAACTGGTCAGGATCTCTATGATATTTCGTCACGGAATAACAGCTGTCGGAGCGTGGTCATCACAGTACGAACTAGTATGGGCATAGCGGATTAGGTAGTTAGGGGTGTGAATTATAAACTTCTCAACCGTGACTAAACCTTTAACTAGTCCTTTCCAATCCGCCAATATCTTCTAACAGACTTTGTCCGCATTGATGATGAGCATAAGACTCTGAAATTCCGTGTACCTCTCTTGGTGATTGGTAACTCATTTTACAACATGGCCGATATCCCCTGCAGCGAATCGGATGGGGTTCAAGTATAGTAGGCCCATTCTCTCTTCATTTGGGGTGGTAAGTCCAAGTACATCACCGATGCAACCATTCAGCAATCAAGAGATTATTCCCCAAGGCCCATATTGGGGACGTTGAGGCGGGACATTGGCTTATTTCCGAGAAACCCGAAGATTGTCGGAAAGGTAATCATTCAAACTCCAATCTCATACATTGCATTGCTAACAATACGATGCAGCGGTTGTTCAGTCCTTGGGATCGATATAATTTTCATACCGAAGAAGAATACTATGCAGTACCTCGGCGATAACTCTATTGAGTTTTATTTAGCTAGCTCTAGACTTAGAGGAGCGGATAAAATTTTTATATTTGGATGTCATGTTTCTCATTAGTACTTAATATCATATCATCGCGGAATTCATATTGCTATTGAAAAGGAGAAGAAAAAGTTACGGATCGGATCACAAACGCTCCGGGATCCGGTGTTCGGGAATATTGTCTCCGAAAGGGTAGGAAACCCTTATCATTTACATTTCGGGGCTTACAAATTCACTAGCAAAAGTGAGTATTAGCATTCTATAAGGGGATTTATGACCTTAAGGTTCCCTGCCAGTGAATGCTACGCATCGCTTATGAGATTGTCTCTCTGAGCTAGAGAACCTTTGACATGCGTTATTAGCGACCAACGACTATCGTAATAATTCTCAGATGATAGCAAAAGAACGACACTCTCAACAGCTCTCGATCATGTAGCTTCATAAAATATTAGACAGAATGGAGTACAGTATTAATGGGCGTGAATGACGGAAAATCTTTAAATCGGCCATCACACAGTACTACGTGTATCCCACAGGGAGGCGTTTTCTACATTTCATTAGTATGGAGATTCCCAAGTCATCTCTTTAGCAGAGGGGTCAAGCACACCTCACACAGCCTAGAAATGTAAAAATACCCTAATTGCCAACCTGGATTCCCACTAAGTATTCAATCACCGCTATCCACGTGAATGAAAGTGACACAAAGTGGGGAATGCAGGCTTGGTGTTGATCTCGAATTTGATCGACTGTTCCCGTCCATGATATGACAGCGTGCTGAATCGCTGCAGAATGCGCACCACCGTGTACTCCAGCTGAAACTGTCCGAATGCCTGCCCCGGACAGACTCGAGGGCCAAGACCGAATGGCACATATTCTCCATTCGGGGGTGTCCAGTTGTCCCAGCGATCAGGCTGCCAATCATCCGCATCGCTGCCGATAGAGGCCACACATCGCCGTTGCATTCCAATGACGGAGACAACTGGCGAGGATTGAATGTTAAATTGTCTGTATATCCGGACCTTATATCAAACAGAAGCACTTACACACTACATTGCCCTTAGGAACAGCGATACCTTCCTGACCGTCCGCGCCTCCTCCTGTAGGTAGCGTTGTATCGACCAGGGCTTCCCGGAAGTTGAAACCGACCGGAGGATGGAGGCGCATGGATTCACGGATGACGTTCTTCAGGAAACTCATCTGGTCGAGGTCTTGCAAAGTAGGTGGGCGATCATATCCGATACTGTGAAATTAGGGCCGTTTTTATGCGCATTGGAGAAGGCATCTCACTTGGAGGCAATTTCTGTCCGTAACCTTTGCACTGCTTCTGGATGCCGGGCAAGATGATAGAGTGTCCAGGCAATGCCCGTCACCAATGGGTCCTGCTGCCAGTTAATGGTTGAAACTACCGGAATAGAAACATATGAAAGACCTTTCCGGCGAGCAAAAGAATCAACAAAAGCTCTTTGGTTGGCTGAAAAAAAGGTCAGTGACGTTTCATGTTGAAAGACGAAAGCCCACCTTGGACTCGACAATACTCCGGTATCGCTCTTCACCGGCTGATCCCTCATCGATGAAGAGACTCAAGTCCTGGGAAGAACGTGACATCATGTCCAACAGAGTGCCAAGATATGCGTCAATATCCCTTTTCGCATTATGGGAAATTAGCCATCCCACCACGCCACCGATGGGGCTACCATCATCCTCTTTAGTAACAGCCACAGCCAAATTATTAGTTTTTGACTCACCCAAGGAACATTCGCAGAGTGCCTGTAAATCCGATCATATGTTTTGCCCTCCGAAACCTCTCATACATGTCAATATCGGCCACGGTTTTCTGCCCCAAAAATCGATGGAGAGCCACATTCAACTGAGCCTTGTCGACAGCATTGTACACATCTATGGGGCCGGGACTAGATGCAATGGTCTCTAGAAGCTGTTGGACGTGGCACTCGGTGATTCGGATATCCGAGTTTTTGATCGAAGTAATCTATCATCATCAGTCTGTTTTGATTCAGGTATATAGACCGAACCGTCCTTACATGAGGCCGGAGATCTTTCCTCCTCTCCCTCCATGCGGGCCCATCGACTAGATGATAATAAAGTATCAGCCGACACCACGGCCATTTGCCGATTGGTAGCATGCTCTTACCCGTAAAAATGGTGTCTCTAGAGTAATGGCCGAGGGATTTCTGGGCTATGTCGCCCTTGCCGTATTCTCTGAACTGCCTTTGGGATCAGAACTGCGAGTAGAAAGGGGATCATGAGATCGACTTGTGAGGTAAAGATGGCTTTGATATTTTCCGGCTCTTCCGTCAAAATGAACCGGGTGCCAAAAATGATCATTTCTGCCGTGTGGCCAGGACAGTCAAGACAAGCCGTCATCCATTCGTAGAAGTGATTCTGTCGGATATTTTTGACGATAGCGTGGAGGGTGAAAATGCCTGGCTGGTTCAGGATGCAGCTATGATTTCCGTCAGGCTGGGTCAATCTTACCAAAAGGACCACCCGGCGTCACTTGTCCCATGAGGGATGTGCGCTGAGTTCGAAAGAACAAGGGGACAAGCAAAGGGGGCAGCGTCATCAATAGGAGCCATTTCCATGTCCCCAATGTAGCAACTGCTACTGAAATAGCCGAATCGAGCTGAAATGGAAATGTGGCATTCATGGTGCAGAGGAAGTTGGGGAAGGCGTTTTCCTACCGACACCTGGGCATTCAATCTTTACTTATTGAAAACAAAGAAATTGAAATTGAAATTGCGATCTGGACGAGGGGAAAAAGCTTATATTTATATTCAATGATCGACAAGCGGGCCTCCTGCCTTCATGATCAGGGTTACACATGACATATGTGATAGTCGTCGTCACATCTGAAAGGTTGCTAGTCTGCTAGTTACTCAGGCTATTGAAAATCTAGCTATCTAAGAGGATATGGTGTTTGAGATCTATCCAGTGTCTCCACTCTTACTCCTCACTGTTCCCATGACATAGAATTCAGCCAATATGATACCGTGCATAGATTGTCTGCTCCAGCTAAATAGAGTTGATCTCACTCTGAATCTCTCTCCAAGATCACGTCATGCAGTAAAATATTCCTCAAACCATGTCCTTGCCACTCTATGATTACTCCGTACTCCCTTATGAGTCCGAAAGTGTCTGCCAGTGGGCTCCCAAATCCATCGATTTCCGGTTGACCGCGCTCAAATTAACCCCGAACAATTCCACATCATCTTATGAGCTCGAGGCAACCATCCCCGAGAAGGAACAGGTGTCGACTCTCAGCAAGCCCCAGCCTTTCGGGTGCTGCTTTGCACCCCCAGCCTTTCGGGTGCTGCTTTGTACCCCTCGCCAGGGTGGAGATGCTGCCACGCCCGTCTGGGACCGCGAATGGGCTGGCATTAATTGCATGTACGGCCCTCAGTATAAGCATCAGATCGCAGAAGACTATAACACGTCGACCTAGTATCTGGGATCAAGCTTCATGGCGCCGATTCATCGAGGATGTCGCGCTATGTTCGGGCTCTTCATTCTTGGCGCACAGCAACCGCGGAATCTCGACCTGGGATGGCACCACCAGCGAGGATTCCAGACGGCTAGGTGTAGCACTTGTATCCGAATCATCGCCCGGACAGACGAACCAAGACCATCCACTATTGTCAAATTGGTGGCCTGGAAATTACCGAGTACTCGACCCTAGGTGAATATCACAAACGGGGTGGAATTTATGTGCAATCTGGATCACCTCGGGATGCCGATCGTTGTGATGGTAAAATATGTGGTGGGACAAAGGGCGGCGATCATGTCGCGGCTCTGCATGGACCTGCAAACCTTTGCTTTCGTTCTATTTTCTTCTTCGGGATTTGCTTATCAGGGTGAGAATGTATGTAATCCTTTATACATACCATAGGTACCTCACCATTGATTCTACTTTTGCATGTAATTCCACCCCGCCAAATTTACCACATTTTATGCCTGTCGTCGACTCAGGAGAGGATCAAGCAGATTCAAATGCCGAAAGTTTCACTGGAACGAACACAGTTGACGTGGATACATTCAACTACGAACCGCCAGGGTCCCCCTTGAATACCTGAACCTGGGCCATCTTCTGCGCACCGGCGGTTCTCTCGTTCACCATCTCACTCAAGGCGGCCGTGCTGATCCCGGTGCTACCGGTAAGCCTGACGTCTGGATTACTCCTTATTTCCCTTTCTCTACCAAGGGGCTGCAATCGGGTTGCACGACATCCGTATCAATACAAATATTATTGTTGATTAAGGTTTGAACTTATATGGGATTCAAAAAAAAAAAAAAAAAAAGGTTATGCCGGTTTTGGCACATCAGGAGCAGATGAATAATGTAATAAACACATAACCATCGAAGGGTGGAAGATGCCTGCAGCTAGGAATAGCAAATATGCTTAGGGAATTTGTAAAGGGACCCGTCAAGCACCGTACCTTCATCAAGTAGCGTCGTTATGCAGCCCCTCGTGCATGATAATAGGTAGGTCAATTGCATTCGGCCCCTAACTACCTTGATATGGCTCAACGCACACGTCCTGCCGTCCATTCATTTCCCTGCATTTTTGATCCATCAATTCATCTAAATCTCTTCTATCAAATGTCGCTTTCTTATATCCTTCCAACCCATTCCCCATGCCACAAAGAAACAGCCTATGGCTAGACTAACCGCTAGATAGAAAACATGATCTACCCCTTGGCTAAATGCCATCAAAACTCCTGCCAGTCTACTTGTTGGGAGTATAGTCCGGATTGCTGAAGCTCCAGCAGCAACCACAGCTCCAGAATCCACGGACGGAGCATATACCGCAAGGCCAGATTTCAAGCGGTTAATGAAAATAAGTTGGGATAAGGTGAGGAAGATTGCCTGACCCAGAGTTTGGCTGAAAAGAAGCAGGGATAGAGCAACAGAAATATCGGCTGCTGGAACGATATTTTGAACCGCAATAATTGGCTACATGAACGTGTTAGAAAGAAAATATTAGGCATGCTGTGAAAAGATTTCAACTTCACGGCTTGCGTGCCAATACCTCGACCAGCTCCGATTAGGACCTGGTATCCAATCCATGCTTCTGCTGAAGTTGATAATGAGAAGAGAGATATCAGTCCGTTCCCGATGGATGATAATATCCCGCTAGCGATACCAAACGGGAGGTAGCAACCCACCTTCCCTACTATATAATTGTTAGGATTAAGGCTTTTTGCATAAGAGGTATAAAGTTCCTACCTAGGACACCGGCGAAAATAACAAGAATCAACTGGCTGATGATGTTTGGGAGGAGGTAAACCCCACTCATCATTGGCGACACTCCTTTGACCACTTGGAAATAGAGAGGAAGATAATATGTTGCGCAGGCAGTCATACCCCCCCCCCCCAAAAAATAAGAAGAGACAGCAAAAAAGAACAATTCTTCGACAAACCATCTGGAGAGGGAACATCGCGTCTGTACCAGTGCGGTACTCCCATGCCAGAAATAAAATGAACGTCGTGCCTGAGCCACAGAAAAGGCCAATGACTGTCTCGCTACTCCAAGAATACCCATTTCCTCCATATTCCAGTGCCAAGAGGAGCTGAATCATGGCTGGTGCAAAAAAACAGAATCCGATCAGGTCTAATTTGTCTCGAATGACTTGCACGGCTGACAGACATTCGCTAGTAAACGTCGGGTCTGGGATATTGATAAAAATCAGGACAAGAGTAATGGCGCCGCCAAAGGGAAGATTAATATAGAAGCCTGCGGAATAAGTTATGAGCAAATTATCACGGCGAAGTTGTAAGCACAGTGTACTCACACCATCGCCATGATACGTATTCTGTTAGCGCCCCTCCAACCAATGGCCCGAGAACGAGGCCGAGCTGAGGCTTGAAATTTGCATGTGAGAGGGAAAATGCCGATGTATATCAACTTGGTTTACTTACTTGCGAGCAAGATGGCCGTCATGGCTGCCAATATATAAAATTAGCGCAAATCCTCCAAATTTAAAGAGAATATGGTGTTATAAAACCTACGTGCTTGTCTCTTAGGGGGAAAGGATCTGGAAATTATTGTCAAAGCACCGTTTTGGATGCCTGAAGCTCCAATACCGGCCATTACCCGTCCAACAATGAGCATTTCGGAGCTTGATGCTATGGCACAAATCAAGGAGCTGAGCTCAAAAATACCTAGAAGTGTAATGAAAGTCGTCTGGCAAGATTTAGCCACACCCGCCAGAAATGAGATGCTTTCCAGCATACCTTGGTCTTGAAGTATCTATAAAGCTTCCCTGTGAGTGGCTGAAAAGATGTGCTTGATTAAATATCAATTGAGTGATCATAGTCTCAGAACACGCTGCGGAAATCAATGACAAACCTGGTGAGTTGATATGCACTACCATACCATGCCACGTCAGAGAGAGAATGAAATTGACTTGTGATTCGGGGTATGGCCTATAGGGGGCTGGTCATTAGTTAACATGAACACGTTGATTAAGAATTAGTCTCCAGTATTGAAGCAAACTTACCGGGGCAACGATAGAACTGTCAATAAGCGCCAGAAGGGCGGCCGACGTCAAGGCTGACAACAGCAACACAAGCTTAAAGCCAATGATATAGTCGTTTTCCTCCATAACTGACTCTTGGTCTTCATTGCTACTGACATTGCTATCGTCCACCCCTGATGTTACTTGCATCCTCTCTCCTTGTTTAGGCGTCGAGGCTTGGCTTGGATCACCAAATTATTCCTGCGTTTCCCTTGTTCTGTAAAATAAGAGACAATACAGTAGTTGTGGAATGTTTAAGATGTTTGAAGATGGGGGTCGAATGCCTCTAACAAAGACGACTTTAGTTGATCAGCAGAGGACCAAAAAGTGCATTCTAGACAGATGACACTACTTTTTCGTTCTCGCAGCTGAAGTACTGCAGGACGATCCACTTCAGGTTACCCGAGCTGGTTGAAATTCAATAGCGTTATTTCCACTGTAGGACGATGCACTGCGAGTCACCTAAGCTAGTTGAAGTCTAATACCGTTAGTTCTATAGCGGACTCGATTATAAAAAAGGAAGAAAAGGTAGCTCATTCCCGTTTCGGAATACTCCTGATGATCAGTTATAGCTCATTGTGTCCCGATCTACATAATTGCTTCTCTAGCTTATTGAATAGCCTTGTGTTACATATTATTACATAGGTTGACAGAGCCAACCCACATAATATATTATCCTTCTGAAAACTCAATAATCTACAATCTATCCCATAGAAATTCAGTATCTAATGTATGTCAAATCGACAGAAATTGAACGCATTATATTTCTGGCTATATTGTACATTATACATGAAGATAAATAGCCGTGCTGTGCCCCAAAGTTTGACTTTGATTGAGGGACAGCAGCAATTCCAACATCCTTATCATGTCTCGATTACAGTATGACATCGCCATATTACCCCATGACGAACCCAGTGTACGTCAATGGGCGGCCAGATTCATCGAATTTCGCCTAGGGGCTCTCAAAGCAGCCCCTGCAAGCTTCTCGTCATCGTATGAGAAAGAAGCCCGCATCTCCAAAGCACAATGGATTTCACTCCTCTGCGAGCCTGCTTACAGGGTCGTGGTCGGCATAATTCGTACAGATGATCAGCATGCGCTCCCTGTATGGGAACGTGAATGGGTGTTGATTTCAAACCTCTATGGACCTCGCTGTCACCACCAACCTTATCATGACCACGCCGGCGATTGTCAAGAGATGTCATGGTATCTGGCAGCCGCCTTTGTTTCTGCTCAACACCGCCAAGGTGGCATATTACGCGAGGCATTTCTTGCTTGCGAGCGAGCAGCCGTAAGCGAGGACAAAAAATTATTCCAAAAGCGACAACACGCTCAGCCTCTGCGCCTATACAGGCATCGATCAAATCAGTTCCGAACGCGTTTACTGGCCACCACTCAGTCTAAGAGTCCGGCCTTACTGAATTACTATCGATCGGTGGGACTCGAAATTTCACATACACTCATGCTGCGGGATCTTGCTGAATGGCGGTGGAAAATTGCCCTGGACCCCGATGGGTTAGACAAGGAGGTCACTGTGATGGAGAAGATTATTCCATGGGAGGCTCAGCCATTGGCCCGGCTGTAATTAGCCAATTTAAACCAACAAAGTTAGGCCAAACCTACTTCAAAGCTGTTATATATCTGTGATGGTATGATATATCTTATGCAGTAGACTCAATTCATGAGATAGATCTAGCATCATCTATTTGGCTCGCCTTGCCCATGATAGATCGTCCTACTGTAGAAACAACGCTATTGAATTTGAGCCAGCTTAGGTGACCCACAGTAGATCATCCTGCAGTAAAAGCAACTCCCTCGAATTTCAGCCAGCTTGTGTAACCCAACATGCCGATCTTCCTACTGTAGACACAACGCTATCGAATTCCAGCCACCTTGTGTAACCCACACTAGAGTGCACTGCAGTAGAAAGAACGCTATTGAATTTCAGCCAGCTTGTGTAACCCAGACTAGATGGTCTTGCACTAGAAACAGTGCTCTTGATTGTCAGCTGGTCCATAGTAGATCGTCCGTCAGTAAGATTAAAGCTGTTGAATTTCAAACCTTAGTCAAAACTAGTCGATGAGTCGTTCATTATCACCGGATTCTCCTAGATGTGACAGATGATCGTGGATGATCGCTTACCTAGTACTCTAAACTTATAAGTCTCCTGTCCCTCGTGAGATATCAAGACATGTTTTAATATGAATCTCTAGACAATACTCCTATCGACCGGGCCATACCTTTTCTATTAAATTCTATCTTTCCACTCTGTATAATGGATAGAAATTGCTTGACCGCGGAAGCCTGCGATGAAAAACGAAAACCGCTAACCACTCATTTGATTACAATTCTCGATCAAGTCACCTATCGGTTCCCAGATCATGACGCCATCATATCTCTCCATCAGACTGATACTCTGAATGAAAAACAGCCTTTACACTGGACCTTTGCTCAAATGCAACAAATGAGCATTCAACTGGCAGCCCGCTTATCTTCCAAAGGTATTGGTCATGGAAGTCGGCTCATTACCCTGATGTTGAATCAAGCCCAATGGGCACTTCTTTTCTGTGCATCTGCACGCCTGGGCTGTCATTTTGTGCCACTGGATCCCCGGGTGCTTGATCGTGACGGTCATGATGTTCTGTGTCTCCTGAACCAGCTAGAACCAGCGGCGATGTTCGTATCGACCAAGGCAATGTCGAATCGAATCAACGAGATAAAGTTCTGTCAAAATGACCGACCTGTTGTTCAGTGCGTTGTCGCCGATGAAGAATATAATACATCAGCCGGGTGGACGACACTGCACAAAATCATGTCGGAACCCTTAGTTGGCACTGCTGCTTTGCCTGCGCCCGGGAGACCAGACGATACAGCGCTCATTTTGTTTACGAGTGGCACCACTGCACTTCCGAAAGGATGTCCACATTCGTCCATCTCTATTGGTGCTCAAGCGCTGGGGCTTATGGACAATTTGGACGTAGGACCTGGCGCGATCCTTTGCCAGCATCTGCCCAATTTTCATGTCTTTAATATTGCGTTGACCCTTGCATTCTGGCTTGCTGGTGCTACTGTCAGCTTTCCAAGCCCTTCTTTCAACCCACAGAGCAGTGTGCAACTGATCAGATCCCACCCACGAGTCTCAGTTCCCTGTGTCCCGGCAATGGTACATGCTTTATCGACTTGTGTATCCCCCGAGCACAGCTCTCGCCTTTCATTTCAAATGATTCTAGGTGGTGCTCCGGTTACATTGGACGTTATAAAATGCAGCAGGGATCTTGGGGCGACGAGTGTCGTGGTAGGATATGGCATGACTGAAGGTATAGCTGTTCTCAATACTTCCATCGACACAACCTCCTTGGAGCTGATTAACAGTGATGTTTCTGTTGGGAGGGTATTCTCCGGTGGCCGACTCCGGATATGTGCTTTGGGAAGCCGCACCCCCATCCACAAGAAAGAGATCGGCGAGGTGCATCTCGGTGGTCTTCCAGTATTCGACGGCTATATAGGCAGCAGAAGTGTCTCGTGTTATCGTGAGAATGGGGTGAGCTGGATAGCCACAGGGGATCAAGGGTATATGGATGGCGAGGGCTATCTTTACCTCCTTGGCAGGTATAAAGATCTCATCATCCGCGGTGGCGAAAACATATCCCCGTTGAAGATTGAACAGTGCTTGGGCAAGTTTTCTGGGATTAAGGTGAGTCAGGTCCAGCTCTGGCTTTATAAAACTTGACCTTGACGTAACTGGTACTAATTGTATGTGATAGGATGTCTGTGTTGTGGGTATCTCAGATGCTACTGCGGGTGAAGTTCCTGTTGCTGTGATCCGAAAGGATCCTTTGACACAAGCACCAAAACAACAAACTATCCAAATGATGATTTCGAATAAATTAGGGGCATTCTTTGCACCAACACGCGTTTTTGATCTTCATGATGACCTTCGAAAGGATACCTACCCTACTACAACCTCTGGCAAAATCCAGAAAGCAATGCTTCGAGAATGGATCATGGATCATCTTAGTCAGGTCGCCGTTGAGGATCAAGACTCTTCCAATGATCTTACATTGGAGGTAACGAAAGTTTGGTCCGATATAACGGGTCTGACGCTTGGAGATATCGATCCTGATGTGTCTATACGAACCTTCACCGACAGTATGATGCAAATCCAATTTTGCCACCTGATAGGCCAAAGGCTGCAATTGGCAATCAGACAGAGCGATCTAATTAAGTTCAACACGATTAGAAAACAGGCCATATTGCTGAAAGAAAGAAAGCAACAGCACGCCAAAGGCTCTCACAGCCATAACATGGCCCATGGCATTCCAATGCAGCTCGATATGAAGCGGGCGAAGCATGTAGCATCTTCCAAGTTGGACCAGTTTGGATTTGGATGGGATGATGTCCAAGAAGTCATTCCAATTTCTGACTGCCTGAAACGATCACACTATGGGTTTAGGCCGAATTCGTGGAACATCCGAATGTCATGGATTTCGAATTCATCAATTATTATTGCAGAGATTCAGGCGGCCTTGTATATATGGCTCCAGCGTCATCCACTACTACGGTCCACGCCTGTTACATACGATGATGAATTAGATCTATACCTGGTTATGCATCCCAGTGCAGATTGGATGAGACTACAAGTCATTGATGGTGGGACGGTTGAAGATGTGAATTGTGTTGCAACATACAAGCTCAATGACCCCGATTATGACTACATTGATAGGAATGGGCCGTTGTTCAGGGCTACAGTCCTCAGTGTGAACAATTCATCGGTCGTTGGGGTGGTTATGCACCTTCACCACCTAATTCTGGATGCCCACATCTTGTCTCGTTGGTTTGAAGACCTGAGAGATATTCTGAACCATAAAGAGGACCTTCTTAATTTCCATCCTTACCATCATTACATCACAGACTATCATAGGCACCGAACTGGTGCCGCATCGCAGAAAGCGGTCGACTTCCATGTCAACAGGATTCGGGGAGTATCTTGTGCTAAAGATGCTTTATGGCCACCGCAGATTGCGCCACACTGGCTCAAAGGTGATAATCAGGGCTGGGTCCGCAGTGACAACACCCCAGGTTGTCCCAGCGAGCGGCCTCTTCTCGATGGAGACAAAAGCTGTGGAACCAAAGGTATCAGTCGTGCTGTGCTTGTGCCCAAACTCCTGGAATTGCAACACAAGTTTGCAATAACACCCCCAATCGTTGCCAGATGTGCCTGCGCATTACTAAATGTACGCATGACTGGAGCTAAGGAGGCGATATTTGGAGTGATTGAATCAGGCAGAACCTGGCCATCTGAGAATGATAGTCAAATCGATCACAATGGGATGGATATATTGGAAGTCGATGGGCCTACTATCACTCACTGTCTCAATCGCACCAGAGTTACACCAGAAGAAACGGCAATTCAGCTTCTAACCAGGATGACCAAGGACCAGGATGATATTGTTTCCTATATCTACGCTCCAATTGATGAGATATGTCGAAAGCTAGATGATTCAGATGAGACGTCTTTTGTTGACATCGTTCATCGACAAAGCTTCAACTGGATTATGGGAGGGTATAAGGAACATGTTTCAGATCCAATCAAGCGCATTGAAGCCATTGCTCGACCTGATCTCGGTCTTTCATGGCTGCCGGGTCTTTTGGACGGCAACATGTTGAGGCTGACTGTGTCATATGATGATGCGCAGTTACGGGCAATCGAGGTATACAACATCATGACGGAGTACCTGTGCGCTGCGGCCTGGCTTTCTGATCCTGCTAACATGGATAAGGATGTAGCTCAATGCGAGTTCCACGGCCACGATATTGTGGATCTTGATCGAGAGGGTGCAGGTCGCTATCGTCAGTGATGTAGATGACAAGAAGCCCTTATCAGGTTATGATGTTAATCGCCCGAGGAATTTATTATATTTCTATGCAACATTCAGTCATCTGTCTATTCATCTTTCTACTTGTCTTCCCAAGTATTTCTCGGGGTCTCTACGCTTCTAAATACATACCAAATTGACAGAAGATATGATCGGATGTAGACTAGATTAATCCCTACAATTTGAATAGGAAAAGCATAGAAAGCCCGGGTGTAAAGTATTACATAAAGCTGGAAGAGGCAATCGAGATTCCTAGCACTGGGTCTTCGATTTGAATGCTACAGAGCAAGAACAACGAGCCCTGGAGGGGACACAAAAAAGGCCATTCCATCTGCTTTGCTTTCAAAAACCTCTTTCCTCGTGGATGCAGGGCTGTTCTTGCCCCTGGAGCAGGCTTGTCTCTCCCAAATCTTAGATGATCAAAACGAAATCATCGCTTAATTCCTAACAAAGACTCGGGGTCGCCACCTTCAAGCCAAGTGTCCATAGCTCGATACATCTTTGTCAGCCCCTCACTGTCTAAAGTGGGCAAATCAGTCATTACTTTATGCCCAAGCCGTGCCTGCGCTGCACCTAGATACTTGTATCCCTCAGGATAAATCCCAGTTTCTTCATCGGTAAAGACTGGAGCGTTCCTGCCATCAACGGGAATTATGCGGTCTTTCTCGTAAATAACCTTGTAGTACCTCGCCTTCCACCCTGTCCGACCAGTGGCCTTTGAAAGCTCCCTCTGGCAGAAGAAAATGAAACGATTGTCGCAGTCCACGTCGAAAGTGACCCCGTCCTGAATGAAGCGTTGTGTAATTGTTGTCTTCATCTTGGCAACGGCGCGGTCTCGAGTTTTGTTCAAGTCGACCAACGTACCACATTCGCGATGCATGATGAAGTCGCCGTTTGCGCGACCTTGCTTCGACACTTCGATGAATTCGTCGATGTCCATACCGCCACTCCATGCTATTGCGGTCAGCTTAGGCTCTGCGTCATTACATTCCTTTGCTTGGGATTGGCATGAAAAATTTGTCTGGTGTGGAATTGTATGCTCACTAGTAAAGATATACGTTCCCTCTTCTGAGAAACAATCCCGATAATTATTCCATTCTGACGCATCTCGATACAAAGGCCATCCCTTCACAATCTCTGAGACCGCAAACCGATCCAGAAGTTCCTCGGTCGAGCCGTTGTTATGGCTCCGGACTGTAGGCTGGGTTTCCTTCTCGGTGATATTGTATACCATAGCGAGCAACACGAACAACTTAACTGCGATTATGTGGCGGGCTGAATAGAATGATGATGGAACGTTATTCTCGACCTGTAGACAAATGAATATCGGATTCAGATGATCGGGAGGGGGTGGGATGGTGCTGCTTTATGAAAATCATTCACTCGGCCCAATACCGTGATCTTGATCCCCGACCGGCGGAACAGCCGAGCCGGTTGATGGCTCCATTTCCAAGATATCATGCAGATTAATGATATCATATAACCCTATTTCTATCAACGAAATCTGGTTCGACGAGTTCATGATGACAATGGGTACCAGAGGCTCATACGTGGCGCGGTTGGTCAACTGCTGGCTATAATTTTATCCGGCTCCCTTGCAACAATCAAGATATTGGAATGGTGCAATATTAGAATGTCAAATTTTTTCACTCGCGCCACTCTTCGGATCACTCACAGCCTCTTCATACTTGTTGTTATGCGGTTTGAAGTGCTCTTGTAGTCGACTTGTTGAAGAGCAAATTTGGATTGGAATTAGTCATATCGGCACACTTGACTTCAACGTTTATTCCTACCCCCAAAATGAGGCTTTCAAATTGCAGGCTATTAGAAATAGCTTCAAATTAGTTCTCAAGGGACGTACGATCCAAAGCGAGTTACTACAAAGCTTAATATACGACTTTACACACCTGAACCCCTCCCCATCCCCTTTCACTCTAGCCGAAGTGAATGGGAGCCAAAATCGCATTTCAATTATATTCATTACAAAAGCAATCTTCTCAGATCAAAGCTCTATTAAAGCGAGGCTCGCGTGGCCCACAAACAAAGTCCGCAAAACATGTGAAAACACCATGTGAACTACCGTCCTTTTTAGCATGGGAAACTAAGCTATGACGCGCAGATGAGGGGGAATCGAGTACAATGGGCTCGACCTGGAATGGAGATAGCATTTATGTAAAGGCTATCAGAAGCAGAAGGGCAATGTCTTATCGAGCATATGATCGAGCCTCCGGTAGTGCAGGTGGTAAGACGAACTCGGCAACCACTGACGAGAGTGCTACCAACGTATGGGTGATGTAAAGATCAAGGGCATTGAAGGCATAGTTTCTCAGATCGTCCTCTATAGTTTCTAGCTGTTCATGTTGTGTTTTAGTTGATGGGAATTGGTTCTAATTGTTATAATTTGATTAGGCGGCCAGGCCGGTAATAAATGAGGTTAAATCCATACCTTGGGTCTGTCTGCTAGAATCTCTGGACAGAAAGCTATGCCCAAGTTGAGCAGGTCGGCGTGGGGGCATCCAGTAAAGCGCTGTATGCTCTCAATGACGCCTTCAGAACCGACGATGCCACAACGTCCGACTCCACTTTGACAGCAGTACGGTGCTCAATATCTATGATGTGGGCTTTCTCCAAACCCATTTGGCAATGAATCCTGATTTGATTTTCTAGATGGTAACGAGCAGAGTGGGGGAAAGCATCAGATGCATTATCCGGTGGCGTCCGGTGGCATCTGACGCAAATGACTGTCTCCGATCTTCAATCAGGGTTCGGAAGGGGGTAATTGATAGGAACAATACTCAATGCATTAATTCATAATGGATCCCAGATGAATTCAACTGCGGCAGCTCTCCCGGCGGAAGGGCTGGTTGAATAGAATCTCAGGGAATTCCGACGGATCATCGACTACTGTGACGTCAAAGAATCCAGCTCTAAGCACATCAAGAACTATAAATTGGAAGTCCAGATTTTTTTTTGCATTTAATCTGTCAATTACTCTGGCCCTATTTGCTAAATCTATTGTTCGCTTAAATCAAGACTGAAACTTTTTGTTCCATACGCAGATATTTTCGGCCCTGCAAGTATTTAAAGTCACCAAAGGGGTGCTAAAATGGTTGCTTCCATAACTAACGGCCGTCCAGCGGCAGTGAGGTATGATATCTTTCACCTTTTAGTGTTCACGATGGTGATTTGTTTGAGTAAAAGGAAATGACACTAACGTCAGAAAATGCGGGATAGGTCTCGCAATATAGCTATTTTGAGTGTTGCTGCTGTTATAGCAGGGAGCTGGCTCACATTTCGTGCCCAATCGCCCAACAAGTCCGATCTTCTTTTATCCGAACACGACAAGAAGACGATGATTGGGGGGCAGACAGGAGAGGATAAAGTTGGACGGGCCCCATTAACGAAGACAAAGGACAAGCCTTAAAAATCAAAGTGCATTTAAAAAGCACACCAGTCGAATGGCGTTACGTCACATTTATGTACAGATAATTATTCAAAGCATACTCCATTTCGAGTATTTGAAAAGTAACAGACGGAAAGGAGCGCGATAAATAAACACTCACTAATCGCATTCAAAGTAGTGCATTAAATTTTAATTTTTTTTTTAAAAAAAAAGCCCCCTCCGTTATTTCGAGTATTATCGAACGTCACATCACTTCGCTTAATTCCCGTCAATATACGACATGAAGCTTCACTAAAATCATGTTCTAGGTAATAAAAGGTGGCGCAGTAGGCATCACTCTTTAATAACCTCCACGTTACAGCAGTTACAGAGAAATGTGAGCAAGTACATAGGTGCCCAGGTATGTACTCATGAGTATAACGCCCTGAATCTTGAATACAGCGCTACTTTAAATGCGGTTAGTAAGGGTGTTCAACCAATTCTATGGTGTTCAAATGAGGATCTCCGACTGAAACCTACGTTCTCAAAAGGGGAACTCTCAACAACAAGTAGACTGCTATATCAAGTAGTGGGGTTTGCCACACTATAAATAACGTCTGAATTAACAAGGGTTGCGCTGACGTTTACCCCAGCATCAATTAATGGCACTATGAACAACACACAGATGTCGGATGCCGGTCGATCCGTGCTGACAAGCACTTTCACCGTAATACCATAACGAATTTTGAAATGACTTTATGCAGCGTGTGTTATGTTCGCCGCTTGGTCCTTTATCTCGCAAAATTAACGAGGGATCAAATTGGCGAGAAAGGATTATGGGACAAGATTGGCAACGTAATGTAAGATAACGGCGAATTAGTAAGCAGATACCGCGCAGAAAAGGAGCCTTCAACCTCCCAACACGAGGGGCAGCTTTGACACCCATTGGCATCGAGACATTTGCCGATACAGATTTACGTTTATGACGCCTCACACGACATTAAGAGATACATATGGTGCAAGGTTCAGACCCCAGTGGAAACTCGCTGGATCCAGTCTAATAAAAGGTCAAGAAAGATACGGACTCAGCAAAAGGAATTATTGTGCACGATTTGTGACATATGTAACAGATATTGGAGTGAAAAGACCGAATTGCCATCAATCCCAGCAAAAAAGTGTCTGACATTATTTCCAGTCAAGCCGAGATCGATGAGTCGCTCATGCAGCCACTACGAGTCACTCATGCAGCCACTGCGTGGCTGCATTAGCCGATCAAAATGTGGAATGCAACCTTGAACCTTTCTGAGACACGGACATAAAACAAGACCATTCAGCTGCTGCGATAAGTTATCGGTATACGGACCGATAAGGCCAGGCCAGGGTCTACCGGGTCAACCCGAGCGGGTCCAGCGGTCATGGCGTGGCACACCCCCACCCGGCTTTCGGCCCGGTTGCGTGCTCATAGGAGCAACGTACACTTTGAGATACGTACACAATCCCCCACTATGTCTCAAACTCAACAAGAATTTAACTGAGGCTAAAATCTTACATCCGGCAAAAAATATTGCCAAGAATAACCAATTCAGCCCGAGTTATATGTGCCGTATCGTAGATCTGTTTCCACCGTCGCTATCCTTGAAGCGCCCTTGAGCTCTAAAAAGTCTTCCAAACAGAATTCCAACGATCCATGTACATGAAAACGTACTCATTCAACCCATCGCGACTGTGAGTAGAACGTACAGCGATATTCAACCCCTAAATCTTCCGAACAAGCTGACCTAAAATATATTTATAATTTGCAATGACGTCGCCCACGTCGAATCTAAACCCATGCTCAAATACTATTGAATAAATATGGACTTTAACAAGGATGCATTGGGTTTTCATTAGATAAAGATCGAAAGTTTGACCCAATCCCAACATGCATAAAATCTTCAAGGTCTGGTGGAAGCTTGGGAACTCGTATCCAGATTAAGCAAATAAAAACTCGTTTAGTTTTTAAAACTCAATAAAGAGTATTTGACGAGTAATAGACCGTGGAAATAAAAGTTCTCATGTGCGAGAACGAAAACGTTACTATTATTTAGTGTGTCGTGGCGAACAGGGATGTTCTTCCAGGATGCATCGCCTTCACGGCGAATCATTTGACCATATCTTAGATAACTACGCACATGAGTTACGAATCTGATTCCAAGCTTAGCCAAGTAAGTCGTCCCTCTGAAAAGCTGCGAATATTGTCAGTAAAATTACAATATTTCTCTCTGGAACGATGGACATGCATTTTTTACACTCTTTCTCTAAAACACACAGAGAGATCTCGACTTTTTTGCTCCGACTTAAAGTCTAATATGAGTTATTTTGTGCAGCCGGTTGGGTACCTAATAATGCCCCACGAGCCATATTTCCTATGGAGTTCTCGATAGCACGGACAGTAATCAAGATATACTTTTGGATATTCAAAGACATATAATACCGGAATGCCACCGAAACATCCGGAATGGATGACATTAGATATTTAAACCGTGGTCCAGCTTTGTAAAAGACGAGAAGCAATACGTAGAAACAGGGAAATCAGCAAAAAGGAGCTGTTGAAAACCAATGTGAGAGGAAAGAAAACATGGAAACATGTCTTCTAGTTACCACCACCTCTTACCTCAACTGCTCGTATTGACTTACTGGGTCGGCGCTTTGACTGTTTTCCCATTGGATATTTCGTTCTAAATTTAAATAGTCCAGAATGTATGCTGTTCATCTGAGTACCCTAACTGACTGAAGACCAGGCAGGAACGCGTACACGCACAGCGACGTATTCGGTCCGATAAGGATCTTAGAAAAGTCGTATGAATAAATTTTTATTTCAATCTTTTTTTTTTCGGTGGGACAGATCACTCGTTTCCATTCACCTCACTCTCGCTTTTGCCAAGACGGTTTTTAAATTTACTTCGTTCGTTCTCAAAGTGTCGCTTATTTTCCGACGACAGGTTCCTGCAGGATAACAAGGTATCCTAGACGGAGATGCAGCATTCGGCACTCCTCATACTTTCGTTTCTGAGCAGCTGTGTCTTGTGTTGGCCTTATGATGCCCCTTTTGTGGATTGGAATCTAAATCAGAACCAAAGCGCTCAAGGCCCTATTGACTATTGGGGAGCCTGGCCGGACCACGAATATCATCCCTCGCCAGACAACTGGCGCTTTCCTATCTATACAATATTTTTGGATCGGATATCCAATGGAGATCCCACAAACGATGATATCAACGGTACCGAGTTCGAGCATGTGGTCAACTCTAATCAGATGCGACACGGCGGCGATTTGTATGGGTTGCTAGATACGCTGGACTATATACATGGCATGGGCTTCAAGGTATGTTGGTATAATCTTAACCTATTCTAAAGGCTCATGCAAAGATTTAGGCTATTTACTTCGCCGGGACATATTTGGAAAACCTACCTTGGGCCTACGATGGCTACTCCCCGGCTGATACCACTCTGCTCGACAAGCACTATGGCACACTGGAGGACTGGAGAAATATTGTTACCGAGATTCATAAACGGGATATGTACGTTCTAGTGGACAATACTCTCGCAACGTAAGTCGATGCTCCAACATGATTTTCAGAGTTTCCTTTGTCAATGCCCAGGAACTCATCTTATGGAGATTCCCGCACCTCAAGCTTCCAAATCTGCTATTGGATAGCCTCCATATTGCCTTTATCTCCTTCCCCTCTCTCTCGTTCGTCTCCCCTACATGGACACGACTGAGGATTTGGGATTTTTCGTCTTTTTCCGAGTGCTTCTTTCTCCTTGTGGGCCCTCCACAGCAGCTGCACGTCCTCGACTGTATCGCTGACATATTCGCGACATAGGTTGAGTAACCTGATTGGGTTCAAAGGTCACCTCAACGGCTCGGCAGACTTCAAAGCAAGCGAATATACTGTCGAATGGGTCACGGACAGACAATATGCCGATTTTTCATTCGGAAACACCTGGAACGACACATGTGACTATCCCAACTTTTGGTACGAAAACGGATATCCGTTGACAACCATGGGAGTGCAAAATTTGAACGGGTGCTATAACAGCGACTTTGATCAGTACGGAGAGCTAGAGGCATTCGGTAATTTCCCTGACTGGCAGCGACAACTCACAAAGTTTGCTTCAGTGCAGGATCGCCTGCGTGAGTGGCACAAGCCCGTCCGCGATGTAATCACTCGGCATTCCTGCTTGCAAATTGCCAGTCTCGACATTGATGGGTTCCGCTTCGACAAGGCTGTACAAGCGACCCTCGAACCCCTCAGCGAGATGATGGCCGTCTATCGTGAATGTGCGAAGAAGCTCGGCAAGAACAACTTCTTCCTGCCCGGGGAGATCACATCCGGGAACACCTTTGGAAGTCTCTATCTCGGCCGTGGTCGACAACCAAATCAATGGCCAGACTCTGCGGGTGCTGCTGTCAAGCTAACAAATACATCCGAGGGAGCTTTCTTGAGAGCTGATGGGCTCCAGGCTCTTGATTCCTCCGCCTTTCATTACACCATCTATCGTTCTTTAACGCGTTTCCTAGGTATGGACGGTAACTTAGTTGCTGGCTTTGACCTGCCAACCGATTTCATTGAAGCCTGGAATGAAATGCTCGTCACGAATGACTTCCTCAATGCATTCACAGGAGAATTGGATCCGCGGCATATGTATGGTGTTTCCAACCAAGATAACTTCCGTTGGCCCGCAATCAAGAACGGCACTTCAAAATACCTCCTTGGCCTGAACGTCATCACCTTGGTGCTACCTGGCATTCCTCTCATCTTATGGGGTGAAGAAGTAGCTCTATATGTCTTCGATGCTACAGCATCGAACTATCTCTATGGTCGACAGCCCTTGTCATCTCAAACTGCGTGGTGGACGAATGGTTGCTTCAATCTGAACACAACAAAGTTCTACGATTTCCCGATCGAGAAGGGGCGGGACGGCTGCAACGATATCACTGTCACATATGATCAACGCAATCCCGCCCATCCCCTGCGGAACATCATGAAGCGAATGTTTGAGATTCGCGCTCATTACCCGGTCGCAAATGATGGCTTGTTTCTCCAGACAATTTCTCAACTTACGGAAGATATATATCTTCCTGGTTCTTCGACTACTCCCACAGTCACAGGGCTTTGGTCGGTCCTCCGAGCCTACTTCCCGGCGGTACAAACAGATGCTATTCTCTCGAATGAAACCTTGTGGCTTGTTTATCAAAATGGTAACACGACAAAGACCTATGGGGGGAGCTGTTCAAACAGTAGCGCTGCACTGTTATCTCCCTTTACGTCGGGGAAGAGGTTGAAGAACCTTTTCTATCCGTACGATGAGCTTACAGTTGACGAAGGTCCCACCGAGACCTACGGATGTATTAAAGGGGGTATGGAGCTGCTTCCATGGGAATACCGAGCTTATGTTCAAACCGACATGTTCGTAGAACCCGGCCCTACCGTCACTGAGTTTGTCCCTGGTCATGATTCCAGGTTACTGTCTGCAGCAGATACGGGTGAGACCATTCCGATCCAGCTTGGATATTCTGTGGAAATGGACTGTGACATTGTTACGAGCGCGATCACTTTGAACTCTACAACGGAGAAAGGCATCGTCGCCTCCCTCGATACTTCTAGTGTGAAGTGTACCAACGTCACAGCCAGGACCACAAGCAACAACTATGTTGGGGAGATTCCCACTGTTTGGACATGGTCTGCAAACCTGACAAACATCTACCATGGAGTACATCAAATAACGGTCAAAAATATGTCCACCTCTGGCACATCCGAAGTTTACACCAATGCGACCGATAGCTTTTTGATCCGCGTTGGTGTTCATACCAACCCCTTGATCACCCCACTGGCCAATTACTCTACAAATCTCGTGCACAAATCTGATGATAGATACTATATCAAGCACAACGCCGCAGGTGCTGACACGTTTCGGTATTCAGCTGACTTTGGGAGCACTTGGTCGAAATGGACGACATATGAGGGCGGGACCACGAGTGTGAACATTCCGAGTTTCACAGGGACATCTGAGCAGGCGTGGAAGGGAACCCATATACGGGTGCAATATTTTTCCAGGCTGACCGGGAGCAGCGATTACATCCAGGAAGGTGATTACGGTTGGAAAGAAGACTCTGTCAGGAGGTTCCCACACTTGTGGTTCAACGGCCCTTTCAACCAGTATGGCTACGATGCAGGAGTGGACAACCAGATGCGGTTTAATCCAAAGACTTTGCGGTGGAACTATGACTTTGTCTATGAGTGGCCCGCCGTGGGTCAACTGAATGCATGGGGTATAGACCCGTCAGGTGTTCCTGACAATACGGAAGTCTACGGCGACGTCGGAAACTCATCTACGATTCTAAAGCTTCCCCCGTCTTATCTCTCGTCTAACGTGATCAACATCACCGAGTTGCCTCCATTTCCACACCTTGGATGGAAAATCTCTCTTAATGACGGCAATCTACGGTATGAAAAAATTCCCATCGGATCTGGATGGGCGCAACTCGCTCTCTTCGTTCTTCTATGGGTCGGGCCTATTGTGATGGGCCTGGCTGGAGTGCTCATCTTTATTCAATCGTTCTACCAAGTTAAGCTCAACAAAGACGGCAATGTTATCAAGGGTGAGACTATACCTGTCTTGTTCTGGCGCAAAGTCAAAGCCAAATTCCCGAAGCACAGTGACTTGGAGGACGCAATCTCAGAAAAGGCTCTTCCAACAGGCATTGCTGTAGGAGGGGTGGTCGACCAACAACGTCGTACGGTCTTGATTGCCACCATGGAGTACGACATCCAAGACTGGAAACTGAAGGTGAAGATCGGTGGCTTGGGAGTCATGGCCCAGCTCATGTCCCAAAACCTGAAACACCAGAATCTCATTTGGGTGGTGCCATGTGTTGGAGACATTGACTATCCTAAAGACGAATCGAGCCAACCGATCCAACCATTCGTGGTAACCATTCTCGATAGGCCATACTTAGTCCAAGTTCAGTACCACATCGTGGAGAACATAACCTATGTCCTGCTTGATGCACCGGTTTTCCGACAACAGACCAAAGCGGAGCCTTATCCACCCCGTATGGACGATCTTGACAGTGCAATTTATTATTCGGCTTGGAATCAGTGTATCGCGGAAACAATCAGGCGAACACCATCTATCGACTTTTACCACATCAACGACTTCCACGGGTGTGTCGCGCCGCTATACTTGCTGCCAACTCAAACCATTCCAGTTTGTCTATCCTTGCATAATGCCGAGTTTCAAGGACTTTGGCCATTGAGAACACAGAAAGAGAAAGAAGAAGTCTGCTCCGTATTCAATCTTCCGATTGACATCGCGACCAAATACTGTCAGTTTGGAAATGTGTTCAATCTTCTACACACGGGTGCTAGCTATCTCCGATTCCATCAACGCGGTTTCGGTGCAGTGGGTGTGTCTCAGAAGTACGGAAAACGATCATGGGCCCGATATCCAATTTTCTGGAGCCTTAGCAGCATTGGTAGCCTTCCAAACCCAGACCCTTCAGATACAGGTTCCGTGGACCAGGGGGCAGAAGTGCCGGTCAATATTCAGTCCGATGCAGAACTCATTCATGATAAATTACAGGCACAGAGATGGGCTGGTTTGGACGAGGACCCGAACGCAGACTTGCTGGTTTTTGTGGGACGATGGTCCAAGCAGAAAGGAGTAGACTTGATCGCGGATGTTATGCCGGGGATCTTATCTACTAGACCACTCGTGCAATTGATTGTCATCGGTCCCCTCGTTGATTTATATGGCAGACTGGCTGCGATCAAGCTGCAGCGGATAATGGAGATGTACCCAGGCCGCGTGTTCTCGAAGCCAGAGTTTACGATTCTACCACCATACGTATTCTCTGGTGCTGACTTTGCCCTCATCCCATCACGAGACGAGCCATTTGGACTTGTTGCCGTTGAATTTGGTCGCAAGGGTGCTCTCGGCATCGGTTCTCGCATTGGAGGTTTGGGCCAAATGCCCGGTTGGTGGTATACTGTAGAATCCGACTCGGCTCGCCATCTCTTGCATCAATTGAGGACTGCCATTGAGTCTGCCTTGGAGTCTTCCCCAGAGACCAGAGCAGAGATGCGTGCAAACTCTGCCAAACAACGATTCCCTGTGCTTGAATGGGTTCAAAGGCTCGAGAAACTGCAACGAACTGCAATCGAGATTCATCACAGCAAGAACAGAAACAGTGTCATAAGTCACGCACAAGACGCTCAGACAGGTTCGGACTTACAGGACTTACAGACCTCAGGTTCCCGCCCTGTCTCTTTTCAGTCAACGTCTGGGGCTTTGGGGACGACACCAGAGGGAACCTCAGAGCCCATTGAGCCTTCCCTCCTGGAGCTACAGGCAGTCGAGCTTGGAAACATACAAGAGCCCGACAGCGCCAGGAACAGCGTTCTTGGTCGTAAATTGTCGCTCGGTCGAAGATCTGGACCTGGACAGGGCAGAAAGCGTCTCATAAAGAGAGCTCTGCGAGACACTCGGGCATTAGAGGGTGATTATACGGACACCGAGGATGATGGAGCCGAGACGCCACAGGAGGAGAACATCTCTCCAGAAGAGGCAATGGCAGCAATTAATCAAACTCTCAGATCCCAGGATTTCAACGCATCATCTCTCAACAGTAGAGATTTTCATGATGACTCTACTAGCAATTCACCACACTTTGTCTCCAGGGACGCTTCTCCAGTGAGGACACCCATCCATCATGATAGCATTCTTGGTGACGCCACACCTATTACTCACACACGTGCTCTGTCCACTCTTTCATTGGTATCTGTCTTTGAGGATCACGACCAACCCGTCTTCAATCTTCAAAAGGTCGACCCTACGTTCACTGACAGCATGGGTTACTTCACGCGCAACTTTGAGAAATTGCTCGCCAATTTGAACAAGAAAAATTCAATCACAGATCACTGTATCGAATTGTACTTGATGAAGAGTGAGCGAAAGTTTTTCGACATGTACACCAACGCGCAGTTGAAAAAACAACCCAAAGTTCTGGAGCGTCCTCTGACCAGACTTGCCTCGAGTCAAGCTGCGGATGACACGGAGCATGATAGCACCTCTTCTGCAGCTGGAAATTTCAAATCAAATGGAGCGGATGACATGGATCAATGGCTGTCCCGTCTGGGATACAAGAGACCTATCGCGATACAAAGATTCATGAGATGGCGTGTCGGAAATTGGCCCGTATACGCTCTATTCTTGGGGCTAGGGCAGATCATTGCGACGAATTCAGCGCAAATAACACTTTTGGTCGGTCAAATTGGCGAGACTGCGGTCAAACTCTACGTGATTGCAGGAGTATACTGTGTGTCATCCATTGTTTGGTGGTTTTTGTTCTATCGCTTTCCATCTGTGGTAGTCCTCACTCTCCCCTGGTTTATCTACTCCATCGCATTTATTATCGTCGGCATCTCACCTTTTGCGCCCTCGTCTATCGGTCGAGCATGGGCGCAGAACATTGGGTCGGGTGTTTATGCTGTCGCATCTTCCAGTGGGTCGTTGTTCTTTGCCCTCAATTTTGGTGATCAGGGAGCCGTCCCAGTTAAGGATTGGATGTTCCGCGCAAGCCTGATCCAAGGCATTCAGCAGCTCTACACGGTTGCTCTGTGGTTTTGGAGCTCCCGTGTCACCGCGGTCGAAGTGGAAGGCATTACCACAGCCGCCTTGAGTACATGGAGACTCACGGCTGTTGTGATGCCCATTGCTGCAGTGTGTTTCACCATCGGCGTGCTTCTTGCCCTAGGCCTACCCCAGTACTACCGTCAAGCACCAGGGAAGATCCTCTTTTTCTATACATCACTCTTCCGTCGACGCGTCGTTCTCTGGTTCTTGTTCATGGTGATCATCCAGAACTGGTTCCTCTCCGCCGTCTTTGGTCGCAATTGGTCATTCCTCTGGTCATCCCAACACGCGAAGTCATGGGAGGTCCTGATCCTAGTCTTGTTCTTTTTTATTGTTGTTTGGATTGCTGCTCTTCTCGTCTTTCGTTTCTTATCCAAGGAGCATAGTTGGATCTTGCCTGTCTTTGGTCTAAGTCTTGGTGCACCGCGCTGGGCACAGACCTGGTGGGGAGCATCGAACATTGGCTATTATCTCCCATGGGCCGGGGGTCTGACATCTGGGGCCCTCGTGTCGCGATGCCTCTGGCTCTGGCTAGGAGTTCTCGATGAAATTCAGCAAGTCGGTTTGGGAATGATTCTTTTGCAGACATTGACAAGAGTTCACGTCTGTTTCGTTCTGCTTGCCGCGCAGTCTCTTGGATCCATCGCCACGATCTGTGCGCGTGCCTTTGCGCCCGACAACATAGGTCCTTCCGGTGTTTTTCCGGATGTTGGCTCGTCATTGGATAGAGTTGGTAATGCTTGGTTTTGGATTGCGCTTTTCTTTCAGCTTTTGGCTAGGTATTTCTTCCACCCTCCGGACTCCCGTCTTACCTTTCGTTTTGGAATAATTACTTACCAAGTTTAACAGTTTTGGCTTCCTTCTTTTCTATCGCCGAGAACAGCTGAACAGACCATAATGATGTGCTTTGTGAAAGCAGAAATGATTTACTCTATATACGAAGGATTTAATGCGCAATGATGTATGAATAATTTTGACAAACACATTGAATCGTAAATAATGAATACATATTCACCAACAGAGTCTTGCCTTTTTTTTAGGATAACATGACTACAATAATATTTTGGAAAATTGTCGATGCTTTGCCTCGACGAGTCAACATTGATCGAGATATTCCAGTGCCAGATAGGTATGTCGTTTGGAGAAGGAACGAGAGGATTCGTCAGATGATCAGAAGATACCGTTCTGGTGGGACTGGTGTAAGATTTGTGCATCATAGAGGGCGAAGAAAGAGACTTCCCCTCACTTCACATTTCGTAATTAGACTGATATGGCAAAACTCCACGCAATTTGATGTCATCCTATTGTATGACTACTTCACCGTTTCTGTCTAGACTTAGAGATTGTTATTCTAAAATTTATTTCTGGGTATTTTATTGGATTGAGCTAGTGCTACCGATATCGACAAGAAATGCTACTCGGCCCTGATCTAAACCGAAGGAGCCTTGGGTATTTCAGGCTTTTCATGCGGCCTCTCATCGGTTAGTGATAATGGCCACTCCCAGATTGATTCGGGCATCGGCATTTATCCCCAAACATTAATCAAGTCGCGGCGAGCCACTGATCATCCGTCTAGGATTTGGAGCATTGTGTCTTTAGGTTGCCTATGGATTTCGAGTTATATCTGCAGAGCGCCTGTTATTTCTGCTTACGTATGCGAATCCAGAACCCAGATTGGGAGACCAGTGATATGAACTAAGATATGGGAAAGCTTCGATGAAAGTGGTTAGCGCGTTTTCAACAGCGAGATGATATGCGTCACTTGAGTCAGATTGGCCTTGTTCCGATTATGTATACATCAAGCAAGCCTGCAGCCGGGATTCTCAAGCGCCTCAGTTTGAAGATCACCGATCCTAAGTGCGTGTGCCATATGGATCAGGCTCGTAAAGATTTCATGGCTTGCTTTCGGTTCATCGGCCATGATTTTACAAAATGGTCTCACGACTTGTCATACGTACCCCTTCCAGAAAGGACATGATGGGATTCTTTAATAAGTCAAGCTATGCTGCTTAAAAGTATAAATTTTGACAGAAATCAAACTTCCACCATTTCCTTGGTAGCCTTCTTAGATCCTCCAAACGTATCTGCGTATCGACCCTCCATCCATTCGGATACTGTGAGAGGAGCGTGTTTCGCCACTCCACCTTCCTCGATGCAATTCGCAAGACACTTTACCAAGAAATCTGGGTTACCATCGAAGAAAAACGGGACACTATATCTCTCAGCACCTGTCTTGTTTATAACGCGGTGCAGGTTAGACACATAGCGGTCATTGGTCCAACACATCATCAGATTGCCAGTATTGACGACAACAGCATCCGAGATCGGTTCGACATCGACCCACTCCTCTGTTCTGCGGTCTCGGACCTGTAGACCCCCTGTAGAGTCCTGAAGTAAGATTGTGACAGCACCGAAGTCGGTGTGGGCGCCAATCCCTAAGCAAGCTGTTAGCAGGTGAACCACAGTATGCTCATAGTATTTTCCTAGCATTGAACACGGCCATACCTCGTTCTAACTCCGAAGCATCGGGGTCCTGTGGGGGATAATGAAGCAGACGAAGCACGGCAACTGGATGGTCGCAAAAATCATCCAAAAACTCATGCCCTCCTCCAAGAGTGTCAAACAGAACACTCAACACGTTTTTGGCGACTTTCGATGCCACAGAATGGTAGTCATCAACAGTTTGTTTCCATACAGATGGCTCCTTCACCTCAGAGGGATACTTATTCGGCCCTTGCGCCCATTTTCTCGCCTTAACATAGGGATCATCAAGCGGAAGGTCTTGTGCCAGGAAGTGGCCTTCTTTTAGGTCTCCCTTGGTGAGCTTTTCAAAGTTCTGAGACCGTAACCGTTCATAGCCGCGATTAAATTCACCAACATCTTTTTTTTGGTGACTCAGAATGGTCATCCTTTCTTTAATGTCACAGGATAGAATGCTTACCTTTGTTGTACCTGTCTTTGATTTCATTTGGGAGCCTGAAGAAATCCTCAGACTGACGAAGAATTTCCCTTTGAAGGTCCTCGGGGATGCCGTGATTACGCAATTGGAAGAATCCGTAGTCTAGACAAGCATTTCGGATCTCCTCCTCAAGCTTTGATCTTGCTGCCTTGTCCTCCCCGTAAAAGGCTGGTGTTATGGTTAGTAGGTTGTTGATGTCGCCCGTTATTGAGGAAGCTTACGGGTAAAATCGATGACTGGAGGAGCTCGGCCCATCACTGCTGTATGGTATGTTATTCCTGACTAAGACCTGGATATATTCGATGCTTTCCTTTGAATTTTAGATCAATGTTTTAAGTATGTATGGGAGACGACTGGATATCGTAGAAAGGTTCGGCCGGGCTTATCTTGCTTGCGGAGTTATCTTGCTCGACCGGGCTTATCGTGCTCGGCCGTAGATGTCATACTGATAGGCATGAGCTTTGACCTTGCGGATTTTATTGCTAAGTGTCATCTTGCCGAGGTCAACTGCCAATGTCACCTGACTAGGTCAATATGGATAAGTCAACCATGTTCGGCAATACAATGTCGTTGTCAGGTATGTTGTCATTGGGTCATGTAACACCAGCATTCTTACCAACTTGAAAAATACGTCTATCTCATCTACCTTGCCTGAATTATTAGTACTTTCCAAGGTTTCCAGCTTTCACTTCCTTTTATCCTCTGGTCGTCTATGCCAATGCGCAAAAGAGGCCCTATATACCAGTGTCAGTAAGATCTAACCTCCCACAAGACTTGTAATAGAATCTGGATTTTATTTATGCATTCGCCTGCGCGATGAGATAAAGTTGGTCTTAAGTGACCTCAGGAGACAAGTTTGAATGAGGATGGGATATTCTTAGTTATTGACAGCAACAAATATGCCGTTGATAGCTTGAATCCATTGCTAATAGTGAATAGGCTATTCTGTGCTATCTCAAGTGAAATTCACGGGGTTTTGTCAAAATCTGAATCGCGGTGTAGTGTTTTGGATTGGAAAACCAAGGGATACACAACGCCTGGCTTGGTCCAATTCCACTTAAGGAAACATTTTTTGGCGCTGAGAAAGACGCTCATAGTTGAAGACAGGGTAAGAAAAGGCGCTCGTTTCATGGTAATCGCTCCTTCATCACCTTCACGTTGTTAGGTAGTCTGAGGAGTAGCATGACTGAGTAGGCACCTGGGTAGGTACTCAATAAAATCGAAGTACAATTACTGCATGAGTCTACATATCTTTAATTTAGCACTAAACCAACTTTAGTGGTCAAGGTTCAATTATATCGCTCTATTTTCTATCATTAACAGCCCATCTCCTGCATAAAATATTGAGCTGCTCGAACATTGGAAAACGTATCACAGGGAATCATCAGATATAACGGTTAAGAGTGAGCCATCATTGAGCAGTCATCATCGTGACTATAGGTCAATGTATAAGTCCCTATATCGCCCTAGACCTACGAAGACAGATATCAGGAACGGTCGGCAAGGAAGAATGAAAGAAGTGGATTCACGAGACATGGAGCCTAATCAGAGCAGGACGGACAAGAACCAGCCCTTGTAAGGGCCTTGTAAGGGGAAGAAGGGTACCAAAAGTAGAGCCTGCTGACTACATAGAGCTTCACGCGAGTGGCTCATCTAGCTTGCTGTCACGGGTCATTCTTCGGGTAAATCGTCTCCGCTTTATCTTGTTTGTACTTTCACAACTATGTTACCCGATCATCGAGCTATTTATATCTAGTCATTCAAACCTTGCATTCTCATGCCCTATTATATATAATTAGGCTTATCTGTATCAAGGTTGCGATTGTGGGCGAATTGCAGGGTGATCTCTCACCCTTGTAAAGCTTGCGGCGTAAATTGGTAAGGTTTTCATACGAAATGCAGCGGGACTATACTTAGATATGGTTCAGGTATGAGATGCGGGTATTCCAGAACCTTGGAAACACAACAGAGAGCGGTTTGCACAAGATCTAACATGAAGCTTTGGCCGCGCCGAGGTTCCCACTAATTCAGCCATTCGGTCCTTCTTCTAAGATTCTACTAATTTTGCTAGAGCCATTTGTTATGTGATTAACCTCCAAAATTCAGATGGCATTTGAAAAGACCCGAGTCATTATGGGACTAAATTTTTGAATGAGATGAATCGTGGGGAAATGGGGGTTTTTTTACATGGCTGCCGTTCACGCTTGTTAGGAAGGTGGCATAGAATACCTAGAAGTGGGTTGGTGGCTGACTTCAGAAACATGCTGAAACTCCAATGAGCTTCCCATGTAGATAGTACGAAATTTTCGCAGAGCAGTATCAAGGCTGGAATTTTCATGAGACAATCGAGGCTTAGTGGAAGAGATAGAAGCATTGAGCATCTCACATTCTAGAGATACAGGAGCAAAACCCGGAAGAACGGGACAGGGAGCACCACAAACTTGGATTGTAAAAGAATTATAGGGAGGGCCCGCTAGAGGGCGGCTTTTTGTTGCCAAGGATGGGAAAAAGGCCGCGTCATTCGGCTGTCGAAGCATCCAGGACTAGCGCTAATCACTGTCCCGTCTACGGGATCGTAGGTTCCTTGCAAAATTGGGTTCTATCAATATTCCGGAGCGTCCCGTGCGTATATTGAAGTCAATCGATCAATTTAGCGCTAATCTTCGATCGGCGATGGGTCGGGAAAAGTACGTTGACTAGACTATTGGACAAGCTCAGTCACGACTCGCGACTCAACAATCAAGCCTCAAACCTCAAAGGCAGATCTTCAGCCAACCTTGTATCCATTCAATCTTAACCATTCAACCTCTTTCTGAAATGCCTAGCCCGTAGGAGATAACAATTGCTTCCGCTAGCGCAATATTTCAGCTAGCGGTTTTCTCTGCTTGGCAGTGTTTGCTTCGTCCACGCAGTAAAAGCTTGGCATCGGGCCGGCCGTTGTTTCAGCTTGTATGTCCGACTCGGCACGAAGGCTAATATGGATAAACTGTCGGGTGTGATATCTTCGAATGGAGAAGCATTTTATTTTGATGGGTAATGTTGGAAAATTAAGCATCTGAGGTCTAAGCCAGCAACATAAGCTCCGTATTACACATTCACGACCTTATTTGGTCGAACTCTCTAAAAGAGCTCCCCTTCACCTGCCTGAGCTTTATCTAACAATTGTCACTGACTTTTGCATGGGCCAACGATTTGAGCAACGCTTAATTACCATTGGAGACTAATGTCAGCATTTTCTGGAAGGACTTGACTGCCTTCGTCCTGATGCCAAGACTCGTGAAAAATGCATAGCGGGGCGCAGGCTAAAATATAATCCGCGTTAGGGAATGATACTGACTGCCAAATTTTCCAAACGGGTTTCTCCGTACAGATGTTTAGGGAGCTTGCTAGAAGAACACCACAATTTCAGAAGGACACCACCGCTAGCCATATTAGGGATAGCGTAGTAAATGCAATTTAGAGAGTAATGTTGTTGAGTACATACACAAGTACCTACTTGCTCACGTCATTCTATACACTATGCTGGAATGTGAAGGTGATCAAAGATTGATACCCACTAGGCTTACTTCTATCATGACTCTAATGAAACGTTACTTCGTATATTGAGGTGAATTAAGCGAAGGTGATGCGATGTTCGAGACGTTCGAGATAGCATTTTTTCTGAAATACAATTACCGCGCCATATCAGATATAGAAATGATGTGGTGTTCAACTAGTGAGCTCCATGTTTATTCATTAGGCGATCGAAGATAATAATTAAACACGGAACACTGCTGGATCACGACGACCCACTAGCTAAGAAATCTAGCACTCAAAAATCTAGGGCTAGTCGCTGGCACGCCAAGCCACAACGCCACGAGGCCCATGTCAAATTTATAAACATGATCCATGAATATCCTGCCGCGTCAGCCCTATCTGACTTCAGATGTTTAAGGAAGTCTTGGAATATTAAAGAATTCACATGAACCTGCGATTAACCATGCGCGGCTTCGTAAGGGTTCCGGTTAATGTAAAAAACAAAAAAAAAAAAAAAAATTCGAAAATAACAATATGCTTTACAACAGCTTCTCCGTAGTCTCTCTCGGGAGCCCGAAATGAAAAAGTCGTTTCTGAGGTAGAAAAAACGATGTGATGTCTGTAGGTAAAATTCAGGATCTAACATTCACACGGGGAAAATGGATACTAGATAGTGCGTTTCACCACTTGGCATGGCCAGCGAGCTCCGTGGTGGCAACCTTGGAAGGCGAAATTGGGCGGGTACTAGAATCAAGTATAAAGGCACTTGTTTTTCTCATTGGAGGTTGGTGATTCATCCCTTTGACGTTCATTTCTCTGGTTTCCTGGTTTGAAACCTCTCCTTAGGAGTCATATCCAACACTCTCTTCTATCATCATTCTTTCATTTTTAAACATGCACTTCGCTCTTTTCGGGGTTGCACTCGGCCTGGTTGCTAGTGCGGCTGCTTCGCTTCCTCACTCTCATTTTAATCATGTACGCGCCGCCAACGGCCATGCGAGTACTCAGGAGACTATCCCGGGTTACTTCTCTGGCAGTTGCACAAAGGAGAAGATGACTATCCGGAAGGAGTGGCGCCATCTGTCTAAGGTGCAACAGACTGATTTCCTGGACGCCGTTCAGTGTCTGATGGACAAACCCGCCAAGTCTGGTTTGACTGCCACCACCAGCCGCTTCAGCGATCTTCAGGCTCTTCACCGTGGAATGACCAACACGGCGTATGCCGACATCATTCACCATGTGGTGGGTAATATTCATTCGTGCTTTGTCACAAAACTAACCCAACTCAATTAGGGTCAATTCCTTCCATGGCACCGCTATTACATGCACATCTATGAGACTCTTCTCCGTGACGAGTGCGGCTACACTGGTTCCATTCCGTGAGTTCTCCCCGGTCTGAGTGACACTTAGTCTAATGTTTGAACCTTTTTAGCTGGTGGGATGAAGCAAAGGACGCAGACAGTGGAAACATGTTTGGTTCTTCCATGTGGGGATCTGATGCCTTTGGAGGCAATGGAACTGGATCTGGAAGCTGCGTCCAGGATGGCCGTTTTGCCAACTATACTCTGCACATTGGACCTGGAGATGAGGATACCGATTACTGCCTCCGACGCGCATTCAACAACGAAGCGGCAATCGCCAATGCTAATAGCACGGTCCTCAAAATGTGCAACTCATACAACACCTACTCCCCCTGGTGGAATTGCATTTCCAACATTCCCCACAAGGGTGTCCACACCTACATTGGTGGCGTCGTAAGTAAATCTCTTTCTCATGACTGCCATTCTCTTTTTGCGGCTACAATTCACGTTTTGTGGCTCCATTTCTCTAGTTTGTGGCTCCATTTCTCCGTTTTGTGGCTCCAATCCTCCTTTTTGCGATTGCCATGACTGAGCTAACCCTCAATTCCCATTAGATGGCAGATATCAAGTCGAGCCCGGGGGATATAGTGTTCTATTTACACCATATGTATATCGACCGTGTTTGGTGGCTGTGGCAGAAGCAAGATCCGGCCAACCGTCTTTACGATATTAGCGGTCCTACGGTCAATGAGACTGCCAATGTCGAGCCTGCGGGTGGCTGGCAGAATGCCACATTACACTATGAGCTTTCGTCTTTTGATATCATGCCAAACACGACTATTGGCAAGGTGATGAACCCCCAGGGTGGCTACCTCTGCTATGGCTATGATTCTGAGTGATGTATTATTTAGCCATATTTATTAGAGCCTAGAGATCTGGTGACCCTAGTTCTATAGATAGAGTAATGCTTCTTCCTCTTATTCTCTTATTCTTCTCTCTATACTACTATAATGTATACATCGTTATGTCCGGTCGTCCTTTCTTATAGTAGCAATCTACAATAGCTTCCGCTTCCTCTCTGCTTCTCTTCTCCTCTGACCCTTGACCAGTGTATAACGCTGACAATATCCTACCACAAGACTCGTCGCCCATAGATCCCCGCTGTATTTTATAGCGTCCAATGTAATCGCAGCACCACCTAGAATTATATAAAATAAAAAGCGGGAGCTATGCTTATGGGATACGGAATTCGATAAAGCATGTACCATCGCCAGGGTACAGGGAATTAAAATGTTTGGGTGGTATATGATCATTTGTACTGCTCTGCGGGTTGAATTAAGCGCCTAGAAAGTCGACAGTGGTATATAACAGCCACGATGCAAGAGTTAAAGGTTATGATGATGATGATGATGATGATGATGATGATGATGATGATGATGATGATGATGATGATGATGATGATGATGATGATTATAAAGATGATATTCTATTAACCTGAAGAGGGGAACGCTCGAAAGGACTACACTCGAGGATGTGCGGGTCGATCCAGCTACATAACATTACCATACAAGCACCCGCAGCGTATACGAGATATCCATGGCCTACACCTACATATGTAGTTCAGCATTGACTATACTTTAGGCATTTAATGATACTAAGATCCATTATTAGCCTCGGTGGCACCTGGATGGTCTCTGGTGTTACAAGCGGTTTTCTCCTGTGGCTTTCTCCTAAATATGATAAAAATAAACCCTCGAGAGTGCGACACTAACATTATAGAGCGCCTCCTGGGCCAAATCAGTCTGGTGTTTTCAATGATGTTACCAGTGTTGAATGTATGCATAGTGACAGAAAGCGCTCGGGCTGATGACCAGGGCATTCCCATGTTGCAAATTTGAAAGAATGAGGAGCAAACTACTTGCATGTATTTTAACATTGCTGAGAAGCCATATCCAAACATGATATCCAGCATGGCATTCAGTAGCTCGAATTACTCTATATATCAAAATCCCATATGCAACTATTAGTACACAAAGGCAGGTCCGACCATCCCACTTGACCGAAAGATTCAGAGTTTGGGAGGTCAAACGTACTAACACTGATCCTATATGGGAATATGTCTTAAGTAAAAAGGCAGGGAATGAATGGACAGCAGGACATGTGCTGATGATGACCAATACAAAGGTATTCGGGGCCAAATGTAATTGACCTACCTAGTGTAATGCAGGAGGGGCCGCATAAAGACGCTATTTGATGAAGGTATGGTGCTTGACGGCCCACGTTGTAGAGTTCCTACGCAATTTTGTTATACCTAGCAGCAGGCATCTTTCAACCTTCGATGGTTATGTCTTTACTGAACTATTCACCTGCTCCTGATGTGACAAAACTGGAAACCCCACTTTTTGAATCCCATATATATTTAGATTTCAATCAACAACAATATCTATATTGAGAAGAATGTCATGCAACCATATTATAGCCTCTTGATCTGAAAAACCAGGCCTTTGTCACGATTCATCTTCGTGTGAGAGGCGACGCTATCAGCTCCGTTCGAGTCTCAAAAGGGATTCGAGCCGTGTGCATGGTTAGAGATATAAGTCTTTTGTTATCGGTGAAGCCCAGGTCAAGAAGATCGCTGTCACCCTTGGCTGCCTTGTTTGAACCTGGCTCGAATTGATATATCTTCCTGGCACTGCTTTGCTTTGTGCCCTTAAGACCACGTCGGAAGAAACGTAGCAAAGGCGCATACGTTGGAAGGCAAGCGCAAAGGATAGCAACACCAAACTGGACGTGTGAAATATTCTGCATTGCCGACAGACTTCTGACGTATGCAGATCCTGGATTTCAAATATAGTACAACTGACTATACTGGTAACACAGGCCTTGTAGAAATATTGTTAGAATAATGCTTCCAAGCATGCAGGCGCCTATGGCTTACATTCCACCCAGAAAAAGAACACCACTGACAAACCGTTTCTTTACTTTCGGTAGATGCAGATGACTGATGATAAAAGGTGGCATCGCTAGTATCACAAAATTCACGAAAAATTAATACGTTCGAAGGCGGAAACAAGTTTTGTAGTGGCCAAATAATGGTCGGGAGATTCTAGTGAATTTCACATTGAATGAATGGGATGGCAATGGAATTGATAAGCAACATCAATAAAGCCCAAAAGAACCCCCACAACAACTATCATAGCTAGGTTGAAGCGCCTGAATGGGATAGAGATACTGTACCAAAAATGGCGTGGTAGAGGCTCAGGATGGAGAGTTCTGCTGTGGAGATTGCCGCTGTAAAGAATACTTCGTAAATATAACGGATCTAAGTCAAGGTGCTCTGTTAGTTACTACCTAGTTATAACTGCTTTACCTTCATCATGCTTTTCCCTCATGTAGCACCTCCGGTCTCTAGAATTGCCAGGATTTACGCTGGGCTGCAGATACCAGGTTCTGCGACGGTGGTAGTATCTGTAGATCTCGGGAGTTTAGTCATCAATACAATTCAACATTTAAGCTTGAAGAGATTGTAAAATTGGAGCAAAATCTACTGCTAATGAGGAGTGCCTAATCAACATAATTGAAAGTGGCAAAGCAAGCCTGATGAATTCACCCGATAATGTAAGACTTTTTTCTAGAATTAGATTGAAAGAGAAGCCGCAGTGCCACATCAGCCACTGATGAGACTAGCATTGATATGCTGGCACCAAGGTTGAGAGCACCACTAGCGCTAAGTTGCTTCATGATCATTTGTATTTCAAAATCCTTAAATCGTGTCCTGGCAGAGGATGCCGATCAACAAATGTCCCAGTTTAAGAGGAATGATAGGTAGGCAGGGATGAGGAGGTTTCGACTATAGCGAAAATGGAGAGGACAAAAACAAAAGGTGTTGTAACTGGGTGGTAATCGGTGTACATTAGGCGGTTTATACGCAGTGTTAGGCAGGTTTGCTAAAACGGCCCCCAAATGCGACATGATGTATCTGCAGAATATTCCAAGTCAGTAATGATTCCGTCCCCCGCCCCGCCAGGTTCTTTTGAGCCGTACTCTACCGAGAAGTGCAATAGAGCCGATCAATTGGCAACTCAGCTACGGAGCCAAACCCCAACACTGGTGTTACAGAGCACATGAACTAATTTCTGCCGTAGCTCGCTGGTTTTTGGACCCCAACCATAATCTAGGGTTTGACGGGAAGGCGTGCTTGCAGTATGCATCTTTTGAATTGCATATCCTCCAAACATGTAGACATTCCCAGGTGATAGTGAGGGCGTATGTTTGGATACAGTCATTCAGTCCACCCCCAATTCATCCCATACCTAGGCAGAGAGGGTTGGCCAACTTGACAGTCACAAGGGTCGCCCTAAACTTCCAAATTGACCAATTTGAGCGGCAGCACATTACGTGCTTTCCTCCCCTTCCGCGGTGGGGAATGGGTGGGGCACTACTGCATGGGGCTGAAATGAACTGCGACCATGAGCCTATCAGAACCGTATCGATCCTTAACCCCCACAAGCGGATCCCTGCAGGTCTGCCGTGTCTACTGTTTTCTTCTTGAGGTACGCGGTCCTCCCCCAGTGGGACGCCACGTAACCAAATGGACATTTTCCGACCCCAGGATAGACGATCTGCAGGCAGGTGGCAATACTCACGACAAGAATTCGACACACCAGGCCAAGAAATACCGCACCTATCAATGTAATATACCTAGCGAAGACAGGGTCACTTCGGACTACTGTAACATGTGGAATTACTGCTCTGTAAGATACAGGATTGGATGTGGGACATTGTTATGTCACATACGAGTTGTTGCATTATCTGTAATGTAAATGGTGATCTGATGTGACTGACTCCAAAAACCTTGTTCCATCCATCAACAGTTTCACCTCTCACCCCACATTACTTCAATTAAATTCTTACCTTATCACCCATCGCTTCGAAAGGTCGTGTTCATCAACATTCCACGTTTAGAACAGCTGCTACAATGGCTGAAGTGCAAGGCTTTTGTGATCCGCCTTCGACTCTGTGCGTGATGTTATACGACAAAGACTTGCCGAAGGCAATGAAGTGGGCGTTTCTCTTTGTGTCAACATTAATGGAAAAAGATGTTCTGGACCTTAGGGGTGGTTATGCAGATGCAAGCCAGACCGAATTAAAACCATGGGGCAAAGACACGATTACTGGAGTATGGTCAACCACCAAGATTGTTACCAGCCTGGCGGCTCTTATTCTCGTTGATCGTGGCTTATTGGATATAGATGAGAATGTGGCGACCTATTGGCCTGAATTTGCGGCGAATGGTAAATAGAACATTAAAGTCTCACAGATTCTTAGCCATTCTTCTGGTGTTATGACCCTGGAGAGGAAGCTTACTCCCAAAGGGATGGAAGAAAGGGAGGCATCGGTCCTGAAACTGGCTGAGGAACTGCAAAGCCTGGATAGAACCGCCGCAAGGCTTGCAGACCAACCTCCTAGGTATATTCTGGGGGTTCCAGAGCGCACACATGGCTTCCATTTATGGACATCTGGTAGGCGAGCCTGTGTGACGTATTACTCGAAAATCGTTGAGTCAGTTCATTACCGAAGAGATCAAAACAACTCTAGGGGCTGACTTCCAGCTTGGTCTGCCTGAGGCAGGAATGGGCCCGAACTGCTGATATTATTCCGTTCCCATTGAATAAAATGGTTCCTCTTACTGCTGTTGATCCCACTAGCATTTTGGGTCGGGTACTTCAAGGGTCTTTGGTGTACCCTATCATTCCAAATAAACCTGTATTCAGAAAGTCTGAGAATGGCGCTATGGGTGGATTCTCAAATGCACGTGCCTTAGCACGTATTGGATCGTTGGTCTCACTGGATGGTACTGTCGACGGAAAACAGTACCTTCCTCTCAACCCTCGACGAATCAATGACAGAGCGAATGAGAGGTTTTGAAATAGTAGATTTTCTACCGTGAAGGTCAACTAAGTACCCGCCATGGCAATATTAATGTGAGCTACCTTTTGTAGACTAGCACACCATGACGATGTCCACGGGGGCAAGTTTATCACGTAACAAAAGTCACCGTGAAAGCCTCCCAGTGCCGGGGTAGGCATATGAAACAACCTAAAAGTCAAGTCGAGGTAGGAGAAGTACGCTCCGCAGTGCTAGCCCCGGTCTAGTAACATATTTTAGATATCACGTACAGTAAGAACAGTCATAATATCTCCCTGCTGCCCAGATGCACTGGACCCATGGGCACAGCCACCTTTCATCCAATTTTGTTCAATATTCATGTTCTGAGGGTGGCACGGATGTTAGTAGGAGGGACGGGTGGCAGGGTGGACTCCTCCCGCAGGATTCCCACCTGGGCATGGAGTATCAGGTCATATGACCTAGAAACTTGTTCCGTCGCAATTGAACTATAGTCACTTTAAGATGGCCTATCATTGACGATATGCACCCGAGGACCTGTGCTGCGCTCGGACACAAGGCTTATCTCGTTGCTTTATATCGGGCTGACTTGCCACGAAAAATATTTTCGTGAATTTACATGGCAGGACACCAACACACTCATAGCAACCGATAGGTCTACCATTCGCCGAGCGATGCGAAACGAGTGGGAACAGGCTTGGAAGAAATGACAATGCGGCAGAGAACTCCACAAGCTCGGAGTGCGAGCGGGTAAAGCGATCCTTGATACACACGCCGGGGTACATAGAGCAATTAGCTCGGCAATTAAACAGATGCGTACAGGCAAGATCGGCTTAAGGGTCTACCTTCACGCCATAAACAAGGCTGATACAGATCAATGTCAGTGTGGCCATGGACCACAGACAGTACGATACACACTGCTCGAATGCCGGAACTGGGTAGAAGAACGACATCGGACATGGGCGGGCAAGTTTCTATGCGTTGACATCAAGCTCATTATCTATAGCCCGCCAATCGCAGTACAAGCAGCCAAGATGATTTTGAGGACTGAACTACTAGGACAGCTCCGGGCAGTGCAGTCCAAGATACTTAATTACATATAGCGAAGACGAGGGATTTTTAGTATGTAGAAGCAAAGGAGGGTCAGGAAAGGCCCGACAGGTATATAGAAACAGAACGATCACCAAGACTACGAGGGGGCATGTAACTTACTGGAGCGGACGGAGGAAGTCATTCGTGCCATGAACGACTGGTTCTCTGAAAGCGAGGGCAGGGAAATCTGCCCTTATGGTCAAACGCTGCATATCTGCTAAATAGGGTGGCTGGGACAGTCTATGAATAAAACAAACAATCAATGCCTTCCATCAATCCCAGAGACGGCCCCAAGGCCCTGGAAAATGTGCTGCTCCTAGAGCCTCATATTCGGCTCCTAGTGCAGGCCAAGGGACGTGGTTTGTCCAACATACATCAAATGAAGGCAGTAAGGCCATATTGATGATATCTGGATCTGGAAATGCAAAACTAACCGCCTCAGGCCGACTCGTCAAAGAAAGACTATTTGTTACGTTGGCTTCGTAGGCCCACAGTTACCTGCCCGTCTAGTAAGAGTCAAGATAGTCCTTCTAAATCAATATCAGGTCTTCATTTCTCAAAGTGGGAGGGCATGGGAGATATGAGCCCACGTCGCCCGGTGAAAGACATGTTGGGAGACTGATAGAAAATAAGAGCTTTTCTCTATAGCAAGTCCTATATAGACCATTATCCTATATAGAAAACGGGCCCACAGAGAAACTAGGAATCAGCAAGTACTATAATATTAGGTGTCGCACTCATGTACTCCATACGGCGTACTCCGTTCTGGTGTTAGATTTGGCCCCCATACTAGATCTGCACAGTATGGCTATCAGCCCATCAGAACTTTATATATTTGGTAACCATTGTTGTAGATCTCTGCAAGTCAATTCCTGTGGCTTTCCGATTTCGTTGATTCACTTCCAAGTTTTCTTTTCTTTCATTCGTCACGGTCATTCCAATATACTGAGTACGGGTACCAAGAAGGTAACTCAGTGGCGTATTACGGTGTAATAATGGTTGTTTTTTTCCTTTTTTCTTCCTAATAGTACGTTATTTTCGATACCTAGGCATTGCTCATTGAAAAAGAGTAGGGCGCCTTAAAAGTCCAAGCACGTCATCCTTGAAGCCCACCTCGATTGACCCTCCTGACCCTCAAGGACCTCAAGTGCTCCAAGGCTCTGCTGCCCTTTTTTCGTCACCAACTTTCGACGAATTGAGCTGCGCCCCGTTCTATGATAGAATGAGATTCTTATTTTAATCCACCTCGGGAGCTAGCTCATGAGAAACAAATGAAATCGGACAATCAAGTTTCCTCAATATAGTAAAAAGCACGCAGGATTAGGGGGGCGGGGTTTACCCGTGCAGATGTCCACTTCGGTAGCAAAAAATAGAAATGGCCCCCACGAAGCAACCCAGCGCTAGATCAAACCTGCAGGTGGCCTTGCCGTGTGCCAGTGGGGTCTCAAATTCTTTCCTTTTGTCTGATTCGGAGCTTTGGTGTCTTCACCATTTGTTTCCCCCTCCACGGATTTTGCTTCCTTGCAACACCTATTTCACATATGTTTTGTTCCTTGATTTCCGCTAGACTGGGCACTGGATAACGACCATCCTTTTGAGGCGCTTGGGAAACCCTGGATTCGATTGCATGAAATCGGTCACTGGACATTTCTGAAAATGAAGCACTTAAGTCAGAGTGGTGCTTCCAACTTTGGGTCCACCATCTCCATGCTAGTATTAGCGGTGCTAGCAGTGGCGCTTCGACTTGTCTTTCGATTTCAGGCTAGACAACGTCTGGAACTTTCAGATGCATTGATCGTGCTTTCCTTGGTATTCACGATTACTTTCTATTCTTTGATAATTAACTGTAAGTTTGGACGAGCATCGCGAACACTCCAAAATTGAAGCAAAGGGGACCTTGTCTAATGCGAGCACGATAGATATTGTCGCCGGACCGGGGCCTGGCTCTTGGAGTGTACCCCAAATACTTGCGAATCTGGAGACTGGCGGCGCTGTCTGGGCAACGGCTCTTCTAAAGGTAAAATCTCAAGTGATCCGGCGACATATTAGAAGACCAAAGAACCTTGGCAGATCACTGGGGCTAACCATTCATCTTCCAATAGGTCGGTTACCTTAGCGGAGTCATCTTTATCACGGCAATCAATATAATAAAACTCTCGATCTTGGCGCTCTATCACACCATCTTTGGTATCTCCGTCCCCTTCAAACGCTTCAATTTGACTATGGTGGGCGTTGTATTATTCTTCTGGATTCTTTTCGAGTTCATATTCATTTTCCAGTGCCACCCCATACCAATGTTCTGGAATCTCGACGAATCTGAGAGCCACTGCATGTCTACCACACACGTCCTTTTTTCTTTCGAGTTCACGAATTTTTGCGTGGATGTTGCCATGCTGGTGATGCCACTCATAATGATTAGTCAACTCAATCTACCGAAGGCAAAGAAATTGTCTGTAAGCGGGATTCTTCTTCTAGGTGGGATGTGAGTGAGAACATTTCAAGTACCCCTACCGTTGATTGGCTCGGGCCCTCCTGCTAATACTAGGTTTATAGGGTCTGCATTGTCAGCATTATCCGATTATATTTTATTTGGAATCCAGCATCGATCCATTTCCCCAGAAGCTTTCCGGCAATGGAGATCGCGTCAGAGATCCAGCTTGGTATTGCCACTTTCTGTGCCTGTCTTCCAACATATGCGCCTCTACTCAATCTCTTCAGACGCCGAACGAGAAGCTCTAGGCAAAACAGATTTAGTGGGGCATATCACTACAGAATGACACCTTCAACGAACACATCTCAGAGAAACAGCGAATTGCCCGACCCTATTTTTGCGGACAACAAAACACTTATTGATGATACACATCATCATTCTGGTGACACTCCACCCAAGTCGGATCCATTTGGAGACTCTTCTGGAACAGACACTCATATCTCACAAGTGGAGCCTGAGGCTCATTGCGGCGCGGACGCGGTCTGAATGGTCCCAACCCAGCCTAAATATAGAGTTTAATACAGTCCCTACTGGCTAGGTACCACTCTAAACCTTTCATCTTACCCATGTACATTGCATATATCCATGGAATGTCTTCAACTCTCAAACGTACCCCAAATGATTGAATATGCAAACTTGAAGCAAAGAGGTGCACATGTCAGTGTGGATAAGCGCTGCACTAAACCCCATACATAGATAACACATGTGTATGAGCACCAATATTCGAAGTTTCAGCACTGGATATATGGTGTGTACATCTGCAATAGTCAAACAATAAAGTTGTACTAGTTAGCCGATGTATGTAAAAGCCACCTCTAGCTCTCTGTTCAAGCATGATGATTTCAATATTGAATGCTTGCATACATTAATTGATAGACGCAACACACATTTGCATGCAATTGGATGTCCAGAACTTCAAGCATTGCCCAATAGAGTCGGGATATACATATGCCGCAACCCCGGCTTGATTTCCCATGGACTCGGATATGCAATTGAGCTTGTTTTGGACGATCATATTTGAGTTCATCAACAAGTCATTTTTTTTTACTCTCCCTTACAGCCTGAGCAGGGTTATTGCACCCGTGGGCTTTCGCATACGTGCAGCTTGCATATGTACTAGTATCTGTCGGTGCCTACTACCTAGTGAAGAGGGGAACGCTCGAAGGCAGCACACTCGAGGATGTGCGGATCGATCCAGCTAGACAACACAACAACACCAGCAATCTCAGGTTGTACCAGAGATCCGTGGTCAGCACCTGTATGTGCACGTAGAGAGAGGCGTAGAAGCGCGTTGATCAACACTATCTTCGAGCTGGTAGATATACCATCCGGGTCCAGCATACCAGTGTACTGAAAACCAGGTGTCACAATATAGGTCGGAAAAACCTCTTCCGGTCTATCCTGTAATTACAATTAACAGCTGGAGGGGGTTCCCCACTACACTAGGTAGTAACATTGGAAGGCCCGAGGGCTTTGAAATACTCACCTTAATGTTCAAGGTATACACTTGCTTCAGTATTCTGTAGGTGCTATATTCGATGCCGGTGATGATGCTTGAACTTTCTTGAACCCGGAGTAGGCAGGTCGGTAGTTGACTTGCATTGCGACCGAGATCCATGGATTGTGTTGACGATAATTTCTCAATATGTTTTGCAATCATCACCTCCAAACTTGGAAGGTCCGAACACTTTGAAGCTGTCTGGGGCGATGGCTGCAATCCATTCCCGGTTATCCACTTCGTTGCATGAAAACAGAGTGATCGGCCTCTTCATACGGTATACAGTATAAGTACGTGGGGGCTGAACCTTGGAATTAGCCCTGGAGCCTTTTAATCACTCGCGGTGGACCCGTTATCATACCAAGAGACAATGTTGCGTGACGTCATCCAATATAATCCAGCCGCCACCAACATTGGGGGCTATTTCTGCTTTATTTTCTGTTAAAATGAGATCAATGAATGGTCAAAACGCCGAAGTGTTGTTGGCAACTTGGGACCCAACATGATACCATCTTTTTTCACTTACATACAGTCTGATACAGACATGTTTCTGGTCCAGGTGCTGACCGCCTATATCACCCACTTATACTGCCTACCTAAATCGCGTACTATAAATATAAACCACGTTGAGTGCTGCAATATTTGTTAGAATATATGGTCTTTACATGTCATGGTATTAAGCCAAAGATATTTGAGCTCAAGCCTGAAGAATCACATATTGCTAATAATGGCCAGACTAAGGCTACATATTTTAGTCGAGGCAGCTCAGTAAACGCGTACTTTGACAGTATATCAGACTAAGACGGAACATCCATGTTTGAATCTAGCTTCCCCCATTCTGATGACGTGCTCGTCACAATTCTGGATTTGGGGGCTGAAAAGAGTTTGCTTTATTACAAATTAAAATGCGTCACAAATATCTTTCCCAAGGCTCCAATAGGTTGAATCTATTTGTTTAGTCCTATGTCTCATTCTGGATGTATTGATTGTCATTTTCTCGGCTAAATTCCCGACATTTTGAGTGAGGCTATTTATTAGGTGTTAATCATCTGCGCAATACCTAGATACTCCAAGTCCCGAAGTCCTCTTTCAAGCCTCATCTCATAACTCAGGTGGAGCTGATCTACCTCTACTCTCCTATCTCTCAGCCTTTGCAACTGAAAACACATTTGAGTTCGACTGTTCATACTCGAAACAATGCCGTTTATTCAGACTAAGCCCGGCCAGTACGAGCGGCCTTTGGATGACCTTGAAATATTCCATCGAACTATCGGTGCCACGGGTGCCACTTTTCAAAAGCAACAATATTTCATCATTTGTGTCATCAAGCTTCGCAATAAACCCGAGGTACCTGATTTGAAGCAAGCGTGGAAGGCTCTGCGACACCTCCATCCACGGATCGCAACCGTTATCGACGAGACAGGTACCGTGTGCAGATATACAGTCCCTACTCCAGAAGTCATGGATCAATGGCTCGAGGAGACTTTTATCGTCCATCCAGAAGCTGAATATAGTGCCGCTTCCGCTGAGAGATTATGTCTAAGCCTTCCTCCATCTCCGTTTTTCAAACTTCACTGGGTACCTGCATCGCAAGAGCTTATGTTCCGGACGCCGCATTGGCGCACAGATGGTGCGGGCTTGATGCTGCTTCAAGATGCTTTCTTTAGGATTTTGTCCTCACCAGCTGTAGATGTCGTCTTCGATGGATCTGAAATCTCGCGCCTTCCACCGACGATGAACGATTTACTCTTTTCTGGCCTTAAGGTTACAGAGGAGACCAAAAAGGCTTTTGATGCTGAGTGGCAAGTGGTTTTTGATCCCAAGCCAGTGAGTTGGGTCAAACACGCTTTGCCTGATACGATCCCAGGATTTACAGCTCGGCTCAGCCACCGATTCTCCAAAGACGAGACTACGCAGATGATCACTGCGATCAAAGAACGTGGGATTACCGTTACGAATGCTGTGGCAAGTGCTTTCATGGTCGCAGCCGTCCGTCATTCGACCCCCGAAGATGGCCGCTTGATAATATTGAACCCTTTTAATCTTCGGAGATACCTCCCGGCTCCTTGGGATGGCGCAGCGGGTGCAGGCGCAGCGTACCATACAGGTAGACTCCAGAGTTTTAACATAGAGGATGGGAAGGATTACGAGTCTGCTTGTCGGGCTGTTACCGAATTTTATAGTCGAGGCATTAAAGATGCATTCAGCTTTATGCCGTTGCTTATCCAAGCTCTTACTTCTATGGTGGATACTCCCGCTGAGGTTGCCAATTCAGGAAATGGGACAGCATCTCCAGATTTGAGCCAGTTTGGCCTCGTTGATAGTATACTTCAGACTTCTTATGAGGGACCGAGATATATCGTTGAGATTGAGGACTGGTGGGCGGGTGTCGACCTCATAACCAAGAAACTGCAAGGATATACGTGGACGCGTGATGGTCAGCTACACCTCACTACTCATTTCAATGAAGCATTCTATCCAGTTGAAACTATCGAGGAATTTTTTGAAGATTGGAAGTCAATCATTATCAAGGAATTCCTTCATCAATGAATATCATGATCAAGACTGCATGTGGAGGGATATTTGAAAGGTCTGGCAAAGTTGAGCTCCAGAGGTGTATCTAAGAACATGATTTCTAGCATCAAGGAAAATACGAAACGAATGGTGGCTAGCTAAGAAACCAATAATCGAGGATGTCAGTCAAAGGCTTAAATACCCAGACCTAAGTCAGCATCTTCTTTACGTTTCACGAAATCGAGTACTGGGTGACTTCCTGACTGCCAGCCCTGGGGGTGGTTATGCTCTCGTACGTATGCTGTTGTAATCTGATCCTGTTTTAGTGTGGGTGTAATGTAAATATTACCGGTGGGTCTTCACCTAAACTTTTCTAGCCTTGGAAGGTTCAGCGGTTGAGCTCTGCTCAAGCCGTCGTCCGTTGACTCCCGTCACCTGTGTGCACTGGGGCTCTTTTCTAGGAAGAGGGTCCAGGAGATTCTACGTATAGCGACGTGGCGTTTGACATAGCTATTCAAAACCTAATTCTACATCAGTTTAGAGGTGGTCAACTTTTGTAATAGATATAGGGAAAGGGAAACTCCTTATAAAAGTTGAAAGATACCGACGAAGGAGCTGTGTATAGATACATGTGTCAAGTCGGAGAGGAGTGGTTTACCACTATTCCTCTCTAAGACTAGTGTATACAGCGCTCACCCGCATGTTTGGAGTTTTTCCCCTGAACAGCACAGATAGTTCTTCAGCCAGACATCTATTCACAACTTTCTCATAGTTAAATCGAATCGTACTAATGCGTACGTGTTCGCTTTAGTTCGACAACATGCCTTAATCTAATGTGTTGTAATCTACTGTCCTAAAAATCAGTTTCAATTAAGATTAAACCCGCCCACTCCCATTCCACCGAGGTAAAACCAGAAGATATAAAAGCCCACTAATGAGCCAAGCGAGGTGCGACACTCCCGAGGTCTCTAAATATCCAAAGTTGGGGGCCGCCCCAGATCGGCAACCATCTTATCTGTAAGAAGTCAAGACGGGAAGCCTCCCGTGCAGCCAATCTCGCCAAGAGCGGACCCACTCCGTCCTGACCCTCAGTTCGAACAATGTTCTGCCTTCAGTTTCATCTTAATCGGCGCCAAACAGCACCATTGCATTGCAGCCCGTATCAATAACAAATTCAGCAAGATTCGCTTTCTGATCGAGAACCAACAAAGTGCGTGAAGATCTGGGGCTGTAAATACAGTGGCAACTAAAACCAACAAACCAACATTTGGAAAGTTGCCTGCCGCGGCCCCCACTGGGACTGTCCCAGTGGGGGCTAAAGAGCTGAGGATACAGTACTTATGTTGATCACGATGGCGGTAGTGGGGCGGAAGGTGTTTGTTGGCCATTCTTGCCCGCAATCATTTCAAAATGAGCGGTAATACTAGTGTTGGCTCGATACAGACCCGTGTCAAAGGTTTGGAACACAGTCACCACTTAGCCCCGTTTATCGTCTTATATTCTGCCAACTCAAAAGTTCAGGCAATTCATTCACTTTCCAGTGAGTCATGTTTAAGACGGACCTGGGCAGTTTATTATGGCTCTCGACATATAACTCAGTAAGATGACGTTGGGTTATCCACTAGAGAAAGGCCAATTTCCTTCTCAGAATATTTGGGCCCAAGTGATGAACAGTTAAGTGGTATCACTACTAGTAAGCGGTCAGCAATCGGTCACTCGATCGGGCTAGGTGACCGACTAGCGTTGTTCCAAACCTTTGATACGCATACGCCACTGTAGATGCGCACGCATAGTGCCAAGTACTTAAGTAGTTCGATATGCGGGTGAAGGTTCATCGGCCTCATTCATGTTTTCCTTTTTTTTTTTTTTTTCCAACCTTCCAATCTTTAAGTTTCCACCTCACTTGAAGGGCATTCATCTACCAAGATGCCACTTCCGGCAGGCCTTGAGAATGAAGCAAACGGGTCTTCTCAGACCCTGAGGTCTCCGAACGATCCTTCGGCACTTGCAATCATTGGTATTGGTAAGTGGCTTGCTAGCTAACCCATGAAGTCCCGACTACCCCACACCAGTACCCTGCTGGCCATATTCTCTTATATTCATATCATGATGGTAATCTTCCAATGTTCTAGGGTGTCGCCTGCCTGGTGGCATAGCTAGTCCATCTCAGCTCTGGGATTTCTTAAGCCAAGAACGATCTGCAGCTGGGCCGATACCATCCTCACGTTTTAACAATGACGCATATACCGGTGGCAAAGATGAGCCTGCCTCAGCGGTGGGACCAGGAGGATACCTCCTGCAGGGTGACATACGGCAGTTTGACAACCAGTTCTTCGGGATCAACAATCGGGAAGCCGCCGATATGGATCCGCAGCAACGATGTCTACTTGAGACAGTATTTGAGTGTTTTGAGAGTGCAGGATACTCTTTAAGTCAAGTTTCCGGGGCTCAAGTTGGATGCTACGGTATGTGAATACTATCTCTTTCGAGAATTCTCGCTTTTTCCACGCATTATTGGCATGATTGTCCATGCCGGAATATGTTGCTCCTGAAACTGTAACCTAAGAAATTATCTGACGTCTCGAAGTTGCCAGCTTTTTACAAGACTACTCCTCACTGCAGACAAAGGATGTGGAATGGCTCACTCGTTACTCGGGAGTAGGGATGGGAACACCTATCCTCGCAAATCGAGTGAGCCATGCTTTCAATCTCAAGGGCCCGAGTTGTGCAATTGATACTGCTTGTTCTGCTTCGATTTACGCGTTACACCAAGCTGTCTCCGCCTTGAGAAATCGCGAGTGTGAATCCGCAGTGGTCGCAGGTGTGAATCTCCTCCAATCCCCCGATCATCATGTCTCTGCATCTCAAGCCGGCGTGATCTCACCTACGTCTGTGTGCCACACTTTTGATATATCTGCAGACGGGTAAGTCAATGAACCTTTGAAAATGGCAAGAATGAAATACATAAATGCTACCACTGACTGAAATGCCACAGCTATGGTCGTGCAGATGGAGTGAATGCCATATATGTTAAACGATTAGATGATGCTTTACGCGACGGTGATCCAATCCGAAGCATCATCCGTGGGACTGCTACAAACAGCAATGGCCGTACCCCTGGAATTACCCAACCAAGCATTGACGGTCAAATTTCCGTTGTGCGAAAGGCTTACGATCAATCTGGCTTAAACCCTTCAGACACAGCGTATGTAGAAATGCATGGGACTGGTACAGCTATCGGTGATGTAATGGTGAGTTCTGATACAAGGCACATATTCAAAACGTACCGTGCCCATGCTGATCAATCAATAATTTCGATCTATGTAGGAAGCTCAATCAGTTGCTCGGGTTTTTTGTGAAGGATCTCGTAGCTCTCCACTGCTTGTGGGTGGCGTGAAGCCAAATCTAGGCCATGGAGAGGCTTCGAGTGGCTTGACTAGCATAATTAAAGCTACGCTAGCCCTCGAAAGGAGGCAACTGCCTGCAACTATTGATGTTGTGAATCTTAATCCTAAGCTTCAGCTGAAGGAAAACGGCATTCAACTCGTGCAAAAGGCAGCTCCATTCCCGAAGCCAAGCCCTGGACTAGGTCGCCGCATAAGTGTGAATGCATTTGGATATGGCGGAGCCAATGCTCATGCAATCATTGAAGAACCTGGCTCATATGGCAGATTTGCCACAAGCCGCTCGAGAGGTGACAATTCAACCACTACTCAGAGTAGATTAGACCGGACCCGGCCATATTTACTACCATTCTCTGCCAACGACAGCTACTCCTTGGAAAGACGGGTTCAGCAGATAGTCCAACTAAATTTACAAGCATGTGTCACAGCAGATCTCGCCTACACCTTGGGCGAACGTCGCTCTCATCTTAAGGCCCGCGGGTTTGTGATTGCACAGCCAGAGACACTAGCCCGAGATCTGACCTTCCAAAATCTTCGACTAGCCACTGCAACGGAGCCCGCACTGGCCGAGAGTCGCAAATTTGGATTCGTCTTCACCGGACAAGGAGCTCAATGGCAAGGCATGGCGGAAGAATTGCTGCAGGTTCCTGTATTTGCCAACGCTATCTCCCAAATGGACGAAGCCCTAGCAGATCTACCAAGTCCCCCCTTCTGGAAAATCTCGACAATGTTGAAGGATAAGTCAGTTTGTTCTCCGGTGAATCAAGCTCGTTATGCGCAACCAATGACCACTGCAGTGCAGATCGCACTCGTGGATCTTCTTAGAGTATTGCGTATTTCAGCAGATGGCGCCATTGGTCATTCTTCTGGTGAAATTGCGGCGGCCTATGCAGCCAATATGATTGATATGCGGGAAGCGGTTACTTTAGCATATTATCGAGGACTTGCCGTAGCCAACTCCGCTCCGCTTGGAGCTATGGCAGCGGTGGGACTTACCTCTGATATAGCTGGAGAGTGGATTCGAACAGAATGCGCGGGAAAAGGCCAGGTGCGGGTGGCTTGCATCAATTCTCCAGAAAATGTGACCATTAGTGGCGACTGTGATGGTGTAGATGCCCTCGTCTCTGCCCTGACCGCGATGGGAATTTTCGCACGCAAGCTTAAGACCGGTGACAAAGCGTACCATTCGCATCAAATGGCGGCTGTCGGTCTAACTTATGAGAGTCTCCTTCAAGATGCCAACATATTCCCTGATGCTCCAGCTCAGGTGGATGATGTTGAGAATGAAGGTTCATGCATGTTCTCCACAGTCTTTCGCCGGAAGGTTGGAAAGTCTGACATTCGCACTACGAGGTATTGGCGGCAAAACCTGGAATCCCCAGTACACTTCTCAGATGGGTTACTCAGTCTTGCTATCTCGCTGGAAGATTTCTACCTTGTAGAGGTTGGCCCACATACTGCACTGAAACTGCCAATTTTACAGACCTTGGGCAAACCCACTCTGTATTTTGGAACGCTCAAGCGTGGACAGGACTCCCTGAGCTCTCTGCTGGAGCTTGCTGGTGAACTCTTTAACAGTGGCTTCCCGGTCAGCTTCCCTCATTTACAGAATCTTTATCCAAGCTCAAGTTCCCCACCCAAACTCCTCCATGATCTTCCCACTTATCCTTGGCACTACGAGAAGCTTCTATGGAACGAGTCTCGTATAGCCCGCGAGACTCGTGAGCGAAAGTACCCACGCCATGAACTGTTGGGTAGCCCCGTGCCTGGAGGCAACCTGATCACTTTTGGCTGGCGGAACCGACTACTGCTTGATAATCTCCCTTGGCTGAGAGACCACAAGCTGGGGGATGAGACAGTCTTCCCAGGAACCGCTTATCTTTGCATGGCCGTGGAAGCTGTACTTCAAACACGTGGAATCGGAATGAGTCAAGACTTGGCCAATTATTCCGTCAGCCTTCAGAATGTGGACCTGCCTAGTGTGCTGCCCATCGGAGATCTGGATTTCATCGAACTGTGCACTGAATTGTCCCCCCGTGAGATCTCAAATTTGACCCAGTCTCCAGATTGGTTCGATTTCAAGATCGTGTCAATTGCTGTTGATAAACCCACCATCCGCGCCCGCGGTTCCGTCAAATTGGAGACGGGATCAAGCCTGGCGCATTATGTGCTCCCTCGCACAAATTGTCGTCTTATATCCAAGAGCAAGCGAATGTGGTATGAAAGTATGCACAAATGCGGTCTGCGCTACGGTCCCACCTTTCAGCACATGCAGGACATCTTTACACCAGATACAAACGGTGTTCTATATGCACAGGCTAAGTTGAACAGCATCAATCCTCGATTCGAATCTGCACAACAGTCGCCTCGGTATTTTGTACATCCGGCAATTCTGGACAATGTTCTGCAAACCAACTTAATCGCTTGTGCTGGAGGCCATTTGGAATCGATGGTCGCAAAGATACCAAAAAGCTTCGGTCGTATCACTCTCAAGGCGCCTTCATCTGCTGGGAGTGGGGCGACAATTCGCTCTGCGTCCACCGTGACTGGGTTTGCAACCAATGACACCAATGCAGCCCTATTAGACTCAAATCAGAATCCCTTGGCCCATTTTGAGGGGGTGAAGTTCGTCAAATATTCCGGCAGTGATCGAATGGAGGAAGTTCGACATCCATTGTATCGATTTGTTTGGAAGCCGGATGTTGATCACATTCCGAACGACAACGCATTCTCCGCTGCCATAGATCATGTTCGCTCAACAACCGACCTCGGGCTTCTTCCAGATTCTAGCAGAGACACCATGATGGTTTTGGATCTGACTGTGCATAAAGATCCAAATGCCGATATTCTATTTCTCTCTTCGGATCTGTCCCTAGCAGAACTGGCACTAACAGAGCTCTTCAAGGCACAGACAGTCCACCGCCGCTTCAATTCTTTCCATTTAGGTCGCTTGGGCTCAGACGGCCAGTTGGAAGTGGCTGCACTTCAGGACTATGCATTGCCATTTGAAGACTCCTTTTCATCGTTTGTGACGGCGTCCTCGGATCAAACCTTTGGCCTTGTTATCTCGGATGAAAAGACATCCCATCTCGACCATCTGGCTCTCCATACAAAACCAGCTACGCGGATCATAGATACCAGTCACGGTCATGAAGAGCGTTTCCAAAGTGAAAGATTTGTCGTTGCCCACGCTTTATCGAACACTTCCGGTCCGGGTGTACGGATCCTTCGTCCGGCACCAAAGGAGAACGACCGCGCTTCCCAGAGATTCAACAATGTTCTTCTGGTCACCCGCACACCATCCCATGAAGATGATGATTATTTGCGGGATCATTTGGGTGCCGATCTGTCTTTACCGGTCGAGAAGTGTAAATTAACGGATATTGGAAACGTCTCTATCAGCAAGAATACTCTTGTTGTGTCAACTGTCGAGCTTCAGCACGATTTGATGGCGCGGGCTACACAAGAGGAATACGCGGCAATTCAAAAGATCTTAGCGAAGCCAGTAAGAATGGTTTGGGTCAGTGGCTCGGGACTTCATGAGGGTAGCGATCCAACTAGGGCAGTCTTTCACGGACTGGCACGCGCCATCATGATTGAACAGCCGGCAACAGAAATTTTCTCCCTGGAAATGGATCCGAATGCGAGCCCCGCTGATATCTCCTATTATGTAGCCCGAGTCATCGCGCGACCAGAAGGCTGCCCGCCCGACTACGAGTACCTCCAAAGCAAAGCGGGCCTTCTTGTGAGCCGCGGAGTTCCAGATGAACGTATCAACGATCACTTCCGCAACAAACACCAGGGCATAGCCGTTCAAGAATCCCTAGGCAGTGCTGGACCGGTGTCCCTTTCACTCGAAAAGCCTGGTCAGCTAAGTACCGTCCGATTCATCAAGGAACCTAAGCAGAATCTAGGACCCGAAGACGTTCTGGTCAAGGTCAGCTGGATTGGCCTAAATGCAAAGGATGTCTATGCTTTGAGTGGTAGAGTGGAGACTCCAGAGGCCACTTGCAGCTTGGAATATACAGGAAAGGTTTTGGCAATTGGATCAACCGTCGATGGCCTCGCCGTCGGTGATCATGTTGCTGTAGGGTATCCTGGCCATTTCAGTTCTCATGAAGTTGTTCCAGCTTATGCATGCGTTAAGCTACTCCCTCACGAAGACCTCCGCAGCTTTGCGTCGGTCCTTGTTGTCTACGGAACAGCCCTCTACGCCCTCGAGCATCGCGCCCATCTGCAACCTGGCGAGTCAATCTTGATCCATTCTGCTACAGGAGGTGTTGGGAATGCCGCTATCCAGATTGCCAAATTAATGGGTGCAGAAATCTTTGCCACGGTTGGGACCGAGGAAAAGAAGCAGAATCTGGTTGAACACTTTGGACTTCAACCAGATCATATCCTGAATTCACGCATTTCTGGTTTCGGGGCTCAGATCCGCTCATTAACAGATGGCCGTGGCGTTGATGTGGTCCTAAATTCGCTCATAGGTGACCTGCTTTTCGAGAGCTGGGATTGTTTAGCGGAATTTGGACGTTTTGTGGAAATTGGCAAAAAGGATATTACGGATCATGGTCGACTGCCCATGCATTCTTTCAAGAGAAGTACCACTTTCACGGCCTTCGATTTGAGCTCATTGTACCTCGCTCAATCCCCCGCCATGCGGCGCTTTTACCACGGACTCAACACCCGTATTATAGAGCTACTGCGCGATGGAAAAGTCCAACCAGTCCAGCCTTTGAAAAGCTTCACCGCAGCAGATTTGATCCGAGCATTTCGCCATTTCAATGATCCAGCTCGTATGGGGAAGATTGTGATCTCTTTTGAAGATCCAGATCTCATTATTCCAGTTGTGCCGGAGCAATTCGTCACACAACTACACCCGGACAAGAGTTATGTGATGGTTGGATGCTTAGGAGGATTGGGCCGCAGTCTTTCTCAGTGGATGGTCAGCCGTGGTGCAAAAACCTTCGTCTTTCTTGGACGTAGCGGGATGAAGAAGCCTGCCGCACGACGTCTTGTGGAAGACCTTGAGCAACAGGGCGCCCAATGTATTGTCATCCAAGGAGATGTGACCAGCTCTGATGATGTCGAAAGGGCTTTTGAAGCAGCTCCATTACCCCTGGGGGTATCATTCATGCTGCCATGGGACTCCATGAGGCGATCTTTTCTGAGATGACACATGAGTCCTGGCGTGAGGGAACCGCGGCTAAGGTAGAGGGAGCTTGGAACCTGCACAATGCTCTCTCAAAGTCGGATCGGGAAATTCATTTGGATTTCTTCATAATGACCAGTTCAATCAATGGAAAGATCGGAACAGCTACAGAAAGCAACTACTGTGCCGCGAATAATTTCTTGGATGTCTTTGCCCGCTACCGTCGAACGCTGGGTCGCCCTGCCATTGCACTTGGCCTTGGAGCCATCGCGGAGATCGGCTATCTGCATGAACACTCTCACATTGAAGAGTTACTCCTACGGAAGGGAATTCGGTTCCTTACTGAGAGCGATGTCCTACAAATTTTCGATCTCGCCCTCTCCAAGCCCCCTACCATCGCTCATCCCTCTGATATCATCACGCAGTCGCTTTTACTCTCCGGAGTGGAGGTAACGACCCTGCAACGATACCACGAACAAGGCTTCAAAACATTCTGGCATTCACTCCATGATGTACGATTCTCCATTCTCATCAATACCTTGAAGCGAGCATCAGGAAGCACAGCCGTCGAAGGGGGCAGCACACATGAATCTGCACTTTGCAGTGCAGTCGCGCTCAAGGATGAAGCCCAGGTCATCGCAGCAACTCAGGGAACCATTACGCAAAAGCTGTCGCACATGGTCCTTATACCGGTCGATAACATCAATGTCCAGGCCTCTTTGTCTGACTTTGCCATGGACAGTATGCTGGCATCTGAGCTTCGACAGCATATCTTCAGCGTCACCAAGGTCGATATATCTTTCCTCACACTCATGGATCCTAAGGCCAGTGTGTCCAGTTTGTGTACGATTATCGCCTCTGCTATGCTGCAGGAACCACAATAACTAGTACCTATCTAGGTAGCTTATCCCAGCTCACCTTCTACATCAATCTTAGCTTCTTCCATAGCTCAATACATACACGTTATATCGCACCACTACTACTAAGAGCTATAACGGAGCTCAGAATCATAAACAAATGCTCAGCCTTACTCAAATGCTGGTTGCTGAGCCCGCTCGATAATATATTTGATGATTTGAACCTTGCAGGGATGCTAGTCGGTCTCTCAGTTGATACTACCAAAATTGGTGTCACGATGTCAAATGTTTTAAACCTTTTTGTCAGGCTAGTGCCAGCACTCCCAATATTTAATCTATAGACAGTCCAAATTTGATTTGTTAAAGATATCAATGTTCGTAGTTCGGATATCATGCGATTTCTTAGGTTTCTAATACGGCACATCCAACGACACACAAAGAGCTTTCTTCCACTCAGATAGAAATTTAGTAATGAATTCATCATCATAGAAGGCTTCGTTCCAGTTAAATGAGAACACCAACTCGTCATTCCAAGTCCAAACGTGGATAAGAAGGAGACGAACGATCGATTCCAGAGCAACCCACCAATCATCTACCTCAATGGTGAATTCTGGCCCTTGATACTTTGTTGAAATGTAATTATTGACAATTCCCATTGAGCTTAGCTCTGGGTGAGCTGGCGCTAGCAGAGGATCGCTGGGTTGTTGGCTTAGTAGCTGGAAGACCTTATTCACGTATTCAGGCAGGAAATGGAATATGTTTCGCGGATTTTCCTTGCTCAGATCACGCCTGTATGCCTTACTCGCCTCTAAGACAACAGAATCAAAGTCTTTGTTCACAGTAAGGTCGATACTGATAGGAATTCCAGTGTGGTAAATGCTAACCGCTGCGTCAGGACCATTCAGTGGCGCTGGCAGATACTTCCGAAGATCAAATGGATTTAGTGCAGTATATCTCCCCCTAGTCTGGCCATACGTGTCCACATATGGAAGGGTGGTAACTATTAAAGCTGCATGCATAGCGGCTGTCACAGTCAGGCCTCGAGACTTGCAAGAACTGATGATCTGGCTAGTGGTACCAGCCGGTAAAGCTGACTTAAGACGCCGCGTGGTAGCCGGCAATTCATTTGGCAGTGTTTTTATTAAAACTGCTGGTTGATTGTTCAGCATGGCACTTAGCTCCTCATCAGCAGCTTGAGATATAGCTGGAGTGATAGTGGATGGTACGCCAGCTGCCTCATCCAAAGAGGGCGCAAGGTTTCTCACCTCTGAGCCGTCAAACTGGATAAGGTCGGGGGTACCATTCGCTAGGATCTTGAGGAAGGTATCTTGTAGATACATCAAACCAACTCCATCGATGCGCCAGTGGGGCGTACGAAAGAGTAGCTCGTGGGTTTCAGGAAGGCAAAACAAGAAAAATTGGGAAGATGGCTTTTCCTGGCTGTATATATCGTCGGCAGAAAGTCGATCCCGAACGATGAAGGTTTCTTGGACCCAGGCTTCTAGTGCATCCGAGGAAGGGACCGTATAGCATAATTGAGAGCCAGCCTCATTGGCCCTGGCTGCAATCTGCGGATAACGCTGTCGAAGGGACTTCCATGCATTTTTAAGATTCTGCACTGGGGGAAGAGACTTCAACTTAACAGTACACGAAATGAGGAAGTGCTGCTTGTTCAAAGGAGCACCGGCATCAGCAACGGAGCGGTAAAAGTTCTCAATGGAATCAAAAGACCGCTCATAGTAACCGGGAGAGATCTTTTGCCAGGGCATGGTTGGATTGAGTCGAAGGGAAGATAAGAAACTTGGAAGTATCCGATATGTGATACTAATGAAGTGTTCTGTGGGGGCCATTTGGTCAATTTCCTATGCACCTTAGCAATTTCTTACACAAGTTTGCCTAAAACCTCCAGGGCTTGGAATACAACAGTAAAATACGCTAGTGAAATACAAATACAGGCCATGATGCTTAGTTGGCGAATAAGTGGGGTTGTACGCGTTGTCTAAACCGGTCTAATTATTTACCGATTTAATACACTAGTTGAAACATTCAGGGAATGCGCTAATTGTGGGGCGAGGGAATAGGGCGCCATAAGGTCCGTTAGCCACCAGATGCACATGTGGACCTCAAAGTTCCCGCCCCATTCTTTACTTCTCAACCTTGGAACCTTTCGTCGATCCCTCTGTTTTTAGAATCCAGCTTTTAGTTCGAACTTCAAACTTCTGAGATCATCCATGACCTCGCTCACATCTCCACTTGCGATGAGGCATATCTCCAACACGTCCACATTTATGCAAGTGCAAGGGCTAACCTTGCAAAAGACCTACAACTTGAGCGAACCTGGTCGCATTTGAAATTTAGCCCCCACACTAAATGATTTAGCGAGATGAGGTATTAATGTAACTTTCTTCATGTTCTTCTTTCAAGTTTGTTACGGTCGCTACTACCCGCAGAGCTATATGAGGAGTTCAACCCCCTATCCCAAACCTCGACAAGTGCACCAAGTGCTAGATCGATCATCATGCCTTCCAAGGCATTTACCTATTTCTACACCGCGTACTCCCTTGTTACCGTCCCGGCATGGCTGGCGGCCGTGGCGATTTACAACATCCCAAAATTCCTCCGGCCCAATGCTGCTTGGTCATACAAAACAGCATTTATGTGCAGTCTATGGGATGTGACGATGAATTATTGGACGACTGTTCAGAAACTCTGGCCAAAGTCACTGGAAGCAGGCCCGTTGGGGAATCAATTCATTGTGCTCACCCCCCAAAAGACCATTACCACGAAGACCGAAGAAGGCCAAGAACAAACCCAATCCGAAGTCTATAAGGGAATCACTTGCTCGGTTACGGGAGTTGAGCCCTTGCCCGTTGGGGCTGTCTGGTTCCCAGAGACCCCAGCTGAACCTCCACGGCGACTAATCATTCACTTCTACGGGAGTGCCTATGTGATGTTCGGTAGTCGTCCCGGTGAAACTGGCGAAGTAGGTATCAATGGACTCAGCAAAAGGTCCGGATGGCCAGCACTTGCCATTCAATACCGCTTGTCTCGGGATAAGAAAACCACATTCCCTGCGGCACTCCAGGATGGAATCACTGCCTACGTTTATGCTCTCGAGGAACTTAAGATCCCAGCATCTCAGATCGCATTTGCTGGCGACTCGGCAGGCGGCAATCTCGTCGTGGCTCTGCTCCGCTACATCAACGAGGAGAACCCGGTGCTTCCGTTACCTCGCTGTGCAGTTCTGTCGTCTCCTTGGGTCGGTCTGAGCACCAAATCCATTGAGGATTTGCCCCTGAACCGCAATTACAACACCGACTTTGTCAAACAGAATTTCCTTGACTGGGGCCGGAAGGCCTTCATACCTGAGGGGTGGGATAGCAATAACTCCTGGATCACGTTTCTAGGAAACGAGACTCAGCTGGGTATCCCGGTCTTTGTCAATACTGGTACATCGGAAGTCCTTTATGATGACATCATGAAGTTTGCCGAGAACTTGAGGGAGAAGGGTAATGAGGTTGAAGTGCTCGAAACTCCTAACTCATCCCATGTCCCTTATCGGCTTGGTAACGATTGGGACTTGGAAGAAGCTCAGGCTATTTGCTTGGCGACTATGACTAGATTTCTTGAGAAAACCAGTGATTGAGTGGGCAGCTGTATATACCTCTTCTCGAAGTGCTAAAGATAGACCCGTCACCCATTGACTGATTGGGATATTATCTACACGAGTTGGAATACTTACGTAACACCTTATGTCTCCAAATTGCGTAGAACCTATATAACCTTAGAAACATCGAAGTGTAGTCTTTAAATTATTTATGTTGAAGCTTGAAATTTATAGAGGTCTATATTTATCTAACTATTAGGATGGGTGTCCTAGAGTTAAATTAGATAAGAGTAATAATATAAGTAGTATATAAGTATACTTAGTAGACTAATATAGGCTAGTAACTAGAAAGTGGGGTGAAAGTACTGTAAAACTAAGCGCCGCGCTATAACACGACCTGGCGAATAAAATCTTAAGATTTCAAAAAAAAAAAAAAAAATTGTTTCGACCAGTCCAGATGAACCTCTGGATCATAGCCTGAAGATGCTACTAGTTATTACGAGGGAACGTTGATAGGGTAAACTCTCTCTGAGATTCTCTAACTGTTTTTGACCAGTTGCCGCTCTCAATTGTCCAAATTGCCCGTGTGCGTGAATATATATATTGCGGTTTCTGGGCACATCCTTTTCTGTCTTTTCCCACATCCAAGCTCCTGTGAACGCCACTTCTTCCCTTCCTTCGTCGCCCTCCACTCGACATGCCTTTTCATACCACGACCTTCCCTTACCAGCAGCACACACTAACTTGGAGTCTTCTCCACCGCAGCGAACCCTTTGATCCTACCCGAAGCGACCTGGGACCCGTGGCCGGCAGCCAGGTGGAACACCGCTCCAGGGGGCTCCGTGCTGCCCTGTGGAGATGAGGGGGAGATAATAGGGGGGAGATAAGAGGGGGAGATGAGAGTGAACAGGGGGTGTGTGGATGGTCCGCTCGGGCTGGGGAAGCCGATGATGAATACTTGTTTCCACCTGGTTTCTTTGGTGAGAAGGAATAATTAGCTAGCATCAATACTTTATATCATCAATTGAAACATGGTCTACGAACTCTTCGCGTACTCGGTCAGAGCACTTACATGAGTCAGGGTTGAGGATAGCCAGGGTGATTGGGCCACCTAAAAGTCTACATGGTCATTGTCTTTATGTTGAGGGGGTTTGCGGCTTCTGTGGGTTTCTTATCTCATCTTTGGAATTACGCCACATAAGCCGTTCTTCATGGCTGTTGACGGTGTTGCACCTCGAGACAACATGCACGAGCAACGTGCGCACCGCTTCCAAACCGCGCTTGACGCTGAAAATGCGCAGGAGAAGGCAATCGCGCAGGAATAGAGATGCCGAACGAAGATCCATTCGACAGTAATTAAATTACACCCGGTACCGGCTTCATGGCATGGCTGACGCAACAACTGAAATACTTCATCACAAGAAGATTTCCGAGCATTCTGAATGGCAAAACCTGGAGATAATGCTCTCGGGCCATGATGCTCCAGGAGAAGGTGAGCACAAGGTCATGGAATACATTCGTCAGACGAAAGCGCAGTCGGGCTCGTCCAAGCGTATGATACTGTCTCGATGAACTGAACTGAGTGTGGATTTGATATTGTTGAGTCTTCTCAGTCATCACCCTCAATTCTGTCTCTTCCGAGAAAAGCGACATTTTGTACTGGCAAACAAAACGAAGGTTATCCATGCACGATGGTGCACTGGATCAATCAACACATTGCTAGGCTTCCTTTCGTGATAGAGGCACTATTGTAAGCCTGGGAAGTAGGGAGGAGTGTGCTTATCTCATTGGCTCGAAAATGATCTATTGTCTGATTCATGCGTTTATGCTTGTCTTCGTGACACAGTAGTCGATGGGGACGATGGGAAGTCTACAAGGCCTCAATAATCAGCAACTGCCAGTCCAGACTGACACTCACACCAACAATGGGCGTCAGCGCACCCACCCCTTCGCCCAACCTCTACGTCCTGCTGAAGAACTCAGCTGCAACCGTCGGATGATATACGACAAACGGGTTATTATTTTAGTCGACGCGAGCACACACGAGAGCAGCATAATCCCGATGACCATCAGCGATCCGAGCATCATCACAAGCACTACCGACCGACAAAACATTACGCTCACTCGGCGCTCTTCGCCTTCCCGGAAATTGACACGCGTCAAATACCTCTTCTATCCGACTCGGCATATCTTGTCGCCAAATTGGCAAGGATCGCAAAAGGGAGCTTGATGTCTACACAACGGGTCTTTACTGACAGATTACCAAGGCAAGCCAGTGATCGCTAATAGAGACGAATGGTCACTTCACCAACTCTTCCTGCCCAACACAATAAGCCTTGTGAAAAGAAAATGGCCAACGGCATCGGGACCCTTCAAATGAAGATCGACATCCTACAGCACCGTAGCGTGTCGCCCTCTAGCGCCACATTCAGCAACCCGCTGGCAACCATCGCCGCTCCATCATTTGGCCCATCTACTTCTGCGGGGCTATCTAACGCGCCAGGCTTTTCCGACAATCGGTCCAGCGCGGACCCCGCCGGCGGCGCTTACGAGATCCTAAACAAGAAACTCACGAACGATGGAAGCAATCTGTTGACCATAGCCACTTCCAAGACCAGCACCAAACACCGTCGCCCGTACCAATGTCCCAGTGACTCAAGACGCGAACTCTACAGTCAATCAAACCCTGCTGAAGCACCTGCGAGCCCACCTTTAATCGGCTCAGCACCGTGACTCACTTCAGACATACGCGTCAATGCGAGGCCTGAAGGGCCGCCTCGCCTCAGCCTATTGTCCAGTCTCAGCCCAGCTTCTACCGCGTTGACCATCAGCCTAGCCGCAGTCGTGGGCTTGACATACGATGACACTGTGTCTTCCACTCTCATGGTCATCCCCTGAAACATCCTCGGCCTGACAACTGATGGGGCCAAGACCGATGAACTGGATTGAGAACGGAGTTCCCCTCGGTTCATCATCGATCACGTTCATTATCACATCATTTCCGTCCGACTACATCCGCAATTTGACCTACATTCATTATTACGTCGTGTCACTCTGATTCCATCTTGACGGCTTACCCCCGTTCTTACATTGTCTTGTCCTAGTTCTCAGTGCGGAAACAGCCAAAAAGCAGAAAGGAAATGACCGGAAATTCCTTTGCCCATGAATTTTACACCCCTAGCTATGAGTACGCGGCCTCCATTTGTTGTTGGGTTTGTCATACAACAAAGAGATAACAGATAATATGAATACCTAATATAGTGCCCCTGCAATTGTTATTACCTGTCAGACAGGAATAAGCTTTTCCAACCTATATTGTGATACCTGTCTTTCAGTACGCTGGTATGCTGGGCACGGGTAGAGCATCTAGAATCTTGAAGATAGTGTTGAATAGCAGGCTTATACACTCCTCTCACTTATAAATACAGGTGCTGCCCACGGGTATCTCATATAGCCTATGTTAAGTGGTGCACTAACTGCCGCAAAGGTGGCCACCGCACTAAGGACTGTTACTCCGGTAAGATCACAGACTTGATCGAGCTGAAAGAATGCTCAGAGCGATGATGCTGGACAACCAGGTTTGTGTCTATGAAATGAGATTAAGGAATATGCTAACGAGTCTTTTTTAAGATCAAGGACGAGGTCAAGGCCTCTAAGAGAAAGCGTGCCCGCGAGGATGATGTATCGCGAGATGCGAAGAAGACTGCCCCCGACCGACCTGTTTCTATTCGGTCTGCCTCTGTCGAGGCTGTTGAACCCGCCGCTATTTAACCCGCCGCTATTTAACCCGCCGCTATTTAACCCGCCGCTATTTAACCCGCCGCTATTTAACCCGCCGCTATTTAACCCGCGTCTATTAAGGCTGTTACAAAGCCGGTTCCTGAGAGCGCTATTCCTGAGAAGCCTCGGGTGGAGAAGGCTTTTGCCAAGAAGCCTCTAGTGGAGAAGGCTGTTCCGGATAAGGAGATAGTAGATACTATGATGGATGAAGCCGATGATGGGAGAGAGAGAGAAATTGTTATTATACTCGGATCAGGGCGAAGCCCTAGTCACCGTAGGTGACCAGTTGTCAACGCTCCGGCTATACTAGCTAAGTCTTTTTGGACTTCTTCCCGAGTCGCCAGCGGCCACATGTTCTAGCTGTGGGTTACTCGGGCATGTCGAGGGTCTGCCAAACTTTATGTATAGGAGATATTGCCCATCTTGTTTCCGTTGCCGTCCGGATGTGCCTAGGTCCTCTATCGTAGCTGTCCTTGAGTGTCAAATCGTGTGATGTGATTGACCAGTTGCCCTTCCCACTATCAGGATGGGACGGTCCTCATTAGGAGCGACGGTCCCGTGACCTAAGTAATACAGGGTCGGGTAACAATCACCATCATATTCAAGGTAGTCCACAGAGTAGTGCGACCGAGTAGGTACCTGGGTATGTACTCGATAATATTCTTCAGAACCTTGAACACTGCGACTTACCTAATATCATTAGTGTGGTCCACGGGTGTGCAAAATATTTCGTGGTACTCACTTATAGAGCTCCGATCTATAAGTGTTCTCCGCTGCAACGTGATATATCCACATTATGTAATTTCAGGTAACCTTACTGGGAATGGCAATAATGAAGTAGACTTCAAGTTTAGAAATTGAATCTGTTGGATCAAAATCGAATGATTTCATATTGATCAATGAATTGTAATAAGGTGATGATAACTTCCCATTTCGCTTGCAACTGCCAGAGGTTGGTTATACAGCACCCTCAGCTTCGCCAACTCGTACATTAGCAAAGCCCGACAAACAAGGACTGAGCACATAAAGCGTCCAAGCACATATACTGCATCACGTGTTGAGATGAACAACATACTGGAGAATATGAGCGTACCCAAGATAACATGACAAGATGTCATCACAGCCAAGATTAAGTTCACTGTCCAGGTGCATATAGTCAATCGCTTCACAACAAACTTCGGTGGCGGGTCCTCTTTTGAGTAGCCTGTGAATAACCGCTTCAGCTTGTTGTAGAGGTCATCACCACCAGCTGCAGTTGTATGACTCGGGAAGCCAACCACTTCGCCGATATGAGTGATAAAACTCCACCAATGTTTGCCATTCGGGATAGGATCAGCTCTTCGTGTGCGCAAGCGCAGCCCAAGTGCGGCACATGAATGGGCAAAGAGCCCTAACAACGCCCAGGTGATGACAAAGTAAGGGTAGCCTGGTGCGAATGACAATATAGTCTGAAACCCAAGGGAAAGCGTCATTTCTATGGTGTTTGCTATAGCTGCAAACCTGAGGCCATATTCAACGATGGATATTACTACTTCGACGGGGTATGAATAGAACTTCAGCGGCAATTCATCAGTGCGAGCCTTAAGAGCCTCAAGTGGATCGCGATACTCCAGCGGTCGCATGGGAACCACAGCAGGGGATCCTGCTGCCAGTATCAGCGCCAGAAACGGACGGTTCCCTACTACCGCAAGCAGGGATGTTTCATCAATGTCAGAGCCAAGTACTGCCAGTATACTTGGAGCCAACCCTAGCAACACGTTTGCACCAGCCATATCACTTTTGATAAACTCAGGACAAGCGCCCAGCATACAGTTGATTAATGGCACGGTCAATTGTTCGAGCACCTCACGTTCAGAACCAAGCCAGCGAATGTGTTCCATCCATAATGTGTTGTTTGTGTGGCCGGTCTTATAGAACTCATATTCAGATGGGCAATTTTCGCTGATGATGCGATTGAAGATAAACCCATATTCGGCAAACCAGTCTTGAAACTGGGCCCTCGCGAAGACAGGAGTAGGAAGGAACGCGAGAAAGAGGAGGTGAAGGGGCATTGGAAGAGATGCCATTGCCTTGCCTGGAATGTAAGTTGGAATTTTATGATTAAATAACTCCTCAAAAGGAACTTAAAGTTTATTGGATTCTCTATATACAGAGGAAAGTAAGCGGATTAAAAGAGAAAAAAAGAATCTTTCTTTTCAGCTATGGGGTTCATTTGAAATACTTCAAGAAAGGCGCTGCTCACCCGGCACGCATATCAGCCATAGGGCTATTCTGAGCTGGTGCGGCCCGAGAAGCGGATATAATTGGAATCCAGCAACTTTTCTGGCTCGGAAATTGAAATGATATCAGCCAGCAAATCTCGTTCCAAATTAGATCTGCTTCTGTGGAGGGGAGCATCGACCAGCCATAGGTTATTTATACAGCAGCCCGTCAGCGTAAGCAACAGACTAGAGCCTAAACAAAATAGTTCGGGGCTCCGTATAAATAATGCATGGAAGCGAGTGATTCAGCTCCAAATTGGGGCGAAATCTTAGTCCTCCCCGGTCTATTGGTTGCTCCGCCGATCTTGCATGGTCCGATTTTCTGACTTGCCGGCGCCCCGCAGTCATGTCTGGTGGGGAAGAGAATATGACTCAACTTCTTCATTACAATGGGGTAGAAATCAATGGCCAGATCGTGTTGCAATATTATTGTGGGCAGCAGTGGTAATGGGAAGCAGAGGGAGAAGTTCATCTCCGCAGTGAAGTACTAACACCCATACCACATGCAGACATCGAAAAGCCTCTCGTACTCCCACGGCGACTCATGCAGTCCATATCTCTAAAAATAGACTAAGCATGTGAAAGTCGTTGCATGCCAAACATGATCTAGAAACAAACAAAGGGACTTTGTCATCAGAGAGCTGTTGTATACTGGCCCACTTTGCATGACGTCATCGCTCAAGCTCGAAATCTTGATGTGAAGATCCGATCTCTGTCAACCTCTTTCTCTTTGCATTAATCCACCAACAGATACAATGGAGCGTCCAGGTTGGTTACCCCATACTTCTATTTTGCAAACATATCGTTAATCTACATGTGCAGTGGAAGACATCGTGAAGGTCATCCCTCTGCTTACCCAGTCTCCGCCATCGTTACAACAAAAATGCATTGAGCGATTTTTCACGCGCGATGCCTCATTCTATCATCCATTCTGTTATGTTCCAAGTTTTGAAGGGAGCAGATGGTATGTGCTAAAAATTTTCCAATGGTACAAAATCATGTCACCGCGGATTGAATTGGAAATCCATTCTGTCGGTGAGTCGTAGCATGCTCTGTGCCTTAATCCACTTACTGAGGATGTCTAGCATTTGATGAGCAAAACCTCAAGCTTTACATTCACATGTCCCAGATTTTTTCAATCTGGATCATACCCTTTCATGTCGCACCGGTGACTCTGACAACGGTTCTTGACCTGACCACCGACTCAAGCCAAAGTCATGACGATCACCCCCTGTACTATATCAAAAAGCAGGAGGATCTCTATCAGACTTCGGAGTTTATCAAATTCCTGTTACCCCACGTGGGACACTGGCTGGTTTCGGTCTGGCATCTGTTCGCAACCTTCTTTTGCATTATCGGGGTTTTTGCTCTTTGGCCAATGCTGTGGCTAGAAGAGAATGGTTACCTGCCTAGTCGAATCGCGCAAGGTAACCTAGCCTTTAGCATTGATCGAAATATTGCGGATATCAAACAGAAGTGATCCTAGGCTGGTGCCCAGGTAGACAGAATGACAGACTATGTATGTACTTGATGAAGTTGACTGTGATAAGACTCATTGGAGGCAATTTACTGTACATGCGTAAAACTGGCGAGGTTCACTCGCGGTGTAACTCCGTGGGCTCGGGCTTCAGTACGTATTGAACAATGCTCGTAATGTATCACGGTATTTGCGATCATCTTATTCCCTCGCACCTTATTGACTCCTGTGTAGGAAACTCAATCCTTTTTGTGCTGCCTTTGCAACGCCTTGCGGAACTCATGCTCTTTCTCAACAACCATCATCGGCAAACCACGTCCAATGCCGAACAGAACAAAGAAAGCCCACTTCCATCGAAAAGGATTGACAGCCAGCACGAAAACATACCAATAGATGAGTTCAGCATAAGTGAAGAAGTCAAAAGCTTTCGTGGGCGCAAATCGTTTCATGAACCGCGTAAAGTCGATCCAAGTCTTCATTTGCTGCTCAGTTGGACGAGTAAGTGGGTCCAGCAAGAACATGAGGAAGAATCTCGTGTAAACACCAATATGCATGTTTCCGACCGTCCCAATTGCATTAACATAGGTGCTGTTCGTACCGACGATGGATAGGTATTCAGGGTAGGGAGGGAAGACTTGCAGATACCAGTTTGGTGGGCCGAATTCTTCGTCGTCAAGGATTCGGTCTGGTAGCATATTGAGCGACGGGCGTTTGAATCCGGTTGCCATCACAATAACATCACCTTCCACCAACCGCTCCTTGCCAGGGCCTCCCTTGGGCACACCTTGAGCTCGGTGGTTGAATACGATGCCATGCTCCTCGAGCGAAACAATATCGCCACGTAGCCATTGGGCCTTTCCCTGGCGGATCTGGTCAAAGAGCTCCGAGTTGGCCATAGGAGTCTGGGTGAAGAGTCCATCATCGACCGGGGCAATATCTTGGAGGTCTCGATAAAAGAATTTTCGCAGGAGCCATTCGGGTATCCAGGAGAGAGAAGTTTCTTGGCCAAGTATGTTGCATGCGAGTAAGGACTGGACCAATATGTTCCGAGGAATGATCCACTTATCAGATCTAGAAAGGACATCAATCTCGGCGGCACCGGACTTGACGGCAAATTCTAGAGCCTCGATAGCACTAGCTCCACCACCAACCACGAGAACCTTCTTGCCCTTGACATCTTTGCCGTCAAGATTCGATGAATGGTAGATGTTGCCTTTGAATTTTTGTTGATCAGGTAAATTAGGCATCAGCGGGTCTCCACAGACACCCACGGCCGTGACAACGCCGTCAAATACGCCGTACTTCTCTTCGTCGTCATTGATGACCCATTGGCCGTTCTTGTTTTTCTCGACGGATGTGACACGAGTGTCAAAGACGGTTCGCCGCTCAAGATCATATCGTTTCCATAAAGCGACAATCTGCTCTTTTATCTGGGCCTGGGTTGGATAGGTACTGTTGTATTGAACAGACGGGTGGAATCGGTACATGAGGCTATTGACCTGGAGTGCAGATGTCGAATTGACCCTCTGAAAGCCATTAGCTTGCGATTGAAGAAAAGAACTTGTCAAATACATACACTCCAAATTCCGCCTAGACCTTTATCTTGGGACCGAGACTCAAATATTTGGACATCAAAACCGTGGCCAACGCAATGGGCGGCGGAGGAAACGCCAGTCAACCCAGCACCAATCACGGCTACTCTCTTTTGAGTATCCTGGTTGCTGGCCGGAGGCGGAGGTACAGGTGCAAAAACATAGCTCAACACCAATTGAAGAACCCAATAGAGCCAATTAAAGGTCTCTACGAATGGATGGCGGATAATAGCGGGGATGGAGGATGGCGCCATAGCGATTGGAATGTGTGTGAAGGGGAAAAAATAAGCAAGAAAAGCAAACAAGCCTAGGAATCTAGACTGCTTTGTATTATTTCTTGTGTGGTTCCCAGCTTGTGATGAGTGACGTGAAGTGGAGCAACATAGCTTGGTCTTCTAACATGTGAAATCCTACTGTCAACGCCGTGACGTCATACAATTACGGCACGGAGAATTTCTCAATAAATACACCAAAACACTTGACACGATGAAACTCAGAGCTATGTATGATTTTGATGGTTTGCATGTGACTTCGATGCGGAATGAGCTGAAGGTTCGGTGTACATCAAGCCTATGGCTCTGGTGCCTGAATATGCCATAAAGTTAAGTACCCGAACTTCACGGTTGGGTCCAAAGTTCAAAATGGGAGTAGTGGGTACCTAATTTCCTACTAAATATTGCCGCAATTCCTCGAATACAAGCGCATGTGATATTGAAAAAGTGTGAATATTCCCACTTACCTATTGCTATAACAACGATAATCTAATCTCACTAATCCTTCTCATTCGGTCGGCAGTCTTCGCTGGAATGCCATATTCGTCAATTTCTTTCCTGTTGTCCTTGCTGAAGTATATCGAATTTCACTTCCTGAGGGGAGCGGAAGGTAATGGAACCTCTGGTTCGGTTACCAGCCTTTCCCCTCGCCCACAAGAGTTTCCATCTCCCTCTGGTCCGCCATCGAAATTGCTGCTTTGTGGTGGCAGCGAGCCGGACAAGCTGGTTCTCCGCTTCCGACCCCACGGCTCCCTCTGCCCCTCCACTAACCGCATTTTTCGCCGCAGCGTCCACAAGCTCGTTGTATATCCAGGTGCGCGAGAAATCATCGGATGGGAAATGAGACATCGTCCGATGGAGCGAGTGAGGTGAGCGCAAATGGCACGGAGGATATGCTGGCCGGAGGGGTGCTTTACTTCTGCTTGAAATGCAGCGCGACTATCAGCGAAGATACCCATTTCACGACTTTTTCTTATTGGGGATCCTTCCGGGATGATTTGACTTATCGATAGCCATCTCAATTCCAGCAAGGTCCGCAGCGTAAACTTAACTTGCTCCGAGTGCACCGCTCGTGTAGTATCTCACCAAAAATCTGCTGAAGGATCTGCCGAGTCAGCCTGTAGGCACCCCCATGCCCACCTCGTAGGGGTTTTCTACCGGAATATCCCATTGAGCATGCTCCAGTATCTCCCAGTCAGCCCCTGAGTACCCTCTGAGCTCTCGATTGATGCATTGTGAGAAGTCAGATAAACCGGACGAGACAGCAAGAATGAAGTATTTGCCCGTACCTGATCACTTGTTTTCAGATTTCAATGCCTTATGAGTCAGGGATGTGTGCCGCTAGCTTCCATGACACAGGTTGCCGACTGAATTGCCCTTGAGCAACCTCCTGAGTAATACCTCAAGCATCTGATAGTGTACCTCGTCGAGCAATCCCTCGAATATCCTGGATAGTCTGAGTACCCAGTAGCCTGTAACCCGAGTACCTGCTGGAATACCAGCTGCGACACCCTGGAATTTCCCCTAAGCTATCCCCAAACTTTTTGAGCAGTCCGAACAACTCTAGGCCGAGCTTCCTATGTGGAGAAGACCTATTAGTTTGAATGGAGTAGAGCAGTTTGATTTTACCTTGACAGAAGCCGCAAACCCCCTCAACATGAAGACAATGACCATGTAGACTTTTAGGTGGCCCAATCACCCTGGCTATCCTCAACCCTGACTCATGTAAGTGCTCTGACCGAGTACGCGAAGAGTTCTTAGACCATGAAACAACTTGAGTCGGCTGGCAATGCGCATAAGGACTTAGAACCTGTAAGGTATCACGGCTGGGTCCCACACCACCCCCATGCCATCCTGCTTTTCCATCAATGCTAAGCTGTCGATGGAACTGTCAGAGCCAGTTGCTGTCTCATCAATATTTGACAGCCAATAAGGTGAAGGCCACTGCCACGCTACTACACCCGAGATGAGGATGGTGGAGCTAGATAAGCTGGATAGAGTTGCCAATGAAGTAATGATCTGAATTATGGAAATGTTGTTATTCAAGGCTGATCAATATAATAATTATGTTTCAATTGATGATACAAGGTATTAATGCTAGCTAATCATTCAGGTTCTCCAAAGAAACCAGGTGGAAACAAGTACTGATCCTCCGCTTCATCCATCATGGAATCAACTACATCCTCATCCGGAATAGCCTTCTCTACTAGAGGCTTCTTGGGAATAGGCTTCTCCACCCGAGGCTTACTAGGAACAGCCTTCTCCACCCGAGGCTCCTTAGGGATAGCGGTCTCGGGAGTAGCGGTCTTAGGAACAGCGGTCTCAGGAACAGTGGTCTCAGGAACAGCCTCAAGAACAGCCTTAATAGAGGCGGGTTGGACAGCGGCGGGTTCAACGGCCTCGACAGAGGCAGACCGAACAGAAACAGATCGATCAGGGGCAGCCTTCTTCGCATCTCGCGATGCATCATCCCCGCGGGACCGCTTTCTCTTAGAGGCCTTGGCCTCGTCCTTGATGTTTAAAAAGACTCGTTAGCATATTCCTTAATCTCATTCCATGGACACAAACCTGGTTGTCCAGTATCATCGCTCCGAGCATTCTCTCAGCTCGATCAAGTCTATGATCCTTGCGCATTCAAAATTCAGGAGATGCGGATCAAATCCTTCGATTCCGTGGATTTCTTGAGTGCTCTTTTTCACTTCAGCGTTGCACATGAGTCGCACATGTGAGTATGGAATCGACCAAATCATATTGATGTGCTTGATGCGATATCTGGATTTACCGCTTCACTGCACGATCAAATCAAAGATGAAACTTCTTGGTTTTCTGAAACAAAAAAGAGGGCAGTAGATTGATGTAGAACTACATGGTGTAGGTGTTTCTTTGTCTGTAAATTATTTATAATATGGGTTCGCGCCATGGTGGACGGCCGTATCCCTTAACAGGGGCTTCTGAGTTGTCGGCCCTTTCTCAATAAACTCCAAAAATAAGCCCCTACTGATTGGAGATCAGTTCAATGCAACCTTTTAGCTTGAGCATGCATGGTCACTTATCCTTGGGCGAAGCTGGGTGCACGCTAGTTTCGTCTCCCGTACGGCCTAATCTGTGTGTACAGTGGTGTTGCATAAGTTTGAAACCCCCTCCACTCCTTACATAATAATCCGCCATGTTTCCTGCCAGCTAAAACCTCACATTCTTAGCTAGATAAGCTCAGCATGTAGTACTTGTAAATAGAATATTACTGAGAACATTCATAATAACGTACCACATATGATTCATATACAAGGATCTTATAGTGACCGGTGTTCTATTTTTGGTCAGCTTACTCCGAAATTACCAATGAAGAGAAATCAGTCAACATCGACCAAGTCCAACGCTCATATAATCAAGGGACGCCCATTTTAAGTGCCGGAGTAATATGGCAAGTTATAATAACATTTTTGAAGGTTTGATCGTACATTTTGACCTGTATTTTAACCTGTATTTTAATTTGCGATTTAACCTGCGATTTAACCTGCGATTTAACCTGCATATCTAGTTGTCCAAAGTATCCCACAAAGCAAGGCACATGTAATTTAGAGTATCGAAATGAAGCAATGCAAGTATATACAAACCGTATACTGCCGATCGAATCAGAAGGTTTGCAGGCGGTCTACAACCCTACTTTCGACTACAGCGAATTGCTCACGATGCTGGCGTGTTTGTACATGCTCGCTTCCGGGAATTCGCTGCCGCTACTCCTGGCTCCTCATTAGTGTTGGCATCGGCGAGGAAGCAGCCGTTGTTAGCGAAGACGGAGATGTCTCTAGCATAGACGTTGAAAAAACCACTGGGGAGAACCCTTGTCTATATTCTCGACCTTCCCTTGAATTATCTTACAATTATAGATTGGCATACATGACTGCGGAAAAGCGGTGGACAGAGCGGTCAGATTTCGCTTTGGTGCTAGTACAAATCGAGCTACTAGGCCAACAATGCAAAATCCTTCTCCAGGCCACTATCAGACACGGTAGTCGTGACAATGAAAGAAGATCTTTTAAGATCAAGTGTAATATTAACGTTTAGACTGAACTCTTCTTCTCACTACGGATCGTCGGAATGAATCTTCCAGGGTGTACTAGGGTAAATGCTAACGTGGCCAAGGCGATCATCCTGCATCCGTTAGAACCCACTTTGACATAGGGCATAGAAGAACACTTACATTCCATCTAGAAGTAGAAACGACTCCTCGTCCTGCATCCTGGGATTGCCCCACCCGCCAGCCATTTCAGGTAGCCTGAAATGCATTAGCTTAGTGACATACACTGCGCTCAAACAGACATACCGGTAGATGCACCGAATCAAGACGGTGAAGTAGGCGAAGACCTCGGCAGCGATGACAAGTCGCATCCGGTTCGGAGAAATGGCAGGAGTTACAGTCTTTTCTCCTGTCAGACCGTTGCCCTTCCGTGCAACATTCCAGAAGAAATGCAAAGCTAAGATTCCGCACACAGACATCGTGGCCACTTGAAAGGCTATGCCAGCGATGATGATATCATCGCCAGCCTTGAGGAGAGACATATTTGTATTGCCTGCACCCGCGGCCACTCCTCCGCCGGCACCTTGCATCAGAAGTGATACAAGATCGCACCATATGAAGAGATGGGTGAACAGGCGCGGCTTCATGATCGAATGCTCCGGTCCGAGGTTGAGCACGATGTGCTTCAGCGTCAAATAGATACCCGCGGCAACAAACGTCGGTGCGAGGACCAGGCACACAATTTGGAGCTTAAAAGCGCTCTCATTCCATGGATTGTAATGCATCAATACCCGTCCGACATACCCAGCGGTCTCCATAAAGGTTCCCACACCCAGAGCGATCAGGAAGGTGTACGTCCGATAGTAAACGCCTAGCCCTAATTGGGCGACTCCGAGGAGGGCGAAAAATGCGGTAAAGAAAATGTTTCCGCCAAGATTCGGGGTGTAGCCATAAGTCGTGTCGGAGACAGGACATTCCAGGCTAACATGGTGGCAGGTTTGGTAGCTCATCCTGATCACTCAATCGGAGTGAACGGCGGACGTGACGCTGGTGTGGTAAACGTTTCCTGGACAAACCTCCCCAGAAAGAAATCAGGCGAACCCCCCATGTTTTCTATTTATCTCGTCAGCGTGGAGGTCCTAGCCAAGGAACTTACCGGTCCCGCAGAGGTGGAGATATTAATATCAATGGGCCGTATAGATGATGTGATTGGTGGATTGTACCAGCAAATCGTTCTCGCATTCGTTCTCGCATGAGACCCACTTGGAGACCGCTTATCGACGAATCGGCGACGTGAGAATGGCCCGCGTTCTGGTCGTTCCAGAGTTATATTTGATACGTGACGATCGAGGCTCTGATTGAACTTTGGCGCTCTTCTCCGACGGGCTAACCGCAAGGGGTGAATGCAGGTTTAATGATCAATATTTATAGTTTTCTCGATTGGGTATTGCTTAAGTGATATGAATCTCAACGGTCTGTACAACATGCTGTCCTTGTAAGGATGATCAATGCCGAATGCTCGGCATTGACTTGCCTCGTCACATGAGTTGACTTTAAAGGCCCTTGTTCCCTCCGCCGCACCAACAACGACCTTCCCCATCTCGCTCCACCTGAACCACGATATCCACATTCTTATCTTTGAGATAATCCACAGTTCTCTGTCGGACATCTTCAAGGTCCGAGCCACGAGAGGCAATGACGTGAATGACACCAAAAACATTCTGAGCTTTGTGCTCATGGGTATGGTCATGGTCATGGTCATGGTCATGATCATGATCATGGTTGTGGTCGTGTGAGTGCCCGTGGTCGTGGTCATGGTGGTCATGACTGCAGCTATGGTCGGTGTGGTCGTGTGAGTGTCCGTGATCAGACGAACCCGTATCATCAAGCCAAAACTTTGGCACAGTATATCCGACAACTCCCCGCAAGGTGCTGACCCCGGCTAGGGTTTCACGAATATTGTATTCCGTATCGGCTGGCAAGGCCAGAAGCAAAGTTTTGGCTGTGCTGATGACCAGCGGGACAGCCGAAGCAAAGATTAAGATGGCAATAAAACACGAGGCTAGAGGATCATACCCGGCCCAGCCTGAGTAATGTACAAGAATGGTGGAAATAACCACAGCGACAGAACCAAGCGTATCGGCAAGAATGTGCAGGAAAATGCCGTGCATGTTCTCATTGCCATGGGAGTGATCGTGCCCATGATCATGACCATGGTGGTGATGGCCATGTTCAAAGCTGAAGATTCCGACCAAATTGACCAGCAAGCCAGCAAAGCTTACCGCCAATAATTCCCCAATGCGGTGCATTTCACTGCCCGAGGACAAACGCTCCACCGCCTCGTAAATGATCTCCACACTGATAATCCTGGTAGTTGTTAGAATCTATCGTAGGCTCAATGCACAGTAGAACTTACATTAGGAAAATCCCGTTAGCGAAACCGGACAATGTATCGACCTTTCCATAGCCATATGGGAAGCGAGCATTGGGTGGCCATTTACTCATGACCGCCGCACAAAGACCAACAACAAGGGCAAGACAGTCAAAAAACATGTGGATACTATCACTGAGAAGCCCAAGGGATCCCGTCAAAAAGCCATATGATAGCTGGACCAGCATGAATGTGAAATTCAAACTTCAAACGTTAGTATTATGGGTCGCAGTGCAGATTGGCAAACTTACCACATAAAGTAGAAAATACTGCGGGAATCCTTCTCTTTCACAATGCTGTAAAGCAAGGGATATGGTTCGCTCCGACGGATGACCCATTTGGTGATCCGCGTAGTAGACTCGGGAACGTGGGCATGACTGGCCGCGTGATTGTGTGTGTGGTTATGTGAATGGGCATCCAAGCGCAGGTGGCTATCGTCCATTCTTGAAGCAAAGAATGAGACAACGGCCAAGATACAACGCGCAGCGTAGACAGGCAGAATTTCATCCCGGATATGGGGGGAGCAAAGAATGGCGGCAGCTCCAGTACAAACGGCCAGTCCACGCTTATCGGGAGAGCGAAACCCCGTTGGAAATGAAGCCATCAAGGAGATTGCTAAGAGTCCAGCGGGGACTAAAATATACAGTAGCTCTGATGATTGAAAGGGCAGCCCCCGGGAAACGATCATTCCCAGAGCAAGAAGAAAGCCTCCTGAAACCAGAGCCAAAGGCGCATCGGTCGTGACCACGACGGCCGACCGGCTGCCTGCCGACTTGGCCTTCGAGATCGATTCCGCAACCAGACCAGGCTCTGGAACAGGCCCTTGATGACGAAGAGAGGGGAGAGGTGGTGAAATGACAAAGACGGAAGTTAAAAGCGCTAGATACCCCATGAAGGGGGAAGAGTCCCACGACTGATTCAGGCCGAAAAAGCTCAATACCATCACACTGGCCAGCAGAGCAATGGTCAAAATCTTTTGACTATATTTCTCCGAACTCGAGCCACGTAGATCAGCTTGCACCAAGTTCGGGACCCCGGACGCCGTTGAAAGAAGCAACGAAAAGGCAACCAGAAATCCGCCTAATTTTAAAGAGGCGTAAATTGGAAGTCCGATCGAGCAGGTTTGCATAAAGGCAGCTTGGGCAGTCTTTGTATTGGGCGTGGGGAACTTTGTCGAGGCAATGGAACTTCCCGCTTGGCGTTTACGCAGGAGTTGGCCACATCCAAATGCTAGGAGCGTGAATGCGGTCAAAACTCCTGCCGTCTGCGCAGCGTGTCCAATCCCTCCGAAAGGAGGGTTCTTCCCTGTAGCGCTTGGCGCCTGGCACGCCTCTGCGCATGTATGGGGGTACCAGGAGAGTGCGACCCAGGGCAAGGCAATCAGGGAACCGGCGAGGATTTCGTGTCTACACCAAGAAGTCAATTCACATCTATGTCTGATACGATCTCAGCGACTCACAGGTTTTCAGCGCCACTTTCCGGGTGCGCCTCTGGCCCCGAGTTGAGATGGTGTGAATGCGACAAATCATGGATCGACGCGACGCTGTGGTTATGGCCATGTGAATGGTGACCATGGTGGTCGTGGGACACCGAATGAGAATGAGAGTGTGAGTGGTGAGGCAACGAATGAGAGGTGTGGTCATGAGAATGGCTTCCATTCACAGCGTTTGTAATCTCGGGGGCTTGCGATCCGTTCACATTGACCCCGAGCGAGGGTGGTTGTGCATATCGGGAGCGAGTGTGGCCGCGACTGCGGCTATGGCTATGTGTGTGACCATTGGATACGGGTAAAGGAGCGTGGTCCGCATCTGATGACGGCCCCATCGACATTGTAAAATTCGGTGGGTAGGAGATTGCGGCGAGTAGAAGAGGGGTGATGCCGCTCGCCAAAATCCGGGGTTTCGAAGCTCAAATCGGGAGGCAAGCACTTTGAGCCAGCATTGCGCGTCGTAGCTGCAAGAGTGGGGATTGAGGAGTCGAACTAAAGCTCCGAGTGGAGGACCACGTATTAAATTGGTTCTTAACATCTCGCGACCTTGGGGACACGTGATATCCCTTATCGCAACTCAAGTTCAGTTAACATCACTTATTGAGTGGGACACCTGCATCATGATGGACACTTTCATCAATGTTGCCTTCTGCGTATCCAGTCTGGTAACGGTGTTGATGCTACTGCTCCCATCGCAGTATGATCCCCGGCCTTCCACTAAGGGTACACGCCCAAAGACAAGTGTACAGATCCTCGTGCTAGGAGACATTGGTCGCAGTCCACGCATGCAATACCATGCCCTAAGTATTGCTAGAAATGGTGGTCAGGTGGTGATTATTGGCTACACAGGTTCGCAAAGAAGAAGAAAAGAGAGAGAAAAAAGAAGCTGTCAGCTCAACTGCTAATCCATGCAGAGTCCGATCCTCATCCCGATTTGATCTCCCACCCAAACGTCACCATTGTGCCTATTCGCCCCCATCCAACGATCCTTCAAACAAGCAATAAACTCCTTTTCGCGCTTTATGGGCCGTTGAAAGTGTTATTCCAGGTCGTATGCCTGTGGCGTTGTCTGGCATATACTGCCCCACCATCGCGGTGGTTGCTGGTGCAGGTAGGATATGTACACAAAACAACCTTGGAAAGAAACTAACAGTGGCTCGTCAGAACCCGCCCTCGATCCCTACACTCGCTGTCGCTTCTTTGTCTTGCTTCCTACGACAAACGCGACTTATCATTGATTGGCATAATTTTGGGTATTCCATTCTAGCTTTGAAGCTCGGTCCAAACCACCCGCTGGTGAAAGTATCTCTTTGGTATGAAAAGATATTTTGCAAATCGGCATTCGCTCACTTCTGCGTTACCGACGCAATGCGCTCGGTTCTCAAACAAGATTTCCAGCTGCAGGCTCCCATCTTGCCATTACACGATCGCCCTGCGAGTCACTTCAGCCCAATTCAAGATCCCGACGAGCGCATCAAATTCCTTGCACGTCTGCCGGAAACAAGGGAGATATGCTCTAAATCCATCAGGATACGTGTTCTTGTCAGCTCGACCTCCTGGACACCCGATGAGGATTTTTCAGTCCTCATTGAAGCACTGCTACAATACTCGAAGCTCGCCACCTCAAACACCGACCTTCCCGATATCCTTGCAATCATTACCGGTAAGGGGCCACAAAAGGAAATGTACATGCGGAAAATTGCGACCCTAGAAGCGGCGGGTAAGCTTGAAAAGGTCACGATTCGTACTGCGTGGCTGAGCGTGGCAGACTATGCCAAGCTCTTGGCCTCTGCATCGCTAGGGGTGAGCCTGCACACCAGCAGTAGCGGAGTAGATTTACCGATGAAGGTAGTTGACATGTTCGGTGCTGGCCTTCCGGTCGTGGGCTGGAACCGCTTCGAAGCATGGCCGGAGCTGGTGACAGAGGGTGTGAATGGCATGGGCTTTGGCAGCGCGGATGAGCTGGCCGAACAATTGGCCAAGCTGTTCGGTGATGACAAAAAGCTCGAAGCCCTTCGCGTGGGTGCGCAAAAAGAGAGCACTCGGCGATGGGATGAAGAATGGAATCCCATCGCAGGCAAGCTGCTTGGTTTGAACTAGCAGAAGCGACATGCAATCCATCAATGAAAAATCTGCTAAAACACCAGTCTCTCCACCAATGAGTGCCTGGATCACCATTCATGTTCGACTATGATTACGTAGAGACTGCTGACGCTAAACACTAGCCTGAAACTTCATGTCGCAGAAGATGCACGTATCAAACGATTCAAAAAGCCGCATGAACTTTGGGCCAACATGACCTTTGCGCACGCGGGCAAGAAGATCCTCGTCGAAATACTCCGTTCGGCAAATTGGGCAATACTTGGATATACCAGGCTCCTGTATTGCCATGAAGCTCAGTCCACAGCGTACTAGACATTTATTAGCATGAATCAACTCTATTCGGGGTGGGAACTTACCCAAGAGATGCCCATTTGCACATTGCGCTTCGTTCACAGAATCCCACGCAAGGCCTGTTTCGCAGATCTCACAATATTCGAACAAATGACCGCCGGGCATTGTTTGCTGATCAATTGACTTGGCCAAGATGGTTGAGGATTCAAGGCTACATTTGGAAATTTCGTCGCTCAGATCCGCCCCTGTGCTATTTGCCAATCGCTCTAAGGACTTTCGAGCTTGGGCGCGAATGGAGTCATTGTGTCCATCCACTATAGCGCAGCACGCTGCAGCGTAGACGAGCTTTTCATCCTCTTCATTTGATCCCATATCCTGTTCACCGCTGGCAAGTACCGACGAAATGGCCTTTTCTCGTTGATCGCGAGCGAATTGCGGTTCGCTATCCACCGTATGTGGTGCGAACAAGGTGCTGAAATCCGGGGCCTCCAGTGTATTTTCATTCGTGAATATGATGGTTGCTCTCTCGTTAGAGGCAACGCGGTATTCAACCATATCTGTCGGATGTCTTGTGAAGAGAGCCGCAGTTAGACCGCGGTACGTTGATAAACCCCAAACACGGGCTGCGGTGTATCCTCCCAGATCACGATCCAGATCGTAGTCTTCTCGGAATTCTTCGACCACTTTCATCCAGAGTGGAACTTGCCACGGTCCAAGAGCACTGGATTGATTCATGGTAATGATAGTCCCTAAGCCACCCAATGTGCCCATTTGAAGAGTACATGTGTTATGTTGTTCGGCTAGAGTGGTCAATAAGCCTGGAAAAGTTAGTTGAAATTCAGACGATAAGGCCAGGTCACCTACTTGAAACGTGCTCCAGATTCCGAGGAAATGATTCGCCCTCTGGAGTAGGCAAGGATGAGCAAGGCCATTCTTGAGTCTTGATCCCAGCAATATCTGTCTCACTGCCATCACACACGGACCGAGGAAAGGAAAGTGCGAGAACACCACCAATCATTCCCACTGCGAGAACAATCATTTCGGACTGGCTCTGTACTCGTAGTCAGCAGCAATAGTTTTAATGTGGATCTCCTTTACATACCGTATGTAACCATTCGAGGGGACCTGTCATTCTATGAGCCCAGCTTTCAGATGTGATGAAAGGGTGAGGTTTGATCTCCACCATTGCTTCGTATCGTGGTGTAACTTCCACTTCGTGGTCGGACTCCCCCTAGCGCAACAGTGGCCTGTAGAATCCGGAGCTCTGTTCCATAAACGACTGCAACCAGTGTCCTTGCGGAGTGCACAGGACCATTGTCCAATGTGGGTAAGTTAAGCCACGGACCACACATGACTGAGGTGATCCGCGCTTTGGATCGAAGCGCACTTTGCAAGAGTGATCCAGAGCTAGCCATTGGAAACTGCTTGTCAACTCCATTCAAGGGGCAGGCAGTCAACTTGGTTATTATGTATGCATCTGATGAAGCTTGCAATCCACTTGGCCGGTGTACCCGAAGTAGAGCCACCTCATTAGCATCATTTGCGATGGCCAGCATCTGGACACCCCAGCGAGACTCGGGTGCTGTTGCTGATTCAGGCCCGTCGGCGGAAACTTGCAGTGGCGAGCACCAATGGAAAGAGCGGATGCTTGCCCTGCGAAGGTCAAGACCACCGATATCTTGAGATCCTGGATTCGGCTGAAGTGCGTGGTTCACTATGCAGACCCGAGTCCACTGGCCATTAATTCCAACCGGTTCCCAGAGGGAAAGAATCAGGTTGGAGGTCCAGATGGCCAAGACACTCCTTCGGTACCGAGCTAGGCCTGGTGGTGACCATGAAAGTCCTATCACGGAACTAGGTGACTGTTCCACGGCGATGGAGAAGTTATCTCGGTTTTGCGGGTAAATCATGCCCCACTCAGCAACCGTGAAGACATTGACCTTTGGAATGCGGGTAATTTGCCAGCCATTGTGGTCTCCTTGTTCTGATTTGTGGTTCGCAGGTCTCCATGTCTGTTTGAACGTTAGCTGTGCTGTTTTCCAGCATGTTTGGGTTGAACTCACCAATATCTGAACTTGATCACCCGCGGCCACGGCAAGTTCTCCGTCTGGGGACCAGTCAAGGGCCCCAAAACAGGATGGAAAGAGAGACAGCTCCACCGAGCTAGACATTGTGGATGGGTTGGGGATTTATGCTTCCAAAGGTTGAAGATTCAATGTCGCGTTAGGTTCATCTGGTCTGAGCAGCTCATATTCTCAACGAGGAGTGAAAAGAAACGATCGTTCACTTGACGCGAATGCTATAGCTACCCGATCGGGTTAGCGCCATTCCACGCTGCATGAATCCAATTTAATTTTCATTATGTTTGCGTCCAAAAAATCAAGGGAAACTTGGAAGGAACACTTGGCTAGATATAGTTATAGACATTTTCTGAACATTTAAATCGAAATTTCCGAGCCAACTGGAAAATCGCGACCGCGGCCCAATGAGTACATCCTAAAGTACTGTACTAGTGAATTTGGAATGCACAAATAGTACATATATATAACTGCATGCTTGCCTACCTTCACTCGGTAACTTTATCACATGGAAGCTAGATTCAATACTTTAAGGAACTCGATACGTGATAATGCAAAATAACATTAGAAATATTTACAGAACCTTTCAAGATTGAACAAGTTGAATGTCAACAGGTGGTGTGTGGGTATCATTAGAACGTTCATGGATCACATTTACTCCACGCGATCCAGTCTCTGCACAACCATAGCAGAAGCCGCACCACCGCCGTTGCAGATGGCAGCCACACCATATTCACCAGGTTGGAGCTGGTGGAGAAGAGTTACCAGGATACGAGATCCAGAGCTGCCAAGAGCATGACCCAAGGAGATAGCACCACCCAGCATATTGACATTAGCATCCTCCAGACCGAGAATCTGAGTGAATAAGAGATTAGCTATATTCTCATCGATCCCATAGCGAATATAAACTTACCTTCTCATTGGCCTTGATGACCGCGGCAAAAGCTTCATTAAACTCCCACACGGCCACCTGATCCTTAGTGATACCAGCACGCTCAAGTGCGACCGGAACAGCCTTTGCTGGAGCCACGGGGAAGTCGACCGGGTCAATAGCAGCATCGGCAGTAGAGACAATGCGAGCCAGGACCCGTCCCCCAGTCCCGAACTCCCGGGCCAAGTCCTTGTTGACCAACACCAAGGCAGATGCGCCATCGTTCATAGTAGACGCATTGCCTGCAGTGACGGTGCCAGTTCCATCCCGCAAGAAAGCAGGCTTCAGGCTGGTCAGTTTATCCACGCGCAAATTCTCGTAGCCCTCATCCCGCTCAATAACAATCTCGCCCTTCTTGCTCTTGACCGTGACGGTGGCAATCTCATCCGCAAATCGATTCTCCTTCCAGGCCTGCTGGGCCCGCTCGTACGAGCGAATTGCATACTGGTCTTGATCTTCTCGCGAAATCTCGTACTTCTTGGCGGTCTGCTCCGCGCAGATACCCATGTGGAATTGGTTATACACGTCCCACAAGCCATCCTTGATCAGGCCATCCTCCAGCTTGATTTCGCCGAAGGGCGGTAGTTGACTAGAGCGGGGCATGTAATACGGCACTCGGGTCATGTTTTCCATGCCACCAGCCACTTGTGCCTCTGCCAGACCCAGTTGAATGTTCTGAGCGGCAATGGCCACTGACTTCAGGCCGGATGAGCACACTTTGTTAATTGTCACGGCCTCAACAGTGGAAGGCAGGCCGGCAAAGATGGATGCCTGCCGAGCGGGGGCCTGACCAACTGATCCTTGCAGAACATTTCCCATGTATACATCGCTGATCTTCTCCACGGGAATTTTGGACTTGCTGAGAGCAGACTTAATGGCGACAGCACCTAATTCAGGAGCCGAGACGGATGCGAATGAACCATTGAACTAATGAAGATATAGTCAGCTAGCGGCATCTAGGAATTGGTTTTTGACCCACAGACCTTGCCTGTCGGGGTTCGAGAAGCACTGATAATGTAGGCATCCTGAATCTCTTTCAGCATCGAGCGTGCGGAGCTGAACTGCCTCTGTCCCCGAAATGCGGGGACGACAGCCCGCTTGGAGAGGCGAACGGACAGCCCAGTAGCGATGATCATGATTGTTTTGTGTTTGGATTTGCTGAGGTATAGCTATGTTTAAGAGGAAAGATGAGTCTGTTCGATGGCAAAGGCAAGAAAGAAGAAGTTACTAATTCATAGCCCTTGGGCCAAGCACACGGAATGCACCCGTTCCCGCAACCGCCTTTAGCCGCCTGGACCGAGGCTGTTATAGATCACATGATATGACATAAGTGAAGATGTCGGATAAACACACATTGCCAGATACGGGCAGTTTCCCCACATAGATAGTAACTCCGAATCGTTCCCCTCCTCGTGCTCTCGCAAAGAAACTCATAGTCCTTCAACGCTGTAGCTCCTTCTATCCTTTACAACACCGTCGGCTTCTGTGCAGCTTTTACATCAAGCAAATTTACACCTTTATCATGTCGACCTCTGCTCGCCGTCGCCTTATGCGTGACTTTAAGGTACGTTCACCTTCACTGGGCCGTTGGGGTGATGTCAATTGGAGATTGAATCGAGAATCAAGCTCAACTCAAACAACCTTGGCATTTGTGGACTTTATATGCAACTTGCAGTCAGCATAATGTGCTTCTCTTGATAATATTGCCCCTCACCTCTCATGGTCCTCATGACAACCTTGTTTGCCCCACTAACTCAATCGCTCAGCGCATGCAAACCGACCCCCCCGCTGGCGTCTCTGCCTCACCAGTAGCCGACAACGTCATGACCTGGTACGAATAAGCTTAGACGACCCTGAATTCAATCGACTGATGAGTTGTTAGGAATGCTGTCATTATTGGCCCCGCGGACACGCCCTTTGAGGATGGTACTTTCCGTCTGGTGATGAATTTCGAGGAACAGTACCCAAACAAGCCACCTGGTGTCAAGTTTATAAGTCAAATGTTTCACCCGAATGTATATGGCACGGGCGAACTCTGTCTGGATATTCTCCAGAACCGCTGGAGTCCAACATACGATGTGGCGGCCATTTTGACTAGCATCCAGAGGTAAGGCCCCGCACTGACTTGCTTTGTGTCGAATTACTGTCTAATTCTGGTCTTTTAGTTTGCTCAATGACCCCAACACCTCTTCTCCGGCCAACGTCGAAGCCTCGAACCTTTACAAGGACAACCGCAAAGAATACATCAAACGTGTCCGAGAGACCGTGGAGAAAAGCTGGGAGGATTAAGCCATTCTTGACTCTTCCCGGCTGGTATTATGCTTAAAGTTTGTCCCGACGTCAGGAGACAAGTCCGGGATGAAATTGAATTGCCCCCTTCAATGGGGCTGTTTATGCAAAGCATGGGGTTTAGGCGCCTGGTTCTTGTTTCTCTTTTTTTCTTCTCATCTTGTCCCGGTTCAAATCTTCTCATTTTTTACTTATTTCCCTGGTGCATCGGTCACTCGTCTTTCCATAGCTTCTATTGCATTAGCATTTTCCATTCCATCATGCCGTTGTGACTGTAGAACAATAAGCGACAATAGTTTGACTAATACAATATTGAAATCTAACTGAGGCTTTGGTGTAGTTCAGTCGTGTTTTGCATGTTATGCAGTATACTTTTCATCCACCGTGCTCCGTCTGGGGCGGTCGGCCAAGAACGCCAACCGGCGACTGTCAACAAATCCACACCCACACATCTTCTCTCTTTACACCCCCCGAATCCGCCTGGTGTGCTGGATTCTCTGCGTGTTACATTTCTTTTGCGTTTCTATTTTTTCGTTTTTCACTTTTTCGCGCTAGTGGAGGAACCCCTGACATTGAACCCTCCAAAAACCCCGTGACATAACTCAAAACCCCTCGAGCTTGGTCTGCCCCTCTTAGGGGGGTTTATTTGTTTCCGCGGGAGGTTCTCTGCAAACATGGCGTGGGTGCTTCCTTTTGGTCTGTATGCGCTTCAAGGGCTTTACTGACTGTATGAATAGGTCCGCGGGGTCGAACACCATCAAGGGTACGCACAACACGAGCATCGGATGAAACTACAGCTAACCCTCGATGTGTATAGTGGTCGCCCGTTTCCGTCCTCAGAATAAGGTGGAATTGGGCTCTGGTGGTACACCGATCGTTGACTTCGAAAACGAAGAATCATGTGCTATCAACGTGAGCGCGTACCTAGGAGATAGTGTGACGCAGGCATGCTAACGAAGTCTAGTCGCGAGAGGGCACGGGATCCTTCACCTTCGATCGTGTGTTCCCTATGGGCTCACCGCAAGCCGATATCTTCGACTTCTCGATTCGACCCACTGTGGACGATATTCTGAATGGATACAACGGAACGGTTTTGGCGTATGGTCAGACGGGCGCCGGAAAGTCGTATACAATGATGGGTTCCGACATTGATGACGAAGAGGGCAAGGGTATCATTCCGCGTATTGTTGAGCAAATCTTCGCCAGCATCCTGACCAGTCCGAGCAACATCGAGTACACTGTGCGAGTCAGCTACATGGAAATTTATATGGAGCGCATTCGCGATCTGCTGGTGCCCCAGAACGACAACTTGCCCGTGCACGAAGAGAAGTCCCGCGGAGTCTACGTCAAGGGACTGTTGGAGGTCTACGTGTCGAGCGTGCAGGAAGTATACGAAGTTATGCGCCGCGGTGGAAACTCTCGCGCTGTGGCAGCCACCAACATGAACCAGGAGTCTTCTCGTTCACACTCTATTTTCGTCATCACTGTCAGCCAAAAGAATATCGAAACTGGATCCGCGAAGAGTGGCCAGCTGTTCTTGGTTGATTTGGCCGGTAGTGAGAAGGTCGGCAAAACTGGAGCAAGTGGACAGACGTTGGAAGAGGCCAAGAAGATTAACAAGAGCTTGAGTGCACTCGGCATGGTCATTAATGCGCTGACGGACGGCAAATCAACTCACATTCCGTACCGTGACTCAAAACTCACTCGAATTCTGCAGGAATCGCTGGGTGGTAATTCGCGGACTACCCTGATCATCAATTGTTCGCCCAGTAGCTACAACGATGCGGAAACTATTTCGACCTTGCGATTCGGTGTACGGGCCAAGGCCATCAAGAACACTGCCAAGGTCAATGCGGAACTGAGCCCGGCGGAAATGAAGCAACTTCTACGCAAGGCACAGAGCCAGATGACTACATTTGAGAGCTACATCTCTGCACTGGAGACTGAGGTCAATGTGTGGCGTGGGGGTGAAAGTGTTCCTAAAGATCGATGGACCCCTGCTCGCGGCAACGAAGTTGCCAGTGCTACCAGGGCAGAGGCGCGCGCCCCTCGACCAGCTACGCCTTCGCGATTGCAAGAGACGGCCCGTTCGGAGACCCCACGTCCGGACTCTCGGTTTGGAGACCGCTCAAGCACTCCCAGCCTGGTGTTGGAAAAGGACGAGCGGGAGGAGTTCCTTCGTCGTGAGAATGAATTGCAGGATCAAATCGCCGAGAAGGAGACCCATATTGTGAACGTTGAACGTGGTCTCCGGGAAGCTCGAGAGGAGCTGAAGTCCATGAAAGAGAACGCCGGGCGCTCGGGCAAGGACAACGATCGGTTGAACACCGAAGTTAATGAGCTACGCATGCAACTTGAGAAGGTTTCTTACGAAGGCAAGGAAGCGGCAATCACCATGGATGGTCTCCGGGAGGCCAATTCTGAGCTAACAAGTGAATTGGATGACGTCAAGCAGCAGCTGCTTGACGTCCGCATGCGAGCCAAGGAGACCACAGCTGCCCTTGATGAGAAGGAGAAGAAGAAGGCCGAGAAGATGGCAAAGATGATGGCTGGATTTGATCTGGGGGGTGAGGTGTTTTCAGACAACGAGCGCAAATTGCAGGATCTGATCCAGCGCGTTGACGCGCTCCACGAAATCAGCGCAGTTGGAGAGACGATCGCGCCCGATGATATTCTTGAGCTTCGGGCCAGTCTTCTGGAGACACAAGGATTAATCCGACAGGCCGAATTGACGATGAACGACCGAGGCGACTTCAGCGAGCTGCAGGACAGCCGCCGGGCGGAGCTGGAGAAGAAACTGAATGAGGTTCAACAGGAGTACGAAGAGCTTTTGACCCGGAACTTGGGCGAGAGTGATATTGAAGAGATTCGGGAGCGCGTGGAAAAGTCCTTCATCAGTCGGAAGGAAGCCGAGACCGCGGCGGTCGAGGAGCTCCGCACTGAAATCATTCGGAAGGATGAGGAATTGACCACGATGCGACAATCGCTGGTTGATACGCAGTCACGAACCTCCACCAACGGCACAGCCAGCAAGACCCTGCAGCAGCAGATTGCAGAGTTCGATGCCATGAAGAAGTCTCTGATGCGTGACTTGCAGAACCGCTGCGAGAGAGTGGTTGAGCTGGAAATCTCTTTGGACGACGCTCGCGAACAGTACAACAATGTGCTTCGGTCATCCAACAACCGGGCCCAACAGAAGAAGATGGCCTTCTTGGAACGCAACCTGGAGCAGTTGACTCACGTTCAGCGCCAACTCGTGGAGCAGAACAGTAGCCTGAAGAAGGAAGTGGCCATTGCGGAGAGGAAGCTGATTGCACGGAACGAGCGCATCGCCAGTCTGGAGAGTCTACTCCAGGAGAGCCAGGAGAAACTGACCCAAGCGAATCATAGGTATGTATACCCTCTGCATCTCCCTTTAAACCTATACTAAATTCTAGCTAGATTCGAAGCGCAACTCACTGCCGTAAAGGAGCGCCTGGAGGCTGCCAAGCAGGGTTCCACCCGCGGTCTCCCCGTCATGGATAGCAATGGAAGTTTCAGCTTTGGGAGGATCGCAAAGCCTCTGAGAGGAACAGGGGGCTCGGAGACTGTGAATACCGAGAAGATGTCGCAAGAAACCAAGAGAAGCAGTTGGTTCTTCAACGGTAAAGCTTCCCAAGCCTAAAGGTTGTTTATCGTGGACTCCGACCTTCCAAGGTTGTTCGGATAAATGCCTATTTACGCCTCTACGATTTGGTTCATCTTGCTTTGTTTGTTATTCTTTGTGGCTACTCGCTCCGTTGGCTTCCGTCTCTTTGATTTCCTTTGTTCCAGTACATTAGATCGTGCCCTGCATGGGGGACAGGGTCGTTCTTGATATTTTCCTTGTACATCAACCCAGATAGAATTGGCTAAGCTTGATGGATGCGATTTCGGGAATCGCGAGATGAGATACCTAGGTATATGCAATGACAGTCCAGAGATTTGATCAAGTTTCCTCAAATCTCGAGTTTAAAGAATTCTGCCTTGAACCTGATCAAGAAGATCTCGCTTTGTATTGCACATATTTGCCGATTATACTTTGCGCTAGGCTGATCAAATTGCTTCTGATTCTACCTTCAGAACCAGACTGGAAGAGAGATGGACGCAATTGCATGCGGACAAGTGACGCGACATGATTCATTATCTAACGACGAGCTGCTCGACTCTGATAATCACTTGCTGAACACAGAACAAATGGATCCGTACCAAGGTTAGAAGAGCTGGCATTTTGTCGCTTTGATGGCATTATTCGAAAGAAAGAATATCTAGGTTTTCCCTTCAACTTTTGACTTGATTTTACTCCAACATTACAATTTGAAATTTTTGTCTTCTCATTATAGACTGCAAAATAAAGGCTAAACAACTTCGTCCAAGTTGAGCCCATTAGTCTGTCTATTGGGGTGGTGGGAGGGGGGCGATATGGAGATTCAGAGTAAAATCATGGAGTATATACCCAGGTACCTACTTGCTCATGCTAATCTGTAGACTATGCTGGAATGTGAACGTGATAAAAGCGTGATACCCAATGGTCTATGAACCAGATTTATTGTATTCGACAGGGTTCCTCATTAAAGTGGTAGAAGTGCAGTTGTAAACGCACCAAACAACCCAGATTCTCTTAAGCCAGAAGTTTCTCCAATAGAGTATTCTCCACATCTTTCAAGTACGCCTGAACGAGGGCTTCGTCATCGTAGGATTCGTTGAAGCTGTAAATCATTCGCATCTGGTTGCGGAATGTATAGAAAGTACACAAGGGCTGCGACATAACGACTTCAAGACCCATCTTGAAATCCTCAACGATCACCCTTCTATTATTGTCGGCGGAAGCATAAGACTGCTTTAGGTAGCGTTCGACAATACCAACACTGCTGAATACGGCGTCACGAGCAGGGGGTAGAGTCAAAAACTCTGGATTCATCGCGAACTGAAGGATAGTGCTCTGGACCGAATTGGATAAAGCCATGTTCTCCGCAAGAGCTTTGCAAACGCTTTTGTATTTGTCAGCAATGACTTGCACAAGTTGCTGGAAATCATGGGGTATTTCAAGGACTAAGGGCCAGGTGGTGTAGTAGAGCGCCACGGCATATTCGCTGGAGTTATATGGCTCCGGGAGGTAGGGGCGAAGGTTCAATTGAAAGAACGTAAGGTACTTAGATTTGTCGGTAATGAGTGTAGAATCGGCATGTTTGGCGATAGTCAAGGCGAAAGCAGCGTGCACTGCGGCGGTCACCGTGAACCCACCCTTTTTACAAGCCTGGATAATGGCCTGGGTTGTTCGTTCCGAGAATCTGTATTCGCGCATCTGTGTAGGCCCCACCGGAACAGTGCCCACTTTACTTACGGGGCCGATACCCGGGTAAAAAGGCAGCGCATCAGTAGCTGTCTGTGACCCCTTGGCCACAGCATCTGCCGGTAGAACATCGGAATAGCCTTTGGCTTTTTCGAGCGAAGGTGATAGGCGAATAGCTTCCTCTCCGAATTCCATTTTGAGATTCGGATTCATCAAAGCGGTGAGATATGTATGCCATAGAAGCGTCATGCCTACCCCTTCGATGACACTATGGTGAGCTCGGATAACAAGCTGCGAGGCTTTGCGCACATAGTAGAAAGTAGCTTGCTGAATCGGTGGTGCGTCATTCGCAAGGGCGTCACCATCTTCCGTATCAGATACGATAAATGTCCGATCTAACCATAGCTGAAGGGCATCTTCATCGGGGACTTGGTAGACCTTCTTGAATCCCTCTCCCGCCGTCTGAGCTATCTGCGGCTGCTCATGACGAACTTGCTTCCACGCATAGCGTAGTGCGTCTTCTACCTCGGCATCTGGAATTTGCAAATCCACATTGAGCCGGGAGAATATCATATACTGGCGGCGGCCTTCGAAGAGTGAGCCCGAAACGTCCCCTATAAGAGTATAGAATGACTCAATGGAATTTGAGGGACGCTCCCAGCGATTTTCTGACACTTGGGACCAAGACATTGTAACTTCAAATTGTCACTCGAAGAAGGTGGGTAGATGGAGGAATAAACCTCCAAGATTGGCACGGGGTCGTACCGATTTATAGGCCAGTCGCAACTTCAAACTGTCAGTTGGTATACTAAGGTCTTTTTCAGACATCTGTAAGCGTAACGACCCCACATATGCACATTGGTGATGCTTTTGCACATGCCAGGGTGTATCCATGCGGATGTGGGGGCCGCATTGTAACACGCAATACCAGGCCTTCTGCGAGGCGACTACGAGACGCTTTCAACAGCAATTTTCAAGAATACAAGGGCTTGAAATGTTTTGGGGGAAAAGTGGAGATGGTGGTTACCAAGTGTTCCAACTCGCGTACAGCCTTGGAAGACTGTATATGCAGAGCTCCACCACAGTCTCAAGTGGTATTATTGGTGGTGAACTTTTCGCCCCCATCACTCCACAACTCGGCCCCAGTGGAGCTACCAACAGAAATGAATGGGTTGGTTGAAAAAGGAAAAAGTGCTTTGGACTGAAGCAGGGTGATGAATACCATTGGCCTCTTTGCATCTCGCGGTGCATTGTCCTCGCAGGATCGCTTTCTTTTTGAGGCCTCAGCCTCGTCCTTTTAATTCGAACACTCTTAGCAAAACGCTCAACATTAATGTGATGGACACAAACCTGTCTATCCAGAAGCATTTCACTGAGAAATCTTTCAGCTACATCCGGCCTCAGCTCCTTTCCTGAGTAGCAATCCTCAGTGCGGTGACCTTTGGCTCGACAGTACACCACTGATGTGTTGTACATTAGACCAGATGTCATTTCTCGTTCGGCCATCGCTCTATCACTTGCCCTTCCAATAGCTGCTCATTTTTTGATCAAATAAAATGCTCGGGGTTTGCCGTCCTGGTAGGATATAATACCACCTGCAAATGTGGAGATTAAACTACTCTAGAACTATGGTCCCCATTCAAAGACCTTCAAACATTGAAATAACTCTTCAAAGGAGTATCATGCACCTCTGACTAGGAAGAAATCTAAGAAGTCTTTTTATTTGCCTTAGCCAGATTTGCAGGGTGTGACTCCATGTTGTATTACCATAAATTGTAGCAAAGTTATCAAATCAAAAATAGACCCGCATGCGAGTCAGTAGATCACGCAACTCCAATAACCCAATGGTGCAAGTAAAAAGTGCCGACAGCCACGAACGAATGCAATATCATTCCACCTGTGTAAGGCTCCAGATCTCGCTCGCTCTATCATGCATTAGAGAGCACACCGAGCACAATGGACTGGAGCCCAAGGTCGATCATGAGTCCCGGGGATAATGAAGAAAATGACCATCCAGATGCACCATGATAAATAGAAGACAATGCCGTTCCCGTTTACTCCTCCAGACTATCGCGCACGCACCGACGTACCCGCTTCTTGAACTCAGCGGGATCCTCTCGCCACAGCCGGGCGGCTTCCACATTGGCAGGGCTCTCGTCGTTGGGGCTGGACAGCATGGAAATCACGGAAAGTAGGATAGTCTCGGGGGTCTGGACCGGCGACCAGCGCTCGGCAGCAGATTCGTAGCCGTACTTGTCCTCCTCCGGAGGGTGGAGAATGGAAATACAGACTTCGCCGTTAGGGTAGACTGGAGAGCGAACAAGTCAGCAAAATAATGATGAATGCGTATAGAGGACCAGGTATGCCCCGTCACAGGGTGTTCCCAAGGTCCCCATCTCAGGATGTGACAATTTACTGTTTGGGTGGAAGAGCGACGACTCAAACTTCATCTTCGGGGGCATGTGCGGATATTCCATTGGAAAGGTAAGGCGAGCTCGAAAAAAACCACCTGGATGTAGATGTTAGCATCTAATTGTTGCCTTGGTCCAAACCTTGGATGGCAAGGCAGGTTGTCAAGGCCCAGCCATAGCCAAATTAGCTGGCAAGTTGCCCCAAAAACGGTCATGCGCACCTCCATATAATTTTACATCGTCGGAGATCATCAGCATGACCTCCCATTCGAAGATGTTGTTATCGACCAGACCACAGCTGATCCCGGGAATGTCCTTGTCAGACTGCATCTGCTGCAGTTGACGGGACAGCATGCGGCCGGCGGGGGAGGTCGCCATCTTGGGAGGTCGAAATGATGAAGCAGAAAGTAGGAATGAATTAAATGATGAGAGTAGACAGCGGGGTGATTAAGAGTAGGTGAGGGGCGACGGCAGAACAGAGAATAAAAAAGGCGGTCAGGGTCAGCCGGCGTCTCCCCGTACATAGCCAATGGCCAATTACGTTATAATACTCGAGAGTCATGACTACGCAGTTACTGGGAAAGGCTAGGGCTCAACAAATGTAACATCAATCTTTGCAATCGAACAAAAAGACAAATGTAAGACTCAGGAAATCGAGGAGAGTGAGACAGTCGAGAGCTTAGAAGTAGTCAGTGGTGCCACATATTCTTATAGGTAACAATCCAAATTCAGCTAGGTTTCAAACCCATCTACCCAATGACGGGCTTCTCGGGGGATCCGTTACCCTGAGTGCCCTTGGGCATCATGTAAAACAGTTGGCCACCCAGGACAAGAGCGGCGAGTACACCCACGGCCATTTCCATGGCAAAGGTCTTAAGAATCACCTTAACAAAGCGGACCCGGGAAGCCCAGTCAAATGTCTTCCAGGCATCCAGCAAGCCAATCTTGCCACTGCCTCCAACAATTGCGGGCTGGACCTTGCCCCCGAAAGAGCGGTCAAACGGAACAATAGTCTCCTGGTCCTCGGGCAGCATGGAGGCTGCAACACGAACAAAGATTACGCGGGCGGGCACAGTAACCAGGAAGGCCAGGATGGCAGGAACCGTAGTCACAGCGAGCCAGCGGCACATATCAGCGAGAGTGTTGTCTGTTCCGGGGGTGATGTTGAAAGCACCCGCGAATTGAGCAACGGCCATCGGTAGAAAGAAGGCGGCCGCGGTCAGCGCATCCTCCAAAAGAGCAGCGGGGGCAACCTTGATCCAGGTACGGTAGCTGGGAATGCGCTGGTAGAAGCGCTTGGGGGATGGTTCTGTGATGACTATCCACACCCATGTCATCTGTAGACCAGACAATAGAATTCCGACGAGGGACTGTACGAAGAATTGGCCGATGAACGAGCTGGATGGAACGGGAATGATAGCCGAGAGGAATCCACGGGCCATGGTCCAAGTCATGAACATGCTGAAACCGCGGAAACGCGACCAGAAACCGGCACGAGCACGGAGATGCTTCACGGTGGTGCGCAGCTTGCTCGTGATGGGCTTGGGAGGTGGGGACGCAGCGGGCTCAGGGTCGTTGGGATCATATGGCTTTGTGAGATCATCGTTGTCGTTATCGATACGAACGTAGATGTCCGGGTTGGAGTCTTCGACAGCCGCGAGAGTTGCTACCACACCACCGTAGGTGTATTCGATCTGTCATCGGGGTGAGTTTGGTTTCATTATTTTTAAAACGGGTGAAAACTTACTGCACCTCCTATCAATGCAAAGACCAGAGCTGAGAAGATGAACAGAGCGACCAGGCTACCAGGAGTCTGCTCATCTTCAGGCTTGGATGGCAGGTGATCCGAGGCAAGCTCGACACTGCGGCGCATCAGATGCGCGGTGACTGCAGACATGATGAAGGCAAAAACCAGAAGGAGAAGGGTGTAAGAAAGTAGGATTCTTTGGTGGGAAAGCTCAGGAATAAGTAAGCGGTTGTCAACAAGGCTGCAGGCAACAAACAGGATAAGCGGGACCCTGAGGCCTAATCTCACACCCACGCTCCACTTTCATTCCACCATTACTACGGAGTGCCTATACTTTAGCAGTCCTTCATTGAGATCATTATTTAAATTATCTTTCTCCTCCTGATTTATTCTATTCCTTTTACCCAAAGAGATATTCGCACCTCAATGACTGGAAAAACTCTGCTCAGTTTAAATATAGATCCCCCTTAGTCGGCGTTCCACCCCGACCGTGCCCCAGCCAGTCCTAACCGAGGGTCAGGGTCCTCTCTGCAGTACACTAAGGCACTCTAATGGTCTGTGCAGCCAATCCAGGGACACAATTGTTGGCGCCATCGCGAAAACTTGCATAGCTTCGGGGCTATGGACCACTTCTTGAGGCTTAAAGTGGAGTCAACAAAGCGAGTACATCCGAATGGAGAGCGGTAACCGACCAACTCTTTCTACCTTTGCGAGGACATCCGATGCCTCTCCTGCTCATCTATCTCGATGAGTCAGCAACAGCTTATTGCCATCATCACGTAATTGATGTGTCGCCCAGGGTCACATGACAAGGGGTCTGCCAATAGTGCGAAGACAACAAAGATCAGTGTTGTTCAATGCATCATTTGATCGATTGCGAAGTACATTGCGATTTACAGATTGAAATGGCAAGCTCAATACAACTCAAAATGGGAGCCGTTATTGAGCTCGCGTCTGCGTGGACATTGGCAATTGCTCGGCATGAGATGCTTCTGATCGATCAAATTCGTAACTGGATGTTCCGAGGTTTTTCCGTTTCTTCTGTGATGTGAATAGGATAGTCAGCTCAATTTAAGATCTGGGCAAAAGCTTCTCCATCAGATAATTTGGACTTTCAAGGTTGTTACATACGTAGTGTTCCCTTTCATGACACCATAGTTGGCAATTAGCAGAAAAAAGCCAGGTCGGGGGTAGATGTAGCTCCCGAGGCCCCCGTCCTACTTGTTCTTCTCTTGTTTGTCCTGTACTATTGACTCATTGAAGATATAGATTCACGAAAGCGACATCCATGGATTGCTGATGTATAAGAAGATGCTCGCACTATCATTTTCTTCGATTTTTCCAGCTCGAAGCGAAATCGTCAAGACGATTCTCTGGGACTTCATTCCGCTGTGAAGTGAAATTCAAGCTGCATCCCAACAGAAAACAAACTGATAACAGTGTTGATCTAAGTAAGCAGATACTTGCTCCACCTAAGCTCTGAATTTCATCAAAGCGGTCGCAGCCTGGAGCTACTTGAAATAATAGAACCCAACCGCAGATTTTCCCGATCTTCTCAGATTGCGTACATCGTGGGCTATCCACCACGATGTATTATTTTCTATGGATACAGTATATCGTAATATTCAAAGTTGATGATAGGCCACATTAATTTACGGTAAAGTTGATTTATTATATCAATAGACCCTGGAAACATATATGCCCCACCAAATATTAAAATTGCAAAATTCCATCGTCTTCAGCCCTACTGAAATTAACCTTGAAAGCTCGGCCTAAATTGCCTTGACAAACCTTGGGTCTCGGAGTCCTCGGGCGCCGTCCTCGTAGTAATAGGCACCAACGTTTGAGACAATGCAAACGAGCGTTTTGTCGTTCAACCTTCGGCAACATTTGCTTGGACGTTTTTCGTATTACTTTGTACATGGCGATCAAAGAGTCAAATATGGGGGATGTGCATGATTTGCATGCCAATTACTTAGATCGATCATTGGCGTGTTCTGTTACCCCGCAGTAGTATATTCCCGAGGTTCATCTCGTATAACGACTCCACCTATGCAGCCTGCAATGCAGTGACAACTATCAGGTGGATCATGGTATTGCTGTCAGTACAACGGTGAGAAAACTTAATCCGAAGTTATATTTGCCAAGTCCCACAGTGCATGAGACACGGGTTGTGTTCAGTATCTACCAGTATTACCCGTGAGGCGTCCCATTGATTTCCCACTCTTATTACATGAACATTTTAGATGGACCTCAAGTAGTGGGTCCCGCCAAGCGAAAAAAAAAAAGAATTTCTTGATTCGCCTTTCAAATGAAAAAATTGACCGACGCAGGGGTCGAACCTGCAATCTCTTGATTCGTAGTCAAGCGCCTTGCCATTGGGCCAGCCGGCCTTGTTGAAGTGAGTCCCAGCTCATGCTATATGAGCCTGAGGAAAATTGAGCACATAATGAAATAAAATTTGGGTAGGCATGATCCTCATAGGAGGTCTAATATCTGTAAAGTACACTGGATCACACATATATGGTCTATGGACAGATGAACAAAAGGAAGAAATGCTGCTATGCATGTACGCCATGAAAATGGAAAAAGACAAAAAACCTCCTGCGCCTGAAATGCGACTTTTGAAACTCTAGACCTCGGACTCAGTCACATAGATCTCGGGTAACAGACCAGCTTTTTCTGGTACAATTCCGTCTTCAACGTGGGTTGTCCGTGAGCGACGGTGATGGCGGGGATGTTTGCGTAGCCCCAACCGGTAGGACACGGACATGATGACATGTCCAACGAGGAAGCCAAGCAGGCAAGCGAGCAAGCCAGCCACGGCGCCGAGCAATGCGGGGAGGACCACAGGTCGCACCAGGCGCATAAAGGTGTGATCGTGATGGCCGTGCGAGTGACGGTTTGTTCGATGAGAGTACGACGAGGGCGCAAAATATGGTGAAAAGATGTATCCAACAGTCGACTCCACCACGCTGCTGGGTTTGGGGTCGGCGACATCAGACTTCGCAGATTTGGTTGGTTCGGATTGGACAGATGCTTCGATTCTGGAAGGCTTCGTCGCCTTGGTCTCGGTGTGCTTGAAGAGGGCGCCCATTTCGGTCTGCCAGAACTTCATCTGCCATTTGTGCTCACCCTGGTTCTCCCGCGACTTCCCCGGTTCAATTCGAATCTTGGTAATGCGAGGGTTGCCATCTGGATGATCTAGCAAATCCAACACGACCGTGTTCGGCGTGACGGAGTGACCCTCACGATCCATAAATTCGACATCGACTCTCACAATGCCGTGCGGGGCGCCAACTTCATGGCTGGAGAGGGGTCGGACCTCCAGAGAGTAGTAGAGAGTTTCTGAGTCGATGCGCGTCTTCTGCGCACTTTCGTAGCGGGGAGCATGCACCTGCATTGACATGCTAGGTGGAAAGACTAAATCCCCATTGGCGAATAATTTGCCATCCTGCATGGACCATTCCACAGACTGGGGCGCATGTTAGATCGCGTGCTGTATGCTACTGATTTCGAACTTACCAGGTATGATTCCACCGAGGGGACGGGCTGTGAGGCCGGAAGATAGCTCAGATGAACTTCATGTGAAGAGGCGAGCGGGATTGACGAAGCGATTGCCCCGACCAGGAGGACGGACCACGACAGACGCATGATGGATGGAGAGAGTGAGAATGGAAGAACTGAAAAGCGAGGGGTTTTGGAAAGCGAGAACAAGGCTCTTAAAGTCGACCCCAGAGACTAGAACCAATCTAGGTTTACGGGCGGAAATGTGGTAATACATAAGTAAATATGGATGCCTGCCACCAGACTTCGGCGAAACCGTAATTGATTTTGAAATGCTATTCTTATGCCTAATACCGTTTAATACCGCAGCATTACCCAGCTAGTGAATCCTAAGCTTTTAATCCCGAGGTCAACGTGATTTTATTGGTGTATTTTAAGGATAGGGGCGCCAAGGGGTCTGGTAATTTATTTCTTTTGCAAGGCATGCGATCTGCACCGATTCTGATTGGCAGGATATTGGGGGCCATTCAATGCCCAGCCCAGTACAATTGAATAGGATATTTGATAACCTTCAATTCTATCACGTCTTCTTTGAAATGGAAGCAGAAAAAATAAATAAATTAAACTAAATAAAAAAAAAAATACAAGATTGGTACAGCCGCTACAGAAAAATCAATCACAAAGGACTAGTTTTACATCTTAGACAAAGCGGGTTCCACTCCACGGCGGCGACCGCATTCAGGGTCCGTGTCTCACAATTGTCGATGATTACCCCTTCTGTGATGTATGACCTTATGTTTTTTTAGACCTACGGAGAATTGATGCAGAGTACAAGGCTTGGCACGATTGTACTGTGTCGGCCTGCGGAAATATGAGGAAATGTACAGTATCGCTCTCCAAGTTGTATGAAGTCCACGTGTGGTGGTACTATATCCAGTGCTTGAAAGAAGATCCATCGGTTCGATTCTATTCTTGGCATCGGGTGGATCCAACATCCCTGCCCGCGCGATAATTGACACTAAACGTACGATTGCCGAGTTTGCAAAATTCTGCCCAATGAGCATGACTCGTCTCATCAATTAATAATTTTCTTTTTTCTGTCAGAACGATCGGCAAACCTAACACTACATGTGGTAGCGTTCGCGATTCATGGGCAGCCTTGTCCGATACCCGGATCACAATGCAAGTTTCATTCCCTCAGCCACAGGTCTCAAATTAAATTAAGGTAGCATTGAAGAGTCTAGTAGATCAGCTGCAGCCACAATGGCCCACTATATGTACAGTACAGCCGCATCTAGGCGGCAACTTATCAATAATACGGTGCAGTCTGCCAGTAACGACAGCGGAAATTATCAGATGAATCGCGGACCGGTCGAATGGTGTTGTTGCCAATATCCAGGAGCTTATTCTGCGGTCCATATCGCGAAAACACCGGCCCCACAGGAGACTTGGGGGCACCAAACTGAGCAAAGCTAGTGAAGTAGTCCTGCATGGCGAAAGCGACAGTGACGTTTTGGACCTGGAGTCCCGATAACCCACCATCAAGGCCGGACTTTCCAGGGTTGTAAAAAGTGTACAGGGTGTCCTGGCCGTGGAGTGAAGGTGGGACGCTGAACTCGTAAGCAAAAGTCTGGTTTTCAAAGGCCCAATTGAGATATTCGGTGTTGCATTCGAAGATGGATTCCGAGATCAGGAATGCGTAGCGCTCGATTGGGCTTGTATAGCCGTAGGTACCGTTATATACGGGCGGGTATAGCTCCTGAGTCACGTAGTCGATGACGTCTTGCGTAATGAAAGGGAAATATGCCTTCAAATACGTTGGAACCGCGCTGCTCGATATGCTTGCCGGTGGAGTGAACTCGAGTCCCTCTTCCGTGTTGTGTCCACTCATGACGGTCAGGTTATGGTCGAACTTCCCGTCCATGAGCAGCTGCCCCGGCAGCGCTGGCACGAAAGTGCCATCCACGACGGGGGTGTAAGTGAATTCTCCCCACTTGGACTGGGTCGCGACCTGGTAAGCGTTGGCTGCAATCAATTGACTTGACGGAAGCTGCCGCGCTTCATCGAGTGTGCTGACATTCAAAAGTTGGAGGAAGTTTTGCAAAGTCTGCTCGGGCTGCTTTTTATCGGGCATGGGAACCCAGGCTGGACTCTGCAAGATTGCTTGTTGGAATCGCGACGGCCCACCCGTGCCACCATATGCCGTGATTTGATGCATAATGGAGCCTGCACCAGCCGACTCCCCAATGAGGGTAACTCGCTGGTGATCTCCACCAAATAGGTGAATGTTCTTGTATACCCATTCCAAAGCAAAGCGTTGATCATGAAGTCCTACATTGGCAGTTCCATCTGCAATGAGAGTGTCACCTCCTAGCCAACCAAATGCACCCAGCTAACGGTGTCAGTAAAGTTTCCAGATTGCGGTCTCTCCCAGACTTACGCGATAATTGATCGCAACATACACAACCCCATCACCAACAACCGTGCTCCGATTGATCAATCCCGAGGGATCTTCCCAAACTTTATCGCCTTCAGTGTACCCTCCCCCATTGATCCAGACCATGACCGGAGCCAAACTCGACACTGAGCGATTGCCATGCGACCGATCAAAGATCTTCTTTGGAACAATCACATCCAAGAACAGACAATCTTCGGTGACATCCGAGTCGGACTTCGGCGGTTCATACGGGTAAGAAGAAATATTTGTGGACTGGTTGAATGGCGTTCCCTCCAATACACTCAGAAGGAACTCTGGCATGATATCCGAGGACCAGATGGGTTTGGCCTGGGGACACACTCGGGCGCCGGAGCCATTCTGGATCTGAGACCGATTCTGTGCCGGCAGTGCAGGAGCGCGAAATCGCAGGTCCCCCACTGGTGGGGCGGCATAGCGGATGTTGCTAAAATTGTAAAATTCTGGGGTGCTCTGAAACCTTATTAGCTATGTCAGGAAGAATGTGAGGAATGCTGACAGAGATGGCCTGATGTAGCTCATACGAGAGGTCTACGATCGGTAGACTCGATGCCGAGCAAAATGCCACGAGGGCGAAGATAAGGCATACTGCCACCATCTTGACACAAGTCGTAGTAGGAATTCAAATGCCCTTCTATATGAAGTTGCGGAGAATCGCTCCCGGTCCTAGGGATTAGAAACGACACCAAACAAGAACCTTGGAAAATGGCAAAGTCACTATTTCCTGTAATTTATTAAAAGCCAAAATGCAGTACCTTGGAGAGGATTAAGTAGTAGATGGAATGAGCGGTGAAATCTTTCCTATCCTGCATGCGGCGTTGACCGCAAAGTAGTAAATAGCGACGATGACACCGAGCGTGCCAAGGTTGCAGCCATGCAGGGAGATCCACATCACGAACTTTTACTTATAAATAGGCTCATCCATCTTGATCATTTCCAGGCTTTGGAGGCTTCCAAATAATGGCTCATGTGCATGAGCTGCAAATATAGTAGGTACGCACAGACAGTGATCCACAATAGCTGCATTCCTGAGCTATGATTGGCTCTATGAGGCTGAACAAAGAAAGCATATCCACGAACTACTTAGCGTCTACGAGTTCTGGGATTGGCTCTATGTAGTCCTCTACAGTACAGTTGCGCAACACCTGCAAGATGACGCAGCGATAAAGGTGCTACACCAACCTGAGCACCCCAAAGCCGATCGCCGCTATGGTACCTAAATGCGTATTTCTCCAATAGAATCACCGATCATCAACCTCTCGAATCTTAAAACCAATCATTTCGTTCGAGGCGATGTCATGACCACCCTGCAGCTTGTTGGCAGTCTCAACCCCGGCAGCCGGAACTCGGTATTCGAACCGCTTCCCCGGAGCCGGGACTGAGCCGTCGGGCAGGTCATACGGGAAGGGTAAATACTCGGGCAGCAGGCCAAGCTGAACAAGCACGGTCGCCTGGTCCCATGCAATGTGCTCATGATAGAGCCTGTCGCCGCGGATGTTTACCACCGAGGTGAAGGGAATGCGGAGTGACTTTCCGGTCGGTGGAATGCCAGGTACCCTGGAAACGTTAGAGAATTCAAATGTTGGCTTGGAGGTAACTTACAGCCAGTCAACCGGTTTCACATGGGTAAGGGAAAAGATGAATTCATCAACGATGCGATCGGTACCAATCGTGCGGCTGATCAGTTCAATCGCTGTATCGTCCGGGTTATTAAAAATGAAATGGTGGAGGTAGAAGTGGCTCAGACGAGCCCGACCAAGGCCACCGGTCATCTAACACTGATTAACTTCGTTCAATCTGAATATCGAGATATAACGCACCGTAGGAACATGATTCACGTAGGGTTCCTGCACCATGGTGGCCATGGTCTTTTCAACAGAGCGATCGCTGAATTCATAGTAAGTGTGCTCATCCCAGATCTTTTCAAGATCAAAGGTAGGCCCCCCAAGGGTCTTCTTGAGGAATGCAAGGCTCCTCGTATGGACAACCCCGGCTGTCGATATCTTGAAATCTGGATGACCAGGGATGATGAAGCCGGAGGAGACAATATCCGGATAGAGATAAGCCGTCTGCTGGTCACTTTTGGCAAGTTTATCACTTTGAGCGGTGGGTGCATGCAAGAGAGATCTTATACTGCCAGTAACCTCCCACGAGTCGAAACAAATCACGGCCTCGAGTCCCTCGAAAGTGTCGATGAAAGTGCGCAAAACGTCATCCGAAAGGGTGGTATAGTCCAGCTTAGATCCATATACTGCGCTGAAGGTCAATCTAGGTACAAAGGGTCGGATACAACATATTTAGCACACCTATCAACCCAAAACTGGTATCAGAGGTGCACTCTTGAAGATCGAGTAAATGTTGTCGGGCTTGAGAGACCAAGCTAGCTATAGCCTCGGTATTGCTATTCTGTACGTCAAGCGTTACCTGTGCCACTGAGAATCCCTCTTCAGCCCACTTCTGAAGTGGCTCAGGGTCCAGAGTTTGATTTTGCCCCTGACAATCCACAAAGGCTGCCGGGCGGAGGATAAACAGTCCCGGCCCACTTCCATAACGAGTAAGTGGGGGCTGAATGATAATAGGGCCAAATGCAATTGCTTTGGCAGACGGCAATATGGATGATTCAGTCATTTTGAATGCCGAGTTGATGTTCTGGGAATGTAGGTGAGAGGGGGTAATGATCTGCGTTGATAAGTGACGCCGCAAACATCTTACCCCACCTGGAGATGACTGCCGACCGAGGTAGTCACATCAACACAACCACGCCACAAGTTTGAGTAATTCATGGATGTGCTGTATGCTTTGAACTTATGACATTCTCCTGTGTGCACGCGACTGTAATTTCTAGACTCTAGTGTTAGCTACAAATGTTGGCTACAAAAGACCTTGTCATTGTAACCCACGGATTTTGGAATGTATTCTAACATTCCAACTAGTCTCAGAGGTACCTTTTCAAGATAAATAGCATATTGGTACTACCTAGATGCTACATCTTGTGGATCCAAGACTGGGCTGTCCGTCCCCGGAACTTCTTCCCATAGAGGTAGAATGGAATAGCAAAGAGACACCACAGAGTACACAAGCTCATGTTCAACATAATCGGCTTCACAAAACCACTCTCTGTAATCCATGGGGTGATGAACTTGCTGAAACCATAGCCCCACAGATTCTTATTGACCGTAATAGCGACGAATATAGAGCCGGCAACGGGCTTGTAGCTATCGACAGCATACGTGCTGACGATGGCTGGCAGGGCAGCAACCTGTATTCCAGCGGCAGTGTACCCAATGATGACAATTGCCTATAACGATGTTAGACTGCAAATTGCAGATTAAAGGACCCAGTACAACTTACCCGCCAATCCCATTTGTACTCGTATCCAAAAGCCACTACAAAATTCCCAATGACCATGATGACCACATAAATTACCATTGCCGGAAGTCGCATCTCGGGTTCTCGAATTCCCTTGTTCTTGCGAGTGGCCCTCATCGAGATCCAGTCCGAAAAAGGGCCGTTAGTAACCAGGCCGATGAAAGCCCCAACGAGTATTGCAAAGTTGAAGAAGCCAATTGTTTGACTGCTGAAATTGTAAGGAGGCTCAGCAAATGCCTGACTCTGGGTGAGGTTCAAAGTCAAGAAGCAACTGGCCGACCAGGACACAACGAAGGCGGATAGCTCGACAATCGGGAATGCTAATAGCTTCCACGGGAGCCAGAAACTGATGAGAATATCCTTCCAATTTACTCCCTCCAGCTGCCAGATTTGGAATTGCTTCTTGCAAGGAGATCCTTTGTGCAAGTAGGATTCCGATGTATGCTCTTCCATCTGGACATCCTCTTTCATAGTACCAAGTGGCTTCTCGGGCTCGGACTCGTCCCTACTTGGGGTTCGCTCCACATGAGCAACTTCGTTCGGGTGAGCACGGTGCCACTTGGTTTCCGGAAAGCAAAAGACGAGTAGGATCAGCGACAAGCCTAACAAGCCAACATTTAGCCAGAAAAAGCTACGCCAGCCAATGTGGTCTGCCATAGCCCCCGCGACTATCGGACCGATCATCAAGGAGCCAAAATAGAAGGTAAAGTATAGCGTATTATAGGCTCCACGCTCATGAAGGAAGAGAATATCTGCTATAATTTGCGGTTGGAGAGTCTATCATTGTGTAAAGCGATCAATCAGCCCATGGGTTCAGCAGGAGTAATGGGGTCTTAGGTCTCACCTCCGCAGGACCAGCGCCTACACCATTTAGAACACAAGCACCCATATAACTCCCATAACTAGGTGCCACAGCACGCCAGATATTACTGGCTAGACATATCAAAGTCGATAAAATAAGAACAGGGCGTCGGCCGAAGGATGTAGAAAGCGGAATCCTATGACATCAGTCAACAATGGCACCGATACTGATGTGGAATTCAATTGTACCAAAGAAAGTTGCTGAAACCCAATACCAGGATGCAGACTCCAGTAAATTGCACGATGTCCGATAAGCTCCTGTTGAAGGTCTCTTCCATCTGGGGCATCATAGGAGCAAGGGCTAGTGGCCCAAACCCTTGGCTAAAAGTCGTCAACGTGGCCGTGAACATAGTCAGGGCTTTCCAGAACCGGCTCCAATTCTATCAAATGATCAGGAATGCAAGGTGTTAGTTACGGCTGAGAATAGCATACCAAAGGATCGTGAGGATCTTGTGACGGCTGCGGGACCAAGACACGGCTGGACTTGGATGAAGCTTTGACGAAATGGTGGGAGCCAACATCAGCCATAATCTCAGTGCCGGGCAATATGGTTGTCCCCAGCTCCTCTTCGATTCTAAGAGAATTTTAGCGATGATTACAGTCGATTGGGCATACGAACTGGTGGAGGACCTAGACAACAACAAGATTAGTCGCATCCTCTGACAAACGAGTTTTGGGAAAAGACTCACCCCTTCATCATAGTTCATCTCCATTATGGGCAAATCAGCCGTATAGGTGGGGAAATGGGCTCCTGGGGTATATACTGTAGACTCCGATAGTCGGTATCCAACAGGTTTGGGATATCATCTATAGGGCGCGCAGCTACTTTTAAGTCTCTACGCAAACAAGCTACTCAAGACTAGAGTGCGGAATTGAGACACCTAAGAGTTACCGAGCTAATAGATCAACCTGTACCGAATAGGGGGAAGAGGGGGAACATAAGACCAAGCCTCGCTGGTGGCGTTGCTTACATTCCTTGTTGAGATAAATCGAAATAACCATTGAGGTGGCCAATTTCGAAAGATAGAGTTTGATGGCGGTCTTGTAGCCATCATAAGGAAGAATCCCGACACATGGTAGGTTGTGGACGGAACTATTAGACTCTAATTGTTTCCCCAGGCCCACTTTGACCCCGGATTCTCCCCGCACAGTGGGAGAGACGCGATTTACGAGAACATCATTTGCTATTTTTGGTTAAGTCGCCTACCATTGCCAAAGTTCGGCAATTCCGCACGGCATTTGGCCGCAAGGGCTTGATATCGCTTTACGGCAGGTTGAAATGAGATAGTACTTGCCTATATATAGTGATCGCCAATACACCAAATGCTCGGTATCACGAATTTAAAGCTTAATTGGTGTTATTGTTGTACTGGTCAGGGCCATTTTGGGGATATCCGCGATCACCAAAGCCGATTCATATATTATCATAATTATTATGATCACTGGTCTGAGGCTGCCAGAAAAAGTCCAACCTTTCCGAGGTAAAACAGGACTTGGGTGGCTATTAGGCTTAGCAGCACGGAGGGATTCCGCTCTAAAAAAGCCATCCAACCCATACCACAGCTGCACGAAGGCCACCACCACGTCGCCCAAATTCTCGCTGAGCTTACGTTGCACTCATCAAGCTCCTCGATTCCACGAAGCTTGGAGCTTTTGAACCACAGATTCAGTTGCCCAGCCAAGATCCGTCTCTACACCACTCAAGAGGTCCACGATGATTCGGTGCTCGTCTGCGCTCTCCAAGCACTGCCCCACAGCAAGCAACAAGGGGGTCATATATACACGAACCTCTCCTTTCGGTCGCCCTAGAGCAATACCAAACACCTCTCGACTTCGATATTCCACTTCTTTTGTCAGGTCCCGATACCCTTGCAAGCGATCAAACGCCGTGCTCGGCGCACTGACTACGTCCGTTGGTCGATTCAACAACAGGGCAATCCGCCCGAAATGATAGTGCTGCATCGCAGCTGCACAGGTCGAGAAACTATAAAAGACTTCGGGGAAGGGCAGCTGAGGACCGTCGGGCATTTTGGTCAGGTCTCTCGGATTCTCGATCCGTACACAAGGACGAAAGGTCTCCGGGACTCCCTCAAACCAAACCTGGAACTCGAAAGAGAGATCTAGCCAGGTATTTGTGTCGGGATACAGTTGTTGGTCGGGCCCTGGTGATGTTTCTTGATTTCCACCAGGCGAAGTGGACGGTGGGGATCCAGTCCACTGGGCAATCTGCGACTCCTTTGACTGAGCCAGAAAGTTAACGACCTTCGAGACGAGCCATGATAGACCGTTCGCTGCCTGATCCTCTTGGTTCAAATGTATGGACCCCATTTGAAATTTATGTTGGTCATCAATTGAAATTCCAGCTGCACGCCACAGGGGCAGACTGGTAGGGGGAAAATGGGTGGCGGATCTTGTGAAATAAGACCCCAGGTAGTCCTGCCGAGCGAAGTTCCAAAAAGAAGCACGGATCCCGTGCGAGAAAAAGGTTGAACTTGTCAAGTTCAGACTCAGGAAAGACTCAAACAACGGGCGGATACCCGAAAGATGCCTGCATCAGGTCAGTATTCTGATCAGAAGTTCGAGCAGACTGGAGCCTACTTGTGCCACTCGTCCCCAATTGAATCTAGAAGCCGATATACTGTTAAAAGTGTGACAGTCGCGAGCATCTCCTCGGCTTTCCGCAAGAGGCTCCCGTCGCAGCAGGTTTGTGCCAACTCTTTTGTTGCACGGGAATTCAGCCAGCGACCGACCGTGCTGATTGGTGACTCCAGTACAGCCGAGCTGGAGACCGCGGTATAGCCACCAGAACACGCATTGTTCAAGTCAGATGCTGCCATATAATAATAGTTGGCAGCCTTCAGGAACCAGTCAACCTGAGCAGCATTTGGGTATACCTCAGTAGTAGCAGGCCTTGTGAACATGCCATTTCCTGCAGATGATTTGGCGCCTTTGACTCGACCCAGCTGTTTTGCTGCTAAGGAAGCGATGGCGTATTTAAGGGACGGACAGTTGATGGCTCTAATGGGAACATAGACAGAGAAGAATCTTCCAGAGTCGGACAGGTCAAGCCTAGATGGGATCAATAAGAGAAGAGGAGCAGAGGAACGACATGCATACCATGGACCTATGATCTCTGCATAATGACGCGTGAGGAAAGCAATCTCGTGCTCGGTCCCGGTCATGAATTCGGAAAAGATGTCTTGGAACTCCTCCTTTTCGCTTCGCTGAGAAGGCGTCTCTGAAGAGGATACTCGCCGGTAATCAGCTGTTATTGGATCTGCGTTATACGCATTTCCGTGGGGAGGATTCAGTTCCATGGTGAAATTTGGTGAGATTGAGTTGTGAGCATTGCTCGAAGGCCCGCTTTCCCTCCCGGATGAGTTCAACCTTGATAATGGAGCTCCAGATACAATGGGATGCAAAGCCGGTGCGGTCGCACTGGGTTGATTTGGATCTGCCGTATTTAATCTTGCTTCTTCCATAAAGGTGATATTTCCCTCTTTTGAGATGCCTGGTATTTGATCCGGCGCTTCAGGCAGATTTTGAATATGAGCTGATGGAGCATGTTCTGGGGCCTGGAATTCATGAGCCTTGCTCTCGTGAATGGAAGAATTTGACATACTCTACCGGAATCCGTGGCGTGTGCGGGGTGAACCTCCTGATAAGGAGCATATCGGCGTCTTACCGTAGCTCCTTGATCGATGAATTTGCGTGTCTGAACATAGCCGGGGCACTCCACACCGGCCGCGGTGCAGCGCTGGCAATGTGGACGAGCCTCATCACACTGTGATAATCAGTTGACCGTTGTCGGAATTTTCGATGCCACGAACCTTCAGATGTCTCTTTTTACACCGCTCACACGCCTTGTTAGAAGGAACCCCAGGCATGTTTGGCAATGCGAAATTTTCACGGGATACGCATGCAACTCCTGGGTGCAAAAGATCAATATCTCCGAGGACACAGATGCCAAGGGTTCCAGGAGTTAGAGTTCCACTGATCTTCCAGGACCGATTGACGTAACAAACGGAAAGATAACCGTGGCTCAAGGGATCATGAAACTCGGATAAACGTCGGCAATAGCTCGGCTCGGCCGAGCTCAAATACTGACTTGGATGGCTTCTCATCACGAATATAGCTACCATTGGGAGATCTCTAGCGGAAAGTGAGACAACTTAGATTCAACCTTGGAAATCGCTTTTCACCTATCTGGCGTGATATCCTGGAATTTTAATCTGTTATTCAGAAATCGAGCCCTGCCCGGTCATTTAATGTCGAGATGGAAGTAAATATCAGAATTGTCCTTTATTTAAGATTTGAATGACTGGCCAAGTAGACCTCGGGACAAGGTTTAGATGACAGAAGTGTCCCATTCGTCAATAAAGGTCCACGGGTGTTGGGTGCCCAGGCACTCGTTATATATATAATGACCTCGCCAGACAAACATTTGAAGATTTGAAATAGAAAAGGAACGATGCAAGTGACAACAGTTTGAACCAAATACACATGACCTCCTGATTGTATTGAATCTTGCAAGTTTTGGATACATCTAGTCCTGAATTCTCTATTGGTCTTCTGTCAACCTTGGAATCTTAGAGCGGTACGACAACAGATTGTTTGTTCCCCTCATCAATGAATATTCACCGCAAAGTAACGTACAAAGGTTACATTCCTTTGCCTTTCCCCGCATGGAGTTGTCGGTCGATTCGCCAATCCTGCCCAAGTCAACAAGGATCGGCACTCCGCCAGGAACCCGGGGATATTGTGGAACCAACTCATTCTTCTTTCAGTATATTCTACGTCAATCATGCGGTCACAACCGCCTCGTTATGCTGGTTTCTGGAAGCAATCAACCAGTTTGCCTATCAATTATACCGATGTCAAGCCTGACTGGTGCAAATTCCCGATGCGACATGCCCTCAGTCCTACGGTCTAACCCAGATTTCGGTTGAATATGTTATTCCCTAATATGGGGCATCAGCGTGCCGATCGATTTGTGGAATGCTTCCCCGCGGCAGGCCACTTAGTAGATAAGGGAGATTGGCCCGCACATCGTGGATTTTGTTTCGGATGAAGTTATAAGGCGCAAAATCCGCAGGTTGATTGTTGATGTTTACAACCGGGTTCACCATGCTATCGCGAATGTCCCGCCCACGCGCGGACGTGCTCAGTGTTATTACTGCGGTTTTTTATGCCTCAGCTGCTATAGCTTCGCAAGATGTCACTGATAGCTTCGATGTATTGGATTATGTCGATCCCTTTATTGGAACCGCGAATGGAGGTATGACTGACGAGAAATCAGCGTGGATCATGAGTTGACAAATGCAGGCCACGTCTTTGCAGGCGCAACACTGCCATTTGGTAAGTCGATAAATGCGAAACGGCCGGTAGCAGAGCTAATAATGAGCAGGTATGGCCAAAGCTGTTGCCGATACGGTAGGAGAGAACCAGGCTGGCTTTGCATACGACGACACGACTGTCACTGGTTTCTCACATATGCACGACTCTGGCACAGGTGGTGTATGTTCCAAAGTCCACCAAAAGATAGATGGGAGCTGATATTCGCAGTCGCCGTCTTTGGGAAATTTCCCCATATTTGCCCAGCCTGCCTGTCCGCATGATGATATCAACCAATGTGTCTGGCAACAATCTGACAGAGCGGTGGCCTGGCTGGAAAATGATAAGTCTCCTATGGCTCGGCCCGGGTACTTTGGTATCTCATTAGAGAATGGAGTATATGCAGAAATGACGACCACCAACCGGTCGGCTTTGTATAGATTCACATTTGAACAATCTTCCAACACATCGAGCCCTGTGATTCTAGTGGATTTGATGGATCTCCCACAGTCTCGAACCAATGGAACGGCAGTTGTGGACAGATCAACCGGACGGCTAAGCGGAAATGGCACCTTTAGTCCCAGCTTCGGCATTGGAAGCTATGATTTGCATTTCTGCGTTGATTTCAAAGGCGCGAATCTCCGTGACACGGGTGTCTGGACTAAAAACCGCGCGAACTTCAGCCAAGAATTTGTTTCAATGCTAGCTGACGGCACAAATACCCCGGATACTCTATCAGGGGGTACGTTTGCCAGGTTCCACGCTCCCCAAAACAACACCATTTTGGCGCGTGTTGGTGTAAGCTTCATTAGTGTCAACCAAGCATGTGAAAACGCCGAGAAGGAACAGCCCGACTTCGACTTTGATGGGACGGTGGCAGTAGCTGAAGATGCTTGGAGAAAGAAGTTGAATGTTGTCTCCATCGATGCAGAGGGAGTTTCGAAAGATCTACAGACGGTCTTCTGGAGCGGAGCTTACCGGGCCTTCATCAGTCCCCAGGACTACACAGGTGAAAACCCTCTCTGGAAGAGCGATGAGCCATACTATGACAGTTATTACTGGTGAGTCAACTCACGCTTGCAAGAGGAGTGATCATGCTAAGTAAATCAGCATTTGGGACTCTTATCGCAGCATTCACCCACTCTTGACCATGGTCGATCCCGTTTCGCAGTCCCTTATGATGCGCAGTCTTGTGGACATCTATCGACACGAAGGCTATCTCCCTGACTGTCGCATGTCCCTGTGCAAGGGCTTTACCCAGGGAGGCTCTAATGCAGATGTCGTCTTGGCGGACGCCTATCTGAAGAAGGTTCCTGGAATCGACTGGGAAACCGCCTATGAAGCTGTTGTGAAAGATGCCGAAGTTGAGCCTAAAAACTGGAATGTGGAGGGACGCGGTGGCTTACAGAGCTGGAAGAGCCTCGGATACATTCCATTCGACGATTATGATCCCTATGGAGTGGGCACGCATACTCGCAGCGTATCGCGAACAGTTGAGTACGCATACAACGACTTTTGCATCGCTGAGATGGCCAAAGGATTGGGGCATTCAGCCGACCACGATAAATACGTCGCGCGTTCTGGAAATTGGGACAATGTTTTCAAAGCAGACCAGAAGTCCAGCATTAATGGAGTCGATACTGGCTTCACTGGCTTCCTGCAGCCTCGCTATACCAACGGTACTTGGGGCTACCAGAATCCCATCTTTTGCAGCCCTCTTCTGAACTTTACGTCGTGCTACCTGAACCCTACTGGCCATGAGACGTACGAGGGAAGCGCTTGGCTGTATACTTTGTATGTGCTATTCCCCATTGATTTTACCGTCACTAATTGTTTACAGCTATGCTCCGCACGACATGGGAGCATTAGTTCAGAGTCTCGGCGGAATGGAAAGTTTTACCTCTCGACTACAATTCTTCCATGAGTCTGGACTTCTGTACGTGGGCGATGAGCAGTCCTTCCTTACTGTCTTCCAGTTCCACTACTCTGGACGTCCAGCGCTGTCTGCCAAGTACAGTCACTCCTACATCCCATCTCAGTTCAACACTACCGTTGAAGGCATTGCCGGTAATGATGATAGTGGAGCCATGGGATCCTTCGTTGTCTTAAGCATGATGGGCCTTTGGCCGGTTCCAGGTCAGGATGTTTATCTTATCACTCCGCCATACTTCAGGGAGGTCAACGTTACAAATGGCATCACTGGCAAGGTTGCGACAATCCGGAGCATGAACTTTGACTCTAATTATGAGTCCATCTACATTCAGAGTGTGACATGGAATGGGAAACCCTGGACGAAGAATTGGGTTACTCATGACTTCTTTACGGAAGGTGGAGTTCTTGAACTGGAGCTGGGCGCGATAGAGAGTAAGTGGGGAACAAGCATTGAAGACCTGCCCCCTAGTCTGTCAGATTACCACAATTAGGACTTTCACTCCCTGACATACTCATGTATGGCTTCACTGAGCTTAATAATGTATGGTATTGCTTGAAGCTTCCAAGCGCCGTTTGGAATTTGCAAAGACCACGAGGAAGGGGTTCTTACGTGGCTACCCCACCTATCTCAATCACATCTTACTGTAAAGTTCGGCTGTGAACAATAACACGGCATCCAGATGAAGAGCAGGAATTAACCAGATCTATTCGAACATCATACCACTACATAAGTGGTGGATAACCATATTTCCCGTAAAAACCTTTTAACCGGAGTATGTAATCTAGCATGTGATAAGAATTAGACCACCCGGCGTGCTTCAATACCCCACATGCTAGTTTTTCTTTCTTTCTCAGGTAAAATGCCCTCACCTGGGCTTTCTCACCCAGAGTTAGCCGTTGCTACTCTTACATAGCCTCTATTCACTATAAGGTCATTCTGGAACCTTGCAACCCCACTAGGACCACAGGCATGGCGGCGCCCATTGTCTTTATTGTCAGGTTCGTTCCCCGCACTATCTGATCGCTTCAGCACTGACCTTGTCAAGACATGGCGCGCGTCTCGACGCTGCCGACAAAGACTGGCATTTGACCTCCCCAACTCCTTACGACCCTCCTCTCTGCTATGGTGGCTGGATCCAGGCTCGGGCCTTGGGGGTTCGCATCGCGAGTCTCTTGCAAACATCTGAGTTTATAGGGACTACGCCTGACGAATCTGCGGATGTCCCGACCAGTCCGCATCCATCCCCGGCCTCGGACACTGACAACCGGTACAACGTGATAATCCATACCTCCCCCTACCTCCGATGTCTCCAGACCTCCATTGCCATCAGCGCAGGTCTGAGCCAGTCACGCCCAAGCACGGAAGACCCCGAGGACCCCCCTGTGGACGCCGTGAGCCCTGATCTACGGCCCTTGGTGCGCGTCGACGCGTCTTTAGGGGAATGGCTATCTCCAGACTACTTTGACCAGATCACACCCCCGCCAGGCTCGGATCGGATGGTCGCTTTGGCCAAGGCAGAACTGCTGCGTCGGGGCGAAATCCTTTCTTCGGCACGGGAAGGGACCAGGGCATTGTCAGGCCACTTTCCGGGTGGCTGGGGGAGCCAAAGTCATCCCGCGTCCCCGAACGAGGATGACAGCGCTCCACAAGGACCGATATCGACGGCAGGAATTGCTCGCCAACGCGCGAGTACTTTTGACGTGCCGCAGGGTCCCGCTCTGGGCCGCCTGGATATCAACCGCCCAGCCAAGTCCAATGCCTCTTACGTGGCCCCCACCCCTAGCTACGCGGTTTCTCCTGCAGATCGCATCCCCCCGGGTTATGTCTCCCACGCGCGCGACGCTTGTACCAAGATCGACTACCAGTGGGATAGTATGCGTACGCCCTTTTGGGGCACGGGTGGGGGAGTATGGGGAGGAATGGAGCTCCATGCAAGAGCGCGTTAGTGACAGCTTTCAACAGATGATGGAGTGGTACCAAAAGCCGGAATCGCGTGCTCGATCCAGGGCGACGACTAATGATGCATCGCGTCAGGATCGCTCTGCCCAGACCGTGATCATCATCGTTACTCACGGTGCGGGTTGCAATGCCTTGATCAACTCATTGGCTGGTCACCCCGTTCTATTGGATATTGGCACTGCCTCGGTGACGCTGGCTGTGCCACGAAACCGCTTGCCAATAAACACTCCTGACTCCGACCGGTCGACTAAGTCATTTGACCCGACCGATCGACCAATCTCGCACGACTATACTCTACAGCTAGTGGCATCCACTGACCACCTACGGCCAGGAAACAATCCCTCCCAGCTGACCTCCCTCACATCCCTCTCTGCTCCCCAGCCAGCACCACAACCGTTCCGCAATCGCCTCGGCTCCCGGCCCCAGCCCCTCCATGGATCATTCCCGCTTGGTCCCATATCAGGGGCCGCGATGAGCCCTCGTGGATGGGCTCTTGCTTCCCGTCCATCGACCTCGGAATTTCCTCGAGTCTCTGGACTCTGGGGCGCCATCGCCTCGCCTATCGAGATTGACGAGGACGCGGAGGATTTCGTGCCCAATTTCGGGGACCAGCGACCCGTCAGTCACGACTCGCCTCTTCCTGACACGCCTGTGGATCGAACGGGCTGGACTAAAGAGTTGCCTAAGCGAACGCTCTCCCAGCGAGGTCTATGGGGCAGTGCCCCGTCCCTGGAGGATCGGGAGTCGGCATCGAGACGACGATGGACGTTGGCGGAACAGAAGCTATGATCTACGACCTTTTCATTTTAATTCAAGGATACCTCTTTTGCATGGCGCCGGTTTGATTCTATTGTACATAGCGAGCTCAATTTCAACCAATCATTGTCCCTAGATTACTACCCCACCTTCCTGCTACTTCCGTACCTGGGAACATATCACCCCTCATCGCTCGGCTTTCTTTTACTCTATCTTCAACATCATGCAATCCGGACTTTCGATCACCTATGCATCCGTCCCTGAGACGGACCGCAGTCCCGATTTACGTTTGATTCACTTCAATGATGTCTATCATGTTGAGTACGGAACCATTGACTTAGACCCCCGAGTTGTGCTAAATCGTTTAGATCGGGGTCGGCGGAACCAATTGGTGGTGTCGCCCGTTTCCAATCCCTTATGAACTACTATCGGGACGACGTACAATTTGCAGGCCAGCCTGATATCCTCACCTTTTTCTCGGGTGATGCATTCAACCCTAGTCTGGAGAGCTCCGTCACCAAGGGCAGGCATATGGTACCTTTTCTGAATAACATTGGAATTGACGTCGCTTGCGTGGGAGTATGTTTGAGCCATTGGGTCCGGTTCGATTCTGAGCTGGAAATTGCTGACACTGCCAGAATCACGACCTTGACTTTGGAGTAGTTCAGCTCCGACACCTGGCATCGGCTTGTCACTTCCCTTGGCTTCTAGCCAACGTGCTTGACCCTGCTCTTGGTGAGGGTGTTCCGATTGCCAATTGTGGGGCGACGTGCATGCTTAAATCGTCAAATGGAATCAAAATTGGGGTGATAGGCCTTGGCGAAAGAGAATGGTATTGATTACTTACCCTCAAACCCCACTGATGTTAACTCTTTCTAGGCTAGGAACTATCAACTCTCTACCTCCCAACCTAATCTACAAATCAGCGACCCAGACAGCCAAAGATTTAGCACCGCAACTCCGTGAAGAAGGAGCCGAGATTATCGTCATTGTTTCCCACCAGCGTGAACCGAATGATAACAAACTCGCCACCAATTTACCTGCAGGGTTGGTTGATATCATCCTCGGTGGTCACGATCATTACTACTCACATGCTGTGATCAATGGTATCCATGTGTTGCGTTCTGGTACCGATTTTAAGCAAATGAGCTATATCGAAGCTTTCCGAAAATCCAATGGTGCCCCTGGTTGGAAATTCAATATCACAAGGCGAGATGTCGTGCGGTCTATCCCCGAGGCCCCAGGAACGAATGCCATGGTTGATCGCCTAACAGCAAGTCTCAAGGCTAAGGTAGAGAAGCCGATAGGGTATACAGTTACCCCGCTGGATGCCCGGTTTTCTACAGTTAGGCAGCATGAAAGCAACATTGGAAACTTCGTCTGCGACCTTATGCGTTCATATCATTCAGCTGACTGTGCAATGATGGCGGGTGGCACTATTCGCGGCGACCAGATCTATCCACCGGGCATACTACGCTTGAAAGATGTGCTGAACTGTTTTCCCTTTGAAGATCCTGTGGTCCTTTTACGAGTTAGCGGCCAGGCCTTGATCGATGCGCTCGAAAACGGAGTCAGCGAGCTTCCTGCACTGGAAGGTCGCTTTTGCCAGGTAAGTGGCTTAGCCTATGGCTTCGATCGATCAGCCCCGCCGATGTCGCGCGTTACATTTGCTCGGATCGGGGGCCAGCCTATTGATCCCGAGCTTAAGTATACCGTAGCGACACGTGGATACATGGCCCGTGGAAAGGACGGGTTTTCATCATTGCTAGTTCAATCAGAGAACGGAGAAGCTGAGGAGCTAGTCTGTGAGGAGAATGGGGTTCTTATCAGCACAATCCTACGTCAGTACTTCCTGAGTCTGAAGGTCATCAGCAAATGGACCCGCTGGAGTGCCAGTCTGAAACGGCACTGGGGCTCTGTTCATACCGACCTCCACCGTGAGGGCTGGGTGAAGCCTCCCTCTTCTTCTGCGTCGCCAGTATCAGCAAAGGCGCCCAGGAACCCTTTGACCCGACCACCCCTTTCGAGAACGGGTCGAGAGGCCTATTATTACGGGCGTTTTCCACAGGAAGTGGAGCAGCACACTGCCAAATCTGGTGGAACGAATAGCGATGCTATGGACTCTGATTCGGACGAGGATCCCGATGTCCTTCCTTCCCCGGATACCAACTATGTCACACTTCGAGCCCTTTCTTCGGCTGATGAAGAACGTCGGCTAAGATTGGCTCGGTGGGTGATTGGCCGATGGACGCGTCACGTTGGCGTGCGCTCGTCACTTACTGAAAGTGATAGCGAAGCGCCTGCATGGACATCTGGTATCTCGCCTAAGGTGGACGGTCGCATTGTAGAGGTTCCATAGACTACATCAATAGATACATCATAGTCATCTCTATTGTCATTGGAATTCCAAGATTGGAAAACCCATAAGCCGAACTTTCAAACCCTTTCAAACACCGTTCAAATGCCGACCCCGCATGTTACCCCATATTTTTCATATTTCTCGGCCGGAACATGCATCTGAACTCTATACAGTACGATCTACAGTCAAGGCTATATAGCACTACTGCTATAACTTAATTAAGCATGACAGTAGAAATCGTATTTGGTGCGACTCATACGTAATTCCAGAAGTATGGAATTCGATGTAAAAGTCCGGTTTTATTCCAAAGCTCTATACCTAACGCAATTGGGTTTCCATCTTGTGTATATTCTCTCAAATTTGACTAATACGAGCGCTCATTATCTATGACTGAAAACCTTGAAGCACCTTCCATGACATTACAATCTATGGTGGACGTATAAAAACTTCCAGGATTGGCCGTCGGCGTTTGCCCTAGGTCTTCCGAGCATCTGATTGGTGGATTAATTATCAGACCCAAGTCTGCCGATTCGGATCCTTTACAACCGACCCCGAAATCGGCACGGCAATTAGATTCCAGAATGTCTATGAGCTCTCCAAATGATGGCTACGTCAACCTTGGCATCGAATAGAAATATAACAATGCCTGGTCCCTTGCCATGTTTGCAAACCGTAAAACATCTAAACCCGATATACAGTCATGGCGACCAAGAAAGCACCAACCTGTCTTGACCTCTGCGTGACAGCAGATGACTTCGAGGCGGCGGCGAAAGAAACTCTCTCCGAAAAGTCATGGATCTACGCTTCAAGCAGTGCTTCTTCAGGTCTTTCACACCAATCAAACTTGGACGACTGGTCTCGCATCAACTTCCGGCCTCGAATCATGAGAAACGTCAACTCTATAGATACATCACGAAACATCCTGGGCCGCAAGTCCAAGCTTCCATTCTTTATATCCGCCATGGGCACACTAGGTAGCTCCCATCCTGGTGCTGAGCCGTTGCTGGTTCAAAGCGCAACTCGCAAGGGCGTGGATGCGGTGATCAGCACCGCCACAAGCAAGTCTTTAGAGGCGATCATGAAGGCTCATCAGGATGAGCAGGAAAGACTGGGGAACTTAAGTCCGTCGAGACTGGCCTTCCAGTTATACGTCCCCTCTGACCGGACAAAGGCGAGAGACTTGATTCAAAGGGTCAAGGCTGCTGGTTATCAAAGTCTATGGATCACCGTGGACTCCTCGACTCAGGGAAAGCGTACAGCCGATCGCTATCTGCAGGCACAGGAGAAATTGGATCAAGGAGGAGAAGTCGTGAGACAAGCCGCCGCAGACAATGCATTCGGGCCTGCGTTTGGTGGTCGTCCAACGGCTGGATACCTACATCCTGCCTTGAACTGGGAAGATCTGGCATGGATCTCACAAGAATGGGATGGCCCTGTAGTATTGAAAGGTGTTCAATCTGTTGAGGATGTAAAACTGGCCGTTCAGTACGGCGTGCAGGGCGTTTTGCTGAGCAATCACGGTGGGCGTCAAATTCATTCGGCACCTAGCGCACTGATGACGCTCTTGGAGATTCGCACCTACTACCCAGAAGCGTTCGACAAATTGCAAGTTTTCGTGGACGGTGGACTTCGCGATGGCGCAGACGTTCTCAAGGCCTTGTGCCTTGGGGCCACGGCTGTGGGTGTTGGGAGGCCATACTACTACGCACTCGCAGCGTATGGTGGAGATGGGGTTGATAAATGCACGGAGAGTAAGTTCAGTCTGGTTCATGGTTGACCATGGCTAACGATTCTTAGTTTTGACCGAGGAACTCGAAATTTGCATGAAGATGCTCGGTGTTTCATCGCTTGAGCAGCTTCATCCCGATATGGTTAATGCCACCCGATTGTTGAGTGAAATGTGGCGACCAATGAGCGTGAGATCGAGGCTGTAATAAGTTCATCTGGGTTGTTATTGATTCTAAACAAGGTACAAGGGGAGACAATGATTATGCAAATCGGAGTGATGTCATATTTGTCCTTGGGTATTGTTCATAGAGGTATCATTAAAGCAAACATAATTGAAGCTGAACTACTGGACGCCAACAGGTCGTGCCCCGGACAGATTCACTACACGGCCCGCTCCGCCTAGTGCTGGCGCACCAAATGTAGACATCTGAGGAGGCTTGACCCATCCAGGAACACTGTTGTCTTCCTTCTCGCGTGTGGATATGGTTTCCCAGACATTGGGAAATCCAGTAGGCAAGGCACCCCGCAATTTAGCACCAGGAATGGCAAAACGAGGATTTCGATGTGTCAAATAACCATGCATCAACCCCTGCGTAAGTAATGAAGCCAGGATGGATTCAATCTCCCCCATGAGCAAAGCGGGCTGCACTTCTGCTATCTCATCGTCGGCATACGGATCCAATTCGTATTCCTCGTAGTCGGGCTCTGGAGTACCATCGATTAACTGGCCCGGCATATTCTCTTTCCAATACCCCCCTCATCAAAACAACCCGCCGGTGCCAGGTAATCCCCATACTTCTCCATCAGCTCAGGGTCCCCATTGGTAGCGACGCTCCCCTGGTTCTCAAATCCCACATAATCCGGGTCCATCGGTTCAGAGATGGTCTGTGACCCATAAGAAGGTGGTTTTGTAGTACCATTGGAAATTTTGGAGCGTGATTGAAGCCATTCTGTAGCCACAAGTAGCTTTTGGAGGTATAGAAATGGCGGAGGACCACGCTGCGCCTGCGCTGCTGGATCCCCATGAAATCCACCATGAATGAATACTTTGCGACAGAATGACCGCCAAACCAAGATTTCACATCGATTGCGGAGTGCGAGCAGAATACCCTTTCGTGCAAACCATTGTCCAGGAGCGGAATTGAATGAAAGATGCTCTCGGAATGCCAGGTAATCGCCGCGTACAATTAGGTGACAAAGTGGCGCAAATTGCTCTGCTAAACCTTTGGCTTCCGGCCGTTGAAGTAGAGATTTGGAGGGGAATCGGCCCATGATTATATTGCAGGGGATGAGGTATGTCAGGATCAAATTTCGTTGGTTGAGGGCTTGGCGATGGCATTGATCATAAGCCGCCCGCAAGGCGATTTGAGCAGGATGAAAGAGGTTATTTGAAAAAAGATATCGACCCAGATAATAGAGGTAGGTGACGCGCTGGGACGCGGGGAAATGGATCAGGGGAGGGGATTGAGCGCTAATACTGGCAAACATCTGCTCCGCATTGCGCAGCTTGCCACACTGATACGAGTCAGTAAAATCACAGGCAAGCGGGGGTCAAACGTACCTTAAAAAGGAGCTTGAGGCATAGATTTGCCATCAAGTAGATGCCAACGCGTTTGCCCTCGGGCTTCCCATTGGGTCCCGGGGTGCCACTGCGATCGGTCAAACATTTGATGAAGGCCTCTCGCACCACATTTGCCGACTGTTCCACCAACGTCACCTTCTCAATGTTTTCCTCCCGGTTCGAGCCGCCTTCCATGCGCAGAATATGCGCGATCAACTCTGGTTGGCGGTCCAGTCCCATAGCCAATTTCGCCAAAACTTTCGAGAGGTAGAGAACGGTGGGGAGGACGATCACCCCATTTTGGCTATCTCCGAGGGCCAGGACGCATTGACTAGGTAGGCGTCAGCGTTCATGGTCTTCAAGCTTGTGGGATTCTGACTTACTTCAGCAGGGCCCTAAGGAGGTTGTAGGTGTCCAGTAGGTTTTCGACATTGACATCACGCAGGAAAGAAAAGTACAGCCTCATAAAGGTTGGGAATGAGGACCAGGAAGAACTCCCCTTGGTCCGCGGGACTAAGATCTCACATCGCTGCTGCAGCTCGGTATCGCTCTGGGGTCCGGGTGGATATCGTTGGCGCAATTCCTCAATCATGCGCTGATAAATGTCTGACAGTGGAGGTTCGATTTGAAGGAAATCCTGTAGCTTTGAGCCATCACGTTCTTGGACCAGCTCCGACACGCTGCTGATGAACTGGTCCAGAATTGGGGTTGGAGGTGCCATCCTGCCCAGGCTTGTTGTCAGTAGCTCCAAGCGTGGTTGAGATGATAACAAAGTGGAATGCGAATCGCAGTTATTTCAAAGGGGCAGGAACATGGCGTTGAGGTCTGACAATGGCCCTTGAGACCAATCTTGCAGCAATGAAGCTGCGGACCATCACGGCAGAATGGCAATCCTCACGCACACCGCCCTACGGCACTCCAGGGCTAGAGATTAAGTGGCGATCCCTTATATTTGATGGTATATTGGTACTTTTCAGCACTAAATCATGCACTTGTCCTACAGAAAAGCTACTTGAAATGCTAGTGGCTAAGAGGGCTATTGCGGAACTGAAGATTTCTCTATAAATTAGGTTCAATGGGAATCCAGTCCCATTATCTATTCATCCTACTGTCAACAATTGTTCAGTAAAACCGCCAAATCCAAGCTCAGTATTGCGGAGGTGAATCTCCAAGATCCAGTGGCGTTTGAATCCATCCTTGCCCGGTTTGTTCATAGTCTCGCTATTGCCCTTGGTAATGTAAAGTGTAGTTCGGTCCTTCGGAATCCGCTCGTGAGGGAAAGAGCCAACCAGATGCCCCGCAATATCAGCTCCAAAATCGAATCCATATTCCCCCGCAACCCCAGATGCAATGTCGTAAAGTTCTTCCCCAGACATATCGGGATTTTCGTCGTATTTTGCTTTGACAGTGTCCCAAATTGGCTGCAATGAATCGCGCAGCTTGATTTTGTGAGGATCGTTTCCGAGGACGTAGGTGCGCCCGAAGTCAGCCTCCCAGGCTTCGAAGACGGGCCCCAGGTCTACGACGAGGATATCGTCGGCTTCGATGATGCGATCTGGAGGATTATCGGAAAATGGACATAACGTGTTAGGACCACTGCGGATGACTCGCTTGTGCCAATGGGTTTTAATGCCGTAACGCTTGAAGCCGAGGTCGTAAATCTCGGTGTTGAGTGTCTTCTCGCTGATGCCGGGGCGAATTAAATCGCGTTCGATCTCGATGAAAAGCTGAACGGCTTTGTCCTGTGCATCTTGGAGGTTCGCAGCGCGCTCCGCTTCGGTTGTCGCCATGGCGAAGTATATCGGGTGAAGGGGGAAAAGAGGAGTTAAAGAAGCTAGGATTGTAGTAGGCAATTAAGCTTACTATGATTGCTCATGAGTCATTTACAACTCCGAGAACCTCGGAGCTACGGAATTGCGAATTTGTTATCTATTAGGCTTGACCCGAATGCGGGGATCCACTTGAAAATACTACTTGGTGAGCCTAAGATGGCAAGACAAGCTCTTTAAAGCCATACGTTAGTGGAAGCTAGCCATATAAAGGCACCCGTGGATATTACCGTGTTGAAAGGGTGGTTTTAACCCTCGAACTCGATGGATAGGCATTGTGAATCCGGTGACCCAAGAGGCATGGGAAGAGATTGTAATCTACCCCTGCAGCAGACCTTATAGTTCAATCTACATAGGATGTCATTCAGCTGCAAGATACCCGGTTCAATACCCGAAATGGACATTATAATGCTACCAATTGCATGTCTAGGACAGGCACAGTATCAGTTGTGATGATTGGTAATGACAAGGCAAACAAGCTAGGCTCTAAGTGGGCTCAGGTATGCTAACATCTGCCTCGGTATCATCTAGTCAAGGAAGTGACAATAGACATGGGACAACTTCGAAGAATCAACGTCTCAGCTGCAAGTCAAAGACAGTGGGGCGCGGTACTTTTGGCTCCTATACACGCTGACAACGTGATTTATGCTTAACCTGAATAGGAGAGACCCACTTACAGCATATGTGGTGTATAGTCGACATCTGGATATGATTGTACACAAGCGCGTAAATAAATGGAGAAAGCTTGACAATAATAGAATAAAAGACGTGCCAATGCGAAGTTAACAGAATTTCCCCCAAACGATAAATGACAATTGCGCCGGTTTCGAAAATGATCGCTCTCGCCAATTCGATCCACCATTCTCCCAGCTTCAACTCAGACTAAACCGTCATACAATGACAGAGCTGACACAATGGTCTCATCCCTTGCGGAGCCTTCTTTGAATTCAGCGAGGTCCAAGCTGCCATTCTCGTCCTTATCCATCATGCGGAAGATCTTTCGCACGCGCTTCTCGGGTGTATCCTCATCCTCGGGTAGCTTCACCATGGAGCCGACCATCTTGTAAATCGCCTCGACAATAGCCAACATCTCGTCGTATGTGATTTTGCCGTCGCCATCGATATCGTATAGTTGGAAAGCCCAGTCAAGCTTGTCCTCCATCTTTCCGCGGGACGTCACCGAAAGCGCGCAGATGAACTCCTTGAAATCAATCATCCCGCTGTTGTCCGAGTCAAACACTCGGAAGACGTAATTTGCGAAGGAAGACGGATCGCCGAAGGGGAAGAATTGCCGGTAAATCTTTTGGAACTCCTCTTTGGTCAATGTGCCTGACGGGCAGTCCTTGAGGAAGCCTGCAGATACGGTGATTAGCTGTTTCACTTCACCGCGAGATCCAGTCGCCTATACCTTTGTACCATTGTTGTAGCTCCTTCTTGTCGAAATGGGTGGCTCGCTGCAGCTCATCAAGCTGCGTAGGCGACAGCTTCGACTGTCTATAGCGCCTAGTTAGCCACCAAAATTGCAATGAAAACCCATGAACCACAGGTGAGGATCCGAAGTTCTGCGCATGATTCGCTCCGGAAGCGACCCGCGGGCTTCCAAACACTTCCGGTCTCACGCGGGAAGGCGCATCACCACTCACGATTTACCCATGATCAAACACACAGATCCACAATGGTAGAAAGCTTCAAATGAACAGTCTGAAGCGCATGCAAGTCGCAAGAGGATCGGCAGGGACGAACAGTGGCTTTGAAGAAAAGCAAGTGAACGGAAAGACGCGGGGTAGAACGAGGGGGAAGTGTGGCTGTGCTGGCGGAATATCAAGGCCACACAAAATCTGGACTAGTTGAACAAAAAGGAGTAAGAGAGTAAGGACTTGGTCATGCGAAGTTGTCTAGATGACCAGGAATAACCAAGAAGAAAAATAAAGAATGCAAGGGAAGGCAAAGTGGCGAGGAGGTCCAGACCATCTGGGGCTTGGCATGACACGACTACGTTATTTGGCGTTTGGCTCCACTTATTCCAACAGAAACGAGCCATGTGAAGTAGGTCCATTCCTACAAAGTAGGCTTATATATACAAATACTCCTCATTCCCAATCATTAGGGATATCTCAAAAACAAAAGCCAAAAGCTCTATCTCCTCGCAAAACAATGCTACCGTTAGATTATCAATACGGGACAACGGGACAAGGGGAAGGACGGGACGAATAGGGAAAGGTGCTGAGCTCAGAGTCAACATCGCGGATTTAATCCACCTTGATGGACCCGTAGATACGTTGCACAAATGCCCAACTGGCGAAGAAACCGATAGAGCCTGGTAAAAGTCAGTCTAGTCCAAGTCCAAGGTCACGAAGGGACGAACCTGTCAGAATGAAAACAACAAAACCAATCAAGGCCGAGTAGCCCACATAAAGCACAGCTCCGGTGATGCCACCAAAGCTTACTCGGGTAGCCCAGAATATAAGCGCGTTCAGAAATACATATCCACCGGCCATACCAGCACCAGCAAAGGCACGCCAGTGCCACCGGTAGTTCTCCGCGCACAGCAAGAAGTACACCAGTAGAACGGTGGTGGCCGCGGACGTGATGATCATCAGACCGTAGCACAGGAAGAGGAAGCCAAACATGTAATAAATCTTGTTGGTCCAGAGCGAAGTCATGATGAAATAGAGCTCCACAAAGATGGCACCAAAGGGCAGGATACCCGTTAAGAGAATAGATGGGATAGTTCGAAGACTGCCAACCATTGGAGGCACTTGGCGGGGAATTTGGTTAGTCTTTGTCGGACCCTCAATAGCCTGAAGCGGATTAGCATGATGGTGGGCAACTATGGACAGACAGCCTACCTTTTGCCTAAATCCAACCCAGCTGCCGGCAACACTCAACGGAACGCTGATGACGAACCAAATGAGAACTAGAGCTAGCATAGTACTGAAAGGGACAGCACCGCTGGAACCCTTGGCCCACACGAACAGGTTCAGCAGGAAGAAAGTGCAAAAGATGAATCCAGGTATCAGCAAGGGAGTCATGATGATGTTGCGCTTCCAGGCCTCGCCGCCAAAGGACTTATAGGCACGCGATGACACGTATCCACCAATCGCACCGAAGAGGGCGTAGATCAAGAGAATGGCAGTAGCCAAAAATCCACGATTGGCGGGAGAGAGGAGACCAAGTAGTGCGAATGCTGTCAAAATTAGTACGCAAGTCAACCAAGAGTCCGGACCATTACATACCGACGGTCACACCAGTCATCATAAAGAGCTGGGCACCATTTCCCAGCAATACGCTAAGCAAAAGAGGGGACTTGGGGCATCGGAAAACGTCACCGTGGACCAACTTCCATCCTGAATCCTCTTGGATTCCATCTTCGACAGCAGCGGAGGTCCCATCCAAATCGTCCAGGTTGATTGAATCCAACCGGTTGTAACGGGCAATGTCCTTTTTGAGAGCGCGGACAAGAATCATGCTAACCATGCCCACCAAGAAAACAACAAAGACAGCGGAGTTGATGAGGGAGAACCAATGGATCTTCGGGTCGTAGACATGAAGATATTTATCCCACCGGGTGGCCCAAGCTGTAGAAGATTCCTTCCATTGAACACTGTAGGTCCAGGTGACCGGAGTTTCACCCTCCCCATCTTCATTCAATGTGACGAAAGTTCCCTTGGTGCCACAGTGAGCTGTGCCGTCATCCAAGAGCTTGGAATCAGCGCGCGACTCGGGCTGGACAAGGACACCCACCACACGGAGCTTGTCCTTGCCACCATATCCGACACGGTGATAGTCGATAAGAATGTTGAAGTGGTTGTTCAGCACAGCTTGTCCATTTTCGTCCAGGTCACCCAAAGCGAAACCGGGGCTGTAAAACTGGGTTTGGGTGTTTTCGTCCATGTTCAACTGCGCTCCTGGCAGTCCATCCACAAGCCAATTGATATTGTATCCCTGGGAAATCCGGCGGTTGACGAATTTGGCGCTGCGAGCATCAAACTTTACCTCTCCACAGATAGCTTTGCATTCTTCATCTTGAGCCATGTGCAAGTCTAACGGAGAGGTTTGGATGCGATCACCAAACAGGATACTACCCAGGGATTCCCTCACATCCTTTGCACCATCTTCGGGTCGACAGAAGTGAAAGGCCGGATGGTAGTAGTCGTATGAAAAGACAGAGTGAAGTTGGTCATCTCGGGAGAGGCCGGGTGTCAGATGATTGACAAAAAGCGGGACGCTCTGACCCTGGTCGTAGGATGATGGGGCGACACCGGGGAGGTAGAAGGCGGACGAGAAGGAAGGTATTGCGAGGAATATGGAAGCAACAAGGGAGTTTCGATCGGTGAACCGCATCTTGGATACCGTGTCCCTAGATCAGCATGTATGACGGGGCTTTTTTTTCTCGTCAGTTGGGTAGCAGTCGATGAGATATGCAGAGCTTAAGTCCACACGACGTGTACAATTGAGGCCGGAACAGATCACGGCCTATTTAACGAGACGCGGCTGAGAACAGGAGATGACGGTCACCGAGCTCCATACACGTTGCGGTCGATCACGTGCTGATAACGACCTACAGATAAGACCGAACACCAAAAAAAAAAAAAGAAAATCCCGCAACAAGTCGAATTGAACACCCATCATGGCATTAGAGATTGCGCAGTCGCGCAACAGCTTGTCAACACTCCTCGAGACCCTCACATCATGCTTGACTAGCGCCGCCTCCTCTCTTCCTGCAGCTCACAAGGACGCGCCCTCCGACATCTCGATCGAGCCTCCGCAAGATGGTATCTCCCTCCTCGATACGAAAAGCGAAATTCTTCTCTCCTACCTTCACAACCTCGTTTTCCTGATTATCTTTCAACTACGACAATCATCTAAACAGAAGTCTGATGAGTCTGAACTGTCTAATGATTCGCTCCGCGACGATGCCGTGAAAAAGTTAGTCGAACTACGGGTATTCCTTGACCGCGGTGTACGCCCGTTGGAAGGACGATTGAAGTACCAGGTCGACAAGGTCGTTAAGGCAGCGGAGGACGCAGAGCGCACTGAGCGTACCGAGCGTCCATCCAAGTCAAAGAAGACCGCCAAGCCCAAAGCCAAGGATTCGGGTGACGAAGTCTCCTCGGGTGGGAGCGAAGACGATAGCGATAGCGATGAGGACGACATGGATGAGATGGCTTATCGTCCCAATATTGCGGCATTCTCGAAAGCCAAGGTCGATCTTAAGCAACCCCAAGCCAGAGCCAAACGTGAAGAGCCCAGTGATGGCATTTACCGTCCTCCCAAGATTATGCCCACCTCCCTTCCCACCACGGAGCGCCGTGAGCGCGAGGATCGCCGACCTCGCCGGTCTAACGTTATTGACGAATTCGTCAACGCCGAGATGTCATCCGCACCCATGGCCGAGCCCAGTATCGGTAGCACCATTCTCGCTGGTGGCCGAGAAACAAAGACCAAGAAAGACCGCCAGTGGGAGGCCGATCGAGCACGCTACGAAGAAACCAACTTTGTCCGTCTACCAAAGGAGACTAAGAAGGAGGAATCCAAGCGACGTGGTCGTGATCGTCAGACCTACGGTGGAGACGAATGGCGGGGACTTACAGAGGGAGCCGATCGTATTGAGCGTCTTACCCGTCGCGGCAAGAACAGCGGCGCCCTGGACAAGAGCCGGAAGCGAAAGAATGAGGATGGACAGCGCGATGATGGTGTGGGCATGGGTGAGATCTTTGACAAGCGCCGCAAGAAGATTGATAGTTGGAAGCGGTAGTGGATCTGTAACGATGACTGATATCCTTTTCTTTTCTGTGATGCTACGATCATCGCCGGAGTTGGCGTGGGAAAACTATTGTATTTATTGATGAAATCCTCTTGGACTTATACTACCTATGGGCTTGCAGACCTGCCAATGCGAAACCGCTGTTACCGATTTGAGAAAATAACTCTCGGGGTATGTATAAATTTGAAGACAGCACTTGAGAACTTCTGATGTATGTTCGACAGTACTAGGCCTAGCCTTATTGTGTAGGTAGTAGTATTCATATTTCTGCGCTATCCATCATTTCCCATCGTCGTTCTAAGGAAATTCTGGTATGTCTCATAGGCCAAGCATGCACGTCCTTGGTTCTGTTGATGATGTCCACTAATGCATTTCGTTCCACGGGGTCTGTAAAGTATTCTCCGTATAAAGTAATCGCAATAACTGCATTGACTAATGCAGGCTGTATCCTAGGATGGTGCAGGGCTAGGCCGCATATGTCGAATACGATGGAACGGACTTGAGCCTCGGTTTTACGATGCATAACACGAGTTGCATTCCTTATCGGTCAGCACAACTTTTGCTATTCATCAAGTACATCTTCGACTTACTCAAGGTGTGGATTCTCTGCAATCAAGATCAACTGGGCTAGCCGTAAGTGCTGAATGGCTGTGACTTGCATATCAAAGCCATACCACGTAGTAGGGAATATGTCTCCCTTTGACCTGTCGGCTTTAAGCTCAAGGATCGGCTCAAGTTCCCCGATAGAATCCTGCACTAGCTGTTGTTCTTTTAGCTTGAGTTGTACTAGGAAGAAGTATCAGTGAACTTGTCGTATACGGGACCTAACAAAGAACTTTACTCCAATCCTCTGGTATTTGCTTGCCCCACCGCCATTGAGCGACCTCCCCCGCGAATAGAATGACATTGTTGGCCACGGGATGAGGGTGTTCAGGCTGCCAATCGAACCGTAGATGTGGAACAGTCTCTCTTGTCAGGGCGTAATAAATCTCTTGTCGAACAGTGATCCAATACGCCGCATTTGCCAACGATTGATCGAGAGGAGATGCAATCATTGAGTCTATTATAGTTTTCGTGATTGCCAGAAAATTGACTCTTCCATCAGTATGATAATCTCCATCAACATCGCCTTGGTCCATTTCTTCGTCCATCTCTTCGTACTGGCGTAGAATCACTGTAGCAGCCATGATGTTCGCTTGGTGGTCTGGATCTTGGATCTCAGGGAACCGAATGAGATCGGGAATGCATTTTAACATGTATTCGAGAGCGCTGGACTTTTTCAGATTGGGAAGGGATTGTCCACAGTATACAATACCATGAGTGGTTTTGTATTTCGGAAGACGGGCCAAATGGCGCGCGGCGACCGCAAAAATTGCGAGTTTGAGGGTCGAACAGTACTGAGCACGCCTGGGCACTTCTAGTTGAAAATGCCGACGGTCATCACAGTGGTCAAACTAAATTAAATTAGTGCTTTGATGATATCAGAAGAGATAAGCTTACCCATGGGGAGAGTTCTTCGATGAAATACCTCATTAGACAAGACTCCTGTACCGCTCCGGATGAACCGCCAAGGATATCATCTCGAGATAAAGGGGATAAGTAATGACTATGCGAAATGCGTCGTCTTTTCCTAGTTTGACTAGAGTAGGGATCCGAACAGAAAGGCAAGTTGGCACCGGTGAGTGATGACTGTGGAGAGGACAGTATAGAAGGAGATTTTTGGAATGATGGTTGGCCGTGACTGTGTGAATCAAATGATAAGATTGTATTGGGATCAGTCTCATTGGTATTGCTTCCATCCTGCACGGATGTACATTCACGAGGGGTGGGCGAAGCATCTATCTCGCCAATCTCGCAAACCGTGTCTCTTGTATCGGGAGATTGACCCGAGATTGAGGGACATGTTGCAGGCTTCCACGCCTTGGGCACACTATTGACCCATGTTTGGCCTTGTGTGAAATTGCCCTCCAAATTGGCTGTTGAGCCATGTCGAAAGACGGCTTTTTTTTGCACGGGATGACAATCGAGCCCCTTAGTCTCACATCGTCGGCAAACAGGTCTTCGCTTATCACCTACATACTAAATGAGAAGACACATCTTGACATCACCCAAAGCCAGGACATACACCTCTGATGACTCTCTATTCACGGGAATTAGCCAAGACTGAGATCGGAGAAGATGATACTTACCTCGGCAGCTCAAGCACGGGGCCTTGGGCATAGTACCGCTCGACATATCAACTGCAGCCAGGAGACAATCCATGAAGATAAAGTTGGACTTGATGGCTTGGAGACAGATCGATAATGAAGTGGGCGACGCCTGCCTGATAGGGTAAAATTGGGGGAAGACTTACCCCGCATGGGAATCTCCACGTTCAGCAAGAGCCCCCGCATCGATCTTCGGGGGATTATCTCACGCAGTGTTATTCACTAACCGCACCAAAATAGCACAATACTTGGAATTTAGACAAGTTGACATCTCCAGTAGTGAAGAATATACAGACTACCACGCTTAATTGAGACTAATAATACTTCAATTCTGGGTAAGATCAGAAGGTATCATTCTCTGATCACCTTCCCATTCCAGGGTAGTCTACAACGTAGTGTGATCGAGAAGGTACGTCGGTACAGACTCTATAGTATTTCTCGGAATCACAATTACTGCATGACACCAAATGTGGTTGAAGTGGTGTTTTATCTTTCGCGGTCTCTTACTATAAAGGGGAATTTGAGAAAAACACGAATACGCTATGGTAAAATTTGCCATTCACAGTTAACCTGGAAGCTTTGAACACTTTGTTGTGATTCAGAAACCTATGTACAGTACGTACTCACATCAAAATCATTTCCTCAGTCTGGGAATGGTAGGAAGCGGCGAGGTCCAACTACTAATAGTACTAGTGGCATACTTCATAGATCTACGTTCTTGTCAGCTATAAAGACTGGCATCGCTATATAGTGGGATCCCAAGTAACGGAAATCTCCATTCCAGCTTTCCACTATCCACTTCATACGATGCACCATCTCAAGATCGCGGTCGTCGGGCTTGGCCGCATGGTAAGCAGAACTTCATTTTCAGAGGGAAATTTTTGCTGGAAATCTCATACTATCCCAGGGCAAACGCCATGTTCACACTTTACTTTACCGTGTCCCTAAAGCCCAGGTTGTAGCGGTCTGCAGCACCGACCCTAGTGAGATCAAATGGGCCACAGAAAATCCTGAGTACCGTGAGTTCGGGATTAAGGTATACCACAATTACGACGAAATGCTGGAACAGCCAGGTCTGCAGGCTGTTTGGATTTCTACTAGGTATGTTATCCAGAACTCTCTCCTTTCCCCCATGGACTGGAAAATATTAAGACTTCTTCAGCACCGATGTCCACAGTAGCCAATCACTCGCTGCTATTGGTAAGAGTATCCATGTGCTCTGCGAAAAACCCCTGAGCACTGATATTGCCGAGGTGAATCCTCCTGCTTTGAGAGTCATATTCAGTCAACGCTAATGACCAGCAGGCCCAAGGTGTAGTGGATGCTGCCAACGAGAAACCTCATCTTAAGGTCATGGCGGGCTTTTCTCGACGATTCGATGCTTCCTATCGTGACGCAGGTGACAAGATCTACCAAAAGAAAGCAATCGGAAGTCCATTCATGGTTCGATCAAACACTTGTGATCTCCTTGACGAGACTGGTTTCTTTGTTCGATATGCAGCCCGGAACGGTGGAATATTTGTGGACTGCGCAATTCACGACATTGATCTATCTCTGTGGTATCTGAACAACCCAGTCCCCAAAGCCTGCTGGGCAGCGGGTACTCTCCAGCACCACCCAGAGCTCAAGACCCTTTCAGACGTGGACAATGCGGTGGGGATCGTAGAATTTTGGGGCGGAAAGATTGCCTACTTCTACTGTTCTCGTACGCAGGCACACGGCCATGATGTCTGTACTGAGATTACCGGAACTGATGGGAAGCTGATGGTGAACGTTATCCCCCAGCAGAACAATGTTGTTCTTGCTGATAAGCTGGGCATGCGTCATGAAGTCCAGCCGGAGTACTGGCAGCGGTTCCAAGATGCGTTCGCGCTTGAGGCGAATGAGTTTGTGGAAGCTGTCTTGAAAGATACCCCTGTGCCAGTCAAGCTTGAGACTGGAATCACGGTTATGAAGATTGGACAGGGTCTTCAGCATGCTCTGCTGACTGGGGAGGTTGTTCGCTTCGACGAGAGTGGAGAGAGGCTGAAATAGACTTCCTAGGGTTATATGGGTATGCGAATGTTATTCAACTGGTCAATCCAGAGCTTCCGACGGCCATTCTCAACTCCCGACGGAAGTAGGCACATGATCCACATACAAGTATAAAACTGCACGAAGCTTGAATGTCCAGTTTTATTTTCTCCAACTACAATTTTTAAAGTCTCCATGGATCACAACTCACATCGTACAGAATCGACATGCGGGTCGATAGGCGGCTCGACCGATCTACAAAAGCCGAGACGTGACACCGACCCCGAGGCTTTGACTCGCCTGGAAACCTCACAATCGCATGTTCCAGCCCCCAAATCCCTGCTGAAAGAAGTTATATTCGTCAGTGTGGTGTGTATGGCGCAGTTTATGACTCAGGCCGGCCTCTGCATGTCTATTGCCCCAGTCCATATAATCGGGGATAGTTTTGGCATCACCAATCCTGCTTCTTTAAGCTGGTATGCCGCTAGCTATAGTTTAACCGTAGGGACTTTCATTCTGGTGGCAGGCAGGCTGGGCGACGTTTATGGACATCGCCTGATGTTCATCGTTGGGTTTTTGTGGTTCGCACTCTGGTCGGTCCTGGCCGGTTTCTCTGTGTGGAAGGATCAAATATTCTTTGCCTGCTGCCGTGCGCTCCAAGGCGTAGGCGCTGCCATGTTACTACCGAACGCCATCGCAATCCTGGGTCGAACCTATCCGCCAGGACTTCGAAAGGAGATGATCTTCAGCCTGTTCGGTGCCACCGCTCCAGGGGGGTTCATTGTTGGCGGGGTGTTTTCCTCCCTCATTGCTCAGCTCGTATGGTGGCCCTGGGGATACTGGATCATGGGCGTGGCTTGTGCAGTGCTCGCGCTACTTGGGTGGCTTGTTATTCCATACAGTCCGCAACCTAAGTTCGACGACAACCTTCGCTTTACTGAAAGGTTGGACTTGCTTGGTGCCACAGCGGGAATATCTGGTCTGGTATTGATCAACTTCAGTTGGAACCAGGCCGCCTTAGTGGGCTGGAAGAATCCATATACCTATGTGCTCTTGATTATCGGATTTCTTTGCCTAGGCGCTTTCGCAGTCGTGGAGCGCAAAGCCGTGTGCCCACTACTACCTCGATCGGTCTTTACCGGAAATCTCGCATGGGTGCTTGGTTGTATCGCAGCAGGCTGGTCTAGCTTTGGAATTATCATCTATTACTTCTATCAGTTCATGGAGGTAATTAAGGGCGATTCCCCGCTGCTGGCCACTGCCAAATGGTCTGGCGCAGCGGCTAGTGGTGCAGCTGCTGCTCTTATCACTGGCTTTTTACTTGGCCGGTTGCCCCCGAGCGTTATAATGTTCTTCGCAATGGCATCCTTCACGGCCGGACTATCAATCTTCGCCACCGTCCCTGTCAATCAAATATATTGGGCGCAGGCCTTAGTTGCAAGTTTAATCACTCCTTTTGGGATGTAGGTGCTCACAAAACACCCGTCAATAACTCGTCATGCACTAACCAGTCTGCCTTAGGGATATGTCATTTCCTTCTGGAACACTTATTCTCAGTAACTCCATGCATCGCCACCACCAGGGGCTTGCAGCTTCTCTCGTGGCAACGACGGTCAACTACTCCATCTCCCTTGGCCTTGGATTTGCAGGTACGGTGGAGACCCACGTCAATGACGGAGGCAAAGATATACTCCAGGGATATCGCGGAGCCTTGTATATGGGCATTGGCCTAGCCGGGTTGGGGCTGTTCATCTCCATTCTTTTCATGATAGCAAGTTGGAAACAATACCGCGCAAAAAGATCATGAAATCTATAAAGAGCTGTGTTTTCGATGATTTAGCTTTAACACGACATCTGTGATCTCCCAAAGAAAATAGTCATTCAGGGGGGAGCGCGATATTTGAACACCACAAAACTAGTTGAACACCACTCTATTTCTATATCCAGTACAGTGTAGTACGTAAATGTAATTCAGAGAAACCGCTACCTTAAGTATTGAAGTACATTGCATCACCTCCCTTAATCCACGTCAATATACGAGATGACGCCTCGTTAGAGTCAGAATATAAGTAATAAAAGTTAGCTTAATAGGTATCACTCTTTAATCACCTTCACATTCCAGCGTAGTCTACAGAGTAACATGAGCAAGTAGGTACTTGGGTATGTACTCAATAATATTACTCTCTGAATCTTAAATACTGCGCTACTGTGAATGCGGTTAGTAAGGGTGCTCAACTAAATTTGTGGTGTTCAATTAAAAAGTTCCTTCAGGGGGGTGGGTCTACTAGTCTCGGGGATCGACCTTTCCTTCCATAATGGGCTCAGAGTCACTGACGGCCAGAACCTACTTAGTTGACACTAACAGACGAATTGCCGCTGAGTGGCATGAGTTTTTATTATGTCGTTATAATTATTAAATAGATCGGTGTGATCCACGCGTATGTTGATACAACCTGGGTCATGTTTCATTGCATGGAAGTTATAGTCAATCTTGATCCCCTAGGTAGAATTATGGGTACATTGCGCGTTACTTGGTAAATGTTGACAAGGAGATCACACCAGTTCCAATGTTGCTGATTGGCGTCATGGCTGGGTATCCAGCAATGTCTCTGACTTCAGGAGAGGTGAATGATCGTTTCCGGGCTTGCTCAGCAGGAGTAGCTTTAGGTCTTCAGCCCCGGAGACCCGTGATATTGGTTAATCTTGAAAGTTGTACTTGATATCGCTAGTAATTGATACTTCTTCCAAAAGGTTGTCACCGATACATTTGACATGTTCTGCTTATACTGTTCTCATATAGATGGATGTGGATAAACTTGATCATAAAAAATTACATGAGTGGTTCTCAATGCTATATATATACAGCCGGCTGATCATGAGCCGGACATCTATCATCAACATTCGCAATGCAATGCAGTCTCTCTACCGTGCCCTGCACCGTGAGGGATTATGTACCCAAGAGGAATCACTGCATACTCCAACCAGGAAGATAAAGCAAATCACCGATCGTAAGGCAAACAAAGGAACTGTCGCTTATGTGGACGGGGATCCACACGTGAAGACACCCCGAACGCTACCGTCGTCGTAGTTTTTAATCTGAAATGAATTCGTTAGTATCCAGACATACAAAGGACCAGGACGAAAGCTTACAATATCATAGACACTCGAGTAGGTTCCAGCCGCCAAGATCAGAATACCAATGACGAAGATTCCACCATTGACGATGGCCAACAACAGGTTTTCACGGTCAAGCCAGCTGCCCTTCTTGATGAGCAAGAACCACATCATGGCAGGGAAGTAGAAGGTGAAGCCGGAGATGAACAGAGCGGACGAAATCGACAGCAGATCATCGAAGAAAGGAATGACCTCGGCGATGATGAAAGCGATGACCGTGGCAGCGGTGATAGTAGCCAACCAGGTGATCCAGCCCATCTTGGTGTTGATGAACCGAATGGGGGAGTTGGCGAAAATGCGACCATGGATCAAACGACCGCAGACGACTGTGTTGATAGATCCACTGATGAAAATCACGGGCAGGGCGACTCCATAGGCGACGCGACCAAGCAAATTTCCAGCAGAGGTCAAGGCAGGAGAAGAAACATCCTGTCCAACGAAGGCATAGACCAAAGCACCGGTCAAAGTGTACACGATGATCTCAGTGATACCGAGGGCCCAGATAGACTTCTTGAAATCGCGCGGGGTGTGCATCTCATCCATAAAGGAGAACTGGCACATGGCAAAGCTGTATGCGAAGACGATGTTCGAAATGGCAATGAATGCCTCAGCGAATTTGAGATCTTCTTTCGGCCAGGCAGACCAGTTCACAGCGGCCAAACCGCCCGTGGAGTTTGTAGCTTGGATTCCGGTACCAATGATAGTAATGCCGATCGCGATAATGATGGAGGCGAAGTCAACATAACCGAGGATGGCCATTTCGGTAAAACTTGGGGGGATGGCCAAGATGAGGAGAATGATAGCAGACACCACGGCGAAGATCACTGAGCAGATGGTGGATTTCGTAATGTTCTGCCAGGCGATAGTACCAGTGAGGCAGTGGGAGCCTGTGAGGAAGATCAACTGGAGAGCCAGCATGAAATTGATGATCTCATATCCAAATCGACCCCACCCGGCGCCAAATCGGCCACCCATTAGGCGACCCGCGTCCGCATAGTTAGCAACCTCTGGAAAGAGCAATTTGACCTGTCCAACGATATAACTGGTGTAGATGGCAATCAGGCCGACACCCACGCAGCAAATCACACCGGCGACCATACCCAGCTTGGCGAAGGTGGAGGGGATTGACAGACTACCCAAGGCAATGGCCTCGACGATGAGCACCACGGTGAGTCGCTTCCAACCCAGCCGACTGAACTTCTTGATACCGTGATCGTAAATGTCGCGCTCCGCATCGGTCATTTCCCCCAGCATGGCGCCCTCGAACGCTGGTGGGGGGGCGTACGCCTTCTCACTCTCCATCGACTTTCCAGAGCCATGGCCGTTAGAGTCGTCTTCGTAGCCCATGGTGATGGGATGTTACGAGACAGGTGAAGGGGGGAAATGGGATGAGAGGCAAAGATGACGAGGATGGCGCTGGGTATAAGAGGAAAAACCGGCCGCGCTGCTGGATCCGGCTATCAGGCGAAAGGAAATTCGTTGACTAATGGAGACTTGCACTCCACGTGTGTTGGAGCAGATACTACGACCATGCTCCACTCTTTTCCAGATCATCCGCCCAACGAGATGCCGTTTGCAGCTTGGATTGACCCACCACCATCCAATCGAGGTAACTCAACCTGTGCCCCGAAACGCCCCGGGCTGATTAGACGATAAGAAGGTTTGGCTTGTTAGGTAAAAGAAATGCAACATTGGTTCTTGGTTCCCCAGGAAATTAGTAGGGTCTCAGTCGATGGAGCCCATCTGCTTTTCTCCACGATTTCATGATTGCGGGGGTAAGTGACCAAGATTGGCCCTCAAATTGGGACAGGAAAACGCGATTTTCAAAGTTCACAACATGAAGACAATATGAAGCTTTTGAAACAAGATTTCGGTGGGATGCTAAGCCAAGAGTGGTAAAACGCCACACCCTAAGTACGCCAACCGCAGGGTTCACGAAAGTGAAAATTTTCACCTGACTAAGCCGGGCGCTCCGCGCGCTGCAGATCACGTGGACTAATGCACAACGACGCACTGGATAGACTTTCCTTGGTCAATATGACTTCAATGCTCTCGGCTATGGTAGCGCTAATTTCGTTCCGTCAAAATCACGCATCAGGGGCCGAAATGAGGGGAAATTAAGCGGTTGGGAAGTCTGGGGGCAACGCCACCAACGCCATCGGGCTTAGCGTTCGCACCGCCCCGAGTAGCGTCGCTCTAGAGCACACTAAGATTTGGGGTAGCTCCCGAGTTGATTTGGGGTACAAGATGTCTAATTCTAAGTTCTAACTACCATGCACTTGGGCCTAGATGCCCCGTGCGACCACCCTTGCCTGGTGCATCGTGTCGTTGTCAATGGCCTCATTAGGATGTTCGAGGTCCAGTAAAGATCTGGACTATGTAAGCGACGCTTAGTCCTGCCCGCTCTGCGTTCCGTGCACTACCGTCACCAGCTTGAGTTATTGAGGTTGCCATCTCCAGATTGAGTTGGTGGGAAATTAGGAGTCGCTTTTGAATCAAAGCCAGTTGAACCCCTTGCCCACGACAATCAGGGTGCGTGCTGTCAAGAAATAGATGTGCCACTTTTTTCCCATCGCCAGTATCCATAATCGCCATCGCAGCTGTTCCCGCTATCTGGCCATTCACCTCAGCAAAAAATAGCATATCCTGCCTTTGAACTGCCAGCCTTGCAAGTGTGCCAAGAATCTCCCTCGAGCGGCCGTTGGTTTGAAACCCTGCAATGGATGCCTCGATGAACCGATCCATTTCGTCTGGTTTTGCGAGTCGCACCACAATGTCACTTGAGCAGTCCGGGATAGCCCTAGCCCATTCCCTGACATCACACCAGTAGGTGCTCAGAACTGCCTTCTCGGTGTATCCCCGGGAAAGTAACGCCTCCGGGCCCGATGCAAATGCGCTGAGGTGGATCTCACATTCCAGACCAATAGTAGCAAAGATCGACTCTAGCTCTCTCAAATCATCTTCCTGCACTGGACTATCCCTACCACATCCAACGGCCCGATTTAGCTTGCCTGTCAAGGCGGGTAAGGTCAGAATGCCAACTCCTCCTTTCTGAGGCTGCCATATAGATATTTTTTGTTCTGGGTAGATTTGGGCGCATGCTTCCGCTTGTTTGCGGATATGCATCAGCTCGACCTCCTCACATATACGGGCGGTATGTGCGTCGACAAAGATCTGTGGGGCTGACATGGCTCGAATATTTCAAGGCTGTTGCGGCAATTCATTACTGCCTCAGCTGGAGATATAATACGGAGTTGATTGGATTTTAATAACCTTGACGTGCCAGTGTGAGTCATATCAGGTCCATAGCTAACTAACTAGTGACCTAGTCATATGATGTAAGATGCTGACGCATATCAAATCTATTCATGACGTTTCTCACCCTCTAAATTATTGCTTATCAACGTGATCGTCGGGCGTCGGGCGCAGGATCAGGGGTTGCTTATCTGCGTTATCAACGCCCCCTTTATCAGTTCCACAGTGGGACTACTCCAAACCTCTCAGGCACTGAGTTATCGATCGTGCGACATATTCCACATTGCCAGCATTCAATCCAGCAATGGAGATTCGGGAGTTGTCCGCGACATATACGTGGTGTTCTTCTAATCCCAATCAGCTTCCAATCTATGCAATTGAATCCAGCACTCACCTCGCAACTTCAAAACTACCGCATGGGACAGACCCAGAAATCCAAACATCCCGGACTGTTGAATCAAATGTTCCCAAGACCCAGGCGCCCCTATATACGTGAACAACCGACCTCAAACAGTTAGGGGAGGACTTACCGAACAAAATCAGTTTCTCATATAATGCTGCTCTCATCGAGCGAATTCGACCACTCATGGTCATCATGTCTTGAAACCACATCTGTCTCAACTCATCATTTCCCAGGACTTGGCTTGCAATCTTCGCACCAAAGGCAGGGGGATTCGACACTTCAGATCGCTGCAGCATTTCCAGCATAGACTGCGTGTTCACAGCGACCTGCCTGTCAATTGTGCTCATCAAGACACAGCCCACTCGCTCGCCTGCAACTACGTCAGATTGCCCAGTGGTACCCCTGCTAGTCTCGAAATGACCTACCATACAGACCCATATTCTTCGCAAAGGACACACATACACCTGCTTCCATCTGCATCTCACCCAGGAATAGCCGAATTGCAAATGCGTCTTCGTCGAAATTGCCCGAGTTAAATCCCAGGTAGGCAGAATCAAAGAGCGGGAATAGCTGTCGGGCTTTCATGAGTTGTGCGATCTCGCGCCACTGTTCTTTACTCGGATCGCAGCCCGTCGGATTATGGGCGCACGCGTGGAGAATCACCACCGAGTTCGGCTCCGCCTGGCGCAATATCGAGTAGAATGACTCTATATCCATGCTCTTCATCTCATGGTCATAGTACTTGAAGCTCTCACAAGGAAAGCCTAGCGACTGGAAGACCTGGTGGTGATTAGACCAGGTGGGCTCAGGAATATAAAACTTAGGTAATTTCGTATGACAGGCTCGCAGCAGCAGTCCAGCCAAATGCAAGGCGCCGGTGCCAGAGAGACTCTGACAGGTTGCAATCTGTCACCTGTTAGTATTCAAACTTGAAAGCACAGAGTTTGTGGTTCGCACTTTACTCGCTTGCACCTTGAAGAGCTCCGCGCCTAATACGATTTTGGCAGTTTCTTCTCGAAAGCTTTGTAGACCCAGAATTGGAAGATATTCATGCTGCAAGCCCTTGGTTTGAAGACTCTCGCGAGCTTTTTTCACGGATGGAAGGACCCATGGCTTGCCTTCCTCGTCACGATAGGTTCCTTGTCCAAGATTCACTTTTTGTGGGAATGGGTCAGCTTGGTATTGCGCTGTCAACGCGAATATCGCGTCAGGCGGGATAAATTGTGCCTGGTTGAACCAGGAGGAAGTAAATGTTGCCTGAGTACTCATATTGTGAGGACGTGTGAGACAAAGACTTGATAGAAGAGATCATTGCTATTCTAAGATATAATAATTGCGGAACCTTGAGGGTCAAACGGAACGTGTCGCGAATTAACTCGGTGTGAAAGCCCGATGCCGGGAGCTCGCCCGTACTTTGGAGATCGTGATGGTGTCGGGTGGTATACCCGAGAACCCCCACCCGCATAGTCGGTTCATCGCTCCGAAATGATGAAGTACACAATCGCATGCAATGACCCCTCTGTCTAGCGCGGGGAATCTGAACAGGGTGGCGGGGCTGGAGTAATAAGTAATAGTATGCGCACTTTTCTTTCCAACATTCCTCAACACAATCATCTTCACCTTCACCATGGGCTCTCACTCTGTCTCAACTCAGCCCCACGTCCCCCCATCTGGCGTGTGGTGCCCTGCTGTCACCTTCTTCGACCATGAGACAGACTCCTTGGATTTGGCCTCACAGTCACAGTACTTCGCCTACCTGTCGCGCACTGGACTGGCTGGTCTCGTCATCCTCGGCACAAACTCCGAAGCATTCCTCCTCACGCGCGAAGAACGATCCCAGCTGGTTTCCACCGCACGCGCCTCGGTCGGACCTGACTTTCCCTTGATGGTTGGTGTTGGTGCTCACTCCACAAAGCAAGTATTGGAACTTGCCCAGGATGCGGCGACCGCTGGCGCCAATTACCTCCTGGTACTTCCCCCGGCATACTTTGGCAAGGCCACCAACATGAACGTGGTCAAGCGATTCTTCTCCGAGGTTGCAGCAAAGGCGCCTCTTCCCGTGGTCATGTATAACTTCCCCGGTGTATGCAACGGGGTGGATATGGATTCGGAGACAATCACAGCGGTCGTGCGTGAATCGGCCGCCGCAAATGGTGGTCGATCGAACGTGGTGGGTGTAAAGCTCACCTGTGGATCAGTTGGAAAGATCACACGGCTGGCCGCGACCTTTTCCGCAGAAGAATTTGCGACATTCGGTGGACAATCTGACTTCCTTATCGGGGGACTCGCTGCTGGTAGCGTTGGTTGCATCGCGGCATTTGCCAATGTGTTCCCAAAGACGGCTTCTCGGATCTATGCGCTCTATCAGAAGGGTCAGCTCGAGGAAGCTACTAAGCTTCAAAGACAAGCGGCTCTCGCTGAAAGTCCGATCAAGAGTGGTATCGCATCTACCAAGTATGCTGTTTCTTGTTACTCTGCTTCAGCGGCAGGCATCGCGGACGCTGAGGCCAAGCTTCTTCCTCGTCACCCATATGAGCCGGTGGGAGAGGCAGTCAAGAAGTCCGTGACGGCTGTGATGGCAGAGGTTGCAGCTATTGAAAAGAGCCTGTAGGGGATTAAGTACGAAATAAATGATAGCACATATATTGAAATGAACGAGCTTTGTCTGCATATACAACCTTGGAAATACATCACTTGGATTTGATAAACTCGTGGCAGAGATTAAATAATCCGATTGGTGGGATTTTTGTCATAAGGTCTGGTTTAGCGTATCAGATGGTTTGGGGCAATCAGAAGCATGGATTCTGTCGCCTGATTTATGCTAGTGAATAGAACCAATGCGCTCTGACCAAGTGCCATGGCTTGCAGGAAATCTCATGAAGCGCTACCGGCTATGCGAACATCCGGTTTACATGAACTAGCCCACAAGTTCTTGAGCTTCAACAATAACCTACCATAAGATATGAGACATTGATCTTCTGATTTGTAATGCAGAAGACATGCACTCATGATTTTTAAAATAGAAAAAACGTGGTGTGACTGACCATCCCGATCCCGGTCGCATGCCGTGTGGGTGAATTCCGGGTTTCAAGGTTTGATGTCCTGATTCTTCTATAGTGGATTCCAGAGCTAAAAACGTTCAATATAACCGAGGTTACTGAACTGCCCAGTGGATGGCAGCAATGTTCTAGAAAAATAGAAGAAAAACCTCGAAATTAAGCCGAGGCAAGTGGACCAACCCGAATAAAAATCTGGCCGAGAAGGTATCGGCCCGATTACTAGCCCGATTACTAGCCCGATTGATATTGATTGTCGGAATCCCCGAATTTAATGTTGGCGCGTACAATCTACAAATTATTCAAATGGACCAATCGGCATTGTATTCCCAAGGATCCGCTCTACCATGACAACCAACGAGGAAGCAGTCCCCTGTCATGGCTCCACTATGAAAATATCACTGGCCCAAAAGAAGTAAGTGCTCCGGGCTAAACCTTTCTGTTGAGTAATCTGTAGAGAGGCTCCAAAAGAACTGGCCATTTGCCTCGGCTTAAATCATGTCCTATTATGTCGTTGTTTTTTCCCTTCTCCTTTCTTTGTAACTTTATTTCTCGAATTGGATTTGCATCCAAACGAGACGACGCGAGCGCTGATCACCTCTAATTCGATATCTAACGCGCGAACCCCACTAGGTCATTGCTCAGACACACTCTTATCAATGGCAACAGAGGCACCTCCAGTGGAGGGCAAGGCCTCATCGAACCTCCCAAACTCGGTTCCTTTCTGGCGACTAGTAACCGAGCCTGGAGTGGTCACCCAAGCAGTGGTGGACCATTTCTATGAAGGATCTGGAACAGATGAGGATCCTTATGTTGTGAACTGGCTGCCAAAGGACTTTCGAAACCCGCTTCAACTCAGCACACCGATGAAATGGTCCATCACTATGGTGGCCGCCATGGAGACCCTCGTTGTGGCTCTTGTATCCTCCGCCTATACAGGTGGTATCGCGCAGATTGAGGAACAATTCGTCACAACCACCGAGATCGCAACCCTGGGAGTATCTCTATATGTGCTTGGATTTGCATTGGGTCCCTTGCTCTGGGCTCCTATGAGTGAAATGTTTGGTCGCCAGGCAGTCTTCATCGGTACCTACTGTGGTTTGACCATCTTCTGTGCCGCAACCACAGGAGCAAAGAATATTCAGTCGTTGATCGTGTTTCGCTTCCTAGCCGGTGCATTTGGCTCATCCCCATTCACCAATTCGGGTGGTGTGATTGCAGATATGTTTGCTGCCCGAGAGCGAGGCTTGGCACTATCTGCCTTTGCATTAGCTCCTTTCCTCGGCCCGGTTATCGGTCCAATCATTGGTGGCTTCCTGGGTATGAAGGCTGGGTGGAAATGGGTCATGGGTCTATTGACCATTCTCTGTGGTGTGATGTGGTTCCTCGGCGCTGCGCTTAAGCCGGAAACATACGCCCCGGTTCTGCTCCGCCAACGTGCCATCACTCTCTCTAAACTGACTGGCAAAGTGTATATCAGTAAGCTTGACATCGATCAAGGACGTCCGGACCTGAAAGAGTCTATGAAGATTTCCCTTTCTCGTCCTTTCATCCTGCTGTTCAAGGAGCCTATCGTCCTCATTCTTTCCATCTACCTCGCCATCATCTACGGAACCCTCTATATGCTTTTCGGCGCATTCCCCATCGTCTACGAGATTCACCGAGGATGGAACCAGGGTGTCTCTAGTCTTGCCTTCCTTGGAGTTATGGTGGGTATGCTGGGTGCGATTGCTTACTCAATTCCTGAAAATAATCGCTACGGACGTCTCCTTGTCAAAAACGGAGGCTATGCGCCGCCCGAGGCTCGTCTTCCTCCATGCATGGTCGCCTCGATCGCCCTCCCCATCGGTCTGTTCTGGTTCGCATGGACCAACTCGCCCTCGGTTCACTGGATGGCCAGTATTGCTGCCGGTGTGCCATTCGGATTCGGCATGGTCCTCGTCTTTTTGTGTGTCTTCAACTATCTGATCGACGCCTACACCATCTTTGCTGCCTCGGTCCTTGCTGCCAACTCTCTTCTGCGGTCGATGTTCGGTTTCGCTTTCCCTCTCTTTACCACCTACATGTTCGAAAACCTCGGAATCCACTGGGCTTCCTGTGTCCCAGCCTTCCTCGCTTTGGCCTGTGTACCCTTCCCTTTCATCCTTTACAAGAAGGGTCTATCTATTCGCAAACACTGCAAATACTCTGCGCAGTCAGAAGCCTTTGTCCAGAACATTATCAAGACCATGGCACAAGCCGAGGCAACCGTTGAGACGGAAGAATCCGTGACTCGTGTTCCAACCACCTCTGAAGCCGATGACACTGTCCAATCTGCTGTGCAAAAGGAGAGCAATGCCGACGTCCACTCTCTTGCTCGATCCGTGTCGCGCGCATCTACTACCCGTATGTCGACGGAGATTCAGAGGGTTGCCACGTATGAAGCCAATCCATATAATATCGACCGTGTTCACACTCGTGAATCGTTCAAATGACCGTATTTTTCTTGGCGTTTGGCTTCATGAGAACTACGTTCTTGGTTTATCTCACATTGCATGTCGGGAGTTTGTTTGTTGGGTTTGCATATAGATTATTAATGTTGATAATGTCAAATAATTCAGAGCTACAAATCTGTGGACGTTAACTAGTACGCAGGATTTTTCAATGTTGGAAAACGTAGTCTTTCAATTTGTCCAGGTGGTGTGTTCCAAGGTTTTCTTTGAGGGGGGACGATATACTAGCGCATTTACTGGGCAATTGCTATGGTCCACTTTCCGATCGTGCAAAATAGGGAACTACACCATAGGGACCCCGGGTGTGCGGGTTGTCTTATTTATCGTCGGAGAGGCGGACGAGACCTGATGATCATGGTGGAGTTGAAGGATTCTGAGGTGAGGTGGTATGTAATCCCTCGTGGATTAAATGAGTTATTTGAAGAATATTAGATTTAGTCTTTCCTAGAATATACAACTGTGTTTAAATCTACTTGATTCTAAACTATGGGAAAAAGCAGAACCTTGGAAATAGTGGAACACAATTATATTGAATCTAAATGTCCATAGAAAGACGATCTGTAAAGAAGAAAGAATTGTCATGAATCATGCATACCAAGTATTGACGGGGCTTCCAGAGCTCCAAGATCAACAACAGAAGAGAATAGAATATGGATATGAAGTCCTCAAGGTATGAGGGGTACCTTGAGGGGTATTAATGCACGCCATTGGCAATGCCGTTGGTATGTCCGTTGGTAAACCCATTCGAGAGGCTCTTCCTATGGCCATTGATGCCGTTAATTTTGGCCAGAGGAACACCCGGAGGGATACCGTCGACGGAGATGCTACTCCGCTTGCGAGGAGCAGCTGTCCAAACGGAACCATCGTCAAGCAGCTCTTGTCCAATAGCGAGAGCCTTGGAAGGCTCTGCGCCCAGCCACTGAGCCTCGAGTCGCTCAATATTCTGCTCAATCTCCCAGGCGCGTCCACCTTCAATGAACATGGATTCACCATTGAGGGATGAATCCGCCAACATACCTGCCGCCACATGGGAGACGTCACGAGGGGTATTGGTCGGGAGGCTAGCTTCCTTCCACTGGTGCTCGATCTTTTTGATGCTTTCGGTTTCGGTCATCCACGGGCAGACGGTGTTGATCCGAATGTTGTGCTTGTATGGAGATGAGATGTAGCTGCGAAGTGAGCGCATGAGGCCGACCACGCCATGCTTAGACGCCTGGTAGACGAACAGTGAGGGGCTCTGCTTGAAACCGGAAGAGCACGAAAACAGGAGAATAGATCGATCGGCGCCGGCGCCACGGTTATGGCGTAAGTAAACCGAGGCAATGCGGGCCACGTACATAGATCCAATAAGGTTGACGTCCAGCACTTTGTGGGTGGGAGTCTTCGATATTTGTTAGTTTCCAAGAATTCCAAATCAAAAGGATGGGTCGAGGAGCCCGCAAACTTACCTCGCGGACTGTCTGGAGGGTTAATCCAAAGTCGAACCAGTTGCCGATCTCTACGATGCCTGCAGCAGAGACGACATGATCAATGTGATTGTAGGTGTTAAAGGCCAAGTCAAATAGGCCTAACAATGATTGGTAGTTGGTGACATCGGTCGACTGGAAGACGGCGCGCGGGGGTTGGCCTGGTTCCTTGGTGGGAAATTGAGCAAGGGCCTTCCTCAGCAAACGCTCGCCTTCAATGTTGTCAAGGTCACCAAAGCAAACATTGGCACCACTTTCCAAACATTGGAATACGAGACTTGCGCCGATTCCATTAGCACCACCTGGAGAAGTTAGATTGATATATGACTGCGGGGGATATTCTCGGGCAAGAGGGTACCAGTAATGAGGATGATCTTATCCGAAAGCGATTCGGCGGAAAGCTGGGGAATGTACTGCGACATATCGTGGGGGAGTGGGTTCGGAAGCCGGGGCTGTGGGTCAGATCGAGTTACAGTACAAAGGGAAAATAACTCTGGAATCAACAATGGATTGCTCGGAGCGGACCGGGGTGAATGGGACACTTATATAGATTTCCAGTTCTGATCCCGTTGCGGGAAATGCCTCAATAGAACCGGTTCGGTGGATGACGGCATCATCCAGAATCCAGTTTCGTCATATGCGTTTGGGAGACAGTGGGTCGAGAGGATCGAGAGAGTCGAGAGAAGGTGAGTCCTAGACTGATCGACAAGGAAAGTATCCCGACACACAGGACAGGGGCCTATGGGTCACTGCGGGGAACGAACGAATGATGGTGTGCAGATAAAGTATACTTCTAAGTGGGCAGTGCATCATACGGTGCATTCACCCCTGGTCCAGACCCCAATGCAGTTTGTACAGTTCCGGCTCCCGCTCATGGTTATTGGTGCAAGTTGTAGGGGCGGATGGCTGTCTTCCGAACACTGGTGTCCCGTTGCAACGCTCGAGCACATCAATTATGCGACTAATTCTGCGACTAATTCTGCGAATGAGCATATTTGGAAGTGTAGGAGATGATAACATCTGGTTTGAACCCAAACGAAAACTGGTTTCCAATCAGATAGGACCACTTTTTCGGGCTAATCACCTTTTGATCTACTTGGTATCCACCATCCTGCGTAACTACGGCTTTTATGTGGGGAAATGGAACATATTTAGGACTTCAAGGAAAAAATAATCAATTCAAGAGACCAATACAAAAACATGCCAATGAAGATCATTGCCCCAAGGGAATCATACATGGATCGGCTATGATCCAGCCCGCCAAAAGATGCCGTCCCCTGGATCGTGACAATGTCGAAAAAATAAAAAAAAATGACCAAATGCTAGCCAAATACCTCTATCCAAGCTTCTATAGCACACCACCTCAACACCTCATTATCAGTACAGGCCACGGCTCGGATGGTATATACAATAACGAAGATCTGCGATCAAGCTTAACGACGCGAGACACAGCAAAGAATACCCGACTTGGCCAGGAACCAAATCGCTCCAATGAAACGGAAGAGCGACAGGGCGGCTGTGATCCACAAAATGACGGAGAAGTAATTTGCGGTTCGCACCGTCGAGGTGTTCGTAAGACAGAATCGTTTGACACCGGTCGCGGTGATGAGAAGCACAACAATCAAGTTACTGAAGATCCACAGCAGGACAAGGTTGGTTCGGAAGGCCTTGTACGAGTCATCCATACTCCGTTCGTTCTCCTCTTCCGGCATGACGAACGGCGCCAGCGCGCGCTTCACGGTGGCCTCAAACTGACTGTCAATATCGGCTTGGGGTTTGTCCACTTCTTCAATGAAATTAGATTTGTCGTCCTCTTTCTCCTTTTTAGTTTGCGCCTCGGGTAATGCTTCGCTCTTGTCGGATCCCTTGGTACCCCAGGAAACGTCGTGCCAATTACAGAAGGCGTAAACCATAAGCACGTTGATCGAGCAAGTCATTCCCATGAAGTAGGCCCACGAGGAGGTGAACATGTGCCAGGGGTCCATGTACAAGAAACTGACAACGAAGTAGACACCGTAGGTCGACGCCAAGGCGATCAGGACGATACCGGCACCGGAAGAGCTGAAGAAGGTCTTGAGGAAGTGGCCAACACCTTGGCTCATATCGAAATCAAGAGTGCCACCCATAAAGGCATTCGCAACCAGGTAGAACGAGCTGACCATGGTATACGACTGGACAAGAGCGAAGTACATGAAGGAGAGGGTGTAGAAGAGCGTGGAACTATGGAAGTTAGCATTAATTCGATGTCAAGACACTGGGACTCTTACCCTTTAGGCCGATTACCGAGCGCCAGAATAAATTGGAGCATCAGGAAGAATACATATCCATATTTGAGGAAGTTGTTGACGATAGGTGAAGCCTCATTACCAAAGGGCCATCCCTTGTTCTTATTGGAATCACTTGGAGTACCGACAAGATCCATAATGACGGATGTAGTCAACCAGTAGGAAGCTGTTGATCATTAGTGACGCTCACGCAGATCATAGAAAGGCGACTTACCAAGAGAGAACCAAGTCATGACGAGACTAACAGAGTTGTAGATCATTTGGATGTGGAGGAAGAACAGCCGGATGATGTTGTGTCCACTCTGGTACATCCGACTGAAATGCATGAGGGAATACAGACTGGCAGCAAATGAACCGTTCAACCAACGACGACGTTGACTGATAAACTCCGCAACACCTTCCGGCACATCAGTCTCACCCTTGGATGCCTTGACATAGGTCAAGTGCCACTTGAATCCAGCCTTGGCGACGAGTTCAAAACAGAGGATACGATCCTCAGCAAGGAACATGTTCTTCTTGAAAATATTCATGCCCTCAATACCCTTCTTGCCAAGCTGTTTTGAGAGAGTGTGGTCACCATGGAAGTACTGCTCAAGGGGACGACCCATGATAGCGCGATAACGGTAGGCCGAGAAGGCACCCGGCAGCACCGAGACGTATCCGAAGGAACTCTCAAGCGGTTTATCTAGAATATTGGAGATTTTGTACTCGAAATTCTGCGCCGCGACCAAAGGATTCAACAAATTCTTCCAGCCTTTACCCAACATGGCGTGAATTTCACCACAAGATCCACCCAGGTTTTTGTCATTGTAGAACGATTCCCATAGAGCGAGAAGTGACTTCTTGCCAGGCTTCGTACCGGCGTCCAGAAGAATGACTACCTCGGGGTTAAGGATACGACTAAAGCCGTTGAACAGCCAACGATGGGAGTTGATCTTTTTACTGTTCTTTTGCTTCAAGCAGAAAATCATCTGGACTGGAGGAAGGTTGGTGGATTCGTTGCCTTGGGGACGGATCAATTGCTGGCTCGAGGTGACAGAGAGCTGAGTGGTATATTCGAACTACAGGAATTAGTGCTGCGCCCGAATTCACGCGGTCGGGTCGAACTCACAATATGGGCAACTGTTTCACGTCCGTCAACGGATCGCTTCATGATGCCATCCTGGTAAATACCAACTGTGGCCAGCAAGTCCAGGGTGTTTTTGTCGCAAGGATCGATACCGTCGAACACCAAAGTCACGACGATTTTCTGCCAGGCAGGACCACCCTTGTTCCAGAATTCCGACTTCTTCAATGTGACAATGTCACGAATATTCTGCATAACACCATGCAATGTGCGCGCCGTCAGGACTTTATCTTCGTTGTAGTAGGTGATGGCGATGAGCAATTCCGTGTGTCGGTTGTACATGGCGGGACGAAGATTGTATCCATTTCGCAGGGTGAACTCGTCAGGATCACAAGTGGCAGCCGTGTCTACCTCAATTAGCTTCATCGATGGGAAGATAGGGGGTCTCACTCACACCGCAGATGAGAGAACTCCTCGGGGAATCCCTCTTCGGACTCCCGGTACTCTTTCTGGATGGCATTTTGAATCGCACTCGGCACGGGGTAGTCCACGCTCAGCACGGAGCCCTGCACAAGTTTGATCTTTCGGGTAGCGTAACGCCGGAGACCCGAGCCAGGAGCCTGACGTTGTTGCCAGGCCTCCGAGGGGGTCTCGGACGTGGCAGACATGGGGGATTGAATCCCCGAGCGGCGATTGAGGCCGGTCGTTGAGCCTCCTTCCTGGTAGGAACTATCGGGGAAGACCGTCACGCCCGGGCCGTCGTGGAGGGTGTAGCGTCGCAGGGAGTCGGAGGAGGCATACGGGTCATCAAAGGGCGCATTGAAGGGACTCGGTTGGTTGCGGTAGAGGAGGGATTGCTGGCTCTCTGCTTGTTCATTCTTTTCTTCATAGCCGTAGCCATGCTGAACCCCGTACTGATCGGTAGCACTGGCTTCGCGACCGACGTTATGCGAATACAAGCTGCTCTCGCTTGCCTGTGGCGAATGAGGCGAGTGTTGTGGAGAGGCATAGGGCGAACGCGCCCTGTTGGGAGAAGTCATTGTGAATTGGGAGGTCGGATCAAAGGGTCGCACGTTCACGAGAGTTTAGGGGAGAAAAAGAAAACCAGGTAGCGCTATACCATCCAGGGAGAGCCAGATCTCCTGGGATACCGTATATGAAGATCGTCCGGGCGATCGTTCCTGGGCTGCTCCTGAAGTACGGATATGCACAAGGGGACAGAGAGATTGAGGTAGGAGATCCAAAAAGATCCAAGATCGAGGGCGATCAAAAACTAATAGGTTCTGGAAGGCTGTGATGCACTGGCATAGCCTGAGATTATTTTTGGTACAGCAGGATTTGATTGGGATGATTTAAGTGGAGCCGCAATCCACCTTGTCCGAAACACACACACTTTTTCCTTTTTCCCCTGCCTCAAGGCTACCATCTTTATGGGTCGTTATGGGCTCATCCGCTTGGTTGATCCAAATATACCCTCCTGTACCGCGGATGCGAGTTGGAGTTTGGGTCTCCAAGTTGTGAGTCCACGTCGTCTAACTCGTCCAGAATAACGAAGACGGCGGGGCAACGCGCAACACGCAACCATATTGGTCAAGAGGCCACTGGACCCATCGTAATAGGCCCCAATGCTCATCCCTTTTTTTCCATAATGTCAGGGTCTTCAATTGATCTTCAACTCTTGAACCACTTTGCAAACTCTTCCCCATTGTGCATCAACTTTAGCGGATCGCAACCTTGAAGTGCCAAGCATGCATGCGCGCACACGGTGGCGTCAAAGTGCCGCCTAATGACGGTCGCCTTCCAAGCGACTGCCAGGGGTCGATGTTGCGCCCCACATTTGCCCACTGGAATGCTCCTTTGTTTTGCACAGTCATGGGGATTCCCTAGGCAACACTTGAGGGAATGCCCGACCTTGAAGTCTGCCAACATGAACCACGTGGACGTAGTATAAATCCTAAACTTGACTAGGTGAGAACCTAATGACTTCAATACGTACCTTTATTTTATTTGTATATTCTTATTAATAGCTTTGATCACGTGAATGCTTATGTGTCAGTTGTTCATTGATTACTGTATATTCATCTAGAATGCAGTCCATGCATGTTGTGGTATTTCCATGTTGCATATTCTCCGACTAAATATATGTTTTCGCTGGGGGCCTCAGGAATTGCATAGCGTTGAAACAAATGTTGCACAACCTTACTTGAGAAGATGATCTTTCAATCTGTATGACCTCAAGTATTCAAAAATAATCTGCTGCAATATCCGGGCAGGTGGGTTTCAATATTTTTTTTATCTTCTACTATGCTCGCAGATTCATATAGGAAACCTTTCATGTTAAACATAGGTACCACAGAGCAAGGCATGTTTACCTGTAGTTGATACCACCCGGCAAGCATGTTCATCCCTAGATGGCTGCATAATTCGTACGTCTTGGCTATGTCGATCATCACAATCTACATGTACTCACTCCAGGGCTCCAATGGGAAGATACGTTATCGCACGAGGTACCGCACGTGGCCAACCCTATCTCATGTAACCTGAAAGCCCCTTCCTAGCCTCGTGGAAATATGAATTGTGGACATACCGATTCCTTGCGCATATCGAACCTTACCTGTGAAACTTTAGCGCACAAACTCAATATCAAATCGCATGTAAAGAAGGCTGTCGTTGATCCAAGTAACAACTCGAGAAATTCGCCTTGTGCCCCTGGTGAACGCCCCCAGGACGAAAGATGCTGAAATTTTACCAATTTGCGTCCCAAGCAATGCCTGATACTCATCTGTATCATACTCCCAAGTCCGCATACCGGTATACTCGTTATAAAAATAAGGGTCACCATTGACGCTCTCATCGTACAGACTTGGCTCAACAAATTCAACTGTATCGGTATTGATAATGTCAGAAACCATGATGTACTTGAGACTGTCCATTGCGAACTTACTTTCATATAAAGCTTGACTAATCTCAGAAATAAAAGGATGATTTCCCCGAACAATGTCTTCCAAAATCACCAAACTCTCCCCAATGTATGCTTCAAATTTGAACTTACCGGTTGCAAAGGGTGCCTCGATATCCATGTGGTGGTAAGATTCACCTTCTGTCGGAAGACCCACCTGGGACAACGGTTCCACATACTTTGAATCCAGACTTTTGCCGGTATAGCGGATAGTATAGCCCCGAGACTCGAGGTCCTGAGCTGTTAGCTTTGATCTGGAGACTTTACAGTCCTGGGCTCGCGCATCGCTTATCCAATTAACCAGCATTGCCCCTGCCTTCTGGCGTTCGCCGTACTTCCAGATAGTCGGGGTCATTGTGAAAAGGGCCAAAACTTTAGTCGACTGCTTGGATTTCAAGGTTTTGGTGACAAATCTGTCAAAGACCAGACTTTCGACCTGTTATATAGTCCGACAAGTCGAACCACGAAAGACATTTTGCTTTGAATAGGACAAGGATTGAATAAATCGACGAATAAAGGGTACAAAATTAGGAACCACTGTCATCATCAAAGACGCTACGACAATGTCAAAGGCTGATTATTAATACTACAATGATAAAGACGAGGAACAAGGGGTCTTCTATAAGTGAACACCTCAGAACTTAGTTAATCGCCTCACTTGAAGATCACTAGGAGTATTCGAAATTAAGGATAATAATCTTATTGAATACTTTCCCGAGTAAAGTAGCGTATACTAGCTTATCCACAGTTGAAATCTAGGCTACCATACAACTTTCTTTACGTAGCTTTGAAATGTAAGTGTAGTCCAGGCTCCAACGAAGCGTGATAACTAACTAACTTAACGTTGACCATCATTAGCTAAGCAGTATCTAACCGTTCGGCCCGATGACTCCGGCTCTCCGAGAGAGGAGATAAGCCCCGCATTCCCTTCTCTTGACTTTGATACTCACGAAAATGGTTCATGGCAGAAGAGTATTGCGGTCGGATCCATCGTCGAGACGGTCGATGCTGGCATGCAATCGCTGCAGGGGCCGGAAAACAAGATGTTGGGGTCGTCCACCCGAGCCGTGCGCAGCATGCGTAGATGTAGGCGAGTCTTGTGTTTACTCGGAGGCGGAGAAGCGTGTATCAATTACTGAAAGGTAATATGTGTCTAAACTTCTCACATATTATAGACTAACTTCCTGCAGTTACTACCGACATCTACAGTCGCAAGCTCGAAGTTCCAGTAATTTAGACAGCCATTCAACCCCGAGTGTATCACAAAGCGATCCGCCTTTGGAACGGGATGACTGGTGGTATAAAGGGACAGACCTCTTTGTCAAAAAGTCCGGCGAACATCGTATGTACTGCCCAGTCTTGTGAAATGGTCATCATTGACACATCTTCTAGACTTTGTGGGAGCATCTTCAACGACTCATCTAGCAAAGCGTCTTCTCAACCCAAGCTCAACGAATTTGTGGGATACGCACCCGCTATACGAGCCGGAGTCTCTACGGAGGCCCGTTGAAAGGTCTCTGCCACCATTACCCCCGTTTGAATCCGCCAAACGACTCTTCTGGGTGCATTATAGCTACATTGGCACTATTTTTTCACTTTTAAAGCCCTCGGAATTTGACGAAAGGCTTGACTTTGTCTACCACAAACCACCCGACTTTTCTCACCGAGAATCATGTCTAGTATACTGCCAAGTTTTGCTTGTCATTGCATTTGGCTTGCTGTATTCGGTCAACCAATGGTCCGGTGACGATGCGCCCCCAGGTTTCAAATTCTTCAAAAAATCTTTGAATTTTTTGCCTGATATCCACGAAGACCCATCAATCTTACATGTCGAAGTTTTATGTTATATTGCATACTACCTGCAGAATTTAAACCGAAGAGATGCCGCCTTTCTCTATGTGAGTCCCCTTCCACCAATATGCAATATTAACTAAACATTACCAGATTGGACTTGCCTTGCGTATGGCCATATCTCTTGGTCTCCACCAGGAAGTCCCTCACGAAGACATCAGCGAGGCCGATCGAAATCGGCGGAGGCGGGCTTGGTGGTCGGTTTACAGCTTGGATAGGTTACTATCGGTCAAGTCCGGGAACCCAATCACCATTCATGACGAGGATATTGATACCACGTGGCCGACGCCGGTATGTACTATATACATGATTTTATACCTTTATCTGGGTCATACTGACCATTTCACTAGGACGGTACCTCAGATCCATGGCCATCTATCGTGTTGACACATTACACACAACTCTCCCGTATACTAGGAAGGATTGGCGAGGGTGAGATGCCTCTCATACATCAACTGTTTTCTCCTAACATCTTGTTACAGAGATTTATCGCAAAAAGCCTCGATCCGGCTCAAGTCTTATAATGTCCGTGCAAAGCATCACCAACGATCTCTCAAGCTGGCTCCGACAGGCACCGGATCGTCTCCGTATTGATTTCGCTACCCTTGATACCCACGTCAATCGCGAGACGGTATCTATTAACTTGCACTTTTATTCGTGTATCAACATGACTGCACGTCCGCTTGTATTCTATATTATTCAACGCCGGCTTGATGCCGGATTGCTTGGGGGCACCGAGGACTGGAAGGAAGGTCTGGCACCGAACACAATCGCGGTGATTGAGAATTGCATCACAGCAGCTAGAGCCACGACGTGGATTATGGAGGCCGCGTCAAAACATAACTTGATCGGTATGGAGACTGACCTCGGGACCGTCATGGCAAATTAGTGACAGACTTCATGATCATCATGACTGACTACCTTACAGCTACATATGGCTATCTCGATGGCGAATATATCTTTTCTGCCGCTCTGTTGCTCATCATGGTGAATGCTGCATTTCCACTCAATGAAGGTAACGCCCGCACAATGGAGACTGCTCTCAGTCTACTTCGCAGTATGGCAGATCGAGGGAATACTTATCTATCTTCTCGCCACTCCTTGCTGCTAGAATTGCGAGCAGCTATAGAGCCTAAGTCTACAAGTGTGGCTGATCATATCGCATTACCTGCGAATGACCCAACTACTCCCAGAAGCACCCTTCCGAGCCCAGATCCACAGGAAGTGGTTGATACTGTGCCTGCAGAGGCCTGGCTTCATCCACCTGACCTACCTGCACTTCAAGATATGTCCTTCCAGTTTGACCTTAACGACGATTCTGCGCTCTGGGAAGGTGCCTTGGGGCACATTGATATGGATGCGAATTGGATCGAGAATACCCTGAGACGATAATAATGTACATAAAAATCGTACCAGATAAATTCAGTGATGCTAATTTATTAATCTCTTATCTTTGAACTCGGAAAGTATGTGTTGATCAAGTGTTCTGTCTTGTGGAGCCCTTTGATTGAAAATCACAGAATCAGTTGAACGTTCTCACTACCCGCATTCGAAGGTAGCGGAGTAACTGTTATTTATATGATATTACATCTCGACTGTTACAAAACATACACACCACGTCGCTTGATTCAAGTCAACGTGCAAGATAACGCTTCATTGAGCCAGTATAGACACTAGAACATTTAATCCTGGTCAAGGAAGATTGGGTATCACTCCTGAGCCGCCTTTTAGTTTCAAGGCAGTCTACAGAGTAGCGTGACCGAGGACGTAATTGGGTATGTACTCGATAATAATACTACTACATTATAGACTCAGGTATGTTATCATCTGCCTTTCCCCCACTTTGCGTGATATCGGCCCGACGATGTCACGTGTCGGCAACGGAATTCCGACATGACCTGGAAGCATATAATACCTATCATGACCTTCCTAAGCCTACGAAATTTGATAATCATCACTAATTACGCTCAAAATGACCTCACCTGGGAAAATAACAATTTCAATTGATCGTGGTGGCACGTTTACCGATGTGCACGCCATTGTGCCTGGTTCCTCAGACATTATCATCAAGCTTCTCTCAGTCGACCCCTCACACTATCAAGATGCCCCAACAGAGGGTATTCGTCAAATTCTGGAGCTTGTGACTGGGCAGCCTCACCCTCGTGGCCAGCCGTTGAAGCTGGACCGTATCGGTTGCCTTCGAATGGGTACCACTGTTGCTACCAATGCGCTATTGGAACGCAAAGGCGCCCGCTCAGTATTATTCACGACCAAAGGATTCCGCGATCTCCTCAAGATCGGTGATCAATCTCGTCCTGCCATCTTTGATCTCACCATGGCGCGGCCCGGAGTCCTGCCAGAGAGGGTTGTCGAAGTCAATGAGCGGGTGATTCCTTGCCACCCAAATGCAAGCACTGATAGCTTTCCTGGTGCTCGAATCATTCAAGGCATCACTGGCGAGAAATTCAAAATTGTGCAAGAACTAGATCTGGACCACGTGCGATCAGAGCTCCAGAAGCTCAGGGAGCAAGGATATGAATCACTCTCCGTTGCGCTTGTCCATTCATTCTCGTATCCCGACCACGAGCGCCAGATTGGGGAAATCGCCGAGCAGATGGGCTTTTCTGTGACATTATCCTCTAAATTAATGCCTATGATTAAACTTGTCAACCGAGGCATGTCCGCCGCCGCTGACGCATACCTTACTCCTGTCATCAAAACCTACATCGACTCCATTTCTTCGAGTTTCGAAGGTGGCTTGGAGAGTCAACAAGATTGTCGATTTGAATTTATGCAGTCGGATGGAGGTTTGGTAGATTTCCGAAAGTTCAGTGGTCTCAAAGCCATTCTTTCCGGTCCTGCGGCCGGCGTGGTGGGATTTGCTGCGACAAGCTGGGATTCTGTCGAAAAAACACCAGTGATTGGATTCGACATGGGTGGCACTTCGACTGATGTGTCTCGATTTGATGGCCATTTCGAGCATATCTTTGGATCTAAAGTCGCCGGTGTTCTGATTCAATCTCCCCAACTCGATATCAACACAGTGGCTGCTGGCGGTGGATCTATTCTTTCCTGGCGCAATGGCCTCTTCTATGTTGGCCCTGAATCGGCTAGTGCACATCCCGGTCCAGCATGTTACCGAAAAGGCGGCCCTTTGACCGTGACGGACGCCAATCTGTTCTTAGGTCGTTTGCTTCCTGAGTACTTCCCCCACATCTTCGGGCCCAATGAAGACCAACCTTTGGATACCGAGATCACGACACAGAAGTTCTACGAATTAACGGAGAAGGTTAATGTTGAGCGCCGTCGAAAATCCCAGCCAGAATACACCCCAGAGGAAGTTGCTCTTGGATTCCTGAACGTTGCTGACGAGTCGATGGCCCGTCCTATCCGCAATCTCACTCAAGCTCGCGGCTTTGAGACCGCTTCGCACCACCTCGCTTGCTTTGGAGGAGCCGGTGGCCAGCATGCCTGCTCAGTTGCAAAAAACTTGGGAATATCTCGCGTTATCATACATAAATACTCTTCGGTTCTTTCAGCATATGGCTTGGCCCTTGCTGAAGTTGTCAAAGAATCACAGGAGCCAGTCTCCTCTGAATACAGTACTTCGCATTCAACCCTCCTAGATCGCTTTGACAGTATAGCTGCTGCTTCAGCAGAGGAAATGCAAGCCCAAGGTTTCTCCTCTGGCCAATTGCGACATGAACAATACCTTAACATGAGATATGAAGGGTCCGACACTAGTTTGATGATTATGCGGCCAGAGGATTCGACGGATTTTCTGAGTCAATTCCGAGATCGCCATCGTCGCGAATTCAACTTCAATTCCGAGCGACCCGTTCTCGTTGACGACATTCGTGTGCGTACCATCGCTTCAGCCCAGGTTCGCACAGAGCGCAGCCCACTGGTGCAGCTGAAGGATGCTAGTATGAAGGATGTTGCAATTGCCCCAGCCAACACAATTGCAGCCTATTTTGACGAACACCCCATGCGTATCGATACACCTGTGTTCCTGCTGGATGAATTAGAAAAGCACACTCGCATTATCGGTCCAGCCCTAATCATTGATAGGACCCAAACAATTGTGGTCGCTCCTAACAGTGTGGCGAATCTCTTGGAAACTTGCATCGTCATCGACTTGCAGGACAAGCCAACCTCTCAACTTGAGGAAGCTGCATCGGAGATTGACCCCATCCGGCTCACTATCTTTGGCCATCGGTTCATGTCCATTGCTGAGCAAATGGGTCGGACACTACAGAAGACCTCGGTATCTACCAACATCAAAGAACGATTGGATTTCTCCTGTGCCTTGTTTTCTCCCGATGGAGGACTTGTTGCCAATGCCCCGCACGTTCCTGTGCATCTGGGTTCCATGCAATTTGCCGTACGCTACCAGCACCAGAAGTGGCTGGGCAATCTGAAGGATGGCGATGTGCTTGTCGCTAATCACCCAAGCTGTGGTGGCACTCACCTCCCAGATATCACTGTAAGAGCCATTTGACGCCACTCGAAATCAAACTAATATTCAAATAGGTAATTACACCCGTCTTTGATCGCCCCGGTGGCAGCGAGATTATGTTTTATGTCGCCTCGCGAGGCCACCATGCGGATATAGGGGGTATCCTCCCAGGTTCGATGCCACCCAGGTCCACCGAGCTTTGGCAGGAAGGTGCAGCCATCGAAGGCGATAAAATTGTCAGCGACGGCGTTCTAGACGAGGCACGCCTTATCGAACTGCTGGTCACAAAGCCCTCACAATACCCCGAGTGCTCTGGTGCGCGATGCATCAGTGACAATATCTCTGACCTCAAGGCCCAGATATCAGCCAACGCCCGGGGTATCACCTTGATTCAGAGTCTTTTCGCAGAATATGGTGTTGAAACCGTGCAGAAGTATATGTACGGTATTCAGGAATCGGCCGAGAATGCCGTACGCAACCTGCTCAAAGACCTGCACCAGAAGTTCGGCGGCCAACCATTGGAAGCGGTGGATTACATGGATGATGGCACCCCGATTTGCCTCAAGGTCACCATCGATGGGTCTGACGGATCAGCCGTCTTTGATTTCTCTGGAACCGGTGCCCAGGTGATGGCAAATTTTAATGCGCCTATTGCGATTACGCATTCGGCGATTATTTACTGTTTGCGATGCATGATCAATGCAGACGTTCCCCTAAACCAGGGATGCTTGGCTCCAATCGACATTCAAGTGCCGTCACCTAGCCTTTTGTCGCCCAATAAGACTGCGGCTGTTGTAGGTGGAAATGTGCTCACATCGCAACGCATCACAGATGTGGTTTTCAAAGCATTCTCGGCTTGCAGTGCCTCGCAAGGCTGCTGCAATAACTTGACGTTTGGAACGAACCCTAAACTGGATGCCGATGGTACAGTGATCACTCCTGGATTCGGATACTACGAAACGATCGCTGGAGGCGGTGGAGCTGGCCCAACTTGGAACGGAGAATCTGGCGTTCAAGTGCATATGACCAATACGCGAATCACTGATCCCGAAATTCTGGAGAAACGCTACCCAACCATGCTTCGTCAATTCTCATTACGTGAGGGATCTGGTGGTCGGGGCAAGCACCCTGGTGGCGAAGGTGTGGTTCGCGATATTGAATTCCTTGCTCCAATGCAGTGCTCTATTTTGTCCGAGCGACGTGTTCACCGACCATATGGTTTAGAAGGTGGCGAGGATGCCCAGTCTGGCGCAAACTACTTGATTACGCGGAACGAGACTGGAGAAGAGCGTCGGATCGATATTGGAGGAAAGGAAACAGTCTCGGTGAACACGCATGACCGAGTAGTTATTATGACGCCAGGCGGTGGCGGATGGGGTGCTCTCTAGGAGAGTAAGAACACATGTTTATAGTCCTGAGTTTAGGTACTGCCTAGATGGTACCTACTATCACACAAATGGCCTCAATCTTCAAACATTCATCCGTTTAAACTGCAAAAAAGAACTTTGTAAGTAGATTCCATGCACATTATAGGCTATACGCCTCAAATGCCATTGATAATTCTAGCCTTACGGAGCAGTCAAGCATTCCAAGGTTGTCATGCTCCTATACAACGCACGACTCTTCTTTCTTCGTAGAATCAATGACCGGAAGTATAAGTGTGTCTTGAACACGCTTATAGATGAGGACCATCAAAATAACCATAGATCCAGCCAACAGACCCCAATAGCTTCCGAACATGGCCTGATAGCTAACCTCATGAACATCCAGACTGAATACGATGGCAGCTCCCATCGCCCCAAAAACCTTATAAAATGCCGAATATATAGACAAGACCAGCGGATCGTTTGAGAGAGCGCCCATGATCCACCAGGCAAATGTCTGCCATGCACCATCGACGGCCCCGTAAAATGTATAGAGAGCAATATATCCCGCCGCTCTTGAGTCATGGACATCAAGAAGATGTGCCGGAGGGCGTCCCCGGTGAGACTCGCGAGCAGGAAAGACGCCTCCAACAAAGACTGCGTTAATCAAAACAAACAGGAATAACCATCCTATAAAGGCGCGTTGACGCCGACCCCCCAGCTTTGTATAATCAAGCAAGAGTCCCAGAATCACAGCCGTGACAAATTGGCCAAAGTCAAACCAGAGACTGCCAAACGCGCGAGTTCGCAGGTCAAAAAAGTAGGCATTGAAGTCGTTGCTCTGGTAAGGAATATACCACAGTCCAGCAAAGCTGTAGGGAAAAAACAAGATGATCCATGGCTCCCGTTTGACAACAACCCACACGTTCTTCAGTTCTTGAACAAAGCTAGTCTGTCTCGGAATCATAACGCGAGATCCATCATTTCGAATAACCTTTGATGGATCGGACACAAAGCATGCCACCACACTGCCCATTAGCATGAGCACAAAAAGGGCAATATAAGTGCTGTCGTTCACGCTTCCGGCCGTTGTGACCCCCAATTTTCGACTGTAGGGATGATGGCACCCACTACAGTCCCGAAGAATGAGACTCCATAGAAGATTCCCACGTATTTCCCCTTGTCTTTCTCCAACGGCAGTGACATGATCATGGATCCCTCTGCAGTCCTGTGTACAAGATATTAGACAAAGCTAAACAATACATTCGAGATGACTCACCAAAGGAATGCAGCTGCAACTCCACACGTGGCACCTCCAAAGTAAACAAAGGCCTGATTCATATTGTTGTTGTAGCTCCAGTATGAAGCCGACAGAAGGGAATACCCGATGCCGCCCGTTGCAAGAGTGATCTTGGGCCCGAGAAAGTTGCACACCGAACCCGAGACCAACGCAAATGCACAAAACAGACTATACAAGATTGTGTTGGCGTTATTACTAGTTGTAGGGTCTATTTGACCTCCCCCGCCAAGTGCAGATAAAACGTTAAACATGCCTACAACTGCAAGGTGCACGATAGCGATAATCACACATTGTGTGATCGGGGCGCGGTAGGCAGGAAGCGTAAAGAGTCCGAGAATTCGATATCCTTTTGGGACTTTATGATACACGTCCATATTCCCGGCTATCGCATCTGGCTGTAGATCAGGCTCCTGGCTGATCTTGGCCTTTTCGGGGTGTTTGGGGTTATCCATGAGTGAGAAATAGAATTGCAGTCAATTGATACCGTGTCCATGTTTCCATGACGAGCATTATATGTCTAACCCCTCACTTTGTATCAACCAACTATTGTATCACCGAAGATTGCCCTGATAACATTGCATTGAAAGCGGGGAAACGTCTCCGACTTATCAAGTGTTGCGCGGGATGGGTTTACGCGGGATCAATTCATTGGCTTTGCTGATAGCTTTAATATTCCAATTTCTTACGGATCATTATAGATATTGATGTTTGATATAGCAAAGATAGGATAACTATTGCATGCACAATCCAACCTGGCATGACTATCTCTGTATGCATGGCCTCTCCAGTGATAGTCTTATTGAAGGACGCCTATAAAGATACTTGCTAGAATCAAGCTACCGTAGAAGAACAGATTCAATTCCGTAAATGCTTATCTATATCAGATTTTGTGGCATATATGATATCAGCCGTCAAATTCGTATTTTGGCTGCCCACGCGCGTCAGTCGGCTTATAGCGAAACATATGTCCTCCCTCATCGGCCGGATTTGGCTTTCCACGACGGATCATTCCACTGGCAACATAAATGATGTCAAAGTTCTTGCCACCCCAAGTGGTGCAAGCAGGATTTCTGCTTGAGAAAACAATATCTTTCAAGTGTCGGCCACTTGGGCTGAAGACCATGACCCGATTGGAATCGAACATTGCAATCCACAAATTACCATCAGTACTGATAAAGTTTAGCGACAGGAGGCCAAAGAGCATTGAAGATGGAGTACGTACTCGACCACCATGCCATCGGGTTCACCAAACGAGTCGCGACGATCGATTAACAATCGCTTGTTAGAAATGTTGCCGGTTTCCAGGTCGAAATCATATTTCCATACGACCATGGCCACAGAGTCATGGAAATACACTAATGACTTGATTAGCACTGCAGAGCATGATTGGAACATGAATACACACTGGTTCTGTTATCTGGACTCCAACCCAGCCCATTTCCACACACAATTCCTTCAGTAATCATCAGGTGTAGGCTTCCATCAGGATCATAACGCCAAAGTCGTCCACGAGGGGTTCCATAATTGTCCGGGAGTTGATTTGGACCAAATGACATGGCTTTCTTATCTATCTCCGCAAGCCAGAATCGCCCCTTCGCATCAATTCCACCATCGTTGAATCGAAGCTCATCGCGCTCGGCAGTTGGAATAATCTCTTTGACGATTTCCATTTTCCCCGTCTCTTCGTCGATGAAACAAATCCCTTGGTAGTACGCGGCAATATAACCGGGCTTATCCTTCCGGAAAAAGACCACGGTCACACTATCTTCAAGATCAAGCACTCGAGCTTCCCCAACAGCATCGCCCGAATCATCAAGCTTCAAGATATAAAGTCTTGAGGGCTCGGAGAGGCAGTCGACCCAATGAAGGGTAGAGTCGCTTGCTCTGAAGATTGGGGCTTCCCCTAGTACCATGGGCTCTGGGCAAGAATACCATTTCTTCCCACCATCGATTGACTCTAGGCCTGCCATTTTGCCTACACAGAATTCTGCAGAATATTTGGCAGATGAAGTTCATTTAGTCTGGGATTTATGCATTCAAATGTGTATCCCGCTGTACCACGTCTCACGCTCCGTTGGTGGAGACATCCCGCGACTCATCCCACGCAAATCACGGGGGTCGCAATTTGATTTTATCAGATCTGTCGTTTGGTGTCGAATTGACCATTACTATTCCTTGGTTCCTTTCGAGATAATCCTCGATCAACAGTCCCCAAGCCAAGCAGAAAGAACCAAATCAGACAAATGTATCAATTTATCGCGCGTTCCCCCGGTCAGAACGCTCATTTGATTTTCCGCCCATGGGAATCGTGGGATGGGATATGGAAGGAACGATATAAGAGCCATAGTCGAGCAATATCAATCTATCCTTGAAGTCGTATTGTCGTTTATATCATGGAAACATACAAGAGTTTTGGCCAGATGTAATAAAAAATAACCCGATGATACATGCGCGTACGCCTCCCGAGGTCACCATCATTTCAGCTTAGTTTAAGACTCGCACGAGGATTACTTGGCAATCCTTTCTCTTTCTTCTTCCGTGGTCTCTTCACTGTGTTTGTGTTGACGGAGGAGCTTGTTAATGGACGGAATGCACGCGCAGACAAGTCCCAGTCCACCTTCTGCGTTACTGCTGAAATTAGACTTGACTCAAATACTAGCATATAAGACACTTACTCGGATAACAGTACCCTCATGAACACATCAATCTCATCAGAGCTATTTCTTTCACTGACGACCAGCACCAGTCGATAGATACTGAAAGCGACAGCAATGCTACCTGCTCCGAGGATCGCAATGACATATAGCTTCCTAGAAAGAGGCACATGTAATGTCCAAGCCAGGACGATAGGAAATATGAGAATGGCCAAGTCAGTGGTGACAGATATACTCGAGTCGGTCACAATGATGGCGAATCTGTTCAAACACATGCCGTCGTGACGATTGACATCCCAAAACAAGCGGATTGGGTTGCACGTGAAGATTTTGATAAACAGTATGACTGTGTAGTAAGAGACGATGAAAGCCAAGAAGCTGTACAAGGCAATCACCTTTCCACGATATGGACTCCACAGCCGGATCATAATGTATATAAGAGAGGTCTTGACGAAAAGGACCATGGGGACGTAGAACATCGTAGCTATATAGGAGACCTTCTTTTTTCTCAGCATGACTGCTTTATAAGAGTTTGCAACTCAAGGTACCTTGTATTTGATTTCACGATCCCGCGTCGTGTAAACGCCGTGAGAAATGGTGCCTCCAGAATAGGTATCTGCGTGAAGATTGATTAGCAATGCTGATCGGACCAGCTTAAGATTGTCCTCGTACAGAACAGAATTGAGATGCAATGACCCATGAACATAATCTGTTATGTGTCAGGCTTGTATAGAAAGTAGTCATATGTCAAGGAGGCATGTTCGTACCAATGCTGCATAGCATGATGCTATATACACAATTCATTAGCAGAGAAAGGCGCTGCATTGGAAAATACACATACCATCGTCTACCCCAAACGGGAGATGTAGTTTATACTTGGCAAAGGCCCGTAGAGCTATCAGGGGCGGGACTATGCTGAAACACAGGATTTGGGTGGCCAGGCTGATTGAATCCAGGCCCATAGTGAAGACGCTCGCGCAGGAACATTGTCTCAAGATAAGAAAAGTTGCAACACAGTCCAAAATTGCAGTCTATCGAAGCCTCTGAATCACAAGATTGGGCATAGAACGATCTCAATGAGTTGGGGGTTGATCTGAGGCGATGAGAACCACGGATGATGATGTCATCGAGGCACGTTATCGGAGATCGGAGATCTGCTTGTCTTTGGCCCTGAAGAACCTTGGGAAGCCGAAAGCTTAAGTCTCATTGCAATCTTTCAGAATCCCTGCGATTATCTCATACCAACCCCATCTTCATCTTAACCAGTCTCCATACACCCAACCACACTTAATTTGTCTCTCGATTGACGCCTCATGGGCAGTTCTCGGGGTGTAAATTAGCTGGCCTAGGCGATAAATTAGCCTGAAGCTGTTGAAAAAGGCGGCATTCCCTTCTAAGTTTTTACCTTACCCATGACTTTGAAGTTTCTGAGCCGAAGTCTTTCTCAATGGCTTGTCGTGCGATTCTGAGCTCAGTCTGCCTTCGCTCTCCTTACGTTAGATTGCTTATATCTGGAATCAGCGACCAATGCGGCAATGCAGCAATTTGCAAGTCGAGAGCATAATAAGACCTTATGCAAGCCCCGGGTATCCTCCCGATGCTAAGCTAGTTGTTGAATCAATCGCGCTAACTCAGGGATTTTGTCGGCATTAGTCTCTCCTTCCATGCATGGTGATAATGATCCATCCGAAGGCGCACTGAAAAACCTCTTCTAATTAGACTCTCGACGAATTATCCGGGTGTCTTACAGCCTTGGAGTTTTTCATTCATTCTTGATTGGTCCATCACATACGACCTGAAACCATGACAACTTTACAGACAGCCGAGTCGATACTCAAATTAACCGAAGAACTTGGCTCTACATTTCGAGCAAAACGTCCGTCTAAGAAAACCAGTTTTCCCTGCATCTTTAGCTTAAACACACCCGCGCATGATGATTGGACAGGACTCTCCTTTAGTGGGCTCGCGTGGAGTATTGGCAGCATTCAGGGTCTCGGAATGCATTCACCGAAGTTTCACCGCCAGCACCGCCCAGTGACCTTGGCAACTTGCCGCTGTTTCTTCACAAATCTTCATGGTCCAAGGAACGAATCGCTAAAAATAAATCCAACGATGCGAATGAATGGAATAGCCGGAGTTGATTTAGATGCAAAAAAGCCGTTAACAACCAAGCCAAATTCCGACGCCTCAACCTCGGTAGGTAGATCAGTGGAGCCAACTCCCCTAAGAATAGTTATAGTGGAGTGCTAGGCTTCCACGCAGGTGACCCATGATATGAAAGTCCAAGACAATAACAGCGGAGACTAGTGATGGTGATGTCTAACCTTAGAAGATTCCACTCTACTCCGGGTAAATGGCGATCATGCCAAACTGAAGAACATAAAAGAGGCACTGCTGCCCTGATCTAAATTACAATCTATCACTCATCTACTTTACCAACTCACAAGCCCTTCTCTACATCCTCTCTCCGCTTTCCATCAGTTCAGTCCCAATCCTCCATCATGCAGATCAAGAACGTTCTCTTCGCTGCCTCTCTTGCAGCCTCTGCCTCTGCTCTCCCCAGCACCAAGTCCGACACTTTCGGCATCGTCGCCATCCACTCCGGCTCCGGTGTGCAATATTCTAGCTTCAATGCTGCCAAGAGCAGCATCTTCGCCGGCCTCAAGTCCCAAAATGCCAGCTGTGCGCGTCCCAAAGAACAGGACGCCACGTTCTATTTGAATAATGGAGCGCTTTTTCTGTATGACCAGTCCGCCACTCCCCAAGAGGTCTATGTTGACCGCTCCGGAATGGGTAAGATCTTTAACCACCCTCCTGTTTGAATTCTACTAATCATTACTGAACAGGCCAGGGTAAGATTGGATACACCACTGGTGCTCAGCCCGCACCCAAGAACGCCGAGCGTCAGGGCTGGGCAACCAAGGATGGACACCTCCAATTCGCCGGCAGCGACTTGATTGCCTGCCCCAACAGCATTGACGGCGCTTGGTCTATTTGGGCGGATGCTGGCGTGGCCAACCCTGCTGGAAACTCGAACTGCGTTGGCATTGCCGCTAGAGTCGAGTCGACTTCCAACCCTAACGGTTGCGTCTACACCCAGTAGGCATGGTTGGATTGAATAAATCGATCTTTGCTTTGGATGCCGAGACTATGAAACGACAAAACAAGGGTTTCCATTATTCTGTCGTCTTAATTTGTTTTGTATATATTAGTCTTACGGGCTTCTACCATGTACCATTATATCAATTTCCAGGACTATGAATACTGTTTATCTCCTGTGTTCCTCATGAAACTTCCCTATTGTCCCGTACCTCCCTTAGCTTTCAGGCTTGGATAGTCCCTTTGTTCTTTCCAAGGTTGATTCCCACCTTCACCTCTTTTCACTTCAGGAGTTACTACATCTGATGCTGACGTGGGATGAGCGATGCAAGACAGCCCTGGATGTGGAAGCTGCGTTGAATTCTGTGCTAGAAAGCGATTAAGATATGTCGGCTCCAGAACTTGCGAAGGACTTGCAAAATATGACGCACCAAAGCTTCGACTTCCTCTTTCCAAAAGCAGCGACGCAGGAGGGAGTGGAAAATGAGGAAGGCTGTTGCTAAAGCTAAGAAGGCGGAGTTCGAGGGGCGGCGCAGGAAGAGAGAATTTATGAGTGGAGGTCTGCAAGTCTGTCGAGAAGGGCAAACAGGAAGTTACCGAGTATTCTCAGACTGTATGATTGTTGCATTGGAATTTTCCTTATTCGATATTGAATTATTCTACATGATAGGCCTGAATATATACACCATACAATCGTTGGAACATCAGAAGGTTGGGGAGTTAGGTGCCCACGTATTGATTATATTATTGATCCTCCTGTTGCTTTCGTCGCGGCTTTGAGATCCTCTGTCGTGAGGAACGAAAGAAGCTCTTCACAAGAGATCTGTAGATTGTCCTCCCCTCCACGGTATCACTGGCAAAGCCAAAGACCGTTAGTAGTATCAGGGTCAAGAAGAAGATCACTGCAAAGCTGACCCAGTAATCCACCTTTGTATAGCCACCCTTGACCCCCTGTAGCTCGGTGGAGAAGTAGGCCGTCATCAGACTGACTGGCAAGAATAACATGGTTGCTTTGGCCAACAGAATTGTGATGCGGGTAAGTTTCTCCACGGCTTGTGAGTCTTTCAGGGCAATCAGATTAAAGTTCTGCTAGAGTTAGCATAATACTTATCAGCCCGAGGAAGAAAGATACTTAGATACTTACTAAAAATGTCAAGGACTCCTTTTCCAACAAACATGACTCGATCTCACTCAAACAGTACAAGTTGATGCGATCGACGAGTCGCTCAAATCTTGCCACCGCAGCCGAGCTCAAGACCACTCCCACCATCTTATCTTTGGTTTCTGGGAAGCTGCCGTTACTGACCAAGCTTCCTTGTCGCATGTCAGCGAACTCCATATCTCCAAAAGTGGCGCCAAAGGCCAATGGCTGTGGATGCGCCGAGCGAGCCTCGTCACGAAGGAGCCGCTGGCGCTGTAACACACGTCGCATGATGAGTTCATAGCTCTGGTAGAGTCTCTTCAAAACCGCCAGTCGTCGACCTAGCCAGTGTAGCTCATTGACCAGCTCCACAATCGGCCGATCCAGCATCTGGCCTCTTAATTGTTCCAGCGCCACGCCATATTGATGCTCTCGCTTTGCAATTAGACCATAGCTGGAGACCCAGTCATCGAAGATATAGTAGTAGAGCAGGCTTGGGCCGTCCTCTTGTTTAATATTTGCTTGGTCAGGCCCGACATCATTGAAATGTCGGACTCGAATGGTCACGAGGGAATCGCTTTCCGACATGGTCAGATGCTGTTTCGAGACTCCCGAGACAATGAATCGGACATTCCGGCGTACAACATCCATCGTTTTGATCTGATCCGGCAGCAGCGCTCCCTTCTGCTGGGGAAAGGGGTTTTCCTGCATGGAAATGATTGTGCCGTCGTCACATAGAATCAACCAATTCCAGAGTCGTCTGCCCTCGGGCAAATCTTTCCCATTTGCATTGATTTCCTCTGGTACGTTGGGGGTCACAAATAAAGTATTATAGCCGATACAGGTGTCTATCTCGTGTTAGATCATTTGCTTCTGTTATCTCTCTTGCAAACTTACATCGTGGTCCGTGGTCGACTGACGAAAAATGCCAAATTTGATCGGTGACTTGTGAAAAGGTCAAGTGTTTGAATGAGGAGGTATCATGACCTTCGTCTTGGTCGCGTATATTCTTCAGGGCAAATGCGTTCTCGATATCATCCGGGTCGAGATCCAAGTCCACATCACGGGTTCGTGATCGTCTCTTCTTCGGTGCTGTGCCTGGTGGGGGCCGTGTGACAGGTGCGGTGCACATCATCCCCTGTAGTCGCTCCGATACCCCATAAAAGGACATAATTCCCTTGATAGCTTCTATTTGTTCTTCTGGGGCCCATAGGTGGCTGAATTTGTCAGTCTCTCAGCATTGAACAGCTCTGGTTAGATCTTACATCCATCTGGTACCAAAACACCTGGATCGCTGTCGAGATCGTTAGTTCGTCCCTTGGTCGCATTCCATCGAGACATACCGGTTGACTTAATAATGCTTTAAAGTCATCGGTAACTAGATCGGTCGCACAATAGGCGTCTTCATTTCCAAAGTCCAGAACAAAGTTTTGCGTGTCCGGTTCCTTTAGCAGGCGCATGTACTGTTGGAAATAGGTTGGATCATCGATATCATTGAATTTATCGCGAAGAGATCCTCGATTCCCCTGAATGCCTTCATAGTATTTTTTAGGATCAAGCGACTCGCGCATAAATGGCTCAGCCATCGCGACCGTGTGGTTATAGATCAACACATACGTGGGATGAGAGTGCGAAATCTCAGCCAAAACAAAGAGGTCGAGAAGTTGATAAATCGAGAATCATTTCAGCTTCTGCCTTCTCATAAATACGAGGATTCAGCCAAGACAAGTGACTAGCCGCTGAGCAGGTCATGCTTAAGCGCCCGGCATCAGCTGCGCCCCCGCATGTGCCGTGTTTCATGGCTTCTGCACAGAAATAATACACAAATAGTAGAAGCTTAGTAGATCATGTAGTTTTAATTAGATCAGGAGACATGGGACAAAAGACAAGCGACAAGGTTGTAACTGGGGATGACCGCCAGTGACTACCAGTGGAAGAGTCACACCTGGTGCTTCGCGCGACCGGGGCAATTTGCAGATTTGCCAGGTTTCCAACTTTAAGGTGATAGATGCATACTGTTTAATCGATATCATTTATAGATCATATTCAAACCTAAATCTGATATGACTCCGATCCATGGGACGTCATCTCAAGCCAAGCTTTGTGCGGTGACGTCGTTGAGGGGGCTAACTGATCGTAGATCGATTCCCGCTTTCTTTCCTCTACAGCTTTTCTTTCTGCATCAACACCATGGCGACCACCAGTGAGACAAATGCAGGGTCCAACCTTCAGGTGGACTTTGTCATCCAATACAGCTTTGGGGATGTCGGTGAGTGACCCAGCTTTGTGTGGCCGAGCAGTGTTGAGACCCCATTTCCAGACCAGCCAAACGCGATTGAACAGCTTCAGAAGTTGCTACAGACCCTTGCCGGGGTCGGCCTGCAAACCGAAGTTCGACAAGGCGACGAAGCCTCCTTGCTCATCTTTGTGCGAGCTTCCAAGAATCAGCTGAAGCGGGCGGTGTACCGATCGCGGTGAGTGCTCCCTTATCGGAGCTCCTTGGTGGTTTTTTTTTTGGAACCACCTGCTAATACAATGCCAGAGTCCGCGACTGGCTGTATGGAATCCGTCATGCCGAGCCCGAACCTGCCGATGCGATCGATCCCGACAACGAGACCGAGGCCGAGCGACTACGGGTCATCAACCACATGATAACCCTCCCCACTCACGAAGGAGGTGCTGGTATCACCCCGCAACATGGGGAATGGAAGAACGTCATGGCCGTGTTCCCGCTGCACGATCAGGAGACAAATGGCCAATGGATGCGCGAGTGGAGCCAGAAGACCTTTCTCTCGGAAGACGACTTGGATCAGATTCGCAATAAATTCGGAGAAAGCGTAAGGGCACCAAGGATCTCTTTATATAGGAGGTTGCGCTGACACCAGGAACAGGTCGGCTTTTACTTCTCTTTCCTCCAGGCATACTTTCGCTTCCTTATCTTCCCCGCAGTCTTTGGTTTCGGGTGCTGGTTTCTCTTGGGCGGCTACTCCATCATCTACGCCATCGTGAATTCGCTTTGGTGCATCATCTTTGTCGAATACTGGAAGCGCCAGGAGGTCGATCTGCGCTGTCGCTGGCAGACTAAAGGCGTCTCTGCCGTCCAAACCAAGCGGCGTCAATTCAAGCCGGAGAAGGAGGTTCGCGACGAGAGCACTGGCGAAGTTCGAGGCGTTTTCCCGGCAACCAAGCGTATGCAAAGACAACTGCTCCAGATCCCGTTTGCACTACTTGCTGCAACTGCTCTGGGTGTCATCATTGCGACTTGCTTCGCGATCGAGATCTTCATTGCCGAGCTGTACAATGGACCCTTGAAGTCATATTTGGTATGCGATCGTGTAGCTATCGTCTTTGTCTCCAGTTCTAACGTCACCAGGTTTTCATTCCAACAATTCTCGTCTCTGCACTGGTTCCCACGATGAGTGCCGTTCTAGTCTCCATTGCGACCAAACTCAATGACTACGAGAACCACGAGACGAATGATGCATATGATATTGCATTGACCCAAAAGGTCTTTGTTATTAACTTTATAACCTCCTATCTACCAGTCTTCTTGACAGCCTTTGTATACGTGCCCTTTGCCAGCCGCATTGTCCCTTACCTGGATGTCTTCCGTTTGACCGTACGGCCCTTCGTGTCTAAGGAGCATTCCAATGCTAAGAGATCAAATTTCCAAATCGACCCTGCCAGACTTCGAAACCAGGTGATCTATTTCACAGTGACCGCTCAGATCGTCGGGCTTGCCATGGAGACTATCGTTCCCTACATCAAGCAACATGCCTTCCGAAAGTACAAGGCCTACAACAAGAAGCGCAACGGCAAGGCCGAAGGCAACGGCGAGAAGGATTCCCCGGAGAGGCCGTTGCATGTAGTCTTCGACGACCCAGCGGAAGAAGTGAAGTTTCTCACCCGGGTTCGCAACGAAGTTGAGCTGCCTGAGTACGAAGTCACCGACGATTTGCGTGAGATGTGCATCCAGTTCGGTTACTTGGCGCTTTTTTCCCCCGTCTGGCCCTTGGTCCCCTGTTCATTTTTTGCCAACAATTGGGTGGAACTCCGATCGGACTTTTTCAAGATCTGTAATGAGTTCCGCCGCCCCACGCCGCTCCGATCTGACACCATTGGACCTTGGCTTGATACCCTCGGCTTTCTCTCTTGGACCGGCAGCATTACCAGCGCTGCTCTCGTCTACATGTTCAGTGGGAACGCGCAACAGGGTCCCAACGGGGAACCCACGGATATCAAAGGATGGACACTGCTTCTCTCCATCTTCTTCTCTGAGCATCTATATCTGGCGATTCAGTATGTCGTTCAGGTTTCCATGATCAAGCTCGAGCCAACGAATGCTCGTAAGGAGCGCGCTGAACGGTATCTTATGCGCAAGCGATATCTGGAATCCACACTGAGTGCGCAGAATGATGACGAGACTCCTGCAAACGCCTTTGAAGTGCCCGGATTGTCGCGTGCTGCCCTTGAGGAGGAGGCTCGGCAGTCTACCTTGCAAGAGACGGATCCTGCTGAGCGCTTCTGGATGCGTCAACAAGGCTGGAAGGAGTCTGCCCAGGTCGGCACTGGTATAATTCAAGCCCAGACCTCAGGAACCACCAAAAAGCAGCAATGAGGTGGTAACGAGGGGAAATTTGGCAAATTTCGGTTTCAGCAGGATGAATGCTTGTGTAGTCTTTCTAGATCGTGACATGTCTCACGCTGCCTTTTTTGACGGGATATGTTAACATGGACAATGTAAACAAGTTGGCACATAGTTCAGATGAATCTTATATCGTATGCATAGCGTGCTATGATGTTGTGCTCTTTATTATATAAACAAATCAGCTGCACACAACACGGCATCAGTCAAGGCGCAGTGTTCGAAATTTGGATTAATATTGTCGTTGCCGTCAATGTCGTTTCTGTTGCATGAGAAGTACAATGAGCTTTTCCATCGCATGGCAAAGACCGAAGACATGCTAGATAGTCAATCCATTTCTTTCCGAGGGCATGAACCATGTTGATTGGTCAGTTTTCCGGGGGTATAACCTCATTGTTGGGGTACAGCTCTGGGGTGGACTATAAGTCCGCCTTGGTATACATCGGAAGGCGCCGGCGGCCGAACCCCGCGCCCCGCGATTTATACCCCAAGGCTTTTTCAGGGGGCTCAGAACAACATGGATATTTCGATCAAAGTACGAACTGATAGTATGCGATAGTATCGTTATATCTTTGCTGGTTATGCTGATTGAAGGACTTCCAAGGTTGCTAAGATTCCCGAACAAGAGCAACTAGAACATTAACACAAACCTTGGAACCAACCGTCTTCGTATAAGGCCGGGAGCTTTAGGAGATATTACGTTTACAAACTGGATGAACCCCAATCTAGATTTCGTTTGTCATACATCAACAACTTCTCAGCTTGGACTCTTGGTCACAAGGGACATCCTTTCCCCGTAAACTTTAGAGCGATCTAGACTGGACGACCGCTGGAAATTGTAGCAACTCAATGACACGGGCCAGCCCCAATATTACACATACTGGCACTCAAACTCGTGCTGTGCCATGGTTTGAGAAGAATCTCGGTAGCAGCCTTGGTTGACCTTGATTTAGCTTATTTGTCTCTAGTGGGATCACACCGGGATTCTCCGTGAACGGGTCATGTGCCACTTGGTTTCATCATTATGCGTCTATAGAACGCCTTTTAGCTAATAATTTACTATATTTACTATGTGTATGTATGATGGTACTGGCGAGCCTCGCCGAGCTCGGGACTTGGGCATGCAGAGATTTATAGATAATTCCTGGAAGAGTGCCTTTTGACTGTTCATCGGCCTTCTACCGTTCCTTTTCTTTATTTTCCTCACCGAAAATAACTCATGGAGCATACAATTATTGTCAGTGATCTTGAAAAGCCAATCTTCAGTGCCGAAGTGAATGGTTCCAGGGGTGATGGATACCAAAGCCCAACACTGGTAGTCCCCCACTCCGACCCGGAGAAATCGCTTCTTCAACACTACAATCCACCAGTCCATGAATTGACATCGAGGCAAGAGCAAAATGCATCCAATGTTGGCCGAAGGCTTGCGAATCCAGCCCCATTGGGCTTATGTGCTTTCGCACTGACATCGTTCATCGCAAACTCTACAAATGTTTATGTGACAGACATTTCATCGACTGGAATCACCACGGCTTTGCCGCTGGTTTACGGCGGTATCGTTCAGCTCGTTTCAGGCATGTGGTAAGTTTTGTGACTCTCTTCCTCTCTGTCCAAGCTTGACGAATGTAGGGAGATGGCAATCGGCAATACATTTGGAGCTACATCCTTTTCCTCCTATGGTGCCTACTGGATTACAATCGGTGTGATGGCAATGGTCAAAGATACTACGGAAAGTGGTGATACTTGCCAAGCTGAAAAACTTATGGGGGTGTTCATGATGGTATGTGCCGTTGCTCAGGTTGATTGCAGTAGGAATTGACCCGTATCACTATAGGCATGGTTTATCTTCACTACCCTGATGCTTCTAGGCACCCTCAAGTCAAGTCTTGCTATGTTCCTCTTGTTCTTTTTTCTGGACATGAACTATCTGCTTCTCGGCATTGCTCATCTGAAATGTCGTCAGTCTGAAGGCGTTATTCTAGCATCGGTTCAAAAAGTGGGCGGAATATTCGGATTGCTAGCTGCACTTGCTGCCTGGTGGAACGCATTTGCGGGAGTTCTTGATAGCAACAATTCCTTTTTCACGGTGCCTTTGGGGCATTTTCCATGGTCCCCTGCGGCTCGAGTTCATCGAGGTAAGGTCAAAAACGTTTGAGCCGAACAGGTACCAAACACACGATGAATGAATGATCTCAGTTACGGGACATTAATGCTTTTGACAAGTTTGCCTCTACAAAAAAAAAATATCGTCCCATCAAATAGCTTAAAACCATAAAAAGAAACCCTTATTTCATTCTTTTTTAGTTACTGTGCAGACTAGTCAATGTAGATATGGGCCGCATATACTCAAACCAGTAACGAAGTTGCCGAATGGATTCTCTCTTGGATAATCTTGGACCATTTCTAAGATATAATCATTAGTAGAAACCTCACATATAACTTGATCTTAAGTACTTACCTCGGCATTAGCCACGTCCTGAGCCTCTAGACTTTCCACGATACCAGGGTAGGTGGCGCCAGAATAACCAGTCCAGATACCCGGGGCGAAAACGACATGCTTGAACCAGTTACGGCCGTCAAGACCCGGCTCGTACAAGAATGCTCGCTCCAGCCCCTTGTATTTCAAATTGACAGCTCGAATCTGGAAATACAACCTGATTTTCTTGTACCAGTGGTACCATGGCACGTGCTCTCCAAGTTGCTCGGTCAGGTCAGCAGCATGGGCATCGAAAGCCTCCGCCGCCGACTGGAACTCGGCAATCGCTACATCGAGAGGAGCAAACTCGAAACGTGACCCAGTTGGAAGTTGCTTTGCGACCGGCTCAATGCGACGAAGGTACGAATATAGACCCTTGGCGTAGTCGTTGGCTGAGAAGGCGATGACAGGAGAGTCAGCAAGGCGAGCCGCCGCCAGTGCCCACAGTTTAGTGCACGCAACGTGGTGGCTCCAATCTGCATCACCAAATTTCTCCATCCAAGCGAAACTGTCGTAATTTGAATGATAGGGATAGACTGGGTCCTTTTCACCACGACCGAACCCGAAGTCTAGACTGGCGACACCGGCAAAGTCCTGGAATGCGGTGAAATCACTGCCACTGCCCATTGTGGAAATCTTCCCGTTCCAAGCATCACGGACGGTTTGGCCGGCCACGGTCTGGTTGGGAGATTGCACTAGGCCAGCGACTTCATAAATCAATTTGTTTAGCAGGGGTGCGGCTCGAGGAGCAAACTCCGTGCCAGCAGCAGCAACATCCACATTGAGATACGCGACGTTGGCCTTGGAGAGCCAGGGAAGGTTGTCTTCAACCCACTCTGTGGAGCCAAGCAGGCCATATTCTTCGCCATCCCAGCTTGCGAACACAATTGTTCGCAGCGGTTTCCATCCAGCCTTCAGAGCTTCGCCGAAGCTACGGATAACCTCGTTGAGAGCGGCGGATCCGCTGTTGGGGTCTCCTGCACCTCCTGCAATCCATGCATCTCGGTGATTACCCAACACAATGACTTCGTCTGGAATGCTTCCCTTGATCACGCCAATGACGTTCCACAGTGGAGTCGTCACATATTCCTGTTCGTTGTTCAGGTTGATGACGACGTCTGCCGGAGAAGGACCAATGTTATATTCGACACCCTTATGTGCCAAACCACCGCCTTGCCAATACTTGTTGAACTCTGATGCCTTGGGACCGTGACCGTTCAAAGCCTTCAAAAATGGCAGAGCCTCTTTGTAAGAGATCGGAAGGGATGGAATGGAGGGAATGGAGTTTTGTGGGTCCTGTCGCTCCACACCTGGTTTGGATGCATATCCCGGAGTGGTTGGATCTCCTGGGAGGATACCTTTGTAGGTCAGTAAATGGCTCAACGAGGCTGGATAGAATGGCACATACTTAAAAACTGTGTACTACCCCTCTGAACAGCACTGGGATTCCGGGCAGGTCCGTTGGGGTAAGCCTCATACCCATTAAGCTCGGTGATGTCCCCGTCCTCTTGCGGATCCGAGTAGATAACCACGCCTACCATTCCGAGCTCCTGTGCGCGTTTGACTTTGAGGCCACGGAATATGCCGCCGTACTTGACGATCGCAATGTTGCCTTCTAGGGTGATATTGGCATTCACGAGGTCTTCAAAGTCCTTGTAGGTGCCAAAGTTGGCGTACACAAACTGGGCAGTGACATTGCCACTGGCTGAGTATCCATGAAAGACGGGAACTCGATCGGGGAGACTTGAAGTTGGATCTTCCTCCAACACATCTTCCTCCAAAGTAGCCTCAAAGGTTACCTCTGTTTGATCGTCCGACTTCTTTAGCAAAGCCAACCTGTGATCCACGGGGTAATTCAAATAGATTTCATAGGTAGCAAGGCTGGTATCCTCCACGCCAAACTCCTGCCATTTTTCCATGGTCCATAGAGCTTGGCTGAGGTTCTTACCCGCCAGGTGGGGCCCCGCGGTATAGTATGAGCTCCACTCCCGCGCCTTAGCTGCCGACGGAGTTTCAAGGAGGATTTCCTGCAGTTGGTCGTAAGTGAGTCCGTTGCCGTGCGGCCACGACTCGTATGGAAGGGGGTGAGCCCATGGGAGATAAGACCAAATAGAACCACCATCCCGTGGCAGGATTGCAGACGGGATCAAGAACAGCGTCCCCGCGACCAGCAGCAGCGCGGCGAGCAGGAGTGTGCAAGTGCGACGGATCGCATGGTGAGGGTAGCGGTACCGCTGCGGTGCAACATATACAGCCAACAGAGGCGTCGTCTCCGAGGACTCCATGGTTTTCTCCCTCATCTTCGCAATGTTTTAAGAGGATGAAGGAGGAGAAGCGGAGATACTCCAGGTATCTTGTTACCCGTTCCAAGGCTCGCGTCATTGGCTGCTGACTAACGTCATTTGGACCCCGCATGTAGAGATAGCTACGGTGTAAATGTGTCTCATTGGCCAATATCGCAAGTGTTATCATGTTTTTTACAATTGCGAGCGGGGTTGAGCAACGATAGACGTTGTACCTTTTCGAAGTAGGTCGATTGACTTTCCAGGGTTGAGTGTATACTGTACATGTCAAGCCGATGTGGGGAAGCTGATTAATATGAAGCCACTGCCAGAAGAAAGCCAGATATCCGTAGCTTACACGTCTCTCAAGCCTCTATGTCATATTGTTGCTAGCTAATTATAGAGCCAATTCCTGGATCAACATTATGGCAAGGTAGCCTCGAACTAAATCGAGTGTCTGTGAGATGAGCGCATTGTGTTAGCCAGGCCTCGGTGGTATATAACTAGTAGCTGCTGTCTACATGGGTCCAGGCTGCCTGTCCAAATGAGCCGTGGCACACTGGCACATTAGGACATCAATATAGTGTCTCCTTTTTTTCGGTGCGACTACACACTTCTGAAGACCGAACATGGATTTTGAATATGACGAGCTTAGGTAAGCAGGGTGTTTGACTGGACATTTCGTGGCCAAGGAGCGTCATCTTCGGCAAATTCATTATTTATTAAGACACCGACAAGGCAATTGCATATCAAAGTCAATTGTCCTTCATTAGTAAAAAAGTAGACAAGGCTTCAAACCTTGAGACTACCTTGGAAGCCCGGTCGGATATACTTTAGTCATAATGGAAACTCCAGGACAACAGAGTAAAAAGCAAAGATCAAAGGGACAGTTAGAAATAAGCAAGGGGATTTTCAATTTCAATCTCAACCTTGCCTCGTAACTCTCCTATAGGGGAGTTTGAAGTGGGAACAATACCTGCAGACTATATAAGCCGATCCTTGCATATGACCCCTTGTTCGCCTTTTTAGCCTGGGCTGCAGCTGAGCAGTTTCAGCTTGCCCTGTTGACGTGTTTGTTCAGTCAATCTTGTCTTTGAACCTATCATATCTATTCTTTGCCATGCACAACTTCTTCTTTAGTCTTATGTCCATCAGCAAGGTGTCCATGAGACCTGTATAAAGGGCCAGTCGTGTTGACAACCCTCGCTCTCCTGGTTTTGAGTTTAAAATTTTTCTCTCTCTTTCTGTCCATCGTTATATTCCTCTCTTTCCTTCTTTTTGCATGTAGTAGATCTATTCTTTTGTTATTCCCTAATCATAATGTCTATCTTTGGTAAAGCAGAACCCCCAAGGGAGACCCACCCTGCAATGGACAAGCATGATTCCGACACAGATGCTCAGTCTCAACAGAATGGTAACTCCAAGCCATCCAGCGAAAAGGAGAGCACATTGGTTGATGAGCCCATCCGAGATACTACGGCGCCCGATGATACAAACAAAGAGGCCACGACCGACTCGTCAAGGGAAGGTGATTTGAACGAAAACTCCGAGAAAGAATTAATGCCACAAAACGACTCGGAAAAAGAGGCTTCCAATCCAGACGGAAAGAATGAGGATAGCAAGCCGAGCGAGGAGCCCAAAGATGATACGGAATATCCAAGTGCCTGGAGACTCTTTCTCATTACAATCGCGTTGTGTTTCTGTGTATTTTGTGTCGCACTGGTCAGTCCGAAGTTTGGTGACATGGCTTGCACAAGACCGATATGCTGATGGAACTACAGGATAACACAATCATCGCAACAGCAATCCCCAAGATCACGGATCAGTTTAATTCGCTCGATGACGTGGGTTGGTATGGAAGTGCATATCTGTTGACCACCTGCTCCGTCACTCTGATGTTCGGCAAACTTTACACATTCTATCCCATCAAGTGGATCTACTTGATTGCTCTCTCCATTTTCGAAATTGGTTCTTTGGTCTGTGGTGTTACCCCCAGCTCAGTCGGCTTAATCTGCGGTCGGGCGATTGCAGGCCTGGGGGCAGCTGGACTGTTTTCCGGGTCAATCTTGATAATCAGTCAGAGTGTGCCTCTGGATAAACGCCCCGTGTATACGGGATTGGTGGGCGCAATGTTTGGAATTGCGAATGTGGCCGGTCCACTGTATGTTTGGCTCTGCTCTTCCTACAAGCCCAGCGGACTAATGATTTTGCAGAATGGGAGGTGCCTTTACAGACAAGCTTACCTGGCGGTGGTGCTTTTATATTAATCTGCCAATTGGGGCTGTCACATTTATCTTCATTGTCTTCTTCTTCAAGTCCACCAAGGCGATCAAGAAGAAGGCTGGGTGGAAGCAGCAGCTGGCTGAGATGGATCTCCTTGGGTCCTTGTGTTTCTTGCCGGCAATTATCTGTTTATTACTCGCTTTGCAATGGGGTGGTACTAAGTATAGTTGGAGCGATGGCCGCATCATTGCCCTTTTTGTTATCTTCGGCGTGTTGGCTCTGGCGTTCATGTGGATTCAACACCGTGGTCAAGATCGCGCCACTGTGCCTCCACGTCTAATCAAAAACCGCAACGTCTGGGGTGCTGCTTGGTATGCCATGGCACTTGGAGCATGCTACTTTGTCCTCGTCTATTATGTGCGTTACCCCGTCTACTTCTAATATACTGCAGCGCTAACTTTTCCTGCAGCTTCCTATCTGGTTCCAAGCCATCAAAGGGGCCTCGGCCATCAAATCCGGAATCATGAACTTGCCAATGATTATTGCCGTTGTGGTTGTGTCGATTCTGGCAGGTGGTCTCATCACGGCATGTGGCTACTATACTCCCTTCATGATTTTCTCATCCATTATTATCACTATTGCAGCTGGTCTCCTGTCCACTCTGGATGTCAATTCGGGCCACCCTAAGTGGATTGGATACCAAGCCTTGTTCGGTATCGGTCTCGGACTAGGCATGCAGCAGCCGATGATTGTCGCACAGACTGCCCTCAAAGCGGAAGACGTGCCCAGTGGAACGGCCATCATGATGTTCACGCAAACTCTGGGTGGATCAATTTTCCTCTCTGTGGCCCAGAACATCTTCCAAAACCAGCTGTTCCATAACCTTGCTGTAAATGCCCCGGGTACAGATGCTACGAAGCTGGTCTCTGCTGGCGCAACTCTGCTGCGCTCTGTGGTGTCTGGACCTGTTCTGGAGAGTGTCTTAGTCGCCTATAATCAAGCGATCACGCAAACATTCTATGTCTCCGTGGCAATGGGAGCATTATCGCTCATTGGTCCCATCTTCATTGAGTGGTTGTCAGTGAAAGGCAAGAAGATCGAGATGGCTGCCGTGTAAGCTGTGACGACTGCGATGGAAATAGACCATGCTGCTTTCCATCTCCTTTCTTTGTGTTTTGTGATTTTTTCCTTTATTCGTGCATATTCTTGAACTACTTCAGACGAACCTCGGATGAGGCAATATAATAAGCTCTATATACGAACAATGAAAGTCTAGTTGAAGGTGAACATGGACTCATTGTCAACTATCACTATGGATCAGTCATGATAGAAGAAAATTTGATCTTGCATTATCCCTACTGAGCTTCCTTTAGTCCTGATTCCTAATTGCTCTCTCGACTCTCGTTGTGGCGCCGACGATATCCGCAGCTTCACCGCCCTCCCCAACAACGGTCAATTTCGTGATCGTGAAGCTTTGCATTATTCCAAACAGATATGATAGGAGCCAGATTTTCCAGAGTTCGGCCCTCCAGGCAGGCATTACCTGGAGATGCTGGCCATCTACGCCATGTAACACAGGTGAATCGCAATCACAATTGGTCCCGCCGTGTCTCCGAGGATGTTGCCCGCGACGAGGTTGCCCGCCTAGCTGCAACCCCTCGTCGGTCCTTGACACTGGCCGATCTACTCCGGTGAGTACAAATTTCAAGGGATCCTCACCAAGCGCAAAACTCACGAGTTCTTCTTGTTCAAGCCATGGCCGCCCACCGTTGTCCAAAGATGCGCTCCTCGCCTCCGCCAACTTCACCCTTTCCCTTCTTCCAGCGCGACTGGCATCACGCATTCAGGCATTGCGGAATTTGCCCTTTATCATCGTTTCGAACCCTCATATGTCCCGCATCTACCACAACTACCTCCATTCACTCTCCACTCTCCTCCCCTATCAACAACGGAAAATCACCACGTTTGAAGAGGAAAAGCAATTTGGGGACGTGCTGGCAGATCTAGTCCATACGCATACGAATACCATACCCATTCTAGCGCGCGGATTTCTCGAATCCCGAAAGTATATCAGCCCCGAAGATGTGACTCGCTTTTTGGACACCCATCTGCGCGCACGCATTGGCACACGTTTGATCGCAGAGCAGCATCTCGCTTTACATATGACGTCTCAGCCAGTCGTTGATGAACTTTCGGAGGACCCTCACGAGTCATCTTCTCGCAATACCAGTCCGTCAAACTACATCGGAGTCATTGATACGGCTTTAAAACCCGCCCGCATCATTCGGTCGTGTGAAGATTTCGTTAGCGAGATCTGTGAACTTAAATATGGAGTCCGTCCACGCCTGGAAATCGGCGGTGAGCCCGATGCCTCGTTTGCCCATATCCCTGTCCATGTGGAGTACATCATCACAGAGCTGTTGAAAAATGCTTTCCGAGCGACCATCGAGTCCGGCAACGAACGGGAACCTATCGAGGTGACAATCGCCTCCGCGCCGGATGTCCCTGGGATCGGGCGTCCCTTCCAAGGGGATAATGATGGCAGTTTTGAGCTTGAACCTGCAACCAACGAAGCGGTTGGCCACACAAACCCGTCTTCGCAAAGCATCACAATCCGGATTCGCGACCGAGGCGGAGGTATTCCACCGGAAGTTTTGCCACATATCTGGTCGTACAGCTTCACCACTTTTTCAGACATGGACTTCGAAAGCTCGGATAGCGGCAATCTCCGGGCTCTGGACACAATCGCTAGCTCGGGGGGCCACATCAGCAGCATCGCAGGTCTCGGCTATGGGTTGCCCCTGAGTCGGGCCTATGCGGAGTATTTTGGGGGTAGTATTGCCATACAGAGTCTTTGGGGATGGGGCACGGATGTCTACTTGACTTTGCAGGGAGTTGGGAAGATTGACTGAAGGCCTAAACATATCGAACTGGCTCTATGGATGAAGTCATGGTGCCCTGGCGGTACCCATATCCATGACAAACCAGGTTCATCCAATTTATAATATTTTGCCATTCTGAGTTCCTCATACAACTGACACACCTTCTATCTGGATCACTATCTTACATGCTTATCACCATTGCACCCTGGTGCGTCCTTTTTGGACTGTGTCACCGTTTTCATGACAGGAAGGATATATACATACCAAAAGATCATGGTTGGCGCGGTTGGTGCGCGAGGCCCTGATTTTCAACAGCTAGCTTTAAATCAGGAGGGACTGGAATAAGCCAACGGTCTTAGAAAACCGAGACCAGAGAAGTCCAATCCTTGAAAGATGTGGACATGTCCCTCTATCAAGTGCTTCAGGCTCTACCTTGGAAGATAAGTACGCATGTGCAATGGAGCTTCATGATATTCTTTATACGATTCTCCTAGGCAATACAAGAGAATATACTTCAGCTGTCCTCCGTAGGGTTTTTTCCCTCGTCATCAGACCCGAACTCAGCTTCGGCGATGGCCTCTTTTTCTGATTTCCCACCTTCCTTATGCGCCCCGGTTGTAGGAGCGGAAACCAGCTTGGCAGCTTCGATACCGCCAGATGTGACATAGAGATAGTACTCCATGGGGAAATGATCAATATGATTGAAGAAGATGTTGAACCTGCAGACGGTCGTTAGCATTTTTCTGGGAAGGTAATATGACGCGGGCAGGTAAACTCACGCAGAAGTTTGTTCTTCCTCGCGGAAAATTCGGTCATAAATCTCTCGCTGCTTGAATTCCTCCATTTCGGTTGTGTATTTCTCAAAACCTACTGGTTCACGGCCGAGTCCACTAGCCTTGGTATTGTAGGTTTCAAAAATAGGACGCTCGAGCAACAATCCCAGACCGGGGGCCTTGGGAATGGCGATCCGTTCGGGGCCGTATGTCTCCGAGATACGGCTGGGAATACAGCCACTGCGAACGAGCAGAGCGGCCATAGCAACCATTTTGCGAATTTGGTGCATCATGAAGCTCTGGCCGTGCACCTTCAAGCTTAGCCACTCGGTGCCGTTGATCACAACTGGGGTCGGGTTGACCTTGAAAGACTTGATATGGCGCTGAGCGGATGCATCCTTGAAAGTCTTCTGGATTGTGTAGTTGTGGAACCTCTTCGTTCCTTCATATTGGTCCAAACATGCCTGTAGACGGGCGACACGGGAAGCAGGGACACGGTATGCCCGTTTGGCGGCAATGTATGCTGCTTTGATTGACTTGATAGTATCAAGGATCAGTCTTTGACGAGGATCCATGACGAAGGGCTCGGCCTCGCCCGCATCAGTCTGAGGTTGCTGAGTGTCAACAGCTGGCTGCGGCGTGGGATCCTCAGCCTTAGTCTCCGACTCTGTGGTTGTAGGCTCTTCATCTTCCTCGTCTTGTGTTGATGGTTCCTGGTCTTCATTGACAAAAAGAGATTTTTGAACGATGCTGCGAATATCCTCTGGAACTTGCTCAAGGATGGGTTCGATGTACTCTTGATCAACTTTCTCCCAGTAGCCTAGGACCTCCTCCTGTCTGGCATTGACATTATCCATGTCACCTGCCTTCTCGGCCTGCTCAATAATCTTCTTGCCGAGGTGAGTACTGGGGTGTGGCGGCAGAAGACAATGGCTGGGCATCAAGTATTCGTAAACGCGAGAATCGCACATCTGATAACAGCTGAAGCTGCTCGTAGCGAGCTCATAGCCCCAGACCCGGATCTGCGGGCTGAGGTTTTCGTTGATCTTCTGGACAATATCGGGGTCCTCCACAATCATCTTCAGAGACACCACATTGCCTGCAGCATGGACGCCCTTATCTGTACGCGCGCAACGGACGAAGGAGGATTTCTTGGGGTCTGACGCATTTGCTTTGGAGATAGCACGGGCAGCGACAAGAGCCGAGAAAAGGTCTCCCTCGATGGTTTTTTGCTGTTCATTCAGCTGCATGCCAAAGTAGCCGGTTCCCGAGTAGCCCAACATGAGCGCAACTTTCTTCTTGGGACGTCGTTCTTCATTGGCGATTTCCTCCTTGGAAAACTCGGTTGCGTAGATCGGGGCCAGCACTGCCTCTCCATTTTCGATTTTGCGCCGTTTTGTCTCGGCTTGCCGCTCCAGGCGTTCTCGTTTATCTATCGCTTGCCGACTTGCTTAGTTAGCTGTATTCAAGAGCGTGCGGGGAATGCTGCACCAGTACCTCCATTCATTTCGCCCCATATCGCGGTTCTTACGCCTTCTACCAGCTCCGTCTCCTGTTCCTTTGTTGTCGGCCATGGTGTGCGATTGAAGATTTCAGCCGGCGTGGGTCGATCAAGCTTGATCCAAAAAGATCGTGAGAGGGGTCGAGTGGCAAGCAATTGGGGCTTGTGATACTTGGCACTGAGGGTCGTTCGCAGAAGAGGAAGATCTCCAGTCAAACTGCGTTGCCAGAAGGTAGAGGCGCGCATTAACTCGGGACGTCTAGAACAATTATGTATGCTAAGATTTTTTTTTCTACTGCGACGTTCAATGCGACGGAAGCTAATCCGTTTTAAGTAGTCCTTATGCCTCAGGCAACAGTATTGGAAAAGGCCTTAATCATGGACCTAAGATCTATCCAATTACGATAGTAGATGTTTCTTGATCTGAGACTTCAGGATGGTGCCAATAACGGGAACTGCCAACATCTTGATGAAAGGAGCAGTAAAGCCACAGTCCAAAGAATTCATATAAAGGTAGCCACTTAAATGAGCAAGGTGGACATCAAAGATAGACGATGAATACGAGGAACTTCATGTAAAGGATGCGATTAGAAAGGATGGAAGTAGAAGCAGCATCCAATAGAGCTGTCGATATTGCAGAGGACAAAGTAGCGGTGATGACGTGGTAGCCGTCGGGTCGGTATATGTAGATTCTTGTTTAAACGGCCGCTAGGACCTAAGAAGCACGGGATCATCGATGTGATTTCATATAGGCACGTGGCATTATTAAATGGGAATTCTGTTTTTAAAAAGAAAATAAAGAATAAATAACTGTGAAAGTATGATGGATTGTGTGAAGAACTCTAAATTCATCTATGTTTTTGCCTTGTAGATCTACAATCACTGCACACTCTTTCAATTCTCCTTGGTTTCAGAAGTCAAATGGCAACACAGTACTAGGTAGCAGGTCAGGTCCTAACCTTGGCACACTAAAAGCCACACAGCGCTATGAGTAAAATAAATGAATGAAATTCCCCAATTTGGGGATCCTGGTTTCTAGCGCTCGTTTTGGCCTCCAAAACAAATAGAACCCTCGTAACTAATGTCTCGGGCCATAATAACAATACAGTAAGTCATGAATACATGGTGCCATTCCAAGGTTATGCACGTCGCCCCATCCATGCTCCCGGTATTCTGGTTCTCCATTTCTCCTCAGCTGCGCGAGCGTCGAATAGGCGTCTGTCTTGATACTCCATTCTTTAGCATGGCAATGACCGGGATGTCTTTGCCTCCTGATTGGTTTTGTCCCCGCGCAGAAGAACATTCCACCCGGTGTTTTGGTAAAAGTGGATCCGAGATCCTTGTGAAATATGTCCGGATCTCCATCTGCGCGTCTTTTACCCCTCCAATGTTGCGCCCCGCTATGCTCTCGTATGCACCTTAATGCGTTGCAGTGGCAAACTTATTAATCGGCCACCGTTTACATGAATGTTTACATGGTGAGACTAGTGTTTCCAAGGACCCAAAAAAAAAATTATTATAGCGGGACATAACATTTTACAGTGAACAGATATATTCATAATGGCGCTTTATAGACCCAGAAAGACTAGAGCCATATAGTATAGACAACTTGCTTAAGCCTGCTGAAGCAGTCGTAACCCTTGGAAAAATCTGGCTCTTCCGCCTAAAGGGACTGTCTATTCGGACCAGCTATTGCGGACCATATCATCGGCATCAGCGCGCTTTTCAGACCAGCTATTGCGGACCATGTCGTCGGCATCGGCGCGCTTTTCAGACCAGCTATTGCGGACCATGTCGTCGGCATCAGCGCGCTTTTCGGACCAGCTATTGCGGACCATGTCGTCGGCATCAGCGCGCTTTTCAGACCAGCTATTACGGACCATGTCGTCGGCGTCGGCGCGCTTTTCAGACCAGCTATTACGGACCAGGTCATCGGCATCCGTTGTCGCTTGACAGAAGTTAGTCAATGACGCTTTTCTGGAATGGGGGAAGAGAATTACGAGCAGGGAGGGCTGCGGTTGTGCTTAAAAGCAGCATGAAAATTGAAGTGTAAGTGAAAGCCCGCATTTTGTTGGCTTGGTGGCTCTTGTCGAATGCCCAAGTGTTGCTGGGGGGATTGGGTGAAGTATCGTGAACCTGGGAAGGCGTGGATTCAGTAACCGGGACATACCTGGAACTTATATATGCATGCTTGGCATACAAACCTTGGAAGGCCTTCGGTAGGGGTACGTGGATGATGTCGCCTCCATTGCCGACGGGTTCAAGAGCTCTTACTACCCTTCAATTGGGCAAGGGCCTTGAGGACAGACCATCACACAGCAGACGATAATATACAGTATTCAAGAACTCTAAAACAAATGTGACAATGATGAGATAGTAATAGTCTAATCCAATCATTTCCTGCTTTGTGTCAAAACGACCCACTCACCCAAGCACAGACTCGCACGAACGTCCTGTTGTTCAGGCCGCTTTTGATGCGAAGAGATAGTATAAATTTATACCATTTCATCTGGAGACCAAATAATACTGTGAACTTTAGTCTGATGGCTCAGAACCTTGCCACATCTGATATAGGATTACTCTGCCAGTATCCTTTTCCCCTCCCGTTCCTGGCGGCCACGCGATGAGAAAAGAGTGCAGGATTCATAGATTCAACATAGTGCTGAGTGAAGAGCACCGAGACTATGGTAACCAAACAGATTGCAGAGCGCCAAAGAGGGGACGATGATCTGTGTGAGGTTGGGACTCTTGGGTCTCTGCACTTCGAAATTAGCTTGCATACGTGGCAACGCAACACCGCCACTGAAGGCTAAGGACGTAGCACAACCTTCCAAGGTCGGACACCATACGTAATGTGCATTGGCAAATACATCTGGGCATCGATGCATGCAAGGGTCTGGGACCTCAGGTGGCTGTAGTAATCCGAATTACCATTACATGCTCACGCTAGTATTGATACCAAATTCAATACCTGATGGTTTCCCATCGGTGTGTGTGCTTGCACTCTTCTTCGTTAAGAGACCAAGAGAGTAAATACTAATAGAAAGGATTTATGATGGCGCCTTCATCCTCTCAAAAGGAGGTAAATTATCAACCGCTTGCGTCAGATGAACCTGAGGCTTTGACGTCAAGCCTTGCAAAACCACCTTCCCTGAGCAGCAGAGCAGCGGTGACGATTGTGCCAGTCGTTGTGACTTTTACCATCGCACTCATTCTAGGCTGGCTCACTGGTCAGCATTTTTCAGACAGAAAGTGGGATGGTCTCATATGTAAGGACTATCTCTTCGACGTCTCATCGATAGTAGGGGTCGTTGTGCTAAAGCTTGATAGCACCACCGGGGAATGTCGAGGTTGTTTTTGAACACGACCTCCTCTTCTCAGAGAGACCAACACCTGAGTCGGAGGCCGCATGGAACTCTTTAATCCCAGGTAAATTAAAAATACATTCTTCAATATGCCTCTACTTATCGTCATTTTTTACTCAAGTTGGCCGAGGATTTGTTCATCATCCTGAAATTGCTCCTTTCATCTCAAACCTGGCTGTTTTTCACCAGCTACATTGCTTGGTAAGTAGCTTGAAACTTGTAGGCAGCACGAGCTTTACTAACGGCAGGGATTATCGCCCTAATAGCATGCGATTGTGGTGTCTTATTATACGGCCATTGAAGATGCTGATGTCGCGAGAGGAGGACAGCGCCCGGATGAGTTCCTTGAGGAGACGGGAACCAGAATGGCACAGTCGCATGTTCGTCATTGCTTCGATTACATCCGACAGACTTTGATGTGCGGTGCAGATACGAATCTAGAGGTTCTGGACTACGAAACTCGTGCCACAAGCGGCTGGGGACAGAAGCGACAATGTCGATCTTATCATGAGGTGTATGAGTGGGCTGAGAAATGGGCCAACTCGACAGATACGGGTATTCTCAGTTGAATTATAGAGGTAGCGAAATGCAGCTCACATTGGAAGATAGCCTTGTATCCCAAGCGTATAATCTCAATGCTCTAACATGTCATAATTGCTCATATCAACCATTCGCGATCTGGCCCATTCATCCAAGGCCGCCCAATTAACGCACTCGTGGTCACTATAGACGCGTGAAAACGGCAGACCGTCCTCCCAGCGAAAGGTAGAAAGAGTAGTGTCACCTCGACACATGGCCGATTCGCGCCAGTACTCAAGACAATGATCCACGTGAATCTGCTCGCGATTCCATTCATCCTCTGTCATGTTAGGGTAGTACCGGTCTAGGTGGAAATGGCGACGCATCCGTTTCTGAAGCCTGGATATCAGTAGACCGTTTGCCTTGTACTGTCCATTGGGGTACGCACAATGCAATGAAGCTCATGGTATACAGCCAATTCCGCGATATAACCGGATCCGTCCTTGAACGCAATACTCGGGTCAGGGAGGTGCGCTAACTCTTCGCCGGATATTTTTATCGTCATCGCTGGTTATAAAATTAGCTCTACCGTATTTATGGATGAATCAAATCTCACGTTCTATCAAACGATTCCATGCTGCGTCAAATTCGGGACTAGGGTCCAGGCGAGGATCGTTACTGAAAACATTATGCTGGATGTCCCGGTAGAGCCGAGATGGCTCATAGGAGATGACGTGTTTAGCGGGAGCTGTGAGTTGAGTCAGCTCAAGTGCAAGCCTTTGCTTGAAGGAAAGACATACAATATGACACCTTTGGTCTCACGCAAATCTCTTCTAGCTGTGTAGCCCGCCACCACAGACCGAGAAAAACAATGTTAGATACGATCAAGAAGGCGAAAGCCGCATACTGCAGGTAAATAAACCGGGCATTCTGTTTTCTAATTCCGTACAACTGCTCATTAGACGATAGCGACTCATCGAAGTCGGAAGTAGCCACACGTGTGTATCTTTTGTTTTTGCTGTTCATGCTGTTGGCTTCTGCTGTACGCCTCATGAGACTTAGGCAGGAAGAGTAGATAACCATGGAAGGGATTCACTTACTACCGAGGCAGAATGCCAGAAAAACATTCCACTACCCCACCATAATAGCCAGACCGCTAGATTTCCAGAGATTATTACTGATACCTAACTTCCAAGACATTATATTTACGACTAGACCGTTAGGGCTGTACTGGAACGGAACTGTATTGTAATATGGAAATACGCTGGTTTGATAATTTCCAAAGGCCGAGTTCCCCACGTTCGCGTGGGGCAATATAATTCATCAGTTCTCGGCAAGAGAATAGAAATTCTCCTACACCAGGGGTCCAGTACAGCAGGCATCATTACGCACTAATCACACACCAACTAAAACATCAGGCCACCCTCCAATGAAACAGAGTATAAGCTTCCCCCATATCTGTCATGTACACAATGTTGTTGACAATATCCAACTTTAAACCAATCGGTTCATGAGAATGCTGGGCCAGAGTCACCTTTTGCATGTCAATGCTCTCTCCGCCCACATAGGCCTGGTATAACGCACATCCCATCAGATGCTCTCCGCGGTCGGTCCAATGAGATGTTTGTGTCCGGCTATTGATGTTCGATATCAATAGGCTCAAGCAAGTTATCAAATCCGAGTCGAAGATCGGATCGATTCTCCATAGTCTCTCCAAAGAGGGGTATTGAGGCTGGTGCAAAACACGCGACACCGGCCGCCCTTGCTGGGACCTTTCTGCATCCAGTACATCAACCCACACTCAGCATCAATAGCGATCCCAACACTCCAAAGCCTCATTGGTTCTAACAACGTGGTCTCTGGGTTTACGATCTGCTGTGTTGCATATCTCCCATAGTCACAGCGATGCACACTAATTCCCTCTAGCTCGCAGAGAAAGATTTGATGTCGAGAATCTATCACCGCAATCTGTTTGGAGTATGCACTTTGCTGGTTGGAAAAAGATTCCGAATTTTGCTGCCATCCATATCCGCGAGCTATCGCAAGCCGTATTGCGCCCCATGTTTGTCCAAAACAGTCCCTGTTATGGAAGAGTAACATACATCTCCAGGAGGCTCGACTTTAACGATTAGCTATTGGATACCAAGATACAAAGGGCTGGCGCTCTCGTATCAATTCGCGAAGTGTCTGGATATTGAGTTCCAGATTCTCAGGAACCCCTTCAATCGCCAACCAGGCATTGGACACAGCGGGTTCCAGTTCTTGGATTTCTTGTGATTACCACATGGGGCATGGGTGTAAGATTCGATGTTGACTTTCGTGGTAGACGACTAAGTCGCCTTTTCCCCCGCACAGCCGGCGGTACCAGTAATGTGCAGTGTTTGTTTGCAAACTCGCGGCATCATAAACTAATCCTCTTGATGTGCATCAACATAGACAACTGCAGCTTGTGATACGTCAGGGAGAGTACTTGTTGGATATGTAGACATGAAGTAAAGGGAGGAGGAACAGGAACCCTCGAACTTTGTTTTTGACATAAGATGGGGCAAGCAATGAAGCTGGCATATCCAATGTATTATAGTCTTCAGAATAATCGGACACTTCCAGGCCTTGACACCAGAAGCTGTCCAAATGTTCTCAGACTTTCATGGATTAGTAATGGGTCTCAAGGGTCGTTGAAAGTTCAACTTCATTGAGGTATATGCCAATTAAATTGGGCTAAGGGGTACTTCTGTTGAATTATGTACATGTCTGATCTCATCTCTCTAATCATCGTTCACGTCGTCTCATCGTCGCTTTCCTGTCATGTTGAAATAATTTTTGCAGGAACTAACACCTAGGCCACCACGGCTGCAGATCAAGTCACCGTCGCTTGATCGCTTATGGCTCGCCCCAGATCTCATCCGCAACCTGGCGGACCAGGCTCAGCTTGTTCTTCTGATCCTCAAATGACAGAGGATATCCACTCTCGTGAGTGCTGAAGCCACACTGAGGGCTGACACAGACTCGCTTGAGTGCTTCCTCGCGGGTTTCACCACTACCAGCTGCCACAAATTCAGCAGCCTTGTAGATACGTTCCTTGACGGCGTCCTTGTCCTCCAGCTCACGGAGCTTAGTGCTAATCACACCAACAACGACATTCTTGTTCTTGGGGAGGAACTTGAGAGGCTCGAAGCCACCGGCCCGCTCAGTGTCGTACTCGAGGTAGAAAGTGTTAACATTGAGGTTCTCAAACAGCTTCTTGGCAATGATATCATAAGAACCCTCGGCGAAGTGGCGTCCACCGATGAAGTTTCCGCGGCACAGGTGAATACCTGTGTGCATATCCGCAGGAACCTTGCTAATGCAGTCGTTGTAGAGTTGGATATAAGCGTCGAGCAAGTCATCGACAGTGCCAATGTTATCCTTGTCCTCTTCCCATCCCTTACGGAAAGAGGTGGAGCAGAAGTAAGCCATGTTCGGATCATCGAACTGCACGTTGCGCAGACCAGCCTTGTACAGCGCGTCCAGCTCGGCCTGGTAGACCTGGGCTACACCCTTGAAGTATTCGCTATCGTTGGCATAGGCTTCCGGTGTGTAGGCCTTGCCTTGCTTGTAGCGCATGTGAAACCATGAAGGCGTGATAATTGTGATCTTCCCTGTGGGGCCAGGAAGAGACTCCTGTAGAAGCTTCAACTCATGCAGGTTGGAGACGGACCTATCCGGGCTCCAGTAAAGCTTGGAACCGGCGATGACCGAGTCACCGGGCATGACCTTGCGATCTTTTTCGATCAGACTGACGACATCAGGGTGATAGAGACGGAACATCGAGGCATCAGCATCCTGCAAGCGAATGGTTCCTCCAAACTCATCAAAAGTGAGTCCCCAAAACCTAGTGCGGTTGAATTCACCGGATGTAACTGCTTTGTAGCCGAGATCAGTCTGCATCTTCACCACATCGGCGATAGCCTTGCGCTCGACAGCAGGCAGACCGGCCTCCTCCTCGGATGCACCATCGCGAATCTTGGCCCGCGCCTCAAGGAGAATCTCCGGGCGGAGCAAAGATCCCATATGCTCTGCACGGAATGGAGGGGCGCTGTGGAGTTGAGCCATGATGGAAATGTTGGTTGGTAAGATGTGGAGCTCCCTGATCACAGTCACAGAGAATTGGATGAGAAAATTATCAAAAAATGGCGAGAAGGGGGAAAGAGCTAAGCCAATGTGAATGTGGTGCTTTATGTGGGGCTGTTCGCGGGGCTGTTCTCGCGGGACCACTTTCTTCAGAAATCGAATGACTGAATAGTGAACCAGAGCATCGTGAACGTACCAGAATTAATACATTGCGGTTCCTTCAATTAGACACCAGTAAGATTCTCACGCCTCCCAAGGTCTGCAGGGCGTTTGAGGTTTGAATGACGCCCATGAAGGTTAAAGTTGGGGTTATGTTGTGTATGTGGGGCCAGATGTGCAAATCATCTACAAAACATAGGGCGAAGAATCCAAATTGGCGTAGAAAGGGTCATGTATTTAGCTCGGTATATGAGCAAGGATGCAAATACCCACCAAATCTAATATGTTCTCCATCCTATTTTTACACGGGCATGGGAATGGGCCCACCCGGGGAGTCGGGAAGTCGGGCTGTGAGAACCTCCACACCATCTTCCGTCACTAGCAGAGTGTGCTCGAATTGGGCCGATAAAGTTCCGTCAGCAGTGGTGCTGGTCCAGTCATCGGGCCATGTACGATCCCGATGTGTGCCAATGTTGATCATGGGTTCGATTGTGAAGCACATGCCAGGCTTGGCGGTGCCGACAGCCTTATTCTTGCCGTAGTGAGGCACGTTAGGCGCGCAGTGGAACAGCTGGTTGATACCATGACCACAGTAGGTCTTCACAACACTGCAGTTCCGGGACTTGGCATGTTTCTCGATCACGTTTCCGGGGTCCCGGAACAGCATGCCAGGCTTGACCAAGTCGATAGACTTATCCAGACATTCGCGGGAAGTCTCCACCACTCGGACCGCGTCAGAGTTGGCGCGGGCCTTATCTCCAACGTAGTAGGTCTCATTGATATCGCCGTGGAATCCCTTATGGTACAGGGTGACGTCAATGTTGACGATGTCTCCATCCTCTAACGGCCGTTGGTCGGGAATACCGTGACAGATGGTCTCGTTGACTGAGGTACAAACAGACTTCGGGAAGTGCATGTAATTGAGCGGCGATGGGTAAGACTATGTCATGTTAGTGCCCGTGATTTTATGCTACTCTGATTGGATAATAATCTCACCTCGCGCTCGAGACAAGCCTTGTGAACCACCTCATCAATATAGTCAGTTGTCACGCCGGGCTTCAATGCGCGGGCCGCAATATCCAAGACCTCGCGGGCCAAGCGGCAAACTTTGCGCATTCCCTCCTGCTCTTCCTTGTTCAAGATCTTGATGCTGTGCTGGCCGAACAGCTTCTGTTCGGATCGAGGAATGCCATCTCGCGCATAATCGGGGTACGGGATGGACTTGGGCACGGTCCGGGTGGCCGAAAGAGGGTAGAGGGGGCGCAGAGGACCGGCAAAGTTGAACGTGGGAAATGGGTTGAAGTGGCCGGTAGCTGGGTCAGGTTCAGAAACTACCTTCGGAGGGAATAGGTTGGTGAGGAAATTACTCTTCTTATGGATAGTCTTGTGTTCGGTCTAGTGGAAGTAAATGTCAGCATGGAAAGATCCCTTGGACACCAAGCGCCCCATTTATCAGACTCCAGGAGTGCTTACCCAGCTCCGCTTGAAACAGTCTTGCGCGCAGAAGAAACTGTCGGTACCCATCTTTAGGCAGGTGGGACATTGTAAGGTGCCTGCGTTGTTGGCGCAGTCCACTCCGCTGCATTTCCGAGGGGCGACGGCGGCCATTGTGTACACCAAAATATAACAAGGAAGAAAGCAAAGGAAATCACAAAGAATTTGGACGATCAAGTTACGAAATCCAGAAATCGCAGAAATTCGACCCTCCCGCGATGATTTGGAGGAAACGCTAGTCCTGATTGGCGATAGTGTGGTTCCTGCTGCCTTATTGCCTTACCCGATCCATGATCTTCCAAGTTGCTTATCTCATCATCTATCAGAAACAACTATCTGTAGAATCATGCCATACCTAATGTAGAAACGTGTAGAATGAAAGAAGTGCAAATCCTTGGATGTCAGAAAATGAAAACTTTCGGAGATAGACTTTAATCTAGAGCCTCTTGTTTAGATTTTACTGCATAAGGGATTAGGGATACGGAGAATATATATGAAATATTATTAAGCTCTACATATTCATTTATAACTTCCACACCGAGAGACTGGTAGAGAAATCTAGTATCTGGAGACCACTATACGAGCTATCTATCAATCACTCAATTCAAGCTCCCAAGCTCTCAGTGACTACGAGGAGCATAATTTCAGATGTTCGTCATCCATGTTTGATCCGTTTGCATTGGGCGCGGTTAGCCGCGGCGCTGTTCCCCGCAAACTGCAGGTGTAAAGAAGACAAGGAGTCCATTTTTTCCCTATAATATGGCCAGGAAGTTCCAAGGCCCCTTTTAATCCCTTTTATCAATCTGGTTGTCTTTTTAGCTTCCTATCAGATATGGTGCCGTTAAGATCTTCGCGGGCCCTGACCTCGCGAGTGCTCCGCCGTTACTATTCAGGTGCCCCGTCGCCCTTAGCCAAGCTTAACTTGCCAATCGACTACAAGTCCACTTCACTCCTTCACCATACCCCCTCTTCACTTTCTGGGGTCGCCGACTTTCCCGCTGCCGCTACCAGCAAACGCCTAAATCTGTTTCAGGCCATTAACTCTGCGCTACGGACCGCGCTATCAACTTCAGACAAGGTCCTACTCTTCGGCGAGGATGTCGCATTCGGGGGTGTTTTCCGTTGCTCAATGGACCTACAGACAGATTTTGGCTCAGATCGTGTGTTCAATACCCCCTTGACCGAACAAGGTATTGCGGGGTTCGCTATCGGTGCTGCGGCCGAGGGAATGAAACCCGTGGCAGAGATCCAATTCGCTGATTATGTATTTCCTGCATTCGATCAAATTGTCAATGAAGCCGCCAAGTTTCGATACAGAGAAGGAGGGACAGGGATCAATGTGGGGGGCTTGGTGATTCGAATGCCATGTGGTGCTGTCGGACATGGTGCATTGTACGTTTGGCCGATCGAAGCGCTCTCTGACTGGGGAAATCAATTGCTGACATTCTCGGTATCAAAGGTACCACACGCAATCTCCCGAGTCCCTCTTTGCGCACATTCCGGGCGTACGTGTCGTAGTGCCCCGGTCACCTTCACAAGCCAAAGGACTGCTATTATCGTCCATCTTCGAGCACAACGACCCCGTGATCTTTATGGAACCAAAGATTTTGTACCGAGCAGCAGTGGAGCATGTGCCCAATGAGTACTACACCATTCCATTGAGCAAGGCCGAAGTGATCAAACCTGGCAAAGACCTCACAATCATTTCCTACGGTCAACCATTATATCTGTGCTCAGCCGCCATATCTGCGCTTGAGAAAAGCATGCCGGGTGTCAAGGTAGAGCTGATTGACCTGCGCACCATTTATCCATGGGATCGTCAAACTGTTCTAGAGAGCGTACGTAAGACAGGAAGAGCCATTGTGGTACACGAGAGCATGATCAACTATGGTGTTGGTGCCGAGGTAGCAGCCACAATACAAGAGGGTGCATTCCTTCGATTGGAGGCCCCTGTCAAGCGGGTGGCTGGTTGGAGCACTCATACGGGGCTGGCTTATGAACAGTTCATCCTACCAGATGTTGCAAGTGAGTTGGTTTGTTGTCCCCGAGGAAATCCTATCTAACAGCCGTGCTTTTACAACAGGAATTTACGATGCGATGAAAGAGACCCTGGAATACTAGTCTCAAAGAATTTTGAATCCATGTTCAATACTACAGCATATCAACCTCAAAGCGTCTCCGGTCACCACATTAGAATTCCCTACAAAGATCGCAAATCTGGGCAAGTCATGGTTTGAAGTAGCTAGCAAAAAGAAACGACGAGAGAAGAGAAACACAGTTTATTCCATACTATCATTCTCAAACTTGGCCTAGACACACTTTCGCGTTCTAAATAGCAGAATTTTACACTAAGAGACGACATCCGACGCCAGGAAAATCATGAGTTTCATTATGAAACATCTGACCGCCGGTACAGGATTAATTGGTCCACCATAAACATTGCTTTAAGGAGTGAATGACGAGGGGACGAAATTGCTGGGATTTCTTTGTTTGTAGTATTTTGACATTGTCATGCGCTCTTTGATCCTATTACCATTGAGACAACATTTTCCATGGAATCTGATCCACCCTTAGCGCCCATAATAGACCCGACTGTGGCTATTAAAGCGTGGCAGATATATCAGTATTGCCTCCCTCGCTTGCTCATTAAATCCACCAAGATATCTCTCCTATCGTACTCAACTGATCTAGCCAAAAGTCGACTCTTGAGACGATAGTTCCTTTTTATTGTATGTTCGTCATGGGCTCTTCAGGCCCAGTTCACGATGGCTCATGGCAAGATGAGCTGAATTTAGAGACCCTTTTGTCAGAGAGCCAGTTGAGCATTGATGACATGAATAAACCCACGGAATTTGCATGCGATCTCGAACAAACGGTTTTTAATCTCGCCAAAAACGTCGAAGATATCAAATTCAGCGTCATGGAATCACAGAAGCACAGGGGGAAAATGATGGAGATGGTCTCATCCCTGGAGTTACCCGCGATCCCGCCCAGTCTTGATGAAGGACTCGATGAGCTCCGAATGTCCTGTGCACTTTCGATGGCGATTGAGTACATAGGATGGAAGGCATTCGATCCTGCTAAGCAGCATGCTAAGCAAGCACTCGATTTCGCCGCACGCCAAGGCAATGAAACAAGTATCGCCAGGTGCAACTACTGGTTGGGCCGAATCGAGTTGGAGCAAGGCAACATACCCTCTGCCTACAAGTTCTTCATGGCTGCACGGCCCTGTGCCATGAATGACAAGGGCTTGGAAGGGTCAACCTTGGAATACTATTTGAAAATTTCACACCCAACACTTGGCGAGAAACATCGAAGGCGTGTCTCGCCCCTTAGGAGTCACGCTAAGCTTGAGGGTACTCTCACCCAGGTTGATACACACCACTCGGGCAATAATCAATCGAAGAAGCGCAAGCAGTTTACCTGGACATCTGAGCTTGTCCTACGACCTGCGAAATTGGCTGGTCATCCGCAAGCAGGCTCAGTCGCTGCAAAGGGCAATCGCAAACACAATAATAGACCCGTTGTCTGGGAAGCGGAAAACACCGAGGACGCTCTCCATGCCAACAGCCCTCTACGGATCATCCCGAAAGACGAAATCAACGCAGATGGAATGGAATGGCTGACAGTCGCCAAGTCTGGTCCGCGTCTTTCTCAAAGTAAATTCACATTTCGCTGCTATCCCAAAGGTCTGGCACCACGTTCGCGCCCTACAGAGATATTTCCTGAACAGCCAGGGGAGAACATAATAGCTGCCGAGAAATGGGAGGTCTTACATGAGCACTTCAAGATCAAGAGAGTCACACTGGCCTATCTGTCTCTTGAAAGATGGAGGAACTTTGGACTAGACAGGAGTTTCAAGGACAATATGGCTAAGAAAGGGGTCTCATGGCGATTCCAGGAGACATATTTTTGAAATGGACCGATGTAGGTCAAGTGCTACTTGAGCTGCAACGAGGATCAAGGAAGATACATCAATTTGACATCAAAAAATCAAGCCTTTGCAAACAGTAACCTTCCGGTGCAGGTTGGATCTTAGCAGGTTTTCTAATGGAACGTCGTAGCGATTCTGGTTCTGCATTTAGCTCATGATCTGAAGTGAAAATAACCAGTGAGCTATGCCCTTATTAAGGAGCAATATGCGATGCCACCAAACCCCGCGTTTCCACGCATGAAAGTGTGGTTTATCGCATCGCACGCATCGCATTTCCGGTTTAGTATGCGATGTGCAGCGCTAAACCCGATCAAGGAAAGGGATCCGGGTCTCCATGTTTATCTAATCGCATCAGAAGCATACAGTGGTACGAAGTTGCATCTTAAATACTCAGCGACTACCCAGGGAATCATAGAATCTCAAGCTCTGTCCTCTATTCATATTGTGGTCACCCTATATCCGGTTAAGACCTCAAATCACAACATGGTTCTCGACAGACTCCAGCAGCTGGCCCATCACGTCAACGCGACAACCCCTCCACCTCATCCATTCGATCCTCTTTCCACCACAGAGATTGATGCAGCCGTCACCCTAATTCGCAAGGAGCATGGATCACTCAACTTCAATGCGGTCACATTGTACGAGCCCCGCAAGGCTCAGATGATGGCTTGGCTGAAAGACCCTGAAAACGCCCCTCGGCCAGTCCGCGCTGCTGATGTCGTTGCCATTGCACCCGGCGGTAAGATTTATGATGGTGTGGTGGACCTGGACCAAAGAAAAATTGTGGAGTGGAAACACACGCCTGATGTCCAGCCCTTGATCACCATGGAAGACCTGCAGGAGGTGGAGCACATCGCGCGTAAAGACCCGAAGGTCATAGAGCAGTGCGGTATTATTGGTATTCCCCCAGAGGATATGCATAAAGTGTACTGTGATCCTTGGACGATTGGCTACGACGAACGTTTCGGCACCGGGGTCAGACTACAGCAAGCCCTCATGTATTATCGTCCTCATGTCGATGACTCTCAGTACACCTATCCATTGGACTTCTGCCCTATCTATAACGCAGAGACCAAGCAGATCATTCACATCGATGTGCCCTCAGTACGAAGACCGCTGAACAAAGCTCCCCCAAACAACTATCTTCCAGCATCCATCGAGAAAGAAGGAGGCTTCCGTACAGACATCAAGCCAATTCATATCACTCAGCCTGAAGGTGTCTCTTTCCAGGTGAAGGACCGCATTATTGACTGGCAAAACTGGAACATCCACGTCGGCTTCAACTACCGTGAGGGCATTGTCCTCAATAACATCACATTCAATGATAAGGGCAATGTACGACCGATCTTTTACCGACTCTCATTGGCGGAGATGGTGGTTCCTTACGGCAATCCGGAGCATCCACATCAGCGGAAGCATGCCTTTGATCTAGGCGAGTATGGTGGTGGCTATATGACAAACAGTCTGTCTCTTGGATGTGACTGCAAGGGAGCGATTCACTATATGGATGCTGCTTTTGTCAACGGTGCCGGTGCCTCAACAATCATCAAGAATGCTATTTGTATCCACGAAGAGGACGCCGGCATTCTCTTCAAGCACACTGACTTCCGCGACGAGTCAATGGTCGTGACCCGCGGTCGCAAGCTGATTATTTCGCACATCTTCACTGCTGCCAACTACGAATACTGTGTATACTGGATCTTCCATCAAGATGGTACTGTTCAGCTCGAGATTAAGCTGACCGGTATCTTGAACACATACTCTCTGAACCCAGGCGAGGATACTAAGGGCTGGGGTACTGAAGTATACCCGGGTGTGAACGCTCACAATCACCAACACTTGTTCTGTTTACGCGTTGACCCCAACATCGATGGGCCAGACAACACAGTCTTCCAGGTTGACGCCGTTCGTGGTCCTGGAGAAGTTGGTAGTGCCGAGAACAAGTATGGCAATGCTTTTTACGCCAAGAAGACTAAATATACCACTCCCGTCGAATCCATGTCCGATTATGATGGTTTCACCACACGCACCTGGGACATGGCCAACACCAACAAGCTCAACCCATATAGTAAAAAGCCAGTTAGCTATAAGCTTGTCAGCCGTGATGTTCCGCCACTTCTTCCCAAGGAAAATAGCCTGGTCTGGAAGCGAGCTGGATTTGCACGTCATGCAATCCATGTTACAAAATGTAAGTTGACACGCTATGTCTTACTTCCCTGGCTTAGTATACTTGCAATACTGACCAGCTTGTAGACTCCGATGACGAAATTCATCCAGCTGGGCGCCACGTTCCTCAAACCTCGGGTGAGCCCTCGCATGGCTTACCAGCCTGGATCGAGGCTGCTGGGTCCAACTGCTCAATCGATAACACGGATGTTGTCCTGTGGCACACATTCGGTCTGACACATTTCCCGGCCCCTGAGGACTACCCTATTATGCCCGCAGAGCCGATGACACTACTTCTGCGCCCGCGCAACTTTTTCACCCGAAACCCTGTGCTGGACGTTCCACCTAGCTTTTCACGCTCACCATCTCAGGTGGCAGCAGGGGCGAACAATTGCGCTTGCAAAAAGAATGATGGATCCAGTGTGCTAGTTTAGGACTTCATGGCTCCATCAGGATATGAGAAATTGAGTTTAAACTTTGTTTCCATTTTAATACTTCATTATATGACTACTTCTAATGACTCTGTTTCCATCTTTTTCACTTTTCATGTAATCTTCTACCGTACAAACCGGCAAATTGCGATTTCAATGGTATGGTGGGTATCTTTATCGTATCTGATTCATCTCGCTCAGTTTTTCATCTACATGTGTATCCTCTATCTACCGCGGTGTCCGATCCGGTTGTGTAGGTGCTAGCATCGCTCGCAAGGTACAGATATGCACCCTTCAGCTCTCTTGGGTCACCGTCACGCTTCAAAGGTGTCAGGTTGCACCGGGATTGCGGAGGTTTCCGATGGGCCATCTGCTGCTGTAAGGGATTTGGATAAAGGGGAGGATGTCAGCAAGGCAGATCATGTTGAGCATGCTACTACCGAGCATATTGCATGATCATCTCCAGTTCCGTTGTACTGAATCTAGGTTTATCTTTGTCTTTCCAACTTTGATCACTATCTAGCCTATATTCATGTTTCCCGCCAAATGAGACGGTTTCCCTTGCGTTATGCTCGGACGATCGTGTCCGTCGGAGCAGACTGCCCGATCGGAGAAAGACCGAGTGTGCGGGGAAGTAAAAATGAACCTCAAGACACTTTTCACCTCTTAAAGAGGATTTCTGGAAGATTAGAACAAGAAACTTGTTGAACTTTCTCGAATACAATCCGACAACATGGTCCTTTCGCAACCCCAGAACCAGCATGTCATGAAAGCTTTCGACTTGACCGGCAAAGTCGCTATCGTGACAGGTATGAGAAATTGCAACCTTAGAAGGATCCTATTATCAGAGTTTAACAGAGTCAAGGTGGTGCCCGTGGAATCGGTCTCGAGGTCTCTAGAGGCCTGGCTGAGGCCGGTGCTAATGTACGTCTTCTTTCTACACCACAACACAACCAATCTAAGATTATATCCCACAGGTCGCTCTCATATACAACTCATCCAAGAATGCCGACAAGATTGCTGCGGAGATCGCATCTACAAACAATGTCGAAGCAGCAGCATATCAAGCCAACGTCACCAGTCAGACTGAGATCGAGACTACGATCCAGCAGATCGCAAAAGATTTTGGTAAACTGGACATCATCGTCTGCAACTCGGGCATCGTATCATCCATCGCAGCCGAGGACTACACGGACCAACAGTGGAGAGAGATTATGCAGGTAAATCTGGATGGTGCCTTCTTTTCTGTTCAGGCGGCTGCGCGCATCTTTAAGGAGCAGGGCCGTGGAAATGTGATCTTCACAGCCTCGGTCAGCGCGACCTTGGTCAATGTGCCCCAGAAGCAGGCTGCGGTGAGTCTTTTCACCCTGATCTAATTCTTCGCTCGCTGACTTCGTGCAGTATAATGCCTCAAAAGCAGGTGTGGTTCAGCTAGCCAAGTGTTTGTCTGTGGAGTGGGTGGACTTCTGTCGTGTGAACTGTATTTCTCCCGGATTCATTGCGACTGAAATCCTGGATATTCACCCACAGGAGTGGCGTGATAAATGGTATGACATGATTCCGGCAAAGCGCATGGCTCAGGCCTATGAATTAAAGGGAGTGAGTACTTCAAGTTCAGTAAAGCGTATTGGCCTAACTATGTTTTACTCCAGGCTTATGTGTTCTGCGCCTCCGATGCTTCGAGCTACATGACCGGTGCTGATATTATCATTGATGGCGGATATACCTTGCCTTAAGATAGAAAACCCGACAATTTACACCTAATTTCAATTCCTTGATTCTCAAGCTATGGTAGTTCCGTCCTCTTACAGCTGTTTACAATAATTTCATCGCTCTTATAGTTATGCATGGTTACATTGCCTAAGCCGCTCCATTTGAACATGGATTACGCGAAAGACTCGGCGCCACGATTATCATCAATGGCTAGAACCGTCTTTCCGATATTGCCCGCACTCTCTACAGCCTGGTGGGCTTCACGAAGACCCTTTAGTGTCAACCCAAGGCGATGCGTCAGATGACAGCGAATGGTTCCAGAATCCAATAACCGACTCAACTCTTCCAGAACGCGATGGTGAGACTCCACGTCTGTACCATAGACGGGTTTGGTACCAATCAGGCACCATATGAATGACAACGACTTTGCCATGAACTCTGTGCCATACATCATGGCCTGGCCTTGTACAATCGAGCAGACCTTCCCGAATGGTGCACAGATCTTTGCACAGGTCTCCATATATTGATCGGTAGAATGCGTGATAAAGATATACCTGAACTCATGTCAGTCACAGGCCACCGTGAAATCGGTACACCTACTTGACAGGAACCTCGAGGTTGAGCTTCTGGATTTGCTTTTTTAAATCCTCCCTGTGATTGATAACATGCGTTGCTCCCATCTGTTTAGTGAATTCAACACTCTCCGGGCGGGAAGCGGTTGTGATCACTACTGGCAATTGAAGGAGCTGGCGAGCAATTTGACTAGCCACCGCCCCAACGCCACCTGCTCCGTTGATTATAAGCACTGCCGCTCTTTCCTTGACTTCAATCTTCATTTGTTCAACGAGGGCCTGGTACGCAGTGACATAGGTGAGAGGCATGGCAGCAGCCTCAGCCATGTCCAAGCGCTTGGGTTTATGTCCTACAGACCGTTCATCCACTAACTGAAATTCAGCGTTGGATCCGTGTCGGACTGGGCTCCCGGAGTAGAAAACTGCATCTCCTTCACGGAAGAGCGAACAATCAGGGCCTGCTTTCTTTACAATTCCCGCACCATCATAGCCACAAATTTGATATGGGCGGGGAACATGATCGTAATAGTCTGAAGATCTTTAGCACGACGTATTTTATCACCCCGTAAATTTGGAGGCAATACCGGGATAATCATCATAGATACCAGCCCGTACCTTGATATCAATAGGATTCACAGAGCACGCTTCTACCCTGAGATCCAGTTTTTGGTTAGACTGACTCCAATTGTAGTATCAGACAATATACCTTATCAATACATCGCGGCCCTCGGGTTCCCCTATATCGGGAACGACTCGAGTTTCTAGATTCTCGATTGGCCCATACTTCTCAACCACGATGGCCTTCATAGTGGGCGGGTGTATGGTTCATGGAAAAAGCAAACTGATAGTCGAGTTGTAATGGTTATTTCGATGATTTAAGCAGCGAGATATAGCAATGTTTCTCGCACGATCTTTATTCAAAAGTGACCACTGGTCTGATATCGTCATCATGTTTTAATATAAACGTCATGAACGCACACGATCTATTCGCCAAGCGAGTGGACCTCCTTGGTCACCACCTCGAGTATGCGACTCAATCATAGACTTCGACAGCCCTTCCAAGAATCAATTAAAGACTGTACTTTAGTTAAGCTTGAATATTGCAGATTCTTATTGTAAGCTTTGTGTTCGAGATCACTCGCTTGAGTCGACCAAATGCGTCATTGTGATGCAAAGCCTCCCGAGGTCATTGCAGAAAATCGACTTTATGCCCGCAAAATCGCCAAAGCACCATCACGCCATTAGAAGATGTAAACAGTATGTATATGTGAGTATGTGAGTGCCAAATAAAAGAAACTTACCTGATAAATTCACCCGTGGTGAAATACGGCAAAACTAGCTTTTCATTCCACCTACTTGTAGGCATGGCTCTATCGTGTTCCTTGGTCTCCGTCGATCATGCTGACGAATTCCATAGTTTCCGTGTGTTCCTACCGGACTTTGTTTCAGTAATGAAGTGATGATCAGTGGGGTCATACTTCCAAAAGGTTGTATGGCATTGACTTCAGTCCATTCGGCCCCATTCAGCCTCAACACGGAATCAGTTCGCCATTCATGTTTCGCCAGACTATGCACAACCCAGATTCAAGAACAACTTATCACAGTATTCTTTCCATTACTCGTCTCCAGATCTGAAATTATTTTCTATTTAAGACAAGGCTGTTTCTAGTATACCTGGGTGGAAGAAGCTTGTACATTAACCCCCACATAAAACTTACAAGGGGTTGCATGATCGCCTGGCGTTTTAGTTCAAGCCTTTTCCGTTTACCGACGAACTCTTACTGCTAAGCAGTTCAATAAAGCGTCCCTGGGCACTGGGGTGAACCCTCAGGCTGGTTGAATTGGGGTCGATATCTTGGGGCCATATTTGGGGGCAATTTCTATCTCAACATCAATGTGAGTGTGGGAACGTAAGATCCACAACTTTGGCAAGCTCAATCCCTCACAGAGCCATTCAGAGGATCGAGCCCCTGAGCATCCAAGGGGCCATATTGTTTCGACCTTGGCGGTCACTCACGAACCATAATGCCTATTCTATTTTCAGATCCACTGCCAAGTCGAAGGATTCAGGGTCTGGGGGCCAAGTTCTTCAAATTACTGAATTCGGTTGGCTTCGTCCCCAATTCGGGTTGGATAAGCTGTTACCACTATTTCAGGGCGCTTTTTAGCTTATCAGTCTAAATCCGTGGCTGTATTCTGTATAGACTACACGGAGAATCACGAGTATAAAGAGAGGTATAATTTCCCTCCAGATCAATTTTCTTTCATCCAGCATCGCCTTCATCTTCACGCATCAATATCCAGTCTTCTCAACCCTCCCAGTTATTCCAGGCTTTTTCTCCCCATTTTCCAATCTTCACCATGCAGTTCCAGCTCACCTTCATCACGGCTCTCTTCGCCGCTTCTGCTATTGCTGCCCCTGTTGCCTCCAACGCGGTCAGCTGCTCCAATGCTGCTGTTGTTGCGCTCCAGGGTGCAACCAAGCAGGTTTCTGATCTCAACTCGAACCTCTCGGGTACCACCACCGCTGCCTCGCTCGCCTCTGCCATCATTACAGGATTGGCTGACGACCTGTCGACTCTTCTTAACGGAATTGTCTTGCCCTGTGAAGCTACCCTGACTTCTCAGGACCAGCAGGACATCTGCGATGCTGCTACTACTGTATGATCTGCCTCTTTCAAGTGAAACAAATCACTCGGCTAACGGGTCGATAGTTCATCAACACCGACAAGGCCCTTGTCTCTACTCTCAGTTCCAAGGCTGGTATTCTCTCCGGCCACATCCTCACCATCAATGTCCTCGCGGCGATCAACAACCTTGAGACTGCTACCACCGTAAGCTAAGATAGATACATTATGCGGTCTAAAACAGATACTAACTCATTTTAGAACTACCTGCGCCCGGTGATAAACAACATGCCCGTCTGTGGCGGTACCGTCCAGTCTGAGCTCAAGGTACTCGAGTCAGATATCAACAGCGCTGTTGCTGCTTTCTAGATCGATTTACTAGCAGCTTATAGACTTGATTGGTAGAATTGGCTCGGTGGTACGTAATCTGCGGGAAGGCTGGCCTTCGGTATAGTTTGATTCATTCGGAATTTTTGGGACTATAGATATTATATTGCGTGAATAGCTTGCATTGCTTTGTGAAATTGACTAGTATTTATTTAAGATTATGGATCAAACCTGTCTCTTTAAAGTGATGCTCGGTAGCCTGGGAGGAAGGACTTCAAAGGCGGGTCCTGAATATTTGCCCCTAGATTGATAAAAAAAAAACGGCATGATCTCAGAGCTCATTTATTTGATGACAGACTAGCTTGTACCGCACAATGTGAGGAGACTTTGAATTGTGGGGCCAAACAGTCCTTGCTCGAATGGAACATACTTTATTTAATCTCATTCGTACGGAGTGATTAGTTGAGGGTAGATAGATCAAATTTATTGAGATCAGGTGGGAAAATGCTCTCTTAGAACAAGGGGATATCATATGTACAACAAGACAGAGCTTATCGCAACAAAAAGTAAACAATAGAAAGTAAACGACAACAAAAGCAAGTCGGACATAAGGCTCTAAAACAACAAATACCAATAGATCATGAACAGGTTAGGGTGTCTCGTTGCTCGGCGCAGCTCGTCTTCCCCATCCGCTGAAGAATCCGCCGCCCCCAGCATTATGCGTAGCATTTGGAGTCTTGAGCGGCTCGGTCGAGGCTTTGCATATGCTGTTCCTGTTGGACGCACGCCCCATGAAAGAATGCCGGTTGTCGGGCTTCGAATTGGGGTTGGCCGCGGGCGCACTGATCATCTTTCGCAAAGAATCCAGTTTGCCCTTTACTTCTTCCAGTTCCTGCTTAGCCACGGCTTCAGCTGTTTTTGAGGCAACGAGCTCCAAGAGCAAAGATTCCTCAGGGGCAGGCTTGTTGTTTTCGGTGGTGAGAACGGTTTGAAGGCCCAAGCTGCTGGAGCGTTTATTGTATGTGGGAGACTTCTGGGAGTTACTGCGGGCCAGCTTGAGCTCGCGAAGCCCTCGAGGAGAAGCCTTCTCGCTGGTATCAGATGCGGGAGAAGCGATTTCCGGTGGTGTCCTTGGTTCGGATGTATTGGTCTTCAGGGTGCGAAGTTCTTGGTTCTTCCGCTCCAAGCGCTGTCGATCACGGTAGCCATCTTGGATTCGGCCGCGGGCCTCGCGGAGTTGGTCCTTCAAAATAGTGTTCTCTTTTTCATAGTCGTCCATGCGTCGCGAAAGGTCCATGCATCGACGGGCTTCCACCTCGTGCATGCCTTTCCATCGGGTCATGTCATCCTGGAGTTGTTGTTTTGTTTGAGGGATTGAGGCGTGCTTGGGTTCGTTCGAGGCGTACCGGGCTTGTGCCTTTGAGACAAGCTCCGTAGGTCGTGACTCTTCTGGAAGCTCCTGAAGGTAATTGAGCATCTCCTTCGCTAGGGCATGGTCTTCCTCGCGCTCTTCACGTTCCTGCTGTAACTCCAAGCTCAGGTCTGCATGTTGATGTTGAAGATCGCCCAATGCCATCAAAAGATCTTCAATTTGCGTATGAAGATCGCGATCCTTCTGGTTGACGGACATATTTGATTTAATACGAGTTTTGTGACCGTCAACGTTTGTACCAGCTGACAATTCAGTTGGGGCAGTGCTAGCATCAGAGGTTGTTTCGACTGAGTTGAGCGTTGACGTAAGGCTTTGTTTTGATGTCGAACGCCGAATTGAGCTCGTGGGGCGTGAAGCACTTGCGTTAGGGTTCAGAGATTTGACAGAGTTGTGATTGTTTGAACCCGCCCACAGTCGTCCCAAAAAGCGGGATGCTGCAGCCTGCATCTGTGGGAAAGAGATGCCCGTTGGGACACCCTGTGATTGATTGTAACTGGCCTCTAGAGCCTGCAAGCTCTCTTTAGTGACAAGTGAAGTTAGCGATACGAAGTCATTTACAAGATCATCCGCATTGAAGGCGTATCTAAAAATTTGGTCAGCTCAATACCCAATGACATGTGTCCAGGAGTGAACTTACGTATCCCATAGACTTCGCGATAGAAGCAATTGCATAACATCCTCAAACTCAGCACATGCTAATATTCTTTTCTCATTTCGCTGCATCAGAGAAAGTGCGACACGCATCAGTGTCTCACAAGCGCCCTCGAGGAAAATGACATCGTAGATTCGAAGGAGCATGGGCAATGGACATGCCACCGCAAAGAACGAAAGGAACCATTGCGAAACATACACTGGTTCAACGTTCAGCGACTCTAGATGCTCAAACAAGGCCGGTCGGTGGCGTGCCAAAAGGTTCTGGAACTGGTACACATGAAGGTGAAGACCTGACAAATCTGGCAGGTAGCACTGCCGGAGGTTATAGTGATCCATCAAACGCACAAGCACACAAAAAGCTTCCGCATCTGACATATGCATGAGCAAAGGACCAACCACGAATCCCAGACCTTGACAGTAGCCGATTTGGGCATCGTATAAGCTGAAGCATCTCAACACCCGGGCTAACATTTGTTGGCCTTCACCATTGGGATCCCGAAACATCTCCACGTTGGGAAAGCTGCGACCAATATCCTTCCCAATAAGACCATCGTATGGGCTGCTCTCTCCCGAGAGTCGCTGGAACTCATCCAAGAGACTAGGATCGCGAGCCCCGGCCAGGCTCGGCCATACCACCCCTCTCAGTGGCGGAGGTACGCCACCTTGGATCTTGTTCGAAGTCAAGGTGGGCAAGCGCTGGGCTGTCTGCGGATAATCCGCCACTAGTGCTGCCCAGAACTCCAGCTCGGTCATCGGCGGGGGTGGAAGTTGCGAGTAGCGTAGTTCAGCCCGAGCTGGATCACGGATCAATCGCTTGATGTGGTGAAGCGATTGGGACCGGGACTGGCGGTGGTGCATCTGAATTTTTGGGGTATTCGCTAAGCCAGCTTTGGGATCTGTCGCCAAAGCATTGTTCTCCTGTTCCAATCGAGCCAACAGCAGAGCAGTGGAATCATCCGAGCCTTCGCCGCGTGGCTCCTGCTCTTCCGTTTTATCCAAGTTCTCCCAATCCAGCTCGTGCTCTACATCTTCCTCCAATGGTCTGGGCTCTGCGGAGGTGGGGGTCGAGGGCTCCGAGGGAAGTGGGCTGGTCTTTGCGGCGTCTCGGAGGGGCATCGGACCGAATGAGTCGGCGGTGTTTCGGTTGGGATCGGATTCATGGCTTGATTCTACTGGTGTAGGAGGGATGTCGAGGGTGCGCCAGGCTGGTTGGGTATGTTCTGAGTTGGATTGGATGTCGGACAGCGAAACTGTCACCATCGAATCGTGATTAGGAGCGTGTGGCCCATTGGGCGAGGTAGGCGAAGTGGGCGTAGAGTCGGCCATGGTGGCGATTCGATCGGAACCTCAGATATGGTTACGGATTTACCAGAATATGTCAATTAGACACAGGATGGTAGCAGGGTGATTCTCGAGGTGATATGCAAGACCAGCTTCATGTCTATTCGGGAAAATGGCATAAGTAGGGGGATCGAACACCTCCCAGGAGAGAGACGGAGAAAAATCTGAAGACACGTACCTCGAGGTGAACCAGCACCATATAGCACAAAAATTATGTACAAAAAAAAAGTGGCAGGACTGGGGAGGCGGAAGAAAAAGGGAGGTTCAGGAGAGAAGTAAACTATTTCACTAGCCTCCCCTTTTAGTCTTTCCCCCCCTCAGAGTCTCGCCCCCGCCGATCTCATACACCGACTGTCTGATGGCTGTTGCACCTATTACTTTAACCTTGAAATGCTCCGTAATTTAATCTTGGTTTAATTGTGGCGTTTCTCTATCTCCCCCTAACGTCAATCCCAAGGTTATGATTTCTACTGTATCTATCCAGGCGCGTTTCGCGTTTCCCCTCGATCGCTGTACCATGGATCTTCCTCGATCCCGTCCCCCACCATATGGGGCCTGTAATGGTGACTGTAGTTTTGGCTCATTGGAGTTGCCACTGTGACATCTTCCTGATAGAGCTAACCCTGGCCCCTTGTTTTGGTCTATGAAGGAATCCGAGTCTCTGGATCTGACCAGTTTCCCTGCAGGTCACGATGCCGATATTAGAGGGGGGCGGCATTGTGTAATTCTCTTACGTGTTTTGGATATTTTGTAATCTATTCGCCTGACTATTGGTTATTTGATCTTCTTGTATGCTCTGATTGGCGTAGATACTCGCGTAATACGTGAAAATTAATTACTGTCCCTGGCAGGGTTGTTTCACCTTAACTGGTTACTCTGCATAATTAAAAATGACCGTGTATGAGCACTGTGCTTAGACATGAATAATATGCGTGCACATTGTATAGGACATGATAGGCAGGGAAATATACAAATGGAAAATCAATAAAGTAACTTTAGAACCTTGGAAAAATCGATAAATAAAAATAAGAATTCCTAAAAAGGTAGACATTTGGCTATGTAAGTGGGCTAACTCGCTTTCATGCTAAGTGCCCCCCTTTCTCCAGTGGATCGCGGTCCGTAGTTAGCGCTGAGAAGTAGCGTTAGCCCTTGGCTGAAATTTCAGATTCCCTCTTTAAGCATCTAATGTACTATCTTTGTAAGAAGACATATATAGACTTTGACGTTTGCCACCAGAGACTAAGCCTGGAATGACATCTATGAATGAGATTGTGGATTTCTTCTTTGGGAGATGTGGGGGCCTTGATGTCTGTCATCGCTCTGTCGATCTTACCTTGGGGTCCTGTAAGGGCTCCGGGGGCGGGGCTTTTCAAGATTGTCTTCCACTTTATCATAATTGGTAAGGAACTCCATCAAATCACATATAATGTCGGGGGCTGGATGCAACTACGTAACACTGAGTCTACACTGTCAACCTTGAAAATACAGATGACAACCGCTCAGGGGTCTCCACGGCGTCTACTATGGCTTAGACATAGTCTCAACCCGTGAAATTGGCCATACGCCTATCTAGACTGACCTCATACTGTATGCAGCTTGGATGTTCTCTCTTTAACAAGGGTTTTAGTGTCGCTTCTCTGGTTATCTCCTATGGCCCGAGCTAACACTTTCAAATGTTCGTCTGCATAGGTGGGTAGGGTTCACCGCTATCTAGGTGTCATGTTCACCTGTTAATGGCGTACAAGAGCTGTACTATCAAATTCGCGAAAGGCAAGCAGGTTTGAAAGAGATAAGCGCTGAACGAGCCAGGTCACTCTTTAACCGCCAGATGTATATATAGCCTAGTGTGAGGCGCTTCTGAAGGGTTCCACTTCATATCTATGGTCACTATGAAATCTTTTAACATTAGTGTTCCGATAGAGAAGATTCATGGTTGAGCTTAAGAGGCCTATATCTCATGTGGGACCATATGTGCTGACGTAGTGTAGTGAGGAGCAGTTTGCACGGTCGCAACTCGTGACCCGCATCACGCTTTTGAGCCGTTTGTTTAGAAATTACTACATTGGGCTGCAGACCGTGGGCGGTGAGGAAGAACATTGATCCATGTGGCCAAAGCATCTCACCGCCCGATGTTTGGGTAGGCGCGTTTCACTTTTTGCGAGGAAAACAGCGCATTCCTTCCCCTCTTCTCTCATTTCTCTTATCCTAGCTTGGGCATGCTGGGCTCAGGTTTTCTCAGCGCGTAGATATCTTCTCTTTCGACACCACTGACCTCCACACTCGTTTCTATCGCGGCTTCACGCCCGATTGCTCTGTTTTTCATTTGGAATCCCTCACCATGGACGATTCGATCATGGATGATTCGGTCTTCGACATTGACAGCGATGGAGGTAGCTCTGATTTTGTCCCAGAAGTCGCGCCGGTAAGTTTTCATGGTGATTGACTCATGATCCTCTGCTAACTGGAGCTCCTGCTGTAGAAAGCCAAGGCCGCTCCCAAGAAGGCGCCTGCTAAATCCGCGCCCAAGAAGACAACCCAGACTACTTTAAAGGTTAAGCCTGCTGCCAAGGCTGCCCCGAAGAAGAAGGCCAAGGCCGACAGTGAGGATGAAGTATCCGATGTCCACATGTCCGACGACGATTCACTCTCTCAAACCCCTCCCAAAGCCAAGAAAGCTGCTGCCCCAAAGAGAGCGGCTTCGAAGCCTCTCGCGGACGTGGAAAATGAGTCTTTCGGAGGGGATGCCCCCTCCGATTCTAAGAATGGCAATGCGTCAGAGAAGTACCAGAAAGTGAGTTGCATTACAGACATAAGGTATCCAAAGCCTGATAGCTAACGTGCACGAATTTCGTAGCTTACACAACTCGAACACATCATCAAACGTCCCGATACATACATCGGATCGATCGAAGCCACCACACAGAGTATGTGGGTCTACAATTCCACCACCGAGTTGATGGAGAACCGCCCTGTCACCTTTGTCCCTGGCCTCTACAAGATTTTTGACGAGATCATTGTCAACGCTGCCGATAACAAACATAACGACAAGAACATGAACGAAATCCGGGTCACAATTAATCGCGAAGAGAATGAAATCAGTGTGTGGAATAACGGTCGTGGTATCCCTATCGAGATTCACGCCAAGGAAGGAATCTATGTCCCTGAACTTATTTTCGGTCATCTTCTCACCTCGTCCAATTACGATGATACCCAGGAGAAGGTGACTGGTGGTCGCAACGGATTCGGTGCTAAGCTCTGTAACGTATTCTCTAATGAGTTTACTCTTGAAACTCAGGATGCGCGTCAGAAGAAGAAGTACAAGCAAGTCTGGACAGCGAATATGTCCAAGGTTGGCAAGGCGAAGATCACGGACGGCAAAGGTGACGACTACACCAAGGTTACCTTCAAACCCGACTTTGTCAGGTTTGGCATGACTGGAATTGATGATGATTTTGAGGCTCTGGTGAAGCGTCGTGTCTATGATTTGGCGGGTACATCCGGCGTCGCCGTCAAACTTAATGGCACTCGTGTTCCCATTAGGAACTTCAAGCAGTACATGCAGATGTATACCAAGGCAATCCGACTAGACCGTGGTGATGATGGCCCGCCCGCCAAGGACGAAATTATCACCTGCAGTCCCGACCCACGCTGGGAGATTGGTTTCGCTGTCTCCGACGGTGATTTCCAGCAGGTCTCTTTTGTCAACTCCATTGCGACCACGTCGGGTGGATCTCATGTGAACTACATCACCGACCAGATCTGTAACAAGTTGGCGGATGCCGTCAAGAAAAAGAACAAAACCGGTGCCACATTGAAGACCGCTCAAATTCGGAGCCATATCTTCATCTTCGTGAATGCTCAAATCGTCAATCCGGCTTTCACATCCCAGACCAAGGAGCAATTGACTACGAAGACTAGCCAGTTTGGCAGCAAGTGTGTCCTAGAGGAGGACTTCTACAAGAAGGTCCTCAAGACGGAGGTCATGACCAACATTTTGCATTTTGCCGCCCAAAAAGCAGACCAAATTCTGAAGAAGGGTGACAGTGGCCGTCGCTCCCGCATGACAAATCCCAAACTAGTTGAGGCTAACAAGGCGGGAACCCGAGATGGCCACCACTGTACGCTCATTTTGACGGAAGGTGACTCCGCCAAGGGTTTGGCGATGGCCGGACGTGCGGTTGTTGGACCGGATCTTTTTGGTGTCTTCCCCCTGCGTGGAAAGCTGCTCAACGTTCGCGATGCGTCTTTTGACCAGATTTCAAAGAACGCGGAAATTCAAAACATCAAGAATTTCATTGGACTGCAACACAAGAAAGAGTACACTGAGACCAAGGGTCTTCGTTATGGCCATTTGATGATCATGACCGATCAGGATCATGACGGTAGTCATATCAAGGGACTGCTCATCAACTTCCTTCAAGCGCAATTTCCTAGTTTGCTGAAGATCCCTGAGTTTCTGATTGAGTTTATTACTCCTATCATCAAGGTCTGGAAGGGTGACCCAAAGAACCCTACCAAATCGAAGGCGTTTTTCACCATGCCTGAGTATGAAGCCTGGCTGGAATCCCACAAAGGCGAGCGTGGTTGGGAACACAAGTACTACAAGGGTCTGGGTACCAGCTCCACCGAGGATGCCCAGGTTTACTTCCGAGACCTTGATCGCCACTTGAAGGAATTCCACACTATGCAGGACCATGAGGCAGAGCTTATTGACCTGGCCTTCTCGAAGAAGAAGGCAGATGAGCGAAAGGAATGGCTGCGTCAGTATAAGCCTGGTACCTTCCTGGATCACTCCATGGCCAAGATCTCCTACACCGACTTCATCAATAAGGAGCTCATTCTTTTCAGTATGGCGGACAACCAGCGTTCGATCCCCTCCGTGGTTGATGGTTTGAAGCCCGGTCAGCGTAAGGTACTGTATGCCTGTTTCCGCCGTAATCTGAAAAAGGACATGAAGGTTGTGGAACTGGCGGGTCTTGTTTCCGGAATGACTGCCTACCAGCATGGTGAAACCTCGCTTCAACAAACTATTGTTGGTCTGGCCCAGACCTTTGTTGGCTCGAACAATATCAACTGCCTCGAGCCCAGCGGAAACTTCGGTAGTCGGCTCCAAGGTGGTAGCGATTGTGCTAGCGCTCGTTACATTTACACTCGACTCTCGCCTTTTGCACGCAAAATCTTCCACCAAGCTGATGAGCCCCTTCTGACATACAACTTGGATGATGGCAAGAAGATCGAGCCTGAGATCTACATGCCTGTTGTTCCCTTGGTTTTGATCAACGGTGCCGATGGTATTGGAACTGGTTGGAGTTCTTCTATCCCCAACTACAACCCCGAGGATATCGTGAGAAATCTTAAAGCCTTGATGGATGGTCAGCCCACCGAGCCAATGCAGCCTTGGTTCCGTGGTTTTACCGGCGAGGTGGTGTCCTTGGGCGGTGACCGTTATAAGTTCAGTGGAATCATCAAGGAGACCGGTGACAAGGAGGTTGAGATCACCGAATTGCCCATCCGCACCTGGACCCAGGATTTCAAGGACAAGTTAGAGGAAATTATTAAGGCAGACAAGGTGCCTTCGTTCATCAAGGATTACAAGGATTACAACACCCACAGCAAGGTCCATTTCATTATTCAGCTAGATGAGAAGAACATGAAGACTGCGCTGTCCGATGGCCTTGAAGACAAATTCAAGCTGACTAAAACCATCGGTACCACTAACATGGTTGCATTCGATCCAGAAGGCCGCATCACTAAGTATGCCACTGTTGATGACATCCTCAAGGAGTTCTTCCATATCCGTCTCAAGTACTATGAGAAGCGTAAGCAGCACCAGCTGTCAGAGCTTCAACGGGAATTGGAGAAGCTGAGCAACCAGGCCCGCTTCGTGCAGATGATCATCGATGGAAAGCTGGTCATCTCGAAGAAGAGGAAGCCCATTCTCATCGCCGAGTTGAAGGAGAAGGGCTTCAAGCCTTTCCCTAAGGTGGCTGATGCTGCCAAGATGGGCGAGGAGGAAGAAGTTGTGGAGGAGGATGAGGAATCCGAGGACGCTGAGGTGGAAACACTTTCGAACGCCTATGATTACCTACTTGGCATGTCCATGTGGTCGCTGACCCAGGAGCGTGTCGAAAAGCTCCGCCGCCAGATTGGCGACCGTGAGACCGAGGTCGATGTTCTGATCAAGCTCTCCAAGGAGGACATCTGGCGCAAGGATTTGGACGACTTCATTGCTGAGTGGCGTTTCCAGCTCGAAGATGAAGAGCGCCGTGCACGCAAGGCATTGGGCGCGGGCCGCCGTGCTTCTTCCAAGCTTATGACCGGTGGTCGGGCTCCGGCTTCTCGTAAGCGCAAGGTTGCCAACGGCGATGACCCGGATGATGAAGACTTTGGGGGACCAAAGACTAAGAAGGCCGCGGCACCCAGGAAGAAAAAGGAAACGGCGCCCAAGACGAACAGTCTCGCCAATTTCCTCAATCAGTCGTCGAGTAAACCAAGTCCATCATTGGGTGACGGAAACGCTGACTCGGACGATGACTTTGACCTGGAAGTGCTTCCCAAGAAGAGTCGTGCTGCATCAGCAAAGCCCAAGCCCACTCTGCCCAAGGATGAGGATGTAGACGTGGATATGGATTTTGATGAGGCGCCAGTAAACACCACTACCGCGCCGGCTGCTGATGATATCTTCAACATCGATAGCGAGCCCGAGGAGGCTGCTCCAAAGCCAAAGCCTGTGGCGAAGCGAGGAGCCAAGGCTAAGCCCCGGGTAGAGGACTCGGATGATGAGTTCCTTGAAATTGCAAATGAAGCCCCGAAGCAGACCTCTAGTCGTGCCCGCAAGCCCGTGAAGTATGATGCTCCTAGCGATTCTGAGAGTGACAACGGGGACGACCTTCTTGGTGATGTCAGCCTCATGGTGAAGGGCATCGGCGGCGGCGATTCGGATTCTCGACGGCTTTTCTCTGAGCGGTCTCGTGCCGGAAGTAGCGCAAGCCTGATGGCTCCCGCCAAGCAATCCAAGATCAGCGAATTCGATGCGGACGAGACTGACTACAGCAAGCTTATCCCTCAGAATTCACCCCGGCGCTCGTTGCTAGTCAAGCCCAAGGATGTTTCTCGCATTGAAGATGACGATGAGAAGCAGGCTGAGGCAGAGGAGGAGGATGACGATGAGGAAGATGAGGCACCAATCAAGCCGGCTGGTAGGGGCAAGGCTGCCCCCAAAGCCAAGGCTGCCCCTAAGGCTACCGCAAAGCCTAAGGCTGCCCCGAAGGCCAAGGCTGCCCCTAAGGCCGCTCCTAAGGCTGTAGCTTCTGCCCCGAAGGCACGCGGTCGTCCCAAGAAGGATGCTGCAGCACCTGCCGCTCAATCAGCCCCACCAGCCTTGTCCCCAGCTGCTAAGGCCTACGCTTCGAAGCAAGCCAAGGCGAAGAAGCAGACCCAAGATGAATACTCTGAGGATGACATTGATGCCATGGCCAACGATATCTTGGACTCTCCTGCCGGCAAAATCGATGCTGACTCGGATGATGAGCCTCCTGCTCCTCGCCGTGCCGCCGCTGGTCGTCCTTCCCGCCGCACTGCTACACAAGCCAAAAAGAGCTATGCCATTGATGTCGACAGTGACGACAACGACGGCTCGGTTGATGATTTCATTGACGATGATAGCGAGTAAATTGGTGTTTTCCTCTTTCTTTTTTCTTTTTTTTTTCTTGTTTTTGGGGGGCGTCAGGGAGCACCGTTGGGGCTATGTGCTTTCTGTTGTTCTGGTCTCTTATTTCCATCTTTTTTTTCAGTTTTACCCATTTCTTATGGTGACGAGGCTGAGCCGACCATTGTATTGCAAATCATATGCGAATTGAAATTTCATTGATGTTCATTCCAAGCTACGTAGGCATACCTATGCCGTATTCCAATAGACTATTGAATAGAGTTCTTGAGAATACCATATTTTAATCAATTTGAACAAGCAATCCCTTGACAGACAGACCCTGAATAATGTCAATACGTTAATAATACTCCCAAATCCCGAATCCCATAGATCCCAACACCATCCCATCTAACCAATGAACCCCATAGATTTGAACGGGCAAGCATGACTGAACCAAAGCACGAAAACCTCGAAAACAGGGAACAAATGAAACTGTACTCGATACTGAGTCTCGAGGAACGCCAGCGAAACCATCCTACCCGGATCACACGGAGACCCGACGCTTCTTGTCATTTTTTGCCTTGAAGAGTCCCAAGGGAGGACCCCAGGGAGGTTCATTTCTTGCCTCACCTTCATCATCACTATCAGGCTTTGCCAGCTTCTCCATATGCAGATTAAGTAAGGCATGAGCTGCTGTGACTTCATGTGCAAAGCTGCCTGTTTCCAAGTTTTTGCGATCACCAAACCTGTCCTTAAAAGATCGGCTAGGGATCTCCTCCCCCCTTCCCTTTTTTGAGCCGAGCCTCTCGCCTCGAGCTCGGATCCTGATAGTCCTCGTCATCACTGTCGGAACCATCACTGCTAAGTGGGGAGGTCAAGCTTGACTCCTCATCACCGCTCATTCCGTCAATGGTGGTACACCCCGTTGGCTCGTGATGCCACTCAGCTAGTTGATTCATCCGCAATCCGAGATTCCCCAGCCTTCCTGTAGCAGCTGTATGCATGGGCAGCGTGTGCTGAATTTGAGGATTGTCTGATCCTTCTGAAGAGGGGACGCTGGAGCGGGGGATATTCTCGGCTGTACGAGGCAGATTCACAGGGGTGAAGCTATTGATGACTGTGCTTTGGGGTGAGTGACAGTAGGAGGGCTCCGAGGAAGAGTCGCGTACACTGCCAACACTATCAGCGTAGCTGCGGCGAGGCACCTTTGGGTGTATCTGTCGGTATGGGATGCGATCCGCGAAAGAATTATCATTGCCTGAGGCTAGGGTCGGGTTGCGCGCGATAGTGCTTGTCGGTCCCCGATCTGGCTCAAGACTACGGTAGGCTCTAGCGGTCTGGGTCGCATGGAGGATGATGGAGTTGTCAAGCTTGATGTTTGGGAAGTCACGCGCTTTCCCGTTGACAGTTGGGATGCAGATAGATGGGAAATCAGTCCCGAAGAGTGGTGTCAAAACGTGGCGGATTTCCCAGCAGAATGTAGCTGCCACAGCCTTAGCAGCTTCGTATGGCATCCAGTATCCTAAAGAACTGGTTAGATGGGTTACTAGATGGGTTCCTGTTGGATGTGCTTACCTTGAGCGGCGAGAGCGCCTCCGGTGATGCTGTGGCATATGTCGCGCAGGCCGTTGATGCTCGCCATGACTTTGCCAGGGGCAGTCTACAGGAATGCCCTGTCAGATTCATTCGAGATGACGAAGATCCGGATGTTTTATTTACCTTTGTGTAGCCATTGCACCTGAACAAGTGAGTTATGCGGACCAGTCCGATGTTGTAGTCCCACATCACCATCCACTCAACATCATCGCCGGGGATCGTAAACACGTAATGAAACGCTATATAACATAAGCAATTGCAAGTCAGTTCGAAGTCCAAGGCATACGGCATACCATTGAAACTGTCCCGTCCGGTCTTCTCATGGAAGTCTTTCTTTTGGCTGTTGTAGGGGATATGACGAGGATAATCGGCAATATTGCCTAATGGGTGAAGCTTAAATTCTCGGTGAATCTTTAGGAGATCCTCATCACGTTCCTCGCAAGGAGGATAGCGAACTTCACCCTTAGGCTTACCAAGTTTGAAGATAGCACCATCCTTGGGCGTCTTCGACTTAGCCTCACGCCCCGTTTTTGGCACCGCTGGTATACGTTGTTTGCGGCCCCGGAAGCCCTGAAGAAGCCGTTGGCGCTCCCATCTTTGAAATGGCGGCCAAGGTTCCTCATTGCTCTGAGAGGGAGGGTTTGGTGTTTGTTCAGGCATCGGATTCAGCAAGTCCTTGATGGACGCCATGGTAAAAATCAAGGATGGAAAGGTGGAATTCTTCGAGCGAGGAAGGTGAAGAAGGATAGCCAAGGTCAAAATGATAGGGAACGAGTTAAGTGGAGGAGTGGAACAAATGGCGTTTTCCAGAAAAACTCCGCGAAGGAAGATAAGACACTCCTTTCAATGGAAGAATCCACGAACAAGCGAGACACGGTTTGATATGAGAGCATGCCCCTCCACTCTTTGTTTTCCGGGACTTGCTCCACGCCTTTCTTAGGGTGAGTACAGTTGTTTGCCTGCTACACTGTCTCCTTTGAGCAAAAGAAAACGATACAAAAGAAAGACGAATAGGGACGTGGAAAACGACAGGTGGTGCATGGTGTTTCTATACCCCTCGTCCTCGGGACCAAGGAAATGCACTGTTGACAGTGGCCTCACCAATTGAGATCATCACGAGGAGCTTCAAAGTCGGACGAGTCCCTATAGGCCTGTTTGCCTCTCGAGCCCATAGATTTTCCTTGATTATCTTCGACTCTGGCCTGACCGCTATGCAGAGTGCATGCTGTCATCGATTTATTGATGCCCCTGGGAAATGAAACCTGGGTCTTTGAGCTTCGAGGCCTGGTTTCACCGTCGTGAATGTGGGTACCCAAGGACTGTATACCGCCTCAATTACCTGCGTATGTGATATGTTGGCCGTTATCTGGTAGCCATGTGGATGACTTGTGGCGGTGATGAAGCATATGCACTAGCTTTGATCACCACTGTTCTTTAGCCCTTGATATGCATGCAAACAGACTTTTGCGGCCGTCTGCACCATAGCTAGGTCAAAGACCTGAGTTCAACGACCCTGCTCATTCCAAAACGAAACCACGCTCATTTTCATATTTGGGGTACAAAATGCAGCCCTCGCACCCGTTTATTTCCGACCGTCCAGCAAATGATCTTCATCAAAAATGGTCTAAGGAAATAAAGGACGCCCCATGTCAGAGCGTTGGCTTCGGCGCCAGTAGAAACGGCGGGCAAGGTGCTGCGGGGACCGGAGTTTTTGGGTGATCATCCGAGCACCAATCATAGCCAAATGCACCTCCAAGTGGCTCGATGAGACGGGTGTCAAAGAGGCCTGAGACCATCGGATGGCTGCATAGCAATCTCTTCCTTGTAGAACGGGATGTTGCATGGCTTGTTGGCTATTCCTCTGGAAATTCTGCAACATCTGAGAATGCGGTGCGGTGTACAGAGATAAACATCTGACCGCATCAAAATTACCAACCATTGGCGCAAGAACCTCACAAAGGTAAGCCAGAGTCAACACCCTACATGAGAACATATGCAACTTGATGACCGGTGGGGTGAGGTTCAAAGGGTGCGCCTGTTTCAGATGTAAAAGGCGGCAATCTGGAGAAAGCACGACTGACCACATTATAAAGACTGCAGTTTGAATCTGCCACTCTGCAAGCGGGTCTTTTTGGTGGAGCCAACATCGGTTGGAAATGCCTAAAGAAACTTCCATGCAGACTTCGGTGCAGATAGAGAGAGAGTCTGACATGCCGGCAACGGCTAGACTGAACCCACTTTTCTCTCGTTCCTATGTCAGGGTCGGATTGTCAGATCCCAGAAATCCACACTGACTTACCCTCCAGTTCGTTTTTCAACGTTCCCCCATTGTATTCACTCTGTCATGCAGTCAGGATGGTATTGCAACGGGTACATGGGAAAGAATGGGCCTCTACTCCACTGATGCTGGGCATCTTGCAGCCTAAAGGCAGGGCACAGCATATAACGGTACAGTTTATATAAACGATACACACCAAGATTGCATTGATGCCATATGGCTGAAAGAAGTGAGCATCAAAACTGGTCTACGGTGGTATTGACAACACCTTTACAGTCCCAGAAGCTGAGACCGCGGCCTGAACCGACGAGTCTGAGACCAAGCCTAGAACAGAAAGAGGTCAGGATCCCGATGTCTAAGACACAGCTATGCTGGCTGAACCATTGGAAGAGCGGTAAGGCGGAGCATAGTGTATGCTCCCGTGAAATAGTTCTTCCAGAAAGAGGCCATCTCACTAGGGGTCTCGATTTGGTTGTTGCTCTTAGGGCTCGAGCCCATCGAACCCATGCTCGAACCCTCGGGAAGCATAGATATCTTCATGAGAAATTTTGATATCTACAGGGGAAACGCATTAAGTTTACTTCAATTGAAACTGGCCTCTAGGTTGTTTAACCATGTGTATTGCAATGATCCTGCAATAGGTCAAACAACCAAATAGTACTACCGTGAAGGGCACACTCGAGACTCGACATCGAACAACTCTTGGCCACCACTTCGCTGATGGAACTCTGAAAAACAGAAATTATTAGCTGTATATGCTCATCAGTTTTACTGAAATGTTGTTGGGGTGCTTGATAGACATGCATATCCGCAGTCAAGGTCTCCCAATCAGTGCAAGTACTCTACACCAAGATCAATACAAATCCACCAGTACTCACGAATGAACGCATCATACATCGAAATCTTGCTAAATTTTGCTAGAAACATCAGTTATTCAAAAGAGGGAACTTGAGGATAAAAGCAAGGGTAGCAAGAAGGGAAGTCGCGCCCCAGCCCAGCCCGAATCACCATGCGGAGAATGGGGTTTGGGGGAAGCTAGACCAGGATGAAACTCAACGGCTGCACTCGTACGTTGCGGGGCTACCTGTTACATGAAGTCTCATGTGGGAGCGCGAAGGAAGCTGAGTGCGAGGTTATTTGCAGCGCTCAAAGCAAGAGCTACCTAATTCGTCGAGGTCGAGGCTCTTGCGCATCTTGATCTATGCTGCCCTACCGGGTACGAAGCTGTGCTCCAGCTTATTCTAGCGGGGGGCTGCTGTGCCTCTAACATTGTCATCCCACGAAGGTAGAATCCCACGAAGTTAGAAGACTCAGCAGTAGAGCTTATTAATATTACTGGTGATATCCATGTTACCAAGGTGAATCGGGTTCCGAGTCAAAACGTCAAATTCGTAAATCATCTTACGACAATTACATTAGAACAATATGAACCCGAAAGGGAAATAAACAGAGGGATGAAGAAGAGAGCATAGACATGTAAAAGGTAAAAAACAATTGTAGAAGTCAAAGGGGTAAAGGGTGAAGGGGATAAAGCGAAGAACCACAGACATGAAAATCACTTCATCGTCCGTTCGTTCAACATAAGTTTTTCGTCATCGAGATAGAAGATTGAGGTATTGGGGGCCCAATATACATTCCAAATGTATTTGAACAGTGTAAACCCCCCTATTCACCCTGATCTTGCGCGTCAAGAATATCCGTTAAGAATTGAAACCGGTTTCAGATCCTCGCCACAATTGCTGTTTGGCTATCATGGGTGATCTCCAGCGAGACTGGGTAGACAATTACACCGCCAGGAGAGGCTCCCGCTCCGCAGCCTGCGGGGCGGACTCAACTGACTCCACGACCTGGGCCACGGGCTCAAGGTTGGGGGCTTCCGGGAAATCCTCAGTCTTGATTGTGGGCTCGGGAGTGGGCTCGGTCTTCACGGGAGTGGGGGCCTTGGTCATCTCGGGGGAGACGGAACGGCGGCCAATGTATTCCTGGGCCTTGTGACTGTAGTCACCAACGTACTGCTTCATCAAGCCAGTGGCGTGCGAGGTGCGCTCACCAGCCAGATCCTTCAACTGGTTGGTCTGGGCATTGACAATATCCTGAATGTTCTGGATCTGCTCGTCAATGATCTCACGGTTGCTAATGTACACAAGAGGACCAAAGTAGGCGGTGGTCACACCGATCACGGTCAAACCCCAAACCGGGACAAAGCGGATCAGCCAGTAACCGAGGAAGGCGGCGGTGAAAGCCTAATGAATCGTCAGTCATGCTTCTATAGTGCTATTTTTGGAGCAACGTACCGCAACGGTGTGAACAACGTTTTCAGCAAACAAAATACGCTGGAACTCGATCAGGAAGAAGTCCAACAGCTGGGAGATATCCTCAAGCACGGCCTCGTGGGTCTCCTTGGGGATGGTGTAGTATCGGCGGGGGCGGAACGAGCTGGCAATGCCCTTCTTGAGAATGACATGTCCGGCAATCTCAACAGCGGCGGTCACTATCCTTAAATTAGTCATGTGCGCTCAGATTGGTGGGTCACGCGACCAACTCACCTCCCAACGACATGTACAGAAACTTGAAAGCCCAGCGGAGTAGGGGCAGGTAACGGGCTGCAAAGATGAAGCCGATGATGCTGGCATAGGAAACGGCAGTGGCGCGCGGTTGTTCCCACTGTAGATCGGAGGGGCGGTTAGCAAAGACGAAAAGAAATTTGGCCGGTCCATTTCGCAAACAGAATTGCGGCACTCACGCTCAAAAGGCTGTACAGCAGGGAGTGATAGTCTGTAACGGGTTATTAGCTTGATGAGCTGTTTGTCGTGAATTTCGAAGCGAAAACATACGGGTCAAAGGCTGGCCATTGTTGGTAGTGGTCGAGGGGGTGACTCGGGAGTTCTTCAGTTCTTGCAGCTCTCCGGAGGTCTTGGAAACCTCGGACTTGACGTTATCAACAATCGGGCCTAAAAGAGGGGGCGAAAAAGAAAGTATTAGATGGATCACGTTCTAGAACCCCTAGCACAATGCCATTTACCCTTAGTCACGAAATCTTGGATACCTAAATGCAGAGTTCCAGGTCAGAGGCTGCAGCTGAAGGGAGAATAGGAGCGAAATTTAGGGGTACTGTAAGAGGAATCATGGTCAGCATCATGGTGCCTGCAGAGTCGGGAGGAGTCGGTTGTCGCGGCCTGATGTTTTCCTAAAAGGAGAGGGGGGATAGCATACCTTACTGCCCGTGTTGGGGTAGCTCACATCACCAGAGTCAGCCATGGCGATAATATCAAACGATGAATCACCGGGAAAAGGGGAAATGGTGTGTAAATTGGGGGTGGAAGGAAGGAAAGATAAGGGAAACCGAAGAATTGTTTTGGTGTGATGCAACCACCGTCATGTGCGCCGCCAAGGTTTCCCTGCCGAAAAGCTAATGATGTCAACCCTTTTCCCTTTATACAATCCGCCTGTTTTGGATCGACATGACCTCTTTTTTTTTTTTCCACGGAGGATTAGGAAGCTGTGTTACACCACAGAAAAAGTGATAAACACCTTGCGGTGTGCTTCAGTCTTCAGGTCCGGTCTCCAGCAGCTCCGGCTTGGCCCGGCATAGATCAGAGCGTCTATAATTGTGCTTATACCTTTATCTCGCCCTCCGATGCTCATGGATCCGACCTGCTCCCGGTCTCAAACCCTCAAAGCTCGCTCGCTTTTTTTTCTCTCCAGGATACCGGTAACGACCTCGCCGGTGATGTCAACGATGAACTAAGGATGGTGCACTACGATCGAAAATGGCGCAATAGATTTACCAGTAAAATCCGGTGTTGGAGCTGGCAGAACCATCAAAGCACTTACTCATATATATAAGTCAAGGATTTAGCTACGTAGGTGTGTTGATATGCACTAGACTTCAGTACTCTTGGTGTAGGCACTGAGATCTGTCATGCATCAAGGATAGGAGGCATTGCTGGGGGATTCTTGACAAGCTTGGAGATAGAGGTAAATTGGCAGTTATAATATATCCTTCCAAGTAGAAAGAATTCATCTACAGGGCAGTATTATGCCCTCTATCACTAATCTATTTAATTCTTAGATAGCATGATCTTCAATCTCCGCTCAAGTATATAGATGCACGTGACCTACGCGTTTCCTGATTGGGAGGTCTGTTTTGATCCTCGATCTCTCCATTCCCGAGCACACACATACACACAACACATTCTCCAATCACTCCAACCTCCCGACTCGAATACTCATGGTCGACCATCACCAATAGCCGGCTTATCGACCACTATCTTTTTTCTTCGACCGCGCCACTCGACTCTTCCTATAACCCCGCCGCTGGCGCGTTGTTTACATCATGGCCGCCGCTGGCGCGAGGGCTCAAAAGCCCGTCGGCTCTGCCGCATGGATTGCCGCAGAGAAAGAAAACATGGCGGAACTAGTCGAACAAGAAATGGAGGAGGTTGAATACCCCGTTCGGCACGAAATGGACTGGCTAAACGAGCATATGGCGGACATCTTCTCCAAAGGTCAAACGTGAGTTGCGACCAACATGTGGTGTGCATCGGACTTGGCGCTAACCCAAGATTCAGCAACTTTACGGATGTCTTCAAAACACCAGGAAAGATGAGAGGGAAAACACCTCGCACAGCACGCAAGCGAAATGTGGAAGAAAGTCGGGTGGTAAAGCTATCCTGCAGGGCCCCAAGTGCCGTTGCCAAGCTAATTTATTTTCAACAGCCATTGAGCGAGATATTTTCCTCTACTCACAAGCAAAGCGACAGCAGGGCAAGCCCTAGTCCTTTCATTCATCGCGTCATCTCAAAATCTACAGCTGCGACAACGTCTGCATCACCCCGCCCCAAAGATGCAGACAAGGAGACACAGCCCCATTATCCAACAGTCCGTTCCAACTTGAACTCCTTCCAAACTTATAACACCGACTCGGGCTATCATGGAATAGAAGATTACGACGATGTGGTTTTGCCCGACACACAGCCAAACACCCAGGTTTCCACACAGTCGATGGAAGTGGAGGAGCCGACAGTGCTGACCCCTCAGGTCGATATCTCGACCAATCACCAAGCAACTGAAGATTCCTTCCATTCTGCCCAGGAAAATGTTCGTGCACGAGAGGAGACTGTAGATCCCACAAATGAGGAGCCAACTCCCACGTCGGAACGGACGACAACGCCTACGAAGGTGATCTCCAAGGAGCCAGGACTAGAGCGGGAAATGAGCTCCACACCGACACCCAAGACACAACCTAAGGTCAAGGAGAGACTCGGCAAGCAGAAACAACAAGAGAAGCCAGCAGATCCGCAAGAACCCCATACCCAGGACGAGGCCCAAGATAAACCTCAGGAGGTGCCCATTAAAGAGCCGGCTTTGCAAGCTCAGTCCTCTCCAGCGAAGCCTGTCGCTGCTGCGGTGTCGCAAGTGCAGCAGGGCCAGGAGCATGAAGATACGGACATGGATATGGAAGATGATTTGAAGGAAGACACAATCCTTGACAGCTTCGATGACATTGGGTCTCCCTCTGACAATTCTACTCCCGAACGCCCATTTGTTCGAAAGAGCAGTCTCAGTTTCGCCTCCCTTCCAGCACGGGAACCTCTGACCAAGAGCATTGGAGGCTCACGGCTTTCCCGTACCAGCCATATTGATCTCCCCAAGTTAAGTAATGCCGGTAGACCTAGTTACCTGGGCAGACAGACTGGGAGCCACAAGAATGCTCAGGCCCCATCGGACGACCATATTCGTAGCTCTGGCTCCATGGACCTTGATGACGAGAAGCATGATGGCGATACCATGAATGCGGAAAAGGCCAGCAAAATGCACAGCACGAAATCGACTCAGAGTCTCCATGAAAGAATTAGCATGCTTGGAAAGGCTCCACCATCACGACCAAAGAAGTCAATCGCGGCACCCGTGGTGGGAACTGCATCTGCTGGTCAAGTGGCTTATCCAGAGCTACCTGCTACCAAAGCCGAGTCTCGATCCGAGTCTTCTGATCTCAAGACTCGTGCAATTCCGACTTCGGATTCCGCGGCAGCTGATGAGGATGACTGGATTCCCCAACAACCAACTCTCGAAAGGAGCAAGACCGCAGACGTCATGGAGAACCTTCATGCAGATAAAATTCAATCTTTCGGCAAGAAGGACGCATTCCCTACCAAAGACAAGCATTCTGCTGAGCCCGAACGTCCCAAGTCATCGTACTCAATTTTTTCATCGCCTCGCCCTCAAAGTCATCAACAAAGCGCTTCACTCTCGCATATGACCCCGGTTGCGTCCACTACTCCCACTGGATCGCCTCGGCGGTATGATGGCCCCATCAGCGCTTCAAAGATTCGATTGCAATCAATAATGAAGAGCGCCAAAGGATTGTTCACAAGCACCGGCAGCTCGGTCCGGATTGAACCATCCTCACCCGAGCAAGCTCGTGTTCAACCCAATCAACGAACGAGTGCGGAAAGGGTTGACGATGAAGTTGAAGACAAACCACAGCCTCGTCAATTAGCCAATTCTCCACGACAGGAGGGCCGTCGAACCCGCAGTTCTACCGAAAAGGAGCAGAAGCAGCGGCAGAAGGACTTGGAGGATCGACAACTTGAAGAATCTCGCCAAGAGAAGGCCCGTGAACAGGAAAGACAGCGCGCTATCCAACTGAAAGCCGCCCAAGACAAATCATCCATCGAACCGGAAGAGCGAACGAACACACAGGCCCACAAGTCCTCGCAGTCATTAAGAACACAGAGTCGTGAGCCTGAATCTGCCACAGAAGGCTCAAGGATTGCCATGTCTCAGGCCAAGCAGAACGATCGACGGCCTAAACCAACTCGTGAACCCATGCAAAAGCCCAAGCCACAACCTGTGTCTGTCCGCGTTGGCAGCACTCTGTCCCGCGCGATCCCAATGCCCACAGCTTCTTCTGCTGTTCAAGAAACGAATGTTCCGGCACCTGCATCGAAACCCGCAACTTTGAAAAAGAAGGCCAGCAACAACTCTCTTCACACCGCTTCATCCACGAGCAGTTTCAAGAGCTCCGTTTCCAGTCAGACACAGGCTCAGCGAAAGGCCCAGCTTGCTAGCGAAAGGAAACGGGAGCAAGAGGAAAGAAAGCGAGAACAGGAGGAGAGGAAACGGGAGCAGGAAGAACGTGAGGCTCGTCGGAAAGACGAACAACGGCGAGAACAGGACCGCAAGCGAGCTCTGCAGCTCAAGCAGCAGGAAGAAGCTCGTCGACAGGCTGAGAGTCGTGCTGAGGCGGACCGTGAGCGCCGAGAGCAGTCTGCTCAGGAGGATTCCCAAAGGGCAGCAAACAAGCAGGCGATTGAGAAGTGGCGGATGGAGAACATGCGAAGACAAGAACCCGGTGTTCCACGACCTGCTTCGCGTTTGGGCTCTCTTCAACCCTACGGACGATCGATCAACACACCTGCTTCTAACCCTGCCAAGCCGCCTAAGAGAGTGATGGACGAGGAGGCAGGTCACCGGGCAGCCGTTACCAAGCCCAGCAATGTGCAGCCTTCTGGTGAGGCTAAGCGGGTCAAGACAGATGATGAGCACGGACAACCTGTGCGAACAATAGGGCGCCCAGTCCGCCCGCCCAGCACTATTCGCAAGGTATGCATTAATTCTACATTTCGTCGTGTTGATTATATACTAACAAGTTAACTGAACAGCCTTCAATTTCAATGTTTGGTCAGTCTGGTATCGGTCATCAGAGTGGATCTTCAGTCTTGAAAATTGGTCAGCCTCAAAGACCCGGACCTGGGCACCCGCTGGACATGTCCTCGTTGGCAAATGGCAAGATTCCCTTCGCGGAGCCTAACCGTGCACCTCCACCATCAGCACACAAGCCTGCTCCTAGCTCTGTCCAGCGGAACCCTGCTCAGCCCAAGCCCTCACCTAAGTACCCCAGCGGTGACAGTATCCACCTCCCCGAGATTGCCACGGACAGCGAAGACGAAGACGACTCAGACTCTGAGATGTTCCCCGTGCCTAAGTGGGCGCAGGCTAAGGAGCTCAATGATCTCCTTGTGGAGCAGGACGGAATGGAAGTCGACTCGATCTTCGGACCTATTGCGCCCTTCTCTTTGGAAGAAACTTTCAAGGCGGACAAAAAGATTAAGAAATACCGCGACAGAACCAGCAGTGCAAACTGGTCTGGTCCTGACGGTCTTACTCAGGAGGAAATTCGCAAAGATGTGGCTGATCGACAAAAGCTACGTCGCAATGGTGGATGGTCCTTTAATGCGTAGGGTGATAATTGTCCTGGATTTTCGCGCATATCCGGTTGGATGTGATTTCAAGCAGCACTGGCAGTTAAGGCGTTGGTATTCACCTTGGGCATTGGGTGTGGTGTGGTGTTCCACATGGATTTATTGGCGTTATGTATTCTTACCATCAGTCCTGAATCTGTTAGACTACAGGGACATAGGCAGCATCCAGTGCAAATGATCAATCATTGGACCCTTTTCGAACAGTCTTGTCATTTTCCAAGGTTGCATCTACGGGCTTGATTCCAAGGAGGGGGTTTATAGGGTTTTGGTGTAGACCCTTTCTTACTACTTCGCTCGTTGCTAGAAAGGATAAACATAATCTGGTAGATATTTACTTTTTGGTCATATAACATCAAGTGGCTGTGTCTTGCATGAACCAGCATCATTGGTCTAGTGGTAGAATTCGTCGTTGCCATCGACGAGGCCCGTGTTCGATTCACGGATGATGCAAGCCTCTTCTTTTTGGGTCTTTTTTTTTGAAGAACTTCCAAGGTTTAGGAAATCCCCTTTTTCCACTGTGAATTGTTTTGTCTTTATCTGGGTTTTTTATCATTGGTTCTTGTCTCATTAATTATACTTTTTTTAGCAACGTGGTCGGAAGAAAAGTCATGGGTGTTAGCGCATGGCGTGCCAATGATATATATTCCCTAATCACCACATATGGAGCCCTGCAGATCACAAGGCAAGATACCAATTAAGGCAAGTGGGAAATGCTTTTAATGAAACCTTGGAACAGAACACTTTTTCATACATAAGCATGCACCTTCATTATCTATCGGGGTTTTCTTGTCTTCCAACCAGAGCACCCGAAGGAAGGGTCATACCTGGCTCCCAGTTCAGAACATCCACCAAAACATATGAGATGGATCCACAGCATGAATAAAAGTGGGATGATAAAACGAATATTTCAATGATACACAACCCAGAACCTAGCCTGACCTAGTCGCGCCGCCCATACCGAATATTGTACAAAACCACTAACTAGAAAAGTATCTATTCCATATCAGGCTCCATATCGCTACCTCCGCCCTCAAGACCTTCGTCCATCGCATCCGGGTTCAGATTTGCCGCGTCTGCCGCAATGCCTTGCTTTTCATTAAGCTTGTCGTGGGAGACTGTGCGCCAACCGGCAGCAACAGTGGGATCCTTGAGATACTCAGACATGGGGAACTAGCAGCCATAGTTAGTGATTGAACCTCTATATGCGCACAGGGTAATACTCACGTAATGGTCGTTCTTCTTCATGGTGACAACCCAAGGAACATTGTCGAAAGTCACCGCACGCAGACGGAAGTATGTGTTGTCGGCAATCTTGCGTACTTCGTTGACGAACAGGTCGAGGGTGGGAGTCGGGGTGTCATTGACGGCAGTGATGAAGTTGGTCGGTGCAAGACCATAGTGGTAAGCAGGAGAGCCGCGACTCTATAAAACGGGTGAGTAATATGCAGAGTGAGAGGAATGAAGAATTGACTTACCCTCGCGCTCACATAAACTTCGCTGTGAAGTTTAGAAATTTGCTGTCGCACAGCATGGTGAGGCCTTTGCAGAACAGCACCGCAAAATACGACAGCACGATCGGTTTCCAAATCTTCTGTTGGAACTGTGGGGACTCGGATACGCATCTCCTGACCATTTCGGACGATCAACGCCTCAAGGATCTCCTTCTCATACATCACATCCAATTCCGAAACCCGAGTAATGAGTTGACCATCCAGAGTAAGAATAATATCCGCCTCCTGGAAGCTGTCTGTGTTGGATGTCAACTCTGCCGTTGGACAATCAACCTTGCGCACCATAAACAACTGGTGGCGCGAGGGATTGGCCTGCGCGACCTTCTGAATCCACTCCTCGGACACACCCATGATGCGGGCCTGGCTCATCTGAACAACATAGCTCTCCATGTTCAGAATACGTAGCTGAGGTGTGACACCCTGCTGAACCTTCGAGGTGACGGGAAGAAGCGAAGGAGTGGCGAATCCTAAATGGTACTCAACATCCTTGTGAGAACTGGGGGTCCGTTCGCCGAGGTAGTTCAGCCAAAGTGCCTGCACTACGCCGTCTTCACCGATTAAAACACCGTTGGTGCACTGACCACTCAGACCCGTGTCCACTGTGATGGCATCCAGGTTAATCGCCCGGTATCGAGGAGCAGACGCATTGGCTGGGATCGAAACTGTGGTGATATCGGTGACAGCAGTCTTGGCAACCACAATGCGGAAGTTCTGGTTAAAACCGACAAAGATGGTATCCTGACCCTGTTTGATAAAATCGGAGCTGAGGCGAGCGCTCTGTACAGGCGCCTGAACCAGGCTGGGGTCATACTGAATGATGGTATAATTTTGAAGCGGGTGCAGGAAGACAACCTTGGCAAGGACAATGACTGAGTCGGCAACAGTTATAGTAATGTCACAGAGGTCATATGGTACAATGGCTCGCGAAACAACTACTAGACCCTTCTCAGCGTCAATCACCAGACCGAAGCCTGTCTTCTTGGCTTGCGGATACCCATCAAGTTTCAAAGGCATTGTGCAGGAGACACGCACAAAGCTGCGTACAATCTCGGCTGCCGCAGGCTGGCTTATACCGTCGAGCTGAATGAAGTCTGCCTTGCGCGCAACGGGGGCTTCCGCAGGAATGGCATCAGAAAGATCGGAGAAGTCCCAGAGCCCAGTCTCATCGTTGCGAACCGCAAGACGCATCTTCGGATGCCAATGGCGGTCGACATAGACAATGCTGGTGCCCTTGGTATGAAGATCTCGGATATGGCGATAGGAGATGACCACCCGCGAGCGATCGGGAATGGTTTTCATCACAGCCACAAATTCATCCAAGTTTCGAGTTTGTCGCTTGTCAACCGAGTCGATAATCCATCCGGACAGGGTGTTTTCCAGCTTGAAAGAGCCAGCAGCTTCGCACACATAAACTCCACGACAGGGAATGGCATAGAGCCGAGCTTGCTGGTAAGAAAGATCATGAAAAGTGCCGCCAGCAACAGTTACAAACCGATCGGGGGTGATCGCATGGAGATCACCAACTTGACACTCGACCTCAAGATCCTTGCCTCCTCTTTGAACCAGCAGCTGAACTGTACCTCCCACACTGGAGTCTAGAATATCATCGAGACGAACAAATTGTGTTAGAAGCTCGCCATTTACTTTCAGGAGCACGTCACCTTCCTGCAGTTTCCCATCGCCGGGACCCTCAGGCAAGATAATCTCAGCCGCGAGCATGTTGGTCTCCGCAGGGGCAGCGGCACGCACAGCAGCCTCCCATTCGGGGGTTAGGCCAAGGCGACGACATTCATCGAAAGGCTTGAGGATCCATTGGGTCTGGATAGTACCCCGGGTGACCGGCTTGCCCTGACGAATGCATTCTAACGCGCGCAGAGGACGATCCAAAGGCAAGAAATAATCGGTTGCAGCCCCATCTGCTCGACCTCCAGCTTGCAAAGCCACGGCATTACCGTCAAGGTTGACGACAGGACTTCCTGAGCTACCACCACTAGCAGCCGCAGCAGCCTGAATATAGTTGGTGTTGAAATCACTATAGCCCTCGCCATACTCGGGTGCGTTACGATCCAATCGACTGATTACACCAGAAAGAATACTAAGCTTCTCCCCAGCATCGTTACCAACCACTCGAATTTCTGTACCGACTTGAGCCGCATTGGGTTGGAGCTTGAGCTCGGTGAGCTTCATGTACCGAATGGCCTTCGGGTCAAACTTAAGAATACCAAAGTCGTGTACGGGATCTCGATAGACAGGGCGAACGTCACACTATCAGGGCAACCGGAGTTAGCTTTGCCTTTGCCTTTGCCACTTTTCATTTTCTTTCCTTCTCTCTTTCAACCCGTGCGAACAGAACTGACCTCTTCGTGATTGTCAAAAATAACATATCCCCAGAACGGACCAGCGCACACCACATGTCGGTTGGTCAAGATGTATCCGCGCTCTGCATCCACGACAAAACCAGTAGCTTGGCTGCTCATCGAAAGGTCTGTGTCGAAGGAGCAGGTCTGACAGAAGTGAATTGACACGACGCTTTTTACGACAGTCTCAATCATAGCCTGCCACTCTGGTGAGTCCGCCTGGGCAGGCCCAACAGTGAGCATGCGTCCCGCATCATCATCCTCCTCGACATCGTAGACGGTTCCATTGGCCGGCGTTGAGTCGCCGGGGGTTAAGACCGAGCCTTCGGGCTTGAGATGTTTTGTAGGCCGTTCCGCGGCACCAGCGATAGTGCTGCGCTTGCGCTTGACGCCAGCATCACCGTTCGCATCCATGGTGTAGGTGAAGGGAGATCGACGGGAGTGGAATGAAGCTCGGAGCGGAGGAGTGACTTGGAGGGAAAAGCGGCGATGGTCTAAGCGGCGACGACCAGAAGATAAGGAAGGGTCGGGTCGTGAAGAAAGAGAGAAGGTAGCAGGAGCGACACGAATCGGCCAATGCACAGCAGAAGCAGAAGCAAAACCTGGGAAGCTCCTGGTCAACAAAGACATTCGCGCCTGGGAGATGAGAAAGGAAAAGGGCGCAGCTAATTGGCCTGGCGGGTCCCCGTTCACACGACCTCTGCGATCCCATGCCCAGCCCAGACCACGCGCCCATGCGAAGATCGTCTGGACTAGATTTACATAGTTACTTTTAGTATGCCTATACAGAAGGAAAAAAAAAATAGAGAGATAGAAAAGTCTAGAGGTCTGATCACTCTGTCATAGAGAAAACTATATTTTTCCTCGATATATTTTGGATATCTCTTCGCGCTATCTCCAAAGTAGCCAGGCGGGTTTCTGCAAATCCCATATCTTACACTCATTAAACCCCAGGTATTTCGATACCCTTGAATGTACTACATATCCAAGAATCGGGACTCGGAGGGCGCAAAAAAAAAAACAGGGCGGGGCGCCTGTTAACGGGAGGCGCCGTCCCCAAACCGGTTGGTACAATGTTGGGGGCCCGTGGTCCCTCATGATGCCTCATCTGACTGGTGTATCGGGGGCGACAAAGATCAATGTAAGACCAGTAAAGGAGGGGGGATGTGAAACACCTCTCCTAATACATAACAATTTCTCGACACATATAGGCAAGACAGTCATCAGACAACTGATTCCGGCATGGGGGACGGACTAGGCCCGCCGTTTCCCTGCACCAGTGCGGGACTGAACCGCTGAGGTGTGGGAGCCTGACCAGATCGAGGGAAGAGCTCGTTTAATTTTTGATATAAGTCGTTCAGGATGGGCATACTCGGAGGTGGGGTCATCAAGGCCGGCGCTAGAAGTCTTTTTTGTTTGTCCGTGATAGATGCGAGATACGACAGGTTGGCCTGCAGTCGTCGCATACAATCAATATACTCTTGGCTTGGCTTTTGAGGGGCAACCGTGCCATCTGGATTAGACACTGAGCCTGCCTTGCCCGACGTCTGTAGAGTGACGATCTCCTCTAATAAGGTCGAGTTGATGTCAAGGAGTGTCGTCATGCGAACCTTCTCTCGTGCTACCACTTGCGCTTGGGCTTGTAGTTGAGCCGGGGATGGCCCTTGCATTTGAGTCTGGGATTGTTGAGCCTGCTGAGCCTGAATCTGGCCTTGGACCTGACCCATGTTGGGGGTTCCTGGCTGAGCGGACCGGGGTGAATTCATATGAGGACGTGGCTGGTTAGCCATTAGATTATTCGCGGTCACGGAGGCCATGTTCTGGGAGAAGGTTTGCGCAACGGTGGAGGGGGTGTTTGGCGCGGGGTTGGCTTGGGAAAAATGAGCCATGTTTGCGGGGAGGGGAGGTTGGCTAAATGGCGCAGAGAAATTCTCCATCGGTGCTGTTGTCATATTAGCGGTCAGATCCAACGTCAATCAGTGTCGATTTTAACTATCGACTCGCGACCCGAAATGCGCCTTTCCCATGCTGATAAAGAACAAAGCAAAAGATTGAGAGCCCTCTCAAACAGCTAAGAGCCAGTTGAAACAGTCGTGGGGGCTCTCCAACGAGAAGGTCCATGCTGCAAGCCTCCGGAACAAACAAGCGCGTCTTGGAGGGGGTATTGATAGCGATCAATCCTAAGCCTCAGATAAAGGATGCGGCTTTTGCTCCCTGCATAGCTAGAGCTAACACATGGACCCCACAGGGGGAAGGTCAATGTGTACGGCACTAGTCGTAATAATAATGCAAAAAAGGAAAAAGAAAACCCCGAGAAAAAGGAAAGGTGTGATAATATAGAGGGGGGGGGGGAATTGGCAACGTACCGGAAGATTGTTGGGGGAAGTTTGAAGGCATCATAGCTCCACCGGGAACACCTGGCTGCATTGGGATGGAGCCAAAGGAATGTTGCTGCTGTCCAGGCTGTGATGGGGCCTTGGACTGGGGGAATTGTTGGGGCATGGAGTTTGGGTAGAACGACATCGGATTTGGGGGGCTCTGCGTCGGGACGGGAAAGCCTGCGGGATTGTAACCAGTATTGGGGTCCATTGGATAATAAGGCGTGCCCATCACGAAGACAGACTATCAATGTTAAAAAGGGGCCGAGGCGTCCACGGTTGGCCCGCAGTCAATCAATCCTCCTGTTCGTGGGTATTCTTTTTTCTCTGAACCGCCCAGATCAAGCCCGGGGAAAATCGTCGATTACGCACGCGCCGCACGGACAAAGCAAAAGGGCTGAAGTTTCCTCACTCGCCGGAATCCAGGGATGGGCAGGGGAACTGAGCCGCCGGGTATGGAGGAAGTGAATTAGACAATATGACACCAAATGGAGGGCAGTGATTGGCCCAGATGACAGACAATGAATGGGCAGGGGGGATGGAACACGATCGACCGCTGCTTTGACAGAGCTGGACTCGGAGCAAGACAGATTTTGGTGGGTGTGGTCCGGATTCAGAGTGATCAGCCGTGGGCGGACGGGCTAATGCAGCGGAGCCTTTTTGGTTGAAAGTGGGGACACGGGCCTGATGGTGGATAATGGCTTGCTTTTTTATTGAATTCCCTTTGAATGTTGTTTCATTAGTGATGGGGTAGGTTTGGATTTTTCAACGAGTCATTCCACATGAGAAAGCGTCATAAATAGGAGGAGTTCTTGAATGACGATAATGGGTCACGGGACTGAGCAGTCCCATGTGTGATACTGATACCAGATAGTATCATAATACACAATACCCTCTCAAGCGGTGAGACATGCTCAGTACCGAAATATCAGGTGACCGTTCACAGCGACATGTGATGTCAAACACGTGGAAACCTTGTGGCCTGAGGCTTTAACATGGAGATTCTTAGTAAGGTCCAAGCTAAGACACAAACTCAGAATTTGAGCCCAATTTTGAATCAAAGTCTTTGTCCGAACATTGCATCATGACAGGGGTAGATCGGCAGCCCTTTACCGTTCAGTCATGATGTTTTCATTGCGTATTCTCAGCCGCAGAACACGAGCTGCGCCACAATAGGGTCCACCTGTGGCGCAGCCCACATGGGTTTCCAAGGTTGCTGGTCTGCGACAGTATCTTTCGTCATTCTAGTAGACGCGGTGTATGACGGCAATGAGATCAATCACTTTTGATATTCGATTTGAAGTGGCATTTGGCACACATTCCAAATGAGGACCACATGAGATTCCCGATGTCTGGAATTCATCGAGGTTGTCAACTTCATGCCGAGGGTCGAAGACAGGGGAGAGACGAAATTAATAATACTCCTGGAAACGGAAATGCAAAGACTTCGAGTACATGATTGGCAGGTCCTAAAAATTCAGGAATTTGGAACAGAAACTGACGTGTCCTTGGTCGTGGGGCACTAACGGCGACTCCGGGTGCATCTGATATCAGATTTGGTTCCCAGACCGTTGAGTGCTGGAGGGCCAATCCAGAACTTCGGATCAGCAATGGGATCTGCATTTCCAGGGAACATAGCCATGTGACGCGGTCGAAAACACCAAATCCCATTTCATACCGCAAGTCATACTTTACGGGTATCGGGGGCCCACAATTAGGGAGACGGAAGGTATCTGGAACGGGCGACCTGCATTTCGCTAAGGAGGGGCACAATGGGTCAGGTATTCTTGACGCCACTAATGCACTTTAGAGGGATCCATTCTTACCAGTTTCCAGGAAATGCAAGTCGGTGATCTTTTCCTTGTCCACGCTAATAGAGATGGATTGAAGATGGGCCCTGAAGGTCACGCACAGCCCTAGGGGAGGAATGACAGCCACTTCAGCCAGCCACAGGGAAGGAGATGTCGGAGGTTTGAGTTCCGCCCAGGCACAGCATATGTCTGATGCCATTTCCGGAATAGCCAAGCCTTGATCTCTAAAAGGCAACTGATGGTTTCGCCGAGACGACGTCAGAAATAATGAATTTCTATGCTTAGTGTCCGCCCTGTGCAGTGTGTTACACAGCAGTATGAAGCATCCTGGTGCTCGGTACTACCTGCAGGAGCCCCCTCCATGCATATCGCGCGATGTCAACAAGTGTGGCTGGCATCGGATCGATCCCAATCTATTGACTAGTCCATTACTTGAAATCAAAAAAAAAAGAGAACTTCTACAGCACATGAACTTGTAGTAGAAGCTGGATCAAATGTCCAAATTCACGAGATACATCTAAACCTAATCTAAAAGCCTTATGATAGGCTTGCTCTACGACCTGCCTGGCGCGGACTATCGAAGCATGCATCAAATCCCTGCACCTCGCAAGAACCCCCGCCATGCACGAGAATTTGTCAACCCTAAAGTCGATTGGCCCACACCGTGTTGCATGACTTGCATCCGGAGAACGCTCGTCTGTGTTCTCCGTTACGGTCTAGCGCGGGAATATCGGGATTCACGACGATCCCAAAGTGCGTGCCCGAATATCCCAAGCGGTCACGGGGAACGAACCCAAAGGCTGTCAGCACTAGTAACTAAGGACGGTAACAAGCTTTGAAAATGAGAACTAATCTATCATGGATATCGGGCATTAAAGAGCGTCCCACCGACATAAAGTGGAGATGTAGTAGTTTCTTTATCTTCAACAAGGGCATAGATCCAAAATTCGCAATAGTGGGCCATTTGTGGCGCTTCGTCCCACCAAAAGGAGAAATACCTCCCCCATTTGGATGACATCTCTGACAATGTTGACAGGCCACTGACAGGGAGCAATTTCCGTGAGGGTCTACACCTTAACAAGTTTCCTAGTGGATCTACTGCAAAACGGTTTTCCAAGATCTCGAATTCTGGCTCTCACTTGTCCAATACCATTGACTGCAACTCGAACCAAATAATTGTTGAACCAGGGCTTCGGTGAATTGCAGCCGAATGTCTCAACGAGGCCCAGTCCAGGCCAAAGACTGGGACCGAGCGGGGTCCGGCCGAGTCGACCAGTACTGGGTGGCAAATTTGAATGATCCATAGTTCGATCTGCCAAAAAAAAAAATGAAAATGAAAAAAAAAATGAAAAAACTTTGAAGAAAAAAAAAGAAAACAATAGTGTTCCTACTAACAGTATTGTTGCATTGACTTTCGGGTATGTTTCAGCTCCCCTCGCGGGGGAAAGCCACTTCATCCGATGGACTGCAAATCCACTACCGCATCTACAGTAAGGATCATCTTTCGGTGAAGGGAGTAAATTGATCGACCGACTCAGCCACACAGTGGCGCAAAGTTAGTGTAGCCAAGAGCAATGTATTCTTCGTGACGAGAACGTGCATCTCAGATACGGGGAAATAGAGACAGTTCGTGACCAGGATCCCTTGGTTACGAGGGGCTTTGATAATCAATCCCTACTAGCCAGGATCATATTTTCGAGTTGTTGTCTTTGCATATACATGTCATTATGGATACTAGCTTGTCTTGCATTGTGGAGAATAGTGCTACCCATGGTCCTAGACTGCACAATCTTTGGTCAATGCCGTTAGTCGTATTGTCATACTTCTCTTACATTATTTGGAAAAAGGAGAACCATTTGGTCCATATCGGAGCTCATATTATAACAATTTAGTAGAGACAAGGGACCCTCACCGTTACGATCTATTGAATCATGGTATTTATCAAATACCTTTTGAATATTCCCCTTGATGAGAATATCAATTCTCCGTCATTTAGATTAATGTCAATGTATCATCTCCGCAACTCCACGCATTCTACGACCTGAAATGGGAAAAATTGGCCGGATTCCAACCTTCAATTGTGGCAACATCATCCTGCATTTCTCGGACATTGGTTTCAACTCCACCGAACCAGCCTTATCAATGTGCAAAAAACAAAAGCCCCACACGAGCTGGGATGATAGTCCTATGTTCCATGTGGATAGGCACGGGTATCGTACAGATCTGATCGCCTTGCATTGGCGAATGCGGGCCGGAGCAAAGGAGAATAGGAAAAATAAAAAAAATAAAAATCACCAAAAATAACAAAAGAAGAAAAAAAGACATGCCGATGAGCCACAGTTCGCTTAGATTCAAACCCAATCTTCGTTCTTCATTCGCTGACGCCACACCGGCATTTACTAGATCTTTCTCGACCCCCTGTCGAGGATGAAGGATCATGCACGATCCTAGTTCGACCTGTATACTGATGGATACCTATCTGGGTGCCTGAATCTACATAATAATGGTCATATCTATGCACAAAGCTTGAAACAGCAATGATGAATAGGTTGACTAGGGTCAGATGTAGTGACTTTACGTACTTCTGTCATTGACAGCCGGTAATTGATCTACATTCCACGCCTCCGGTCCGGCCGAACTGGCGTAATCTAATGGCCCCAACCTTGCGTGGAAATTCAAAATTCTCTCAGACTATCAGCTCGCAGGAGCTGTTTAGATACTAGTTCCAATAGGATGCTGATCTTGTCCTGCCAAGCCACATCTCATCGCGCTAGGAATCTGACTTTCTACACGCCGTTTGTTGTAGTTCATCCATGGTACTGGAGCGGCTCTTATTATTGTGTTCAAATGAAATTTTCTTACGTTGGAACAGGAATGTGTTCCATAGCATCTCCCTCGGTTGGCCCCCCCAAGTAGGCCTGACTATCCCTTTGTACGGACCATGCGGCCCAGGGAACAGTTATGACTCGTGGGGCCATAGCATTGAAGATCGTCAAGGAAAAATAAAAAAGCTGCATGCAATCTGTATCTGTACATAGTTCAACGGTAAGAAAAATACGGTGCGTGGTCATAGTGGGCCTGCCCAGGTGTTGGGGCGGTTGCAGTATCTGAACCAAAGTCCGTGCTTGATCTCTCACGCTCTCTCCTCGCTCTGGAGCCGATTTCTCCACACTGTCAACAGGCCCCTTCGGCCCTGAGCGCCACTGCCAGGGCTGGCGGTGGACATATATCTACTATAAAATCTCCGGGGCAGGTCTTACGGAGTCATTTCTCCTGGCGGGGCCTCAAGCGGTTAGTGAAATCGTTTCCTTATACTGCTGTGCTCCAATCCCACAAAACAATGCTCCCTGGCTGTATGCCCTCCTGTTCCTCCCAGCTGGCTGCTTGGAGTCCCTTTTCGTCCAATTCATTAGCGAAACTTGAATTTCATCCCCAGGTATTGAGCTTCGGTTATATGGTATGATCATAACTGATCTGCGATGAGATCTCCTGGAAATTGTCGGATTGGGCACCAAAATCGAAACTGACCACCATCCATAGGTCCCTCCAGCCATGTCCAACCAACATGATGAGTTGGCTCATCCGCACTTTGCTCTCATCTATATCGACCGCGATGGTAATCTTCGACATGAGGCGTCACCATCTATCGCCAATAGTCGCGAAGCTATCTTGTCCCCAAGAGTCACGGACGCATTCTTGCAGGCTGTGGCTCGCTCCGGAGAATCCGGCCCATCGCGTTCTTCATGTAAGTGTGCATTACTCCTCATGTGTCGTCGCCGGCGAGAATTAGGGGAAGCCAGTGTGTTGATCCGAAAGCAGTTGAAGTGGATTCGGGCGCATCAGCCTCACCACCAAGAACAGCCTCTGGACAGGGTATGCTTCCGACTCAAGTGAGTCAAGTGTCCCCCGGCACAGAGCCTAGAAACATGGAAAGACACAGGCTAGTGGTACCCGCGCCTCAAGACCCGACCATGTGGCCAGCGCAGCAGCAAGAGCACTGGCCATCACAGTGGTCTCGAAGCCCACAAACACAACGAGCACAGCCATGGAACGAGGAGATCAGCATTGCCAGCCCTAACAAGTCCCTCATCTCTATTCGGGACAAAGAATTTTTGCGTCGATACTATGAGAAGGTTTTCCAAAACCTACAGCAGACGAACTGCCGTGTGCTGGCCAAAGCATACGTCAAGCTGGTAGAACCACGCAAGCAAGTGAACTATCCATACAATGGGCGCAAGATTGTCGATGGTCGGACACAACAACTCAATCCAGAAGAGACCAAGCCGCCGTGGTGGCCAGTAGGGGTGAGCCACAGAGAGCCTGATCACCTTCCCAAGGCCGGTAAGGCAGACCCAATGCCCTCCAGTCTCCCTGAGAAAAAGCCTTGGTCAAACCACTAACACCTCCTTTAGAGCGAGTGAGACTACTTGTTTATCTACTTTGCGAGTTGCGCACTACTTATGGAATCACCGCCCGGCGGCTGAGAGAGGCAGACCAGCCGATTCGTCGTCAAATCACCCCAGTCGAACGATTACAAATGATGGACGAACTCTACGAGGTTAGAGAAGAAGAAGAGAAATTCCTAGATGGAAAAACAGGTACATGGTTCTGCCCCTTACGTTGAAGCGAAGAAAGAGAAAAGGAAAATACTAATTAACTTCAACAGACGGGAAAACCTTAGTATCCATCGCACGCGCGAACCTTCCTGACCCCGTAGATTCACCAAGCAGCCGAAGAACCTCACCGAATGAAGAGAAACCCACCCAAGAACCTCATTACGAAACCATGTGTATTCGCAGTGGACCGACACGAACTCCGAAAGACCCCAAGACTACATATGCAGCGAGCGATGTGTCCGCCAACGTGTCTCCAATACCCCTTCCTCTCTCGCACAGTCCTATCAATTATATCAAACCCGAGCCCTCTATAAACCGCGTCGGTGATGCTACCCAGGCTGCCATGGCCGCACAAGATCTGAAGAGGAAACGTCAGTGTGTCGGAACGGGAGTTCCGGTCCCTACCAGCACTGCACCCAACCCCAGCCCCAATCCATTGGAGTATTATGCCCCAGTGTACGTGGGAGCACCACCGTATATGCCGGAATCTTACCATGAACTTCATGGCTTTCCTGCACAAGCCGAATCCACCCCAGCGCAACCCCCCCCCGAGTCATTTGGAGAGGACATGGACTCATCCACATTCCCTTTCTATTTCCAGTACTAGCGTTCTTCCCACTTGCTTGTGAACAATGTGATGGATCACGATTCTCTTTTGTTTAATGTTGATATGAGGGATGGCGTTACTAGATTCCCGGTTTACTGAAATCTAATTAGCGCTGATTGATAGGGCGTACCAGAAAATGGCATAGCAATACGAAGAATCCAATTCGGGTAAAGCCCTAGCGTCTTCCCTTCTAGACTTTCAACCATAGGTAGATCATAAAGCCCCAGCTATACTTAGACGCACTGCGAGTACCAATCATTATAAAACGTACACGTATACCCACTAACACAAATCGTTCCCCCAGTCCAATTCTCACCGCCACATTGCCCATACGCCTGCACACCAGTCGCACTTGAACTCGAACTTGTAGTAGTACTACTCACTGTGTAAGTAGCAGTTTCGGTCGCAGTCCCACACAACGCAGTCAAAATTCCCGTATATGCAGGCTTCTTGACAAAATCCTCATCCCACGGACAAGCAGCACCTTGTCCGGAGAAGGTGTCAGGTACCCAGGAGTATTTATCCGTCCAATCCCAAATCGTAATACCAACACATCCACTAGTAGCCACACAGGCCGCAACGGTGTTGGAGTAATCAGTTTTCTGCTGGGCGAGCAATGCATCTGTCTCGGGGAGAGTCATCCGGATATCCAGCTCCGTAATTGCGACTTCGACGCCCAGAGCAGTGAATGCTGCCATGTTGCTTGCCTGGCTACTCTCGCTAGGTGTGCTGCCCACGATGAAATGAGCTTGCAGACCTACACCATCGATCTTGGCGCCATAAGATTGGACCAACTTGACGATGTTCTGCGCTGCTGTGGCTTTGCTGCCCGCATACTCGATGTTGTAGTCGTTATAGTAGAGTTTGACGTCTGGGTCAGCAGCAGCAGCAGTTGCGAATGCGATAGGGATGTAGGCTTCGCCTATGTATTGGTAGAACAAGTTGTCACGGTAAGTCCCGTCATCGTTGAGACCTGAATTTGTGAGATGCATAACTCAGAGGAAAGAGGAAGGGGCATCTTTCGTACCTTCATTCACAACGTCCCATGCATAGCATTGACCCTTGTAGTGAGTAACTACGTTTGTGATATGGTTTTTCATAGCAGCGAGCAGGGTCGCATTGGTCCAAGTACCGCTCGTCACTGTTGCGATGGTCAATATCCGTAAATTTGTATGATTAATGTGAACTCACCCCAACTTGGTAACTGCTCATACCACACAAGATTATGGCATCTCAGTTTTTGGCCATTAGCCTCCGCCAGATCGGCAATCACATCTCCTTTGGTGAAAGTGAAGGTATTCTGCGTTGGCTCGGTTGCGTCCCACTATGATTAAACTCTATTAGCATTTGGACTTCATTCGGGTAGACAAGATGAGTCTACCTTTTGAGAGTTTCCAGGCGTGATCTGACCAAAGTCATCTGTATTATTAAGTTGTGTCTCATAAGCAGTGTCTGTTAACTCTGGATTGTCGGTCGCGGTTCCAAAGTATAGTTTTCCGAGAGCAACAGCAGCAGTATCTAGACCGGCTGATTGGGCACTACATTGAATTTGGGTTAGTGACTTCGACTTCCTATGGCAAAGAGTATAATGCTTACAGTTGTGGCAGGATACTGGCTGCTAATGCCAGAGACTTAATAGATAGATAAAGCATACTGGAACCTTCAGAGACTGCTTTTCAGTGCCTAGCAAGTGTCAAGCTTGATATAGGCCTAGGTAAAACAGAATGAATAGACCATGGCGTGGGTTGGACATCCTTTATACTAACGACTAAGAGATCGTTCAAGACAACGCTATACTAGTGAGTCTCAGATTGTACAAGTCGGACAATTACCCCGTGGCGGAGTGGGCGCGGCATCCAAAGAAAACAAGGCGCTATTCAACATCTATTTTGAGTTTCGGCTGTAACCCTAACCTACAATGACCCGTACGTTCTTCTTTTCAGTCCCTAGAAAGAAGAGCCTGGAGACTGTACCGGTTAAACACTACAATTTTTGATTTTCCCCTTAAAGTTCAGGAACGTCAGAAGGTCAAGTCCAGGGACCCTGATTATCGGGTGAACGTTAGAGCCAGGCCCTCAAACCGCCATCGTTTCAAATTGCAGATGAAGGTATAATGAACACTGTACTTCAAACAAAGCAATTCATATCTGACAGTTGACATTTGCGGAGCACCATGGATCCTATTTGAGATGGTAAAATATAATTTTCGCGTCCTATTGCTTGGTCTGTCGTAGCGCTTGGACATTCTGCAGGGAAATGCCAAGTCGGACAAGCCTCCGTCTTCCACACGGCAACATAGGACCTGCGTATGTTCACAACCCCGCAATTGAGTGAATAAGAGCCTAAATTAGCTTAAAATGTACTCTTCAGGTGAATAGGCTAATTTCCACTAGTTATAAGTCCGTAATCTCTTATATTGATTCCGTAATGGTGGAATTTTGATTGCCAGGGAGCTTCTCTGGGCTTTATCTATAGGTAAACCGTATATACAAAATGAAACAATTTTGATAGGGTATCGAGCTTTTTGGTGCATGACTAGGAAATTGCCGACGGGGAATTCCAAGATCATAGCTTAGGTCTTGGTCAAAGCTAGCCTGACACAAGTGAGACCAAATATCGCTTCAAAAGCAGACACCCGATGAGTGCGACAATGGGGTACTGACGTAGAGGCTTCTAACATGTCCAATGATAAAATGATGAGAGTCTCTTCGAAGCGGAGCGGGCATGGTTGCTCCTGGTGGCAAAGCAGGCGAGCGGTACGGCGCCGGAAACAGGAGGCATGTTGGATAAGAGTATCATAGTATCCAATCTCATCCTGTTTTCCGAGCCTTCATTTCCGCAATGAAGGCTCCAGTTTTACCACTCGGCACGATGAAAATGCGAACCATCTGATCCACGACCTCGACCTTTCCACCAGTCAGAATTTGCAACAAGGGCAGCTTCTTGCCTGCCTTGATCAGGCCACCCGAAACGGTCTGCATGAAGCACTCAACATTGGGAATAGTGTATTCATTCTTTGTGTCCCACGGTAGCGGGAACATGTAGTCCAAATGATCCGCAATGCAGTGCAGCTCCGAGAAGCTCTTAATGAAGTCCGACTGGGCATCCATAGGGTAGAGGAAAACGGCGGGGAACTCGACTGAGCTTTCCGGCGAGAGCGGATCAGGAACCAGTCGAATTCTTGCATCTTCCATCTCGGGCGGCTGGTCGGTCTTGCGGGTTCTGATCTCACGGGCACGGAGAGCAGTGCTAAGAACTAGGTTTTGTTTGCGGAGAAGTTCTGCCTCGGCCTTCTTTCGGGCGGCGACACGCTCCACCGCGGCCTTGCGCTCAGCGATTTTAGAGGCAGCAATCTGCAATGACTTATTCTCGGAGTCAATGACCAAACCCCGCTTTGCGGCATCTTCGGCTTCGTCGAGCCTCTCCAATTTCAACAAGGCCATAGAGGAGCGATAGTAAGCCTTGACGTTTTTGGGGTTCAGCTTGAGAGCAGCGGCGCAGTCAAGGGTGCAAGCACGGTGATTTCCTGTAGTATCTGTAAGCGCGCGTATCATAATGTCATCGTGCGTACCCAAACTTACCTAGTTCAAGGTTGCACAAAGCCCGGTTGATATGCGACAGCTCTTCCATCTGAAGTAGCAATTTCTTCTCCACCGCCAGATCCTCGGGCTTCTCCCATTTATCTTCCTTAACAGCAATGACCGCAAGAGCTTTGGTGTACATCTCCTTGGCGTCGATCCACCGTTTCTCTTGAACAGCTTCATTGCCTTGCTCCTTGAAGCTCTGTGCAACATCGCCTCGGGTACCCTCGTTTTGCAGAGCAGTAAGCGCATCGAGCATAGGGTTCTCGCCATCTATACAAAAGAAAAAGATTAGCACCGATTCCTCCCTTTAGGAGTCGTAATTCTCAACATACTCTCGTCGCCCGCTTTATCAATATCGGTCATGAACAGCGGAGTCTTGTTCATCAAGTCCAGCAGCTCAGCGGATGTATGCGACTTGACTGATGCCATAGCTGGCGGCATATCAGGAGCAGATGGGTCAGTTTTGGCAGCTTTCAGGCGCTCCTCGTTGATGGGGAACGGTGTCTCGTTGGAAGCAGCGAACAGGTCGAATCCTGAGTGCAGCTGGTCTTGGGGTGCCACTGGAGGCACCTCATTGACAGGCAACTCATTGAGATTGAGCGACTCATCGAAGTCATCTGGGAGCTCCTCAATTCGCGACATTTTGAATGGATTTGAATGGTCTGTAGGAAACTTTTTTTTTTCTTTTGATGTCACTTCCGCGGGGAAAATTCAAGACAAACAGGGCAAACACGAGGGGCGATTAGTGAGCAGTTGCTCGTGGATTCTTTGCATTTCTACCCATCTCACTTCTAAACCCGTCCCCTTCACTTACACAATCTCACCAGAGCAAAAGAAATGAACTGGAACAATTTAATTTCTATATCACGTGCATATGAAGCCCTACTGTTGCTTCCTGAAATACCAGGTGTCGATATTGATCTGAGCTGCTGCCTGAGGACGAAAAGGATCCACTATCACTATGGAGACGAACTCTCAATACCGCTGGGCAACGGGTATTCATGCTGAAAATAGAAATATAGAAGACATTAAAATAAAGATATGAGCTCATGTTTTACAAGCCCAATGATCTCCGTCATCGGATGCCATGCCATCGGGGCTCGCCCGAGAGCAATCAACCCCGCATTCATCGGACGAAAGACCGAATCACGCCTATATCGGGACGACAGATAGATATTTAAAACTAACAAACACGCCTACAGCTTTCGAAACCCTTCGCAGGTCATATAAGAGTGAATATAGTGGTAAGAATGGCTCAAACACACGACATCCTCATCCTCCCCGGCGACGGCATCGGTCCCGAGGTAATGACGGAAGCCCTTAAAGTCCTCAAAACCTTTGAATCACCCCAACACACCTTTCGACTGCGCCAGGAGTTGATCGGTGGCTGTAGCATTGACGCAACCGGCAAGTCTGTTACGGAGGAAGTCAAGCAGGCAGCTCTGGACTCCGACGCCGTGCTCTTCGCTGCAGTTGGCGGACCAAAGTGGGATAATGCGCGACGAGGTCTCGATGGGCCTGAGGGTGGCTTATTGCAGCTGAGAAAAGCGATGGATATTTATGCGAATTTGCGGCCTTGTTCGGCTGATTCACCAAGTAGTTCTATCGCCAAAGAATTTAGTCCATTTCGACACGAAGTTATTGAAGGTGTGGACTTTGTGGTTGTGAGGGAGAACTGTGGAGGTGCTTACTTTGGAAAGAAGATCGAAGAGGAAACCTATGGTATGTGCTACATTCAACCAAGAGAATTAGCTCTGACGAGGGGCAGCAATGGATGAATGGGGCTATAGCGAAGCTGAAATTCAGCGCGTGACTCGTCTATCCGCCGAGATTGCGCAGCGTCACAATCCTCCGTGGCCAGTAATTTCTCTCGATAAGGCAAATGTCCTGGCATCATCTCGATTGTGGAGGCGGGTGGTCGAGAAGACTATGACGACCGAGTATCCAGATGTCAAGCTAGTGCATCAGCTTGCAGATTCCGCATCATTGATCATGGCGACCAATCCTCGTTCTCTGAATGGTGTGATTCTCGCTGATAATACATTCGGCGATATGCTGTCCGACCAGGCCGGCTCTATTGTTGGAACTTTAGGGGTTCTCCCTAGTGCCAGTTTGAATGGTCTCCCGGGGGACAAGACGCTGAAGACACGACCTTATGGGTTGTATGAGCCTACACATGGATCAGCACCAACGTAAGTCCAATTTCATCTTGAGATTTACATATTGTAGCTACTGATTAAAGTACTAGAATTGCTGGGCAGAATATTGCAAACCCGGTGGCCATGATCCTTTGCGTTGCGTTGATGTTCCGTTACTCTTTGAATATGGAAGACCAGGCACGGCGATTGGAAGATGCTGTACGCAAAGTGCTGGACTCGGGCTTGCGAACTCCTGATCTCGGAGGAAAGGCTGGGACGAAAGAAGTGGGCGATGCTATTGTAGCTGCCTTGTAAACAGTGGAGCAAGAGTGGACTTGGGTCTGATCCAAATCCGCATATTTTAGGTACGCATGGTCATTAGTCTTAAATGATGAAATTGTATATTGCTCGGTGATAATAAACGTGTAGATTCTAAGGCAAATACAGCGGTTACACAGGTCTCAAACAATATCTTACTATTTGCGTTATTTGTCTAGAGCATATGGAGATAAAGAAGCATAAGAACAATGAGATCAAATTGTCATCGGCAAACGACTGTTTGAGCTACACCTGAGCGTGATTAGCATAAGACGAAAGTTCCTTTTCTTTTCTTTCTTCTACTCCCTACCTCTCGCAAAGAATGCCCTACACGGCCTTTCATTTTTGTTGTTGTTGACAGCCACTTCCCACGATCTACTAAAAAACTCACCATATCCACCCGACGGCCCCTGTTAGCGACACTCAAAACAATATCATGGAAACCGATTCTAATGAAAGCGAGCGCGGCAGCGCGCCACAAGACCTCAATATTCAAGTCATGACCTCAGCCGACTTCCAGGGCGAAAAGAAGTCAACCCGCCAGCCCCCAGCGGAATTAAGCTTGGCAATGCGCCTGCAAGGCATTGAGGACTGGAGCTCGGAACTCAAAACCGCGACCCTAACCTCCATCGCCGATGATGTAGCCATGGCGTTAATGCTTATAGGCAAGCACTCAGAGACCGGCATTCTGAACCATACACACACACAGCGAATCAGTGATGTTATTGATATCGTTCTCAACACGGATGAGCGGCTCGCGAGGCGCAAAATACGGCGGCTCCGTAAACGAAATCGGGAACAGAAACGGGCATACCGACTTTTAGCCAGCGCGACAAAGGAAGCGCTAGAAAAGTACGAGGCGAAAGTGCACATGTTGAAAGCACGGGTCCTGAGTTTGCGGGGGGAGGTGCGTGATTTGAAGGAAGAGCGGGAGCTGCATCTTGAGCAGATCGACTATCTGGAAGCAGGTGATTTTGGGGATGATGAAGAATGTGATCTTATTGCGGATGAAAAGAAGCTGGAGAGTCCACAGGATCATGATATGGCTGGCTTAACGGATGAAGATGGGGAGTGGGAAGAGGATCCCGAGACCGAGCTTTGAAGGGCATGTTTCTTGCGTTTAATTCGGATTCAAATTGATTAGCATAGGAGAATTCGAGGAAATTCGAATGAAAGAAAATATTCCGAGCCCGATCTCGCCGGGATCTTCTACTGAAGCCGAAGCTTTCCATGTGTAGAGAAGCACGGGTATAAATCGGCTTTCGAGTTCCGAGGTATTAGATCTCATGGCCGACGGCATTTGAAACCCGTGAACGCATTCAAATGGCGTTTTTTTGACGACTCTGAACGTGAACTTCCTTTCCTCTCCCAGTCCGATTCAAGCCGAGATTCCGAGGAGGAGGTTCGTGAAGACATTAGTATTGACTAGAGTTCTTCTTTCCATGTGCATTTCAGTGGCAATTGATAGCGGGTTATCGTAGACCGAGAGGGACCTCGGCATCTGGCAAAGTAACGAGTGCGCGCTGATTCGACCGGCGGATCCACACTCTTTCCCTTCATGTGGTATTGTCTCTCTATCATTCTCCAGACTTTTCCTCTTCCTCGATAATCCTTTTCTCTTTATTCACACATAGCTAAAGGTCAAAATCATCACCGGAATCATCAAATAGCTGTGGTTGTGGTGTTCCTGGACCAATCTTTTTGAGAAACTCTGTATCGACGTCACACTATCTCGGCCGAAAGGATGAGCTCTCCCTATGATTATGAGGCGGTCCGCAAGGACATCGTCGCACAGTTGAAGAAGCCCGACTATGACGATGGAAGCGCAGGCCCAGTGTTTGTGCGACTAGCATGGTGAGTTGACCTGGTTCTCCTTTTAATCTTTTTTTGCGGGGATTTTGCTGTCCCCGGGCCTGGACCCGCTCTGGGGGAAAGGAGCCCGACGCGACCGGTGTAAACCAGCTTTGCAACCATCAACTAATCATACAACTTTTGCAGGCACTCCTCAGGTACATATGATCTCGAGTCAGACACCGGTGGCTCGAACGGCGCCGGCATGCGTTATGAAGCGGAGGGTGGCGACCCAGCCAACGCAGGCCTGCAGCACGGTCGGGCCTTCCTGGAGCCCGTCAAGGAGAAGCACCCTTGGATCACATACTCGGACCTCTGGACTTTGGCCGGTATCGTAGCGATCAAAGAGATGGGCGGACCTGATATTCCCTGGCAAGGGGGACGCACAGACCTAGTAGATGACTCCAAGGTGCCACCAAGAGGACGTCTGCCCGACGGCGCATTAGGTGCCGACCACCTGCGCTTCATCTTCAATCGCATGGGCTTCAACGACCAGGAGATTGTGGCGTTGGCCGGCGGACACAACATGGGCCGGTGCCACGGTGACCGCAGTGGGTTCGAGGGGCCGTGGGTGACGAACCCAACACGGTTCTCGAACTCGTTCTTTAAGTTGCTGTTACAGCTCGACTGGAAGCCTCGCACACTGTCGACGGGTATGACACAGTTTGTGTATGAGGACCCGGATGCTGAAGAGGATGAGGAAGCCCTGATGATGCTGCCGACTGATATGGCGCTCAAGACCGACCCTGCATTCTTGCCGTGGGTGCAGAAGTATGCCAAGGACAAGGACCTTTTCTTTGATCACTTCTCCAAGGTTTTCGCCAAGCTCGTCGAGCTAGGTATCCAGCGCGATGAGAACGGTGCCATCATCAACTCTGACAATGTCATGGGTGGCTATATCTCTGCGCCCAAGAAGAGCAACAAACCGACTGGCCCCAGCAAGAAGAAGAGCGAGCCTCGTGCCCGCCTTTAGAGATGTGTGGGGGTTTCTGTTTCTGTTTTGTCCCTGCATGTTATATGGTTAATTCCCCTTTGTGTTGATAGATCTGGTTTCGGTATTTAGCCAGGTTGATGTAAATAGATCATAGATCATAAGCGAAAGATACATTCCACTTTAAATGTGCCAAGTCCCTAAGTCAGTTCAGTATACATATCCATGTCATAAATATATTGTAGATATGTCCTAGGACCTTAAAGGCAGAATAAAAGGAGAAAGGATAAGAAGAGGAAGATTAGAGGTGAAGAGAAAGGGAAAGGGAGAAAGGGCGAGAGTCTGGGGTATGGAGATGCGGGGGCACGTCGCACGGACTCGGTCCACTATACAGCGGGATGTTTAATGGCGCTGTTGTGATTGGCACAGCGCCCCATTTACTAGTAACGGCCTTGTTTCTCATACAGAATTACTTAAGTCGGAGTTTCCATTATTAACATGATTACAACCTTGGACGCATGCATGTCATCGCATAATCAAAAGTACCTGAATTTTCAAAAAAGCAACTATCTACGCCTCAACAGTCTAGACTGTTCCATTGGTTTCAATGATTCCTATAGCTTCATTCTCTTAGATGGCCCCTGCTCTAAGTCATCTGCAAAGCGAGCCCTCTTGTTAGGTGACTGGTTCATTGCATTCCGGATCGCCGTCTTCCGCATTCTAAGTTCTCCTGGGGGCCTGGAAATCCAATAAGGCCTCGGCTCTGGAGGGCCTTCATAAGCAGATTTTGCTTCATTGAATTCCTCCCCAACATCTTCATCCCCTTCCTTGTCCTTACCAGACTTTTCAATCGACTTGCCCTTCGTGGAAGACTTCTTATTGTCCTTTTTGCCAGTGTCCTTAGATGTCGCTCCTCGAGCTTTGTCCTTGGACCTATCGCCCTGCCTTTCAGTACGTAGTTTGGTAATATCACTGGCTGTTGTCTCTTTCGCTGCTTTCTTAGCAGGATCGGAGACCTTCTTTTTATCGCATGTTTTCTTTCCCGGTGCATTCTTGGTAGACCCATCGCTTGGGCGCACACTCGGTAATTCTACTGCGACCCTCTGCATAGGAGTTTCCGTGATATTCTTCTGGTGATTACTTCTGGCAGGAGCTTTGCTTCGTTTCTCAGCATGCGCTTCCCTGAAAATTTTCAGCGAAGGTTGATTGGACGTCCCATCGCCCGAGCGTGCTTTCCGGATTATAGTTCTCAGATATGGACCCGAGCGTCGGGCACGGCTAGAGCGTCGGACTGCGCCAGCATGCGCCGCCCACTCCATTTCATCCAAGAAAATGATATTCTCCGGGCTTGGCCAGTGCACGTAGTCCATCACCGGGGTACGTGGCTGGCTGAAAGGCAAACTATCTGCATCATCAGCCCGTGGAAGAGACGGGAAGTTGAAGGCGCCGTTATCTCCTGGAACACCTTGAGGCCACATCTCAGGGAATTCGGCCAGCCTGGAAGGTGAGTTGAGCATCGAGTCGAACAAGTTATCGTATACAGGTGGTCTCTCGGTATTCCCATCATCTTGTAGCTCTGGAGGCCAGGCGTCGAGTATATTGTTTAGATCTTGCATGTCGACGTCAGCAGGAGCCATTCCGGGTGTACTTGGCACCTGTTGTGACGTGGAGCGCGATGTAACTTGCACTGGAGTGGGAAGTTCGTCAATATGCACCTCTCGGAAAAGAGTAGTAGCCACGGGTATAACATGATCTTCTGGTGGTGAAATGACATTCTTGGCAGATGGATCTCCAGGTACTGGCAATCGTACATATTGCCACGGGTCGTGGCTTCGTAAGATCGATCGACCCAGTGCAACCATACGCTTACAGCTACTAACGGTGGAAAGAACAGCATTCATCATGTCCATCGACGGATTGATGATACGTTCGTAGATACCAATCAAGAAGCCAATGTCGGTCCAGTCATGGGGGACTCGGTCCGAGGGATGTTGTGGGGGGATGCCACCGAAAATGACTCCGTCGTTCACTTCGTCATCGTACATGCGGATGTTTTCATTTTCGTTATCGCCTCGCTCTTGGTCATTCCAATAGACACGCACATGACCCTCTTTATAGTATATTCCCCCGAGCCAGCGATACGTTGCTATTCTCTCCTTTCCATTCGAATCAAGGTAGCGGAAATTGACATTTTCAGTATGGTTTTTGATACGGACTCGAATCCCCGCCCAATTTGATACGACCAAGCGAAGTGGCAGCTCATCAATTCTTGTCTCTGAACGGTCGTTTCCCGTGCCACAGTGAATACATTTGGTTTCGCGTGGAGTGAATATGCAGCTCTCGATCAAATCTGCCATCCATACACCTTCGCTGGTATTATGATCTGCAATGTTGGGTAACAAACAGTTGGCATATTTGTCACTCTCTAGGATCTCCTGGCCACTGCAAGCACACGCCCGATGGTATTCAGAGAATGTATAGTAGAATTGCGAAAAGTTCCTTGTACATTCAGACCAGATGGCCCACGACGGAGCGGGCTCTCCCATTTTGATAGAAGGGACGGTAGCACAGAGCTTTCTCGAGAATAGGTCTCTCATCTTAATGTTTGTAGTCAAATCAAGAGCCTCCCAGTTGACATTTGTTATTTCGATAAATGCCTTTTCGAGCTCGGTAATCTCTCCATATCTCCAACTTCGACGGTCTATATTGGTGCAACCGACGTCAAGTAACATACCCAACACAATAACACAGTCAATTGAGCAGCTATAATCGCTCCAGATTGGACCCCTCCCTCGATATGGGTAGAGAGTGGTCGAGCTGTGATCAAACTCAAAGTTGATCGGATCTAGTTTGAGATACGCATGTGCAGCAAAAGTTCCAATCTGCACCGTTTGTAAGTCGTCAGTGGAGGAAGCAGTTGCATATGACTCCGGTACTCGGCTCGGTGCATTGGGGTCCCGCTGGAGGTCATGGTAGGCAAATTCCAAGATAGTTCTCTCAATAGCCTCCGTGAGCCTTTGGGTAATCTCGGACATGATTAAATCTGTTTCGGATAGGCTTTCTTCTGATTCGCTAATAGAATGGCTAGATGATCCAGCACGAAAACTCTCAATTGCGCAAAAATTTTCTGGAGCCGGCTTGATGACATGCATTCTTCCTTCACTTGTTTGGCTTGCACTAGGGGCAGGTCCAAGCAGCGAAGCTGAATCGACGTCGCGAGTCCTTTTTGGGGCTTGTTGCTTCACCACATGGCTTTTCGAGCTCTTCTGTTGTTTAGCTCCCGGCTTATCTTTCTTGTGTGGCAAGGATTGAGTTCTTTCAGCACGCCGTTTATCTTTTTTGGTTGACTTGACAGGGGTCTCGTGTTCGACCACGGGCACCACGGGCAACATGAATTGGTGAATGATACTGTCCGATAAATGATCAGGCGCAGCAATTGGGCGCACCCATTCGGGGTCTACTGGAGCACGGGGATCTGGTCGAACTGGATAGAACCGGCTGATCGGTCCAACCTCTTCATCGCAATGCTCCCAGCCCATGAGACGGGGACCAGTGTCTCGGTGAAAGTTGAAAAGCTCTGCAAAACTCGTGGGGCGGTATCTGTCTGGCATGTGATAAAACATCTTCCATAAACTTTGCATGATTGCTTTCTTGCTCTGAGTCTTCTTGGATATGCCCCAAAAGTGCAGTCGTCCAAGTAGTTTTGCAGTCTCCAACTTGACGGCTCTAACATCATGGACACGATCATATCGGATGTCAAGAAAGGTGTAGTCTTCAGGGCATGGTTCCAGTGCGGTCAAGTCCCATAAATTATTCGGCTCTGGAGGAAGGCTGAAATCTTCCACGCGAGTTGGGAAGCTCCGTATGTAATCAATATCGGAATTCATTGCGACGGGACTCATAAGATACTAGAGGAATGCAATCGAAGTAATAGACAAAGAAAAGGAGCTTGACGGTAAAATGGTAAAATTGAATTGAAGGATAAACAGAGGGTCTTCAAAAAGGCGAGATCGCACGATTTATGTCTACGAGGGGAAATTTTTCTCTTGTGCTTTGTCTAGGCAAGAAGTATCTCGAGGACAAAGATTATACCATAGGGCCATGGACTTGAATGAAAGCGCCTTGAAGGTGAATAGTTCTAAATTTAAAATTTCATAGAACAAAAGTATGTGGAATGCACGCAATCGACCTCGATCAGAAAACAAAGAACTCATCTCCTGAATACCGCTATCATTCAACTCAGAAGTCGTTGAGCCTTAAGAGTCTTATAAAAGTCTACCCAACGGTTTCTACCGATTTTACCCTCGAGAAGCGCTAAAATGTGTGATCGAGGCATTATGTATGATGCGTGAAGAGCCCAATAATTATTTAAATTTTGCTTGAAAGCATCATGTTGAAGCATCAAAGACTATGTGGCTGATGGTGTCAAAGAGAACCTTGGCAGTGAGAACGTAAACTTGGACGGTAAATACAGGTAACAGAGGCATTTAATTCGAGGCTGCATTTACTAAAGTTACAATACCACAGGTCATGTGATACGTGCAGATGGGCCAGTCACATGACTACCTTTTAAGGACTAGTGGCAATCAAGCGAGCCCTCACACACTAATTCCCAAGATGGTTAGCGTCCCAATTACCCGATCCCACAACGGACAGCAAAGTCACTCGAGACTTTCGAGACTCTGCTCCTCTCCATCCCTCTGTCGACAATTATCGCGAGCCCTCGCGCCCATCGCCCATTATGTGTACGTTCTTTCCCACGCAAGCTTCGACTCCCTGCTACGCATTCAACACACCAAAAAACACCGTTGCTAGATTTTTGGGGATCGCACGACAAACCCCCCAGAAGGAATGACCTGGCTAACATGTCGCCCTTTCTGATACAGCGCTCGTGTCCGGCGAGAAGACGAACTTCCAGTACATCCTGCGTCTCCTCAACACCAACGTTGATGGAAAGCAGAAGATCATGTACGCTCTGACCCAGATCAAGGGTGTCGGTCGCCGCTACTCCAACCTCGTCTGCAAGAAGGCCGATGTCGACCTCAGCAAGCGGTACGTTTTCGATACAATCTACAACGATCCTGGAATATCTGCAATGTCTTTGTCGAATCTTTTCTCGAATCTTTGGATGGAAATGAAGAGGGGGAACAAGGGTCATCATACAACGCCTTGAAGGAGCACACATTTGGTGTGTGTGTGTGTCTACGATCCAAAAATTCTGCATAACAGAATACACCACCGCAAAAGGATTTGGGACTGGAACCGATCGTGAAAGACATTGCAGAGGCCTGGACAATTATCACCAAACTCAAGCGGAAGTGCTGACATTTTTATTAGTGCTGGTGAGCTCACCACCGAGGAGCTGGAGCGCATTGTCACCATCCTCCAGACCCCTACCCAGTACAAGATCCCCTCGTGGTTCCTTAACAGACAGCGCGACATCACCGATGGCAAGGACCACCAGGTCGTTTCCAACGGTCTTGACTCCAAGCTCCGTGAGGACCTTGAGCGCTTGAAGAAGATCCGCTCCCACCGTGGTCTCCGTCACTACTGGGGCCTGCGTGTCCGTGGTCAGCACACCAAGACCACTGGCCGCCGTGGACGCACCGTCGGTGTGTCCAAGAAGAAGGGCTAAACTATTCGTGTCGTTTTTCCGGGGGCTTTATTTGGAGGGATTCCTTTATTGTCGGTGTGTTTCTATGGGCATCCGTGGGATCTTTGTCCCCGCTGGCTGGGTGTGATGCCAGTCTTTAAAATTGAAAATGAATCATACCAATATGAAATGAACCGATTGATTTCCTTATATACGTATGCTACCTATAACCGGGCATGTTCCTTATCGTCTCGCCTGGTCAGTCATATAGATGTATGTTCCTTGTGCATGTGATACCTATTCCTAGACTTAGCAAGGCAGATTAGTTTAGAGGGAGCTAAGGGCAAACTAGCCCGGCTTCGGTAGCCCACCGCTGCCAATGTATGAAAGTCGCGTTACCTTGATTTATATCCAAGCTTTGATGATCCATCTGGCCGGCTTTGATGGTACGACGCTTGTTACATGCTATGAAACCTTGCAATTTAGAGTCAACGAGATCCATTGATAAACTTGATTAAATCCGAAACTTGTATGTACTTGACATCGAGACAACCCAACCACTAAAGCCAGGAGAGCTAGGAAACGCAAACCAATTGTTTCTAAAACCTCCCACAAGCATTGCAAATTGTCACATTCTATGCGAGGCAAATCCAAAGAATAGATTAATGCAGTAGTGGTGAATATTGATAATCAATGGTCACTTAGAACCACTCACCTCCCAACCAGCGGTTGAAGAACTCCAGGCTGGACTCAGGCTGGTCCATGGGGACCATGTGGCCACCACCGTAGAGACGCATGAAGGTAAAGTTGCCGTGGGACTTGACCTGGCCAATCTTCTTGCCCTTGTGGACATTGTCCTCGATGACAAGGTCCTCCAGCTCAAGACCAGCATATGCCTTCTGGCCAGGCCACTCGAGGGCCTCAGTCCAGGCCTTGTTGCCGAGCCAGTTGCAGATAAAGTCGGCATCACCAGCGTAGATGAGGACGGGAATCTGCTCGAGGAGTCCCGGGACCAGGCGGTGATAAGGCTTCATCCAGTCACCGTGCATCATGAAATTGCGGTTGATGTCGAAGTTGCAGGAGTCGTAGCCGTCAACCTCGGCACCCAAAGCCTCGCGAACGTGTTCCTGGTTCAGGTAATCGCTAACATAGGTCATGCCGTCGTAGCACAGACCGGAATCACCCTCGCACGGTTTGCGAACGTCGTAGACGTTCTGACCAGTCTGCTGGTAAGGAGCCAGGAGGGCGTTGTTGCAGTAGATGGAGGCCGGTACACAGACCCAGGCGCTCTCGCTGTTGTAGCAAGACTCAATCAGAGACTGGCAACGGGACAAAGCGTTGTCCATAGACTGGCAGGCGCTTTGATCCAGGACGGCTGGGTAGCCGCCGTCACCGCAAGCCATGGGACGGTAGTATGCGTACTGAGTGAGACCATCAGTCAGACCGTTACCGATAAGCACAGACTTAAGGTTGATGTTCCGGTTCTTGTGAGCAAGAATCTCGGTAGCAAAGACCGGGATGTAGTGGCCAGCATAGGACTCGCCAGCGATGTGGAAATCCTGCTTGGCATACTCAGGGAATTGCTTGAAGAACAGGGACAACAAGGCATAGATGTCCTTTCCGGCAGCTACAGTATCGCTGACGGTAGAGCCACTGTAAGAGTAGCCGACATTGACTGGCTGGTCCAAGAAGATCACAGAGGCATTGGAGTTCCAGGAGAATTCATTGTAAACGGTCTTAATCTCGGCGTTGACGGAGCTAGGACCAAGCTCCATGAACAGACCGGTAAGAGAAGAGCAGCCGGGACCGCCGTTCAGCCAGAGGACAACGGGGTCATTTACCGGGTCATTGCGGGACTCAAAGAACCCTACACAAGCATAAGTTAGAAACCTGAGATACCTGATGAGTTGGATGTTGAACTTACAGTAGAAAAGGTGCTTGTCATTCTCGTTGTCGTCGAGGTAACCGCTGTACTGCTTGACGTCAGGGTCGACGCCCAGGACGCTGGGGTCCACCTTCTTGACACGAAGATCATAAGTCTCCAGCTTTCCATCAAGCTCACGGTGCTTGGAGCCATCGGCACCTTCAGTCCAGACGCTTTGCACATCCGCGCCACGGACTACAGAGTCCCAATGGGAGTCAGGTCGGCGAGTGTGCTTCTTGGGGAGCGAGAGCATGGGGGTCTGATCCATGTTGGGGAAGGCGTCTGAAACTTCCTTCCACATCAGCCGAGCCTCGTCAGAGAGGGTCTTGAACTGATCCTGAAGCTTCTGGAGTGGCTTAGACATGAAGTCTGCACCATCCTGGACCAGAGCATGGGACTGTTGCTGGAGGTCACCCATGACCTGCTGCATGGGGACAGCCGCCGAAGCAGCTCCCACCAGCAAAGTGGCGGGCAGAAGTCTCATTCTGAATGGTCTTTAATAACTAATGATGTAAAGATGGAGGTAACGATAGCTGATGAACAGCAGTGGGTACCTAACGGGCTACAGGGCTTCTTATCAGTAAAGGGTTCAGAACATCATTATCCCACAATGTAAACAGGTAGAAGGATATAAAAGCAACATACACAATGAAGTGGTCGATGATAATAATAAAAGGGTAGGACGAAACGGATAACAGAGGACCCGAATCTGGGGAGGAAGGAGAGGAGGTTGGAACCCTGGGGGTGATGACGCCGGACCGAGAGATAAGAGGAGGCACGTGCGGGGTCACGAGCCTGCGACCTGGAATGGATGACTCAGCGGCTGATAAAGATCCTCTTCAGGGCGCGATCAAGTTAAAACATACAAATACGACGTCGCTCTCCAGGGTCTTTACTGCGGACTTTTGTACTTAGATCTGGATCATCTATACGCTCGCTGAAATCTCATTTCCTCTCTGGGTTTTTTTTCCGACTTTTCAAGTCCGCTCTTTGCGGCTTCCCCCACTATGCCGATCAACCAACCCTCCAACCAAATTAAATTCACAAATGTGTCTGTCGTTCGTCTGAAGAAAGGTATCTTCCAAACGCTAGAGTGCCCTTTCTGAAGAGTATTGGTTGCTAATTTTTGGGGGGTTACAGGAAAGAAGCGCTTCGAACTTGCTTGCTACAAGAACAAATTGCTAGAATACCGATCTGGCGCTGAAAAAGACCTCGACAATGTGCTCCAAGTCCCAACCGTTTTCCTCTCTGTATCAAAGGCTCAGACAGCCCCATCCGCCGAGCTCGCAAAGTCTTTCGGCGCAGATACACCCCGTGATGAAATCCTGCAAGAAATCCTGCGCAAAGGCGAAGTGCAGGTAGGCGAGCGAGAGCGCAAGGACATTCTCGAGCGTGTGGAGAAAGAGGTACTTGATATCGTATCGGGCAGGCTGGTTGACCCGACTACGAAGCGCGTGTACACCTCTGGCATGATCTCCAAGGCGCTAGACCAGCTGAGCTCGGCCAGTGGGCAGCAGCAGAGTGCAGACCCGAATGGCGCGGGTGAGGAGCAGCCCAAGAAGCCACTCTGGACGGGCGTTTCTTCCAACCGATCTGCGAAGAGTCAAGCGCTTGACGCTATGAAGGCGCTCATTGCCTGGCAACCCATTCCTGTGATGCGCGCTCGGATGCGCTTACGGGTGACTTGTCCCGTATCACTCCTCAAGCAGTCCGTCAAGGCCGTGCCCAGTGCGGCATCTGGCAAGGAGAAAGAAGCGCCCTCGGGTGGATCAAAGTCCAACAAGAAGAGCAAAGGTGGCAAGAAGGCCGCCAAGCGAGGAGATGACTCTGATGCCGAGGCCGGTGGTGCGTCTGACGCTGAGTCTGGCCCTAAGGCCCCGTCTACCGTCAAGGACAAGATTATGGCCTATATTGAGTCAGTTGAATCACAAGAAGTGGTTGGTGGGGACGAGTGGGAGGTGGTTGGATTTGCTGAGCCGGGTGCCTTCAAAGGATTGAATGATCTCGTTGGCAACGAAACGCGTGGAAGAGGACGCGTGGAGGTCTTGGATATGTCCGTTCGGCATGAAGATTAAATGCGTCCGGAGCAAGCTTAGGATGTCCTTCTTTAAGAGCCTTCTTCACCGCAAACCTGCATACTACACCGCCAAGCATTATGTACATCCATCACGAACCATGCCCCATGACTGATGATCTTGATAGAAAAGCAAATAAAAGGTTTTTGAATTGTTGGGATGGTGTTCAATGCTAGCCTGGCTAACAAGACTGTGCTACCTAGATATTGCCCAATCTGCATCATGCCATGAAGATTTGATCCCAAGGTTGTCGTACATGCGATACCAATCCTCATACCTCCTTAGATAGGGAGAAGGTATTGCGCACACAATGGTGCCGAAGTGATCATTTAAGGCAGATTGAAAAAATTGAATAGCATTTGCAGTTTAGGTGGACCAAACTTTGATTGTTCTAGGTCTGTAGGTATCTGAAAACTTGAATCTCATATAACGCACCACAAATATAGCTTAGCCACTTTGTATACAAATGTAGAGAAAAATAAAAAAATATAAAAAAAGGACGACCAATCCAACTCCCTAGAACCAACGCCAAAACATACCTGGGTATGAGAAGTGTCCTATGAAGGACAAGGAGAAAGATAAAGAAAACACAAACAGAAGATCAGGACCAACCTTGGAAAAGGGCTACCGGGTAGAGCGCGTCCCAATCCCTCATTCTTGCCTGAACAGGAAGGAGTTTCAGACTTCCAACCCAAGACCAATAGCATCACAGCCTGTCACCAACAAAATAACATTTTTGCCTGGTCCAAGTTCTTTTGCCAGATCGATGGCTGTACACACCGCGTGACTCGAGTCCAGCCCAGGCAGAATGCCCTCGTGGTATCGCATTGTTTTAAACCCATCCAGGGCATCCGCATCTGTAGCGGTCTTAATTTGAATACGACCACATTCCTTCCAATGAGCCATCTCGGGCCCGACAGTCGAGAGATTGAGATCTGGCGAAATTGAGTGTGAGTCAAGGACTTGCCCGTCCCAATTCTGGAGTATTAAAGTTCTTGCGCCCTGGAGCACGCCCATTTCCCCGTTATCTAGAGCGGCCGCCCCAGTGGCTTCGACGCCAATTAATCGAATTGTAGGGTTCGTGAGGAAAGGCCTAAACAATCCAACAGCGCCGCTCCCGCTACCAACTGCAGTGACGATAGCATCTGGTTGACAACCGGCCGCCTTATGCATCTGGATCGCCACCTCCTCGCCAAGGAGAGCCTGGAACGTGCGTGAGAGAGTAGGTAGGGGACTTGGCCCCATCGGGCCTCCCATCAGGTAGTACGCAGACTCGTAGTTACAAACCGAATAACGGAGTGCTTCTGTGATTGCAGCGCGTAGGGAACCTATTCCTGAAGGGGTCCGTGCGGTCAGGACCCTAGCTCCCAGTATCTTCATCTTAAGGACGTCCTCTTCCTGCGCAAGTGCATCCGCTGCGCCTATAATAACGACGCAGCGCATACCTAGGCGTGCGCACATCGACGCTGTAAACTTACCATGTTTGGCTGCGGCACAGTCGGTGACTACCTCTGTGAAGCCCATGCGGCGGGCTAGTAGTAGCTGACCGAGGATATTCCGTGACTTATGACTGCCGTATTCGCTCTGATCCTCTCGCTTTAGCCAGATAGTGGCGCCTCCAGCTAAGGATGTGAGCTTGCTTGCAATCTGCAGCGGAGTGGGTTCGGCCCGCTGGTACGTGGCATACTCGGACCAAAAAGAGGGGTCTGAGATAGTGGCCTCGAAGAATGAGGTCAGATTGTTGAGGAAGTCTATGAGAGATTCTGGTGCAAACCGGCCACCATATGGGCCGTAGCCATCAAATGTGATTTGTGGCGGTCTTAGTGTGCCATCTACCTGCAGGATCGAAACATACGGTGTGTCACTATCCAGAGAAGGTATGGTGCCAGTCGATTTGGCAAGCGCTTCGGGTGGTAAGGAGGGGCTCTCACTGGTTGCAGAGCTGCTGGTGACATTGGACTCCGTATCGGATACGAAAGATGAAGAGTAGGTGCTAGCGGTACCAGTCGATAGAGGAGCTGACCGAGATACACTGTTCTCTCGAAGAAGTGTACTGATCAGGACTTGGCGAGGAACGCGAGCATAATAACTTGCCCTACGAATTGATCTCAGGCGAGGTATACTTTGTGCATCGTCTCCAGTAGAATCAAGGGTCTCAGAACCCTTGTAAGAAGAAAAGCAAAGAAAGCGCAAAGACTGAAACATTCTTTGTGCTGAAGACCCTGGGTCCAGTGGCAGTATTGAGTACTTCGAGAAGAACCAAAGATGCATGTAGAAGTATAGAGCCACTTTTTGACTGCTGTTCTGGTCTGAAAGATGCCAGGCACGAGGATATAAGGATATCACCACCTGGGCCGTATGAAGCGCGACTGCCACGTGGAAAGATAGACGGTGAACGAGGTTATACAGCAGGATGAGAATCAAAATCTGACGGGTGTGTACCTTGCTTAAATACGATTTGAAGTAGATTGCTGGGCACTATTCCATGAGAATCCTAGTTATTATCGTATCCCCGTGAGTTGTCTTTGTATTTTCCAACTTAGCCCTACTCCCTGAAAAATCTCCGTATCGGCAACATTAACTTCTACCATAGTCCAATGACCATACATCACTCTTGATTGGGCTCAATTTCGGGTGTTAATCCATATGCATTTTTCGGAATCGCGGTGGCTATTGTTAGTATCTAGATATTCGTGGCCTGCTACTGTATACAATTCCCAAAGCGGAATATGCTCTACAGTAAGAGCAGCGATTACCATTCCCTTTTTCTGATAGACCAAGTTTGCCGAGAAAATCATACTGTGACATTCGGCATGCATCATCAGAACCCAACGGCTAGTTTGACTTCAACGTGCTCACATTCATGGCCTGCCGCGGCAGACTTGAAACATGGCGAGGCTTCACCAGGCTCCCTCATGCCTAAACATGAATAGACGCTCAGCTCAAACCTCCCTAACATCTATGTCTTGATCCAATTGGAGAATTGTTTAACCAATAGATGTGTGGTTTGATTGTTATGCGCCAATTGGCGCAGTATGAAGAAATGTGGGCACCTCTTGGAAGCAAGGCCCTCACTTCTTGAGAAGATTCGACAATCAGTTTAGACTCATGGATATATATTTTAGATGATTATTGAGCAAAAGGTGTGCTTTGTTCGCAATGGCCTTATAGGATTAGTGGACGAGAGGTCTGCGATTATTGATTATGTGCATCCCTGTGGGGTTAAACCTCCGTCAAACCTTGCATTCCAGGGTCAACCAAGGGTAAATTCTTCGGTTGGGGCTGCATCTCTTTATTCTGGACTTATTTCAGCGCTCGAGTGAAATGGAGCATAGGCACACATTGCCACCATACCGAGCTAGAGCTTTATCATGACCGAGGTTCCCGCCCCCGATTGTCATATTTGGGATACCAATGGAGCGTAACTTAAGGAACTTGTCTGCAACCCTAGGTAATCAATGTGCCCTGTCATCAAGCTCAGTCCATGCTTTTGAATGTGGGCCTTTCCCCTTAGATGTTGAGAAGCAACGGCCACCTGTCGAGATACACGGAAACATATTTTGGAGAAGTATTTAGAAGCTATAGTAAGGCACGCCTAGATCCCCGACAAGTCCCCGATCCAAATAATTTTGAACCCCTGCATCACACACATCAGTCCCCACAAGAAAACCGGACAGCAGGATCCCTGCACGAACCCTAGCACTGGAGAGCGGAGAATTTGTGCCAGTCAGCTGCCAGTGCGCAATCACGCATACGAGCCAGGGGTCCTGAGATGGGGGGAAATGAGCTCATCAGCCCAGCTTGAAGATAAATGGCCACCCTCCCTCTTCCTCAACTTCGACTGTGTACGCCCGGTGTTCATATTTCCACGTGGGCTTTGATCTCAGCTGGTCATATTTGAAATTCGGATCCCGACTCAAGATGGGCGATGACGCTGTGTGTGACTATAACGATGGCGGTAGCACACCGTGGAGATTTCATATAGGGGCTTTTATCGGCGCTTGCATAGCTGATCTGAAATTTATTTTTTGGCTCTCTTACAAAATTGTGAGGAAGCTTGTTGGGAGTCTAGCTTTACTGCTGCAATCGTTCACATAGTAAGTACCCATCGTTTTTAATGCCTTCCAATGCTTCTTCTAATTGTCTCAGGGGCGATTTACTCTACTCATTACACATGTCCACTCAAGAAATGTATCCCCACGTCCACGGCATCTTGATGTTCAAATATGCTGGAAGGCAATACCAGAAGCACAAAAATAAGACATAGGCATGAATCATTGCTGGACAGAGACTGATATAGCCGAGGGACATAACTGGAAGTTATACTTAAGCTTGCTGTCATATAAGTGTGGAACTACATAATAACCTCTTTACTCCTGACCCGCATTCAAAGGTTGCATGTGATTCTAGGGTTTCCGAGTTATTATAACAGACCATATTATCAATACCATCCCCAAAGTCCTTATCAGGGCAATCCCCTGGATGCCCCTTAAGCCACCTCGTAACAAACTTATCTAACCTCACAGGGCTTGTCGTCATAGCACGAAGCCAAGTTCGCATTCTAGCCACTCAAAAAACAATAGACCAGGATAGAAGGCCGATCAGGAAGGATCATTGCCTCGTTTGTCCGATGCCCAGACTTAGTGGCGGTCCAGCGGGGTCAAAGGCTTGGCTTAGCGGGGTTGACAAGCACCACAAAACAGGCTTCTAGAACTATAGCTTAATATATTGTTTATTTGGAACTAGTGTATTTATAATTTGATTTATATTTAGCGACTGGTTTATATCTAATCTAAGATAGACCGTTCTGTCGGGCGATGACACATCGCGTAAAGCAAAAACTCCGAACGGGTATACGCTCAAATGCAATGCAGGGATAAGACCCGGGGGACAATAATAAGTAGAAGATAAGGCCAGGGACCAATTCAAGTCCAGGACATAAGTCTTCGGCGGAAAGAATCACCAGTCTCACAGAGCTGGTACCAATCGTAGTATCATATGATCGGAAGGATTCGTGCAAAGGTCGTGGATCAGCGTCCATTCGAACCAGAATCGGACACTTGGTCGTATTTCGAGGGGCACCGATCCGAAGCATGAGAGATGTCAAGCCAGGACGATCACGGGAGAAAGAGATAGAAATACACTCTCCGGGATGTGTAACAAGAATGTAGGTAGGTGTACAGGTTTACGCGCAGAGCTGCACGGCAGCCAGGGCGCGGGTGAGGTCCTCTGGTGCAAATGGCATTTGTTTGCCACGGGGCGACTTGGGAGCGGGGGACATCGCGCGCACAATAGGCGAGGAGAACCGGATGGACTCCTTAATTTGAGCGATGGTGTCTTCTGGGATTTCGTAGACCGAAGGCTCCGGGAGAAGAGTCATCATGGAGCCGTTAGAGCTGTTCGAGTTGACAATGGTAGACGATTGGGAGCCCGTGTTGACAGGGCGGGGCGAGTTGGTTGAGATGGGGGACACGGGAGAATGAGAGAAATCTGCGGCGGGGGTCGTCAGGACGGGGATTCGAGGGGTCGATCGGAGGTCTTCCGTGGGCTAATTTAGTACATACCTGGATCGATCGCGACTCCATCATCATCGGGAGAAATATCGCCAGTGTCGTCGGAGTCAAATGGACCAATGTCATAAGTGGCGCAAGGGGAAATAGGCAAGTCGAGCGAACGGGAGCGTTCCCCCATGGCACGGTCGAAGGACCAAGCGGCTAAACGCTTTTGGTGTTCCTTATCGAACGGGCCGCGGAATTTGGAGGGGGAACCTCATGTCGACGATAATATTCAATCTTGGGTTTTCCATTCAGTTGACTGGTGCTGCTGGATGAGCGGTGGAACACCCGCTTGACCCTTTCACGGAAAGTCATGATGGCAAGAAGAACAGAGGTTGGCCTCACAGCAGACCAATCCCGGATTGGGAACGGACGCGGAAGTGCAAGCACGTAGTGGAGTAACGGTCTAGGAACTGTATGACCATTCTCTGCACAGAGTACTTAAGGAGAGTAAAATGAATTCAAAGTAGAAAAAAGAGAAAGGACGGAGACAAAAGGAGAATGGGGGGCAAATATGAGGGAATTGGGGGTTGTAGACCGAAAGTGGATTCAAGATAAGCCAAACCGTGGGAACGAATCCGAGCCACATCCGGTGTATTGTTGCGTTGACGGAGCACTTACTCCGGACATGACCCCAGTGCTACAGTACTCCAGTTTCCAACTTATTCCCTCTTTCGTCTGTCATTGGTGTAATGCGATATCCACTGTCTGTGCGAGAACAACTGATACACTTGCACACCGGGGACGCCATTATAGCCCCAGTGGGAACCACTGAACGCCGATTGCGTGGAGCCCTTGAAGAGGGGCGGATTGCAGTAGCGTGTAGTCATGAATATGACCAACTGTACGGGATTCGGAAAATGTAGGATAAATTGTGATTCTTGAACAAATACTACCTTCCAAGGTCTTAGGCCTGGCAAGGCTCACTGTCACTCTCATGAACCACGGACCGCTTTCAGCCCCGATCCAGTGTGCCTGGAGAGCTGGCAAAGTTTACGAATATGCAGCGAAGGCTTCCAGAAGACTCGGAGCAAGCGGCGTCCGATCGGGGCGAAACGCCCAGTTACATCATGGAAGCATCAGCAGCAAGTTCATTGGCCTCGTATTTTCATCGGGTAAAAGCAGAACCCGGTTTTGCCCCTACAGTGACGCCTATCTACAGCCGCTCTCACCGCCCATCGTTTTGCCACCGCCTACCTCATATGCGTACTGATGTCAGCATGTATCTATATGAGCGCCACCAATTTACGAATATGAAAGGTTCTATTATGCCAAGCTGTTCCGTGTGTATATGCTCATCACGTAATTGTTCAGACCGACCAAATAGGGGCTGTACGTATTCGAGTTCGGGAAAACTGGCAGAGAATCGGCAGAAAAGCTTTCGGGTTGTCGCGGGTTCCCTAAGGGCCCACTCGGCAACTCTGTGCCGAGTGTTTAGGTAATATGGAGAGGGTGAATTTGTGTTTTGGGTCATATTGCACAAGTTGGAACCTATTTCAACAAGGCCGGCTGGCCCAATGGCAAGGCGCTTGACTACGAATCAAGAGATTGCAGGTTCGACCCCTGCGTCGGTCAATTTCTTTTTTTCATTTTTGGAGGGAAAAAGTCAAGAAACTTTTTCACACTTTTTCTTTTCTATCGTGATCAATTATATTTTTGAGCAAAGATATATACTTTGTGATATGTTCTTTTTGTTGCACCTGGAGTATCATGTAAATATTCTCGGAAACAACCCGGGTCCTGCTACACGGCCCACGTCGTGGGTCCTGGCAGTGCACATTTACCTCTGATCCTTGGATGCCTTTAATTAAAGAATACTATTTTCGTCTGATTATTTTTGTACTATTATGACATACTGTACTATCCTCTACCATTGTTTATTATTCAGAGGATTCAGCCAATGATGTCACTTGACCCAGCCCGTCCCAAGAATGTCCCCCATGAAGAACATACCAGCAGTAGAGACCGATATACTGTACCCAGGAGAAAGCAATTTAGATGTATCAGGGGTGTGTAAGGACGTTCTAGGGAGTCTCCTGTATACTGCCCTGTACTGGCTTAACGCGGAGCCCCAGATTGCCGTTATCCCTAGTGTTAACACTCGCAGCAGCCCTATTACCCGATTCAGCCTTAGGGCTGCACTATGGCCCGAGCGCGCTGCAGGAGGCACACGACTGAAGGCGGAACTATGAAAGGGAGGCATGTATGCCATCGCTTGCAGGACTTCTTTTGTGACAGCGCAATATGTGCAGTAGATCTAGTCAAAGATGCCGATACAGTGAAGTAAGACCATGACGTTCACGGACATGTATACAATAGATCTGGTAAACACAGCCAATGACAAAAGATTCATTGTATTTGCAGGCACAAAAACGGGCCAGAAATCTGAAAGAAGCCAATTGTCCTTAAAGAAGTCCACGTAATTAGCAATTGCGATCATCTCGAAATCCAATTTCCTGCGTTCCAGAAACTCTCAACAGTGGAAGAACCACGGATAGGGAGCTGCATACCATCCCTTACTTGGCCCACTCCGAGACACTTCTTCCTTTCACCATCTCCTCTTCAACTACCAATTCTCTAAAGTAAGTCTGCATACCCTGCACCTGCCAAGTGTCAGTGTCAGCCATTGCGATCAGTTATCAATTGCGACCAAGTCAGCACCCCCAGCGCATTGTGTCGTCATAGTCGTATCAACGTGGCAATATTGACCGTTTGTCGCAGTACCCAAACTCACGGACAATCATCACCATGGCCAAAAAAGGCGGCAAGAAGGGAAAGAAGGGTGGCGCTAAGGCCACTGCTACTGCTGCTGTCGACAAGGTTACCGAAAAGGTCGAGAATGTTGTGTAAGTTGGCCTTGGAAGAATTTTTGAGTGGTCGCGTGTGCGACGGACACCAATCTTTGCGCAGCGCTGACAACAATTCCCATAGACATCCCACCGACGAGACCACAAACGACGATTCTAAGGCTGAGTCCGTCAACAAGACAGAAGCGCCTGTTGAGTCGACCACCGAGGCTGCCGCTGCGCCTGCTGTGACTGAGTCCAAGGCGGATACTGAGACCGAGAAGAAGGTCGAGGAAGCCAAGGACACCGTTCAGGAGCCCGAAACAGCTGCGCCGGTGACAGAGGCCAAGAAGGACGAGAGCACAGTGCAAGATGCCGTTGACAAGGTAGAGGCCTCCAAGGCCGGCCAAGTCAGCTCTTTGGATAACGGCGAGGCACAGGCCAACAGTAAGAGCTACCATCAAGTGAATTAGTATTTTAAAATCGCCTGTACTGACCTCAAATTGCAGGTATCCTCCCGGAGAGCACTGTAAAGGAGACCAGCCTCGGCGCAGAGACCTACCCCTCTACCACCGAGACCTCCGCCGAGGAGTCTGCCATTCCTGCCGTCGCAACTGGTACCGCCGAGCCCACCTCGATCCCCGAGCGTCCCAAGACCGCCGAGTCAACCAACGCCCTTGCCCCCGTCACAGCCGAGCCAGCCATGGCCCCTGCCCCTACCATAGCTGCCGATCCCGTGATCACCCCGAGCGATACCGCCGAGGCGATACACACCAAGCGTCCGTACGAGAAGCCTATCTTCTCCAATGACGAGGTGAAGCCCCCCAAGATGGCCCGGACTGAGGAGGAGGCCGCCGCCGCTGACAAGGAGAAGGCTTTGGCCGGTGCTGGCCCTGCTTCGACCGCTGCGTACACCGCTCCCGAGCCTGTGCCTGCCACAGTCCCTGCCCCTGCTGCCCCTGCTGCCCCTGCTGCCCCTACTGCCCCTGCCGCCGAGGCTCCTAAGAAGGTCGAGAGCGCCAGTAAGGCGAACCCCGATGCCGTTGCCGCTGCTAATGCCGCTATCAACACCTCCAAGACCGATAAGAGCGCTTCAGCCGCCCCCGCCGAGTCCGAGCTGAAGAAGCCCGAGGCTGCCATGAAGCGCGGACAAGAGCCCGAGGCACCCCAGACAGAGACTGCGCAGGAACAACCTGCTAAGGAGACAAAGGCCGATGAGCCCAAGACCTCTGAGCACACAGCAGAGCAGGCGGCCGAGAAGAAGAAGGGCGGGTTCTTCGCGCGTTTGAAGCGGATGTTCAAGTGAGAGGTTCCCCCTTTGCTTTTTTTTGCTGTACGATATGCGTGACGCGTGACGTGTTTGCTGTTGTCGGACGAGATGAAGGAAACGGAATCCATGGATGGAAACTTGGAACTGGAGGGTGTTTTCTTTATGTTTTGCCGGGTTTTTGATGATACACCAACCGAAATTTTATATATCATAGTGCTTATTGACTAAATTTTTCCTCTCTGGTATTTTCCCCTTTTCTTAGTCTGTTCTTTTTTGTTCTCGTGAATTGTACTTCACCGCTAGTTGGGTCAATGCGTAGCCTTGGCCCGGTGGCGGTGGGTAATGCAGGTTAGTGTTTTGACCGGGGCCATTGATGATCATCTCGTCATTACTGTGGTTTACGGAAATCTGGGTCTTGAGTGGAGCTGATGACGACTTTTGAAGCCCAAAATAGGACTAATGAGGGTCTTTGCATCGCGGTGGATCGAAAATCATTACGCTATACACTAGGCATTATAGATGAGACTACAGGCTATTCGACGATCAATTGGCAGCCTCAAGCGACGTCAGTTGCTATTGTAAAGAGATTTGGATGGAGAATAGGAGTGGATTTGTAGTCGACCATGGTGGGGCTTATAGTAGCATCCTTCTCTGGGCCTGGGCCAACTTGCCATTAGTAGTATCCGAGAGTTTGGATACCCAAGCTCTTCCCAGGGGTCATTGAAGCAAGACAGTCGACTTGAGCAGACCGCAATTACCTATATCGATGTTGGAAGGCGGCATCCAACCCTCTGTTCTCTATCATCTGCCACGCTAGTGTCGATCCGTCGGTCCGGAGCCCAGTGCTTGATGAAGGTCCTGAAGATTGAATCAAAACATCAAGTCTCCATGTCATGGGAGCTATATGCAGCCATCCAACCGTAATATGGAGTGCTAATGTGCTCAAACACCTGGAGCGCTGAACACCTTTTCAATCTCCAGCCAGTCCATATGATCCACACCCGTCAACGGGAATATCGGACTATGAAAGCTTGAGTAGATACCTTCCGCCTCACCTGTCAGGTCCAGTCCCCAGTCTACCTCCATATCGAATACTGTCTCTGGAGCTCCCGACTGAGACCAAGATTCAAGTAGTCTGCCCTCATCCAGACGAAACTGACCGGAGTCTTGAGCCATACAAGTTGAAGAGGCTAGGGGGTACTCTAAGGGACTTCTCCTCAAATCTTTTCTTGAAGTAACGTTTGGCGCTTGATCCCTGGATGGATCCACCTGAGATGTTTGTGTCTCAAGTGGAGCTCCATTAAAAACGTAATTTGGCCAAACGTGAGAACAAGACAGGGATATATCCTGGAATCTTTGTTCAGCAGCAGAATTTCCAGATTGAGAGAGAAATTTGAGGACGTGAAATGCTTGCTCTAGAGCTGGTGGCGGCTGATCTTCAGTGTTGTCTAAAACTCCAGCCATTACCAGTACAAAGGCCGCAGAGAAAGTTGCATCCAGATCAAAAAATCCATAACGTGCTGTAAAGGAGTCAGCTCTGATTGATTGAGGATTAGTGATTTATTAGTGAACAGGCTCACTTACGAATTGTTTTTTGTTGCTGAAGGTTGTACAGAATTGCGAGGCTTCGCATTGAAGCTTCGTGGCAGGTATCGCAGAGTCTGGCTAATATCTCCGGAACTGGCTCCGGTGGGAGAGACTTCTGCTGCCTCTGGACTTCTAAACGGACCCTCCTTAATAGAATTGGCCGAGTGCAAAGTATAATAGCCTTTCCAACCGTCAGACATAGAAGAGGAAGAGGAGATAAAGAGCCTACCTGAAACAACATCAGGAAGAGAGACGACCCAGTGCGTGTCACTCTCTCTAGTGGTCGACTGAAGTCCATGGCCAGGGATGGAGGGAAAGATTGGCCGATACCATAAAGTTCCTGGAGGATGATCTGGATCTTTCTCACTAGCTCGATCTGAGTGATAGAGGCACTGCCATATAAAGCTGGCAAGGATAAGTAGATGAAATGATAATCTAGTCTCGCAACTCACAGGACATGATTTCATCTGTAATGCGTGCAATGCGCACATTTATTGTGATCGCAACTGGTGATTGGAAGCCAACAGCATGCCGAGGGTACCCTGCTCTCAGCTGTCGTTCATCGGCTCCTGCGGCCAGTCCAAGACCCGACGAAAGGCGTCTATGTTCATTAGCAAGGATGCCAAGGAACAAGTATGATCAGGGGAGATGAATACCTATCCAGCATGTAAACAGTCCACCACAATCTAACCCGATGGGCACACTGAGAGGGTAGGCAGCTCTGTTCATTCTCCGGTAGATTATAGCCGAGGGCAATAGCTAGTCTTAAAGCAAGACCGATCTGATCCGAGTCAGTATCTTATACTAGAAGAAAGAGAAAAGGGACATACATAAATGTAAGCGTCATGCTTTCGATCACACCACTGAAGATAAGTAGCAACCAGTGTTAGGATTTCCACAACAATCACTCCTTCACCCCCGAAGTGATGCAGTGGGGGAAGACGTTTCAGTGCTTCTGAGAAAAGCTCAGAACCCGGTGGTTGAGATGTTGGCTGCTCAACATCCATCAGCTTCGCCATTGCCATGACGAGAAGATACTCCGTGTACCATGTTGTCTGTTTTTGTTGCTCCTGAGACTCTGCAGTCTGAAAAAGTAGTCCCATCTGATCGGAGAACGAGCGAGAGTCAAAGAAGTGTTGGCTTACTCCCAGATAGTAGAGGAATTGATCTAGCAAATGTTGAGACTCCTCCAATGACGGAATAGAAGGTTCATCAACGTTGTCAACAAGTCCCCGCACTGATATCCACCCCACCGGCTCACTCGACCCATGAGTATTGTGGTATATTCCACTCGTTGGGGAGACATATGCTTTGGATCTGTGGAGCAGAGATCTTACTTGAGATTCAAACGCAGGGCCTGACGTCCGATCCGTTGCTTTATGTGCAATCAGTCGATCTGCTACACTGGGGACATGGAAGCCATACTTACCTGGGCTAATTCCATCAACGCTTTCATCATATAGCAGCGCCTCCGGTGGTTGGCCCCTTTGCAGATAGTTGCCTGGCGTGGCAGGGTTGCCGGGCATTACAGCATCGTGCTGCCGTGATGATCCACTCAGAATCGGATCCGGGGCTCTCGGCGACGATAGTGATGGACCTAGAAGGTTATGAGCACTGTATTTTAAAATGAATAACAGTATGCAACTAACCTTCAGCCACAGATGCAAGCCGCTCCTCGTATATTTGAATTTTCTCTAACAGTTGTTTCACTTCGGCCTCGGAGTATTTTCTACGGCCAGTGGTGCCGAATATGCATTGCAAGTTATGCTTGACACATGCGCGACAAGGCTTTTCGCCGGTACACTTGACCTTTCTTTTACGGCAGGTCTCACATCTTCCTAGGTCAAACCCGAGATCAGCCACCCGAAGTACCAGAGATGCAAAGTTGCCAAAGAATAAACATACGCGTTTGCCGATCGAGGAGTAGAGGGCGCCATGCTACATTTGACTCTCAACAGCACATATTGATTCCCAATTTTGATGAGTTGTGCTGGGGCTGGGGCTTCGGAAGATTGAACCGAGCTGGTGGTCTTGGTGGGGTCAAGCGGGTGGCATGCCGTGCTTAAAGAAACACACGACACAACCAAATCAATCTACTCTGTTTGAAATGAGCTGAGCAACAGAATAAATGACACGAGTAGACTTTTAATCAATTCGAGTAAGCCTGATAGGTCATATAGATGAATACACCTGGAAAGTCGTGAAAGACTAGTGTCGGGTTACTTGTAGAGCTTCAATAGTGGCCGAATGAGTCACGTGACCTATTTGCAACTCGATATTGACAGAATCAGAGCCATTGTACGCCTTGTGATTACCCATAATATGCTAGCGCATACTCTCAAGAGTCTATGAAGCTATTATGCTGTAATCAGGCTATAAATTTACCCATGAACATCGACACGTATCGGCTGCAGCTTCTCGGTGTGAGTCGCCGAGGAGTCGGACAATCCAGCCGAATTGAGCAAAGGAAAGAATGATTTGGCCACTCATTAAGCGAATGACCTATTCATACTCTACTCCAGACCTGAAAGGCATCATATTTCCATAGCCCAATAGCCATCGTTTGATCGCCTGCTTTCCCGGCAAGAGGCGTTATTTGCAAAGGATGCATAGAGTCCACATTGCTGTTCTCGAAACAGACATACCCTCTCCGGCCGTGTATGCTAAACGAGGTCTCTACAATACACAGTTCCGCAAGCTTCTCAGTGCAGCCGCAGACCGTCTGAATCGAAATTCACAAAATCTCAAACATGGTCCAATCGATATTCGAGTGACGGCATTTGATGTTGTGGGGGGCTCTTTCCCTGACCTTCAGGATTTGAGAGCTGAATGGACTACCCCCAATGGCATATGTCCAGTTGATGCCATACTCGTCACTGGCGCTGTAGCCGCCGCATACGATGATATCCACTGGATCCCTGCACTCGAATCGTTCATACAAACAGTACACATCAAATATCCACTGGTCAAGATTTTTGGTTCATGTTTCGGCCATCAGCTCATTGGTCAAGCATTACTTGAAAAGAGTGGATTTTCTTATATTAGAGAATGGCCTACAAAATTTTCGGTTCAAGCGCAATCAAGCCACGAGATAGGTTTGCAATCAATTACTCTGAATCCGGATTTTGCTTGCAGATTCTCTTCTTTGGCTAGCTTTAAGCAAATGGAACCATTCAAAATTCAGCTGATTCATGGTGATGTTGTGGCTCCTACCACAACTCCTTCAACTGAGCGGGATAGCATGAATGCTTTTCTTCCGGCGCCATGGATCAATGTTGGTAGCAGCGAGACATGTCTTATACAGGGCCTCTATTATCCGGGACGTGTGCTCACTCTTCAAGGACATTTCGAGTACGATGCATTCGCGGCGGCTGAATTATGTTTGCATTTTAGCAAAAAATTCTCTTGGCCGTCTGATCTCCTATCTTCCCATTTGGACGCAATTTGGCGCGGAAATAGAGCAGAAAATGATGATGGAGATGACTCCAAGGTCGCTACAGAGGCAGTCCTCTTGTTCTTTGCTGGCGAGGATTGAAACTTGGGAATGTGAGATCTATCTTTGTATCAGAAACTGCAGTCTGATCTTCCCATCGATATGATGACAGCTGTCAATGACTACGGAAGGTGCAGAAGGTAGCAATATATTGAATATTGATATGCTATTCACTGGAACCCATGTTAACGTTATTCATTGAAGTTGAATGCGACAAGGGTCATATAGAGGATCGACGGAAAGCCAGGTTGACTTTTTGAAAACGATCCGTCCATCTTTGAGGATAGCTACAAGATTATCTTGGATGTGATCCAAAATGGTGATATCTTCCAGCGGATTAGATTTTAAGACCAACAGATCAGCAATACTCCCTTTCTTGATGCATCCAAGTTGACCCTCCATCCCCAAATACTTCGCAGCATTGATAGTAGCCGACTGCAAAATATCCTTTGCACTTAGAACACCCGATCGGATGGAGAATTCTTCGTTTTGGAGCGAGTGCAAGCCAGCTAGGAGGTCGGATCCATAGCAAATCGTTGCCCCAGCCTTGCGCAAAATTGACAATGCATTCAAGCCGCTAGCCAGCACTTGGCGATTCTTGACCTGATTGACATTGTCCAAGAACTTGTCAAATGGAGGTCGTGACATGCCGTAGTAAGTAACTAAAGTTGGAGTGAATATCACACCCAATTCCGTGCAATAGGCGGCCGTTTCCTCGTCAATGAAGTTTCCATGTTCGATGCCTCGGACCCCATTATCTACAGCATGACGAATAGCTTCAATGCTGTATGCATGGGCTGTGACGTAAGTCTTGGACTGCTTGGCAGTCGTCGTGATTGCACGGATTTCTTCTGCAGTGAACTGAACCATATCAAGGGCGTCAGACGGCGATGCAACACCACCTCCACACATGATCTTGATAAAGTCGGCGCCCTGCCTGAGCTCATCTCGCGCCGCGCTCAGGCACTCTGGCACGCCATTACACACCCGGGATAAGTTTACCGAGTGTCCACCGCAGCATTTATACTCATCGCCCTGGTAATTGGCTCGGGAATCTCCGTGTCCGCCAGTTTGCGAGAGGGCTTTGCCTGCTATGAATAGCCTCGGTCCCATGATCAAGCCTTCAGATATCGCTTCACGGAGAGCATAATCAGCACCGCCTGTATCACGAGCTGTAGTGAATCCTCGGAGAAGCATCTCGCGTGCAACAAATGATGTGCGGTATGCAATACTGTTGGCACTCGCGGCAAATATTTCTTTAAGAGAGGACGAGCCAGGCGTTGCAGTAAGATGCACGTGGCAGTCAATCAAGCCAGGGCAGATGTATTGACCCATCAGATCCACCGTATTCGGCCCTGTGGACGGCTTCGCTGCGTCCCCTGTGGTCACACCAGCAATACGCCCATTCTTGATATGCACTGTGGAATTTGAAATGACGATGCCGGCTTCAACGTCCACGACATTCGCATTGTAGAATATGATTTCTGGGGCTGCTGTCTGCGGCAGCCATGGCTTGCTGGTCTTGCTCATTGTGTTTGGTGAGATTGTGGAGCTGTACAGTGGAAAAAAGTAGATAATGGGACTTTCCAAAGATCACGGATGAGAGCCAGTTTTGAGCACGAGAAAAATGGGGGCAGGATTTGGTCCTTCGGTGGCCGTGAATCGTCATCTCTGTTAATGGACGGCGAAAACACCGTAAATTGCGGTTACATCCGACAATATCGAGCGGGGAAAGGCCTCCAGGGATCTGAGCACCCCAAGTCCACTTTGACTTATCGATCGGCAAGATTATAGTGTACGGCAGTGCATTACGTGCGGTGAGGGGCTCGGGGGCTTGATAGAGATAAGGTTCGGAGACCCGACCCGAGCCCCTGATTCGACCACAGACAGCAACTACAAAAATATGTGTTAAAGTGTCAAACCTACGAAAAATTCGCCGATGGACCGTTAAGTGTTATCACGAGGATGGGGACTCCACGTGCGACACAGACTGTTGTAGAAATGATGCATACTGATTGCCGTGGGAGGGCAATCGTAGCTTACATGACGTGGGAACTGAAGAGCCTGACTACACCGTCACACTGGCTTATAAATCCAACGAATGAATTCAAATCCAATTGCGCCCTAAGTGAGGTAGAACTGCAGACATCCGGCAGATCATCAAAACAGATCCTGTGTCTCTTCAGCAAGCGCCAAAAGAGTCGACGCCAAACCCTGCGAGATTTTCCAATGACTGATCCGCTGCAACAGATCAATAATCCTGAACAAAGACCCCATCGCCATTTTAGTGGGCTGTAAACCACCCATCTGTTCCAAAAGCGGTCCAATATCATCAACACCCTGTAGTCTCAGCTCGTTGAATTGAAAATTGTCTCCTGCGACTAGAGTAACTGGGTTTTGGTCTGCTCTGAAAGACAAAAAGCATGACCAGACTAGACCACAATAATACAAGCACATTGGAACATGGAATGCCGGCTCTGCACCCGCGGGGAGAGACTCGAAATCTTTCTGAATGAGCATAGCATGTAAAAGACATCGTTTCGCATCCATAGAGCGAACCCAGTCTCGTATGTAGGGAAGATGGGTCTGGGCAACGTCATAACCTTCTCGACCCAAGACGCATTCTAGGGCGTTGAGATCAACATGGAGCATGATGAAAACCGAGTGCCAGAGCATCATAAGACAGGACCAGCTTGGTCTTCCGGCCATGGTGGGCTGGTAGTTGGCGTACCAATTTATGAGGAGGTGGTGACATCTGGAGGTTTGCGACGATGCGGAATGATCAATTCCTGATTCTTGTTCTCGCTCTTCACTGGCGAGCGCACTTATGCATTCTAGCATGGCGCATAGTTCGAAGTCCCCCGTTGGGTTAGCCTGGGGGATGCGGTTGTAGAATCGGTTCGGGATCGTTGTTGATGATGAACCAAGGATTTCCGTGGAAGGCTTTTGTATTTGAGCTTCTACCATTAGTTCTTTCCAGTGGTTAGCACTAGATGCCATGAACAGGTCGTCGGAGGATAGACGAGGGAGGCGTTCAGGTGAGCTTCGTAGAATAGGTTCGTGCTGATTAAGAATGGCTAGCTCGGCATTGTGAATGGTTATGGCCAGAGCAATCCTTGGTATGGTTTTAGCTTCGCTTCTTTTTCCTTCTTTCTCGGGTTGATATACCTTTTTTTAACCTCCAGTTGAACCCAATCTAGCCACATATCCTCAAGCGCCTGACCGTTGACATCGATAGGATTGTATTCCAACCGCGGTAAGTTGAAGAGCTTCATCTTCCGTGCCCACTGAAGCTTTGTTAGTATTAATAATTTGTATACCAGGAGCTATTAACTCACTCCAACTATAGTGCCGTGGAATACGTCAATTCCTGCAAGATGCTTTGGTCTCTGTCAAAAGGCAAATTAGTCTTGTGATTCTCAGCCAAGAATGTCGGATACATGTACCCCAAGCAGAAGAGCAAAAGTCTGCCCCAGTATAACCGCTTGCAGAGCCACCAAAGAATAGCCTGCTGATTTTGTTACATATGTTTCCCACTATGTAGGTCAGTAGATTGGACCAATTATGCCAGCTGTAGTCATACCGAAGAGAGAATAGCTTTGTTCAGCCTTTCAAACATGCTGATACCGTGAGATATTGCACGCGGTGACCCTACTACTAGGCTTCCTGCGGAACATATGGAAAGAAGAAGAATCGAATTTTGGGTCCCGGGTCGAAAAGTGGGCACGTGCACAATAGGGAATAAAGGGTGAAATTTGGAGAAGTATGCTTGGATGCATAGGTCCTTGATGAGTGTTAGCATGAGAAGAGATGTGCGAGGCGAGCAACCATACAAGAAAAGGTGTTGATGGTAGAATTCCATGCTGTACGCGTGGTTGGAGACGCTCTGCGAGTCGTTTACGATAAGACTCATCAATAATACTGTTCTCCGGTTGTCCTGGAGTCATTTGACCAGAACAGGTTTCAGAGAAGGTATGCCATTTCTCCTGAATTAGGTTTGTATGTCGCTTAATAGAGTCTGCGACAAGATTGGGAGTTGGTTGGAGTCGACTCGTGTCTAAGTCGGGCATGGCGTCTGGTGGTGGATAGTCTGATGTTGCGCATAGTAAGGACAAATTGACCGCATCCAGATCAAAGTTTTCTCCTGTGAGAAGAGTATCCCACTCCCTATTGTCACGTAGATAATCCCACACCGGGGGTGGCAGGGGAGAGGTCTGATCTTTCCAAACGTCCCCATCAAGAAACAGCGAGGTCAAGGGGCTCACATGGTTAGGATAAGTGGTGTTGTTCCTAACCGATAGATTTGGAGTTTGTTTGTCAACCGGCGCACTATTTGGCGGAGACATAATAGATACCATACCACCGGTCATTGAGCCAGGATCTGGCCCGATCGGAACTGACGGGTGGTCTGCAGCGATGGAAGCAGCAGGCATAATTCTGGAGGCAATATCTGTCTCGTGATCGTCCACAGACATGGAATCCATTCCAGCTGATTCAAGACTCTCATTGCTTGAATGGGATCGTGAATGTCGCAGAAGAGTATCCCTGAATGATTAAGAACCGACTGTGATTGAATTCATGGGGAACTTACTGCCGAGCAAAGGCCTTCTGGCAGACAGAACAGCTAAATGGCTTTTCTTTTGTATGGGATCTCATATGGCGCGCTAAATGCTCCCATTTCTTGAAATCGTTCCCGCAGATAGTACAGATGCGTTGCTCCTTGGATGTTTTGCGCCGGCGATGGAGCTTCCTGTCACCAAGAGGCGACTGTTGAGAGGTTGACATATCGCCAAGACAGATTCGGAATCATAAAATTAAGTCCTCAAGGGATCGGTGATTGTCAGATTTCAAAGATGTACAGAAAGGTGTGAAGAAGCTGGAATATTTTTACCCCGGAATTCCGGAGGCTTCATGCTTCCCCCGCTCAGCGGGTGGCGATCTACAATAACCAACAATAGTCTGCCAGGGACTGGACCAACATTCAGCCCGGTGGATTCGCAAGTGGATAATTTGGTTTCCGTATTCAGAAAAGTATCGGTTGCAATCAAAGATGGGAGATTCTGGGAGCTGTGACGAATGTGGGATCTATCATGCGGGGCTTAATCCCCTCCATATCCGAGCAGCCGAACACGCGAAACTCAATAGTGAACCATCCGGTTTCTGGTGGCAGCAACGCCATCAATTTCCACTTCCACTACATCCCCATTCTTCAGGAATTCTTTCCGGAAGAATCCTACTCCCGAAGGAGTTCCCGTCATAATGAGCGTTCCCTTGCGAAGAGTTGTTCCTCGGGAGAGGTGGCTGATGATCTGTCGAACCGTATAGATCATGTCTCCTGTACTGGTCTCTTGCTTAATAACCCCGTTGACCTTTGTCCTCATTTGCAAGGCCTGGGGATCCGGAATTTCCTGCGCCGATACAATGGTGTGTCCGATCGGTGCGAACTTATCGAAGGATTTCGCGTAGCAGAACTGCCCGCCAGATACCTCGGGAAGCTGGAAGTTTCTTGCGGAAACATCGTTGCCAGCGGTATAACCTAGAACATAGTCGAGCGCATTCTCTTCAGACACATCCTTTGCATCCTTTCCGACTACCACAGTCAGCTCTCCCTCGAAATCGAGTAGCTCCGCGGCGTCAGGATGAATTGGGATATCTTCAAAGGCATGAGAAAGACTGTCTGCCGGTTTCATAAAGACACTAGGGTATTTGGGTACGGGTAACTGCTCAGGTCAGATATCGTGTATCGTAAAAACTTGAACTAACTCACATTTGCTTCTGTTGCATGTTGCCTGTAGTTAAGACCGATGCAGATCACGAGTGGTGTGCTTTCGATCGGACATAAGAGCTAGGAAGCGTCAGCATGAATATCCTAAAACCCGATGTTCACACATGTAGACATACTGTCTGTGTCTCATGGATTTCTTCTGTGGTCTCCAAATTTGTGAATGGACTTCCTTTCAATTTGCGAACGGTGTAGTTGTTTCCACTTGCCCCGAGCAAGTCTCCGTAGTGAGATTCGGCACCAGCGGCGAAGCGCACGAGTTTTTTGAAAGTAGCCATGATGAAATCAATGAATCAAGTCTAAAGCATGAGCATTGCAGCAAGCTTTTGCATGGAATTTATACAATGTTCATGGCGGGGAAGAAAGAGTAGCAAGTCTAGGTGTCGAATGTGGGATCAATCTAATCCCCACCTGATGCATGTCGCGGGGATCTTATTCTCTCGTTCACAGGCCCCTCAGCCAGACCTAAGATCTCCACATTGCAAAGACAAGAAACTTAGTATATATTGTCCAGACGAGCGTTAGCTGTTATCAACATCATTCCCCCTCTTCTTCCATTCACTTGTACAACAACCTCAGAATGTCAACGGATAAAATCCCGCCCAACCGTGGGGCCTCTGTGCCTGACGTGATTGCTGTCGGTGAATCGAATGTGTCCCAGGCAGAATGGCTTGCGAAGCAACAGATCGACACCAAAGAGCGTGTCAATTTGAAGAAGCTGTCCCACATGCGGTATCAACATCCTGACCTGGAAGAAATTCAGGCGTTCATGCTTGGTATTTTTCTCGGATCTGAAGATTTGACAAAGTAAACATCTGACATGAACAGATTTTGGGATGGAAATCGCGAAAAAGACCGAAGAAGAAATGTGGTTTAAAGGATATGGACCTGATCAATACGTGTACTATGCGCGCAAAGGACCCAAAAAGTTCCTCGGTGCTGTTTTCGAGGCCCAGAGCAAAGAAGACTTTGACAGGTGAAATCACGTCGCTCCCTTCAAATACGAAAGCATTTAAAAGCTAAGTTTTACACAGAGCAGCAAGCCTCCCCACAGCAAGTGCAGTGGAAGAATTGAGCCAAGCGCCGGGTGGTGGATGCTTGGTGACCCTTACCGACCCAGAAGGATTCCCAGTGAATGTTGTCTTCGGTCAGGAGCCGACGCACATTGAAGTTTCTCATCCCGCAAGGCTCACCTTGAATTTCCCCGGCGAGAAGCCGAGACAGCGTAAATTCAATCGTTTCGAACCGGGACCAGCAGCTGTTCACAAGGTATGGTCGATATTCTCGCCTTTCTTCCTTTTACTAAACATAACCACAGCTGGGTCACTTTGGATACGCGACACAGCAACTTCAATCGCAGCTGGAATTCTATACGTCGACCTTCAACATAGTCCCAACGGATCTGCTGTACATCGAGATAGAAGGCCAGAAAGTTCTCGTGACTATGTTCGCCCACCTTGATCTCGGGGAGACCCATACTGATCACCATTCGTTTTTCCTGAGCTCTAATCCCAAGGCCGCTCATGTTCATCACTGTTCATTTGAAGTCAATGACTATGATACTCAGCAGCTGGGGCATCAATGGCTTGCCAAGAAAGGCTACAAGTCTGTGTGGGGGGTGGGTCGTCACATTCTGGGGTCGCAGATTTTCGACTATTGGTGGGATACTACGGGGAACATGGTCGAGCACTATGCCGATGGCGATTTGGTCAACAAGGACACGCCTATTGGACAAATTCAAGCTGGAAGTGAAGCTTTGGCTGTATGGGGTCCGGAGGTTCCTGCTTCGTTTTTGCAGTAAATTGATTATGTATCTTATTTCAACAATTTATCTCATTCTTCAGCTGTTCTACATTTATTTATTATCGTATAAAAAGACGACTCATATACGATGGCGGAGCCCTCAACATTTGCTTATTATCACGCTGAGCTGACTCTGAGCCATGAACCCTGTAGCTTCAGCCCTCAGGTAGGTATCTCGGTCTGCCTGTTTTCGTAAAGGCCCAGAACTCTCTCAATTACTGATGCGTCTCATTCACACAGCATCCGCCCTTAACCTCAGGATATCCATCGACGATGAAGTCCCATAATTCAAAGATGCTATCCTTCCGCATCGCTAGCGCAATCTGCCTCTCTTCGGTCACTTACTAATGGCAGAAAATAAGGTAGGAACTAGAAGTGACCATCGCGGAGACAAGAACGGTAAGGAATCAAGGACTCGGACATAAGTGAGACCTGCGGAGATATGTTGATAGATGCATACGTGCCATGAGGCCAGGGGGCTAATTCATGCCAGTCCAATCTGCAAGGCTATATTGAATATCTTCGCATTAAAGATCCCACAACTCTATTTTGCCACTTGTGGGAAGCCTATAGATGACACCCGCTATACGGACTTGGCCTAACCCTTTGTTCCCGCAAGTCGTTGGCCCCGCAATTTTGGCTTCACCGCTACGGGATTATTTAATTACAGCTGATAAAACAATGTATAAAGCTGGTTTTTATTTTCAATAACAGTTTGGAGCTCAGCCAACTCTTAAAGTCAATCAAGATGGCTGATCAGGTAGAGACAACAGACGTGCTGATTTGCGGATGCGGTCCGACTGGGGCAATGTTATCGGCCTATCTAGGACAGTTGGGTGTGGCCAACGTCATTGTCGAAAAAGAAGCAGGCATCACGACTGATCCGCGTGGTATTGCTCTCGATGATGACGGAATTCGATTGGTTCAGGGCCTTGGATTGTACGAGCACGTATTCACAGAGATCGGGTCCAGTGAGCACATCATATGTCGAGACTGCCAGTGTTGAGCGAGTTTACTGATAAAAGATTGATTTCAGGCTTGTCTAAAATCAATTTCCTTGGTGGAACGCATCAAAACTTAGATGCAACCCCATTTCTTACTTTTGATGCAGGCTCGGTGAGTCCACAACGGTTTACATCTCGATGGCCAGCAGTACTAACATACCTAAATCAGAGCGAAGGAATGACTGGACATGTCGGCGTTCTTGCACACCGACAGCCTATTCTTGAAAAGTATCTTAGGAAAGCAGTGAACAAAGCAGAAACAAGTGAATTGAGAAGCAACTGCACTGTGACTTCGATATCCGAAGATGCAGACTGGGTCTATGTGACATATGACGACTCTGGGACACAAAAGAAGATCCGCGCAAAGTTCCTGGCTGCGGCAGATGGGAAAACAGGCTTTACTCGCAAGAAATATTTGGAGCCCAAAGGTGTGAAACTGGAATGGGCTGAACAGTATGTCTACCCCGCACCGAAGCAGGAGAGTAACTCACCAGGCAACCAGAACCAAATATCAGGAGACTTGGATTGCGCTCAACTGGAAGCTAAGTCTCCCTACAAAAGAAACCCACCCTTCATTTCCGCTATGGAAACTCGGATACACCCCTCAACAAGTCTACGACACCTTCTTTCCAGAAGATTTTCGCTTCCTGTGCAACCCTGATAGGCCAGCGGTATGTGGTCGATTCGGTCGCCCCGAAGATCGACATTGGCGATTCGAATTTGTCGTTGCGAAAGACGAAGATGGCATGGAGATGGCAGGGGAAGAGAAAATCCGCCAAGTGGTGTACCCGTACTTGACCCACCCAGGGCGACGTTATGGGTAAGGTCCACACCTTTTCTGAATACTCCACATACTAAGAGCACGGGCAGGCTGAGGGAAGACGTTTCATTCCCCGAAGACTGTATCGAAGTTCTCCGATCTCGGCCATTTAGCTTCTCTGCAAGAAGCTGCAATAAGTGGGCACTCGGCCGCGTGATTCTTTGTGGTGATGCAGCCCATGTCTTCCCGCCATGTATGTACCTTTATCCCCAAGCCAAAATAAAGAGCTAATGATGGACTTTAGTCGGAGGACAAGGAATCGCATCTGGGTTTCGAGACGCTATTGCGCTCTCCTGGCGCCTTGCTATAGCATGCTTACCCGAATCCAAGGTAGACTACAACCGTCTCCTCGAAGGCTGGTATCTCGAAAGAAAACAGCAACTGGACAAATCGCTCGCAACCACCGTCCGAAACGGTGACATGGTCAACGGAAATGGCCGCGTACAGAGCTTCCTCCGCGATTGGGGTTTACGGTTGTTGCAGTTCGTGCCTTCCTGGAAGCATAAGATCGAACGCGGTCCTCGAGGCGAGGGTGCCACTCGGTACGTTCATTCGCCCGGTATGCCTTTCATGCCAGAGCTTGATGGAGGAGCGTATTTTCCCCAGACATATTGCATCGGACTCCAGCGAGATTCAGTCGTGCAATTTACCGATGATGTCATTTTTGCCAGTAGGGGGGAACCTTTTAAGATTGTCGTTCTACTGGACAATCCTTCTGAGTTTGATGCTGCGACACGCGATCTCGATGGATTGAATAGATCCAGAGGTTTGTCGCAGGGGGAAACCACATTTTTCGTACCCCGTGCCAAGTGCACTGGCATTCTTGATCAGGTACCTGGAGACGAATGCCAGCGTCGGTTGTTCCGAACTGCTAGTGCTGATGAATTCAGCCAATCGCCTTTGTGTACTTCACGGCCAGCTCCATACGGTTATGATGAATCGCTTATGTTCAAAACCGGCAAACGTTATGTGATATTGAGATTTGACCGGTTCGTTTACGCCCTTTGTGATACCAAAGCCGAGTTGGAGAAGGCCGCCACGCAGATATCCGAGATGTTTTGAAAAATGCAATTGTACAATCTTTGGTGATCTATGGAGTCTACTTTAATGTTATGATTCGCCGCCGCATCCAACAGTCCACGTTAGGTAAATATAGAAAAAAATTTCAAACACACAAGGCTGAGGGATCACCTTTGACTCCCCAGCCGTAAGTGGTAACGAGAAGGTAGAGACCGTGTGGGAGAGAGTGCTGAGATACGCCCCTCTTGCTCTCTTTGAACAGGCGCCACTCTGCTCTCCCATTAGGCAGATTTTCTTCTTCTGGTCTGGGAGAAATTTTCATTACGATTTAATCAGGTACAGATGGTCAAACGTATCGAACCTCCTGTTCAATAGTTTGTGCTTTTTGAGTAATTGGGTCTAATCACGGACCAAAACAGTCAACATTGTATCTTGTTACCTTACTCTGGTAGCACCGAGCAACAAGTAGTACTTGGATGGGAAGTGTGACCTCGTTTATCTTGTGCCTTTGTTGTATTTCTCTGACAATATTCTTGTCTGGTGTTCGATTCTTCTTAGCTTTGAACACATCCCAATCACCAGATCAGATCCAATGGAAACCACAGTGCATACGATTGTACTCGTAGATACCTTTGTCACAGCCACTCACACCTGCCATTTACGTGAGACTGATCCCGCATTCAAGGGTCCCATCATTCAGTTCCGTGGGGCTTACAGGATCCATTGCGTGCGGGGCTTGTCACCGGAACATGGGGTAGTGATGTGCGGCCCGCTCTGATGCTTGGCGCATCTGGGCCTCGGTTCCCCAGGAATGCTGATAAAGCTCAGCTCATCACTCACTATTGTCCTGAATACTTTCCTCTGGAAATCCTATTATCAACCGCCGTCCATTACCAGATCTATTACCATATCCACAATAATGTCAGTGCCCATCCCCCGGAAGCTATGGGAGCATCCAGACCCCGAATCAACATCAATGGGTCGGTTCCGGCGAGAGCTGGAGCGGTCAACGGGGCGGCGATTTAATGTAAGATTCTTTGTGCCAAACTGATAGAATCACCTCAGTAGCTAACGTACAGCGAAAATGGCAAGGCATTCTATGACATGTACCTCTATTCCATTCAAAACCGCACTGCATTCTGGGACTTTTGCTGGAAATACTTCCACATTATCCACGAAGGCTCATACACGCAGATCGTGGATGAATCTGCCCGTATGGATAGTGTGCCAGAATGGTTCAGGGGTGTCAAGTTGAACTTCGCCGAGAATATGCTCTTCTCCGGCAGTCCAGGGAATACGACAGGCAAAGAAGATCACAAGATTGCAATCACCGAAGTCCGAGAGGGCGCCAATAAAGATGCCGTTCACCTTACCTGGGGAGAGCTGCGAACGAAGGTTGGAACTTTGATACAGGCGATGAAGGCTAACGGAGTGGTTCGTGGTGATCGTATTGCGGTTTGCAGTGCAAATTCAATCCACACAATGCTGGTCTTCGTGGCTACGACCGCTCTCGGCGCGATCTTTTCATCCAGCTCTACGGATATGGGCACTAAGGGGGTTTTGGACCGCTTGTTACAGATTAAGCCGCGTTGGCTTTTCATGGATGATTTTGCCGTATATAATGGGAAGACGATTGACCTGCGGGCCAAGATGAAGGAAATCGTCCAGGGAATGGATTCGGTGTCTGAGTTCCAAGGAGTTGTTTCCCAACCACGATTCGCTGAAAATCCAGCCGAGGTGGGATCGATCCCGAGAGCTCAGACGCTGGCAAGCTATCTGGAGAAGGCAGCCGGAAATGACCGTCTCGAATTTGAGCGTGTTGCTTTCCGGGATCCATTCTTGATCGTTTATTCATCTGGAACAACTGGCCAACCCAAGTGCATTGTCCACTCGGTCGGAGGAGTGCTGCTCAATGCTAACAAGGAAGGAAATTTGCATATGGAAAGTACATCGGATAGTGTTGCGCTACAGTATACGACGACTGGATGGATTATGTATCTGACCGCGATGCAAACTTTGCTATTCGGAGCTCGAGTGGTGCTCTACGATGGTAGTCCATTCATCCCGAATGTAACAGCATTGGTGGAATTAGCAGCTCAAGAGAAGTAAGTGCTGATATTGAAAGCGAACCTAAAATCTGCTAACTCATCATACAGGGTCACACACCTGGGGATCTCCCCACGGTGGCTACAGGAGCTTCAGCAAGCTAATATCAAACCCCGTGAAATGTTCGATCTAAGCTCTCTTCGCGTGGTGACCAGCACTGGCATGGTCCTACGGGATGCATTATTTGAGTGGTTCTATGATGAAGGATTTCCATCTCATGTCCGTCTCAATAACATCTCAGGAGGCACGGATCTAGCCGGATGTTTTGGCGTGAGTAATCCTATCACGCCAGTCTTTGTTGGGGGCTGTGCAGGGTTCAGCTTGGGAGTGCCAGTGGAAGTGTACGATTCAACCATCGAAGGCGATGGTGTCAAGGGAGTTCCTGTGGCCGATGGAGAGCCAGGAGACCTGGTCTCTACTGCTGCCTTCCCTAACATGCCGACGCAATTCTGGGGTGATCACAGCGGCCAAAAGTATTTTAATGCATACTTTGAAAGGTTCGACAGTAAGTGTTATCTGTCCTTGGTGCAAAGGTTTTGACTTACGACTTCATAGACGTATGGACCCACGGGGATTTCATCTCGATACACCCTGTTACGAAGCAAATCACCTTTATGGGTCGGGCAGATGGGGTCTTGAATCCCTCGGGAGTTCGTTTTGGGTCGGCAGAAATTTACCGAGTTATCGAAGGCCTTTTTCCTCGGGAGATAGCCGACTCCATCTGTGTCGGTCAGCGTCGACCAACCGACAGTGATGAGCAAGTCCTGCTTTTCTGCTTAATGAAGGAAGGGGTCGCTTTTACGCCAGACTTGGTGACTCGGATTAAACAAGCCATTCGAACGGAACTCAGTGCTCGTCACGTGCCAATGTACATCTTTGCGACTCCCGAAATCCCCACCACCGTGAACTTCAAGAAAGTCGAACTGCCAGTAAGAATTCAGCTCCGAGGTGAGATTATTGCATACTAACTATTGGGAAAGGTGAAGCAGATCGTATCCGGCAAGCGGATCAAGCCATCGGGCACCCTACTTAACCCCGGTAGCTTGGAATACTACTACCGATTCGCCGAGGTTGAGAAGCTCGTGCGGGAGAGTAAGCTGTAAACGAGACGCCAGCGCATCATGTATCTCCAATTATTTTTGAACACCGCCACTTCTTATCCACTTATCCACTTGGTTCAGGTTCTAGACCCACCGCTAGCGCAAAACGTGGCCCCTAACAATTGGCAATGGAGGGGTCGATCGGATACATCGGGAGTACTAAGCTCAATGATCCCCCCCTCCGCCAAGCTTTTGTCCATAACACCTTACCGTACATTGCTAAGCTTTGCGCAAGCTTTTGAAACCACCAGAATAGTACAGGTGCACATATGATATCAAACAATTAAACCTTGATCCCAGTAGTCATGCGCGTTCATTGGCCTCGTATACGCCGATCTGGAACGTGGTAAATGAAAAGGAGGATTCGGGAAACCAATTGAGAGGAGCCACTGCGTCATGCCCCGCACGAGTTGTTTGGAAAAACTTACCTGGTTAACCGACCAGCTCGTATGATAAACTGGCTTTCCTGCTCCTGATCTTCTCGTTTTCTTCATTTCTCTATTAACTTTCTCTCCATACTATCCATCATGGTTCATCTTGCTGCCGTTAAGAAGGACGACGAAGTCTTCCACCCCGCTTCTCGGGACTTCGAGACTATTGGCGATGCCCCTACTGTGGATGACATCTCTTCCAATGTCTACGGTAGCCACTTTGCGGCCGACCACTTGCCACAACATGAGATGCCCGAGGGGGAGATGCCTCGCCAGGTCGCTTCTCGCTTGATCAAGGACGAGCTGAGCCTGGATGGCAACCCCAAGCTCAAGTAGGTTTGAAATGTTTAGGCTGATAACGGCAACAGCTAACCCACGTTTACAGCTTGGCCTCTTTCGTGACCACCTACATGGTATGTGTTATAGCGGAACTTGATACACTCCATTGGCACAACAAACAGAGAATAGCTAATAAATCCGCGTCGATGTAGGAAGAGGAAATTGAGCAGATCATGACCGACTCCTTCAGCAAGAACTTCATCGACTACGAGGAGTACCCCCACTCTGCAGAGATCCAAAACCGTTGCGTCAACATGATCGCCCGTCTTTACAACTGCCCCACCGACCCCAAGGGCGAAAATGCCATGGGTACCTCTACAATTGGTTCTTCCGAGGCCATCATGCTCGGCACGCTTGCTATGAAGAAGCGCTGGCAGAACAAGCGCAAGGCTGAGGGCAAGGACTACTCCAAGCCCAACATTGTCATGAACAGTGCTGTCCAGGTCTGCTGGGAGAAGGCTGCCCGCTACTTCGACATCGAGGAGCGTTATGTCTACTGTACCAATGAGCGCTTTGTCATCGACCCCAAGGAAGCCGTTGACCTGATTGACGAGAACACTATCGGTATCTGTGCCATTATCGGAACCACCTATACCGGTGAGTACGAGGATGTCAAAGCTATCAACGACCTGCTCGTTGAGCGCAACATTGACTGCCCTATCCACGTCGACGCCGCTAGCGGTGGCTTCGTCGCTCCCTTCACTGTCCCCGAGCTGGAGTGGGATTTCCGCCTCGAGAAGGTTGTCTCTATCAACGTCTCTGGCCACAAATACGGCCTGGTCTACCCCGGTGTTGGTTGGGTCATCTGGCGCTCTCCTGAGTACTTGCCCCAGGAGCTTGTGTTTAACATTAACTACCTGGGTGCCGACCAGGCCAGTTTCACCCTGAACTTCTCCAAGGGTGCCGCTCAAGTCATCGGTCAGTACTACCAGCTGATCCGTCTTGGCAAGCACGGTTTCCGTGCCATTATGATCAACCTGACCCGCGTCGCCGACTACATGGCCAGCGAGCTGCAGAAGATGGGCATGATCATCATGAGCCAGGGTAAGGGTAAGGGTCTGCCCTTGGTGGCATTCCGTCTGCCCCCGAACAATGACCGTATGTACGACGAGTTCACCATTGCTCACCAGTTGCGTGAGCGCGGCTGGATTGTTCCTGCCTACACCATGGCCCCTCACAGCGAGAAGCTGCAGCTGATGCGCGTTGTTGTCCGTGAGGACTTCAGCATGAACCGCTGTGACAGCCTTTTGACCGATATTAAGCTGGCTCTTCAGACCCTCGATGACATGGATCAGACCATGGTGGCCAAATACAAGGCGTAAGTTTACCTCGATCCCGCCGATTCCCGACTCTACTGATATATTCCTTTTCCAGGCACATGGTCTCGCACAGAAACAACCCCCGCCACAAGCACAGCCACCATGCTTATCACGGAGAGAAGCACTCCCTGCAGGGCAAGGAGGGCAAGTCTCACGTTGTGTGCTAGATTATTAAGATAGTAAGATAGGTGTAAGGTCAAGGAGGAAACCCACGAGATCCTATCTGTAACTAGGCAGCTTGTCACATGATATTGTGTGCTGAGCTTGTTTTGCCTTTCCCTACCACATGATTCTAGGAATGAATAACTTATCGAATACAAGCTCCGTGGCCTGTAGGATGTATAGCCAATGTTCCCGAAGTTGCATGATCTCATAGGCATGATTAGACCTTATTAGTGGGGTCGCAAATGGCGCTAGGCCATATTAGGCCACAGGATACAATTTCATCTTCGATACGCATCGTCCAGCTCATGGCCCGATATTCGATCTTCATTGATCACACCTCCCATGACAAGGGATAGGCAAAGGGTCCACTGACAAAGGCACACAATTACCAGGTGGATCTTTTCAACCACAGATCACATTGGACTACCACCATTCAGTCAAAAGAGGAACCAAAACAAGACCATCAAGACTGCAATAAAGATGAATCCAACAATACCAGGCTTTGACATGGCCTCATTCCATCCAGAAATAATGCAAGCCTGGCTTTACACCAACACAACAGGCGGAATGGAAAAGAATCTTCACCTCGACACATCAGCACGCACACCCCCGCCCCCTAAGGGCAACGAAATCCTCGTGAAAGTCATCTCAGCTGCACTAAACCCAGCAGACTATAAGCTCCCCGAGCTAGGCATTCCCTTTCGCATGCTGATAGGCACACCTGCAACGCCCGGCATGGACTTCTGCGGACGCGTAGTCAGCACCGGACCACTTGCCACGCATCTCAAAGAAGACACGCTAGTCTACGGGTGTTCGAGCCGACCGGTCCAATTTGGCTCGGCTGCTGAGTACATCGTCATCTCGTCGGACAGCGTTTCCATTGTACCCGATGGTGTTTCGGTTGACCATGCCGCTGCAATGGGTGTTGCGGGGCAGACAGCGTACCAGAGTTTAGTGGGCTACGTGAAAGCTGGAAATAAGGTATTGATTAATGGCGGTTCCGGTGGATGTGGAGTGTTTGCTATCCAGATTGCGAAGGCGATGGGGTGTCATGTTACGACTACATGCTCGACACGGAATATGGAGTTGTGTTTGAGGCTTGGAGCGGATGCTGTGATTGATTATACAGCCGAAGAGGATTTGGTTGCGAAATTACAGCAGCTTGGGGTTGCGTTTGATCATATTGTGGATCATGTTGGGCTTCCTGACAATCTTTACTACCAATGTCATCTTTTCTCCAAGGACGAGGCGACGTTCGTGCAGGTGGGCGCTTCGTCGATGTTGACGTTTGTGGCGAGACTTGGGTGGCCCTCTTTCTTGGGTGGTGGAAGAAGGAAGTATGTCACTTTAATGCCGACGATCGATCAGAAGCGCTTAGCACAGTTGGGAGAATGGGTGGCTGATGGAACTATCACGATGCAGTTGGATAGTGTGTTTGAATTCTGCGATGCTGTGAAGGCCTATGAGAGGCTTCGGTCAGGCCGATCTAGGGGTAAGATCGTTCTGCATGTGAGCGATCCATCTGCTCGGAACATGGAGCCCTTTGGGATTGGCCTTTGATCGGACCTTGCGAGTATATAAAGGGTTTTACCTCGGTCGAAACATGTACCAGTAGCATCCTCGTTTTGCATTTTGGTTCTTCAAGCGCTATTCAAGTGATACTTAGTCTGCAACGATAAAAAAGAGATTTGGAATAAGCTATCTCTAAATGTCTGTGCCCTTTCTTTCCCCTTGAGCTTGAGTGGATCACGAATGTCAAAGAAAGGGAAACCTTGGAATGCACAAGTCGGCGAAATCCGACACTGTTTAATTGCAGAAGCATTTGGAACGTTTAATGTTCGATGGTAAATATTTGAAAGTTGACTGTACATGTACTGTATAGCAACTCAATATGTATGTCGATCAGATATCAGATATCGTCACATCTGGTGGCGAATACCAGTCCAAGCATGTCACATTCAGAATAGATCCACGGTTCATTGTTGTTTATTTATATACATTGACTCTATATACCTTCAGCCATCAAGCCTCAGGGCTACTTTACAAGGATTTCAAGGTACACTTTGCCAGGTTTCTCTTTCGCCCCCAACTTTGGAACATTCAATATTCAGACTGAACTTACTTTCTTTGTTCACCTAAGCCTGTTCATGACCCATAATCTTGTCAGAATTCCACCCCTTGGCGCCTTTCCAGGGTTGACCCGGCGTTTATATATAGAAATCCCCGCCAATCATCCAATCGTTTCCCGCCGATCTGAGGTCCCCACCTGCTTTTGCCCTCCCCTCATTGCAGAGAAGGTCGCAGTGTCCTTGTCCATCAGATCAAGGATGCCCCTATTCAAGAAATCCAAGGCGCCTGCGAATCAGCCAAGTCGCTTTTCCGCCCGCTCTGTCGAGAATCTGGTCCACCCCGCGCTGACTCCACCGGACCACAACTCCAACTACGTGGACCGCCACCCTTCAGATCACCGCCTCACCTACGAGGCATCCTCCGGCCCTCCATCAACTCAAAACCTGGCTCAACCGTCATTGCGTCGCGCTCAGAGCCTACGTCAGCAACAACAGCAGCAGCAACCACAGCGCGACCGACAGAACCCTGAGGATTCACAGCCTCGTCGGAAAAAGGCCGGGGGCATATTTCAGCGCCCAACCTCCGGCTTTATTGATCGCAATTCCTCCGTCAAAGGGATCAGACAGGTTTCGCAGCCCCTCTCGCAGCCAAGCTCCCCCCGACACGCCCCACCCTTCGATACGCAAGATCAACATCAGAACATATACCCAGAGGACGAGTCTCCAACAGACCCGCCCGCTTATGAACCGCGGTCGGCATCACTAGCCTACCAGCAGCAGCACCTACAACACTCTCAACGATCCCTGCATCAATCCCACCCTTCCGTCAGTAGTGATATCCAGGATTGGACACAACAGTCAGAACCACAACAGGGACAGCTCCTTATTCCCCCAGGGCTCGAACGCACCAATACCGATCCAACGTTGGTCCAGCAATACGGCCGACCCTCACCGACTGAGCGAACCCCGGATTCTCCACGCTACCTCCCTGACCACGGCCACCGGGGTCCGACGCTGTCTCGCCCTGAGCACGATCTGGTATTAAATACTTCCCGGCCCCCTTCCCGGCAGACTTACGAGTCCCTTTCCCCAAGTCGTCAGCAAAACCCTCCTGACGCCATGCAGCAGGCCTCACAGGCGACACCACAGGCCCAATCCACTGATCGATCGGGGCAAGAGCGCAGGGGAAGCACCGCCCAGAACATGCCAACAGAACACACCCGGAACACGCCAGCTGGGCCACGGACGCGCGATGACTTGGAGAACCTTGATGTTCGGGCATTGATTCAGAAACATGATGAACTACGTAAGTCTGAGACCAGATGCATGTGTGGAATGATATTGACGGGGATTGTAGAGAGTAAATACTCCAAGGTGAAGCGTTACTATTTCGAGAAGGAGGCACAGGTTCAGCATCTCCAGAACACCGTCGCACACCAACGGATGGCTGTTTCTCGCACTGTGCTCGATGACAATGAATATACAAACCGATTCCAGCGACTGGACGGAGCCATCAAGGACCTAGCATTCTCCGTGCGGAAGGACTGGCGGATCATTCCCACATGGCTGCATGGTCTTGTAACGGACGATGCCCTGACGGTGGGAACAAAAGAAATGATGGCGTTAGGACGTGCAGTAGTCAGTCGCTGGTTGATGGAAGAGGTATTCCAACGGCACTTTCATCCAGGGCTGGACCCTGGTCTGAGTATTCAACTGAAGTCGATCGAGATGAACCTGCGACGACAGCAGATGCGACCAGTCACAGACGAGGACCGTGAAAATGCCATTGCCAAACTCTCCAACTGGCGCCGCACTACCTTCGACGGTCTAGGTGATACCCTGGCGAACCCCACCGCCCAGGAGCACCGCGCCGAATTGATCGAGCATTTGACTGTGGAGCTAGCTACCTTCCTCAGCACACAGCTGCAAGACCAAGCACTCCCAGGACTGGAGGCCGGTGTGCGTATGATCATCGAGAACACCATCAACATCATCGAAAAGATACCGCTAGAGGCCCGTGATGTCTGCGTCGAGTACTTCCCACCCAACATCTCCTTCCACGATAACTACATGAAGGTTGAAGGTCAACTGCCACCACTCACGCACCAACCCCCTCCGCCAGCGGATCTGGAAGTCGACGATGAAGGCGATTCTTCGCCGGCCTCGAACTCCACGGGACCTTGCGCAGACGGGGCACCCCCGCCCCACGCGAACCTCGGAGAAGGTCCGTCTTCGGTGCCTTAATGGGTCGCCGACCCGCCGACCCACCCACTCGTCCAGCGGGTGGAGAAAAGACAGAGCAGGCTGAGCCATCTCGCATCCGCTTCGCCTCATTCCTCACCGTCGAAGTACGCGGCAAGGGACCTGCGACTGTCCTGATTAAAGCGCCGGTATGGCTGATCGAGTGAATGCCCAAAAGCGAAATATTTCATGACCCTGAGCGTTGTATATAATTGATAGTTCCACGACTATGTGGCATTGATGACAACCATGATCGCATTGATATCCCATCGAGTTTCTTTTTGTGGCGGTTGTTTGATCTTTGGGAATCTTTTATATCTTTTTGAATTTAGCCGGCTTTGATCCAATTTATCGCTTTGCTTGCCAAGGTGTTCTTTCATTCAGTGTTTCCTACATAGTGATAATTTTGGAATCCTCCACCCGGGCAGCCTGATATATAACCCAGCTTTTCAAGATACCATCCCACCGAGTACTGGGCTCATGCCCTGATTATAGCTGGCAATCACATAGTCGATTTCGAACGACCCCTGGACCCGAATTATGTTGCATAGTTTTTCTAGATATACTTACGAATTCTCTATCACGAGGAGGGATTTACTAGAACTCAAACTATGCGCGCGGTAAACTAATAATTACAACTAGCGCTCCATAAAAACCCCACTCCAGCATATTTTTAAATAGTTCATGTGACAATAGGGACTATGCAGCGCTATTAGAAACGGACCCTCTATGCCAAGTGTGGGGTTGAGACAACCTTGGAAGTTGCGGAGTCCGACCTAAAATGACATCACAAGTACGCTTCTACTGGATAATAATACTATATTAGAGTATAGAGTACGGGACTATCCGTAGTATATCATAATAGACGATTATAAACATTCATGGACCTTGGAAACCCAATGCGGGCATGTCTGCTATAACTGGACATAGGAATTAACCTCTCGGCAAACCATGTTACTTGCGTACGTACTACACATGCAGTACAACCTTGAGAAACTCAAATATAGATTGGAAAAATCATATTCAAATAATCATATATATTCAGTCTGGTTATATATACCTTAAGGTATCAACTAAACAATCACAATGGATGACATGACACCCAACCCGGGATAATAACAAATATATACAAGAACCCACATGTGCAAACCCACAACATGCTTTTTGAACACGCGACAGGGCCAAATGCAAACTAATCGGGGGATCAAAAAAAAATTCATCGAAGAGAAAATAGTTCCCGGGTATAGCGCCTCGCTGATGAGATGAAAAAAACAAACAGAAAGTCCCAACGGAAATAAAAGTCAATGTAAATGAAAGGCAATGTCGTTGCTGAATGGCAGATGAAATCGCAAATCGCAGTTGAAACATCGAAAATGCTGAAAAGACACGACATAATTATGTGGTGATTGCCCTTTTCTACCCTAGTAAGGGAGGAGGAAAGACGGTCTTATTTAGACGGTAAGGCCGTGCTCGTTAGCTGCCTGCTGCAAAACGCGAGGCCAGCGCGAGATAAGCTCGACATCATCCAGGATGCCCTTACCCTGGTTACGCACGTACTGAGTGCTAGGGTCGACACGTGGCTCCCAATCCCAGTTGCGGGGCGTACCCTCGATCAAAGCGGAGTAGACCAGACGACGACGGCGCTGCGAGGTCAGGACATCCTGGCGGATCTTCTCCAGATCCCAGCGTGCGTGAACCTCCTCGGTGAAGTAGGCGAGCATCTTGGCGGGGTCGGTAGTGTCCGGGAGACTCTGGAACTTGGCAGGGCTAGGGGTGCGTGGGGGTGTAGGCGTGGGGAAGGGGTAGCCGGCGTTCTCGCCAACACGCTGGGGGATGGGAGACACGCGAGGAGTTTCGCCGGGCGTGGGGAGAGATGCAGGCACACCCAGAGGATTGGCGGACTTCACTGCGAGAGGAGGGCGGGGGGTTGATGGGGTAGAGAGGCCAGCTGCCAGGTTGATCTTCTCCTCTGGGTCGGCCGCCACGTTGAACAGCATGGGCGGGTCGATGGTGGAGTAGATGAACTTCCAGCAGCCACGGCGGATCATGATCAAAGGAGCTTGGGTACCTTCGCCCATGTACTCGCCATAGACGGTGTCGGTACGAGGGCCCTCGCCGCCGGTCAAATAAGGCATCAGAGAAACACCGTCAAGGGGCAATTCCTTGATGAGAGGAGCGCCAACCAGATCGACAAACGTAGGGAGCATATCCATAGTAGAAACATTCTCCTTGATGCGCTTGGGCTCGAACAGCTTGGGGGCGTAGAAGAGCATTGGCACGCGGGCCGAGTTCTCGAACCAAGTCATCTTGTACCACAGACCACGCTCGCCAAGCATGTCACCGTGATCACCAGTGAAACAAATGATTGTGTTCTCATCCAAACCAGTGTTCTCCAAAACCTTCAGCAGCTTGCCAATGTTGGTGTCAACGTAAGTGCAGGCAGCGTAGTAGGAGCGGCGGGCAGCACGAATGCGGTCTTCCGGCATCTTCTTGCCCCAAAGGTCAATGCACTTCATCACACGCTGGGAGTGGGGATCCTGCTGGTCGTCGGGAATGTTGCCGTTCTTAGGAAGCGGGATGTCGACATCTTCGTACATGTCCCAGAATTCCTTGGTCATGGCATATGGGTCGTGGGGATGGGTCATCGACACTGTCAGACAGAAGGGCTGGTCAGTGCGCTGACGCACATGGTCGTACAAGTACTGCTGCGACTTGTAGATAACCTCCTCGTCAAAGTCCAATTGGTTTGTGCGCACCACCGGACCCGCATCCATCACCGAGGCCATGTTGTGGTAGTAGTCCTGGCGGATTTCCTAGAGAATTGTCAGTACTGCTTCGCTATTCACGGAATTTCAAGGTTACCTACCGGCTCATCCCAGTTCACGGACCAGCCGTAGTCACCGGGGTAGATATCGCTCGTCAGACGCTGCTCATAGCCGTGCAACTGGTCCGGACCGCAGAAGTGCATTTTACCGGCCAGAGCCGTGTGGTAACCCTCTCGGCGCAGGTAGTGGGCATAAGTCGGAGTGTCCGCGGGCAGATCGGCAGCGTTGTCATAAGCACCAATCTTCGAGGGCAACTGGCCGCTCACCATCACATAGCGAGAAGGAGCACACAGCGGTGAATTACAGTAGGCCGAGTCAAAAGTCACACCACCCGCCGCCAAACGGTCCAAGTTAGGGGTCTTGATGGGCGAGTCCTTGTCATGCAAGGACAACAAGGGTGCGGCCATCTGGTCGGCCATAATGTAAAGGATGTTAGGCTTCTTGTTCGCCATGATGAAGGATGCTAGTATTCACGATGGCCTACGGCAGAACAAAGAAGGTTTGACAGGAGATGGGTTTAAAAGAAAAAGAAAGGCCAGAACCAAGGTTGGGGAGGATGGGGCTTCATATAACAATCCCAAAAGTGGCACGTGTGGGGAATCAATCCCCCAAAAAAAAGATAAAAAAAAAAGAATGGAAAAGAAAAAAGTTTTTTTTTTTCTATGATTGATAAGAAGGTCCGAGAGTATCTACAATGGCCCAGGTTGATCAGGAAGAGATTAGCAAGTGGGAATTGTATTGCGCTTACAAGCGCGAGTATTGCCCACGGGGTTATACTTCCCAAACCCACCATGTCACTGTGCATTCCAGACCGCCATGAAAATCGCGTGCAAAAGACTGCAGGCCCAGATCTTTCCCCGATAAATCCACAGTAGCGGCTGTACTACTGCATGGAAGATCAGGGGAATGATCCGGCACTGACGTATCCTGAAGGCGCAAGATAGCACAATTCGAGAGTGCGATGGTGTGATTGACCCAGAAATGGAGACGACGCGGTGGAAGGAGTGGCGTATTGTATTGTATTCGTAATCGTATCAAGTTTGGGTCAGTTGGGTCATGTGGCTCATTGCCTATTATTGATCTGAAAAGTCAGGAATGGGTGTCCTGCTCGAGAAATCGAGTCCTGTCCACTCAGAGGCTTGGAAAAAGGAGGTTTGCTGGCCCGCAGAAGTCCCGGGACACCGTGATTGCCGAGTTGCCACCAGTGTAACAAGGCCGATACGTCCGTAATACCGCCAGGCGTCGTAATATTGCTCTCTGATTCCCACCCATCTGCCCACTCCCGACTAGCATGAAGCCATTAATTTCACTCGACTGTTTCAGCCATATTTGAAGCCGGTGCCTTTTTTCTCGGAGTCCACTCGACCCCGGAGTGGACAGGAAGCTTCGAACGCTGCCGTTGGCTCCGCGACAGACCCTTGTAACGGGGACGATCCAAACCGACTATCAATGCAAAGTCTAAGACCCACCGATCTTGTCATCGCGTTCGCAACCAATCACCACAAAGGTGTTGCCCCTGGTATTACCGAACTCAGTTAGCATGAATCCTTAGGGGGGTTTAGGGGCAGGAGCTCCACTTGCTTATCTTGAGAACCAATCACAGGGGAAAGAGCGCAACCGCAAATTGAAAGAGTGACGAAGCGAAGAATGCCTGTGAAGGACCCGCGGAGTAGGCCGACAAGTGGGACAACAAGCGGTGTATACGTGCATGTCCACGCTGACACGGTCGCGCAGCGAATGTATCAATTCAATCAATACCTTCGGAAACACGCAATACACATCTAAATGAGGCATTGGAAGGGATCTGCATTTCTCCAGTTGTTTCATGAGCAATCCCCCCTTTCAATCACGTCATGTGGCCAGTCCACATCGAACCCCCAGAGACCCACCTCCAAGTGCCCAGATGAGCTGCTTTCTGATCCCCGGATTGCCAAGTGGTCACCGCTAGTCTTTCGTGGCGGCTCTTCCGGGAAAGGCTGAGAGAGGTTGCAGTGTCTCCACCTCGACACGTTTGCATTTCGTGGCGGGACCGGATCACCCGATGCAGAATGGCGCAATCAGAGGCATCGCATCCAATGACATACTCGAAGTTATCCTGCATATGCACTGCCTTCGTCACAAAACATGGAAATTAAACCTCCGATCTACTGCATGGAAAGGAGTTGGAACATTTTGACCTGTTTTTGCGGTTTTATTTTTCACATCAATCACTGAATCAAAGTCAACTACCGCCACTGCATTCTGTTCCCATTCTGTTCGCAGTCTCGAACTGAGCATATCAATATGGTCCATGTGACCTCAAAATCAAAACCCAACAGACTCGCGTAACGATAAACCAGAATGAATGTAAATGCAAACTTCCCAAAGCTCGAAAAACAAGAACGGAATCAAAACCGAAATCAAGAACGAAATCAAAAAGAAAACTTAGAAAGGAAATCCGAATCAAGGCCATACGTGCCTCGCCAACCCATCATCCAGTCGACTATGATCATTGGAAGAAGGATTCAGGCGCCAAGAAAATTGGACCAAGTGGGAAGTGACCCGGAGGGCGAACCCCGAATCACCTTCAATTGTGGTAGGCCCTAATCCTCAGAAAGATCCGACACTCATGTTCCATTAGCTCCCTCTCCCATTCGCCGGGACGATTGCTACCCAACCTAATAAGAGGTTCATGGTCATCCTGACGCTTGTGGGGAGGCAGGTGTTTGCCATACCAGAAGACAAGGTCCCGGCAGGCCATTGCATCCTCGAGGCTGTCCAGCCCAAACCGACCCTGCTGAATATTGCGCTTGAGATGCACAAAGGCAAGTCGTTTCAAAGTCCGATTCTTTTCTTTCGAGGCCGGCATGCGTCCCTCCAGCTCATGGGTGTCAATGACCTTTCTGTGGGCCCACCGGAGATGGATCAGCTCTTTCTGGCCTTCGTGCAGAACGACATAAGTGTTTGGCGTGACAAAATCCCAAAGACGTTGAAGAGCTTCTTCACGACCTTCTAAGCAGAGGCCCCTGGCGTGAGCCTTGTGCATCATTTCCCAAGTAATGCAACTGTTGCTGGAGTCGAGGTGTAGCATGGGATTGTTGGGCCACACAAGGTTATCAATGAGGACTTGGCCGGAATAGAGGTCAACGACACTGAGGCGAATCAACTCTTGTTCCCCCCAACGGTTAATTCCCGTTTTGAGGGCCACTACCACGCCAGAGCGGGTGTTCGGTGGGATCGGAAATCTGTCGGGAGTCTCGTGGAAATGCCACTCAGGCCCATTGCCTGGGTGGCTTGGATCATATTTGTGCATGCCCATCTGGACTTCTCGCAGGTGGTCCCATCTCAGAGCACATCCACGTGTGAAAACGCTCTGGTCACAACACGTAAACACCTGCTGACTGGTTAGAGCTTGGTTCCAAAAAAAGCAAAAACAAAAGAGTTTCACTGACATCATCTCGAGGCTCACCAGGGTGATACAGGCAGTTTGGGACCCGGCTAGCACCCCGCCCAAATTGACCGGGCTCGTGTTCGGCAGATACGAGTACCTGGTAGGTGAGCTCACCGTGGTCAGTCTGACACTTGTATGAGACGACTTGATCACTGCCATCGTTGGTAGTTGGGACCTCGTGGGTTTTACATTCGCCTTCTTCAGCGTTATGACAAGCACATTTGGCTTTTCTCCCAACTCTAATCACAGTAGAGTCTTCCTGAGGAAGTCCTTTGTAAAGCCTGGATGCTTCCTGGAGAAGTTCAAAAGCCTTCTTGCTAGTGGACCCGTTCCCGAAGTTTCTCTTGAGAACTGTCACCGGATGTCAGCTATGACAGAAAATATGGGAAACGAAAAGACAGTAAGAGAAAACTCACGGAAGCAGCGACAACAGCGAGCTTTTTTTGGGTTTATCCAACCACGCAACCAGGGATGAAACCGGTAGTCCAATCTGGCTTGGTCTTGTGGCTTGAGGTAGAGACCACGCATGATTGCCATGATCGGACGTGTCTCTTCAATATCCTCCAGCACACGAGGAACACGCTGAAGGTTGAACAGCGGATGATCTGCACTATTGTACTTGATGGGAGCCATGGTTGCTGGCATGATGAAACTTCTGTCTTTTCTGAAGCTTGAAACGTTCAAAGCTCGAAGCGAAAGAATCGGAAAGATGAATGGAGATGAGAACAAAGACCGTTCAAAAGTCACCGTCCTTATCTATGCTCAAGGGTAGAGACAAGGAAACAACTTCCAGTGAAAGACTCGGGTTGAAGGGACAAGATTCGAGGCTCACGTAGTAAAGGGACTCTGGAAGGGATGTTAGACTTGATGCTTGGTACCAGAAGGTTTGTGAAGAGAGAAACATGTAGAGAAGGATGATCAAGGAAGGAGGCGGAGGAAGGAAAATCGTCAAGGGTGGGAGGTCAAATACATGGCGATGGTGGTGTGAAAGCTTTGCGATGATGGCGTGAAAGCTGTGCGATGATGGCGTGAAGAAGTAAGGCGAGTCACGTACAATGACGTGCAGTAGAGAAGAATGAAAGAGAGAGATAGGTATGCTAAACGTAATGGCATTCACAATGAAGAAATATCAAGAAGGAAGATAATTGAGCGCCGGCGAGGTAGCTAAAGTACACAAATCTGGCAACAGCCCATGACTATCCAACCCGATGTCAGCCAACCATCACACGCTAACACTCGCTTGCCTGGAATTGCAAAAAGCGACAGATTGACTCGAGTCGGACAGATAGAAAAAATAAAGAGATTATGAAGGGAGAGGAGGGTAGATGAACGAGGATCGTCTTGATGAGCACAAGCTGGTGATAAGGGAGTCGAAAATAAATGCAATGAAAAAGACAGTATACGCCGTGGTGGTCAGCTGAATCACCGATGCTTATCAAACAGATTACTTCGTTAAGAGGCGTGGTCGGTTCCAGTGTATTTGTGGTGAAAATATCGAGGTATTTCTAGTCAACCTTGATCGCGCTATAGACACGACGGACAAAGGCGTATGCAGCCAGGAATCCGACGGTTCCAGTCAACAAGAAATACACTGTACAGGCGAGGAAGCTGTAGCTGAAGAACAGCAGGGTAGACACAAATCCAGTGACGTGCAACTTGAACATATAGTACCAGATGCAGTAGGCGAAGATCCAGAAGGCACTGCTGCCACCTGTCAAGAAGCTCTGCCACCACCAGTGGTAGTTCTATAAGGAATGAGTTGATGTACCGAAAACCAATGGTTCGGGGAAACTTACCTCAGAGCAGAGTTGGCTATATGTTGCAATGACAGTCACTTCAATGACGGTGACTATCAGCACTGCAGATACCGCACTCAGGAAACCAAACACGTAGTAGTAACCACTCTTATCCTGCCATAGATTCTTGAACACAAACAGCAATTCAATGAAGAGAACAGCAAATGGGACCAATCCAGTCAAAAGGGGACCAGCGGGACTACTCAGATACCACGGCTGGGGAGGGACTTGTCGAGCAATAGCGTTTGTCTTCAGAGGGTGTTCCCAGGGCTTCGCTCGCACATACCCAACCCAGCTACCAAGGTAGACAAGGGGAACTTGAATGAGCAGCCAGAGAGCCAGCAAGCCAATCAATGTACCGAATGGGATCGCCGTGCTGGAAGCCTGAGTCCAGACAAACAGATTCAAGATCAAGACAAGAAGGAATGTCAGTCCGGGGAAAAGCAAGGCAGTCTGGGAATGAAGTCAGTACAAAAATCTTCACGATGCCATTTTGTGACCGATCCACCTACAATCAAGGTATTCTTCCGCCATGCAGTTCCACTGAAGGTCTTATAGAGTCTTCCGGAGAAGTAACCAGAAAATAATCCAGCAAACACAAACAGGCCCATGCCGACACTGACGAATCCGCCGCGGAAACTGGGATTCAAAACTCCCAGGCAGCTAAGCGCAAGCAAGCCAGTTGCCATAAACAATAACTGCATGCCCGAACCAACCAATGGCGCCAAAAGGCCGCTATATGCTGGAATTCGGAAAACATCACCGTGAAGAAGCTTCCAGCCGCTAGTGTCCTCGAGAGGTTCGTCATCAGAGGACATATCAGCGTCATTCTCCACATCGGCATTGTCCAGCAGTCCTTCCTTTTTCTTCTCGCTGCGCTTCCGGCGAGACTGGCCCTTCAGCTTTCGGTCCTCCATAGCTCCATCACCACGGCCCTTGATGTCGCCTTGCACAGTCCGGCTCCAGATCACGAAGACAGTCGCACCGAGTACAGTGGAGATGATCAAGGAGTTAACAATTGCCAGCCAGTGTGTCATTGAGCCTTCCTCCTGGTTCGTAAAGTACAGATCCCAACGGTTGGCCCAGTCAATCTTTGGCTCCTCGCGAAAGTAAACGGAGTAGGTGTACGGAATGCTCAAGGTAGATCCATCGTCATCGTCATCGTCATCCTCGGGAATGTATGATGAGCCAGGGTATTTTTCCTTCAGCTTTGATTTGTCTGGGGCAATATACAGACCAAGCCCTTCATGATCCGCGTGGATGTCTTTCGGACAACCACCTTCTTTCCGATCGGCAGCGGAGACACTTTTTGGATAAACCTCAAATCCATTAATCACCTTGCCTCCCTCCGGTGCGCTCCGCCAGCGGATGACAATCGTGAAGTGGTTATTAATGAAATAGCGCGATCGGCCGGTAGATGGGGAGATGTCCGTGTAGCCCAGCTTGAATCCGGAGGCGTAATATTTTCGGCTTCGGTCAACGGTCACGAAGCTTGTCGCCCCAGGTAGGTTGTCCACAATCCACTCGATCACATAATTCTCCTTGATGAGGTTGCGAGCCCACTTAACATTTGAGCGACTGACCTCACGAGTGCAAAGTGCTTGGCATTCCACGTCCTTGCCCATTGTGAGCTCGAAATCAGAAGTCATGATGCGATCGCCGCGCAGCACCTCACCCAGATTGAGGGAAATGCTTTGACCGGATCCAAAGGGTGAGCCGCCATGTGTCTTACCACTCGGAGGGCAGACGAAGGGGAGATCAAAGTAGGCATACTGGAGCTGCGTGTGGTCGGAGAAGATTTTGTTGACGAGGAGTGGAATTGGCTCGTTATCATTGTACCGAGTGACTGAATATCCTATGGAAGAGACGCCATGTTAGCGGCGCCTGGGTACCTTCGTTTGATTGGGAGAAGCTTACCAGGGATGTAAAAAGCACATGCACAGGACACGAACGATAGCACTAACAGCGTCCAGGCACCAAGGCCGAGCGACGTCAACGTCGCCATAGTTGCTTCAAAGTCAGATCCTGTCCTGTTTGCTATCTGGATTGGATGTGCTGCTGCTTGTTCCCCATGCACTTAGAACGAGCGCGAGTCTGGTAAGACCGCACGTCAGCGGAGTGCAGATCAGCAGCGGCTAATAGGAGGCAGATCCTTCGATCTTCCAAGGTTCGCCCTGCGAGAACTGACTGACACTTCTCCAAAAAGTCGCCTGGTGAGAAGTATATATGTGATTACCCAGGAGGCGGTAAATGCTCGTTAGGGTGATGCTTGGCAAGCGCTAGGGTTCCAGTCTGGATTGTCTCAGATCGATGAGGGTTCAATTGGGATAATAAATCGTGGAGAATGGGAAAGGGTAAAGAGTGTAATCGGCACCGAATGCCGCAGGTGCCAGCAAAATGGGGATTCGGTGCTCGTCCAGAGAGTTTGAGGGAGAAGCACCGGAGATGATGCTCAACGTGTCTGGAACACCGGAATATCTATCAACCGATGTTTGCAGGACTCTTGAAGCTGCAGCCTTAATCGCCAATCAACGTACCTAAATGAAAAAAAACTTCCATGGGGTATGCAACAGTATTAATTAGATTCGGAAGGTAATTAGGTCAAACCCCCGTGCGCATGTGGTTTGTTAATATGACGCATGCGGTCGGAATATGTCGGCCACAACATACATATTTCCAAAAAGGTTCCTTTGGAACTGGATCGATGGACCCACTTAATGGGGATTCGATTATGTATGTGCTACATAAAGTATCCACCACAGATACATAAATAAAAATACAACCCCCCGAAGAAAAGACTTGATATTGAACCTACATATTCTGGCTAATAAATCTATGGTTGGAATCCAGAACCGAAATGACTTAGATTTAAATATGATTATTCGCTAGGGCCCTGTTGAGGCCGGGCAGAATGGGCATAGTGTAAAAGAAAGATAGATTCACATTCAAGAGTAGGCATGCAACAAGGGGGAATGGGAAAGTCGTCAACTCGGAAGGCCGTTCGGTAGCTAAAAACAAAACTGGCCATGGAATACATAGAGTGGAAAAAATGGACAGCAGAAAAAAAGAGTTGTGAAAAGGACGGAGTTTGCCTATGACGGGTAGCTCAAGAGATATTCCACGGCTCCTTGCACACTACCACCAGTCCGTCGCAAAGCTTCAATGTTTCGCTCAAACTCAAAGAATCCCATATCGTTCAATTGGCGGAGCTGGTCCGCATATCGCTCCTCAGGAGGCCGATTGTCCGCGGGAGGTGGGGTGCCAAAACCACCACCTCCAAACAATCCGGCACCACCCTCGCCACCTTGGCCGCCCATCGCCTGCATCATTTGGTTCATAAGAGCAGGATCGCGCAGAAACGGATTAACGTTGCCGCCCATGCCCGCACCCGCCTGACCTGCACCGCCCTCTCCACCTTGTCCACCCATCGCCTGCATCATTTGGGTCATGAGAGCAGGATCGCGCAGGAACGGATTTTGTTGAGGATTGAAAGGATTCACGTTGCCGCCAATGCCCGCACCCGCCTGACCTGCACCACCGAAGATAGACGGGTTAAGTAACGCTGCAAATGGGTTCTGTGCTTCTCCGGTAGGAGATCGGCCAGTGGTGTTTTGTGTGCCCTCAGTGCCCTCAGTCTGACCAGCCGTTCCTGTGGCGGCCGGTTGGGCTGGAGGGGCAAACGGATTAGCTCCAGGATTGCCCCCGAACAGACTAGCAAATGGGTTTCCCGCGCCCATTTGAGGTAGCTGACCAAATTGACCCATTTGAAAAGGGTTGGGTGGTGTATCTTGTTGCTGAGCGTTCTGATTTCCCTCGGTTGTGTTAGTCACACCAGGAGCTGGGAAGGCGCCTTCACCACCTGCACCACCTCCTCCCATACCCATTGATCGCTGCATTTGCATCATGGAGCGAATAGAGTTGGGATCCGTCAACATACGACGAAATTCTGGGCTCTGCATCATCTGTCGCACTCCAGGTCCCATGTCCCGTAGCATGGGGTTTTGCTGAATCATCATGTCAATCACCTGAGGGTTTTGGAGGGCCTCATTGATGCTCGATTGGAATTGAGGGTTTTCGAGCATGTTTAACATGGTATCGCTATCGGGAGGCGGACCCATCTGTGATAAATAACATGAGTTAGTACATTGTATATCCAGCGGGGTTCCAGACCAGGGCTACATATTGAGCTCACTTACCCCACCATCTGGGCCAAAGAGTCCCGCACCCGGTAGCTGGGCGAACCCAGCATATCGGGCTCCAGTCAATCCAGCTAGAGGGTTGTTGCCAGTACCTGCAGCAAGATTGGTAGGGACACCTGCTGCAGGCTGACTTGAGGCAGTGGCAGCAGGGGTTGCCGTCGAGGTAGACTGGCCGGATGTGTTGGATCGTTGTTGATTGCTTGCAGCACTCTTCACTAAGTGAATGGTATGCCCATCCTTGATTTTGTAAGAATCAAGGGTTTCATCATCCTTCAGAACCCGACCAGAGTAAATCAGACGCTGGCGTTCAGCTGGAGTATCTGCATACTCAGAGCTTGAGAGCTTCTGTTTCAACTCGGAGACAGGAGTAGAAAGAGGGAGGGTGAATGTGTATTTGGCATCAGTTGAGGATTTGACGGTAAAGGTGATGGGAGCATCTTCTGTAGCACCGCTATCGGCCATGGTTGTTTGGGGGATCTGCTGCTGAGTGGGGTGAGGGGAAGCTGAGCCAGCACCAAGGAAATCAAATCCAGATGAATTCTACCAGTGACAGAAGATGAGGCACTGAAGGAATATGTTTCAAAGAGGCAATGGTGTAAAGGAACCAAAAAGTCCAAAGACGTGATAAAGATTTGAATGTAGTCTCGAAGTGGTCTGCCCTAGCGAAAGCGTTCCAAGAGCGTCATTACATAATGGCGGATGATGACAGTTGGAAGGCGGTCGAACCGGATGGTTGGTACCACGTGACAAGCCGAGGAGACAGCTTCGCACTTTTCTATTTTGCTTCTGCTTTCTTCTGCCACCACCACACGTTCGTTCTTCATAGAAAAGCGGCACCAAGCACGGAGTCTTTTCTTTGCTAGTGACTCCACCAAGCAGATATGGGATTGATGTGATACTTCCATCTTCCTGGACTGCAATTGCCCATACTCACGCGTGTCTTTTGCTTGGTGTTGGAGCTGCAAAGCTCTGCGAGCTAATTGCCCACCATGGCTACTACCTCGCATATGTTCATGTACTCCCTGACAATTCAGCCTCCAACTGCGATCACACAGGCGGTTCTGGGCCAGTTTTCTGGAACCAAGGAGCAACAGGTCATCACGGCGTCTGGCTCCAAGCTCACTATCCACCGACCTGACCCGACCCTCGGAAAGGTTACCCCAATCTTCTCACAAGATGTCTTTGGCATCATCCGCTCATTGGCAGTGTTTCGGCTGGCTGGCAGCAACAAAGGTATGTCGTTTTTTTAACCCGAATTTTGCATTTACACGAGTTCAACTTAGTGATTCTTGAAGCTTCCCGGGTAGCACGGTCCTGGTTTTTCGACCCGACCCCTTGAAGGGTGGGGGACCTGCCCTGGCCAGCAACGTGGACGCTGTCAAACCCATAAGCGAAACTTTGCTGAGTCATTCTCCTTTGCAGATTATCTGATCATCGGCTCGGATTCGGGTCGCATCACGATCGTTGAATATGTTCCCTCGCAGAATCGCTTCAACCGTATTCATCTGGAAACATTTGGCAAGTCCGGGGTTCGCAGAGTCGTTCCGGGACAGTATCTCGCGGTTGATCCCAAGGGGCGTGCGTGTTTAATCGCCTCGGTGGAGAAGAACAAGCTGGTCTATGTTCTTAACCGGAATTCTCAGGCTGAACTCACGATCTCGTCGCCTCTGGAAGCCCACAAGCCCCAAACCCTTGTGTTTGCAATGATTTCCCTGGATGTCGGCTACGACAACCCTATCTTTGCTGCTCTTGAAGTAGATTACTCAGAGGCAGACCAGGATCCCACGGGCCAGGCGTATGAGGAAATGGAAAAAGTCCTCGTCTACTACGAACTTGATTTGGGTCTCAACCATGTCGTCCGTAAATGGTCCGACCCAGTCGACCGCACTGCAAACATGCTGTTCCAAGTGCCAGGAGGCGCAGATGGACCTAGCGGCGTTTTGGTCTGCGCTGAGGACAACATCACCTACCGTCACTCCAACCAAGATGCATTCCGCGTGCCCATTCCACGCCGAAGTGGCCCCACAGAAAACCCTGAGCGCAAACGAAGCATCGTTGCGGGTGTGATGCACAAAATGCGGGGCGCATTTTTCTTCCTCCTTCAGACCGAAGATGGTGACATCTTCAAGGTAACCCTTGAGATGGCCGAAGATGAGAATGGCCAAGTGACCGGTGAAGTCCAAGGTCTCAAAATAAAGTTCTTTGACACCGTTCCCGTCGCATCAAGTCTCCTGATCCTCAAGAGTGGCTTCCTCTACGTTGCTAGCGAATCGGGCAACCATCACTTCTACCAATTTGAAAAACTTGGTGATGATGATGAAGAGGTCGAATTTAGCAGCGAGTCTTTCTCTGCGGATCCATCCGCTCCGTATGAACCGGTATTCTTCCGCCCTCGTCCGGCCGAAAACTTGAACCTCATGGAATCGATCAACTCCTTGAACCCATTGATTGACAGCAAGGTCGCCAATCTCACAGAGGAGGATGCCCCGCAAATTTACTCTGTTTGTGGCACCGGCGCCCGCAGTACATTCCGCACTCTCAAGCATGGACTCGAGGTTTCAGAGCTGGTAGAGTCGGAGCTTCGTGCAGTACCTTCTGCTGTTTGGACTACCAAGTTGACGCGATCCGACGAGTACGATCGATACATTGTTCTGTCTTTTACCAACGGAACAATTGTTTTGGGAATCGGCGAGATTGTGGAGGAGATCACCGAGGATTCCGGCTTCCTTTCCACAGCCCCTACGCTTGCTGTCCAACAGCTTGGCGAAGATTCTCTCATTCAAGTGCACCCTCGTGGTATCCGCCACCTCCTCGCGGATCACCGAGTGAATGAGTGGCCTGCCCCGCAGCATCGTTCCATCGTCGCTGCAGCTACAAACGAACGTCAAGTTGCTGTCGCTCTCAGCTCGGGAGAAATTGTCTACTTTGAAATGGATGCCGACGGATCTTTAGCGGAGTATGATGAGCGACGCCAGATGTCTGGCACAGTCACTTGCCTCAGCCTCGGGGAAGTCCCCGAGGGTCGTGTTCGGAGTTCATTCCTGGCTGTCGGCTGTGACGATTCGACTGTCCGCATCCTCAGCCTGGACACGAAGAACATGTTGGAAAACATGTCTGTCCAAGCACTCACATCGGCGCCCTCGGCTCTGAACATCATGGCCATGGCCGATTCGAGCTCCGGAGGCACAACGCTGTACCTGCACATTGGTCTCTACTCTGGTGTATACCTCCGTACTGTCCTTGACGATGTGACTGGCGAGCTTTCAGATACCCGAACCCGGTTCCTTGGAGCTAAGCCTGTAAAGCTGTCGCAAGTTTCGGTTCAAGGTCAAACTGCCGTCCTTGCTCTGAGCTCCCGTTCGTGGCTCGGGTATTCAGACACCCAAACCAAGAGCTTCATGCTCACCCCATTGGACTACGTTGGCCTTGAGTGGGGTTGGAACTTCTCCAGCGAGCAATGCTTGGAGGGTATGGTCGGCATTCAAGGTCGAAATCTACGGTATGTGGTTCACCTAACACTTCCCTTCTTCCCTTCTTCCCTTATTGCCTGCTATGATCATATGATGAAAAAATGGGAACCGAACCTCCATGTGGATCAAAAACATGTTTTTATTTTTCCAATTGTTCCTACTGAGATCAACTACCGTCATTATCAATGTCCCCGACTTGCTATTGCAACGTGAGCATTTTTGCTGACCCATTCTAGGATTTTCTCCATCGAGAAGCTCGACAATAATATGCTCCAAGAGTCGATCCCATTGGCTTACACTCCTCGTCGCTTTGTCAAGCACCCGGAGCAACCCCTTTTCTACGTCATTGAATCCGACAACAACGTCCTCTCTCCTGCAACACGGGAAAGCCTCATCAAAGACTCAGAAGCCCGCAATGGCGAGGCTGCCAGTCTCCCACCTGTCGAGTTCGGCTACCCTCGTGGAACTGGTCACTGGGCATCGTGCATTCAAGTCGTCGATCCAATTTCTGACAAGGAAGTTGTTTTTACCCTTGACCTTGAAGACAACGAAGCAGCAGTTAGTGTTGCCATTGCACCATTCTCCAGTCAGGATGATGAGTCGTTCTTGGTTGTGGGAACTGCAAAAGATATGGAAGTCAGTCCTCCCAAGTCAAAGGGTGGTTTCATCCATATCTACCGATTCTCCGAAGATGGCCGCAAATTCGAGCTCATCCACAAGACGAGCACTGAGGAACCTCCTCTTGCTCTCCTCCCATTCCAAGGCAAGCTGTTGGCAGGCATTGGTTCCATTCTCCGTCTGTACGACCTAGGTGTGAGACAACTCCTTCGCAAATCGCAAGCCCCTGTGGTTCCCCAGACTATTGTTGGTCTTCAAACCCAAGGTAGCCGGATTGTGGTCAGTGATGTGCGGGAGAGTGTGACCTATGTGGTCTACAAACATCAGGAAAACGTCCTGATTCCCTTCGTGGATGATTCTATTGCTCGCTGGACCTCTGCCACGACCATGGTTGACTACGAAACCGTTGCCGGTGGTGACAAGTTTGGTAACCTGTGGATGATGCGATGCCCGAGCAAAGTTTCGGAAGAGGCTGACGAGGATGGATCTGGGGCGCATCTTGTTCACGAGCGGGGCTATCTGCAGGGTACTCCCAATCGTCTTGAGCTGATGGTTCACTACTACACCCAAGACATCCCGACTAGCTTGCACAAGGCACAGCTTGTGGCTGGTGGTCGTGACATTGTTGTCTGGACTGGTTTCCAGGGAACAATTGGAATGTTTGTTCCCTTTGCCAGCCGTGAAGATGTTGATTTCTTCCAAAGTCTGGAGACGCAGCTGGCTACGCAGCATCCCCCTCTCGCCGGCCGCGACCACCTGATCTATCGCGGTTACTACGCGCCCGTGAAGGGTGTTATCGACGGTGATCTGTGTGAGATGTACTTCCTCCTGCCCAACAACACGAAGATGATGATTGCCGCGGAGCTGGACCGATCTGTGCGGGAGATCGAGCGCAAGATCTCGGTAAGTTGCCCCTGGGACCCTCTCGAATGACGTTCATTGACTGACTTGCGCTTAGGACATGCGGACACGGGTGGCTTATTAATTTCGGGCAGTTCTGGCGTCCAATGGCGTTTTCATGCCCTGTTGGCTTCACATAGGTATTAAGGTTATGCTAATTGATATCCCAATTCGCGGTCAAGACCGCTTGATTCTTTTCACTGTGATTCTAGTCCTTGCCTTTTCCGTTTTTCTTCAGAGACGTCTCTTGCCTCGCTCGGTCTGCCGCTTCCCTCGGCTAATCTTGAGCTGGATGCAGTCCAATCACTTCGGTGGTTGGGGTTGTATGAGACAAAATTAAGCGTGGTCTCCACGCGTCGACGTTTTTTGAGTACGGTTTTGTCCGCTTTGCACCACGGATCTACACCGTAATTTATCTGTTGGGACATCTCGTAAGTGCCATTGGCATATACATAGTCAAAGATATAGCCAATTGAACCATGAAAAAAAAAATCTTCTCTATCCACACTTTTTTTCACCTGTAGCTACCGAATAACCTTGGAATCGGAATCGGATCACGTAAATTACGCCGATCTCAACCTGGGCCGACAAAAGCACCGAGATTTAACTACCTGCATCAAGGACTTCCCCGTCCACGCCGAAGAAAAGAACCCACTCGGCATCCAGACAACTCGGTTACGGTCGGAAAGATCTGGATCTTGCCGAACGGCTACCGTCGTCCGCGGGAAAGTCCTTGATCACCTCATCGCTTCAGAACTTGCTTTATCAGTCTGTCAAGCACGATTATGCCCTAAAAACAATGCAAAAAGTATTGTCCTGTTTTGCTTTTCTGCTTTCAAATCCCGTGTTTGGTCAGCAGGCCTTTCCGCGTGCATGATGGAAATGATTGGCCACATCTAAAGCCATGACGCCCTGCGCATGACGCCGGGGAATGTGAGTGGGCCAGCCGAGTCGTCCAAACACATGTGGAGCCACCAAGGGCGTGCATGTCGGCGTAAGGCGCACTCCACCGGTCTTCTAGGTTCTGGAGTTTGATCCCGATATCGCATTTGCAAACCCTGACAGATGTTGAGGCTTGAGTCCAGAGCTTTCAATTTGCGATACGAAGACAGAAACTGCGAATCCATGGGTAGAATCGGATCGAATCCCAGCACAAGGGATTCTCTCCCTGATCGGTCAGAGGAAAAGCGCCCGAAAAGTATAGCTTGAACTGGGAATGTCAATCCAAGGGCGTGAGCATGGACCAAGATGTATAAGCCAATCATGCACGATTGGGTACGGGGGCCTTTTCTATGGGTCCTTTACACCCCAACTCCCTTTAACTGCTTAGACGGGTTCGATTTCTCTGTGTTAGTTCCCGAATGAGTCACGAACGATGAACTGTCAGATGGAAATGCTGAATGCTATGATTGGTAAACGCATCTCTGACGATTCTGTGATCCTTTGTACTTTGTATAAAAGCGGGGGTGATGCCCCTCCCCTTGTTATACATACGCGGTTGTTCACGGCTCCACTTTCTACTTTTTTTTTTTACCCTTAAGATATATGAGGAATCCAGTGATAACTTCACCTTTTCTTTTCTTTCCCCCATTCTCCAAGTGACGTGACTACCTTGGATTTTCGTGGTTCCTCCGGGAAACAGGGGTTTGCTTGTCTCCTGCCGTACATTCCACCATCACAAAACAATGGCAACCTCTATTATGAGTCGTGGCTCGGAAGGGCTAGATGTTTTTGCTCGGCGCTCAACTCCTAAGATTGAGATTGATCTCGAAGGACAAAAGCCTGGTCTGGTGAACTCTTACACAACAGGAGATTATATCGAAGGCACTGCCAAGATTACTGTTGACCAGGAGACGCGTTTTGATGAAATCGAAATCATCTTGCAAGGTAATTTCTACAAATTCACAAGATAGAGTATCTGTTACTGATATTTCCAAAGGAACCTCGCACACTACAGTAGAACGAGCGGCATGTCCCGGTCGTACAGGTTCACAGCAGATGTTCCTCAAACTTCGCCAACCGATTCAAGATGCCGACTACCCTACCCCTCGAGTACTAGAAGCTGGTTGCACATACTCGTTTCCCTTCACATTTGTGGTCCCAGCCCGCTTGCTGCCCCAGGTTTGCTCGCATGCGAAGAAGAACAACCACATCCACCGATCTCACACTATGCTTCCACCGACATTGGGAGATTCTATGGTCTCTGCAGATGGAAAGACTCTGATAGATGACATGTCACCGGACATGAGCCAAATCGCATACATTGTTCGTGTCACTGTGTTGAAGAGATCGGGCCACCATGAGAACAAAACATTGGCAAATGTTGCCAAGAAGGTCCGCATTATCCCCACTGTGGAGGAGGAACCGCCCCTCAACACGGTGGATCATACCAACTACTGCACCCGCAAAGAGAAGACCGTGAAGCGTGGTTTCTTGCGCGGAAAGCAGGGTCAGCTTGTCGCCGCGGCCTTGCAACCCAAGCCGATTCGTTTGCTTCCTCCAAGTTGCGAGACACACGATACAGTTAGCACAGTGGCAAAAGTGCAGCTTCGATTCGACCCCGTAGGCAATGAGCAGCCACCACGACTAGGTTCGATGACCAGCAAGATCAGGGCAAGCACATACTACAGCGCAAACCCCTGGGACGATTTCCCATGCCAGTCAGGCTCACTGGTATCACAAATTGGCCAGGGTCTATTCACCGACACTATCTCCCTATCGAGCATGTGTGTGGCTTCAGCCAAATGGGAAAAGCATTCCTCAAATGAGCGCCGTGATTCTGTCAACTCAACCTCATCATCTTCCACTGACTCCTCCGATGACTCAACCGGCCCCTCTGCTTCCTTCACTGGAGATACCTATTACACCGCTTCTCTTGTTGTCCCCGTATCACTACCAAGCTCGAAGACCTTCGTGCCGACCTTCCACTCGTGTCTGATGTCTCGCACATACTCGCTCGATTGGTCTTTATCATACCACACCCCAGGAGCCAATGTTCTGACCCCGACAATTTCGCTTCGACTCCCAATCCAAGTGATCACCCAGCCCAAATACGCTGATTCAACCAAGTCGGACTTGGGTTTGATTGTCACGCAAGAGGAGTTGGATGAGTTCTTCCGCCCACGATCTATGAGCTTAGCCTCGAATCTGGTTGTCGATGTGGCAGAGCCGCCCCAGTACTCGGAACGACCAAGGCGGCGCAGTGTGCGAGCTACCCAATAACTGGGCCATCACATTCTACAAATGTTTTATTTCCTTTTATTTCCAATTTTTGTTTGGACTGGTTAATACCCTGCTTGTTATGCTTACCATAAAAAGTTCTTGTTTCTACACGGCGTTTACGACTGACATGGCCTCGATTTCTCATTTGTTTGCATATACCCCTGATTGTTAAACTTCTGCTTGTATAAAACCTAATACCAAATACAATTCAACAGTATAAAAAAATGATAACGGAACGTAGTTAACTTGATCTCTTCCCTAACTTAGGTACGGAACCGAATGGCAGAACATGATGACTCAGTACATTTAGAGACAAGTGACGTCACATGCGGCTGCATATCGAAATTTGAAGGTACTGTACAAATTACAATCATGATGTTGAGAGAACAAGTATGAATGGTGGCAAGAGAAATATAGCCATCAGATAGTTAGATGGGTACAAAATTATGCTTAAGGCCCTGCCACAAGTATTAATATGGATGGGTCTATGTCTTCAGTAAATCAAAACCCGGTGTAAAGAGGGATCTTTGTTGGATCGATCACCCTCCGACGCATATACATCAAAGGGCAAACATCATGCGTAAAGAAGCAATTCAATTGACGGGCAAAAATCTCGTAGATGGAGTCAATCTCAACTCTCATGAAGCCCCGATACTGCATGTTGCAATAGCTTTGACCCTCCACGTAATGAGGATCAATGACTCCCACAAAGCCCTGCGGAGCGCAGCTACCCCTGTTATTTTCAGGCTCCTCGAAAGTATTCCTGATGCAAACACGCCTCATCAATGAAAAGGCATGCAGTGGATCTAGCTTCGCCTTCTCCGACAGATAAGCCGATTGATTCCAGATAGGTGACGAAATCAGCACGGATCTGTTCCACCGATGCACCGTCCCAGCGTTCTCGATATTCAAGGGTGACGTTTTTGAGTGTTCCTTTGAGAGTTCGTTCAGGGCTTTTATCTGTGCATTCCTTCCCGTGTATGTCGATCTCCCAGCGGACGGATCCCTCGATTTTGTTCAGACAAGCGGCCCATACTTGATCTGACTCCGAAGTATAGACTGTGCGATAAATCATGGAGCCTTAAGGCCACTTGATACCGCTCATGAACCTCACAGATGTACATTTCCTGTCACGATACCAGCCCTGTTGGATCCAGCGGGCTCGGCGTTCATCGCAAGAATCGGCAGATTCAGGATGACTCCAGCGCTCGGGTCACGAAGGGTGTTGGAATAAGTCTTCTTCGGCATCTTGAGACATGACTCATGGAATGTGTTGTGTTAGGTGGCACGATGGTGAGGTTGAGCACATTGATCGAAAGGTTGGGGAGGTAGACAGACCCCTATGAAGTGCCTTGGCAAAGTCCATGGTTGCCTTAGAAGCGATAGTAAGCGAGATGAATCGAAATGCTGGAGCTATAACCAATATTGACACCCAGAGTGGATTAGGCCGATGAAACCAACCACTCTGGACAGATCACGTCGCAAGTCTGATACGCTCCATCTTTTCCAAGATTTCAACCGCGGAAGATGGAGTCAATCCAGATAGTAAGATTCTTAGATGTTCCTTTAGGCTGGGAATCTCTCTTGCTTGTGGCAACTTATAGTATTGGGAGGGTGCTGGCCTTTGATGGCTGGTCTGGAAAGCATCGCTGTGGCGGATAGCGTGGGAGTAGAAGACTGAATTACCAGACTTTATTGAGACAATTCTTCAATACCTCTCGTTGTAACCATTATTGTTTTAGAAATCGACACTCGATTCTCTGGAATTGCTCCGATTCCTACTGAAGGTGGCGCATGTTAAATAAACTACTATTAAGGTTGCGGCGCTTCCCGCTATCCCGCTTGTTACCAACGTGGCCATCGTTTTTTTGGGGGGGGGGATATTGTAAACCGACTCATATCAGATTCCTCGTGTCACTTGATCCTGCTGCGCCAAAGAATCAATATTGACTTCTTTTTCCACTCCCCTCCCCTTTGTTCACCTTCTGTCACCCCACGCATCCACCGCTCCGACATTCGCTGTCGTCCACCCACAATCATGCCGCCAACCGCAGCAATCACAGCTACACAAAAGGTGTTCCTGATACCAGAACTTGTTGCTGAGATCCTTTACTGGCTAGCTGGGACACTTCGGAATGCGCCCCATCTGAGGAACTGGTGGGCAAACAACCATTCACGACATCACCTGGCGGCTCAGTACATCACAATAAACCGGGTATTTTTCTCAGAATCTGTCCGACTCCTTGGGAAAATCCCTCTGCACACCCTTCACCCACAACGAAAAAGCCATAATTTACCACTACTTCCACGTTTTGAAATAATCACATCTCGTGATCGTGCACAATTCTACGCAGATTCCCTCGAACAAGCCCGAATCACCTCCGTCAGACACTCGAAGATCCGGAAGGCCAATGCAGCATTCAAAGGAATAACCTTCCCAAAGCTTCAACAGCTAGAGCTGAAAATCAATAACTATGTCCGGAGTGTCAATATTCCAATCATGAGGGCCCCAGCTTTGAAATCCCTGAGAATCATCTTTGACGAATACGCGGATCCTTGGACCGCCCGAAATGATGACCTGTCCTATCGTAATGCTGTCAGAATGGCAAAGTGGATCAAGGTGCGTACTTGTATTTGGGTGTTCAAAAACGATAGTACGAGTATTAAATATTGTTGATTAGGAGTCTTTTCCTGAGCTGAGAAGCGTGCTTTTCCAAGCCAACATCCAAACGAGTGCTCTCAAGACCCTTTCGGAACATTTGTCGAATGTGAATGTGGAACGGTTGTGGCAAGACGACCGGTCGGTTCGGCAGCCAGATGCACCTTTGGTGTTTGGGATGAGGGTACCACGATGGGCTTACAGAGTTATTCGTTATCACACCTCTCTGGGATAGAAGATGATAAATGCTGTGTTTGAAACACAAGGCTGTCGAATTTGTGATCAAGATCAGGGGAAACGGACCAGCATGATTATCGGGGTGGACTGGGATTGCGGTGGTATTCAAGTCTAAATCTACATTTACTCCTTGTATTTCTTTTCTACACTTCATGATATAAGCACAGTATTTCGTTAGCGAACTTTTATTCGATTGACTAGTGTCTTCTTTCAGCCTGGGTGGCAGGATGATTTACTCTGCTTTTACTTAAGATCCAATATTTGGTCACAGTGCTGTAGCGAAGCTTTGACTGTCTGCATTCTTCCGAATCTTCCATCCATCTACTTACCTGATATTCGAGGCTCAGATAGACTGTGATAATTATTTGTACATGCCGTCGCTGGGGCAGTATGTGGTGAGTGACAGCCAATCACATCTTATTGACATATCACGTGACGAATTAAACCTTGGAAGCGGTTTGATACTCAGGAACCGGGATTTGCAAGCTTTCAAACAAATCCCGGGACACGGCTTTATTCAATGACATGTACACTACTCAGACACCATCCTGTTTTCGTTATGATCTGCGCAGATGAAGATTGATTATGTAAGTCTCTTTAAAGTGTCCGGATTTAAAGACTTGGAAGTCAACACTGACATATTTCTTTCGTCAGATCTTATTGACATGACATCAGAAGTAAAGAACGCGCTGTGCCGGCCCATCCGGCTGGATATTAATAGGAAATGTAAACCCTTGATATATGTACCAGTGGTACCACACTATAATTAGAGTAATCATCAATCATGTCTACAGGAAAGGTCAATCTTATTTCGCCCGGCTCGGCTCACGAATTCGACTTTGTTGTTGTTGGAGGTAAGAGACATAGTACTAATGTGCTACTTGAACAATAATGATGGAGATTAACCTTAAACAGGAGGCACGGCAGGGAACGTGGTGGCCGGTCGGCTGGCTGAGAATCCGAAAGTGTCGGTCTTGGTCATTGAGGCTGGACGAGGGTATGAGTCGCACCAACTTAGTCGTACAATGCAAGACTTTTCTACTAACGTGTCACAGAGATCCAGAAAACATCGCTGAAATCACCACTCCTGCTCGCGCTTTTGAGACCCGCAATGGACCAAACGATTGGAAATACAAAACCACTTTGATTGATCGCCCAGACTATACACGAGTTGAGAAGCCCAACACACGAGGAAAAGTACTAGGTGGTAGTAGCTGCTTGAACTACTACACCTGGGTCCGAGGCAGCAAGGCAACATTCGACGACTGGGAAGAGTTCGGCGGAAAGGGCTGGAACTGGCATGCACTGAAAGATTATTTTGACAAGGTACATACAAACTTCACCCTCAGTCGACTGTGCTAATCTTTTAGCCTGCCACGTACCATGACGACGAGAACAACTACCCCCATGTCAGGGATATTGGAATGGGAGGACCGCTTCATGTGGAGCATGCGGATCTCGTTCCCGAGCTACGGCCCTTCCGGGACGCGTTGCTGAAGGCGTGGACGAGTAAAGGGCTCAACATTAATGACAATATTTACGATGGCACACAAAATGGGCTGACCCACTGCGTCAACACCATATACAAGGGCGTCCGCTCTTCGAGCTGGTCCTTTCTCGTTGGGAAAACCAATGTCCATATATTGTCATCCTCGCACTGCAAGCGATTGCTTATCAATGGTGATCGAGTCACCGGAGTCGAAGTTCATGGACCAAATGGCGAGGATACTACGATTCAGGCACGCAAGGAGGTTATAGTTGCCGGTGGCGTCTATGAAACACCGAAGCTATTGATGCTGTCTGGCATCGGCCCTGAAAAAGAGCTGTCGGAGTTCGGCATCAAAGCCATTTCCAACTCTCCCCATGTCGGCCAAAATCTGCTGGACCACCCGATTATGCCGCATACTTTCCGCCTGAAGGATGGACTCGGCTTAGATGACCACCTACTGCGTGCAGGTCCTCAGAAGGAGGGCGCAGTCACGGCATACAATCGAAACCACTCTGGTCCTCTGGGTAGTGGTCTTTTGGAGCTGGTTGGATTCCCACGTATTGATGAACGTCTCTCTAGAATCAAGGAATATGTCAAAGCAAAGCAAGAGAATGGCGGAATAGACCCATTTGGGCCCGCGGGACAGCCGCACTTTCAAGTTGACTTCGTGGTGAGTTGATACATTGATGGTAGTGTCTTGAACTATAGCTAATCATTTGCAGCCTATGTTCTCGGACGCATTTCAGTGGCATTTCCCTGTTCCTCCAGAGGGAAGCTGGTTAACTGTGATCGTTGATCTTCTGCGACCAATCTCAAAGCCAGGCTGTGTGAAGTTGCGCTCCAAAGATCCGCTTGACGATCCATACATCAACACTAACTATTTCAATAATCACCTCGATGTGATTGCTCTGCGGGAGGGTGTCAGAGCTGTAGATGATATTCTCATGACTGGCGAGGGCTTCAAAGACATAATTGGCGAAGATTATCCATGGCCTATGCCGCGCAACTCAGACGAGGCGATGGAAAAGATGATTCTTGAGCGCTCTCAGACAGGATTCCGTACGTCCTTCCTATGACGCCCTGTTGTAGCTTTACTAACATCTTTTAGACCCCTGTGGAACCTGTCGTCTTTCACAGAACATTGATCAGGGTGTGGTCGATGGAACACTGAAAGTGCATGGTTTCAAGAACCTAAGGGTGGTTGATGCATCTGTTTTCCCTGTCATTCCGGACTGCCGTATTCAAAATGCCGTCTATATGGTTGGAGAAAAGGGCGCTGAACTGATCAAGGCGGACCATAAGGACCTTTACTGAATGAAAATAATGTCAATAGTGAAGACAGTCTATCCGACGAGCTATCATAGAATAATGAGACGCTGGTTGGTTTTTGTTTTATCAAAAGAAGCTTACAAAGCCTGCAGCTGTGCTTCATACAGTAATATCACTATGCCATGTCCAATGGCTGAATATTGAAGCGTAAATGAACCCCAAGAGCGCAATACACATTTAAGACGGCCGACAAATTACTCCTTCGCAAAGTCTCGAACGTAATTTCACATCGCAAATGAAAAACTCCAAGTTAACATAACGATGCCATAATATCGAGGTATAAATGCTGTGTCAAACGCCTCACTCTTCCGTTACTTGGCCCCTCACACACCTCAATCTCCATCGTCTTTCCTTCTTGACGCGTCCCATTTCAGGTTTTCTAATCACAATTGATGAGCAGCCATGTCAGACTCTACCAAAGCCACAGCGGCTCAGAAGGTGTTATCAACATGCGAATTAATCAGCGAGATTCTTCAGAATCTCTACGAATACCATTCCACCGACGAGACTAACGAAATCTCAGAGCACAGTCCACCATCCTGGTACTCAATGCTAGCAAAGTATAGCCGCATCAACAAATCCTGGTTCCGCGAAGCAATGCGTCTCCTTTGGCCAGATGGAACAGCAGTCAAGCACCGCTCACTCATCCAGATTTTATCCATAATCGAGCCCAGTCGCAGACAATTCTATGCAAACTACATTCAAAGCGCCTGCTTTGTAGATGTCTGCAAGGCGAATATCCGCAAAAATAACAAAATCCTTCGTGGCATGGTCTTCCCCAAACTTCGGTACCTGGCTGTCATAGTTAACCAGTGCGGTCGACAAAAATTATGGATGCCATATCTCAATGCCCCGCAGCTTGAGGCTTTGCATGTCCGACTGGCGACTATACAGTGGATTGATCGGTACAGCAATGTCAAAGTGAGGTTTGAAGGAAAACATTGGCGGGGGCCGTCGCTTCAGTCCAGCATAGTGATGAGGCTCATCCGCCGCATTCAGGTACGTTACTGGCCCGGCTCATAAAGGTAGAAACTGATACAGCGGTTTTAATAGAGGGTTCTGAGAGGCGTCAAACTCGTTCTATTTGGAATGGAGATGGTCATAAGGCAAAGAATCATTTGGAAATTTTCCCAACTTATTCCGAACGTCATGCTTACCTATGGGAACGATTTTGATGGAACCAGGACAATCGAAGGATATCTGAAGACTTGCAACAAGTGATTTGAATGGCAAGCTTGGCCGATTGTTCAGGACATAGATTATTTCCAGCTGTGGTTTCCCCTTTTGATCATGCGCTTTCCGTTCCACGACTTTGAAAATGACTCAACTTTGACAGTGAATATCCATATCCGAATCGGATGTGGATCCAAGACCTTTGATTGAAGGCTAGTGCAGTAGCCTCATTCCGCAAAATTGAATGGTTTCTTATCGAAAACAGGAGAAGACCAGGCTCGAGCTCACCTCCTGGCGCCAACACTAAATAATGTCCACTGGTTATTCCTATCGACTCAAAAATACTGAGAGAGAGGAAGGGATACTGAAATAATTGGTGATACTGAAGAGAAAGCACCTGGTATGCAGATAAGTAGACGTGCCCCGACAACTGCCAGTTAAACTGTCACCATATGCTGTTTCTTCTTCGAAGGCCACGCTACATGCCATAGATGTCTCTTTTCACGTGGTCTATCAAGAGCTGGTCACTGGTGTATTAGTACATATATTTGATTCCATTTCGCTCTGCAAGGACGGTTGCAGTGCATGCTAGGGGCAAGTAAGTGACATGGAAGCATTCCAACGCCATACGGAACACTTTTGAGCGCCAATTATGAGACCCTATCCTCTACTGTGAGAACAGTGACTTGATTACTGGCACCAGATGATGTCAGGTCCACTGGCTCCATAATCTGCTCGTTTGAATGTACAACATCAGGACCTTTTGCGAACCACATGACTCCATCCTGTCTAACTCCGATCAACGCACTGAAGTCGTTTGAGAACGTGTCTCAAAATTCAAGTAAGGGATATATTGACGTAGACCAAGCATATAATCCATTCCCAAAATCTCTCTTAAGTTTCCACCTCTTATGAGGGTCTCAGTGAAACTGGGACCATCGGGAAATCATCCGAATCGACCCAGGGAAATCCGCCTGCCGTCAAGGTGGAACTATGTGGATACCACAGCGTTGATACGGATGCGGGGTGCGGAGACTCCTAGGCCCAGGATACTGATTGAAAGGCGGGAAAGCGTCCGGGAAATACTAAGTTTATCCTATCAACTGTTGTCTATCTTTCGTCACGTCGGATCGCGTCGGTTCACCGGGAAGGTCCCCGGCATCCTAAGCGACAGTCATATCCCAGAATAAAAAAAAGCCAGATAACAAGAAACACAATTTACCGAAGCTGAGACGCCTGTCTTGGGGAAAATACACCAGGTATTCCGCATAGATATGGACCTCGGGAGCCACGACAACATCATCATCGCTCGTCATGGTACAATTGGTGAACCCAACATGGAGAAGCACTTCAGACTATTGAATTGAATTGTGTCCACTTTCAGCCACTAGTAAGGCATTGTAATGTGCTGCTTTCCCTCGCTGGTGGCTACATTGAGAAATTCCTACTGCAACAGGCAAGGAGAACCACGATAAGGTCACATCGGCCGTGTACCCGACCATGAATTACAAGATTTATTTTAAAGGAGGTCCATATCCTCCGTATTATAGTAGTGACAGATCAAGCTATTTTCGCCTCCACCCTGCTATCCTATGCCACAATGCCAGAGAAGAAGGATGGTGACAACTTAAATACTGTCCCTTCACAAGTCGGACAAGTTCTTGAAGATCAATACTACGAGAACGATGCTGTCTTCGGCGAGATCACGGGAGAAGGGCCAAACTACCGCAGCGTATGTATGACCTGATCAGAATACATACCTTGATATAAACTGACCCCCACTAGTTAGGCTGGGTTGGTACTTCAGCGCTTATGATGAAAAGCCAGATAGGGTTGGGTGTTCTGAGTATCCCCGGAGCCTTGGATACCCTCGGTATGATTCCAGGGGTTGTTATATTGATTACTGTTGCTACTATTACAACATGGTCGGACTATATGGTTGGTGTCTTCAAACTCCGGCATCGCGAGGTCTATAGCATTGGGGATGTCGGCGGAATGTTATTCGGCCGTCCGGGGAAGATATTCTTTGGAGTCGCTTTCGTCCTCTGTAAGTGCTACACACCTTGTTTGTCCCAGGGTTCACTAATATGAAGATAGACTGGATCTTTTGTGCCGGGTCAGGAATGTTAAGCATCTCCATCTCCCTGAATGCCGTCTCAAGTCACGGTGCCTGCACTGCCATATTTGTTGCTATTGCCGCAATCATAGGCTTTGTACTGGGTAGCATACAGACTTTGGGTCGTATGAGTTGGCTTGCATGGGGTGGATTGTTTTGTATTCTTACTGCGAGTGAGTTCCTCCACCAGAATCAGTCGACTGTTTTTGACAAGATCCTAGTTCTCATAGTGACAATCGGGGTCGGCGTCCAGAGCCGCCCATCAGCTGCGCCGCAGGATGGCGTATGGGTGTCTGATTACCAGATTGCCGCCACCCCGAGCTTCACCGATGCTATAACCGCGGTCTCGACGATCGTATTTGCGTACGCTGGAACACCGTCGTTTTTTTCAATCGTATCCGAAATGCGTGATCCCCGACTATACACCCGGTCCCTGTTATTCTGTCAAAGTGTCGTGACGGGGGTTTACGTATTTATTGGCTGCATGGTCTATTATTACTGTGGATCTTATGTCTCCTCGCCTGCACTTGGTTCAGCAGGGCCGATGATGAAGAAAATAAGCTATGGCTTTGCACTTCCTGGTCTTATAGTCAGCACTATGCTGCTCATTCATGTAAGTCTGTCTTGGTGCAATGAAGAGTATTAAACTGTTAACAGGGCATTAGCTACCATCGAAGTACATTTTTCTCCGTCTTTTGAAGGGTTCTCGGCATCTTACGGCGAACACCGTGACTCACTGGATGACCTGGATCAGTTGTACCTTTATAATTGCTATGATCTCTTATATTATTGCGAGTGCCATTCCGGTATTCAGTGGCCTCGTGTCACTTGTGGGTGCCTTACTCGGTACTCTTATGTCGTTCCAACCCATGGGGTTCATGTGGCTATACGACAATTGGACCCAAGATAAGACAGAAAGATCACTCAAATGGAAGTTCATGGTCTGCTGGAGCGTCTTTGTGATAGTGTCAGGAACCTTCTTGATGATCGCTGGCACTTATGGTTCCGTTGTCAGTATCATTGACAGTTACGGAAAATCCGGGGGCTCAGCCGCCTGGTCGTGTGCTGACAACTCTAAATCCTGATAAACTTTACAAGGACTATCGAAGAGGGATATGAGATACCTAGGGTAGCTGTGAACAAAATTGACTGAGAAGTCCATAATTGATACATGCCAGTGGCCGAATTTCGCTCTCAAATGGAGGTCTCAAGGTGAAAGTATCTACAAAAAAAAAAAAAAGAAAAATAGAATACTGCTGAATTTTAAATGCTTTTAATGACCTTTGAAGTCTAATAGAATTTGAATAGAGCGTGAAAGGTAAACATGCCGAACAAAGGAGGAACGGAGAAATGTGGGCGCATTGTTAGTTCCTTCCCCACAAGCCACGCGAATGTATTTTCTTCCGAACTCCATCTCCACGTCTCTTGTAAGGTGACTCTATATTCCTCGTCTGGGTAGTATGGCACAAGCCCCGGTCGCATGGCTAGGTGTTACATCGGCTGAACGCCCAGATGATGAGTTCCTGAAGCAAACCCCGACACTTAGTCTTAACATGCCTTCGGCAACACCTGCGATGCGGAAGATACCGGCCCAGAAATCTCCAAGCTTCAACAACGGTGAACGCATGTTACATCCGCCTATCAGCCCAAAAGCCATCTCGGCCTCGCTATTCGAGAGGGTGTCACGCACACGAGCCCTCCTGGCGTCCGCATCCGTGACAGAGAAATGCTCTATACACCCCGAAGATATAGAGTCGATCGAGAACGAAAGGGAATGAAGATGTCAGCATCCGCGGATCTGGCGAAAATTCTGCTCGCCGATTGGTCTGAAGTGCGCCGAACCATGAGGTCGGATATTTGGTCGGTACAAAGTACTGGCTTGGTAAGCTCATCGCCTTACTTTGGTTACATTACATGATCCCGATGCCCTAGAGAGCGACTTCAGAGGTCCATCTTATGGCTATCGGGCGGTATTTGCGTTCTCTCTAGGATGTGTCATCTATTGCCTTGTTGAACCTGCTGGCGGAAAAAATGATTCTATGCTCATCATGTGCAGGAGTAGAATACTGCTATGCTGATATTAACTTCACTTTTGAAAATTCAATTCCTGTTTAGGAATATGCGCTCTATATATTACGGATACTCCTTCCAACAGAGTCACCCTGCAGGAGCGTCGCATCCAGTCTTATGCGCCTTTATATTTGAAATGAGTTTAGGGAATGTTGTTCCAATGACGGTTCACAAAATGGGAAGATTGGTGGAAGATTTGTTGTGATGGACTACAAATAATGACGTTGGCTTCTCTCGAATTTCGATTGATACACTCGATCTTTATTGGCGCTGCTACAACCATAACCATAGTCCTTCAATACCCACGTTGTCTGACATGCATTTTGTCATTGCTTTCCTTCTAGGCCTAAGCTGGCTTACAAAGGCTGCTTCTATCCCCCGTCAAGATCATAATATTACTGCAATCGAAGCTCGTAGCGGAGGAGCCAATTTCCGCTCAGTGGCCTACTTCACGAATTGGGTGAGGTTTCTACTGCTGTCGTTCTATGAAGACTAACAAGATTTTTATATCCAGTCTATCTATGCAAGGAATTATGTTCCTCAGAATTTGCCTATTGATAAACTGACCCATGTTTTGTACGCCTTTGCCAACGTTCAGTCCAGCGGGCAGGTTGTTCTATCTGACTCCTGGGCGGATACTGATAAACATTTTGCTGGAGACCCCTGGAATGATCCGGGAAACAATGTCTATGGCTGTGTAAAACAGCTGTTTCTGCTTAAGAAGAGAAACCGGAATCTGAAAGTCCTCTTATCCGTTGGCGGATGGACTTACTCCACTAGCTTTGCAGGGGCACTAAGTACGGCAGCAGGTAGGGTACAATTTGCTTCTTCGGCGACCAGTCTAGTTCGGAACATGGGATTCGATGGCATAGATATTGATTGGGAAGTAAGATATTCTGCAATACACCTCTAGCTATGCTTTACTGATATCAGAGACAGTATCCTGCCGACAGTACCCAAGCTGCCAATATGGTAGCCACTTTGCAAGCGCTGCGCCAATCTCTAGATTCGTACAGTGCAGCAAATGCAAACGAATATCACTTTCTCATAACTGTTGCTAGCCCAGCTAGTATGGCCCTCATCTATCACAAAAGCACCCTCATTAACAGATAAACAGGCCCTTCGTACTACCAGCAACTTCAACTAGCAGCTATGGACAAGTATCTCGATTTTTGGAATCTCATGGCTTACGATTACTCTGGAAGCTGGGACACCGTCGCCGGGCACGATGCCAATCTCTACGCATCGAGCTCCAACCCAAGTAGCACTCCGTTTAACACTGAACAAGCTATCAACTACTACACCTCCAATGGTGTACCAGCCAACAAGATTGTCTTAGGAATGCCGCTTTATGGTCGGTCATTCATGAACACCAACGGACCTGGCACTGCTTATAGCGGTGTGGGTAGCGGAAGCTGGGAGAATGGTATATGGGATTACAAGGCATTACCTCGGCCTGGAGCATCGGTCAATTACCTTGATCAACCCGTCGCAAGCTACAGCTATGACTCTCCCCAGAGGACGATGATTAGCTATGATACTCCCCAGGTTGCGCAGAAGAAGGCACATTATATCGCCTCCAAGGGTCTCGGTGGTGGAATGTGGTGGGAAAGTAGCGGCGATAAGACAGGTTCAGACAGTTTGATTACTACGGTTTGTTGTTTACTCTTGCGCAACGAATAATATTTGTACTAATAATGTTTGGTAGGTTGTGAATACGCTTGGAGGCACTGGCGCTTTGAGGCAGTTTCAGAATCAACTTGGCTATCCAGCTTCAGTGTACGACAACATGAAAGCTGGATTCCCCAATCAATGAATGTTAATATTAACTATCTGACATGGGGCTTGCAGATTCAGGGTATATGCTTGAAAACCGGGAATTTGACGATTGGGTATCAGCGTAGCATTTGAGGTATGATTTCTCAAGAAGAATCAACCGTTGAGAATATGGGTATTTATGTCTAGATCATCATTCGCTTAGATCTAATGAACAACAAATATCATGCTTATGCTCTCACTACGGCAGCATAATGTCAAGTATTCCTCGGGATCCTTGGGTTAAAAACAACATGTTGAAACTTCATTATGTATTCGAAGAATATCAGTAGTGAGGAAATCATTCATACGTTCGTAATTAGGGATTAAAACTCCACCGATCACAAATGCCCAGCACCCTGAATCAATACCATGGTGACAATCTTTGCAAATTTTCTTTACTCCTTCTCCTGAATCTCATCGCTAACGGATGCCGCAGACGGAGATGATGGAGAGCCATTGCGGCCAGTCAAACCGCGATAGATTTGGAGAATCTGCTGAATACCACCATCGACAAGTGGGTACACAATCGCGATCAACATGGTACCCCAGAGCCAAATGATGGCAACCACCACCCAGGCGATGAAAAACTGACCCAACATTAGCTTCTTTTCCAAGAAAGTAGAGATCAATATGAACCATACCTTCTTCTCAAAAATATAACCAGACCCATACATAGGCAACGGCCAAATAACCCAATGGCCCAAGAATGTCGCGATAGACCAAAATGCAGCAATGCGGCCCCACCTCTTCAGCTCCTGAGCATCGGAGGCTGAACTTCGCACAGCTCCATCTTCGAGGCCATTCAATTGATTTTGAACTGGACTCTGATTGTGATGGGCGGTAGTCAAATTGCTATCCAGCTCTTCCAGTGCCAATTTTTCTTTCTTGAAATCAGCCCAGTCGTATCGTTGAGGCTTAAAAAACGTGATTACAAGGGAATACACGATGGGTGAGAAGCAAGATGCCACTGTGCCGTACATGCAAGGAAGCACTTCGCCCGTTGTCGCGACCGAGACTTCTCCACCAAAGTGGGCAGCGGTGCCCAGCCAGACTGCTAGACCAGTGATCATACCCATGATTGGAGAGAGGATAGCAGCGGCCCTGCTTTGGTGGCGCCAGAGGATGGTGAAAACCATTGGGAAGATTCCGGGGCAGGTAACGACACCTGTGAATCTCATTGTCAGTAATGTGAGCTAATGAGTTCAATAGAGAGCAATACTTACCAAGCATGTATAGTGTCCATCCCAGGTCAATTCCAACGTAATGTAGCATTGTGCTGAACGCCGCAGAGAATGCCGCAAAGAATATAACGCCAAAATGACTCGAGCGGATTAAGTCTCGATCAGAGGCAGACTTTTTGAAATACTCACGATATACGTCGAAGCTAAGAATGGAGCTGACTGCAATGACTTGTGCAGAGAGCGTCGAAGTACACGCCATAAAGGTGATCAAGAGAGACGCTGCAGCGCCACCTTTACCTGCGATCGTCATCGCCGCATAGGGCAGTACCAGGCCATTACTTACTTCAGATGTAGTCATTCTCTGCAACACATATTAGATATTCCATATTCCACCTAAAGCCGATAGGAAGCATACCCGAGGATAGGTTGGAAAGTTGGGCTGGTTCTCGAGTCCCAAGGCGAGAGAGCTCATCACGGTTCCCAGGCCCCATGGAACGGCAAAATAGGCAATACCTCCAATGGTGTATCCGGGAACCACGGCAGCGGGGGATGCTGAGAACGCTTTGATGAAGTAGCTGGTATCCATCTACACAATGTCAGATTGATGTCTCCTGAACACAAGGACCACTTACAATGACCAGACCGAAGTTGCCCAAGGTATGCAGAATACCAAAAATAATTGCCTAGAGAGTGTCAGCTATAATTACTTCATGCTCGACGTAACGAGATTCCTACACTCTTTGACTTCATGGTCAAATAAGTTCCACCTTGGTTTCCAGAAACTGGGTGTCGCTCGGCAGCCGCGACAAGTAGCTCGTACAAATCCCCGATAGAGCCAACTTGATCCACGGAGAATGCCTTGGCCGTGAAGTAGCATGCGATGATCAAAATGATCGCAGTGTGGAAGTAGTCCGTGAGAAAACTGCGGTACGTCAGCCATGAAGACAAGAATCTGCGTTCGACTTCAGGGGGAATTTACGTTGCCTTGATACCTCCAACAAAAGTATAGACTGTCACTCCGACCGGCAATAAGAGTGTCGCAGCAATTATATGCATTCCGGACCTTGGTTCGTTAGAAGCTTGACCTCGTTTATTATTCCACTCGAGACGTACATGGCGGTGATGACTGCACTCGCTCCAAGAAGCATGTTCGCGCATGCAAAGATATTGTTGATCAGACACAAGATGATGAAAACGATATGAGCGGTCCGTCCTAATGGAGCTTAATCAGTCAAATCCAACCGGACCTCTAGGGTTAACGTACCATAGCGAATCCGAACCACTTCGAGAGATGTATGTGCCTCAGGAATCTTTCGCTTGCAGGAGATACCAAGTAAAGCGAAGAAAACAATCATTGGACTGCAGCCAGCAGCGAACCAGAAAGGTCCAGCGACACCATAGTCGTAGCCCACATATGATGAGCCAAGCAGTGCAGTAGACCATAACCAGGACTATAGATGTATGGTAAGAGACCCGAAGCAATTAAAGTCAAGGGCGACTCACAGAGATAACAGCCGAGGCAGTGAGGCCCGTTCTAACGGTGCGATTTGCTGTCATAAACCTAACTCAGATATCAGTATCAACCACCGTGTTGTTTGATTAGCTTCCTTACATTTCGGTCTTCTGATTATCCTCTCCAGTGGTTTTCTTCAGAATCTTAGTGATCAGCATCATGACTGGCCAAAGTCAGCTCAGCTCTTGTCGGGAAATCTCACGATAAGTCGTCTCACCCAGTGCTACAACCAGACCAATCACGACAACAACGACATATCCCACCGCCTGGGACAGAGGGGGCTGCACGCTCGATACGCCATCGCGCGCCTGCAAATTGGACATCCTAAGTAAATCCAAGCTGGCGAAATGAAATGTGCCGAATAACACAAAGAAGGAAAAGAGCCAAATTATAGGAGTTTCAAGTGAAGCTTCTTAAGTTGACATTGACTGCTTATGCGAGCAACGATCAGAAAGAGAATTATAAAATAAATTGGTGAGGTCCCGGGTTCGTGGTCGACTAGGGATGAGATGCATTTAAATGCGATAGACCCCGTAGACTGCAGGGGAACCCAGATCTACGACAGCATAGTGCCAGCTGATCTGAGAGCGAATCAAAAGAGTCTGATCCACAATGACTTGATATATACTGGTGATGAGGTGCTCATGGGCGATCAAAGCTCGAAGAATACTAGGTTAATATTTTAAAGTTTAAGTTGCTGAGATGGTCGATAATGCTGCACCATTTCATATGAACAGGAAACCCATTGCCCAGGAAAAGAATGGGCAGTGAATTTGAACACCTTGGACTAGAATAGTGGTTTATATATTTGATTCCATCACCAGGTGTTATCTCACAGCTCAGCTAAGGAATAATTGACTTTGGCCGGGGAAATGGGAGCCCTGAATACCCGAGGTTCAGTAAAGATATTAGCCATTCAAAAGCATATGATATTAGTGAGATTACGAATCTAGCTCCTCTCGCCTAGATGAACTGCGCTTCCTCGGAATTGGCAAAGCTCATAAATTGGCCGAGACACGACAGTCCACATTTTGTCACAGCTCATCACTGCGGAGTGCATCCTGCAGGGCTCTATCTCTCGGGCGAGAGAAAGCGCATAGTAAAAAGCAACGACATTTACTGAGAATGTATCTCACTGGTCAGCATGCTCAAGCCTAATCCAGATTGAACCAATAATGTTGGTTGTTCCTCCTTTCCGTGCCCCTCAACGATCTCCTTCATCGCGCCATCCCGCCCCACTTTGATGCTATACTACATCCCATGGGAAGTGACGCACGCGGGGATGTAAGGAATGGTGTGCTAGTCGATCATTCGATGATACAAATTGGAAGAAACCCCTCCTGCTTACTTGGAAACATATACGGAAATAATCGTAGATTTACTTTGGGTGCGAGAATTCACCTTATCTCCTGCCAAGAACACTCGACACGGGAGAACTTGATACCGCTAGCCATGTCAGAGACCAATAATGGAATTGGCGAGAAGCCTAAGAAGTCTTTGATTCTCAATGCCTTCGTGGAGATGTGTAAGTTCGGTTGCACACGAATAATGAGTCAAGATCTAACTATCAATCAGGCAGTGGTCACCAGTCTCCTGGACTGTGGCGACACCCCGAAGATGAATCTCACAGATTCAACGACATTGACCACTGGGTAGAACTGGCTCAATTGCTTGAGTCGGCCAAATTTCATGGAATTTTTATCGCCGACGTTCTTGGTATGTTGACTTTGGACGATCAAGTTAATTCTTACTAACACGTCATGCAGGAGGCTATGATGTCTACAAGGGACCCCGAAACCTGGACCCAGCCGTGATCTCGGGTGCTCAATGGCCAGTTAATGAGCCTTTGGCTGTGGTACCGGCTATGGCAGCAGCAACCAAGAACATTGGGTTCGGAGTTACTGTCACGACGACTTATGAGCAACCCTATCATTTGGCTCGACGTCTATCAACCGTCGATCATCTTACTAAAGGACGGTATGTGAGATCAACCATATGACTCTAGGAACATCACTAACTGTGTAAATTCTAGATTGGGTTGGAATGTGTGTAAAATACCACCACAATCAACCAACACAGCAAAAAAGGACTAACAAAAGTTATAGGTTGTAACAGGATATCTCGATTCTGCAGCCCGAAACATGGGCCAAGCCGAACAGCCACACGTAAGTTCTGCTTTCTAGTATGGGAAACACCCCGCTCACTTAGACACAGCACGATGACCGATATGCCGTGGCAGAGGAATACGTCAAAGTAACCTACAAGCTCTGGGAATCATCCTGGCGCCAAGACGCCGTGGTCCTAGACCGCGAGCGAGGCGTATACACCGAGCCCTCACGTGTACGACAAATCAATCACTCAGGCAAATACTTCAACGTACCAGGCCCACATCTCTGCCAGCCAAGTCCACAGCGCACCCCCGTCATCCTTCAAGCGGGAACATCCAAGGCTGGAAAGACCTTTGCAGCGCAACACGCTGAAGCCATCTTCGTCGCTGGACACAGTCCTGCGGTCGTCGCCAAGAACGTCGCCGAGATCCGTCAGCTTGCGCAGAGTGAGTTTGGACGTGATCCCCAGAGCATCAAGTTCTTGGCTTTGCTTTGCCCTGTGCTTGGCCGGACGGAGGAAGAGGCGCTTGAGAAGTTCAAGTATTATCGTAGTTTAGGATCGATCGATGGGGCTTTGGCGCTCTTTGGGGGCTGGACTGGGATTGATTTGGATACTTATGGCGATGACGAAGAGCTGAGACATGTGGAGAGCAATGCCATTCGGTAAGAAGTTGTTAAATCAGCCTTTGGAGAACACATACTGACTGTTGTATAGTTCTGCTGTTGAAGGCTGGTCGAAAGCCACTCCTGAGGTCGCAAAATGGACCAAAGCCACTGTGGGCCAGCATATCACCGTGGGTGGCCTAGGTGCCACTCCTGTTGGCACAGCGGCGCAGGTGGCTGACAATATGGAACGCTGGATCAAAGAGGCCGATGTTGATGGATTCAACCTGGTAGGATTAGCAACTTGATACATCCGGTGGAATTGTCGTTAACACAAACATTAGGCTTATGCGGTCAAACCAGGCTCATTCAAGGATGTCATTGATTTGCTGATCCCTGAATTGCGCCGTCGTGGTTTGTTCTGGGATGATTATGCGGTGCAGAAGGGAACATACCGCGAGAATCTAAACGCGACGCCTGGCCAATCTGGTCCCCGGGATGATCACCCTGCGGCGAAGTATAGGTGGAAGGCAGGCGTTGACGCTGCTGATCATCCAGTGCCGGAGAATTAAAGTCGTTCAAGAACGAGTAACTAAATCACAATGCCAGGTATATGAGAATTAACGCCCCCAAGGCCATGTTCATGGAAAATCTTGAAGTGAAATATATGAGAAAAAATATCTTTTTGTGCAGGTCTTACGCTGCAAGACCTATCGGTCTATTTTTACAAACGCCAGGTAAATGCGATTTTTGTACATGGCCGTAGACCCTTAGGTCAACATATCATCTAGTCGCTCACCCAGTACACTTTCAATCTTCTTAACCCACTTCCGCACTTCTCTCTCAACACTCTCATCCTCGTCCTCCATAAGCTCACTAATGTAGGGCAGCATCTCCGGAAGCAGAGCCAGCCACTCCTCGCCAAGCTGCTCAGTAAGAGCCTGCTCGGCCTTCAAGGCAGCAAGGCGAGTGAATGGGTTATCACCACCAGCGGACTTTGCATTAGGAGCAGTCGAGGGGCGGAGGTATTTCATCAGAGCAATGTTGAGCTCCTTGTGGTTATCGGTGGAATCGGCCGCGGTAGCAAGCTCGGTAATCGCCGGAATAACCTCTGCGACAACGAGATCCGCTGACCTTGAAGTGGTTGCGTGAGCCAATTGCGCAATGAGAGGAACCGTAATGCTGCTGAGGTGGGAGGGAGATTGCCAGAATTCTGAAATTATAATTAGTACTTGCGAAAGATGAGAATTGGGGGGGTAAACATACCATCCTGATCATGCTCGAACGAGTTGCGCAGGGTGCCAAGTGTGGCCAACCAGAGTGGCTTGGTAGCCTTGGCGGGTCCAGTTGAACCCAGGATCTTGACTGTCTGTTCCAAAATGTAGCTGGAGTAACCAGTGACAATAGACTGCAGGGTTCCGAAGAACACCTGGAGGAACTTGTAGAAGGTTGTGAGGCGAGAGATTTGAGCTTGCTCGTCCTTCTGACCACTGGTGGCCCATTCGACCATTTTGGTGAACAGAGGTCGGAATGTGCTATCGTTGAGCTTGTAGATCATCTTAATGGTGACATCGTGCATGGTGGTCTCGGCTTCATCCAATTCACCGGCGTCGAACTTAGCACGGTCTCCGAGGGCGATCTGTTCACGTCGCAGATCAAACGCCTTGAAAAGAATGGTAGTGAGAACGCCAATGTTATTGGAGACGGTCGACTTGGGGTTCTTCTCGACAGCCAGGCTCAAAACCTGTAGGACCTCGGTAGTGGCAGTAGGTCCAGCCTCAACGGCATTTTGCCAGTTGCGGTCAATCGCACCGAGGGTGGCGGTGAGATCCATCTTGCGGGCAGCCATGAGGCGAAGAGTTTCCTCACGACTGTCCTCGCACGAGTCGTCAAGATTAGCATTGGTGGACTTGAAAGAGAGAAGCAGGATCTTGTCAAGGGTGGCAGCGGAGATCATGAAAGGAAGGTTGTCGAGAAGTGCAGAGAACAGCGAGAAAACGGCGTCGTGCAGACGCGAGTTCTCCTTTCCGGAAACGAGGCTGAGCTCGAGCAGCTTCACAGACTGGTTGAGGGTATCTGGAAGGGCGGGGATCATCGCCTGGCCCAGAACCTCAGCCATGGAGGCTAGGCACAGAACACCCATGATGCGAATGCGCTCATCGTCGTAGCCAAGGCAAGATTCACTAGCAACGACCTTGGCGGCGGTAATGACCTTAGAAGGATCCTTCCGACCGTACTTCTCGGTGATGCGATCAATGCAAGCAACAGCGGCATGCTTGAGCATGGTGTCGGGCGATGTTTCAACAATCTTGACCAGAGTAGGCAAGAAGTCAAGGACGCGGATCTGGGATTCGTTGTCACGTTCTGGGTTCTGGCGCAAACGGTTCTCCAGGAGTCGGAGGACCTTGCGGCGGAGGTCATCGTTAGGCTCCTGCAGCAATACCTCAATGGTATCCAGGAAGTCGACGAGGGACAGGGTACTGAAGAGAGCACCAAGGACCTCACCACACGCCTGGCTCACGGGCTTCATGTTTTGTACCGATTCGCCAATGTTCAGAACCTGTCCCAAGACGCGGGAGAAGCAAGCGCGAACTTGGCCTGCGACCTCATCATCCTTCTCGAAAGCGGCCACCAGCTTCGATTTGAGGGAGGAATGCTTGAGCAGATGAGCGAGATCACGCAGCAAGTCAACAGCCACCTTCTGAGGGTCACGGCCATCATCACTCCCAATTCCAAGCAGAACCTGAGAGATACCGGCCTTAGGCTGGAACGCATCGATGACAAGGTTGAGGTACTTGCTGTAAGTGGTAAGCTCGACGACGGGAGTAGTGTCCGACGCCACACCAGTCATCAATGTAAGAACGTCCTTGTCGTTGGAGTAACGGTTCGCAAGCATAGCCAAAACAGCAAAAAGGAAGTCCTGAGTGCCAAGTTTGGTGATCAATGCATGGAAGAGACGAAGACGTCGATGCGACGGGATATGCTCGAATGCTGCGGTAAAGCTGAGGAGGAGCTCCGAAGTTCCGGAAACAATATCGCGTTTCTGGCTACGCAAAGACTGGATAAGAGCCGGCACAACATGGTCGATAGTTTGATCGATGACAGAAACAGAGTAATCGTCATCTTTGCGGAGAACACTTGATCCCATGAAAGTGAAGATCGGCATCACGCTGTGAAGAACGAGCTCAGGTGCAATCACAGAAAGACCAGCAACCAGGAGAAGAGCGGCATTTTGCACTTGTGGGCTTTCGGTTGTGCGGACGCAATCCACCACCAAGTCGGCCCGAATGGCAGAAGTGTCAAATAGCGGTTTAGGTGACGCCTTGGACCTGTTAACGATAGCCAACAGGCTTCCCAGGGTGAGACTCAAAAGGTAGCTCATTCCGGACTGGATCTGTGACTTAAAGTGATGAAGTGCAGCAAGGGTCTGGAAGAGGCCACCGGCGAGCTCGGGGTGAGAATCAGGGCTAGAGCTATCGACGACTTCGAGAATGAAGGTCATCTTATCCATAAGCTTGCTGAACTCTCCCTCGTCCTTAACAGTCATTGCAATCATGTTGTTCTGGCTGGTCCGTCTCCGCTTTGGCGCGGGGCCAAGACTCTCAATGTGAGTCAAGGAAACCGGAATTTTGTTAACGAAGCTCACAAGGATTGCGCCCGACAGCTCGACACTACGAAGGACAGAGCGGCAGTTGTCAGCGAGGGGAGTTTCATCAGACATGTCAAGAGAAATGTCCAACAGCTTCTCAGCAGCTGTTAATTGGGCATCTTCTGGGATCTTGTTCCAGACCTCCTTCATGCGAGAGAATCCAGCTGTCACAAATGAGGATCGAACAGACGCGGGGCTAACATTGTTGAGAAGGATTTCAATAGCATCACTGTCCTTGGCGCTGACAATGGCAACGATCTCTTGCTCAACCTCGGGAAGGGCAAGGCGCTCTGCCGCGCAAATGTCCTCGACTTCCTTCTGGCTAGAGCTACGCCAGTTCTGAAGCAGAGGCAGAAGTTCCTTGGCACGAGTAGTTCCCGAGACCTTCTTAACCTTGTTGAGCAAGCGGAGCAGGCCAAACTTGGGACCATAAACTGGCATCTGGGTAGTGTGCGAGGACAGGAAAGTGAAGAAGCTAAGACGAAGAGACTTCTTCAGCTCCGAAGCACCAGAGTCCTCCGACAAAACAGATCCACGCATTGTGGCATCGAGGACCTTGGCAATATAGGTAGGATCCAAAATATATTCTTCGAGTCCAGGCAGCAATGCACGATCAAGCACCTTCAGTGCATCGCTAGTTGATAGCCAAGAGACGTTAGTAGATTGGCTTCCCTTGCCGTAGATTGAATCGTGGGCCCAAGGCTTGACATCGGCCTTCTTGTTGTTCTTGTAGATAGTAACAATGAGAGCCAAAACACCAGTGGTCTCACGACGGATTCGCTCGGATGGGTCGCTGAGAGCAACGAGCAGGAATGGCAACAGGGCTTGAGGGTCGAAATCACCAGTCACGGATGACAGGACAGAAGCGATGGCGTTCAGGGCAGCAATCTTTGTCCCCATCGGATAAGGTCCGGAAAGAATGCGGGTGAAGAACGACAAGAACTGGGGAGATTTCGTCGCATCGGCCTTGGCAAGAATTGGCAGATCAACAAACTGCGCAATCCTGGATTCGGATTCGACAGCCAACGCGAATACTTGAACAAGGCTGTTGAACTCGGGGATGTACTGCTTGGTCAAGAATGAGGAAGGGAATTTGGGTTCCTTAGACAATGACTCAAAGGCGGGTGTGAAGTTGTCCAGATCACGCTCATCAACATCCTCCATTTCCACATCTTCAATAAGCTGGGGTTGGATAGGGGCTTCAACCACGGTTTGCAGGTTGTGCTCCAATGCTGAGATATTGAGAGATGATTCAGCCAGCAGCTTTTGGAAGGCAGGCTGAAGAGAGTTGGAGCGGCTGAATCCCTGAACCATCTCGGCCAGCTGTGTCTGAGTATCCAGAGACATGTCGCGAGTTTTTTCAACATCACTGGCTGACTTGATGACCATGGCCATAGCTTGCTTCATTTCCCCCTCTTGGAAGACATTTGCTTCGAATACAGATGACAAGAGGCTGAGGTGCGAGCTGTTCTTCTGCAGGTCACTGGCGAAGCCATCAACAAGCCCAATCAATAGTTTAGAAGTGTTATATTGTGTGGCAACTTCCGATATTTGCTGCATAGGACGATCAAGGCGAACAAGAGCCTTGAATACCTTCTTCGGCAGGGAGGCTGTTGGCTTCTGCTGGGCAAGAACCGACAAACAAATCAACCCCGAGCTTAAAGTTTCCTCTGTCCATGAAGACACCACAGTCTCCATCAGGCCATTCAAAACATCGTCGGAAAGAGAAGCCTTTTGAGCAAGCACAACTGAGATCATGTAGCAACCGATAATCAACTCAGACACCTTCTTCAGTGCAAAGGCGCTGCTGAGAACTGGGAGTACACGAATGATGATATCCTCGTGCTTCTGCTTTTCAGCCTCTCGTCGACCAGAGCGGGCGCCTTCCAGCATGCCTGCGACAGCCTCTGTGGTGATACCAGCCCAGAAGGAGAGCAGGGAGTGGCTCTGGGCACCTTGCCGGCAGGCCTTCAGCACATAATTGTTGAACGCGGCGAAGAAAGGTTTGTTTGTAGTGGCGCTATGCACGATTGGGTGTCGTGGAGGGTTGATCAAGCCTGTCTTATAAGGGTAGAGCACTTTCAATGTCGGTGTAAGATCGCTAGGCAGAATCGAGAGAAGGTTCAGGAAAAGTGGTGTGGTGTGATAAGGCAGAAATGTCAAAACCATGTAGGTTGTGTTGTACTCGTGCGATCTAAGGTCAAGATAACCGTGATTAGTTCTTCTTCCCAAGAAATGCGCAATAAAAGCTACATACCTAAACCTTCGTACCAACCAATCCACCGCCTTGACTGCGGGACTCAGCTGCAATCTTCCTCCGACAAGCGCGAGGAAGTTTTCAATGACGGCATCCAGCTCCTGATTCTGGCTGACATTCATCTGTGTTCGATCCTCGGCCTTGCTCTGCTCGCTGAAAATCGTGCGCTCAAATTCCTCAAATCGGCGATCCAAGGAGCAAAGCTCACGGAAACCTTCGTAACAGATTTCATAGATAGTATCAAAGTCTTGATTTCCGGCAATTTGGGAATCAAAGATCAGTGACTGTGAATGGGCGATTCTCTGGGTTTTGAGATCAAGCTCATGCGTCGATTTTGCCGCAATCTGCGACAACTGCGCCGCAAGAGAAGAAGCCATTGTTCAGGTTAATTAAGCGTAGTTCAACAGAGATCACAGAAGCCCATCTCTGAAACCCAGATAGTGGGTGTTAGTTTGTAAGGTGGGGAGTGGGCGCGCACCTCTTATTTGAAGCGGCTTGAATCGCAACTTTTTTTCTGTCGCCGATCCCCGCTCACCGCTCACGGAACAACCATCTGCCGATATATGCATCTTCTTTCTCACCGCTCTCGGAACAACCCTTGCGCCGAACTATCGGACTCTACGCCCGATAACACTACAACGACGATGGTGTCCGATCCAAAGGTGAGTAGTTCCATTCTTCGGCTTTAAATGATACATCCTGACCCCCCGCCTCAGGACAAAAAGTCCATCCCTAAATTTGGTAGCTTCAAGCTACCTTCAGCCACTGTCACAACAGAATCACCTAATTACAGCCCTCAAAGCCATTCGGAACGCGCCGATTCTAAGTCTCGTTCATCACGGCGATCTGAAAGAAGTCTTCGTGACAGATTACATGACCACTCATCTCGCTCACATCATAGTCGTCATCTTTCTTCCAAAGACCGTCACCGTTCACGAAACCGTTCCCGGTCCGGCGACCGCACTCGACAATCCCGAGAGCCCCGATCCAGCAAACGCGATCTACCCACCGACCAGAGTCTATCTACCGGGTCCAGCAGTAACCAAGATGTTTTCCGGCTCCCCGACCAATTTACTACTCCGGGCAGCAGCCGGCTGGAAAGGACCGACACGGTTTCGACCGCTCAAGGTTCTTACCTAGACTCCTCGCCGGAATTCTTTCTTGACTCCAAGGGCGATCGGGATATCCTCACATATGGGACAGAGAACCGCTGGAGTGTACCACGTTATCGCAGAATAGGTGGAGGCTTTGTTCTTGGGCTTGATCGCACACAAAGGATTGATCGAGACCAGTCCCATGGAAGCCAAATAGTGTTGCGCCCATGCGCATTCGCAGACTCATCGACGAGAGACGGAGAAAACCACCTCTCATTGAAACCCCGCAGGCTGCCTTTGCCCGAATATCATATTCGTGGCTCGGCTGCCTCTGCTATTGAGGTGGACGATGACTTCGTCTTAATTGACGGAGAGGATTGGGGTGAGCTACAACCTTGCCCAATTGACAAAACTGATCGCCAGAAATGGCTACCCATCTTGAAATTTATGCTGACTGTGATTTCACCCGCAGACCCTTCGGAGATAGAACAGGCTACCGAACAATTCGACCTAAATGCCGAAAGAAAAACCCGGAACGCAGCCTTATGGAAGACAGTTGAAGATAATCCGCAGGATGTCAGTGCCTGGCTCAGGTTTATTGATCATCAAGATGTATTGATTCTTGGGTCGCGAGATGATTCCCATTGCCTCACACGCGATGAGAGGACTAGCCTTGCCGATTTAAAGCTGTCTCTGTATGAAAAGGCCCTTAAGAAAGCGACTGGAAGCCCCCATAAAGATCGTCTTTTGTTGGGCAGGTTGCAAGCTGGAGCACAATTGTGGGATTCTGAAAAGTTGTTGGCTCAGTGGAAAAAGACTCTCCTAGAGAATTCTGAGTTCATCAGTCTGTGGGTTAAGTTCCTCGACTTTTGTCAAACTGACTCCCCAGATTTCACATTTGGGAAATGTCTCGCTACTCATGAGGAGTACTTGAGGCATGTTTCATCATTGATTCCACTCCGCCCTAACATGGTTCAGGTCCTTGTTTACATATTCCTTCGTCTCACACTTCTCTACCGGGAAGCTGGCTACAGTGAAATCGCGGTTGGTCTCTGGCAAGCTGTGCTTGAGTTTTGTTGCTTCAAACCCGAGTTCCTCGATGACACCGACGAAAGCTTGTCCTTTTTTCGCGAATTTTGGGATTCAGAAGCCCCTCGTATTGGTGAGGATGGAGCAAAAGGCTGGAGTAACAACACCAACTCAGGCCCAGACCCCATCACTACACAGTACTCCACCAATCTTTCTCTTGCGTCTAATGTGGCCTCTTGGGTAGAGGCAGAAAGGGAGCGTATTATGGAATCTCAATTGCCATGGCGCAGTTTAGATGGATCAATACCAGACGTCGACGACCCATACAAAGTGACGTTGTTTTGTGACGTGGATCAGATTATTCGGTTATTCCGTAATTTGGCCCAGTCAGATGAACTGATCGATGCTTTCCTGTACTTCAGTCACTTGCCACACTTGACGTTTCCGAGCAACATCCAGACCACTCGTGTGTGGGGATGGGACAACCTCCTACGCAACGAATTTGTGGCAGATCATCGACTTGGGCTTTCTTCTTGGATCTCGCTTCACGACGAAGAAAGCGAAAGGTCAACAAAGCCGTTCCTGTTCCCTCTGCAGAACTATTTGCACACCACAACCACTCTGTTCGCTTCGCCCGATCAGTGGTTCCACTCGTTCCAGTGGTGGATCAAATCCCGTTCGGCTCAGCCACCTCTCAAGACCCATGACTGGACGTTGCGTGTTCTGCGTGTTCTAGTGGATCGGTATCCAGATGATGAGGAGCTAGCAGAATATTCCTTGGCGTTGGAGTTCGCATCTGACCCTGTGATGGGCAGGAAGATTGCTAAAAAGACTGTGAAAAAAAGACCATCCAGCTTGAGATTATGGAACGCTTTTGCTCTGATGGAGTCAAGAAGTGAGGATTATGAGGGTAGGAACAGAGCTAATGGAGTTTGGGCGACTGCTCTATCAATGAGCGTCACGTTCACGGACACTGAGCAAAAGACTGATCGTGCTATTCTTTGGCAGTCTTGGATCTGGCAGTTCATGGAAAGAGGAGACAAGGCCCAGGCTTTCTACATCCTGCACAATATAGCCGAGGAAAAGGTTGACCCAGTGCAAATTCCCATGGGAGAGACCCAGCTGCTTTTCCAACCAACCACAACTGTCAAAGTACAGCAGTACTTACGAGCGTGCCAGGAACAAGCTTTGGCAGCCAGAAGAGCCCAGGCATACGTAGCCTACACCGACTGCTTGGGTCTCATCTACTACCTTTCAAAGTGGCCGCTGATGAGCGCCCTAGATGTCTATGGAAAAGCCGTTCTGAGGCTAAAAGAATTGTTTTCGGACCAAGAAGCCTTCAAGGAGTTCACGGCCGAGCTACTCCATCAAGCCCGCGCTAGGTTACTGTACGACTCCCTGTGCCAAAAGGAGCAAGAGCACAGCCCCTTTGAGATTCACGAGCTTTTCAGAGAGAGCGCAGCCCTTTTCCCCCATAACACAATCTTCCAGTCAATGGGCTTGTGGAATGAGTTCAGAATCACCTCACTCGACCGGCTGCGAGATCCACTTAAGTTCGCAAAGGAGGCCATGGACAGTCAATACCAACTCGATCAAGCCTCCTCGCCAGTCATTCTCCCACAACTGGTACCGATTTCAAGCTACCTCTTGCCCATCTGGATCCAGCTCTCTAGCCCGCGATCAACCACTGGCCCCGCAAGTTGGATCGTGCGTCCGGCATTCGAGAAGGCTCTAAGCGAGGTTCTCAACCCTGCAGAATTTCGCTCAGGCGGGGCAGCTGTACGAAGCCGCTTCGGTGAAGAAAGTGCCAGATCAAACCTCACCATCTGGAAGCTTTACATGCTCTACGAGCGTTACCATGTAAAGGACCTCGAAGCTGCGAAGGCAGTGTTTTTTCGAGCTATCCGAGCGTGTCCATGGTCGAAGGAGCTGATCATGTTTGCCTTCGAGCATCTTCGCGACGGAATGCCAGTCTCGCCTGAGGATATTCCCTCGAAAGGTGCCGGGCTGAAGGAAGAAGAGCTGCGCCGGTTAGTGCTCGTTCTTGGTGAGAGGCAGCTTCGTCTGCATCTTCCTATCAAGCTCGATGTCATTCCTTCGGACAGCTTTGAGGAAACTCAAAGCAGCTGAGGACATGAAGCCTATGAGTTATTAGAGCGCTTGTTCTTACATCACGCGGAATGTTTCCTCCAAAAATCCGCCATATTCCGGAGCTTCGATTCCAGTTGTCAACGAAGCAATCCAATCTAACAACGATAAGCCAATCTATGTTCACTCCTCCGAAGCAAAAAGGGAACAATAACTCCTCAGAGAATACAAAGCAGTTACCCCTTCATTGCTTTCTCTGGAGCCATCCCAATACGTCAGTCGAGGATTATTGTCAACGTAGCAACATGAGGTCTTTCAATAATGCCAAAGAAGAGACAATACAGGGAGTCGTGGATGTTTCCATCCTGGTTCGGAGCTTGGGAGTAGAGCGCGCAAATGTATCACTAGTCATTCTGAATATCATGTATGATCACCCCTGAGTTCGAGTTCGTCCAGACTTGAAAGGTTTTCGTATGCTACACAAGCTTTTCAGCCTCCCAAGAGCTTGATCAAACCCTCACAGGATCTCAATCCTCGCGATCGAGGACCATGCTTCTACAAGCGAGTAACTCATAAGATGATGCTTGAGTAACGCTGCTGGCATAATAGCTGGCGCTTAGGGCGGATGTATTCTATCGTTTCTCCATAATGACCGCAACGAGGATGCACTTGCGACAATCCCGGTAAAGTGTGTGGGCATATTATGAACTGACTATGCTCGGTCTCGGTAGCTGTACTCACATCAGTCTGGTAGAGGTCTTTTGAGAAACTTTCCAGATTAGCTTCTCAAACCAATAAAAAGATCTACTTAGCTCAACAAATTAATAATGGTCTTGATTTGATATAATATGCTAAGTAGCTTTTGATGACACCTCACGGTATTATCAACTATAGTACATGAAAACAAATAATCTGGCGTATATACTTCCGAAGTCGAAGAACCTTCGGGGTACAACGAAATGGAAACAAAGAGGAAAACAGAGATTCGTCACACGTAAAGTCATTCGATATCATCGACATCGCTGGAAAAAAGTAAATCAGAACAAGAAAAGCACGTAAACTTAAAAGTTCTCCTTCCAGAACTTAAACCGAATATCCTTTGTCGACGCAAACCTCGCCGCATCATCAATCTGCAAAGCCGCAGTATTTGGTCCACAAAAGTAAACACCAATCTCAGTGGCATGAGCATTCTGCAAGCCCCGCATATAAGTTTGGTCCAACAATCCAACCCGCATAGCTTTGAACAAGCGCTTAAAATCCGGACGACCGAAGTTCGTTCGACTCCGCAACTCAGTCAGCGGATCAAGCGCCTGGCCCACAGAATTCAAATAGATATTCGCGGCAGTATCATCATCAAGTCTTTGAGTGAGATATGTATGAATCCGCAAGAACTCTGTACTACCCTCGAAAGCTGCGGCGCTCGCTGATTGCGCTTCAAGGGACGAGAGAAGAGCCTGGAACCACTCAAAGGAGGAGGTATCTTTGCAAATCCAGATGAATTCTACACGACGTAGACGGCGGGGTGGGTTGGGGCTTGAGCGAAGATGCCAGATATTCTTCAGGATTGAGGCCCAGGGTGTGACGCCGATACCTGTTCCGATTAGGACGGCGATTTCATTTTCGAAGACATCTTCGGCTGGTGCTCCGTATGGTCCGTCGATGCGCATTTTCGGCATGGTTTGCCCGTTCTGAAGGGCGACTTCGTACATTCCGTTTGGATCTAGACCTTCGAGGTCTTTCGCCTGTGCGGGACCGCAACCGAGAGCATCTCCGAGAGCGCGGGTGAAATCACCGACTTGGCGGACGTGGACGCTAATGTATGGGTCAAATGGGCAGGATGTAATGGTGAAAGGGTGCCATTGGGTGGTTGAGACATCCGGAACTTGAAGGAAAAGCCATTGTCCTGCTTTATACTTCATGCTTGGCTTTTGAAACTGGATTTCCATGGCGGCTATTTCTTTGTTAGTGTATAACTTAAGATAAAGGTGTGCTGACATACCATAAGGATGACGAATGACCTTGGTGATCACAGTCTCTTTTCGAGATCGAACCTCGCGGTACAGCCGTTCAAGTAGGTACATGGTGCCCGCCACGAGTTCCCATCTCCATCCCTCATAGCCTATGCAGTGGTTCCAAAAATTTTCACCATCAAATGGTGAATATCTCTCGGGGCTGTCTCGAACAAAGCATCCAGTGGCGTGGGTGTATAGAGCGAGCATGAATGGAATGAAGAGGTGGTGGGTATACCAAAACGTTTCGAATGCCTGTTGTCGAATACGAGCATGCGCCGTGGTGTAGATTAGCAACATGCATAACAACATGACATGGCCTGTGATACCGGCCGCAGTCTTGTAGTGGAGTTCCACTGCAAGTACAGGACGGATGTTATCTTTCTCGATATTGTAGAAACTAAACCGGTCAGCACTAGGTCAATATCTGCTTAGGCAGGAGGTCAACTTACTTGACGTAATGTGCTGCCACGTGAGCGCAGGTAAAGATTAACATGGCGTAGGCTATTTGACGGTGAAACCACGCAGACTCGTCCAGAGGTAACCAACGAATCTGAGGTCGGATCCATCGAAGCACATTTCGGCACATAGGCAGAAGAATCAAGGTAGCGTCGATGGAAAGTACGAGACCAGCACCACGAGAGATATATACGGAGTACGTAAGCACATTCAAGCCCGCTAGCCTCTTATTTGTAGCTTGTGCCCAACTATCTCCAAGTTAGCGATCCTGGGTCTCCATTGTCGGTGATCAAAGACTTACCATCCCACGACAAAGATACCAAAATGTACAGCCCAAAATACTAAATGGAACCAAATCTTGGAAAAAGTTAACTCGGCTCTTTGCCGACGAGACATATTAGACACAGCCATAATGTGTGATTTTGAGGGTCGACCAGCGACAGTGGTGATTAAAGGAGCGACAAGCAACGTAGGTTGACCGGCAACCAGAAGCCGCGAATAGAGAACCTTGATAGGTAGATCTCAAGATCTGTGTTCTCAAGCGATCGTTTCCTTGATTTCAAAAGTCAAGTGTTACGGGGCTGGGCGAATGCGTCTTTGGATGTGCTGCTCCATGGACTTTGCTCAAGACACAATCTCCGATCGAGAACGATTTCGCGATTCAAAATGAACATGCGACGTCAAAAAGCCACGGTGCAGACAAGGCGTGTTTGCTGCGTTTTTCAGGCGAGCAGTGGATGCGATGAAAGCCCCGCGGGGATATTAGGTGGATTTGGGCCCAACAGAGGCCGTTGAACAGGCTTCAGGAGCGACACCGAGTGATGTTGTCCAATATCTCTATGGAAAGTGGAAGTGACAAACTTGAGGCATATGGGTAAAGACAAAACCGAAAGAACAGAAGTCGCATTGTGGTTTTAGCTGCAGGGGTGGGAAGAGGGGCCGATCTATAATTACGTCGCTTCTGTCTACCAATCGACTAAACTCTATATTGTACATTTCCTCGGTTCCCCAATGTGATAGGTAGGTCATAGCAACTGTTTATAGTCTCTTCGTTTAATATTACCTCTCTCTTGGTGGAATTTTATTTATAGCTATTCCGAGGACGACTACCAGATCGGCCTAATCACCACATGGCTGAAATGGCTGCAGTTAAAAGTCAAGGAACGTACGGTCCACATTGTGGAAAGCATAAACTCGATTTCGACCTTTTGTTCATTAATGGCACCAGTGAAAGAACGGGTTTTCCTGGAATATGTACTTTCGTCGCCACAGTTCCAATGGTCAGAATTCACGGGGGCTGGTGAGTGGTCAGCGCTAACTGGAACCTCAACCGTTACTATGAATTCGACCTATGAGAATCAAGCTGCAAGCGCTCAATTTCCCATCACACACGGAAGCTTGGAATTCTGGGGCAAGTCGGTGAAGCATGTCATTCGGTTCGGCCACTCCGTAAATCCAAATATAGTTCTTAAAGCTTGTGGTGTGATTCGTTTCTCGCTATCTCTCGTTTTCGTTCTTGAATACATTTGTAGGTCTCGACCCACTTGGCACCGCATATCACTTTGGGCACAATTTTTTCAAGCTGACTTGCTCACGCGCTCACCAGTCCGAAATGAACTGGGTATCATGGTGCAAGCGGGTGTGAAACTAATTTCAGAGCTTTGGTGACTGAATCCAGGGCCAGTATGGTCACCTGATTGGTCGCGTTGGGAATAGATCTATGACTGCTTGTCTCCAACATAATGCTGGAATCTTCGGGGGACCTTGGGAATTGCAGTAGAGAAGAAAGGAAATTCGAAAGCCAACCAAGCCCACACAAGCCACTCGAAATCATACAATTCGAATTGTGCGTGAAACTCCCTGGAGGCGTGCCTTGACCTGCATCTCATCACGCCAAGCCTTGACTCCACGGCCTCTGATAGGTGCACGCCCACGTCAAGATCCGCTTCATCACATCCCAACCCCCCCAATCACACCGCACCCAGTCTCCGTGAAGAATTACAAAAAGAGGGGGTGGCTCGGGGCTCGGACCCTTCCAGGGGATTCATTGGTTCAGGGCGCTTAGGTGCATCTGTGCGGATCACGAAGCCCTCCTTTCTACGATGTACGAAAGTGGATGAACTGTCGACCAAGAGGTGCATCGGTCACGTTTGGCGCCCAGTTGTCACATATTTGACGGATCTACGGGTTATTTTCACCGTGGGGATGTCGGTAAGCTATGTATAGATGCATGTCCCTCCCCCGCTTCCAGGGTGCCTGGTCATTTCACCAGTTTCTTCCCCAGAACAGTCATATCATGCCAACGCAACAAAGCTAAGCGTTGAGTGCGGAATCTCTGCGCATTCCCAAGCGATATACCATATCCCTCCATGCATCTCTGAAATATTGGGTCACGAAGTAGACGCTTTCTAGGCGAGCGTTTCTACCTCCACACTCGAGTCGCTCGCTGGCCGAGAGATTTACTTCTACAACTACATTAATCTGCCAAAATGGGAAGACTGATCAAGAACCACTGGGCCAGGTTGCTCATCATGGTTGCCTCAGCTTGTAAGTATCGCATCCCATAGCTTACCAAATTCTAGAACTTGCGCGCTAACCCGTGCGACACAGATCAAGTCGCCAGCGCAATCGAAGGCTTCATCTGGCCAAAAGTCTTCTGGGACTTTATATCCAAAAACCTAGATGCCGCCGTTAACCCGATACCTGTTCTCCAAATATTGAATTTAATCATGGGCCTGATCGGTCTGGCTTGGGAATGGCCGTTGAAGCCATTTGCGGGAACATTTCCCCACCGGAGTATCGAAATTCGGCTCATCATCTACCCACTCAGCGCATTACTTGCAGCACTGCTCTATCAAGGCACCGATCCAGCCGGTTACTATCTTATCGGCATTGGTGTGTACTTTTGGGCCTACAGTGAAGGAGAGGTGGTATGTCCTGAACCGTGGACATTACCTAAACGATCAATGGTCATGAGGGGATAGCTTTGATTCGTCTTATGCATTGATTGCGTTGGACACAAATTATGTATATAGTAATGATATAATACAAATGAAGACATGATGATTAACTTGCCTATGTAGGTGTTCGAGAGTCAGCCGAAGTACAGACCGGAACTAGCACATCAACAGTACTACCACCATTTATGCACTTTAAACATACTCATGCGAGTGTGTTTCTACAGTCGTGGACTAAGATTCAGTTATTACCGAATTCAACAAAAATAAATGTTCAACCCAAGTTATACAGCGCTAATTGGTAATGCTTTGTTCATATAGCTGTAATTGGCATCACGTGATAGCAGCAGGATCCAAGTTCGCCACGCCACCACAATGAAGCAAATACTCTTCACTATACTTTTGAGGGTGCAAATCAACCTTGGAACCATACTCATTGGACCAACTGACTTAGCGTGTGTTTTCGCTTATAGCTTATATCATGGCACCACTTGATGCCTCCCATGACTGCCATGAACTACACAATGACTGCACACCAGATAAAATCGGTGATATGCCAATTAACAAACTTACAACTTTCAACGGCGCCCTAGCTCGGTTTTTGCACCCAGGCAGCTCCACTGCGCTTCAGTCTTCAAAGAAACTAATCAGTCCCTCAAAACGAAGCTCTACACCCGATGAATCAGACCGAGGACTACCTGCAACAGACACAATGATACCCACCAAGGCAGTCAGAAGTCGCAAAGCCACTGCAAGTCCCAAGATAAAGAAAGAGGAAAATACCTCGACTCCAATCAAATCCGAAAGTACAAAATCAACATACTTCACTCGGTCCAGCACCTCTTCGATTGCCTCACCCTCACTCTCACCAACAACTCTCGAAAGCGAAACAACTTCATCCCCACGCCGCCGCAAACGCAAGCCAATATGCGCATCCGACAACCCGCCCGCCTCATCCTCCCTATTCCGCGACACAATCCCCCCAAACCTAATCCTCCTTCTAGTAGGCGTAAACCCAGGCCTAATGACCGGAAGAACAGGCTTCTCCTACGCCCACCCCCTCAAACCGCTTCTGGCACCTCCTCCACACATCAGGAATAACCAAAATCCGCCACCCACCCTCAGATACATACAAGCTTCCAGAGCTATACAGCGTCGGCAACACGAATATCGTGGTGCGACCGACACGAGACGCAAGCATGCTCACAAAAGCCGAGATGGACGAAGGCGTGCCGATTCTCGAGGCGAAGATTGCATCTCAGCGGCCTGAGGCTGTTGGTCTTGTTGGCAAGGGTATCTGGGAGGCTGTTTGGAGGGTGCGATATGGGCGGGGGATTCGGAAAGAGGAGTTTACGTATGGGTGGCAGCGGGAGAGTGAGAATATGGGTCGTATACCTGGGGTTTGGGAAGGCGCGCCGGTTTTCGTGGCTACTACTACTAGTGGGCTTGCGGCTTCGATGAGTATTGCGGAGAAGGAGGCCATCTGGGCGGAGCTTGGAAAGTGGGTGGTGAAGAGGAGGGAGGAGAGAGAAAAGGATAAGGAGGTTGAAGTTGCTAGGGCAGCTTAGCTTTAAGTGTCATGGGTATTTTGCTTTGGTTGGGTTCGCATTATTCACTTAGATCTCGCAATGGCAGTATAGACGCCATTTAATTACGGTTTACGAAATTACGTCAACGTAGAGCTAGGTGATACCAACTCTCTCGTTATTCGGGAATGACAATCTCAGTTCTGAATCTTGGTTTCATTTCAATATTGGTATTTGTATGATGGGTTCGAAAACCCGTCTCATTATCTCATGATATCAATCAAGGGGACCTGCCACTGCTCATATGCAATACAACCAAGAAGAAAAAAGGACAACCCCGCAGGGATAGAACTCCCCCTCGTGTACGACTACACGAGCACAATCATGTCAAAACCCGGGTAAGGTAGGGTAGACGAGTGGTTCACAGGGAACGGGGAAGTGGGGGGGTAAGCGGGGGAATAGTAGCACCGCAAACCCCACGAATAGGTTCAATGGGCAAAACATTTACCGGCCAATGTTGGCAGGTGCCTTGGAATCATTGGTGCTACCAACGCGTCCAGAGTTCTGCAAAATATTAGTCAAACTTTGGAGCTATAATGTGGAGATAAGGGGAAACTAACGCTATCGGGCTGGTATTCACCACCCTCGAGAATCTTAATCATAACTTCGTCTTCATTCTTGGTACCGAACTCGTTCTCTAGAGCGGCTTTGCTAGCGGTGTCCAGGATACCCTGGGCTCCATGGCTATGGTGGATAGAACGTTAGTGGGGGTTCACAAGATCAAGTAATGTTCAATCCAAGCTTACCTGTGGGAAACAAGGATCTTCCAGCCGTTCAATACATCGGACAGGGCGATGCTGCGGTCGTTCTTCCACTTTTGCAGGATCTCAAGGTCATCGACGTAAACGATGAAGTCCTCAGACTTGCCCTTGTAGAAGACCTTGCAAGCTGTGCTGGCTCCGCGAGTCATGATGAATAATAGTAGTTGAAGATTGAAAGATTGGTTTAAGTTAATTCAATTGAAGAATTAAGGAGTGAAATGCAGGAGAAAGAGAAGTGGGATGGAGAGCTTTAAAGAGCTTTAAAGAGCTGATGATGGTATATGACGTCACGCGGTGGCTGCTAATGGAAAAGCTCGTGTGTCATGGAACATGAGCTCCCTGCTTTTAAGACGTCATATGATCCTCTACAGTGGAGAAGAACCCAGTTCAATAATGTACCAATACCTTCCATTCTTTGCCCTTTGTTTCGCCGAGCTAATAACAATGTGTCCTATTGCTTCATCCGACCCCATACCCCCCTTTCCCCCACTTCCAAGCTTCGATGATCTTCCCACACTCACTCCTCTGTCCCTGACTCCACACGAGACCGGATGAGATTCTTCGGTGACAATGCGCTCAACAAGGTCATCGGTGAGCTCCATTTTTTGCGGGGCGACGAGTCAAGATTATCGTCTTGGGTCGGCCGCTTCTCGCGAGGTAAAGACAGTGATTTCTTGGACGTAGCTCCAAACCGGACGGTTTTGGAGCGCCCCATAATCGACGTGGGCGTCTTGGGAGACTCACAGTCCGTTACTGGCGATTGCTGGTCGCCACACCCATCCTGGCTCGTAATCAATTGCTTTTCCTCTCCATTGTAATTGTCAATGGCGAGTGACTCAGCTACCAGGGGCCCTGAGTGAGAAGTGCTGATCGAGATGGGCCGTTTCGCGAATCCTTTGTGCAAGCTAAGATGTCTCATGATCGACCCGCGACCGAACAGTAGGTCCCCTCGACCGAGAATCATTCCGGGCCATGGCAACACATCGCGCGTATAGACCTCCGAAATAAGTCGTTCCAATCGGACTCGATCCATTCGTTTCGCTGTCACAACCCATGGGGTTCGTGCAATCGGGGAGGTGGGCCGATCAATCTCACTACTCGATTCGGTGGATTCATCGTGAGTCTGTGGGCAACGTGTCTTCCGAATGACTACGTGTTGGGACGTGGACTTTCGTGAGATTGCCACGGCATCCATGGACCTTCGTGCAAGTGAGGCCACTGTATACTGGGTCCGATCCAAAGGCACCAGAAGAGTAGTCAAGAGTGAGTACTTGCGAGGTTCCTGTGCGCCTGGTTTGCCCAATTCCGACAGAGCTGCCGAATATTTCAACGTGTCTGTCTTCCACTGCTTTTCTTCAGTAGCAGATGATGCACTGAGCACAAATTCGAAGTTTTCCTCTTGGTCTTGAAACAAGATCTTCCATGAAAAGGGACAACCATAGCAGTAAATACCTGGCCAGTCAGAGAATTTCCCGATGATGATGATGGAAAGAAGAACTTACCTCGTCCATTTTGGATGGTGTCCATTTTCAAATCATCCATATAAATACAAGCGACGGCCTCCAGTCGGTGGGAGTCGTCAATGATTTTCGCAATAAGAAAATAACTATTGAACAAAACGCATACCATGAAATCGCCAGTAATCTGTTCTGATGTCTGATAGGTGACATGTAGCACTCCACAAAGAACCATCGGTCCAAGGTCCCTATACACATCTTGTAGCATGTACTGTTGTTCATTGCCCAAGTTATCAGATGTTCTCAACATACTTAGGGAAAGACATACCGAGTCAGCAAACTGAATCCTCTCTTGTAAAAGCAGTGTCTTGTGAATGCGATCCTTATTGATAGGGTTGCCCGTTGCCGAGTTAATCTGCGTCACCAAAATCCGTATATTGTCCAGGATCTGCCGGATTGCATCATGAGAAGTTGGGCAGTCGCTGACAGGCGTGTGCCGGAGGAGGTCCTGGAGGAGCAGTGGATACTTGCACAGGCGTTGGATGGGCTGTTGTGTGGTTAGCGCTTGAAAGAAACATAAGCAGAGAATTTAAACCTTGATCATCAAATCGCCCATCGACATTGACTTGTTCTCCTCGTGTTTGCGGCTATTGACAGAGGCTACAGACTTTGACAGTGCTTCAATGCCTTGATCATGGACTGACCAATTTGGAATTGAACGACGTAGGATAGCGACATCCTGTGATAGAAGGTCATAGTTGCTGCAGAATTCCTCATATGCCGAGAAAGATGCAGACTTCTATGCAGTTAGTGGACACTCTTCCCAGTCTAGTAGTTTTGGAGCATACCAATTTCTCGATCTCTCGTGCTACCTCCAAGACTTCAACTGGGTCTGCCACCAGAGATTTGCGGTGTTGGTCGACTGCTGCTTTGAAGCTGCGGGTTCTCAATGATCGACTCGGGAGAGCTTTCAGTCCTCGAATGTCGATGCCCCCTAAGCGCTTCGATAATCCACGAGAAACAAAATCCGACGCTTCTGCTGCAGCTTGACGGCTCGATAAAGGCGACGTCCGATGTAGCCGACCTTGGAAACGCTCGTGGATTTCACCAATGTGTTGAATGTTGTGCTGAATCTGCGTTCGGGCGCTAAAAAGCGAAAGAACCTATCAAATGATCAGATGGATCACAGTGATGAATATGCAGAAATTGTTGCTCACCCCAGTCAGAGCTTTGAGACCAAGAACATAATCGTCTTCAGTCGCGAGCAGTTCCTGCAGCACGCAGCGCCTCTTGGTGGCCCGGATTTCCGCTGCTTCATCCACATAGTTGCTGGAACTTGGTCGGGAGCTGTCTCCCGAAGCCCGCAAATCAGACAGTACACTTTGTGTTGTCGTGCTGTGTGTTGTTCCCCTCGACCTCTCCTCACTCTGGCTTGTATTGCTAATCGTAGCAGTCTTCAAGGCCAGATGTGACGAGTGTCCAGAATTTCTCTCCCACTGCGGATCCTGTGCCGAAAGATGAGCATTGCCTGTCTGTAGATCATCTGGCCAGCCCTCTACATAACGCTCGGGAATTCCTGGAGGCACGTATTTGCGGGTTCGGAAGGTATCCATCCACTTCTTGAACGGATGAGCGGCCTGCGTTGGAGTTGTCTCATCCGTTGGGCTCTGAATTTTGTCGGGCAAATCATCCCCAGCTGTCAGTGATTTTGCCTCGATCTCATCCTTGTGCTCCATGATCAGGCCCGGACGCGGCGTGCTGGTTTAGTATAGGCGCGGAGGTCATGAAGATCGACGACAAGGATGCGCCCCAACCAAACCACACGCAGCGCCCGAGACGATGTCAAGCGTCATGATTTGGCAGTCACGATGGGCTGGGTATCGTGTGGGAAAGAATGTGTGTTCGTCTTTATAAGGGAAAGCAAGATGCTGGCTCTTTCTTTCCTCGGGACTGCATTTCACCAAATTCGACAGGAATAAAGAGACCCGCGCCATGGTAATCGCGTCGGCTTCAGACAGATGTTGTACTGAGGAATCAGCAATTTGAATCTCATCCATGTACGTCATGACGTGAGGCCACTGGATAGGTGGGATTTAAATGGATTTTAAATCCTGCTTCCAGGGCTACAAGCGCAGGGATTGAACGGTCACTTGAGGATGATATGATTCCGCACAGCACCGGTAGCACAGATGCTCAATGTGTTTGGAGACAATGATCCTACTAGAATTGCCAAATGATCGTACGTGTACCTGTGGAATAACATCGCGGATTAAATATCCACTCATAGTTGTTGGCGCGGCTATAGGCGCTTATATAAAACTGCCCCACCTGGGCACCGCCCTCATTTACACGCGTTGGTTCGAGCTTCTTCCCCCACCTTTTGCTATTTCTCGACTTGAAGAAAGCTCAGCTATGGGTGATAACATCCATGCTCCCACAGTGGCCTCCGGACCGACGTCTGGAGGTATCCAGATCGACTGGTCGAAATTGACGATGCCCGAGCTGATGCAGCAGAAGGAGAAGATCGAAGAGGAGCTGAAGGCGCTCAGCACGGTTCTGACCTCGGTGAGCTCCCACTTCCATATCGGTGACGTTCCTTGCATTCCCTAATGATATGCATTTTGTACAGCATGGAGTGACGATGCGCTCGACCCTCACAACCTTTGACGGCTATCCTCGTGACGATATCGACATCCCACAGGGTACTTAACTCTGAACACCCGTGGACCACCATGTTACTGAGAACTTCAATAGTACGAGCTACGCGTGTCCGGATGATCCATATTCAAAATGACCACAAGGAAATCATGAAATACCTCGAAAAAGGTCTGCATGCACACTTTGCGCAATTACAGAAAGCCCAAGCTACTGCGACAACGAACGGTACCACTGTGCCTATTACCGCACCACCCGCGGCTCTCGAGAACAGCATTACCGATGCGGCTGCCCTCGGGACACCATTCGCCAAGGTTAACAGTGTTGAATCAGGGAGTCCGGCGAATCAGGCTGGTCTGAAGGCTGATGATTTGGTTCGGGCCTTTGGAAGTGTACACTGGTTGAACCATGAACGGCTTTCGAAGGTGGCCGAAGTGGTCCAACAGAACGAAGGGGTATGTTCGATTTATTTTGCCTTGATTCACTGCTGCATGGGCCGTCAAGCTAACGAATATCAATGCATAGCGACCAGTGATGATCAAGGTATCGCGCAAGGAGGAGGGTGGATCCCAGACTATCGAGGTGGAGCTGCAGCTCACTCCCCAACGTAATTGGGGAGGTCGGGGACTACTGGGATGTCATCTTGTTCCGCTGTAGAGAGGCTGGTCCTCCCATCTGTGATGACTGACCTCTTGTTTGGGTATTCTATGCGGCTCTGTAGGGCTGCGTGTAGCGTTCGCGCGCAATTTCGAAATTATGAATCACGATTTGACCCTTGAGTAGAAGTAAAAAGGAAGTGAGAGATGGAAGGAGTATACCAGCCATACTTAGGAAACACTGCAGGTCGAAGGCTATAATTAGGCCTTCTTATGCTAAAGAATCAAATGTTGGACAACTACGTCAGGCCTTCAGGCACACAGACACGTGACCGCCCGCCGACCGGGCAAAAATTCCCTTTGAGCGTTATTCACCTCCTTCCCTTCCCCCCTTCGAAACTCATCCTCTTTCCCCAGAAACTTTCCCGCGAAATTTCCAGCGGTTCTGTCTATCTCATCAAAAGAGTTTACATCGCCAAATTTCCGCAATGGCTCAGGAGGTCCCCACTTTCAAGCTTGTCTTGGTCGGTGACGGTGGTACTGGAAAGGTAAGCGACTATCACTGAATATCCAGGCGTCGGGCGGTCTTCAAAAAAAAAAATTGCAAGAAGGATCATTTCAAAGGGAGCAAACGTCCTTGAATCCCTGACAAGGGCCATACTAGCCTTGCTACTACCGAACCCCTCCCATCACTTCCCTTGCCCCGCCATTGTCAACAAAGACGAAAAAATATCTGCCCGACGACCGCCTCATCCATCATCCACGAATCACTCGATCGCTAACGATCGACCAAATAGACCACCTTCGTCAAGCGTCACCTGACTGGTGAGTTCGAGAAGAAGTACATCGCCACCCTCGGTGTCGAAGTTCACCCGCTTGCCTTCACCACCGTATGTTATACCCCGCCGAGAGCCCCGCTTCCAACGGTTCCCTCGCTGTCTTGCCGTTTGACAACCGACTAACCACTAAAAATTTGAATAGAACCTGGGTAACATCCAGTTCGATGTCTGGGACACTGCTGGTCAGGAGAAGTTCGGTGGTCTCCGTGATGGTTACTACATCAACGGTCAGGCCGGTATCATCATGTTCGATGTCACCTCCCGTATCACCTACAAGAACGTTCCCAACTGGCACCGTAAGTAACATCGATCACGAAATTGTTTTTACATTGTCTCACATTCCTTCCAGGTGATCTCGTCCGTGTCTGCGAGAACATTCCCATTGTTCTGTGCGGTAACAAGGTCGACGTGAAGGAGCGCAAGGTCAAGGCCAAGACCATCACCTTCCACCGCAAGAAGAACCTCCAGTACTACGATATCTCCGCCAAGTCCAACTACAACTTCGAGAAGCCCTTCCTGTGGCTCGCCCGCAAGTTGGTTGGCAACCCCCAGCTGGTACGTATCCCCATACTCGGGAACTGGTGATTCATGTCCGGATTACTAATTTATTTTATAGGAGTTCGTTGCCGGTCTCGCCCTTGCTCCCCCAGAGGTCACCGTCGACGAGGCCCAGCTCGAGGTCTACCGCAAGGAGATGGAGGATGCCGCCCAGCAGCCCCTTCCCGATGAGGATGACGCCGACCTGTAGAGGACCAATTCCGATTTGGAAAACGGAAGTCCTCGCGCCCCCCCCCCTCTTGGTGTATTCTGAAGACATTCAAGGAGGTAGGGAGGGTATCATGATTGCCTGATTTTGTTGCAGAGGCATAATCGGTTCTCAAGAATCACGATACAATGAACGCGGTTGGGGCAGTGGCGGCTTGAAGAAAGGGACAGCACGATTATGCATTTCGATTTTTTTTTTGTTTTTCTCCCCCCCAACCTTAGTAGCTAGACTCTTACCATCTCAATGCCTTTTTTTTTTTTCTCCCCGAATGAGCTGCTGAATAAAAGCAAGTCCTCTTTCAACAAGATTTAAAACAACTTGTTCTCTATTATCTTACCAAAAGCAAGTTACAAGGCAATAATAGGCCGAGCAAACAAAATAAAAATAAAGTTGATTCTGATTCTGATTCTGACTCAAATGCTCTATTGTACTTCCAAGAAAAAAAACAGATGGTGGTTCTCTACCAAGACAGTCTGCATGCGCGTGTAAATGACAAAAGGGTATAAGAATGACAACGAGGAAACGCCTAGCAAATAAGATGGAGCGAGAAATTACAAGGAGAAAATCACGACATGGGGACCCCGCTAGAAAGGAACACCAAGGGCAACGATGGTCCTTCTCTGCAGGTTTGAAGCAAATGGTGGAAAGTAGAACCAAGTCGCCAGAAAAAGAAAAGCGGAATGCAATCTGAAATCCGTCGAAAGAAAACCGAAAGGAAGGATTTAGATCAAAAATTGGTCCTGCTCTAGGTCGAAACACCCTAGGGAGATTAAACGGGTTAGTAAGAGCTATAAGGGAAACGAATAAGCCGCATAATGGAGAGGGGGAACTAACAAAGAGGTAGGCCAGCTCCCTGGTACCAAGTCGAGAGACATTCATACTACCACCCTCATCCAGAGCACCCTCGATAAGCTCACGCTTTTTCTCCTGTAGCTCGATGATACGGTCTTCAACCGTTCCCTCAATGAGCAACCGATGAACGAAGACATCCTTCGTCTGTCCGATACGATGTGCACGATCAATAGCTTGGTCTTCGACATAGGGGTTCCAGAAAGGGTCAAAAAGAATAACATGGGACGCGGCGATGAGGTTTAAGCCTGCGTTACCAGCCTTGAGGGAGACAAGCATGATTCTGCAATCCGGGTTGTCAGTGAACGAGGCCACGGCTGCGTTGCGGTCATGGACGTTCATGGTACCATCGAACCGCACCCATCCCCATCCCTCACGGGCGATAGGAACTTCGAGAAGATCTAAAAGTGAGGTGAATTGGCTAAAGATGATGGTCTTGTCACCAATGCCGCGGGTTTCGTTGGCCTGAAGAATCTCGATGGCCTTGGTGATTTTGGCACTGGGTGTCCAGTGTTTCTCCAGACGGCGAAAATACTTCCGTTTCTCGGCCTTGTTCCGTTGGGCCGCAGTACGCAGTTCCGCCAGGGATTTCTTCTTGCGCTTTTTGGCCGATCCGTCGGTCTCAGTATCAGAATCGGAGTCGGAATCAGTGTCGTCAGACTGCTCAGATTCCTCGGCCACGGGTGATTCAGCATCTGAGCCGTGGGCTTTGTTGAAAGAGATGGCGTCCGTGACCTTGGTGGGATCAACTTCACCGCGGCAGTTTTGGCACTTCACCAAGCCAGAGTCTTGGTGGGCAAGCAATGTAGGATCAGAAATTTTGGCAAAACATTCCGAACAAGAGGAGTGTCCACAAGGGATGTAGATGACTGGGTTTTCAGGGCTGTCCATGCATATAGGACAAGTGCCATCGTCATCATCCTTATTATTTTTGATCCGCTCCACTGTCTGATCATCTAGGAGCTTAGCATTGGCAACTAGATCCACGCCTTGAACAACGGTTGAACTCTCGGCATTGAAGCCCTTGATCAACAGAGGATGATCGCAGGCTTGTCTGAGCCGAAGAAGAAGAACCAGTACATGACTGTAGTTCTTACCCAGGGTACCTGCATTCAAGTACTTGCGAATCTGGTTCTGGGAATCGGAGTTAAGTTCATCGTACAGCCCCTTCTCCTCTTCGTTGAAAACGACATGGATCTTCTCGATGACTTTTGGTGGAAGCTGCAAAATCGGCTGTCCGTCAATCTTGGTCTTCTTTGTACGACGTAAACACACGGACTTGACAAGGACGCGGAGTTGTTTCATGACATTCTCCTCTCCCCATCCGTTCTTAATAGGTCGAATAAAGTCCTGTTTTGTTGGTTAGCCTTGATATAGTCACTCGTTGCTTGTATTGATAGCTTACCCGTTTGAACTTCTCCTTGTTGTTATAAGGGCGGATTCGGAGGAATCCTAATAAAGACTGAAAGTCCTCGAGCCGATTCATCATCGGAGTTCCAGTCAAACACCATCGGTAAGTTGCGTCAAGCCTGCAGCAGGCCCTCGTGGATTTGGCATTTGGATTCTTGACATTCTGGGCTTCGTCGAGGATGACGCGATGCCATTTACTCGCTGAGCTATAGAGCACCGCACCATCTCGAACCTTTTTCACGATACTCGCATCCTTCCCTTCGCTCTGGAGCTTTTCCGCGTGTAGAAGGATTTTGTGGTTCGCGGTCAAAGTACCGAATGTCGTGATGATCACATCGTAATTCCGGAGATCTCTCCAAGGAATCTGGCGCTGAAGCCCGTGAAAGATGAATACAGACAATTGAGAATCCCCAGGTTTGACATGTCTACCAATCTCGAGCCTCCACTGCTCCATCAGAGCTTTTGGAGCGACAATCAGGGACGGGTGTCGATCAGGATCTGTGGGTGGGCGAGCGACCATAAGCGCAATTGTCTGAATGGTTTTCCCAAGACCCATGTCATCTGCTAGAACACCACCCTTGTGGTTGCTCTCTTCTTTTGCCTTCAGCCATGCCAGTCCGACTTTTTGGTGCTTCATCAACGTCACTTTTAGCTCTGGGGGTGTATCATCATTGTCTGCCTGTGTCGCTTTATTGATGTCCTTGATTCCCGTGAGCAAGTTCTTAATGTCATCCGGGAAATCTGCCTCCTTGTACATTCTGCAAATCTCATGTCAGTAGTCTTCTAGGACGCCAGCGAATAGAACAATTTGGGGGAAGACCTACTCGAAATCAATGGCGTCTTCTTCCAAGTCCTGCTGTTCACGGATAAGGTCAAAAGCCTTCGTTTCGAGATTTTGGCCCTGCATCCACGGCAGGCGTCTAGGGGACATATGGGACATATGGGACAATGGACCCCCCATACCCAGTTGCATAGCAGAAGAAGCTGGAGAATAACCTTGGGGCATGTAAGGATATTGTGCCGCCAAGGTAGGGTACATACCGGGCATGCCCTTATGTGGTGACAAGTAGGGTGCTTGGTATGCGTGACCTGGTGCCGACAAGTAGGACGGCGGGCGAGGAGGGTACCCTTGTACCGAATTGAAAGACTCGGGGGTAATTTCTTGAAGATCATCATCTGAGTCCAGGATTTCTGGATGAGGTGAACGATAATTATTGCCGTACGCCTGATGCTTTGGTGCTGGAAACGAAGGAGGGCGGGGCAAAGTCCGATCAGGGATAGCAAAGCTCGGATGCGGGAGCGGCTGAACTTCCTCGTCGTCCTGAGCCTGGATCATGCGAGCGTATTCCTCGTCCTTCTCCATCTGAATCATTGAGCGAATGGTCATCTCGTTCTCACGCTCCTCCTCATTGATTTCATGAAGGACTTGTTCTTCAGACATGTTCTCCAACCTGGCTGTCTCCCGAACCTCCTCAGTCGACCTCATGTTAGCATATTGGCGGCGGTTCCTTTCCAACTGCATACGAAGCTTTATGTCAATTTCTTGGATCCGATTCCTAGACTTGTCCATGATTGCCTTCTTTGACGGCTGTTGTGAGCTCAGAGATCCGAACGACCCCTCCCGTGGTCGTTTACGAGACCCTTCGCCAGGACTGAATGATGAGATTGGTGGCAAGGATGGCCCGGCATGAGCGCTAGGCTGGAAGCCAAAGGGTGACGGTGCTGACGAAGGCCAATGCGGGTTCGAGACTGGCAAAGGATTTTCCGGTCTTGGGGGAGTGACTGATGTTACCCGAGGAAGCTCTGGAGTTGTAGGCTGGGGAGCAGGATGACTTTCAGGTGGTGGAGAACTTGGAGCGACGTTCCCAAGAAGACCCGCGAGCCTAGCCTGCAGCTTTTTGATAGTGTCGCGTGTCTCCCCGATTGCCTCCACGTCATCCGGTGTGCTTGTCTTTTGATCAGTCAAAATGAATTCATAAAGATCCAGCTCTTCGAGGAGATCCTTAATTTCGTCCTCTTTTGGGTCCGCCATTGTGACAGATGGGAGGAGAGCAGGACAAATACAGATTGTCTTCGCGAGCAGAGCGTAGCCAAAGAGTAATGGAAGTGAGGTTTTGGCGAAATGAAAGAGTTGAAGTTAAGCAGAAAGGTGAGGCTGATTAGAATCCAGAATGACAGGGGAAATCGAACAACCCAAGACAATCTGGTCAGTATTGTTGTGGAGCTGCACGTTGTATTAGCCTCAGAAAGCCTATGCTGCGGGTGCAAACGGGAAAGCGGTGGCTGTGCGAGGAGCAGAAGGAGATGAGGCAAAAGGAACAGGAAGGCCTCGGGGTTTTGCACATCCATGGGTGTAGGTTTGTTTGTCCCACCTCATGATGATGGGCTGATGTGATAACTCACCTTCTCAAGCAGAAGAACACTGCATAAGACGCTTGGCTCAAACCCGGGGGATTGGGCGTGTCGGGTCCGCAGTGGAGAGCGGGGCAGGGCGCCCAGCGAAAGTGAGGCTCAAAGATTAGATGCCCTTACTATCTTAGGCGGCCATACCAGGCATCTATTACGAGGGTGTGAGACTAACGAATGGGCTCGCTGGTGATGAAGATGTGATGTTAAAAGTTGCCAAGGCCAGGCGAGAATCCAACGCTTGCCGACTCTTTTCGTGGCAAAGTTAGGCAACCACCGTTATCTATAGAGCCACTTGTTGGTTCCACTTCTTCATTCAACTTCAAACAGTAGCTCCGTTCGCATTGTTCTCCTTGTAAAGACAATAAGTCAGTCTCTACGTTGTAATTGTCTTCATCGTATACAAATCGCGTCCGATCGGAATTCGATGTCTTATCTCCACGTGATGATAGCACGCGTCACGCGCTGTGAGTCAAACCTTACAAACAGGGCTTAACGTGTTAGCCCTGACTTCCGAATTGGTCATGTTTGTGATACCTCAGCTCAACAAATGCTGAACCGGGCTATGCATGCTGCAGTTGCCATTATGACCGCTACCTATTTCTTCCGAGGTCAGGTTTGATTCCGTCCTGAAGTGACTCATTCAAGTGGCTGGATGCATAATTCCCGAATCGGAGGCTGAATAATATACACCAGAGATCCCGTGTTGCAGGTTAGGCTTCAATCTATCCTTAGACATGCAGCATGTATATGTAGTAGAAATGTTATTGTTCAAATATAACTAATCTGCCCAGGTGGAGGTATATTGCATATGTTAAACGAGCAGAAAGGTGATTTCTCCTGATCTAGTACTGTCCACCCCCGGGCCTTGGAGAGGTACCGGATCCGTATATTCGGTCAATAAGAATGGCATCAGAACCTAATCTTGCTCGAGCATGGAGAAAAGAAGCCGTCAGTGATTTACTAGTCTGCTATTTGACCAAAAGCGACATCATATCATGCCGTTTGGTATGCCAAAGCCTGGCTATTCAGCTGGCACCGGCTGTTTTCGCAGACATCACAATAACATTTCGAAGCCGTAGATTGAGTCGACCCTCTCGAGTGGCTGCTCTGCGACGCATCGGGAACCACATTGAAGCGATCACCTTCAAGATGTCACATACGGCAGAAACCTTTCTACCTCCAGTGCTAGATATGGTTGCAGGCATGGAGCAGACATTTGCATACATGCCACAAGGTCACCGGACCTCTTCCAAGATCACCAAGTATGGGAGTCGCGAGATGACCAATCTGCTGGTCCAGCAATATCCGCCATTGTTCCATGCCTCTACCGATGTCCCTTCGTTTGTACGGGCTCTATCCTTAATGAGAAACCTGCGTCATCTTCGAATCAATTGTGGAGGCCAACCTCCAAGCCATCGGTATCGTCGAAGCGTGGTAGATTACGCACTAATATCATTGCGGATTGCTATCGAGCGAGCTCCGTTGCAGTTCCTGGAGTCTCTTTCTCTGCTGTCAGTTCATCCCGGGGTTGCACTTTATCTGAGACCAGAACTGAGTTTCGGTGCATCGCCTGCCTCTCGCAAGCGCTGGTCTCAGATCCGCAGTCTAACCATCCATATGGAGAGCTTCCACCACCATCCAGGTTTGCCAACCGATCATTTCAAGCTGCTCCACGCCTATTTGAAAAGCTTTCCCGAGCTCCGGAGATTGGTATTTCATTGGAAAGGCGAGAGGGGTCTGTCACCGTTTTCCCTGGCTACTGAGCCATGTCTTCAATACAAGATCAAAGCCGATTCGTCTCAACACCGCCCCCGACAACAAAGACTATTTCTGAGTCCATTGCAATTCCGCCATCTAGAGAAAATAGAACTGGCCAACGCAATCACTGATGCGTCACAATTAGCCTCCTTTGTATATGACCATCGCCACAGTCTGCGGGAATTCAATTTTCAGAACACAACCCTGCGTAATGGAACCTGGGATGACGCTTTGGCCCCACTAACCCAACGCAGGGACCGGGAGCCTTGTATAGAAACCCTCAAGGAAGACCCCGTCAACGTGCCCATCAAGTTGACACCGGTAGGTATAAATCAGCAACAGTTGCAACGAGTGCTTTGCGCTGCTAAACGACAGCGAGGCGGGATAGGGAGTTTGGCAAAAGCGAGGGGAAGCGGTGGGAGAAAGCCGATCATTTGAAGCGGCTATTACATCGGTGTTGGGCTGGAAGTGACGTGTGTGGGGAGGCCGAGTCACGAGCTTTCCTCGGAGGGAAGCGATTGTCGTTCGCGATGAATGCCGGATTTGTACGACCCATTGAAAGGAGAGGGCTTGGTCTGCATGTGGGCCCAGGGATTCTGGGGCGGAAAGGGGTTTCGGAGAACGTTCTTGCTTTATAGTATCTTAGCTTGTGGGGAGATGCAAAGTGGTAGAGATCGACGATTCAATGGTTAGTGTAATCAAATTGTGATGGTAAAAGGGTTCCACTCAAACATGTAAAGTCCGGAGTAGTACTGATCAACGTGTGGAGAACGCCTTTCACGGGGCCTCGGCACGGGCTACGGCGCTTCACATGCGACCCCGGTCGATTTCATCATCGCTATTTAACGTCAACTTTCTGCCCTTGCTCTCAACCACTTTGAATAACCCACATTATACTCACTATGGCTCTTAAGAAAGGTGTGTCTAACCCGCCAATATTTCAGGTCCATGCTAACCACGCGCCATAGATTCCCACCCCTCCTCCGCCGCGTTCGACGTCATCAATGAGACCCTCCAGGGCGATGAGGCTGGTCGCAAGGAGGCTATCAACGGAGCCAAGGCTATCGTTGCCTTCAACGTCAAGAACAAGGATGGCAAGGAAGAGACCTGGCACCTCGACCTGAAGAACAAGGGCGAGGTTGGCCACGGCGCCGCTCCCGCGGGCGCCAAAGCTGACGGTGAGTTGCGCCTTGACCGCGTGACCAGCAATCATCCATACTGATCTTTTTTTTTCTTGCAATATAGTCACCCTTTCCCTCTCCGATGCCGACTTTGCGTCCCTCGTCTCCGGCAAGGCCAACGCCCAGCGTCTTTTCATGGGTGGCAAGCTCAAGATCAAGGGCAACATTATGAAGGCTACGAAGATGGAGCCTGTTCTCAAGAAGGCCCAGGCTAAGGCCAAGCTGTGAAGATCTAGATACCCCCTTTCTTTTCAAGGAATTTGTATATGAATGTCTCCTTTTGGGGGGGTTGGCTTTCCAGCCCCCGATATGTCTTGGCAGTCTTGCTACACATTTGTAGGATAAAAATGAAATTATTAGCTGGCTCTCATACCTTGCACATAGGTCAAGTCAGGGCCTCAGTTTTCACTATGGTGCCTGTAACGATGGGTGCTAGGTCAGGAAATGTATTGTCTTTATGTGGGCGGAACACAACAGGGAATGAAAATGCCTCTGCATTGAAGCCCATACACAGGATACCTCACTTGGATTAACTCACAAAACTAGTCATCTATTTGAATGCTCTAGAAATACCTTCCCACGTGCAGGGCTCTTCAACTGCAAGTCTTTGTCTGTGTCCTTTGTGCCCATATCTAGCTTTCTTCCGCAGTCCATAGTTCAAAAAATTTAGAGAGTTATCCTCTTTCTTCGACTTGGCCTTGCTGAGCTACTCGACCCTGATCCAGGACCACAAAAAAGTCTGCATCTTTGACAGCTTCAACCCGATGGGCAATAGTTATGACAGTAGATGATTGTAGCTCCTCGCGAACAATCTGTTGCATTTCAAGCGAGGTTTCGTGGTCGATCGAGGCCGTGGCCTCGTCCAGAATAACAACAGGGCTTCGTCGAAGTACAGCTCGAGTAAGAGCAATCAGCTGGCGTTGACCCTGGCTCAGGTTTCGACCACCTGCTTCAATATGCGTATCAAGATTCCAGCCATGACGACCGCAAAGACGCTCTAGAACCTCTGCGCACTGTTCGTTTGCAAATTCCTCAGTCGGGTCGAGGTTAAGGCGAATGCTCCCAGGGAAAAGAACCGGGTCTTGTGCAACGAAGGTGATTCGGGTTCGAAGAGCCTGGGTGCTCACATTGGCAATGTCGATGCCATCTATCTTGACACAGCCAGTCTCCGGTTTAATGACACTGAGGAGAGATACTGCCAGTGTAGACTTGCCGCTACCTGTACGGCCGACGATGGCAGTGGTAGATCCTCCGGGAATTCGGAGAGAAATGTCGGTCAGAGAGGGATCCAGGTGTGGTGCATACCGGATGGTGACGTTTTCAAAAGTGATATCACTGCCATATCTGGGCCATGCAGCTGGGGGTTCAAACATCCCCGGTGCTTCTTCTTCGGTGTGAAGCAACTCGTCAACTCGCTCCACTGAGACAAAATCCATCTGTAGCTGACCGTACTGCTTGCACAGTTGGTGCGTTGAGTCTACAAAATTGTTCGCCGCTATCAACACAAATGCCGTCAGTCCGGGTGTTGTATTTGTGTACAACGCCAAGGCAGAGAGAAGGAAAGTCGAGCAAGCTGATAGGGCTTCAAAGCGGCTTATGAGCCAGGCTTGAAGAGACCAATAGAAGTGGTCCATGCCTTGGAATTTGTCAACAACTGAAATGACACGGTTTTGAAATCGCTCTTCTGCACGAAAAGCACGGACCGTCGTCAAGCCATGCAGTAGTTCTCCAAAGTTGGACAGAAGTGGAGTCAGAGATACCATTTCGAGTCTCCTGAGGCTTTGGGATGTTGGGAGGAAATGCAAAAAGATCAATACAAAGGCGATGGTGAGAGCGAGAGAGAAGACAAGAAATGTTGGAGTAGCACTAGCAATTACTAGCACCGAAGAGACCCAGGTGATGGCCTGAAACGCAATGACTTGGAATTGTTCACTGATGTTACCATCTACCACACCAATGTCCGATGTCAGACGATTCATGAGTCGACCAACGGGGGTGACATCATAGAATCGGAAGGTTGCGTGGCTGACTCGAACCATTACCTGTCGGAACAGTGATTTTCCAGCGTAATAGACGATAACCAGCATCAAGAGTTGTCCGACTAGAAGGGCCACTGCTTGCAAGGTGACAATAGCAAAGAAAACCCATAGCCATGGACGTACGTCATCACGAGGTGATGGTAGGCGGTCTATTGGGTCTCGAGGGAGGAAGAATGCATCAACATTCGATGTCGTTGCCATCGGGTTGATGCCAGAGAAGTCCTCCTTAGGAGAAGTTGCAGTCTGGTTGTAGGCCTCACCCCATCCTTTGAGGAACCATGATTGGGCCACGTTGATGAGTCGGTAAATGGTCAAGACCAAGACGAGAGTAATCCACCAGCGATATTTGCCAGCCTTGATATAAGTCCAGTAGACACGGGCTTTAACGCCCCACTCTGCACGATGCTCCTCTTCGATGAATTTGTCCGGCACGGCATTTGCGTGACTCTCAGCATTGGGCTCCTCTTCTGTCTCTGTTTCAGAGTCCTGGAATGGAATAGTATTCTCGATGGCAGTTTTGTTGATCGAATCAGCGATAGAGTTTTTGTCATGAACTGCTGCTCGTCCATCATCTATTTCAATGATCTGATCTGCGATTTCTCGAACAAGTGCAACCCGATGCGTCACAAGAACAATGGTGCGTCGATGCATTAAGGGACCAGATAAGCACTTCCGGACGACGAACTCGGCGGTGTTGTGGTCGAGGGCTGATAACGGATCATCCAGCAACAGCACTCGAGACGAGCTGTATACAGCACGAGCAAGCGCCACGCGTGCTTTCTGCCCGCCAGAAAGACCGATTCCGTTTTCACCCACGAAGGTTAGATCTCCGTGTTTAAATTGTGAGAGGTCTGGAAGAAGAGCACATGCCTCCAAAGTCTGTTTATAGCGTACCTCCTCATAGGGGGCGGAAAAAAGAATATTGTCGCGAATACTCATGCTTTGTAACCAAGGTGTCTGTGCACAGTAACCCACCATCTCGTTTGGAATGTAGGATTTTCCGCTCAGTGGATCGAGTTCACCTAATAGAGCTTGGAGGAAAGCTGTCTTTCCTGCTCCCACTTTTCCAACGACAACCGTCAGACCTTGGGAAATCGCCACGCTTATATCATTGAGCACCGGTGACAATTTCCCAGGCCAAGCGTAAGAGCATGATTGCATTTCGAAATTCGTGCCATTCACTTCGCTATCAAGTGGCATGCTTTCTTTGTTCGGTTCCGCCATGAAACCTTCAATTCGTCCGAGGGCGATGTAGGCGTTTATCATGGTTGTGATAAGCCTAGGGAAGTCGCGCAAGCGGACCTCCAACATACTGAAAAGCTGAAGCGCTGGAAAGATTATGTCAATTCGCAATTCATGACCTGCAAGCCTGGTGTAGGCGTACAAAGCAATAACTGGAAAGACGCCACTGGAAAAGGCATTGACAAAACGGATGACAATGTTCCAAAGACTAGTGACGATGCGTAGATTCAGTTCATGCTGCCGGGCCTCCATCACTTGGTGCAGCCAGTGATTTTGCCATCCATACCATCGCAGATGGCGGAGCGCTTCCACAAATTGCGACGTAATTTGGAGTCGAGCATCTGTTGCGGCTCGTCTGGTCTTTTCCCATTTGAACAAGTACCTAGTGATGACTGCGTTGATGACTTGGCCCAACAGAACAGCCAGGACTCCAAGGAAGCATGATGGTCCAAAAAGTGACCAAACGAGGCTAATGGCGATGAACAAACCCACAGGTCCATCAATCAGGGTATCGACCTCCCAGAATCTTTGAGCCACCTCATAGACATCTCCCCGCAGGAGATTAAAAATCTTGCCAATAGAAGCAGCCTCTTTAGCCTTGACGGCTTTGTCTTTCTGCTTTCTTGGTTTGAGACAGCTCCAAATACTAGGCTTTGGTGATGCTGATTCAGTCTCTTGATTGGGGACATCACGCTCCTCCTCTTCAGAAGGGTAATCATCTTTCTCGATTCTTAACCCGAGAATATTCTTTCTTGATAATGCTTTCTCATAAACCATCATGACCATTTCACCTCGAGATCTTTCATAGCAGCGTCGACCGTACCAGAGGCTCAGAACTTGAGATTGCGCAGCAATCAATCGGGTTATGAGCCAAATGAATGCGTAAGTCAATGGTACGCGCTTGGGCTTGGTTGTATCTTGCATCGCTTGTAGAAGCATTTGAAGGAGGACTGGGGTGGAAAATTCTGCAGCAAATATCAGCTAAAGGTGCTCGCGTGTTTTCGGTGGCTCGAACATACGACACACCAGCTGCACTGTAGCAACTGCGGAGATAATGAGCACGTCTAGACTGTTTGCCTTCAGGACTCGTGCTAGCACAGATCCTCTCATGTGGCGAAACTTTTCATGGAGGCGCTTATGCTGAAATTCGAATCCAAGAAACCAGACATCGGGCTCATTGAGCTGCCTTTTCCGGCCAAGGGAGATAAGGGGCGCCATCCACGAGACTGTAAGAAACTGCCAGAGCCGTAGGTTGTCTTCTGGGCTACGAAGCATGCTGGATGGCGCTTCCCCCACAGCACTGATCCCAGATCCTGGGAAAGAGTCCTTTCGAAATGGCATCAGCAGGATTGTAGAAGAAGCCGCCAAGGCTGCTATGGCAGAAATGTAACAGGCAATGACTTTCACTCTCGGACGAGCATCATTATGCGCTGCTAGTATTATCTCAACCACAAAGGTCAAGATGAAATATGCCAGCATCCAGATAGAACATGATCTTGGTCGTTCGACAGCGATGAGAACGCATATTGCCGCCTAAATATGGATGAGTGGCCATTTCAAACATTTGTTCTACCAAGGAAACATACCCATGATGCGACAAGTACCAGCGAAGGAAGGTCGACTTTCGGAGGGAAACATTGCACAATTTCCCCTGATAAACCGATGGCTGAAAAGGCCAAAAGAGCAACGGTCCATTGAAGAGATCGTTTCGGCCCTTCAGAAGGGATGTCTGGTTGGTCATCCCACTCTGAGATGAATGGACGCGTCCACTGGGGACTCCATCGTCGGAATAATGGGCCACTTAGATGGCCAAATGCAATGAGCAGAGCGATACTCGCCGGAGCAATGACGAGGTATGGCAATGCACATGGGGATAACCATGCGTTATCCGCGTCCTGGATTGGTCAGTTCCGCGCGTACCACTGCAAGGAGGTCTCGTACCCAAAATTGGCGACAACCGCGCCCGGCGTCAATTAAAGGAATCTGATTCATGTTCAGTCCATTGGAACCAAAATTCTACCTACGAGATCCATGAGGGAAGCTCGAGAGTAATGCGTTGCATTCGCGGGGGAGTGGGAACAATATTCCTCCGGTGGGGCGTCTAGGCGTCAATCTAGGCGGCAATGAGTAAGATAGGAATGTATACTGTTCTCCGAGGCAAATTTTTAAAGTTATCGAATTAGTTTTGTCTACAATGATATAGATCTAGCTCCTGATCAAAAATAAAACAAATGATTCCCATACCTTTGCATCTCGTAGGCGTTATAATTATTACATCTCATGTTTTGGGCTCTACTAGCTAATCAAAAGTATACAAGGATCCGCATGGTATAGATCTCATTCAGTAAAGACCGACTAAATCTTCCATAGCTAAGCCTAATCACCAATTAAGCCAGTGGCACCATTTCCAATTGACACAGTGTGACAGCAAGTATCAATAGATTTAATGGTGCCAACTAGTGCCAGCCACCACCGTAGCCATGTCCCCAACCGCCGCCATATCCCCAGCCGGGATGTCCCCATCCCCAACCACCACCAGGTCCCCACCACTGACCATTCTGGCCATTCTGAGCATTTTGGCCAGTTTGAGAATTACTCTGGGCCTCGTCGGCTCGTCGTCTCATCTCTACAACAGTAGAGCTTATTTAGTAATTTGTGGTACAATGCGGGCATGTGAGTAATTTGAATCATCCCAAGACGTACCAGGCTCGGCCTCGGGCTGAGGGGCTGCAACTGCGGCACCCACTAAGCCAATGAGAGCAACAAAGATGCTAAAATGCATATTGTTGTTGTAATTTATGATGGATTGGATAGTCTTGGCTACCTTGGCTGTTAGCTCGCCTATCCGGGTGGTATATGGTAAGGAGATTTTTGGAGAAAATTTACCAAGATTTTGAGTATAGTGATGTGATTATCGATTTATCTGTCTGGAGAACTTTCAAGGTCGAAGGATGATTGACTCCTTTTATATCTTTTCCCGCCCTTCACAGATCTTGAGATGACGAAACCTCATGAGTTGGGTTGGACATTCTAAGCTGTGATATGAATACACCCCGAGATCTTCAGATTTGGAGCCAGTGACGCTGTCTCCATTGCATCCGAGTTAAATTTGACAGGCAAAGTAATTCTATTCCCTGCATTTCTGTCTGTTGTTCCTCGGGGGTTGTTTTGACTCGTCCGACATCTCAAAGTGGCTGGTCGATTGGCTCTGCTCTTGATTATCCTTTTCTGAAGGCCATGAAACATGAAATTTGGAGGCCTTCATTGGGTCAAAAAACAGAATCAAATAATCAAATGGTGATATCGTTAGTTGACATGCATCACCAATTGATACTGCCTCTGGTTTGACAAGTACTTCATATGTAATGACAAGGTCATGGTCTGTATACTCAGTTTTTAAGTCCAGTGGAAGAGCTTTTCTAAGGTTTACGGGGAAATTGATAGTATCAGTGGAATCGTTCCCAGTCCTCATTTCTCTGTTTGAAGGGATTATCTTTGCTGTTGATGGGATAAATCTGTCAAAAGCTCGACCTTGTTACACATTTTCCGTGGTTTTGGTGCTTGTTGAACCATGTGGAAAGGCCAAACCAGTCTGACAGTGTTACCCGAGCGTCATTATGCCATAATGATAAGACTGCTAGTAAGTAGAGTCTCGACCAACAGTCAACGTCATTCTAAGCCGACCTTGAAAACTTTCTACAATTCTGCTTTGAAGGCAAAAATCGATCAATTGTAATGGTCAAGGTCTTTCGATGTGAAAATTGAGTTTTGCCTAGATCTTCGGGGAATATGCTAATCTGGCCCAGTCGCACAAGATCCTGAGCCTCCGACTTCAAGCTAAAATGAAACATGTGGAGAGTTCCTTTGTTGACGTGGGCCATTCGTTCCATGTGAGGTTACATATCAAATCTTCCAGCATTATCCTGGCACCTCGGCCCCATGCAAATCATGATAAATTAGGATAAGCTCATAGGCTCATAGTAGTACGACAGTGTGAGTTCTGAAAATGATCAAACAAGGGTTGTCTGCTTGATGACTGTTGGACGACTGTTGCTACTAAAAGCACAGGCTATTGTGTGCTTATTTCAAAGTTTCATTCATACTTGTTATGTACACTGACATGCGGAGTTTCCATTAATCAGAAGAAGAAGATGTCTTAGAAAATAGCGAAAGCATTTGGTGGACTAGCCACTCCACCAACAACCTGGTTTGAGTCAGTCGAGCGTCCAATCCAGTGACAGGATGACTAGGCATACCTTGAGCGGCATACTAGACAGGAAGAAACTATATCTTCCTGTAGCCTTACAATGTGCCGAGAGTTTCTCCAGATCAAACATCTCACCAATGGGAGTACCCCATCCCGCCAAAACCCACTCGTGAAGGTTGTAGTCAGGGTCTGCATGGCTACCACGAATTGGGGCGCGCTCGAAACTCGGTGCATCACCTCCAACAGCGGCAAACTGATGCTCCCAGAGCCATCGTACCATACCTTCAGTCGCTTCCACACCACTGAAATCTGGGTTTGGGCGATTTGGCATGTCTATCCGTTGCTGCTCGTTCAAGCCGTTGTAGGCTGCGGTGAATCCACTGCGGATGAATAAGATGTCACCCCGTCTGAATTCGAGCTTGTAGTCTTTCACCACCTGCTTGAGGTTGTCCAAAGTGATAGCCTCAGACTCGAGCGCCGAGACTGAGACGGAGTTTGTTGCTGCCCAGTCGGCAAAATCTAGCAAGACGCCACGGCCAGTCATGCCGCCATGCTCAGCAACCGCTGCAAGATAAATTCATTAGTGTATTCACTCTCTGTGGGGATTTATTCCATACTATGAAGACCGATCACGTTCGAGTTCTGGATTTCGTCCGTTGTGTGTCCATTATAAAACTTCCGTGACTTCTGATTAGCTGTAATAATTGATCAGCTTAATCCTTGCAGATAGCTGGGTACGGCCAACCATAATGTCTGAAGCCATCCCACTGAGAGGAGCCTTGGCTGTTAAACGTCAAGATGTCGTCGAAAACACAGTTCGGGTTCCTTAGCACGATCTCCTGCTTGAACGGATTCCGGTTGAAGCTCGGATAAGAGGGCATGCTGAGTGGCCAGTCCAGCGAGATGCGCACTCCGGTCTGAATTTCCTTGGCAGCCTCTACGATCACCTCTGGTGTAAGAAGGTTCAAAGTTCCTAGTTCATCGTTGGGTCCGAATCGTCCCCAGGCATTTCCGCGAGGGCCTGTCGGGTCTAGCGGGAGAGCTTCGAAGGGTATTGTTTGGTTTGTTGCTGCCATTGTGGGACTTGAATGACTGACTTAGCAGAGGAGTATTGATCAGTATGGGAATCTCCCATTAAATATATGGTCCTCGGCGTTTTCTTAGTTTCATTGCCGAATCATGACCCCCGCCTTACTCCACTACCCCACACTCAAGGCCGGATTCATTTCCGTGTGCTTGTTCATCCGGAGTTCTCTCCGCTCAAATTAATAAACAAAGCATAATTGGTTAAGAATTAAAGAAACCCAAATGTGAGAGATTTATTATCTTATTCGTTCTAAAAAATGTTGTTTTCTTTCTCTTTTCGCCTCTGCTTGTACAAGGAACGAATCAATGAGGTTAGGTGTCGCTCCTACCACGGTCACTGCCCTCTTTGTTAAGAACGACAAAGAAAACCTACTCAGTAACGAACAAGATTGTCTCTCCAAGACAAAGAGGAGAATTGAAGTTGACATTTAGCAAATTGATTCACTCCAAAAGTTGCGTCTTTGTGGAATGTTTAGTAAACAATCTTCTCTAGCCATTTATTGATGAACGTATCCATCTCTCTCACGGGAGTCACGGCTCATAACACCCCGGGTTCTACGCAGCTAACGGCTCGTCGCATCTTTCTCCTCATCTTTCGGTCGTACGTTTTTTCAACAAAGAAAAATTTCTTAGTTCTTAGAGCCCGCAAGAATGAATACACACAAGGCAGGAGCACCAACATCAAGTGGTCCTGAGAGGCCACATTCCAGGCCCCAAAGACATCGGTGGACAAATTCAGACAAAAAACCCCTCAATGACTGGGCATTACTGCCCCAAGGATGGAATATTGATGAGCCTGATCTCGATCCTCAAGATCTAGGTGCTCAGATTCAGAGATGCAAGGAAAGAATCGAAGACAATATCATGCCTTACATATTCGAAATAAGACTGAAGGTCTTAGAGGATGCAAAGGCCAGTCGCGAGTGAGATCCATGTGTCAAAATTGCAGAAAGGGCTGCTAATGATTCTTCTAGTTTTATAATGGCTCAATATCAAGAAAGAGGACTAAGCTGGGACGTCATCCAGCGGTTAGAAAGTCTCAAAGCTCTCAGAGAGGAGCTTACAGCAAATGGCGATGTTTTTGAAGAATTGCCCAATATCGAGTCCATTATCAAGGCTTATGACTCTGGTGCTTTGAGGATGGATGGACAGATCACATACTGGTCTTATGGAAGAGTTGTCTACCGTTCGCATTCATTTGACTGGGATGATTTCAAGCGGGCAAACAGGACGCATCAAGGCTACAAAGGATTTTGGGTGGAAGGGGTAGGTCGGCCACGAGCTTGATTCACAAATGTGCGATATTCTAACTGATACTTAGCGAGGCGACCAAGGACCCTCATCGGTGAATTCTTATAAAGCCATCTGTTCTACAGATACTGACGGACAATATGTGGTATGTGCTTCGCACTCCTTGGGCAAGTTCACACCGTACTGATACATTATGAAGATCCCACTGGTCCTCAGGCTAGGACAAGAATTAATGCAAGACAAAAACGCAATGAAGATTGAGCCAGAAATTGAATTCGACTTCATCGACGATACAGGCTGCGGCCCGTTGAAGATCTACACGGACGATGTCGCAATGCTACAAGGACCCAATTCTGCAGATGGAATTCACTGGCCCTGGCCGCAGCTCATTGGATACGAGCCAATGAAGTGTGCAGATGGCTCAGTCAGCTATATCCTCGCTATCATGGTCGAAGTCAATATTTACGATGGGCCGAGAGGCCACCCGAATCGCCAATTCATGATCCCGTCATGGGTCCCGGCAATGGCTCTAGTTGATCCTGCGAAGTCGGTGGGCCCGGTCGGGCCCAATGAGAGACTGAGTGGGCGTTGGATGAGGTATTCTCTCTTTACTGCAACGGCGCCGGGGTCTCAACAGCGTCTATTTATCAGTTCTACGAAAACCGGGTTAACGGAGAAGGACATGTTACCCAAAGTTGATGCGAAGTTTATCAAGCCGATGAGGTTGGTACGCTCTCGGTATGCTGTGCCTCGCAGAGTCCGAAGGAAGGCGAAAAGGGCATATTCCTATGCCGCAAAAGAAGGAGGATTATCAGTGGATAGGAGGGAACTGAAGTATATAAGTTTTAAGTCTAAGACTTGACAAATTTTCCAGGTGAAATTGATTGCCAGGTGGACGTTTTCTCCAATATGTGATCTGATATTTCATAGAAATCAAACATGATAGATGATTCCAGGGTATAATCAACAGAAGGGATTACATATAGCGAAGTATGTACAACAGAGTTAAGAAAACAGTGGAAGCCCTACAGGGTGAAGTATGCGATCGTAGCGGCATACGTATCCAAGTTGTCACTCACGACCGCCAAAGAAGTCCCATCCTTGACAATCATGTTGGTCGTACCCACGGTGCTGAGAGTATAGACTGTCAAAGCACTGGTAGAGCCCTCAACACTAAAAATCTCGCTCTGACAATTCTCTGGTGTAGGGAATGTAGAGCAGTCGGTGCTGTAGTTGTTGAAGAAGCTGTATAGACCAGCACCGTAAATAAGTATGTTGTCGCTGTCAAGAACACGCAAACCAAGGGCGTCACAGTTGCCAGAAAGACAGGTGCTATAGTCGGGGTCATTAAGAGTGGAGTTGGTAGGGTATGGGCTGTCGGCCGCATCAGGATTGGGCTGATAATATCTGGGAGGTAAAGTGTTAACATGGTGATGTTCGGTGCCATGCTTGCGCCTGGCTTTACTTACGGTGTTTCGGTCTGAATGAAGCCTGCTACGACTGAGCTGGCACCAGAGAACTGGTACTGGTAGAGCGAGTGGTGCTCAACGGCGGTTGCGTATCTAAAAGTTTGTAAGCAGGAAGTCAATCATGGGAGAGAGATCATCAACTCACAGCCATATGGTCGTTCCTTCAATCAGCAGACCACGACCAGAATAAAGAGAGACACGAGTATTGCTTGCATCATCGATATCGTGATCAGCTGTCCACAGCCAGTTATTCTCCATGTATACACCACTTGCGGAGCTAGTGATGTGCATAGACATATACGCAACTTCACAGGCTGCAGAGACAGCTGCAGAAGTAGGGCACTGAGCGATCTGTTGGTCTGAGCCATCGAAGCCACCGATACGGGTGTGGACATCCCACATTCCAGAACCTGACTCAGCTGCCAAATTCCATTCAATGAGTACAGCACCAGGTGTGGACCCCTGGGTGCTAACAATCATATCGGACCATTCAATTGAGCCAGACTCTCCGCTCTTGCCGACTTGAATCACTGGGATGGGAGTGGAAATGTCAGAGAAGACACTACCGCTGGCCATGATCACAGGGTAGGCCTCTCCAACAAGTCGAAGTCCAGGGGGGAAGTAGAGAGTGTTGGTGACCTTGTATGTTCCTTGATCGAAGAAAACGATTGATCCGGATGATGCAGCCGATGTCAGGGCAGATTGAATAGCTGTGGTGTCGTCGGTTGTGCCATCACCTGTGGCACCTGCGCTTCTTATGCTGACGAAAGAAGAGGTGGGCGATGCTGAGTACTGGGGCTTCGTCTTGGTGTAGTATCGGGAAGACCCACTGGCAAGCAAAGCAGATGGGCGCGTGGGGGCAGTGAATGTGCCCTGGAAGCTGGTAGGACCATTAGGGGAGTATTTGTGGCCTTGACCCCATGCACTGATGGTAGTAGAGCCTGACGACCCGGCAAGGACGGTGCCGCTGGGCCCCTCCACAGCAACAGGGACGTCAGTGAGAGCGATGTTCTCTAGAATTAGACTGCCGTTGGACGAAGTTGAGGTTTGCCAGGCTGTGGTAATAAAGGTCGAACAGTCTACGATGCTGCTGTCGAAGACGTTGACGGAGCCAACAAGCTGGTCACCAGCACCACCATTATTGATCGAAATTGCAGTGGTACAATTTGTGATGGTCAGACCTTGGTAAGTCCAGCCCCAGTCCCAGATCTGCGAGATGGCAGTAACTGCGTTGGAGATGACCAGGTTATGCATGGTAAACTGCTGGTTGCCGATGTTTGCGCCATAGAGACCACCAGTGATGGTGATGTCGGTCAAGAAGCCTCCAGATCCTAGAAAACCGATCACAATCAACTTCTGTTCGAAAACAAATAGATGGTCATCTTACCATTCTCAATGAAAAGGCCTTGGTGTTGAGTTCCTGAGGCAGAGCTCATCACGATCTCAACATTCTGGATACTAGTAGCCTGGCCTACAGGCCAGTGAATCCCCGTCGCGGCAGTTGCTGCTGCAATGGAAGTGAGATCCAGTTTCAAATTCCGAATCTGCCTGAAGAACACGTTCGTCGCAGTCCAGCCCGCATTTCCACTGCTTTGGTATTGGTCACCATCAATCATACCCAGGCCCGTGAAGCCTGCAGTAGCCTTGATCACCGGGATTGAGTTTGGATTGCCAATCAATTGGGTGAAGTCATAGTCGATGATGGAGGTGGAGATCAAGTAAGTTCCCGAAGGGAAGTATACAATAGCTGGCGTGGTGGTAGATGTCCGTCCGCTCGACGGACCGTAACGACCCCCGGAACTAATAGCAAGATTGATGGCTGCAGTGTCATCGGTTACACCGTCACCTTTAAGAAAGAAATGTGAGCAATTGCAGTCCTATTAAGAGAATGCTTGTAGACATTACCTTTAGCACCATAGTCCTTGACGTTGCGGAAGACAGTATAATCTGAGGGATTAGAGTTGAAAGCCGCGATACCCTGGTGCGTGATATCTGCCAGCCAGTACGAAGCATCATCCGTCGCGTCAATGGACACATCTACCGAGAATTTGAGAGACGCGATGGGTGTTGGGACACTAATATCAGCTTCTACTGAATTGCAAGGCGCATAGACCGATCGACGGTCCGGATGCAAGTCCCGGTGTTGCTTACCCACATGCCGTGTGTCTAGCACATGGGCATGCGCATATGCTAGCAATGAAACACAGGAGATCAGCGAAGCAAAATGCATCTTGACACCAAGCCTTCACTAGGGAATGGAAGTGGGGTGGGTCATTGGTGCAGAGGGGAATCGCCCGGTCTTATAACCACCTGGGACACAGTCTCGAGCATCAAGATCGATGTGATGCATGATACGCGCGTGTCAACACAGACCCAGGGGGTGGAACTGGAACGCCTCCACATCATTCTTAGTCCATCGCGAACCAGTCATAGAATCCTACCCCGGAATACAACTTGACACGGGGAAATAGATTGCAAATGACCCTTAAATTAGAGCGTGACAACCTGATCCAGTAGATTGCCTTTTCCATTGTCCGCTAGGATTCAGGTTGTCACGCTGGTCGGACTGCCTCATGATCTGGGTGGAAAGAATTGTAATCAACATGCCGATCCTGCCCCACTGGGCGTTCCCCTGTCGATACATTTGGGGCTGGCCTATAGGAGTTAATCATGTCCGCAGTAAACACATCATGTCGGCGATCTATTTGGACTAGTCAAGCGGAGCTGATCGAAAAGCGGAAAGGAATGTGACTAGCTGCAGGTTTTATTGCCGCCACACTTGAAGAAAATGCGACTCAGGGGTCATGCTGGGTGTGATATGTGTCACAGGGATGAGAAGAGACGGATGCTTTTCTTTTCAATTCCTCAAACATGAAGCGAGATGATGCTCCTTGATTTTCTTCATGCGGGGTGGGGTCAGCCGGCTGTGCTTGATCCCCAGAGCCAAAAATTGCCGATTGGAGGTATCACCCGCTGCGGATTCGTGAAGAGTTTCCAGATTTCCTGATTCTGCCTTCACACTGGAGAGTCCTAGTTTTCAAAGTTCATAGGATCTGGTTGATCATGACGCCTCATCACTATGGTTGAAAATGGCATGCAAGCGCTCGTGGCTGAAGATGACGAATGCCTTGTTCCATTTGGCGCGGGAGTGGGATCTGTCTGATCCATAGAATGACTTGGTATAGTTCACGTTGGTATAGTTCACGGGTATCCAAAACAAATCATTGACATGAAGTTTGAGAAGACCTTTGAAAGGTCCACAAAGCTTGTCGGGCCTATGTGCAGGTGTGCAGGGGTGGAGCGGGTAACCTTGTAACCTTGAAAGGAGCACATCTGCTGAGTACCTATACGAGAATTTTCCGTTGGTTTTTGTTTTCATTTCCAAAATATTCGAACCTTGGAAAAGGGGCCTTGATCTATTTCCCAGGGCTTGATGCAGAGCTGAAATATACTTGTCCACATATGTTTTACCATCTGTACAGTACAGTACTTTCATTGTCCCGACCGGGGAAGATATATATCATAGTCTGGACATTCAAGCGCTGACTGTCCAAGTGATATACAAGTCACAAAATAACATTTGAAATAGGTACCTACCTGTAGCGAGAACAATTTTATGAGTCATGTGGAAGTTGAATGACTGAATTAAGTAATAGCAACCTTGGAACCCCAGAAGATGAAGTGTATAGAGACAATCCCTGATTAACCAAGTCCAACCAGTTGACTTGTGCACGGGAACTTGCAGCAACCAGGTCAACGGGTTTAAGACGGACTTTTCTTCCACTGCGTCATGAGCCGAAATTCCCTCCAGATGGATGCTAGGAAGATGCGCCCAGCTTCATTTCATAACATGTTTTAATCTTGGTACTAGTATTCAAGTCCTTGCAGTCAAATTTGACAAAATCAATGTAATCGACAATCAAAACAACCCTGTTGATTTGTTTTTGCATGCCAAGAGCACTATCACGTGACCGAGATTTTTCGTTCATCCTTCATGTCTCTCCGCGACCACGAAAAAAAATCCAACCAGCGCCACTTCTTCCCTCCCATTCTAATCTACCCAGAGTAGCTTCTCGATCATCAAGAGAGCCTCTTCCGACCCTACATTTCTCTTGATTATCTTGATTCTGACCCTGGTGACTGTGGTAGCTTGCGCGACGGGTCGCGAACAAGGTCGTGTCAAACGGGACATCATCATTCCACCCATCGAGTCCATCCTCATCAACTCGCATTCAACTTTTTCCTCGATCGGCTTCCACAACTTATTCTCCCGTTGAAGTGGTGGCTAAGCTTTCCCGGGGAAGTCGTGGACCCAGAGATCCACCTGCGACAACAGGTCAACATCACGCGTGACGGACTCGAGTGTGGACCGCTACCGAGCGCAAAGGTAGTTCAAAGTCGATCGTCCATTGAGAGCCACCAAGCTCATACAAGGCCAAAAAGACCTGCAAGCTAGTGTCGTGCATGTCCACAGCTTGAATCGAGGGATCGTCATCGATCTTCAGAAAGGGTGCATCGGGTTCTTGCGATTCACGACTGTGCATAGCAAGATAAGGACCTTGTGATAATATCGCCATACATACCGCCTTACATACCGCCACAGATGTCTAAACGCACGGCGCAAGGTCCTCAGGGATCCAAAGAAGATGAGAACATTTTCGGCATGCATGGCACACCGGAGGAGAAGCCCCAGCGGGCAACAGCTGCGCAGCTGGCGAGTAGAAAGTGAGTTTTGTGAATTTCTTTAACTTTCCATATCGATTTCTCGACCCTTGCTATTTGAATGAAGGAAGGATTTGGAAGGGCATTGATACCAGGTAACAGAACCGGTTCACATGCTGATGCTGAAGATGCTGGAGATGGCAATGCTTTGTTCCCAATTGGGGGATCATCGCATGTTGAAAGTGCCGGATGTTTTTTGATATCCTCCAGCATGTCGCTTCACTGCTCTCCCCTCTTCCTCTTCTTCCTCTTTTCTTTCCCCCTCCCCGTCCTAAAACCACAATGATTATTCCTGCACCTGGTATGCGGGGTCACTTCGGGGCCCAATCCTCGAAGGCCCCTGATGGTGGAGCAAAGCGACAGAAACGGAGAGCTGACTCGGACCTCGATGATTCCAGGATAAAAGACATTAGAAAGCGCCCCAGGGGCACAACCCCGGTTTCCGGTGCTGGTGCTCCCCAGCAATCTGGCGGTGCATTCTCCTCCCTGTCCGCGGTCCCTACTGCTGGATTTGGTGCTCCCCCAGCTCAGTCGACAGGCTTCAATTTCGGCCAGACTCAAAGTTTCCCGGGGGCCACTTCGACCCCCGCGCAATCCAACCAAGGCAACTCAACCCCTTTCTCTTTTGGGGGTGGCAGCCAGCCAAGTTTCAGCTTCTCTGGAGGCTTCGGCGCCTCTAGCTCTGCTCCTGCCGCTAACCCTTTTGCCGCCGGCTCTTCGTTCTCTCCTGCTTCTTTCCCTGCTGGTGACTCCACTCCCTCCCAGCCAGCCCAGCAAAACACACCTTTCTCTTTTGGCGGCTTCGGAAGCAACCAAACTACCACCCAACAATCATCCTTTGCATCCGCTCCATTCGGAGCCCAGACCCCAAGCACAACTACCGGGACTGGCCTGTTTGGACAACCGGCTATCAACAATGCCACCACGAACTCTGTTGCAGACTCCATGCAAACCTCACCTGACAGCAAGCCCAAGATGCCTGCTGGGAACACCTCGCCCTCTTTGCCCTCGCTTTCACTGAATCGTAGTCTGTTTGGTGATTCGAAAACTACGACCCCCTTGTTTGGTTCCTCTACGCCTGCTTCACAACCAGAGAAAGTGGACACCGCTTCATCATCAGCTTCAAACCTCTTCTCCGCCACAAAAGCTGCTGCACCAGCAACATCAAGCAATCCATTCAGTGGACTTGGCGCCTCATCGACAGCCGAGAAGCCTGCCAGCCCGTTCTCCTTCACTCCAGCGACGTCGAAGTCTGCGGAGCCTGAAAAGGTCAATGGAACGCAAAAAGCACCCCTTTTTGGTGCTGCTACACCTTCTGCTTCTCAACCAGAGGAAGTGAACGACGCTCCATCCACAGTTCCTAATATATTTTCCGCCACGAAAACTGCCGTACCGGCAGCTTTGGGCAATCCATTTGCCGGGCTCAGCGCTTCATCGACAGCAGAGAAGCCTTCCACACCATTCTCATTTACTCCAGCAGCCTCAAAGCCTACGGAGCCTGAGAAGGTCAATGGAGATGGAACGCAAAAAGCATCCCTCTTCGGTGCTGCTACACCCTCTGCTTCTCAACCTGAGAAAGCGAACACCACTTCATCCACAGCTCCCAATCTCTTTTCTGCCACAAAGACTGCTGCACCAGCAACATCAAGCAATCCATTCAGTGGACTCGGCGCCTCATCGACAGCAGAGAAGCCTGCCAGCCCGTTCTCCTTCACTCCAGCGACTTCGAAGTCTGCGGAGCCTGAAAAGGTCAATGGAACGCAAAAAGCATCCCTTTTTGGTGCTGCTACACCTTCTGCTTCTCAAGCAGAGAAAGCGAACAGCACTCCACCCACAGTTTCTAATCTCTTCTCCGCCACAAAGGCTCCCGCACCGACATCTTCAGGTAATCCATTTGCTGGACTCGGCGCCTCAACAACAGCACAGAAGCCTTCCACTCCAGAGAAAGTGAATACCACTGAATCCGCAGCTTCAAATCTCTTTTCTGCCGCAAAGACTACCGCGTCAGCATCCTCAGGCAATCCATTTGCTGGACTCGGCGCCTCATCAACAGCTGAGAAGCCTTCCACTCCAGCGGCCTGGAAGCCTTCTCAACCAGAGAAAGTGGACACCACTTCATCCGCAGCTCCTAATCTCTTTTCTGCCACAAAGACTACCGCACCAGTGCCCTCAGGCAATCCGTTCACTGGATTCGGCGCCTCATCGACATCAGAAAAGCCTTCCACTCCGTTCTCCTTCACTCCAGCGACCTCCAAGCCTGAGAAAGTGAATGGGGCTAGCTCTATGACACCTGGAACGACGCCTCCACAGTCCATGCACGAAACTTTTGGTCAGAAATCGCCCGCGGGCCGTAATACCACCTCTTCAAATGACATGGGAGGCCAGATCTCAACTCCAGATTTCGGTGACGATTTGACCCAGGAACTCAAGGACAAAGCCGAAGTGCTTTGGAAGATTCGGACCTTGGATATGCATTTCCAACAGCAAATCGCGAAGGTCAAGCCTGGAGAGACTTCGTTTGATAACATCCTACTTTTCTATCTTAAGGTTCGCAGGAGCCTAGGTCAACCAGTGAAGAAGTGTGACAACGAATCTTGGCCATCTGAGAAAACGTCCACTCAGAACGGCCAATCTAAAACCTCTGTGACCAATGGCGTAAACGGTTCCGCCACATCCAGCATTTTTGCGAAGTCGTTCTCATCGCCTGGACCTGCTCCCCTCCAATTGAGCAATGGCTCGCCGCAGTCTACTCCAACGCAGTCCGGCGGCGCGCCGTCCTCCCCTGCTCCTCCCAAGTTTGGTGGGGCAACGTCGTCTCCTGCCCCGTCATTGTTCAGTGGTCTATCGTCCCCTGCTCTTCCCAAGTTTGGCGGGGCTTCTTCCTCTACTGCTCCGTCATTATTCGGTGGACCATCATCATCTGCTCCTCCCAAATTTGGCGAGGCAAATACGTCTTCTGCCCCACCTTTGTTTGGTGGTGCATCCTCTGCACCCAAGTTTGGGGGTGGTACCTCCGGCCCTATCGACTTCATGGCACAATTCAAAAAGACAGCCGAAAGCAATGCGGCCAAGGAGAAGGCTCAGCGCAAGGCTGAGGAGTTTGACTCTGAAGAAGACGACGAGGAAGAATGGGAACGTCGCGACGCCGAAAAACAACGCGAGAAGCTTGCAAAGTTTGCGGCTGATGCTAAAAAGGCTGAATCCGCTAAAACTGCCTGGGTTCCCGGACAAGGCTTCAAGCCGGTGGATGCCGCCAAGTCTGCCACACCTACTCCTACTGAGAAGCCATCCCCCGTTCCATCCTTTGCTGAAAAGCCATCTCCCGCTCCATCTTCTTCTGCTTCCATCTTCGAATCATCCTTCCTTCCTCTTTCTAACTCGGAGAATATCTTTGGTCGTATTTCTACACCGAAGCCCTCCGAGGGTGACAAAGACAGTGATGAGTCTGATGCTGAGGACAAGACTGCCACGCCCAAACATCACGCTGAAGATGATGCCGCCGAGGACGCCCTGCGAGATTCTAAGAGAGCCAAGCCTTCTGATCAGACATGGAAGCCCACCCAGCCAATACAATTCGGAGTCTCTCAGACTTCCTCGACAGCAGGGACTCCCTCAACACCTGCTGTCGAGATCTCAGGGAAAGTTACCCCGACACCTTCTGCTGCGACCTCCGAGAAAGTCAACTCCGAGGCCAATGATGATGAATCAGCACCTGGTGCCATCTTTAGTCTGGCTGAAGACGCAGCTGAAACCGAAGGTGAAGAATGTGTCTTCAAGTGTCGTGCCCGCGCTTTCAAGCTCGGCACCGGCTGGGTATCTCAGGGCACTGGTTTTGCCAGCCTTCTCGTCCACGAGAGTGGTCGTGCACGCATTGTCCTCCGTGCGGACCCAAGCGGTTCTGTTATTCTGAACACACTTCTCAAAAAGGAATTTGATTATCAACTGACCAATAATTCGGTGCAATTTATGGTACCCCAGGCGGATGGCCCGCTCGAGCACTGGGCCGTCCGGGTGAAGGCCGACACGATCAAGGCTTTCCACGAGAAGGTGGAGTCTATCAAGTACTAGACGTGCCTAGATACTTTGAGACCAAACCCACGGTGACTCAAAACAATGTATTTTATGATATGGATAGTCATTTGCGGAGTTTCAAATCAAAATCATGTTATCACTTTTTCTTGTTCAATATATTTTCTCAATTCGCCCACTCATCCTTTAGTCACAAGTACTTAGTCTCACTGAGTGTTGGTTGCGCTTTCAGTTCAGTCGTTTAATATGTTTTGAGCTATAGCATTAAGACTGCGAAAGTTCCTCTTGATTAGGCTCTCTTAGAATATAAGGTACAATTCATATACATATTCTTGGAGTTGCATCATTGTGATATTCAATGAATTTAGGAGTCGAATCTATTCACACCACTATTTAAATCTTCAGCCATGAATGCCGAGTCCTGCTCATATACTTGCGCGATTGTGTACAGCCAAGCGATGTCAACGGTACTCACATGTAGTGGTCCGTTACAATTCAGCAATATAGGCAGGAGATTTCCAAAGATCTCGAGGAACTACCCATGGTAGCTGGGTTCGTGCTTGTCAATGTAGAATTGGCGTAGTCGGAACTAATACTGTAATGTGGTTTACCTGGAATCTACAGACAAGAACAGAAGCAAAGGTATGAAAAAGGTATTTTTATTTTGAAAAAGCCCCAACCGAACCCCAAGTGTAACATGGAATCATAGAAGCGAAGATAACGACAAGGTGGACCTCATTTACGCGTCATCGACGGTGGCGGTGTGCAGACCCTTGGGGTTCTTGACGTTGACAGCCTGGACGTGGGAGTACAGACGCTCCTCAGCACCCTCCTCATCGTTACGCTTGCGGGAGATGCGAACGCGGAGACGGAAAGGAACACCCTTGATACCGGCCTCCCAGACCTTCTTGTTAAGCTGGGGGTCGAGGCGGACATCCTTGGTGCCCTATAATGTGCAGAAGAAAAACGAGAGTCAGAAATCTGGGACCAGACGAAAATTCCCCCGCAAGAGAAAAAGGAAAGAAAAGTTTTGTTACTCACCATAGCATGCTCGGCGAAAGCACGGATCTCCTTGATGGCACGAGGAGCGCGCTTCTTGAAGCTAACACCGTGGCACTATATTCCCGAAAAGAAGTTGTAATTAGTCTTCCGCCCGAATGCCATCATGTAGAGACGAATCTCTGTGATGTTCTGGTTTCGGCCATATAGGTGGACTTCATCAAACTAATTCTTCTTTTTTTCTGGTTCCCGTTCCCGTTTATAGGGTCTGGGATGTCATTTGCAAAACTATGTTTCAAATCTGCAGATGACAAGTTCGTCGCGAAGACGACTTAACACTGCGGTTGCCCACAGATCGCATTCCGAGGGCGCTGGCATGGGTTTCGAGTCGGAGTGGAGAATAAGGAATTTTACATCCTGATCACCAAGCCAAGACGAAGACCCGCGCACAAGAACCCTCAAAATTCATTGAAGAATTCAAAACCCCGACTCCATATTTCAGAAGCAAGGTGTTCTCTGTCCATTTCCATAGTATGCCTCCACAGATCTCTCACTGATTCGTCGTAGGTAAAGGGTTTCGGGTTCAACATACTCTGCGGTGCAGGTTGATGGTGTACTCGCGGGACACCACGTCGGCAATGGCCGAGCGCTGCTTCTTTCCGGTCTGCTGGACGTTGGACATCTCTGCGAGAATGTTAGAGAGGGTTGGGGAGGGTGAATGAGCGCAGAAAGACTGACTGAAAGGGTTCGGTGTCGACTGTGGGCGAAAGTGGTCGATGAGTGGAAATTCACAATTTGTGGTTTCGGGTGAGTGTGGCTCGCTTAGGCGGTGGGAGGACGATGATTGGTTGTGGGTCATGTGATGTTGCAGGGATCAGTTGTTGCCACGAACTTCGGGTGTCCACTTCTGTGTTGCTGTTGATCCTTAATAATCAGGCACTAACTCTTAATTTCTCCACGATCAGGGCAGAAATTGGAAGAAAGTTACATCTATTGTATTCAATCTCCTTCTAAATGCGTGTGGAGTACATCTATTGAGATCCCTCGCCGCTCACATCAGGGTATAGGTCAAACCGCCGCTGAGTGTAAATGGGGATGCTCTTGCGGATATTCACAATGCTATCATTATCCAAGTCCGCATAAATAATAGTCTCCTTCTCCTCCGCCTCCGCCAGGATATTGGCACTAGGGTCAGTAACCAAACTGTGGCCATAGGCATGGTAGGTGGCGTCCAGATCACGGGCAGGACTGCACAGCGCCACATACGACTGGTTATCCACAGCGCGCGCCCGGCCAAGCAGGGACCAGTGGAGCGGGCCGGTAGTTGTATTGAATGCGCCGGGGTAGACTAGTAAGAAAGCGCCCTTGCGGGCAGCGATCATAGCAGCCTCGGGGAACCGAATGTCATAGCAGATAGCCAGTCCAATCTTTCCATATTCCGGAAGATCAATCACCGTCAATTGATTGCCGGGTGACAGGACATCGCTCTCCTTGAACGCAATCTTGCCCGGGATATCGATGTCGAATAAATGTGTCTTGCGATGGGTTCCGATCAATGAACCCGATGGCGAGAAGACCAGCGAGGTATTGTAGTATTTATTCGTGGACTCTTCGAGCTCAGGGATACTGCCGCCGATCAAGTATGCGTTCGCTTCAGCGGCGATGGCCGATAGCGCGTGGAAGGAGGGCGACTGTTCCTTCGTCGGAGGGGAAGGGTGGAGGGTTTCGGCGAATTTAGGGAAGTATTGTGTGCCGTAGGGGGAGTTGAAGCACTCTGGGAGTACAATCAAGCGTGCGCCAGCTTGTGCAGCCTCAAGGACCTTGCTCCGGGCGTGCGAGAGATTGACGGCCTTGTCCGCGCCTGAAAGAGGTTAGCCATCAAAATTGATGTATTTGAATAATATCCATACCGGATGCAAGCTGCACCAGGGCAAGCTTTAAGGGCTTCTTCAGGAAGGTAGCCATTGTGGTGATGGAATGTGAACAGGGGAGAAGTTGCGTAACGGGGAATTGGGGAACTGCGGGGAGTTTCGCTGATAAGACCGACTTCGGGAGTGCTGCCGACATACATCACGCAAGGGACCGCTAGATAAGGCAAATATTAAGTAGATTGCAGTTGATAAGCTTATTGTTTCAACTTCGATTTATGATCTGGCTGTCAGATCTTTTTTTTACAAGCCACCCTTGACCACTGGGCATTTGAGTGCAGACACTCAGGAATATATCTCAGGATGTTTACACGGTCTGAATCTTGCCATTATGGAATCTCACAATTATATACTGTACCACGATTTGAATCAGGGGAATCTATGAGGAATGAGGTCGAGTATGTACAGTAAGTCAAATTTTGAATCATGATTTTGCGTGGTATTCTAGAGTCAAAGCTGCCATGATCAAAGTTGCTTCGACGAGTCAATGATGAGAATATCCGTAATGCACGGAAAAGCCCCAGTATTTTGGATTTTTACCCGATCCCCTTCGGGAATGAACAGCACATTGCTGCTATAGCTCTGATATCCCGATAGAAGTCTACAGCATTGGAACATTAGAGTAGCCATAAGAAGGCAGTCTCCAAGAACATAGTAGCCGCCTAACGAACGACGTCGGCAGAGCGAAAAAATCTGCTTCACAATTGAGAGCACATTTTATAATCACCGGGCCCAGGAAAAGAAAAAACCATCAGGCATGTTTCTCATGGGTTTTCCCGGCAACTGACTTAGCTGCTTCGTCGGCCATATGGCTCGAAGGGCAAGACTGCGGCAACGATAGCCATGACGATGTAAAGCGCTGCACAGATGTAGATCGGAACTGCTGTCTTGGTCTATATAACAATTAGTATCGCTTGCATAAATTCAGGCGTGCAACTTACATCGGCAAAATAGGCCACGATGGCACTGACGATACCCATGATTCGATTGAATCCAATGGCAACACCATTGCCAGTGCCACGATGAGCCGAGGGGAAAACCTCGGGGGTGTACGCGTATAGAGTACCGTAGTAAATGTTCAAACAGAACGAAATAGCGCACGTGAAGCCGATATTCTCACTTTCTGTGCGCACCTGGGTGTAACAGAAGAAGAAAATCATGGTGACCAAAGCGCCGATGATCATGGTTCCACGACGACCCCAGAACCAGGGCGAGCGGCACATAAAACCTGCCAAGACAGGTCCAAAGATGCTGCAAGTGTTGTTGATCGCATAGTTACGCCAGGTGACGTACTGACTTGTATCCCCGAATTGGGCGCCGCGGGATGCCAGGTAGGAAGGTAGGAAGACGTTATACAGGGGGTAGGCGAGACCAATCAGAAGCCAGGAGAACCACACCAAGGTAGTAGACAACGCCATTTTCCGTGTCGCATACAGCCCCTTGAAGTGGAAGATCACCTCCCGGGGGTCGATCAGTCGTTCGGCCATACGGGCTGCTGTCGTCTTGCGTTGGTTTGTAATTCCACATGCTTGGAGTCGCTCGAGGGTCAGACTGCAAGGGCGCTGGTATTTATCAGCGATATTGCGGAGAACACGCAAAGCGTCCTCGTCCTTTCCTTCTGAGAGAAGAAACTTGGGAGTCTCCTCCAGCCGGATGATCGTGATGCGCAAAATAGACAGAACAAACACAAAGGCGCCGGATGTATACCAGACGTAGCGCCAGCCCATGTTGTTGTCGTATGTACAACTGGCTGCATCGGCGCACGAGTAGTTCGGAAGGAAAGCCCAAGCAAACAGACCGGCGATAAGCTGACCGAGACCTAGGAGATGCGAAAAGTGGTTAGTCGTCGCCTTCCACTGATTCTAGAGGACATGCTTACCCCACCAGGCCGCCATCAGAGTCAACAGCCATTGGTTCTGACTGGGAAGATACTCGAGAAACACGGTGGTGTCCAACACGAGGTTTCCACCAGCACCAAATGCGCTGAGGCAAATAAAGAGACCGAGGACAATCCAGGATGGCGAGGCGCCAGCCACGACAGTGAAAACCGCAGAGACAAACAGCGAAACATTGAAGGCAAAGCGACGACCGACAATATCTGCCGAGAATCCCCAGAAAATGGCGCCCACGAGCATGCCCACGTAGACAGCAATTGTCAAGCCCGTCGAAAAGCCAGGCTGGAATTCGTACCCGGCCTGCGTGGAAATGATCGACTGGATAAGGAGGATGAGCGAGTCGACGGCATACCCGAAACCGTTCAGACAAAAGAGCTTCCAGTGATGGGGAGTGAATCCGATCTCATCAATAGCCTGGACCAGGGAAATGATTAGCCCTTTTGTTCTTGTCTTGGGCTGTACGGTGCATCAAGGGGACTCACGTCGTTGATCAGAGTCATCTTGGCCGCCAGCACCTGGTCCACATTCTCTCCTCCCAAAATGTCATTCTCACCATGCGCGATCGAGCGTTCCGTTAACGAAGCATTGCTGCGCGACTTTATTTTGTCGGCTGCAGACGCAGTGCTCGTATTTGCTTCGACGTCCATTGGTTGCGATGGCGCTTATCAGCTTATCGGAGCGATAATCTGGGGAAAACACAGGCGTTGGGAATTGAGGGCCAAACTAAGTGATATTTATGAGAGGGAAAAAGGACAGAGAAGCGGAAATGACTTGAGGGGAAATCGTCGCATGTTCATTTCCCTCTTTCCTCCCCCACGCGGTTTCTCCTCGTGGCAAAGTGCTGCATCGTCGAGGCTACTCGCGCACGAGGCAAGCTGATTGGCTATGAAGAGGGTCCGTGGGAGGTCAAATAGCGCACTAACCGTTTCAGGAAACAATCGGCCTTTTCATTCCGTAGCACCAACCAACCAGCGTACTTCTGCCCGCGTGCCTTGATAACCCTCGGCTTCTCCTAATTGGCATTGCACGAGGGGAATTGATTCATTGAAATAAAGCCCCATGCAGGTCAAGCCCAGGGTAGCCAAGTGGGTCATGGGGATCTATGGGTCCTATAGACCATAATTCAAAGAACTTGAACCAACCGTTAACAATCCATTAAGCAATTGAATGGCATGGTTCCCACTTGAAAACTGCTTAATTCGACATGGCTAAAATTTTAACCCCTTATCTAGGTCTACGGTTATCGCTTCTAAGTATCTGATCTATCACCCCACTCTTGCAAGGGTAACCGATACCAGGACTAGACTACTCGATGAGGAAGTAAATGTCTGGGATTCGATAGGGAAACCGGGGGCTTCAAGATGTACCCACAGATAGCTATCGTACGATGTCAAGGGGCCGCATTGGTCAAGTATAGCCCCGTAAATAAGTCACCGAGACTAAAGTATCGGTGCTAGTGCCACATCTTAGATTAGTCTCCGATGAGCCCCAAGAAGTCTAGACTACCGATAGTTATCTCCCAAGTTAGACAGGATCAAAGCCTCTCATATGACTTGTAAGTAATCTGGCCGTTCGAACAAATTTCTATCTGCATATAACGTTCAAAGTATTTTCAAGGCGCCGCAACAGGGAAATATCGAGGGCCCTATTGAGATTAATGAACATTGATTGGATGAGACCAGATAACAGATAGCACATCCCTGTTTAAGGTTTGCATCTGTGCGCTTATCTGCATAATCCCTGCATTCCATCTATGCATTGTTCTTTGGTATCAAATGCTTCAGAGTCTCCCGATGTCAAGGTTCTCATCATGATTATCCTGCAGACTCCCATTTCTAACCATGTTTAACTCACCGAACCTGGCGGCAATAGCGCTCCGGCGACAGGGTACTAGAACGAGAATAAATTATGTAAGCGCGGCGAAACACTGCGTATCACATATGGAAAGGCGATTGAGAAAGCATAGACTACTGAACCCTACAGAACTTTTACCCGAAATAGGAGAGAGTGAGGGGAACAATCAAGAACACAAGAATAGATAGAAAAGAGTAATGCAGATTTGAACAAAAAGAGGGCGGGTTTAGGCTCGAGAATCGCATCTTCCTAACAAAGATTATTGACAAACAAAACATCCCATGCGAACCAATTCAACACTTCCAACACGACATTCGACCATTCCAACAATTTTGATCCGAACTGCGACAAGAGAGGCTCTCAAATCCTACAGATGCTCTTCAATCGCTTCTTCGTTGTGATACTTTTGTAGGTCATCTAGAATTGCTCAGGAGCTGAGCCGTTTGAGCTCCTTGAAACAAGGGCTTTTTACCCTTGCAAAATTGGTCATCCTCTATAGCTCCTTCGGAGGTTACCTCTTGCTGTATTTGCATGATTGGAATTTCGTTGCAAGCGCTGTCTGAAATTTCTGGATGCGGGTGCAGCCCATGTGATATTTGGTATCAGTGAAGACAAAACGAAAGGGACCAGCGTTTGGCACACTCTTTCCAATCAAACACTCCAAAAAAGCATGGCTAGGAGTTTTGAGCTCAGGAAACTCTTGTATATGACACAATACCAATGGGCGAAAAGAACCAGACCCGATATGGCGAGGTAATTGTCAAACTGGCATGGCTGGCTTTGGGGGTGAGCCCTAATCTCAAATTGCCGCTGGTAATTTCAAAAAGGAGCTGAAGAACAGACCAAAAGGTGTGTGTCAGTAAGGAACCAGGAGTCAAAACCTTGTAAACGATGGAGGGGGAAGATCAAAAGGCTGATATTGCAAGTCGTGAAGCTACATTTGCTACGATGTATGTGAGAAGAGCCAGAACTGACTGATTTAGACCCCATTCATTCGATAAAAAGGATTGAGCCTTGACTTTCGTCAAGTCAAGTAGAGCAGGCTTTCGTCGTGGAGGTATAGGTCTGAAACGCTTAGCACATGTAGACACTGCAGGGCTTGTGGGGTGCCCAACCGTGCAATTTACCCAAACAATGATGAAGGCACTTCCCATATGTTCTATCAGGCAGAAGCCCTTATTATTTGATTCTATATGGCAATCTATGGATAATCATCATTGAGGTTTGTGTGCCGTTCGTCGTTTCAAGTATACTAGTGAAGGATGACCTTCGCTACAAAAATAGTGGGGAAAGCCCAGTGCTCTTTTAATCCAAGCTTCACTTCTTGGTCATTCTCAACTTCTGGAGAAGTGCGTCCCAAACATCTTTGATTGCCTGATTGATGTAAGTCTGGTACCCTGGGGAGATCAACATGAAGTGTAAATAAACTCGCAGTAGTTTGCATTTGGCTGATCTTACCGATAGGGCTTGTAGTTCATGTGGCTGAGGTGGATCTTCGGTGTATATTCGAATACATTTGTCGATCCTTGCCTGGTGCTCATTGATCTACTCTATATTTTTGCAGTCATATCTTCTGATGGAGTCTAGCCCGCTCTAGGTTCATTACGCAGACCCACTACCCATGAGGTATTAATGAGAGTAGAAGCCTGTTCATAGGGGAGTTACTATGATGGAGTGGATTGAGGCTACGGCTTCTGTCAAACAGTATTCCCATCCTGTAGAGACTCTCAGATTTTAGAATGTTCCAGATTGTCTCACTGATACCACGTCTTTAAACCTTAGCAGTTGCTTGAGATCAATGCTTGCAAGGCGACCCTGAGGTTGATAATTTGACCGAGTAGTCTTATCACGAGCCATGCTACATAGCGGCTAGCCCTGGGAAAACCGGATAAAATCCTTTCACTGGAATTGGCCAAGGTCAGAGTCAATATTCATGACACCACTCTTTGTATCATGCCGGCGTCGCCGCACGAAATGGCAAATTGACAGCTCCACAAACTACGCCTCAGCTTGCACGAACCCTACATCGGAGCGGCAATATTCAAACGTATGACACCTCCGATTCTAGCTTTGATCTGATAAAAAACTCTGCTGTCTCAGCCAAGGTAAAGGCCCACCCCGTATTACCGGACCTAATCCACTCGTTTACGTAACGACCGAAACACGGCGAAATCCCGTCAGCCATGATCAAGAACCACTAAGAATCGCTTGGCAGCTTGGCAAGGTCATGGCATTACACCCAGCTCCATCTCGAATAAATTTTGACCCCCAACACCCGCATTACGCGGGCCTTTACGGGATAAGTGGATCGAGGTCTCACCAGCGGTGTAACTAATCATGGACACGGACCCCTTGCAATTTCGAAACCATAGAATTGAAACCAAAGGGAAATCTAATCAGATGATCTTAACCGTGGTTGGAAGTCACTTCCTTTAAAATTGACTTGGTTGTGGGTGGAGAAAATATGTTAGTTGCAGGCGGACGTAGCCAATCAAGGGCTTTATCACGCCGCAGGCCAACTCGGTTGGAGGATTATTCCCTTCTGGATTTCTTCTTGGCCCCTAGTTGCAGGATGAATCAAGTTACGCGGCCACGTGGATGGCATTCGTTTATATGTCCGAAAACTGACATGATTTCTATCTTGCTCGGTGGTCACAAGGTCCGTGTACGGGGTAAAGAAAGTTATCTGATCGTGCCCGCCCGTGGGTCGGCGCCGGGAGCCGAATTATCACCGGTGGTTCAACTTGGATGTAGACGGCGTGCTCCGTCCTTTGGCTCGTGTAGGTTTGTGTAGCCGAGTTATTGGGGCCCAATTGAGCCTTGTGACTGGAAAGCTTGGTGGACACAAAAATTGACTTCGAAATCAACGAGCAGAAAATTCGTTATTTAGGGCTCCACCCCGCACCTGGGCAGCGGCATCACCCGTATATAAAACAGTGTGTAAGTTACCACGTAACTTACCAGCTTCTAGTATTGTAATTAAAGTATGTAAAATAAGTAAATTACAGTGGAGTGATGCTGGTGGAGTCATTAATCTTATTGGCGATTTGACCATGTTGAACCTTTTCATAATATGCTGACTGAAAAAAAAATTCAGCGACTTGATCATGAGAACATCCTCCAGATTCCTCTTCCCGAAATGGCTAGTTCCACGCGCTGAGCATAAGAAATACAGGTCCATTTTCTAAAATCACGAATTATCTGATCTTTACCGGGAAGCGCAAACAGAAAACCCGCCTAGCAACCCATGGTAATATCTTACTAGCGCATGCCACACCTTATCACTCATCTGATAAGACTGATAAGATGATTTTATCTACAATTTTGATTTTGCCTCACAGCTTGGAATCAATCCAGTTCGGCGGTCGCTTCTCCACAAACGCTCGAATTCCTTCGGCAAAATTGGCACCGGCATACAGCCGTGGGTACCACTGATCTGCCAGACTTGTAACAGCATCCTCTGCGCTGCCAGCTTCCCAGCTCAGCCGAACCCCGAGACGACCCACAATGATCGCGTCCGGACTATTCTTACACATTTCCTCCGCTAGCTGCACTGCAGCTTGCGCAACGTCCTTGTCGGCATCCACAATCTGGGTGACCAGACCGTAATCGTAGAGTGTTTTGGCAGGCACTGTGCGTCCGGTCAGCACGAGATCCATGGTCCGCTGGAGACCGATGGTTCGAGTAAGCCGCGGCAAGCAACCCGCAACAGGGACAATGCCCCGTTTGACTTCAGGTAGAGAGAAAACAGCGGATGCGGATGCGATTACCAGATCGCAATTCGCCACCATCTCGAAGCCGCCGCCCATACAGATGCCGTTCACAGCGGCGATGATCGGCTTCTTGCCATTGCGACGTGGGAGACCGGCAAGACCAGGTGGTGACATGTCATTGACTACACCAGCCTTGACCATTGCATTCCATTCTAATGGACGTTAGTAAGAATATAATTCCAGGGGTATGAATATCTCAATCTCGTGACATACCGCCAAGATCGGCACCGGTACAAAAGGCTCGGCCGTTGCCAGTAATGATTCCCACCCATAGACTCTCATCTTGATCGAATAGTTCCCAGATTTCTGCAATCTCGGCGCTAGTCTCCTTGTTGATGGAGTTCAGTTTCTCTGGTCGGTTTAGGGTGACCTGCACCACGCGTTCATGCGGGAAGGAGACATTGAAATGCCGATAGGATAAGGGTCTTGATCGAAGTGACATGGTGGGATTATGCAGGACTGTGGTACCGTGAGACCCGGTTTTACCTTTATAAACAAACAAGAGCCAAGATGGCGGAGTTACACGGACAATCCGTGAAATTACGCACTGACAAGCAGAAATGTGGCGCCGGATTGAGCCTTGGAACCCCAATGATAAACCCGCACTGTGGAGAACCGAGGGTAAGTCGGCGTCCTGGGTTTTTCAATTTCCATTCAAAACATGCCTATCTCGGTCTAGCCAAGGCAGAAAGGTTCGCTTAGTCGAATCAATATCCCAATCCAAGACAGTCTTGCCTCGGCTTGTATTTATTTCCAGGGTTTGCTCTTAATTCCGGCATTTTCTTTAAAAACCTTCAAACCAATCCCACGTGGCTATTAGATCTGATAATCTGATAATTTTTGGGCCTGACTTCTTCACACTCTATCTTGCTGGGATAGTCTCTACAAGGTCAAATTACCTGTCCGTGCGACAAGAAGTTACATTAAACCGACACAATGGCCAGACACACTTATCCCGCTGTTAAACTTCCCCATCCCTTCCTCACCGCCTATCAAGTGCGCGCCGTCGACAACGCAACTCCAACAAAGCGTGTACTGGCTTTGCAAGATCAGCCTGCTGCCGGCAAACCCTTATCTGAGCCTCTACACCTCGATTCGCTTTCATGGCGTGATCTGACCTACCGCCCTAAGGAGGAGCAACCTCCCTCCAACAACAACACCGCCTGGGGCCGAGCCCGCCGCAGCCCCGAGACCATCTTCCAATGGACTGAGGATACTCCCTCCCTGGGTCAAATTTGGAGTATCGTCCACGCGATCTACCTAGCCTACCCTACAAATGAGTACTTCCGCGTGACTCTGGACGGAAGAGGCAAAGAGACATTGCGAAGCGAACTGCTCGCGACCGGCCTAGCTGTTGAGCACCCCAAGCCATTCGGTTCTAAGGAGATCGCATCAGAGCAAGCAGAGGAACTGCTGATCCTGCGCAGCTCATTCTGGCAAGGCGCCGCCTCACCAGCCGGTCCACGTCCGATCTGGGCTGCCGGCGATGGAATCGACGGACCTGCCCGCGAGTCATTGGCCCGGTATCCCGTTCTACCAGAGAACTACCACTTCACAAACAAGTTCCCTGAAGAGCCCGTGTACACCCGGCACCCCATTCGTCGGCCCAAGCCCGCACCTGGCTCTATCGCATACAGTCGGTACATCCCCGAGATTGACGAGCACTTCTCTTTGGAGGTCGTCAATTGGGAGGATGCGGAGCACTTGAAGCTTTTCAACACTTGGCAGAATGATCCTCGTGTAGCTAAGGGCTGGAACGAGACTGGTACATTAGATCAGCACCGGGAGTACCTGCGTAAGCTGCACGTTGACCCGCACGTTCTGTGCTTGTTTGGTCGCTTCAATGACACCCGGTTCTCATACTATGAGCTGTACTGGGCAAAGGTAAGCTAAAATATCCATTGTGCTCAGTGTTTGTCAACTCAATGCTAATAATGTCCATAGGAGGATCACTACGGTGCTCACTACAATGCTGGCGACTACGACCGTGGCCGCCACTCTCTCGTCGGTGACGCCTCTTTCCGTGGTTCCCAGCGTGTGAACGCTTGGTACTCCAGCTGTATTCACTACTGCTTCCTCGATGACCCGCGCACAGCAAACGTCGTTGGTGAGCCTCGCGCTACGGGCTCAATCATCCTGTCTTATGAGAATGCGCAGGGTCTCACGATCGGGTCGTACGTTGATCTGGGACACAAGCGTTCCGTGCACTCGATCGCCAGCCGAGAAAAATGGTTCCAGTTATGCCCAATCTTCTGGGATGGACGGGAGCGCCCGTTAGAGTCTGCTGATCGTGCGGCTTGGAATGCTAAGCTATAATCGGACTTGAGGCTTTGTGTTTTTTTTTACGGTTGCCATGTATAGTCATTCCCGGGTATATTTATAGTTTCTTCGTTTTCTATTCTTAAAATTACAGCCTTTTTTCATCGATGATCCTCTGTGCTTTCACTGCTTAAGATCTTGCTATGTAGATCCATACTCCTAGTGGGTGATGAGTACTTTTGATGTGATCCATTTTTAAGGTAGGTTTACCAGTATCAAGGTGTTACATGTGTAGACCGCACCTGGGCATTAACAGATCTCTCTGTCGGCGGTTCATACATACTTCTTATGCAAAGCAGAAACCTTGGGAGTTAGGAGAGACCAGTATCTACGCTGGACGAGACGGAGAAGATGCAGACAAAAACCAAGATTCTTTTTTAAGCGGCTGCACTAATAGAAGAAGTCTACAGTGCAACAACTATGGAACTAACTATTATTATAGCACATTCGCTGCGTAAACAGCCATTACATATCATATATCAATACTTCAACTTCGATCTCATCCTGTTGTAAAACTACTTAAGGTAGTGGTATAGACAGGTTTCTGGGTATATAAAGAGGGACAAAGAAATGGGTATATGGATCCCTTCCCAGGCACTCGAACCATCCTCCAAGACAATTAGCTTAGAAGACCATTCCCTTGACCTGGGGCACAGCCTTAAGGTCAATGTTGCGGATCATCATGGTCCAGATGAAAGCAAGAGCAAAGACACCAGTTCCGACAGCCAACATGCGGGTCTGGGCGTAACCGTAAGCCTCCTGGATAGCAATGCGAGTGACGCTGCCAACGGGGTAGCTGAGCTGGGTGGTGAGATCCTCGTAAATGTTCTCAAAGTTGTCCATTGCAGAGTCGGGGAGGAGTCTGCGGAGGGCGTTGGGGTATGTGTTTTGCCAGATGACACCGGAGATGGTAGCACCAATACCATCACCGACTGTACCGACGACGTTGAGCAGACCCAGGACAGCGGCGACGTGCTGGTGGTCAACGGCAGCCAAGATGGAAAGCTGCTCGATGATAATGAAGACACTGCCACCGATGGAGATCAGGACTTGGCAGAAGATGAGGTAACCGACGGACTGATCGGGGCGACGGAAATAGATCATCAGACCCTGGGCAAAGATGTACAGGGGCACGGCGACCCAAAGAAGCCACTTGAAGCGACCAGTGCGGCGGATAAGGTAACCAACGAAGAGGAGCAGGACACCGGAGACAATGTCAAAGATGCTGCTGACGTATCCGGCCTCGGCGACGGAGAGATTATTCACGACCTGCAGGAAGGAGGTGAAGTAGTTATCCCAGCAGTAGTAGCAGAGCTGGTAAGTGGCATCCAGCAAACAGGCACCGAGAACAGTGCGGTTCCAGAGGAAACTGAACTCGAACAGACGTCTGGGAGCGAACTTCCACTCGTAGATGATGAAGACAAAGAGCAAGCAGAAGCCGACCACGATCATAGCAATGATATAGTCAGTGCCCCAGCTATTAGGGGCGCTGCCGGCGATATCAAAGGGCAGGAAGAAGAGGACAAGACCGGCGGAGAAGAGGATTAGACCAAGGACTGTTAACAGGGTTAGTATGTTACACAGCTGGGTTTCAGGAGATGTCTCTTACGATCCAACTCAACAATGTAGAACCACACGCTCTGGAAGAAAGTGCGGCCGCTGGGAGCCTTGACAACGTGACCAGCCTTGACAGCCTTGCGCAGGTTATACTTCAGGATCAAAAAGAGAGGGCTAGCGACGATGGGGAAGATAATGGCGAAAACACCGAAACCCCACTTCAAGCCAATCGTGTCAAGAATATCGTTGGCAGCCTTGGCACCACCAAATGCGGTGATGATGTAGGGAGAGGAGGTGAAAGCGTATGCGAGACCTCGACTCTTGAGCATGGATGCATCGGCAGTCACGACATCAACGGTATAGGTCATACCACTGGTACCGAGAGAGTAGAAGACCTATGATTGTGTTTGTTAGCCAAGTCTCGAATAGAGGAGCGGAATGGACATACGTAGGCAGCACAGAAAGTGGGCAGGTTTTCGCAAGCAGCCATCATAATCAAACCGATGGTGGCGCAGAAAATCATGAAGGCGAAACCTTCGGCACGACCCCAGATATCCATGATTTTACCAATGGGAACGTAACAAGCAGCGGTGATGGCATCGGCAACAATGTAGATGACATTCAGCAAGGAGTGAGAATCCCAGTCACTGGTCACGTAGGGAATTAAGTTGGAGAGGACGGAGCTCTGGAAGGCATTGATGAAGTACAGCATCCAGATGCTGTGCAAACATATCAGTATGGAAATATCATATAAAAATGAAGAAGCAGAAATTACCAGCAGAAGACTGAGATCAGCGACCGCCGCGACCAAGTCTGGGTCATAGCCTCCATATCGGCAACACCACGCTGGGTGTTCTCATCCGGGGCCTCAAAGACAGGGCCCTCACCGTTGACCTCGGGAACAACAGGGTTCTCGGTGTCAACGGCACCCTTCTCGTTGACAGCATTATCCGAGCTGATATTGTCAGACTCAGCGGCCTTGGAATTCGCAGAGTTCACATTGACTGTGGTGACAGCATCTTCAGTCGACTGGCGACTAAAGATATTCCGGAATCCGGCCATGATCGAAGATCTCACGTCGGAAGATGGGAAAAAGATAAGATGGAAGATCAAGAGGGACCAAGCTTCGAGGGAAAACTCTGTCCCTTATAGTGATGTACAGCTTCCTTAGAATCCACAGATTGATAAAGGCCGAACTTCGCTAGCCTGTAATGGAACTGGAATCACCCACCGCATGAAGCCACGCAAGCCCAGTCCCGAGACGCAATACTGACGAGGGCATTTCATTTGTCGATAAGTGCGGCAAAACAGGAAAAACGTGAGCCGATCCACCTATCCACCTGTGGCGTGTGTTCCTTCGCGGACGAGACTAACGGCAAAGGTTGTTCTAGCGCTCGGGCATTTCGTAGGTTTCGATTCTTAGTGGAATTAGTGAAATCGGGGCTCTGTATGGGCTGGTATGCGCTTGTACCGACATGTATTACGGACGGAATACCTGTATTTAACCCGTAACGGCTCGTCTCGCGGTATTCGCGGAACATGCGTAATGTCCAAGCAACAGCCCACCTCGCTTCCAATGCAACGTGTGAGTGGGGAAAGTTATCTGATCATCATTGACAGTAATTGTGGACCGATGTCGGCTGAATCCGAAAGCCTTCACCCCTGGGGGGGTTTCAATTTTTTTCTCTTAACAAAAACCCACGCCGGACCAGCGAGGAGCCGGGCAGACTCTGCGAAAAAAAGTGGTCCTTTCAGAATCGAATAGAAATCATTCAAGTGGATTCGGCAGTCTCCCCTTCAGGCTTAGTTCCCCCTGATTGATAAGATTCGGCTCAGATTCCCTCGACAGAGCTCTTTTAGCTTTAGCAACCCACTCGCTTTCAATCCATTGCGCGTTTCTCTGCACTCTTTCGAGGAATCGATGCATGGGTACATCTCTGGTGATTCGTCCAAGTAACTTCTACCCTCGCGGTCGACAACCCCCCAATTGGTAACGAAAGCCGGGTCCTACTCGTCACCATGAAGGGCTTTTCGAAGCTCACGAGCTACTGTAAGCTCTTGGTTGCCTGCAACCCCTCTAGACGTGAAATTGGCATGCTAGTAGTGGGATTCTTCAGTGCAATTGCATCTGGTGTCCCATTTCCGATCATTGGTATTGTCTTTGGTTCACTGCTTGACGATTTCAACTCGGCGACTTGCGCCCAGGAAGATGGGACCGCAACAGCCTCTTCTGAGTCTTCCGACCAGGGCTCCATCAACAGCGAAATTCTTCTGATCGTCTACCTGGCCATTGCGCAGTTCGTCACAATTTATATTCACCTCACATGTTGGACCATGACTGGCGCCCGATTGGCGCAGCGACTCCGTGAGAATTACCTCAAGAACTTGCTCCGCCAGGAACCGTCATACTTCGATAACCTGCCTCCCGGTGAGGTCGCCTCGCGTCTCAACAGTGACATTCAGACCATTCGATCCGGTACATCCGAGAAAGTCGGGATTGTTCTTTCGGCGATCTCGTTCTTCGTCACCGCGTACATCGTTGCCTTTATCAAGGACTGGAAGCTTGCATGCATGTTGCTGTCACTGATCCCGGCCTATATGTTGATGTCGTTTGTCGGCAGTCATTATATTGAGAAGTACTCCGGGCTCATGTCCGATCATGCCGCTACCGCAGCATCCATTGCCTCAGAGGCCCTGTCCAACACTGTCGTAGTGCAAGCCTTTGGTGCCAACACTCGTCTAGAGGAGAAGTTCTCCAAGTCACTCAAGCTCTCGGAAGCTGAAGGCCTTAAAAAGGCTTTGGTGGTTGGTATCCAGTCTGGTGTCCTATACTTTGTTGCATACGGTGCGAACGGTTTGGCCTTTTGGCAAGGCGCCAAGTCAGTCGCGAAGTCTGTAGCAACGGGAAATGCAGGTGTGACTGTTGGTGCAACTTTCACTGTGATCTTTGTCTTGATTGAAGCCACCTTGCTTTTCAGTCAAGTCTCGCCATTTCTTCACCTCTTCGTCCAGGCTGTTTCCTCATATTCCAAGCTCAAAGATGACCTTGAGCGTGAGCCCAAGATTGACGGTACTTCTGATTCCGGCATTCGTATGACTCAGGCCGAGGGTGGCTTCGAGTTCAAGAACGTCTCTTTCACCTATCCTTCCCGACCTGAGATTACCGTCCTCGACAACATCAGCCTGAGCATCCCCGCCAACAAGCACACCGCTCTTGTGGGTCTGTCTGGCAGTGGAAAGTCGACAATCGCAGGCCTGATCACCAGACTGTACGACCCCAACTCCGGCCAGATTACATTCGATGGACATGATATCCAGGAAGTCAATGTGAAGGATCTCAGAAGTTTCCTCAGCTTGGTCCAGCAGGAGCCTTCTCTGCTTGACCGCTCTCTCTTGGAGAATATCGCCCACGGTTTAATCAACTCGAGCAATCCAAACCATGCTCACCTCAAGGAGGTCTTCATCCGTCCTGATCTGGAAGAGCTCGCAACGAATCTGCGCAATGGAAAGGATCTGATGACCGAAGCCGCGAAATTCGGATCTGACGTTGTCGAGATTGTGGAATTGGTCAAGAAGGCTACCGTACTGGCTGACGCCGAAGGCTTCATCTCTCGCTTGCAATATGGACTTGGTACTGTCGTTGGATCCAGTGGTCGGTTGATCAGTGGTGGCCAGAAGCAACGTATCTCTCTCGCTCGTGCCCTAATCCGTGATCCTGCCGTTCTCATTCTCGATGAAGCCACGGCCTCACTGGATTCCCACAGTGAACAGCGTATTCAAAAGGCCATCAACAACATTGCTACCGGGCGTACCGTTGTCACCATTGCTCACCGATTGTCCACCATCACTGGGGCTGACAACATCATCGTTATGCACAAGGGTGTCATCATTGAGCAGGGTAACCATGCTGAATTGATGGCCAAGGATGGATCGTATGCCGAACTCGTCAAGTTGCAGACCCTCAGCAGCACACCCGACAAAAACGAAACTACCATCAGCGTGGAGACTGCCAGCAGATCGGATCAGAGCTCCGTGACAGCTGGTGATATCGAGAAGGCCGAATCATCCAGCACTGCTCATGAGATCATTAAGGAGAAGGTTCCTTCAGCCGAGGAAACCCCGGTTGGTGACTCTGAAGATGAGGCCGAGGAAGAAGAGCTCGCGGCTCCCAGAAAGTCAGTCTGGGCTCTTTGCAAAGGTTTTGCTCCTACTATGCGCCCGCATTTACTCGTCATTGCTCTTGCCCTGCTTGGCTCCGTCATTGTCGGAGGAGCTTTCTCTGGCGAGGCTGTCATTTTCGGAAACACTATCGGAAGTCTGAACCCTTGCAACAGCGCGGCCTACATTCGGTCGCAGGGTGATTTCTATGCTCTCATGTTCTTTGTTCTTGCCATCATTGAGTTCTTCGCCAACGTTGTCAGTTGGGCTGGATTCGGCTGGGTCTCCGAGAAGGTTGTCTACACCGTCCGTGTTTTGTCTTTCCGGTCTTTGTTCGAGCAGGATCTCCAGTGGCACCAGTCTAACGGACGTACTCCTCCTTTGCTTCTTTCCTATATTACCAGAGACGGTAACGCTCTTGCTGGCCTGAGCGGTTCCATTATTGGTACTTTGTTCTCTATCACCGTCAACCTCTTCGCGGCTATCATCCTGACCCACATTATTGCCTGGAAGATCGCCTTGGTCTGTCTTGCTCTGGTTCCCCTTCTTCTCGGAGCGGGTTTCATGGAACTCCTCATTCTCGGCCGATTCGAGGAGCGTCACGAGAACGCCTACTCTATTTCAGTGGATATTGGTGTTGAGGCCATTACCAATATCAAAACCATTGCCTCCCTTTCCCTTGAAGACCAGACTCTGAAGACCTACCGCAAGTCCCTCAGTGGCCCTCGCAAGGAGACCCTTAATGTCACCCTGCAAGCCAGCGCCTGGCAGTCGACTACCTACTTCCTCGGTAACTGTGTGAACGCCCTAGCATACTGGTGGGGCGCCAAGCAGATCATCAACGGTACCTACACCCAGACACAGTTCCTGATTGTTGTTTTCTCCCTCCTTGTGAGCGCTCTATTATGGAGTCAGATGTTCGCTCTTGCCCCCGAACTTTCTCAAGCCCGAGCTGCCATGGCCAGAATCCTGGATCTCATTGAGCAGGGCTCTGACAAGATGCGTGGCCGTGTTCCTACCCACGCGCCCAACGTCGCCCAGACAGACGGAGACATCGAGTCCGTCGAGCCCAAGTTCATCCAATCTGACTCGCCCGCGTCCAGCGTCCAGCTTCGTGATGTCCACTTTGCCTACCCCGCTCGCCCGGATATGAAGGTCCTGAACGGCCTGTCCATCAACATCAAGCCAGGTCAGTTCTGCGCCCTCGTCGGCCCTAGTGGTGCTGGTAAATCGACAATTATCTCCCTTGCCGAGCGTCTCTACGTCCCAGAGTCCGGATCAATCCTGATCGACGGTCTGGATGTGACAAAGACCCGCGACCCTTCTTTCCGCGAAAACCTGTCCTTGGTACCCCAAGAGAGCGTCCTGTTTGAGGGAACAGTCGAGTTCAATATCGGTCTCGGCGCCAGACCCGGCAAAGAAGCAACCCACGAGGACATTGTCGAGGCATGCAAGCTCGCCAACATCCACGAGACCATCGAGTCGTTGCCAGAGGGCTATAACACCATGTGTGGACCCAACGGTAACCAGTTCTCCGGTGGCCAAAAGCAAAGATTGTCAATTGCCCGTGCGCTGGTTCGCAAGCCCAAGCTGTTGATCCTGGATGAGTCGACCAGTGCATTGGACGCTGAGTCTGAGAGGCTTCTCCAAGATGGCTTAAGCAAGGCTGCTAAGGGTATCACTGTTATTGCGATTGCTCACCGTCTACACACTATCCGCAAAGCTGATGTCATTTTCTTGATTGATGGCGGACGTTGCACTGACCATGGATCGCATGAGGAGTTGCTTGAGAGGTCCGAGAGTTATCGGGCTAATGTTATGCACCAGACTGTTGCCACTTAGGTGACAATGGCGTGAAAATACTTGTAGATCTTGATTTTAATACCTGGCGGTGCTGACTCGGCCGTCACCTTCGCATGTACATAGCGTTGCTTTAATCTTTCTCTCTTTATAGATGTCTTATAGACTGATTCAATCCTACCTTTCCTTTTCCATTAACTATGATATGACATGTACATTGGAGCTTCGTAGTTCAAGGGGTTTTCGTCGAAGGGGCATTCCTCATTGCGGCTGGTGCGTCCACTCATCTCATGTCTTTGAACTCATCAAAAAGCGTCTAATGGGAATTCGACCTGTAAAATTAAAATGGGCACTGCTATCTTTATGAATCTCTATCCATGACGTACTACGTTAGAAACTCATATTTGAAGATAAAAAGAAAATCAATATCGATATAGCTATAAAACAAGACATGAAAATAAAAGTAGAAATAGATACAATGAAAGACCATTAAACCCCATCTAGAAGACCTCAGCATCAAGCAAGGCCTCCCCGTTCTGACAGCTCAATTCCTGCACCGTGGCAGCCAACTCATTCAAAGCCTCATCGACAAACACTGAATCATCCTCACTTCCGACAAGACCAACATTGACCTTGCCCTCCTTCACAAATGAAACAACCTTCATCGGATAAGGAGAATCACCATGAGGATTCAAAATGTCAACCTTGCACACTCCGCCGGCGAAAGGCATGGTATCGAAATCATCCCAATCCTGATGATGAACAAGAGAATCATAGAACTGACCAGTAGACCACTCAACCTGCTGAGCAATCTTCTCGTAACCAAGGAAATCGTACGCAGCCGACTCGGCACTTTGCTTCTGGACATATTGCAAGAGATCCATAGCTGTCCAGTGGGACTCGAAGAGAACACGGATAGGTGTGAGTTGGTAGCAAGGACCAACGATGTTCTCAACATTAGGCAGGTCGATTGTACGGCCAGATGTAACACCTCCGAATGTGACATCTGCCTTGCCGAGACGACGGGCCAGTACCAGCGCCCAGGCTGCTGTGAGCAGGTTCGCGGTAGTGATGTATTCCAGAGGCTGAGCATTCTCGACAGTCTTCGTCTTGAAAACGCCCTTGTCGCCAGCCTTCACGGATGTTCCTTCGAGGACAGACAATGAAGAGCCCTTGAGGAGGTTGCCCCAGTAGTTGATAGCCGTCTTCTGAACGCGCTCATCTGAAACACGACCCATGTACACGGAGAAAGGCTCATGAGCAGCGATCTCACCACCGGTGTAGAAAGTCTCGAGATCCTGAAGCACCTTCGGCAAAGAGACACCGTCGTATTGAGCGTGAGACAAGCCCAGGACGAGGCACTCGCTACCGTTTCGACCCTCAACATGCAAGATCTGCAGGAACGATGAGCCGAGGTTGTAGTCCAGCTCGGCGTGTACGGCGCAGACCTCCTTGACGGACTTTTCGAGATCCTCGTCTGCCAAGTGCTTGGTCAAAGGTGTTTCCATCTCATTCAAGACAACCTGGTAGAACTTAGACTCGTGTTCGATGAAGACTGTGCGCAGGATTTCGTGGGTCTTGATGAGTTCATTGCAAGCGTGGAAGAGCTTCTCGCGGTCAATGCCTTCATCGAAGAACAGCATTGTGTACTGGATAGCAGTGCGAGGAGCGTTGACAGTGGCCTTGATATCCACGACCTGGGAATCGGTCACAGGGGTGACATCGTGAATGGTCCACTCGGGGTTGGCCAGCTTGGGGCGGACAATATCGGACAGGAAGGAGTCCAGGTTCGATTGATCCAGGGTAGAGAAGGGTTTGTAAGGCTTGATGTTCTGCTGGGAAGCCTGGTCGAGCTTCAGGACTCGTGCAGCATCTCCGAGGCGCATGTGCTGGAAGATATCTGCCACGGTCAAGCCGTGACCTTGCGCACGCAAGCTGGATACCAGCTTCATGGCCAGGACGGAGTCACCACCAAGACGAAAGAAGTTGTCATCAAGATCAATTTTCTCTGCCTCCATGCGGAGGATCTTGGCCCAGGCAGTTCGAAGGACGTTCTCCTTGGGGGTCAGGTTGGCCTGTGCCGAGGTCTTCTTCCACGCCTCCTGGAAGCCTTCACGGAGCTTGTCGAGCACATCTGCAGGGATGCTAGAAGCCAGCTGATTGAGAAGGATTTGGTAATCAACTGACTCGGACTCTTCGGGGAACTTATCAACGACCACATAGGCTGAAGGGGCCAGATAGGTGGGAAGAGAATCGTGAATGAACTTATCGAGCTTCTTCAGTCCCAAAGCCAGACTAGAAGTGACGGCTGTACAGGTTGTCGCTTTGCAGCCCTTTGTTCCGATCTCGTGCTTCTCAGCCATGATGTCAACGGTCTTCTCCTTAGAAGCCCGGGGCTGGAGGAGGACAATTAGCTCTGGCTGTTGATCCTTCTGACCTTCCGAGGCTGATTGAACGACCGCAGTAGCAGCACGAACTGTCGGAGGAAGATATTTGGTGAAGTGGGTCTCGAGCTCTGCAATGTTCACTGCATGTCCTTGAACAGGCAAAAGGTTCTCTTTGCGACCGACAAACACCAGGCTTCCATCCTCCTGTAGCCGGACGATGTCTCCTGTGGGCTGAACCTTTCCAGTACGACCACCATAGGCCGAGCTTCCTGCTACGAGCCACGCCGGAGAGTCAAGGGTCTCTCCAGAAAGCATGGCACCCTCTAGCCAAAGCTCACCGACACAGCCAATGGGTGAAAGAAGCGAAGGGTTTCGAACATCAACGACCCAAGGCACCACAGCACTGGGATACGGGGATCCGGCCTTAATGCTTGCATTGGCACGGAGCGTGTTACTGGACCCATCGAGAGACAAAGGAGGGGTCTCATTCCATTTCCAAATCCGATTCAGCTCTGTGGAAGGAATGCAAGAAATCTCATCCAATCTCCTTGAAAGATTGTGGGTCAGCTCGAAGCAAGCAGCCTCCATCTGCGCAAGGATGCGCTCCATCTGTGGAGCCTGAACCAGCGAAGTATCAAAGTTGGCGCGGATCCTGAAGCCTCCCTTTCGGATTCCACAACCGATCATCAGCGGGTAGGGATTGAAGTGAAGAGCTTCGCGAACCACATCGCCAAGTGCGAAACCAAGCTCACCGACTGCAACAGAGTCGGGATCTGGTTGGATGACCAAACCGGTGGGAGCCTCGCATGCATGCTGGGCATCACGGCTGACCTTGCGGATATTCTGCATACCCATATGCTGGTAAGGGCTGCGAGTGAGCACACCAGACTGAACGGCCTGGAGGAAAGACTCGATGGTGGTCTGTCGGTTAACGCGAATACGCACTGGGACAGTAGCGATGAGCGGTCCAACGATACCCTCGACTCCAGGTAGAGAGATATCACGACCAGTGAGAGTCTCGCCAAACACGACATCGTCACTTCCCGAGTATTGAGAGGAAACAAGTGCCCAGGCACCGCGAATCAATGTCGCCAATGTGAAAGGATATCCAGCACCTGTCTGGACTGAGACGGAGTGCTCGACATTGCCATCGGGGTTTGGCACAAAATCTCTTGAAGGGAGACGAGGGAATTGGGGACCGACGGCATTCTTCAGCTCTCGGCGCCAGAATTCTTCCATGGCGCCCTCGTCGGTATCTTTCACCCATTTCACAAACTCTCGCATCTGAGTCTGAATCTCAATCGGCTGCTCTTTCAAAGCATTGCTGACTTGAGCAAGAACTAAAGGCTCGGACCATCCATCGTAGACAACGTGGTGGATTGTCCAAACCATATAATTCTTGCCATCCTCCTCAATAATGGCATATCGGGCGAGGCGATCTCCAAGCTGCATTCTGTCATTCCGATCTTTTTCCAGGTAAGCTTCAAGATTATCCGAATCTCTCCAGTAGATGGTGTCCTGCAGTACAACTTGCTGGAGGCCGGGTTCCTGAAGCTGAGCGAGGCGAGTGCGCAGGATAGGGCTGTTGGTGACGACCTTCTCCCAAGCCGTCTTCCAGGTAGCGACCTCGATATTAGATGGAATAGTCGCGACTCGCTGGGCAACATACGGCTTGACGGACTTCAGGGAGAATGTGAACAGTGACTCTTGCGTAGGTGTGCAAGGGTAAATATCCTCAATGGCAGTCTTCTTGAATCCATAGATCTGAGAGGCCTCGGTACAGGCACTCTCCGCAGCCTGAGAAATCATGGAGAATGCAGGTGTCTCGGTTTGCACTGCAGCTTCGCCATCCAACTTTTCGATAACGCTAGCCATGGCGGCAAGTGATGGGTTGCCGAACATGCCAATCACAGAAAGGTCAAGGCCCTTAGACCGACAGACGGAGACAAGCTTCATTGCTGCCACAGAGTCACCACCCAAAGCAAAGAAGTTATCATTGGGCTTAATGCCTTCCGTATCAAGCTTCAATGTTTGGGCCCAAACATCACGCAACTGCTTTTCCAGGTCGGTCAACTCGCGGTTGGCCGCAGCTCCGTTGTCAGAGTCCAACTGGCGCAGGTCAATGGTTGCTCCAAATGCTCTGAGCTGCTTGCGGTCGGTCTTCCCTGAAATCAAGACTGGGATATCGTTGACCGGGATATAGGCTGTGGGGACCATGTATCGAGGGACGACCTTAGCCAGTTCTGTGCTGACCTTGGGCAGGAATTCGCGCAGCTCATCAGAAGGCTCCGCTGAGTGAACACCGGGGCCGCCTTGCTCCTTCATGGAGGGGGTGGTCACGAATGCAATGAGAGTGGCCTGGCCTCCCGTTCCTTGGGGCACGATAACTTCGGCGATCACGTTGGATTCCGCTGGCAAGATGGCGCGAAGCTGACTTTCGATCTCGCCAAGTTCAACACGCTGACCACGCAGTTTGACCTGGGTATCTTTTCGTCCAGCGAAAACAATGCCACCAGATCCATCGGGATCGTATCGTCCAAGATCACCAGTCTTGTAAAGACGGCCGTGGCGACCAGCATGGCCCTTGTAGCCAGCGACCAGCCATGAAGGGTCCTCGATGAACACGGAAGCAGTCTTTTCGGGGTCACCCAGGTATCCCTGTCCGACGATCGGTCCCTCAACAAGCAATTCACCAACAGCACCAATGGGCATGAGCTGCTCATGATCATTAGGATCCACGATCCACATGGCCGCACCATTGCCGGGTCCAATGGAGAGGTAATCTCTACCTGTAGCAGCACTGCTGTTGATAGTACATCCAATGGTACACTCACAAGGACCATATCCAATGATGATACGAGCGTCCTGGCCCCAGATGTTGGCGTCTCTGGCAGGAACAGCCTCTCCACCAAGACCAAGACCATTGGTGAGCGACTTGATTACATCCGGGTCCAAGATACGGGCCACGGAAGGTGTCATGCCGGCATAGTTGATTCTCATACCTCGGATCACCGCATTGATATCATTCAGGCGATCCTCGTCGGAGGGAATGCAGAGAGTACCACCCTTGGTCAGAGTGCAGAGCATACTGTCAATACTGACATCGAAGGCGTAAGACGCGAAATCAAGGACACGCGAGTCTTCTTTGTAGCCCACAGCCTCGGATCGAGGAATGCAACTGCTAGTATATGTTTCATGCGAGATTGTGACACCCTTCGGTGTACCGGTACTTCCAGATGTAAAGATGATGTACATCAAGGTCTGTGGGGGCACTGTTGGCAATGGGGCAATGACCTCCGTCTTGGGGATATTGGCGAAGGCCTCTGCCTCCACAACGAAAATTTTGTCGCTTGGCATGATCTCTGTTGAGAATTCAAATTGATTTCGAGATGAAACCATTGCCTTTGCACCGACTTGCTTTGCCATATTTTGTAGTCGAGCGAGTGGAAGCGTGGGATCCATGAGCGCAAAGGTTGCGCCTACCTTCATGACGGCAAGTACTGCGACGATGGTCCATTTGGACTTCTCGAAGCACACGGGCAGCACATCATTGAGCTGAACGCCCATCTCTTCCTTGAGTTTCCATGCCGCGTAGGATGACCATTGCTCGATCTCGCCGTATGTCAACTGGCCATCCCATGAATCAATAGCGACCTTGTCGGGGATTTGTTGAGCTCGTTCGGAGAACAATTCGTGTGTTCCGAAGCTGTATGTGGGAGGTAGCTCATGGTTGAGGCGCCAGGTTTCCTCAATGTCGCACTCAACTGGCTTCAAGCTCTCTTCTATGGATGCGGATGGGTTTGCGAGGCAAGTCTTAATAGTGTCTGCGAATTGCTCGACAGTGTGTTTAACGGTATGTTGTAGCATGTTGTCGGTCTGCCATACTGGGCGGATCTGAAGTTGGTCGTTCTCAAAGAGGACCTCGAAGTGCATTGCTCCCTGAAGTTCGCAATTAGTCTTCATTACCCCACCATCGTGATCTCAGGGTATACTCACTTCTTCATTAGCTTCCGCATCGTACGTCAAAGAGCCGGAGCTCAAGATGAGCGACACTGAGTTCCGGGTAGCTCCCAGTTCCGCCGGGGTCACTGTTTTAATGTGTTGTGAAATAGCTGTCGCAATCTGCTCAACGCTGCTGTCCAGGCCCGGGACCAGAGTCTCAGTGGGGAGTTCGTTGTTAACGGACTTAACGCCGGCATCCTCGGCGCGACTCTTGTAGGCCCATTCAAAGCGAGGCAAGGTACCCTCGCGGGTGCGCATTAGCACGACCAGCCAAGCGAGAAGCACAATCTCCTCCTTCATGCCTGAAGGTGTCGAAGCCTCGGGCGCAAGTTCAGCAACCTGGAAGCAGCGGAAGCCGTCGCGATCCACCGGGCGCGACGGCAAGGCAACGCCGTTACTCTGAACTTGATCGCGCAGATCATTCTCGTGGATGAAGCCCATACTGGCGACCGTACTTCTTCTCCGTGAGATCCAGGAACGGATTGAAGCAGGGAACCTTGGAAAAGAGGAGTCGAACCTCGGTCGTCCGTGAGCTTTGCGCAAGTCTTAATTGACGGAAAGGGTATAGTGTAGAATATATAGTCAGGCAACTTGCATGATGCTAGCTGTCCCTTTTTCGTGACGAGCCAACCGCGGGGCAGAAGGAAATATTCCGTACAGTTACTGTATACAGAGCGAGATCGGCAGGTGTGAGTGGATTCGTCATGATGCTTTTGCACGTTTTGGGTCTAAGCGGGGGGTCTCCTGCAGCAAGAAACCTTCGAAATTCTCGTAAAGAATTCCATTCGGTCATTTTCACTGGTCTGTGGTAGTCCATACCAAGGAAATAAAAAACCAAATCCACACAATAACGGGAACCAGAATATTGAATGAATTTGTGAGGAAGAAAATTTTTATCAGATCCGCACGATAGTGGGTCAATCTTATCCGATTGGCGTATTCGTCATGTTTTGGGTTTCAGACTTACAGACACGATGTTACCAAGGTACTGGTATTCAATACCAGAAACAAGAATATCAATCTCTTGGCTCTTTCGACCGCGCCTGGCGCCATGTTGGGTTTCTTGGCTCGCTTGGGGTTTTCCACTAACATACGGGGCTATCACCATTCTCGTTGCCCAAGTCCTCGTCAACATTGCTTAATCTGGTCATTGATCTTTTCCATCTAGGTCTTTATTCTATAATTTCTGGTCAAAGGATCGATTATGTCGGTATAAACCGCGATGTTCCAGTTATGAGTCTTCCTACCGCCCAGAATCGCATCAGCTGAGACTCAAGAATGCTGCCCCATCGGACCCATTTTGTTGACGCGAGAATTACCGATTCACCGATCCAAGGGTGCGGCCCCAGCTGCAGTGTCAGGCAGGTACAGTCGTTCCTATTAGGTCAAGATCGCTGGATAAAACTGCACCCGCACAGATGAAACATGCATTATCATTTAAACGAGGTCATTTGATGCACGTTCAACTAGCACGGTGCCCTATTGCATGCATAAGTGAGTTACAGTAGGGTAGGCTGTTGACCCTGACTAGGAATTTGTGTCCGTTCCAGTCCGAAAGCGGGGGGTCGTGCGCCGATAATCTGATTATTTATGATTATTCTCCGGTCTTACCGCCACAAAATCTAATCTCCTAGGATACCCAAGACGCCGTGTTAGCACCAGAGCTAGACCCACGTTGTGATTTCACGTAAGTAAACGTATGGATACCGGACGGATTTCCCGTATTACTAGCCTTCAATACTCCGTACCACATACTAAATACATACCGCGTAACGCATACTGCAATACGGGTATATTCCGAATACACCGGTGCCCAGCATTGGTGGACTCCCATACATTTGACATTTGTCCGGTCTTCATTTCGGCATGTCCTCTACAGAGTAATACCCCATAATTAAATTTAGCGATGGTGAATCGGGGAAGCGAGAACCCGAATGAGATCATGATGAAGTGGGTCTGTTATGGAAGAGGTTTAGGGCACATCCGTCGCGGTGCCGACACACAGCCGATGCTCGGAAATTAGTTTTAGTTCGATCTGATAACGGGCAAGCTGCATGAACCCCGCGGCTGAATACATAACCCGGTGTCAGTCACTTATCTCTACGGAGATACCTATCCCTCCACAACCTGCCACCTCATACACAATCCCACACGGTCACCACACACAATCCTCACCCACAGCTACAAAATGTACTCCAAGTTCTGGCCAAAAGGGGGTCTCCCAGGAGTTCTGCACCATTACGTTCGTCATCCTCTCCAGCATCTACCTGGTGCGCCAATTGGGCCCCGCGGCATAGCTAACACATCCCAGACCGAATCCCTCGTCACATTCGAATACACCACCGCCGCTGCCCGCAAACCCCACAGTCTCCTCTTCGTCGGCGGTCTCGGCGATGGCCTCGCAACAACATCCTACATGGCTGACCTAGCCAAAGCCCTCCAACCAACCGAATGGTCCCTCTTCACCCTGAACCTCACATCCTCCTACCAATCCTGGGGTCTTGGCCACCTGGATCGCGACACAAACGAGATTGCGCAATGCATTCGCTATATCAAGGATTATAAGACTGAGAAGTTCGGTGAGGGCAAGATCGTCATGATGGGCCACTCAACCGGCAGCCAGTGCGTGATGCACTACCTCTACCGACCGAACCCGCACCTCTCGGCACCAGCCTTCGATGCCAGTCTCGAGCACGCCGACCGTTTACCCCTGGACGGAGCGATTATGCAGGCACCCGTCTCGGATCGGGAGGCTGTGCAGCTGTGCATTGAGCATGGATTCGGCAGTAACTCGCCAGAACAGATGCGGGAGATTTGTGATAAGATGGAGTCTATTGCGAAGGAGGCTTTGAAGGCGGATAGTAAATATGATACTATGCTTCCGCTTGAGTTGACTTCGGCTATCTACCCGTCCAATACGCCTATTAGCTGTCGCCGGTTCTTGAGTCTTTATAGTCCCGAGAGTCCTCATATTCCTGGTGAAGATGATTTGTTCAGTGCGGATTTGAGTGACGAGCAGTTGGCAGCAACATTTGGATTGATTCAGCAACAGGGGCTGTTAAGACATAGACTTATGGTCTTGTACTCTGGGGCCGATCAGGCTATCCCTGGCTGGGTTGATAAGGAGAAGAACCTTGCTCGCTGGAAGAAGGCCGTTGACCACGGCGATAAGTTCCAGATCTGGGATGATAAGCACAGTGCTATTATTCCGAATGCTTCTCATGCCTTGAGTAACGATGATCAAGCCGAGCCGCGCAAGTTCCTTGTTGGCAAGGTGATGGGATATCTGGAAACCGCCCTTGCGAAATAGAAAGCTACGGTCATAAACTAGATGGAGTTGGATGGTCATGCACTTTTAGCCGGTGCTTCTTGTGTCTTTATTTGGGACGCGAAAATGTTTATAGCGAATGAATATCCCATATTGCATAGAATTACACAGTTTCTATGATCCTTTCTATGAACGTACCTCCTTCTATCGAATAGTGAAACCTGTAAGAAGATTTGAATCTCATTGGCGGCACAGTCTCAGCCAAATTAGCTCGCGGCCAACACAGCAACCGACCACGCAGGCATAGTGAATGTAAATGTTCCATCAGAGGCAGTCAGGGTCGATTCCACAGGGGCAACAGGAGTCTCATCAACTGTGTTTGCAGCATTTGCGTCATCATCTCCAACGACTGTAAGCTTTGCAGTGGTCGTTCCATCGATAGTAACACTCAGATCCTGGGTATCACTACCATAGTTGGCCAGCTTCACGAAGTAGGATGAATCGCCGGCACTGGATGCAACCCAGTAGACAGGTCCAAATGCCGAGTCGCTATTCACCTCTTTGACGGTATCTCCAAGATTGGAAGCAAACATCTGTTGAACGTAGTAGCTCGTAGTTTCGATAACCACATTAGGGCTCTGAGTGAATGGAATCAAGTTGGGCTAGGAAGGAATTTGGTTAGCATGTAGATAGGGTATCTTGCTGGGGTCCACATACAGTCCACTGAGTAGAGTTGGTAAGCTGCAGGAGAGGAGCGTACGAGGCCATCTTGATTAGATCACTATTACGCTCCATACCAATCATAAACACAGCCTCGCCCACAGAGCCTTGCATCATGGGGTAGTCGGACCCGGTCTGTGCATACTCTCCAACAAGGTATGTCACGTTGCGGCTAACGTTGTCGAAATAGTTGAATTGCGACACCAGTCCATCGGGACTGTTGTAGTCATGGTAATCCACCATAGATCCATCGGGCATCGAGCTTGGAAGACAGGACTGCTCGTTGGTACTGGCGATCAGAGTCAAATCGGGATAGGCGGCGTGAATTGCATCATAGAATGCGGTGAATCGCTCAGCATACGTGTCACAGCCGCCTCCCAGCATGTCTTCGTTGCCAATCTCCACCATGGTGAGATCCCAGGGATCAGTTTGCCCATTTGCAGCGCGAATTGCACCATATGTTGTGCTTGAGTCGCCAAGAATGTACTACGAGGAGTTAGCGACAGACCTAGATGCAAATCGCATTCACTTACCTCTAGCTCGTGCAACACATCTTCGATATAGGGAGTCAGCGCATCGCCAGTCACTGGAGTACCGGCGCCGGATTCCAAAGCGAAACCATCCCAGACAGCCAGCAAAGGTTTCAGACCCATATCCTCACACCAATAAAAGTACTCGGCAAGACCAAGGCCATCAGTGTTATAGTAGGTCCATGTGCCTGTTTTCAGTACTTGTAAGCCGTCTCTTCGGTGATGTCTTAGTCACTAGCTGCATTGCTTACCCATCCGTCCAGGGCGGTCTTGCACATCTCCGATTGTTTCATTCCACTTCCAGCGATTATCCAAAAATTCGCCCTCCCTATACTAGTATTAACAACTTGGACAAGTTGGACAAGACCTGTGTGGATAGTGACTCACATGTTGTTCCCACCCGGAAATCTCAAGAAGGAAGCCTCTACAGCCTCCAGTACATTAGCAATCCGAGGCTGAAGACCATTGTATCTATATTAGCTCGTCAGTATACTGATAAGTTTTCGAGACGGACATCAAAAACATACCTGCTCTTATAGGTCGTAGGAAACAGCTGAACAAGACCAAAGTACAGCGAAGAGCCAGTCATAGCCGAAGCATCCAAAGACAATTCATAGTAGACATTTCCATCGGGTGCCTTGGTTGTTGACAAAGAAGCATCAATGTACGTGAAGCTGTCTGCGGTCGAAGTGACGGGGATTGAAGTTGATCCATACACTGTCCCAGTGCCATTGCCCACTAGGCTTGCAGTGATATCTCCAGATAAGTCTCCCTTCACCCAGAAATAAGTCTGATGTTCACTCCCGTCCACTGGGATTCCCCAATAGCCGGCGTTGGTGACACCAACGGTTCCAGTAGCATCGCTAGGGACATCCAATCGTAGAGAGTGTGGAATAGCCGAGCTGAGTGGGTTGTCGTAGTCAATGGCGATTGTAGCATCTCCTACAGTGCCCCAAGCAGTTAAGTTTGGATCATTGCCTTGCAGGCCATTGTTTTGCAACATCTGGCCATAGAGGCCTCCATCACCAGAGTGGTTGATATCCTGTGGAATGATCAGCGTTTTCCCTCAATCTTTGGACCCGGCACTCCTACTTCAAACATAAAGCCATACATGAGAGGGCTTGAAGCATTTCCTCCACTTGTAGAGACTTCAAGCGAAATACCTTGCGCAGCTTGGAAAAGTCCATTGCACAGGGCAAGGGCACCAAGCCCAGGCTTCAAAGAAGAAAGTCTCTTGAAAACCATTTTTTTACGCCTGATGAATTCTTTGACTTGAAAATTCTATCATACCATGCAGATTGTCCTTCTTATACGTTCTAACCCGGTACATGGAATTAACCGAGAAGAAGCGCATCTTTACCCTCGATCTGTGATCGTCCTTCCGCATCAACTACCCCTTTCTCCCGAGGACGCCTGTATATCATCCGACAATAGCATCAGCCAATGCCATTGAACCGAAGGTGGAGATGTCTAAGACCTGCTTGACGTCTACCAAGACTGTCCAAGAGTGCAAACATGTCATCCTCGGTCGGTCGGTTACCCCGCAGAATATATCGAGGCACCGAACCAAGCGTGAGCTTTCAAGGAATGCTCAAGTGGAGACGAAGTAGTATTCAGGTTTTCGGCTCGTTCACGGCATATCGTAGATGGATCTCACGGTCAAACCTCGGGGGATCATCCGAGTCTCCATGGCCGGAATGCGGGGTCAGGAACTCCATACCCCTGACGATGGCTTTCGGAAGAGGCACTCGTACAGATCGGTGGCTGATGCCAGCTGCTGCTTATTTTTCAGCCAGCAAGCCATCTTTACGCATGCGCGTGAGGGAACCACGGCATGCCAACACCCTGGTCATTCTCGGATTTCTGTTCAGCCTTTGTTGCAGGTATCGTGCATATGCGACCATGCCTATTCGCGGGGTGAAAGTGTAGATCGGTTGTGTCTGGCAAAACCCCGGCGGAGTAGCTTTTGAATCCACAGGGTCTCCATAATTACCCCATCTGAGCGCAGCTCATTGGTTGATGCGGGGAATAATTTAGATCCCTCTATGTTGTTCTTCATGTAGATCATCAGAAATCATGGTCAACTGTACCTGATGACCGTGTCTATGGGTTAATCTCGCGTTTTATTGGTGCGTCTTTTATGCAAACTCACTGGCTACCGATTTCAAGTGGGACAAGATATGTAGTGAGCCAGATCAAAGCTATCATACTTCCAAGAAGCTCATGGTTGCGACGGGTATGACCGTGGGTTAGACCACGGCTTGTAGCGTGAAAGCTTGCTACTGATACACAAGGATGCAATCAAAGGTGAGCATTGCTCGACCATAGTATGTGGAGATTGTAAAAAAATCGCCAACGGAAGGATTTGAACCTCCGCTCTGTCAAGGTCCCGAGCCCTCTGTCCGAATATTCCAAGAACTACCGACCTTGCGACCCATTGTGGATAACGATATAAGGATATCATGGGCATTCGGTAGCCAGGATTCGAACGTCGGGGCGGTGGTTTGGGGTTGACCGTGTTAACCACTACACTACGTCGGCTGGTTGTTAAGTGAGAAAAACAAACCCCATATATAGCCGAATACGCTAACCCGTATTAGTAGTTGATCGCCATTATTGTCTCCACCCATTTCTCCACCAACCAATATTCTGCACCCATGCAGCCCAAACAAAGCAATTCGAGCAACTCTTTTGAATCTGTGTAAAAAGCGCTTGAAAAGGGAAACTGCAATCATGAAAATCGAAGTTTCATGGGCTGTGCATTACAAAATATCATGGGAAAAGCAATGAAGTCGCAGCGCCACGGCGAAAAGATACTTGCTGCAGTCCACCGTGTTTACAAAGCTAAGCAAACGGCGGCACGTAGAAACCAAGCAACCGCCCTGATCTGCCCCAACCCCATTGATAACTCAACTAAGGGGTGAAAATGTTACATTATCATATGAGAGCTAATTATAAATTGCATGATTTGTAGGCTGTGCAAACTGCTTAATGTGTTTTTGTGGCTAGGTCTCTTCAGCCCAGTCCATGAAGAGTACGTATACATCCTAGCCTGACGCCCGCCTGGGCATAGTTCTTCATATATTTCTGAGCTATTCCGAGCATTTGTCCATCATCCATGAAAATGGAACCACTCAAAACTTATCATTGAAAGTGATTTTAAATTGTTTCATTCCGCTAACGATAGCGGAAGTTATCCGCGAATAATAGGGCTGTAGATAACTGAGTGTTTCAGCCTCCAGCCAGCTTATCATGAAGGGCCGGAGATGTTTACGCGCTACTTAAGCCCCTCAGCAGGAGAACCTCGGAATATACAACTAATTCCGTAAGTCAAAGCCGGCGTATTTCCCCTTTAGCCTTGAATTTGCGCAGAAATCGGTCTTGGGCCGCTCCAGCACAGACACCGGCACCATACGAAATCCACCACTCGGCGCAGCAAAATCAGCCCACATGCCTTTATTCTCAGCTTGATATTAATTGCACAAAGATAGCCCCACATGCGGTTTAACCTTATTGATTCATTTCTGCATGAGTTAAGCATTTTCTAGAAAGGTTGTCCGCCCGTGCCGCACCAATTTCATAGGCCCATTTCCACGAATGAGTCTTGGCCGGAGATGAGGGCGAAGCTTGTTCCTGATTATAAATAGATCGCCCGCTGCTGCTGTTTTCAGTCTTAATCCTCACCGACTCTTCTTCGTGACAACTCGTGATCATGTATCTTCGGCAATTCACAGTACCGGTGGCGCTTTTTGCAGCACTAGCCTCCGGATATGCAGATCCGGAAGGCTGCTCTGGTGCATGTGTTGTGTATGACCCCACGATCATTCAAAGATCCTCTGACAGTAAATACTTTCGTTTTTCTACTGGCAATGAGATTTCTTATGCTAGTGCATCGAGCCTTTTGGGGCCATGGACAACTATTGGATCTATGCTGCCGGATGGCTCGTCCATTGACCTGGATGGGAACACGGACCTTTGGGTGAGTTTCCCTCTCAAAACATCTACCTTGCCTGGCAACAGTTGTGTCATCGGGATGCGATTGATCTTCATTCCCAGGTCTTTCCATTTCTAACAATCTATTTACGATAGGCCCCTGATGCCCATTACATAGACGGTCTCTACTATGTCTACTACGCCGTCTCGACATCTGGCTCACAAGACTCTGCAATCGGTCTTGCAACCTCCGAGACCATGGAGCTAGACTCCTGGACGGATCACGGGTCTGTCGGTATCCAGTCCTCGTCTTCAAAAATTTACAACGCGATTGATCCTAGTCTGATTGAAGTCGATGGCACCTATTACATGAACTTTGGCTCATTCTGGGACGACATCTACCAAGTGAAGATGAACTCTGCCGCGACTGCTGCCAGTGGATCTTCATATAATATTGCCTACTATCCAGATGGTACCCACCCAGAGGAAGGTTCCTACATGTACAAATATGGCGATTACTACTATCTGTTCTATTCGTGGGGTATTTGCTGTGACTACGATGTTGATTTGCCTGCCTCGGGTCAGGAATACCACATCAAGGTCTGTCGGTCGACTTCTGCGACTGGTAGCTTTGTAAGTTTCCTTGATGCATACTTCCTACCCGACTTGATTGCTAATGTCTACTAGGTCGATGCGGATGGCACTGACTGCACTGATGGCGGTGGCACTATCGTGTTGGAGAGTCACGGAGAGGTTTATGGACCCGGTGGACAGTGAGTGGCACCCTTGATGGTCATGATCACTCTACAATATAGACTAACACTGTGCAGGGGTGTATACGATGACCCGACGTATGGTACTGTGCTGTACTATGCCTACACAGACACCAGCATTGGTTATGCCGACGACGAGAAGCAGTTTGGCTGGAATGTTATTGACTGGTCTACTGGATGGCCTGTCGTCTAAGTGGGCCAAGCGAAGCATCTTGATGATTATAGTCAAGCGCTGCCCCAACACTGAACCTGCCTCCACTGAAATTACGTGTATCGGATTATTGGAACAATTAAGCTCCGCGTGCCATCATTCTTGATGCCCGTTTCCAAATTAAATTGCATAAAGCATCAGGGTCCAGCCCGGGTAGGTTAGATCTTGCCGCCAAGGCCCAGCCCAAGTGGCAAGAAATCGTGGAAACGATTATCCTCGTCATGCCTGCGGATTATAACTGGCTAAGAAACAATTCTTGGTCCGTCAGCCGTATGCAAGACCCTCGCCTAGTGATTCCGTTAAAACACTAGCTCTGCCAAGACGACGCCCCGGCGGGTGGTCCAGGGCAATTTCAGCCGATTGCTGACAGTCAAACCTATTGGTCGTATTCAAGGCATATAGTTGCGGGACTCTTAGCCAAGAGAGACGGGGACTGGAAGAGAAATGGTCACATTGGCTGTCACCCTCGTATTCAGCCTGCGGGCTGTATTTGCCTTGATAAATCTCACTTCAAGAAACCGTCCTCTCTATCAGTCCTTTTCCCTTTTACATTTACATACACCCACGTTTCAACTTTGAAAATGGTATGGAATATGTCTCACTTTCCCACTTGGGCTTGAACTAAAGATCTCATCTGTGGTAGGACGGGGAGCAGTACGAGTTTCCGTTCCTACAGGAAGTTTATACCCCACACGATGCTGCAAAAGTCGAGTATGATTGACCTTCCACGCTTTGAGGCTCCTATGGAATGTATGACTGATATTTATCACGTATAGCTTCGTTTTTGTTCATGGGCTGAATCCTCGTGGTCGGAATGATCACCCTTTCGAGACATGGAGGCATGCGAACGGCAAGTTCTGGCCGACGGATTTCCTGGCCGAAGACATGCCGTTCGCTCGCGTGTTTGTTTATGGTTATAACTCCAATATCACCAACGCTCAAACTATGTCGACGGCCAGCATCAAGGACCATGCGAACACACTTTTGAATCTTTTGGATATGGAGCGAGACCCCTCGATGGCAAGAATCACCTCAGAGGATTGAAAGGCAATGAGCTGACTTCTAGTAGTATTCATTGCCACCGAAGATCATTTTTATTGGACACAGTCTCGGTGGCTTGGTTATAAAGCAGGTAGAATGATATCTAGTGCTCAAAATCGCGTGGTCAGTGGCTAACATGATTCGGAATTTCCATAGGCACTTCTCAATGCAAAGGAGGACCCCAAGTACAACTCTATCCGCACAGCTACATCTGGGCTTGTCTTCTTTGGAACTCCGCACCGAGGCGCGAAAGCTGTTGAGCTGGGAAAGATCGCGGCTAGGGTAGCGCGATTTATCTCAAAAGGCCAAGCTAGCAATGACCTTCTTGATTGTTTGGAACACAACTCCCTCTTCACGCGACAAATGTCCGATCGATTTCGACACCAGCTAGAGGACTACCGCGTTGTCAGTTTCATTGAGGGAAAGGAAGTCCAAATCGCAGGTGTGGGTCCGGCATCTCTCAGCCATGTAAGTACTTGAGATCTACTGCCATCTATGCCGGTATCTAATTGGAATAGTTGGTCGTGGACGAAGAGTCCGCCGTCCTGGGTCTTTCTGGATTGCGCGAAACCCAACTAAAGCTCGATGCAGACCATTCGCAGATGTGTAAGGTAGCAGCCCGGGGTCCCATGTACAAGCTCATTAAGGGAAACATCAAACAATTAGTTGACCAGGCTATGCTGGCGGATCAAGGATTTATCCCTCAAGCGACACCTCATCCGGCAGCAGGTCGATCCCCGCCTCCGGTACCACCTCGCATGCATTCCAACAGCAGTACACCATATGCACCCCCTGGACGATCCAGTGAGCCGGCACAGAGAATAACGGGGACAATATTTGTTGCTCTGGATAGGGACCCCCGATCTATAAGGTCTGCAGAATTGAAAAACGTTGCGAAATGGGAAGAAGCTCGGAAGATCGATTATGAGGTCTTCCAGGAATATCTCAGAACGCTTGGTGCAGATCATATCAGCACCTTGACCATGGGATATCAGTTGGCGGAAGTAGAGCTAGAAGGAAGCTACGTCGCCAAAGCAATCGAATGGGGCCAGTGGGTATCCGAGAATGCGCAGCGGGTATTTGGAACGCGACATGCATTATCCATGAAGACAGAGAGCCTGATGGCCGAAATTATCTGTGCCAAGGGCAAATATTCAGAAGCTGAGTCGATTTGTGCAAACGTGCTAGCTCGACAACAAATGACAATCGGCGAAGACCACTTCGACACCTTGGAAACGCGTCGCCGATTGGGTATGGCATACAACGGGCTAAATCGACGAGAGAACGCCCTCATGACCGCAGAAAAGATCACGGAGACCTACAAACGTCTGTTAGGCGATAATCACATCAGAGTATACGCTGCTATTCTGGACACGCTCGAATGGGTCCTCTATAATCACACGGAATCCACCTATGTCACGATCCACCTGCAACCCGATGTGAGACAAGCAGTGGATATCCTCCCAAGCGTTCACGAGGAGCTCAAATCCGCTCTAGGACAGGTGCATCCAGTCACCATCCGGGCCCTTTCGCTTGTAGGCCGAGGATTGACGCGCGCACAACAAACCGTCGAAGCATCTGAGACACTCCGTCGAGCCCTCGCGCTTTCCGAGGAAGCCTTTGGCCCCGACCACCCCCAGACAATGGATGTTGTCAGTAGCATCGGAATTATGTATATGTTCCAGGGGCCTCAGTACATGATTGGCGCGAACACGAGGGCCGAGGCACGTCCATGGTTGGCTCGCTACCTTGAATGGACGGAGCGGCGCAGGGGCATAGATAACCCAGAAACGCAAATCATCCTAGAGATGCTTGGCAATGTGCACTTCCAAGCGGCGGAGTACGCACCCGCGCAAAAATATTATGAGCGTGCGTTGGCTGCTTATGGGGGGACAAGTTCGACTGTGACGCAGCGGATCAGTACTAATCTGCAATTGTGTCGGGCTAATACCATGTTTACCAATCGTGGTACGACAGGAATCGGAGGGTTTCTGTCCTCTCTGCAGCGGTACTAGTTTTAGGGTTGGGCGTTTGGGGTTGACTAGGAATGTACGCGTTTTACTGTGAAGCTTTGGAAGTATGGTGATAATTATGGGCATATTGTTATTTCCACGCAGCTGATTAACTGGCCAGGTGCGGGGTATCATGTCTTAAACATGCATGCAGCATGACTAGTCTTTCGTATCATATTGTATCATAAATGCCCCTCATTCATGCTGGGCAATGGTATCATGGGGATTCTAGTTGGAGAACTTGTCGGGGACATTCTTGCTGTACGTAGAAGAATGGTTAGTACCGTATTGAATTTGCCCCAGCGATCTGCAGAGTACTTACCCAGTAGCACCCTCGAACTTCTCACGCACGGTATCGGTAATCTTCTCGTTTGTAGAGCGCATCTTAGCGGGGTCGACCTTGCCGCCGCCGTACTTCTTTTCAACGGAATCGAGACCTAGAAAGAATTAGACGATGAAAGTGCTTTGCTTATAATGTGTACTCACCCTTGTCAAGATAATCCTCATTACCAGCAGCCTGGTTGGTGTTCGAGCCGGAGGAGCTGCTGCCACCGCCGAGCTTGGATGCGAGACCAGAAAGCTTATCCATTGTGTGTGATGATAAAGTTGTTTGAAAGTTGTTTGGAGATCAAAGTTGAAGTAGATGTGAAGGTGGAAAAGTAGAGGGAAAGGAGGATCAATTTATACAATCGTCTACATCATGGGGACAGCGATTTGGTTTGGAATCGTCATTGCTGTGCTCAGATCGATCGATAATTTTGGATGGCTGCCCCACGGACCCCTTCTTTGTTGATGCTCTGTGGCTAGGTCATATTAGCTAGACTTTTTTGGATCTGAGGTCATTGTTGCCGATCAGATCAAGTTAGTGAGGATCATTGGATGTGGCGCAGGAGATACAGCATTGACTGACGTCATAGAGTTTTCTCTAAAATAACTCATCAGCCTCAGGCGAGACAAATGTACGCCGCATAAATAAGGCACGATTAAGGCAACCAGCTCTGCGCTCAAATCAGCATCTCGACTGTCGATCACTTTCTGTCCGGCTTTTGCTCCGAGTTGGGGTTGCAGGCGGAGATTCCCGACTTCTAGCACGCTTGGGCCCTGCCTATACTCGCCTACTGTCTGGATGCTTGACTATGGGAATGGTTGTCTTCGCGGATTTCAATGCATTTGTTATCGCGTGTTGGTTGGACGACATGATCTCAAAAAGCAATCGAAATGGATCCAGCAGTTTGTTAATATTTAGCAGAATGTGAATATCTCGGGCTGCGCTTCACCGAGCAAGACCATTCCCCCGCGCTCCACTTTCGGTCACAGAATCCCACCAATTTCCCCATGGGTAAACAACCAATAGAAGGCTCCGGAGGCCCTGAATCAAACCATATTCTTTCAATCCAGACCCTGAACGGCAGGATGTGTTGCTCTCACGAGCTATTCTTTGTCTTTTCCCCACGGGGCACTTGACATCTTATCGGAGTTGCACCGAGCGACCTGTACTTCCTAGTCTCTTGACGGGTTTCCTATAAAAGAAATCCATTTGCAGGGCGTGAAAAGATCACTTTTTTGTTTTGAAGTACAGATTTTTTGCGTCAAAGCCATGGCCAAGTCAGACGCAGAGCAAATTGAATACCAGGAGACATCCGCCAAGGGCGCCGAGCTTGAACAAGATGCGCTCTATCAAGCCTATGTCTCGAAAAGTCCCGAATGGCATCAGAAGATGACTCGCTCTCTTTTACGCAAGGTGGACATCCATCTTTTGCCATTCTTGATCTTGATGTATCTGCTCAATTTCCTAGACCGCAAGTAAGAACTTCAGCCTGCAAAAATCCTTTCTCTTTCGAAGTTACTGATGATTCTCGTACCAGCAATTTGTCACAAGCGCGTCTAGGATCCCTCGAGAAGGATCTAGGAATGAAAGGCACCGACTATAACTTAGCTACGAGCATTCTCTTTGTTGGATATCTGTTGATGCAGCTGCCATCTAATCTTCTTCTGACTCAAATTCGACCTTCACTGTTTCTGGGAATTGCCATGGCCATTTGGTAAGGTTTGAAGAAAGTATCAATGGAGAGTGGAAATGAAATACTTATTGCTCATATAGGGGTGTAATTTCTGCTTGTCAAGCTGCGGTTCAGTCATTCGCAGGCCTTGTCGTTACAAGATTCTTCCTTGGCTTTGTCGAAGCCCCATTTTTCCCAGGTGCTGTCATGCTAATGTGAGTGCTGGCGCCAGAACACATTATTCGCAGCCTCTAACTAGCTTTCATAGGTCGAGTTGGTACACCAGGAAGGAGTTGAGTGTCCGTATCGCGTGGTTCTATGCGGGCAGCTCGCTAGCAAACGCTTTTGGTGGGTTGATTGGAGCTGGCGTCTTGGGTAACCTAGATGGTGCACATGGCCTCGCTGGATGGCGTTGGCTATTCATCATTGAGGGGAGTATTACTACGGGAGTATCTCTACTTGCAGCGTGAATTATTCCAATCAGTTGCTCTCGATTCCTCCTTTCTAACCATTCATAGTATCTTCCTCCCAAACTACCCTGCAACCACCTCATGGCTAGACGCCCAGGAGCAAGCATATGCACAATGGCGCTTGATTGACGATGCAGGGGAAGCCGATGATGCGAAAACCAGTAGCATCAAGGAAGCACTGGCTTTGGTATTTGCTGACAAGCGTATCTACCTCTTCATCTTGCTTCAGCATGTGTCGCTCCTCTCCCAGAACTTCCAGTACTTTTTCCCAACCATTGTGCAAACACTTGGGTACAATGACATTGAGACTCTGTTGATCACTGCGCCTGTCTGGATTGCCACTTTTTTCGTCTCACTTATCGTCACTTGGTCATCTGGCAAGACGAATGACCGCAGCTGGCACATTATTTGTTTGATGATGGTCAGTGTGGTAGGAGGAGTGATCTGCACCGCAACAACAAACACCGGCGCAAGGTTCTTCGCCATGTTCCTGTAAGTCACTCGAGTACTCTACAAACTTCCTTGGGATATATCACTAACCCCGCCAGGATGCCAATGGGTGCTGTGTCCGCGTACCAGATTATCCTCGCCTGGGTCGCAAATTCCTTCCCTAGACCTTTGGTCAAGCGATCTGCTGCTATTGCACTGGCCAACATGATTGGTAATACTGCTTCAATCTATGGAAGCTACATGTGGCCTGACTCGTCTGGTCCTCGATACATCCCGGGCGGTAGCGCTACTGCTGCGATCGCATTACTAGTTGCTCTCGTGGCTCTTGTCATTCGTCTCGTTCATGTGAAGATGAACAAGCAGTTAGAAGAGGCGGAGTCCTCGCAAGATATCACTCCTTTGGATACCAATGGCCTGGAAAGTCGTGCCACTGGCTTCCGTTATATCCTTTGATTCATTCCACGACATCCATGCTTTGCTGTGCCGATTTGCTGTGTTAGCTGTCCCAGTACTGCTGGTATATAACCCAGATAGAGTAGAGGAGCTAAAATATACCCAAGACTTACCTTTATCTATATTGATGGTGATCAGTGCTTGTTCTCCTACTTGTTCGCTTCCAACGTGACCGCGGGGGCCAGCATACTACTTCCCCGCCTCGGCAGATTCTCACCAGCACAGATATTGATGAAAACGTTCCACAAAGCCATTGGTTTTCATTGTGCAGTTGTTCAAATGACTGTCAGTTTTGAAGTTGATATAGCCTGTGGCGCGAGCTGCAAATGTGTGTTAATCCGTAGCGGGGCAGCCTGTATTCGTCATCAAAGCCCAATCAGAATGCACGTTATCTGGCGCGGAGTCAAGTCAGGCATTGTGCCACCTTCCGCCCATAAATACTGTTTCTTAAAGATACTTCGAGCGTGATGCTCCAGCTTCTCCTGAGATTCCCCAGACAGACCATAATCAAAAGTTCTTTTCATCTCTTCAGACGTGCCTGAAGCAAGCTATACATAAGAGTCCACCATACACGCTGATCAGCATCAACAGGAGACTGAACTTCGCCTCCAGAATGGTGAGTATTCAATCAATCTACGAACACAAACTGAACATGCTGACTAGATTAGGCTAAACACGAGGAATCTTATTCTGCCGCTTTCACGTCAATTCCCATCCTGGACTACTCTCAGACGCTATCTCCATCGACGAAGTCGGACTTTCTTAACAAGCTCCGCGAGGCTCTAATTAATGTTGGATTTTTCTATCTCGAGAATCCGCCTGTCTCTCCTGCATCTCGGTCTCTGCTAATCGAGAAAGGGCTGGACCTTTTTGAGTTGCCTTTAGAAAAGAAAGTAGAAATTGAAATGGTGAATAGCCCTCATTTCCTCGGTTACTCTAGACTGGGAGCTGAGATCACTACTCTTAAAACCGATCATCGCGAGCAGTTTGACGTGGGTTTTCCTCTTATCCTTCACCTAGCGTTATACTAACATACCCTAGTTTGCTACTGAGCTGCCTGCTCCCGGTCCTGAGGAGCCACTCTATAGAAACATCGTTGGTCCAAACCAGGTATGAACTATGGATGATTCCTCGTGCCTTTTGACTAAGTCTTAACGATCTCAGTGGCCCGATAAAAATGCGATTCCAGGATTTCGCCAGACGCTAGAACATTATATCGAAGAAGTCACCGAATTCGCAGCAAGTTTCACAAAACTCATTGCAGAGGCTCTAGATCTTCCGCCAACGGCTTTAGATCAAGCCTTCAGTATCCCTCAACAGCACAAAATAAAGCTCATCAAATATCCTCTCCCACCGACAGCCAATGACAACGACACTGGCTTTCAAGGCGTTGGTGCACACAAAGACTCCGGCTTCCTTACCTTCCTTCTCCAAGCCACACCACACCATGGCCTAGAAGTTCAAAACAAAGCCGGAGCATGGATCTCAGCACCGCCAATTCCGAATTCCTTCGTCATCAACATCGGCCGAGCGCTCGAGGCATTAACAGGAGGTATTTGTACAGCCACCACCCATCGTGTCAGCCTCCGGCCTGAGAATTTCATGGATTCAGAGGGAAACCCCCTTGGACCTCGATTTTCCTTTCCTTTCTTTCAAGGCGTGAATCCCGATCTCTCTGCCGACAAGATCAACCTCGTCATCCCGGATCACATCCGAGACCTGGTCAAAGACGACAAAGTGAAATCTGACGCTGAAGCAACCTTCAATGCAATGTTTCAAACAAGCATTGGTGAAGGCACTTTTGTCGCTCGAATCACCAGTCACCAAGATGTTGGCCAACGATGGTATCCAGAGGTCCTGACAAGGGCTCTAAAAGGGCAACAGGATTTTGTGGCCTGATGACCCCCACCTTTTAATATCGTGATAATGAAAGGATCATCTTTCCTTTATTAGTTAGGCGTGGGAATTGATAGAAGATCGGCACATGTAGGATCGGTTGGTTGTAGTGCGGTCGCCGTGCGGGGTTTGGCTGCAGGAATGATGCAACAGTCGCGTCTTAGAACTAACAGGCGCGATTTGATAGCCTCAAGGGAAATGCATAAATAACCTTGTTTATTCTGTATTTGTTATTTTCTTTTCCATTAAGGGCGCTTGGTTTTGGTCTGCCATGTTGTGGACAAAGTTGTTGATTGGGCTATTTGCCGCGTCAGGGGCAGCTCAGTCCACCGACGGGCTCTACGATCTGGTCAAGCGGAGATTACCGAACCACGTTGACAATCTTCGCTTTAGTCTGGTTTCCAATATCACTGGAAGCAATGGTGGCTATGATCATTTCATCGTTCAGGATGCTCCCAATGGCACCATAATTGTGCAGGGAACCTCTCTCAGTGCGCTCTCGTCGGGGTATGTCATCAAAGTCCATTTGAATATCACAAAAAATTTGCTCACATATTCAGTCTCCATCGCTATTTGGCCGACGTCGCTCATGTGGACATATACTGGTTCATTGGAAGCCGGCTGGATCAGGCACCTGCTAAGCTTCCTCGTCTCCGCGCCCCAATCCATGGCTCGAGCACAGTTCCTTGGAGATACCACTTTAACACCGGTAACTTGTTCCGCCCCTCCACGTTCCACAATTGATAATTAACTATCATAGTAACATTTTCTTACACCACTGCTTTCTGGTCATGGGAGGAATGGGAGACAGAGCTAGACTGGATGGCTCTGCGTGGCATCAATCTCCCCCTTGCTTGGGTTGGCGCCGAGAAGATCATGGTAGAGGTATTCCGAGAAATCGGACTCACCGACGCAGAGATTGCAACTTTCCTCAGTGGACCAGCCTTCCAAGCCTGGAACAGATTCGGAAATATCCAAGGCTCCTGGGGCGGCGACTTGCCTACAGCATGGATTGACGAGCAATTCGCCCTTCAGAAGAAGATCGTACGTCGCATGGTTGAGTTGGGAATGACACCTGTGCTTCCTGCATTTACCGGCTTTGTTCCCAACAACATCACCCGCGTATATCCCAATGCGAGCGTCGTTCGCTCATCATCTTGGAATGGGTTCCAGACCCAATACACCAATGATTCATTCCTCGAGCCATTCGATGACCATTTCGCGCCTCTTCAAACTAGCTTCCTGCAAAAACAGCAAGCTGCTTATGGCAACGTGAGCCACGTCTATACTTTGGATCAGTATAATGAGATGGATCCATACTCGGGAGATTTGGATTACCTCCGCAATGTTACTAGTACTACTTGGCAGAGTCTCAAGAATGTGGATCCTGATGCGATCTGGTTGATGCAAGGTTGGCTGTTTTACAGCTCGGAGACCTTTTGGACTGATGAACGGGTGAAAGCTTATCTTTCCGGTGTTGAAGATGATAACGACATGCTGATTCTGGACCTTTTCTCCGAGTCCGAGCCTCAGTGGCGTCGCACAGACTCCTATTACGGCAAGCCGTGGATTTGGTGTCAGTTACACGACTATGGAGGCAATATGGGCCTCTACGGACAAATCTCGAACATCACACAGAACGCATCGCAGGCATTGACTGAGTCTTCTTCTATGGTCGGTTATGGGCTCAGTCCAGAGGGTCAAGAAGGCAACGAGATTGTTTATGATTTGCTCTTGGACCAGGCTTGGTCTTCAACCCCGATCAATACACAGAAATACTTCCACAACTGGGTGACTAGCCGATACGCCGGTTCTGGCTCTATTCCCCAGGGGCTCTATGATGCATGGGAAACTATGCGGAAGCCCGTCTATGATAACACCGATATCGACGACATTGATGCTGTGATCAAATCTATTTTCGAGCTTAAGCCAGATGTCACGGGTCTTATCAATAAGACTGGTCACCACGGCACAATGCTTACCTACGACCCGTCTGTGGTCGCACAGGCATGGCAATCCATGTACCACGCTGCCAACTCTGAGCCAAAGCTGTGGACCAATCCAGCCTACCAACATGACATGGTCGATATCACCCGTCAAGTGATGGCCAATGCCTTCATTCCACTGTATACCAAGCTGATCTCGAGCTGGAATACTTCCAACCCAAACAGGGCAACAATTTCGCGAGAAGGACAAAACTTGGTCCAATTACTGACCGACCTCGACTCCGTCCTTTCTACGAACGAGAATTTCCGACTTTCGAAATGGATTAAATCCGCTCGATCATGGGCTCATGGTGACGCAAGTCAAGCTTCATTCTACGAGTATGATGCTCGTAATCAAATCACTCTGTGGGGTCCTCGTGGAGAAATCACTGACTATGCTTCGAAGCAATGGGGCGGTCTTGTTTCTTCGTACTATGTCCCTCGATGGAAGATTTTGGTAGAATGTTTAGAGTCAACCCCCGTTTCGGCGTACAACGATACGGCTTTGGGGGATCAACTGCTCGATTTTGAACTTGGATGGCAAAATCAGACGTGGTTGGATGAATCCACTGATTCATCTGATTTGAAGAAGGTGCTGACACAAGTGCACCAACGGTGGCAAACTGTTTTTGCGTGAGACAATGCAGGGATCGACGCCAAGACAAAACCGTTTATTTAGAGCATCATATAGAAAGCCCAGTCTACAATGAAGATCATTTAGAGTAAGGATTAAATTGAACATAACTATGGTTATAGAGTTCTATTAGCATCATTCAATATTGAAATTGACTTATCTCACGCGACTCATTTCATTGTTGACAAGGATTTCAAATCGGGTCGCTTCCCCCGCACTCCGAGATTGGCCAATGGTTCCTTATCTGTTGGAAGCTCGTTCCCAACATGATTAGAAATGCAAATCCGCTTAACTCCGAAATCTTGATCCTGTTTTGCAAAATCCAATGGCTGTTTATCCATCTTACCATTCCCTTGCCAGCCTTGGATTGATTAGATTCCATCATGGCTGATACACAAACACCACCATCTGAACAGACGCCGCTCATCGAGCCAGCAACAAAACATGACTCTCTGACGGACCTGAGCACCCTCCGAGGATGGGGCATTTGTGCCCTGATGTCCCTCCTCATTTTCATTCAAGGTAAGTTGAATCCTTATTCATCTCGATTAGACAATATGCTGACGAATTGATTCTAAAAGCAACCAACATCTCAATGATGACAACCGCGCAATCCGAAGTCGCTGCGGACTTAGATGCCTTCGCCGAGGCAACATGGTTTACCTCCACATTCATGGTAGGACAACCGGGATCTCGGGGATGAACATTGCGGTATCTAATTGCTTGAAGATCGCAGCCTCGAGCGTAACTCCGCTGGCAGGACGATTCGCAGCGATCTTCACCGCACGTCTTTGCTTGGTTTTCTCAAGTACAATCCTGGCAATCGGCCTATTCATCACTGCTGCTGCCCCGTCATTAGCGGTCTTCTTATTGGGCCGTGCTGTTACAGGAATGGGAAGTGGGGGTTTGATGAGTATCGCTATCATGTTGATTTTGGATTTCACCAGTACCCGGAGACGAGGATTGTTTATTGGGCTTATCAGCACCAATTACACGGTGGGACTTTCTTCGGGTGCCGTCCTAGCCGGACTTTTGACGCCTATTATTGGATGGGTCTGTCTGCAATCACCCCGGACTTGTTACCGTGGCTAACTCCGAGCCCAACGCTAAGCGCCTCATCTTTTGGATTCAAGCTCCAGCGGCGCTTGTTCTAGGACCCCTACTATACCTCGCTATTCCACCACCAGCCGAAGATCATAGCTCGCTGAGGGAAGGGACTTTGCTCCAAAGTCTTGCTCGGATAGATTATGCTGGTGCCCTGACAATAGTAAGTTTGTTTGACTGCTCTAGATGGCCCTGCTAACAAGCTAGACAATCTCGGTCGTCCTCTTTCTCACCAGCTTGGCCTCTCCCGAGGTTCTCATCTGGCCTATTCCATTGTCATTAGCATTTCTCGGTTTCTTTCTTCTTATCGAGTCTCGATGGGCCCGCGAACCCATCATTCCGGTCCACCTATTCCGGAACCGTAGCGTGCTGCTATCATGCCTCGCCGGTGTGGGCTTAATGATGTCTCGCTGGTGTGTCGTATTCTTCAGTCCCGTCTACGCGATTGCGGTTCGGGGATGGGCTCCCGCATCCGCAGGACTCATTCTTGTCCCGACCAATGCAGGATTCGGAACTGGCGGGATACTTGTGGGTTGGCTTCATATTCGCAAAGGAGGTAGCTATTATGCGTGAGTAATCCAGCACTATTCTTGCATTGACCATCAACTGACCTCAATTTATAGATCTTGCTTAGTCCTCTTCATGCTCTTTGCACTCGCGACAATGGCCCTCTCAATTCTATCTTCAGAGGATTCTGCAGCAGCATTATTCATGACAGCGACCTTTTTGAACGGATTCTTTGCCGGTGCACTAATGAACTACACCATGTCACATCTGCTACATCTCACTAGTCCTCACATGCACTACATCGTTAGTGCTTTATTCACCACATTCCGCGCGCTCGCGGGTAGCTTTGGATCCGCTGTCGGAGGAGGCTTCTTCACCCGGATTCTCAAGGGGTCATTGGAATCGGGCTTCTCTCGACATGGACTCTCGCCCAAACCGGACTTGGTTCGCACCCTTCTTGGTAGTCCTGCCACGGTATCCCATTTGGATGGCATTGAGCGGCTAGTAGCTGTTCAGAGCTATGAACATGCATTCAGTATGCTATTTATGGCGGCTACTTTCTTGATACTGGTGGCTGCAGTCTTCCAGGCTGGGACTGGATGGACGGCGGGAAACGACGACAAGACTGATGAATGAGGGAAATACCGGGCTTAATCATTAATTCTCTTTTTTGTTAATTCTCTTGAATCAAATTGTGGAACACAGGATACACGTAGAAGGAAGAAGATAAAGGATCAAGGGCCTTCTATGAGATTATCCTTGACTGGAAGAGAGTATTCTAGAAGATAATTTCGAAATTATTATAGATATTTCTTTGGCTTATCAAGTTGCCAGGTCATTCAACTGGCTGACGATTTGATGAGCTAAATGAATCTCTTAACACTTTTCATAAAACTCTTGATACCAGAACCTTCGTAGCCGGCCTGTAAGCAAGCCTTTTGGACCAAGCATCTTGTAGGCGCCGCTTTCGTCATCGCGAATGGACTCCGGGTCTGGTGCATTTGTAAGGCGACTCGTGAATACATGAGAAAGTAGAAGCCCCACAATTCTTGCCACTTGATTGTTTGGATGGTCTCGTGCCCAAGACCAGTGCTCGTGGAAAGAATATCCCAGAAAGTTCGGTCCAAAGTTTCATAGTCTTCATACCGTATTCAGCCATCGCCGAGGCGTTATTTGCCCGTAAGTTGCTGCAGGGAGTGAAGATCCTCCCGAAGGACCAATCTAAGCTTCGGCCCAGTCAATTAATCCAACTAGATGATCGTTGTCTGGGTCAACCATGATATTCTTCAAGCCAAATCTTTTGCAGAGAAACCATCAGAAGTGAGAAGACATGAATAATGAATGTATTCGAATTTTTCAATAAGTAGTCTTATTCAGAAATTCTAGTCTTTCCTTAGTCAACCATTTGTGTCTGTCTGAAAGTATTGGTGCCTTGGTGCCTTATTTGACGCCTTATCGCTTTGATAGCTCCACCTCCAACATCTCCAACTCTTGATCTTCTTTCACTCACGCCCTCGAACTCTTACCAACCTCCACCGCCACCAAATCCACAATGCCGCGCGCTGTGCGAGGTAAGGTAATTCATAATCGCCGAAATACCTGCGCTAACGTGGACTACCAGGCCTGCTCATCGAGTGCGATCCCTCAATCAAATCCATGATCCTGAAGTACGACGAGGAACGACACGACTACATTGTGGAGGACTTGGACGATGAAAACCACTTGGTCATCAAGGAGAGTCAGCTAGAAAATCTGAAGGCGCGTCTGGACCATGTATGTGCCCGTTGAGCCTTGACTCGCCATCTCCGCACCCAGGGTTTGGCGCATTGGAAACAATATCTAACATGGGTGCAATTCAGGACCTTGATGAGAAAATTATGCAGCTTGACGAATCCGAATCCGAGTAAAGCGACCGTGTCTTCGAAAGGCCCCATCCTCTCGAACCATTATGCTCTTAAAAGGCACGATTCCGATCCCATTTGTGACAAATACCGAGATGGCTGCCAGCATTCAACCCTTTGCGCTTCCATGTTGTTCCTGCGTGCAGCCTCCACTGCTGGAACAAACAGGGAGGTCCGCGTGCGGAGACGAGTCTACGAGCCCTAATGATACCCACCACTGAATTCATATCGTGGATTCGGCTTACCTGGCGTTTTATTTGAGTCCATATATTTTATTTGAGTCCATATAATCGGCGCGCTAGAAAAGCGACCGGTGAATCATGATTTGTTTAGAAGGATGGCATGACTGGCCACTCATCGCCTTATGAGATACCCTAAAACACATCTACTGAAATATTCTGTTGGCTTTCGGTGTTTTCCTCGCTGTATGTATTAACCTGCTATCAATCCAGCATCATCTTGGAACCCACTAGCCCCAGTGTTGAGACGCACTGGAGACTCTGGACCGATTCATTCTTGATCTCGTTCCTTACCTCCTTTTCTTCCTTTGCTTGGTCTCCTCTATTCCCCTTTCCAGGTTTCCTCCAAGTTTGGGTGCCAATTGACCGTCCGAGGGACTCCTCACTGCGAGTGAGTACATTATAGAATTGTCAGTGGCAATGACTGATTTATGAGGAATCAATTTCTCCAGGTCTACAATCTTCACTCGTAGTTTATGCATATGGAACTACCCAGTGTATGATCCTACGACGCAAATCCCTTGAGTGCCTTCTTGATAATCTCTGTAAGGGTATTCAGGAATAGTACCCTCATTATCAGGCAGATATGTAGGCCAATAATAGTGTAGTAGCAGCAACAGTATTTAGAATGTCAGCCATCTTACACACATCCTTCATTTTTCGAATGATTACGTTATTGTTTGTTTGATATGACTGCCTCCTCATGTCTATACGAAAATCAGTATCAAGAAGGAAATGTTGGAGATGACCGTGCCACTACGCACTGATTGGTTAATGCTAAGCTTGGTTCAACGTAGTCATGGATCTATGCAGATCACGTGATAGAAATGGAATCCTGGAGAAGGACCCACATGCGACGGGAAGGTACGACCCACGTCTAGCGATATCTAGAAACATCTTGCAACAACGCGATGATGCAAAGTAACACCTGAAAACTTCCTGAATTGCGCAATGGACGGGTGGCAGAGGGTTCTGGACTGGGCCTCTGCTCTCACTCACAATGCATAAATACCCCCTCGACCTCTGACCTTCACATCCCATCATACAACAAACAGTTCTCTTGACTACAAAGCTCCAAGCTCCAAGCTCCAAACTTCATCTTTAAGCGCTTCAAATCTACTTATCCAACTTCCACCATGTCTATTCAATTCCGTTCCCACTTGCCAACGGGAGAGTTCTCTCGTGACTTGTCATCCCTCTTCCGTCTCTTTGACGATTATGACGTCCACCGTCGAGGCAGCCACCACCTAGCTCCGCGACCCTACACTCCCCGCTTCGATGTCCGCGAGACCGAAGATGCCTACCACTTGGATGGAGAGCTGCCTGGAGTCGCTCAAAAGGATATCGAAATCGAGTTCTCCGACGCTCATAATCTGATCGTGAAGGGTCGCACCGAGCGCGAGTACCACCACACCGAGCCTGAGACTGAGAGTGAGGACAACAACAAATCCGAAACCTCCGAGACCGACGCTGGCTCCAACAAGAGAAACAAACCTGCTGCTGCTCGTTACTGGGCTAGTGAGCGAACTATCGGCGAGTTCCAGCGCACCTTCTCCTTCTCCACACGCGTGGACCAGGACGCCGTCACGGCTAGCCTCAAGGGTGGTGTTCTCTCCATTGTCCTTCCCAAGGCTAAAGCTACTGCTCCCAAGAAGATTACCGTCCAGTAAAGGAAGTACCACGACCACGCGTGTCCCTGACGCTAACTACGACACGCAACATGAGCTACGATTTTAATACTTTTGCTTGATCGCATCGTTTGGAGGAGTTTCATTTGTCTGATGTTTCATTTTAACATGTATATTCACACTCTTTTAAGGACCACCAAATCTCAGAGTTAATTCGAACATGTATCTTAACACTCTTTCTTGAAACCAAATCTCATAATTATTTTGATTGCTACAAATACAGTGCAGACAACGTAGATCTAAAACAGTAGCCGCTCATGCACGTAAAGGCGGTGGGCGCTTATCGCTCCTTATCTGAGCCGAGGCCGAGGCACATGCGTTGATGCCGAAGCTCCCACTTCAACGCTTCAAGAAGTATTTAGACTCTTACCTGTAGAAAGTCCAGATTTTTCTATCGATAACAACTCTAGCTTTCAAATAATTACCCATCAAGCTGCCAGCATTCGAGCGACCCACATCTCTCCGCACTCCAACCACCACCTATCCCATCCAATATGGCGCAAGACTACTCGTTCAAGTATTTCACGGTGCAGTTCCCAGCCGACCTCCCCTATGTCGCGCACGTGGAAATCAACCGCGCAGACAAGATGAATGCCTTCCTTGAAGCGTAAGCCACGATTCACAATTAATCTATGCTCCCAAACCCACTAATAACCACAGCATGTGGCTTGAAATGGGCCAACTATTCGCCCGACTCTCCGACGACTCCAACGTACGCGCCGTAGTCTTCAGCGGAGCCGGCGACAAAGCCTTCACAGCCGGCCTCGACGTGAAAGCCGCATCAGAGGGCAGCGCTCTCGCCAAAGACGGCATAGATGGCACAGACCCAGCCCGCAAAGCCGCACACTTCCGCCGCCACGTCGCTGAATTCCAAGATTGCATCACATCCATCGAGAAATGCGAGAAGCCCGTCATCGTCGCCATGCACGGGTATAGCTTCGGACTGGCAATCGATATCTCGACAACGGCGGATGTGCGTCTCTGCTCGCGCGATGTGAAGTTCGCAGTGAAGGAAGTCGATATTGGTATTGCGGCTGATATTGGCACACTCACTCGCCTTCCTAAGGTTGTTGGAAACTATGGATGGGTGAAGGAAGTTGCGCTTTCTGCTCGTGTCTTTGGAGCGGAGGAGGCGCTGCGTGTTGGCTTTGTTAATGCTGTTTATGAGAATAAGCAGGAAACTGTTGCTGCGGCTTTGAAGATGGCTGGTCTCATTGCTAGTAAGAGTCCCGTTGCTGTGCAGGGGACCAAGGAGATTCTGAACTGGTCGAGGGATCACCCCGTGCAGGACGGGTTGCGGTATACTGGTGTATGGAATGCTGCGGCTATCCAGACGCAGGACGTTTCCAAGGCGCTTTTGTCTGGGATCCAGAAGCGGACGCCGACTTTCGAGAAGCTATGAATAGTATAATTCTTCAGATAGTGAATGCTGGAGGATCACATCCCTTTGAAAGGTATTGGACGCAGTTGTGTTGATCTGGATTGTGTATAGAGGGTATACTGTTCAGTCAATCGAAAACCATGTATATAGTATAAATTTCATCGACTCCATGTCAGACACCTGATACATGATCTCTTTCAAACAAGGCAGACTCGCCTTGTCTTGGATATAATCTCTTATTATCTGAGCAAACGAAGGGGCCAAAGTCGCCGTGCCAAGGGTATTAAAGGCTCATCTGTACCCTATTTCAGGTCATGATCTCGTTGCCTTTCCACCTTCGTCTATCTTCCCACCTCTATGTCTAATCATAGGCAGACAGACACTTTCTGTTGTTGCTTCATTGATATCAGCAGGTGGAGCAAAGAAGAGGAGGGATTTTTACTTTAGAAGTGTTCCGCGCACATAGGACCTTTAACTTTGTTACTGGAATTTCAACTACTATTGATAAACTTGTTAAATCAGTTTTATTTCGCAAGTTCTATACACATGCTTGACTATACACCTACACAGTAAAGGACGCAGACGTGCGGCAATTCGTACGGATACCCGGCACCGGCAACTCGGGATTCAATTAACGCCTCAAACTCCGATTTCCCTTTGTTCACACAATGAATGTTATAGTTACAGAATTTATTAGTACATGAAAAAGACAATGTATTTTTTTAACATATCATCCACCTATTCAGTCCCAGATGTTCGCTTCCACGCCAAAACATTGTCAAATTGGTAGATCAAACACACTCCACCATGAAAGCCATTCAAATCCTAGGTGAAATTTCCTCGCCCGAAATCACCACAAATCGCTCAATGATCGAGCCAACTCCTAAAGGCTCGGAACTTCTCGTCAAAGTCCACGCCGCCGGAATAACCGGAGACGAAATTATCTGGCCGGAACCATACGCCACTTCAACCCGAATCCCAGGACACGACATCTCGGGCGTGATCTCCTCTACTGGGCCAGACTACCAAGGCCCACTGCAAATCGGCCATGAAGTCTTTGCTTTTCTCGGGGGGGATCGAGGTCAGGGCCAAGCAGACTATGTGATTTGCCTACCGAGTGAAGTTGCGCAGAAACCGACAACATTGTCTCATGCAGAAGCAGCCGCATTGCCTATTCCCCTTCTTACAGCTTGGGAAGCGCTTGTCGATCATGGAGCACTTAAATCACATGAATCTGGAAAGAGGGTTCTCGTTACAGGTGCTTCGGGTGCCGTTGGTACTTATGCTGTTCAATTTGCAGCACAGGCGTTCAATGCGCACGTTATTGCGTTGGCTTCTTCTCGGAATCATGAAATGTTGAGAAGACTGGGTGCGAGTGAAGTTTTTGACTATGGGGTCACCGACTGGGAAAATAAGATCGCCGACGTTGATATGGTTCTCGATACGGTTGGAGGTGATATCTTGAAAAAGACTTGGGAGTGCGTCAAGGATGATGGAGTCATCGTGACTGTTGGAGATCCTGCGCCTGCGTGGGCATTTGGACGAGGTCAAGCTGAGGAATCTGTTGATCATCCAAATGTGCGATATGTGCACTTTATCGTGTCTCCAAATGCAGAGGGACTAAGGAAGAGTGGTGAAATGATTGACAATGGTAGCCTGGAGAAACTTGAGATCAAATCTTTTCTTTTTGATGAAGCAAAAGCAGCGTGGGGCTGTGCTCGGCAGAGGAATCGCGGATATAAGGTTGTTATTGATTTTATCGAGGAGGAATCTCAGGGCTGTTAAATTCTCTATCAATAGAGTTTTGGAATGATTGGGCTCCTGGTTCCAGAGTTTATTAGGTACTATTGTCTCCATCTTCATTGATATGTCCAAATGTCAGGCCTTAATTCTCCCAAGCAATATTTGGATCCAGATCTCCAATATTATACCACCCACATAAATCGTCTATAGACCCCAAGGAAGGCAGAATGTTAAAGTCGTCGCTAGATGTTCCAGTCTCAGACCCAAAAGCGTCCCCCTGTGACTGGCAACTGGAAAAGTCTGACCCTTCACTGGGCTGGGTTGTCAATTTGGATCCAATTCCTAGCACATGGTGGGCAATCGTCTGCAGCTCCCGCACGTTCCTTGCTGTTCGTGGCCAGAGCTCAGCAAGTGCTTTGAGACATCCAATAGACATCCGGATTTGTTCTCGTGCAATTGCCAATTCTTTTCCTTTCAACAGGAAGTGACAGGCAGAGAGAAGAGCGAGCGTCCCTTCGCTGACCATGCAGGTTATAAAAGGGCTATGGTGGAATTCTGCAGTAGGTAATGCTAAAAGGCGGATTTGTGCCTCGACGGACCGCAAGACGCGGACGGTGTGTACGTTCACCAAATCTGGCGCGGCAATATCTTCAGGCGGCTCCCTAGCACAGCTTGATGCCTCTTCCACGGGGTTGAACTTGAGGTCTGATAATGGACGGTGCAGGCCAATATACGAGCTGAAGAAGGGTCAATATCACTACTATCTTAGTAAGCAGAGAATGACTTACACGTGAATAAGATGATGGGCCTGGAACATGAGCTCGTCAATTTCTCCGTTCTTCCTCAAAACTTGCTTGCGATTCTTGGGCAATAAAAGGAGCCAAGCACCCAGAATTGAGTCCGCAGTCTGGATCACCTGTGGGGGAGTCTTCTTTCGCGACAATCTGGGGCGCCGTGGAGATGGCAAATGCCGCACATTGTACAGCACCAATAAGGTACGCAAACGATGAGAAGTCGATATCATCGGGAGCAAACTCGCGACAGTCAAAGTCATTTAAAGTCTTCGGTGTGGGAATATCCTGCAGTCGAATAAGATACACAGCCTCTTCAGGAGCAGAATCAAATACTTACCCCAAGTTCATATTCTGCTTCTTCACAAGGTAGTTCCACAGTGGCGTCTACGTTGGCAACCTCGAATAACATAGTTCCTAACGTGCCCTGATAACAAGCTTCAATGGTATATAGCATCCACCATGTTCGCCTCCAGCTTTCCTGTAACACCGGATCACCACCTCCATGCCTGACTGCGAATTCTTGTTTGAACATTTCCATGTCACGGGCGGTTTGAACCGCTATGTTCATTTGACCTTGTGATTCACTCTTTTGCTCGTACCAGAATAATGCTATTGAGTATAACATCCGACATTGGACCATGACAGGATCTGTTGGTAGTAACTGCAAAAGTCCAGCTTCTGCGTGTTCCTGCAATGGAGTCGACCACTGATGCGACTTGTAAATACTCCCAACAAGACGCATAATCGCAATGAGCGCTTTCAAAGAGTGTTGTCGCGTCGGATCTTGATAAGCTCTTGTCAGATATCTCTGAGGTAAAAGGAACGGATGAAGTTGGTGGAACTTCTTGTAGTAACAATCAATCAAAGGATCGTTCTCAATACTGCTGAACTGCACTGAAACTGTGCTCAGGGACCCAGTACTAGACGATCGAGCCCCGGTACTAGTTTCATTAATCACTCCATAGCTGTTTGAGAGATCCACCTCAACGATTCCAGTACTGGAACCTTGGACACCACTCTGCAACCCTGCAGATCGCTGCAGGCTCGGGTTGGTGTTCAACCTGGAATCCTCAATGGCTGCAAGTCGCTTGCGCCGCTCGGTTAACGCTGCACGGTCCAACCCGCCCCGCCGTGATTGGGCATATTGGCATTCCCTGGAGAATTCCGCGCAGCGTGAGCAACGTGGCTGCTTCGCATCGCACTTGAGATGACGCGAGCGGCAGGACAAGCACGCTAGTGAAGATCGCGTGGCTCTGCCATTTTGCAGGGGGTTATTCCGATTATTATCGTCCATATCAAGGTGGAAAGCAGTCGGCTGACTTGAAGATGCGTTGATGGTCGTTGAAGCGGGTATCCGGGCGGGGAATCGGGTATCCACCGCGCGCGGTTTAGCGGGGAAACTTATTAGCTGACTTGAACCTAATTTCTAGATTCTAATTTCTGTCACGCCATTGACTTGATTAGCCTATCGACAAGTATCAAATTGCCTATCAAATGGTCAAATATTGAATTCGCCTTAGATGGCATTGAAGAGGCTACATTAAAGGGCCTCAATTTCTGCGATCTAGTTCTTATCTTTACCATCTACCCCACCTATCCAATATTGAAACGTTCGTACGAACCTTCAACACTTTGTTTCAATTTTGGAACATGGCAAAATTAGTCATTATCGGCGCCGGCTTCGCTGGCGTCTGGAGTGCCCTTTCAGCCAAACGTCTGGCAGCACTTCTGAACAAGGAAAGCAGCTTGGAGATCCAAGTCATCGCTCCAGAGCCATGCCTGGTCATGCGTCCACGACTCTACGAAGCCAACCCATTCGAAATGGTTCACCCCCTTGGTCCCATCTTCCAGGAAGCAAAAATATCTTTCTTCCAGGGCATTGTTCAGGCCATTGATACCAAAACGAACACGATTCATGCGCGATCCATCGGGGGAGTCGAATCAACAATCACATACGACCGCCTGATTCTAGCCGCCGGAAGCTCCGTCGTGCACCCCCATGGAATTGCTGGCATCAAACAGAATGCCTTCGACGTCGATTCCTTAGCATCGGCTGGGAGACTTGATGCCCACCTTCAGAGCCTTACTTCCCTTCCGCCAAGCCCATCACGCGATACTATCGTTGTATGCGGCGCGGGATTCACAGGCATTGAAGCTGCAGCCGAGTTGCCTAAACGCCTCAGTCATATCCAAAACGCCCGTATCATCTTGGTCAGCAGTGCAGGTCAGGTCGGCCCCGAGTTCGCATCGAACTCTCGCTCTGTTATCACGCAAGCTTTGACCGAGCTCGGAGTTGAGCTGAAGCTTGGGTCTGCCGTCACAGCCATCGATGCAGACGGCGTAACACTTGCGTCTGGGGAGCATATTCCAGCAAAGACTGCAATCTGGACAGCGGGCGTTCGGGCTACACCTTTGACACAGCAAATCCCCGGTGAGAAGGATAATCTCGACCGCCTTCGTGTCGACCAGCATCTACGCGTGCCATCGGTCGATAATGTGTATGCCACTGGCGATGCTGCTTGTGCCTATGCCGATGCGGAAAGGAAGCATTATGTGCTGATGAGCTGCCAGCACGCTCTTTCCCTTGGTCGCGTGTCGGGACACAATGCCGCAGCTGATCTCCTTGGGGAGCCTTTGGTGGATTATCAACAGGCTGCGTATAATTGCTGTCTGGACCTTGGTGGCTGGGGTGCTGTTATTTCCGCGGGATGGAATAGGGAGCTTAGTCTCTCCGGAGCTCAGGCAAAGAAAATCAAGTGCTATATCAATCAGCAGCTGATCTACCCACCTAGTGGCCTGAAAGAGGCGCTGGCTCAAGCGAACCCGATCTTGCCAGACTCGGACGAGCTATTCAGGCAGATGCAGGAATCTGTTGCATAATGTGCTGCCGGTCCAAGCTCTCAATTCACTTTAGATTTAGAAGGATCTTGTTCAGTTGCATATATTATACTATGTAAATACTCCAACCATCAAAATACAGCCTAGATCATTCTGTTTCAAGATAGTACAAAGCGGATCCAGAGCCATCACCTAATCCGACACTCGTATCCTACCCCAGTCCTGCCAAGTTTCAACCAAGTACATCCACTCGGTTTCATCTACCCCGAAACACAATAAGTTTCAACACCAAGGATTCCCTCTCCGCACGTCCAAATAAGACTTACCCCGAAAGCCAAGGAGCTTCCACCGTGGATCGCAGAAACCCAGCTTCCATGAATCAAAAAAAGCGCTGGTTCTGTCGATCTCGTCAATGCGGACATTCTTCTGGTTTTGCTTTGGACGCTTATGCACATCAGTTGCACATTGAGCCCTCTTTTCCGCTGATCCGAGCGTCTGTGGGTCGGATGACCCTGGCAGACAATGCTGTCAGGGTTTTATGGGGTACTTTCTTCCGCGTATCCTATGAGGAAGTATTTCCGGTATGACTTCGGAGAATTGATTCAAATATATAGTGATTGAAGCTCCGGTGTCTATATAACGCCACCAGGTGCATGCCTTTTCTTAGGAGGAAAAAAAGCATACTATCGAATCAATCCTATTCAAACGTTCTTTCTATACTCCCAGCCATGAAGACTGCTACGCTTTTCTCAGCGCTTATCCCCAGTGCCCTTGGAAGCACAATCTACTTTGCCGGTGATTCTACCATGGCGAAGGGCGGAGGTGGCACTGGCACAAATGGTACAAACAACATCCATACCAGGCAGCATTCAGGAAAGATATAGCTAACACGACCAGGGTGGGCTGAATACGTATCAACGTATACCACATGGACAATCTCCAATCAAGCAATTGCAGGCCGCAGCGCACGTTCATATACTCGCGACGGCCGGTTCACGACCATCGCCAACGAAATCCAAGCCGGGGACTGGGTAGTCATCGAATTCGGTCACAACGACGGCGGATCCTTGACACCGACAGATAACGGACGCACTGATTGTTCCGGGACAGGCGATGAGACCTGCACTACGGTGTACGATGGGGTAACCGAAACAGTCCTGACGTTCCCCGCGTACTTGGAGAATGCAGCGAACACGTTCACGGCGCTTGGAGCGAATGTGTTGATTTCTAGTCAGACACCTGATAACCCGTGGGAGACTGGGTCATTTGTTTATTCACCGTCGCGGTTTGTAGGGTATGCAGAGTTGGCGGCGGAGACGGCGGGCGTGGCGTATGTTGATCACGGGGCTTATGTTGCGAGTATCTTTGATTCTCTTGGAGACGATGTTGTTAATGGGTATTATCCTCTTGATCATACCCATACTAGTCCTGCAGGAGCGCTGGTGGTTGCTGAGGCCTTTTTCAAGGCTGTGGTCTGTGGAGGTGTTGCGCTGGAGAGTGCATTGAACACTACTGTTTTCCCAGGCGATTGTCTGTAGAGTCGAATGGGTGATTAACGCTCTGATAGCAAAGGCAGTTCGGATTGTAAGGTGTTCATAAAGTTTGGCAAATCGCCGGTAGTTTCATCATGTTTATGTTTCGTAATATGTCTGTAGGTACATGTGTAAAATGGGTATTAAAGTCACTGCTATCACAGTTTCTCAGACCAGGGTCATCGGGACTCCAGGATGCCTCGCAAGATACCCCGTTTGTCAACTCGATGATAGTACTGGGTCAGATTGGCAAACCGAGCATCAAGGGACCCTTGGGTCTGTACTATCTCCCATAAGACCGGCCAAAGGGCACAATCGTCAATGCCAAAGACTGCACCTCCCAAGTAATGCTGTCCCTCTAGGGCACGCTCCCATTGTCGCAAGCTACCATTAAACCCTTCCATGGGCTTGCTTGCATAATGCTCGCGCCATTCTAGCTGCAAGTCTTCTATCCAGGAGAGATGGCTTCCACCTCTTAGGATATCGACTCCAGGTCGTGAACTTTCGGCGGGTCGAGAACTCAGATGTCTCAAGATGGCAAGATCGCCGGTAACAGTCGTTCCCTGAGGATCAACATACACGGGTCGTTTGGTTTCATTGCCATTCATTTCCATATCTGGCTTGTCTGATATCTCGTATCGAATACCATTTTCTCCCAGGCCAAGGCGCACCCTCAGGTCTGCCACCGGGTCTCCACTCATTATCAATTGCGTCGACGATGCAGTCACAAAATTAACCACATCAAAGCCACCGCCATAGACGGTATCCCAGCTAAACTCGGACAAGCGATTCTCCTGGCCAAATGCACGAATCATTTGTTCCGTCTCTTCAGGGTTCCCGTGGACAGCGGGGCGAGCTGTGTCCCGAGACTTCCCCACCGCACCTTGGCCCCAGATCAAATCGGTGGTTGGGTGGAGGTATGTTCCGATGTGTCGAAAGGTCAGTGAGATTCGCTCACCACCATATGCTTGTTCTTCCGGGGCCTTGGTGTTCTCTTGGCGTTTATCTGGCCGGATACCATGCAGCCAGCGCATGTTGGTTTTCTGGCCGAGGATAAAAAGTGATTGATGTGGAAGTGGTACTTTCTGTGTCGTTCGGCCTGATTCTGTTTCACTCTTGCGCTCCGAGGAAGTTTTGGTGCGAAGAACCATGACTCGCTGGGCCCCTAAGCTCACATTGCAAATGGAAGAGCCTCGAACGATATCCAGCGTCTTATCAGAGTGCTCTGAGATGTTATCCTGTCCATCTCGATAGAGTTGGATCAAACAATGATTCAGTGGGTGGCCCAATATCTTCTCAACAACGATGCGAACTTCATCAACAGTGGATGTGAATGACTTCAGGGGTGGAGACTCGTCGGCGGGGTGTCGATAAATTGGAATGGCCTCATTCGGCTCGATCTGGCCCTGGACTGCGACCAGTCGTGGTACCTGGCCGGAGAGATGGTACATTTTCTGCCAAGATACCTCATTTCGGATGCGCTCGAAGGCATCTCTTGGGATATCAAGTTCTTTGACAAGACGCGAATCACCTTCGCCAATAACAGGTTCATCCGGCTTCCGTATTTTCTCTGCGGGTGGATTTGATGGGCCATCGCCTGTTTCTTCTGCAGCATCTGGAGCTGGGCGGCGCTTGGGTCGGCGCACTCGCGCGCGGACTTGCTTCTTTCCCTCGACGGGAGACCGCCCAGCCCCCGCAGCGTTTCGGTGCAGTCGACTAAGAGAAGCAATCGCTGTTATATCAAGTGCCTCTTCTGGGCCTTTTTCGTTTGTATCGTCGGGTTCATCCGCTTCCAACCCCCAAGTGTCCATGACATTCTCAAGACCTAGCGACGCACCAGCAGGCCGTTTGGGCTGTGGTGCACCCTGAGCAATAGCGTGAGTCTCCTCCCAATCCAACTCCTGGTATAACTCCTCGGCAGTCAACCCAGTTGCACCAAGGATGTCTGCCATGCGGCGCATTGCTTCACAATGGCGCCCAAACTGGCGGTATCCGAGGCAATCTTCGATTAAAGTGACCGAAAAGCCATTCCGTACGGCATCTAACGCAGTGGCGTAGACTGAGACATTCGACAAAGAACCACAGAGGTATACCTCCGTCACAAATCGAGTCCGGAATGAGAGCACGAGGTCGTTCGACTCCAGTGCGGAGTACCCAGTCTTATCCAATACTGTGTCGTGCTCCGGATTGATGGCGGCAAGAACGGGTGCGGGGAACTGAAAACCAGCAGTTTGCGCGGCACAGCAGATAGGTGACTGAGGAGACAGGAAAGCCTCAATATCGACGGGCTCTGGAGAATCGCGATCTGATGCGACTTCAATCACGTCCGTCTGGGGCATGGTATGTTTCTTGGGCGCTTCCTTTGCCAAGACGATGCGATCGCCGAAATTCCAGTCGGAGATCGACTGGGGGGCCTCATATTGTGAACGAACCCAAATCACATCACCGACTTTACGGAATGCTGCCGCGAGTGGGGGCAGGGTCTCCAGGATCTCTGCAGTATTAGGGATGTGAAGCGCTCCGGACGGGCGAACGAAGTCATTCTGAAAGTCGAGCAACAAGAGCGCCTTACGCGTCTTAATCCTGGGGATGTCATTAAATGAGAAGAAACTCATTGTATAGACATGGTCTAGCCCCAATAATTAATATGAGGGGTTTTGGAGTTGGAGAAGCGGGCTTGTTTTACTTTGGTTCCGTGGGGCGTAACTTTCAAGCGGAGGTGGACACCTCAGGCAGGAAACTAAGCACACTTTTCCACGATTTCAAAATGACTGAAAGGGTGCGAATCATCGGATTTATTTGAACTTCAAGGTGGGAATCCACCCGAGGGGTAACCCTGGGACCTTCAACGGTAGGAGTGACTGGCGCTGCCAACGAGCATGATGTCCGTCGTGTCGGGTCCATTGAGCGAGTGTCATTGGCCATGAGCCGGGGGGTGGTTCAGTCTAGAGACGTCTCTGGTAACTAGTCTACCGTATAGAAGGAATTGGGAATTCGATAGGTCTATTCACAACATGTTCTAGTTGTCAGCATACGATGCCGTGGGGAAATTGTCCTGAGGTCCAAATCCATGGGTTTCCAGGTTGCTATGGAGCACCTGAGTCATAGCAGTGGATATATCTCTCGGTGGGCACCACAGTCTCCCCGAGTTGATATCGGAGATGATTCAATGGAACATGACACAATGAGGGACACTAAGGTAGATCGTCTCGAACCTTTTGCATAGATTGGCTCATATATGAAGAATCACACTGAATAGCTCGGATGGTCCTCCAGGGCTTAATTTAGGTACGTTTAATTCATAGCTTAAATAAAATAGGCTAGGGTTAGGGACTACGTCATGGAAGCTAGCCTTGGACAATTGAGCTGCATACTTGGAATGCTAAGTCTAGTTTATTAATACTTTAGACTTAGAGATTAGGAATGTGAGTTCCCCCGGAAGATTAAACAATGTCCCCGGAATTATCTGAAAATAATTAATATCATGTCGGTGGCGATTGGCGCAGATCTGCAAACAACGTAAACACTCAACCTAGATTGTCATGGACTGCGTGCGGTGAACCATTCGGCCACAGAAAGCCAATCAGGATGGCCCCGGTGTCGGACCGGGGAGCAACAGCACCTCTCCGGAGCTCACGTGAGGTGACTCGCAGCAAAAAGTGGAGACTCGAAGCTTTCCCACCCCAACCGCTGCTGCATTTAAGTCTCCAGATTTCCTCCCCCCCAGCTCAAGATTTCTTTCTCTCTTCACTCTCCACTCCCCCAATTCACATTCACAATGGCTTCCCGTGGTCTTCCCCGTGCCCTCCGCATGGCCCGTGTGGCCGCCCCTCGCTCGGTCATCACCGCCGCCCTTCCCCGGCCTGCCCTGGCCAAGGCCGCGTCCCGTGTCATTGCCCCCATGACCCCCGTCCGTGGTATCAAGACCATTGACTTCGCTGGTGTCAAGGAGGATGTCTACGAGCGTGCCGATTGGCCCCGTGAGCGTCTCCACGAGTTCTTCAAGAACGACACCCTTGCCCTCATCGGTTACGGCTCCCAGGGTCACGGCCAGGGTCTCAACCTCCGTGACCAGGGCCTCAACGTCATTGTCGGTGTCCGCAAGGATGGTGCTTCCTGGAAGGAGGCCATCGAGGACGGCTGGGTCCCCGGCAAGAACCTGTTCGACATGAACACTGCCATCGAGAAGGGTACCATCGTCATGAACCTGCTTTCCGATGCCGCCCAGTCTGAGACTTGGCCCGCTATCAAGCCCCTCATCACCAAGGGCAAGACCCTCTACTTCTCTCACGGTTTCTCCCCCGTCTTCAAGGACCTCACCAAGGTCGAGGTCCCCACTGACGTCGATGTCATCCTCGTTGCCCCCAAGGGTTCCGGCCGTACCGTCCGCTCTCTCTACCGTGAGGGCCGTGGTATCAACTCCTCCATTGCCGTCTTCCAGGATGTCACTGGCCAGGCCAAGGAGAAGGCTATTGCCATGGGTGTTGCCGTCGGTTCCGGCTACCTCTACGAGACCACCTTTGAGAAGGAGGTCTACTCTGACCTCTACGGTGAGCGTGGTTGCTTGATGGGTGGTATCCACGGTATGTTCCTCGCTCAGTACGAGGTTCTGCGTGAGCGTGGCCACTCCCCCTCCGAGGCCTTCAACGAGACCGTTGAGGAGGCCACTCAGTCCCTGTACCCCCTCATCGGTGGTAACGGTATGGACTGGATGTACGCTGCCTGCTCCACCACTGCCCGTCGCGGTGCCCTCGACTGGTCCCCCCGCTTCAAGGATGCCCTGAAGCCCGTCTTCAACGACCTCTACAACGCCGTCAAGGACGGTTCCGAGACCCAGCGCTCCCTCGACTACAACTCCCAGCCCGACTACCGCCAGAAGTACGAGAAGGAGATGGAGGAGATCCGTGAGCTCGAGATCTGGCGCGCCGGAAAGGCTGTCCGCTCTCTCCGCCCCGAGAACCAGAAATAAATGAAATAATTATCGTGATACCCGCTTGCAGGGAGGGTTTGGATAAAAAGTTATGAATGTACTATGAACTTGTTTTTTGGGTCCGGGTATACGAATTTATCATCGCGGCACTGCCGTTTCCAAATTTCTCTCAAACCACTTCATCTTCCATCTTTCCTCTGTAAAATCGTAAACAAAGTAAAAACTGACTCAATTGAGTTAACCCCGCCTTGAAAGATTCAGCGCTGCGGAGAAATCTCCGGGGACCAGCACACCCACCATATCTCGCATCAAGCCGACTCACCCTCCTCAATCCCATACCACCATCACCAACACCAGAACCAACACCAGAACCAACACCAGAACCAAGATGCCTACTCCCTCCGAACAAGCCCAAGACCTAACCCCAGCAGCTATCCACGCAGCCTACGACCTCATAAAAACATACGTCCACCTCACCCCGCTCCTCACCTGCAAGACCCTCGACAAGATCGCCTCCACCCCACAAACCCCAGAAGCCCTCGTCGGGACCCCATTCGAAGGTCAAACCCCCGCAAAACCACAGATACGCTTCCACTTCAAATGCGAGAACCTGCAGCGCATTGGCGCGTTCAAGGCGCGGGGTGCGCACCACGCACTTCTGCGATTGATCCAGAAGCAGGGTGAGGAGGAGGTAAAGCGGCGGGGAGTCATAACGCACAGTTCTGGTATGACCTTACAACCCCTATGTTGGCTATAATCCGGCAGTGGAAACGGATCAATTGAATGGAATAGGACAGAGAGCTAATAATCGTTTCCGACAGGTAACCATGCGCAAGCCCTCGCCCTCGCTGCCTCAACACTAAACGTCCCCGCCTACATCGTCATGCCGGAGATAAGCACACCATCCAAAATCGCCGGTACACGCTCGCACGGCGCAGAGGTAACATTCAGTGGTTCAACAAGTGTAGAGCGCGAAGCTGTCGTCGCGGAGATTCAAGCCAAAACAAACGCATTCCTTATCCCACCCTACGACGACTTCAATATTATCTGCGGCCAGGGAACTACAGCTCTAGAAATGGAGAGACAGTTCGCTGAGAAGGGCAAGAGTAAGGAACTTGATGCTGTGATCACGCCTGTAGGTGGAGGTGGCTTGAACGCTGGTGTCGCGACATACTTCTCCGATAAATCTACACGAGTCTTTGGCGCCGAGCCTAGTTTCCAAGGCGCTGATGACTGTCGGCGTGGACTTGGTGCTGGGGCTCGGGTGGAGAAGGTATCGACGCTTACTATTGCCGATGGATTGCGGACGCCGGTTGGTTTGTTGAATTGGGAGGTTATATCTGATAAGCGGAAGATTGAAGGTGTGTTTTCTGTTACAGAGGAACAGATTAAGGCCGCCTTGAGGTTGGTACTTGAGCGGATGAAGGTTGTTGTTGAGCCTAGTGCTGTGGTTGGGTTGGCTGTCTGTCTTTTTGATGAAGAATTTCGGAAGCGTGTGGAGGTTGAAGGTGGGGAGAAGGGTTGGGATATTGGAATCGTGTTTAGTGGAGGTAACACGACTGTAGAGGCGATTGCGAAGTTGTATAGTTGATTTTGTTTATATACATACAGGCGTGACCAGGGCGATAGATTACATAGAGTCGTAGAGAACATAAGATATCATGTATTCGCTTTATCATGTCCAGGCAGAGGGATCTCGATGCCATTTTCTCGGACATAAAATGCAAAACTTCCATCGCCATAGGGCCGGAGGCCGTCTATAACCCGGCGAGGCCATTCCTCTTGTCTCCAGGCATTGACATAGGTCGAGAACTTGCCCTGGCGAACTGCGCTTTGCCGCATAGGAGCATCATTCCTGGCATCATGCGCACTCATCGCAGGTGGGAACGAACGAACAGCATCTCGCTGGACAACCAGACGCAGAAGGGGGAATTCACCCCACGGCGCCGGGAGAGCAGGCTGGAGAGCCGGGGTCCGAGATACAGGTGTGTCATAAGGGCCCAGAGGACCAGTTTGGTCATCTTTGATGTTCTTCGGCCGGAACCCAGTGACGGTCGTTGTGAAGACAACCGTGCAGCCAAATAGGGCCTGTAGGCGCTTCAGTTCCTTGACAATCTCAGCATAAAGATCGATGGAATGGAAGCTCTGCTTCAGCTCTCGTAATTTGTCATTCTCTTCTCGAGAACGTCCTAAATCCTCGGCTCGAGCGAGACTGTCACGCAGTTTGTCTTGCCAGATGAAGGCCGTGGCGCTGTCAATGGCAATCATCTGCAGCGGACAAGACGCAGAGTAATGACGAGAAATATCATAAAGATATGCATCCAGGCTGGCAAGTGTAGCCAGAAGCGCAGAGGATGATTGTGGACGGAAGATATGAACGTGTTTTAGCGCGGAGGAAATCATAGCTTCCACTTCATCATCAGGTATCTTTGCAGGGGGTTCATCTTCTGTAGTCTTTGAAGTATTCGAGTGCAGAGACTCCCGTGCCTGCTGTACAATTCCCCGAGCTACCATCTGCAGCCTGCATACATCAAAACAATCATCGGCATCGATGAAAACCACGGCTGAACCTTGTCCGCCGATGGGGATATTGCCATACTCGCGAGGCAAAACCGCGCGCGCGGACATGTAATACAGTAGCTGTGATTTACCAGCACCTGAAAGACTGCTGGAAATCTCTACGGTGGGTATTGGCCGCTTTCTTCGGTAGGCAGAATCCAAGAAGATGAGATTGGACTGGGCTACTTGCTCATCAAATGCGGCATCGCCGAACTCATCGGTGAAAAGCATCTCCTCGTCAGCTTCATTCGGCTCCTGTCCCTGTTCGGGTTGCTGCCCTTGCAGCAATGACGGGGGCAGATCCTGCATATTCTGGTGGTGATGATCAGGGACAGGGCCCATAGTCCTCAACATGAAGACTTCAACTAGCGCATCGAGGACTGGGACGCCTAGTGACGGTCCTTGAAATTCGTCTTCAGGATAGACATTGGCAAGATCATGTAGAAGCTTTTTCAAAGTTAGAATTTTATGACATGATATAATGTGTTAATTTTCGGTAACACATACCTCGTCCAGCCCCTCATGATGCACTTCACCTAATGCCGTCGCGCCTAAGCTGGCAGCCATAGCAGACAAATGTCCAAGATGCCAGGATCATGCATGCCTTGAGTTCATAAAACGACGAACCAAACTTAAGCAGCATGTAGCACTGCACTTCAAGACCGTGGCATGAGAAGCGTGTATTTGGCGAGATATCTGGGAGGAAGTGTAAAATCATAGCTCGGATCGGGAACTCGGAGCTCCAACTTAACTGCAAGTACTCGGACCCGCAGGAACTTTGCTTCACCCGGACCGACCACATCTACGTCGAACGCATACTCGCATCGAGCTTTACATTTCAGAACATAGAATCACCGACGACTGCTACGCACCGCACTCCTACCGTCCAAATGGCCCCCCTCGTCCCCGTCTTCTCCGCCGACACGCTCCCCGACCACGTCAACACCGTGCGCCGCAATTTCATAGAGAAGAAGCGCAAAGGCGAACCAGTCAATCTGAAGGAGTGCGCACTGCTAGAGATGATGCAGTACTCTTGCAACCCACCTTCAGAGCAGGTTCCACAACCGGGAGTGATTGTCTGCCAGCCAGTTGTACGGCTGTTTCGTCGGTGAGTGGGAGGAACGTTGCTATGCTGGAACTGGTGGCTAATTGTTTCTGATAGATGCGCTGGTGGATTGACGGTCGAGACTACATCGTGGGAACCATTGAGGGAGATTGAAGAGGCAAAGGAGAAAATGGCATCAGGGTCTAAGGCATCATAAACCTCCACAAGGCCTGGAGGTTACGAAGAATGCATTGGGTGGAGTTTAGGTTACAATTGTATTATACTTGTACATTACAGAGCGCATTGAGAATTTCAATGATTGTCATTATGACTTGCTGCCATGGGGTATCTCCTCAAGAACGACTCCTAATAAAGCGCCAGCCCATAAAAGAGCACCGAGACTAAACGCCAATATCCAAAATAATAAGATCAAACCAACCTCCCTGTCCCTGTACGTATCTTATGTGCCCATAACATTTACTGGCTCAGCGCTAGCAGAAGGCTTTGATGCTTTCTCATCCTTGCTCCGCGAACCTGTCGCCGGACGACGCCAGAAGTCCCGCTCGCAGTTGACGATAGGTCCCATTTCCAAATGCCATGACGCCTGTGAGCGAGCTTTCCCGTCTCCATCCCCTGGTTTGCCCGAGTCAATATCCATAGCAGAACCGAGCGCAGGAGCAGACGGATCTTTCTGGTCCTTTTGGAGTTTCTTCGCAAGTCCCTTAACTGTCTTCTCAAACATGGTCTCCATGCTCTCCATGCGCCGACCCCATAGCTTCTTATCCTTGCCACTTGAGCTGGTCGGATTGTCACGGAACGCGGCACTAGCCAGCTTGCGCAACGCCTCTTCACCGTGACGACCATCTTCAGCTGCACGCTCACGAATTTTGCGTGGGTCGCCGTCTCGTTCGGTGAATACTGCGGTGGCGGAGTATGTGTGTTTGCTTGGGAAGTCGGGAAAATGTTTCGGGATGTAGGAGCGGTTGGTAACAGTTTCTTCCCCGCGCAAAGCATTCAAGAATGGAAGTTTGCGCTTGAGCTCATCTTCCGGCGGAGGTGATGGGAGTAGTGTGGGGATAGGAACAACAGGTTTCGATGATTTGAGATATGGACGGAGGTCATCGGGAGACAATTTCACGCGGCCAAGAGCGTGCTCGAAGTCTGGAGGAATAGGTTGAATCCGACGAGATGCCAACATGGACTGACGAACATGTGTAGATATACGAGTCAAATCTGATTATCGGCGCATGGGTCAGTCAAATCTTCCTCAAATGCCAACCCGCTTGGTTGCTCTCATCACTACACGTACATGTATCTGCAGCGCTGCGCAAGCTGGACAACGCAGCGGGATCTGCTAGATCAAACCCTGCTTCTTTGAGGATATGGCCGATTGAACGGTTCATCAGGTGGTCGAAATGGGTCTCATCTTGTACAGCCGGCTCGGACGAAAGTGGCAGGGTGATAGGTTCCTGTAGGCGGTGATGACGATGATAATGATGTTTCGGGCGCTTGTTGTCAGCAGCTTCGAGGTGAGACGAAGAACGTTTCACTTGTAGGCTCGTCGACGCCATAGCCGTAGACGCAGCGCAGAGCAAAGCAGAAGCTGGTGAGAAGGAGCTTGCCAAGTTGTTGATCAAATCGGGGAGTGATGTGACACGTGACCAATGGTGCCCGAGATATCAGGTGTCAGTTATTCCATACTTAAGTCATATCGCGGTGAAGTGACGGTGCCAGTATTCAATTCAATTACCATAGAATATCCAGTATACAGAATCCAGAAATAATAGTCATATTCCATTGAGCATAGTAAATACAAAATCATGCCATACACCATGTCATAGGCCAAATCAAATCTTCAACCTCAATCGACCAATCCGGAGCCTCGCTTACCGCCCGAAAGCTTCAACTTCAGTTCCCGTCCACATCACCCCGACACTCTCTCCCCTCCACCTCTCCAACCCCCAACGTTCGAGGCAGGTCCCCACCAACACCTTACGCAATCAACATCGCACCGAGCATCGATTAACATTATTCTCCAGTCACAATGCCTGCCGCTATCCCCCCAATCACCGGCGTAAGTGTGCCCCTTCGTCCAGCCGGCTCGCCCCGATCGGACTGGTCGGATGAGTCGCAAAGACACAGAACGGAAGCTAACCCGCGCTACAGATGCTCCGCCGGGGTCTTGTCCTGGACCTGAGCGTCGCTTTCGGTGAGTGCTTTCAATACGCAGATTAGAGGTGGAAGTCGTTGGTCGGGTGGCATGATCCACTCGAAAACGGATCGGGTTCAACCTGCGCGATACCTGTAATTCGACTTCGATATACGCTATGGAACTGGGATTGCTGGACACAATATGCAAGGAACGACATACTAACCATGCCCTCCGACAGGCTTCGGTACTACCTTCGGCTACCTCTGGTGGTACGGTAAGTAGAGCAAATCGTTCACCCTCCTTCTCGCCAGGAATGCGTTCTAATTCTCTCTTCCATGGATACAGGCTTCCACCTTCCCCGCGTCCGTGAGCGTGATACCTTCTACGCTCGCCTCGAGGCTGAGCGCGCCGCTGGCCGCGTCTAAATTGGTCAACGATGATCATCACCTCTGAACCAATTTGGTTCGTTTCGTTTCGCCCGTCGGCATCTCCTGTTGTCAATCTCGATTTCTAAAAGACATTCAAATTCCAATATACAACCCGTTCCAAGGCAGACTAGATCCGCGGCTCTTTCGATTCGTCTCCTGTAATCTTCCATCGGGTTGAAGGTGTCGACTGTGTTCGAGGGAGGTGACGTTTTGGATCGATTGTATATATACGCCGTGATCAATTTGTTTCGTTTGATTTGTCCCAGTGGTTTGGACATGCTGCCAGTATATGGTGTTGCATGGGCAATATCACATGTTATTCTACTTTGAAGATTTGCGTAGACCTGATTGTAGGCCTAATCTATCAATAAATTGAACGCTAAGTACGCCGGTATATGTACGTCAAAAACTCCCACGGCCACCTGGACAGCGGAACCTGGGGTACTAAACCCCACTTTATCACCTTCAAGCCCCATAGATGATCTCACATGCTCGTCTGTAAGTCCCACTGGGCCATGATCAGGACATAGTAACGATGAACGACAAGGTAAGATGATAATGCGCATCGATACTTGACCACTCCGGAGAGGTCCGAAGCGATATTTTTTCGCTCTTCATTCCCACAGCAAGTAAGCAGCAAGCCCGAGCCCGTTCTATCGAAGAACACGCTCATAAGCAACACGCCGAACAGTTCCACCAGCCATCGAAGCGCGCACATTCCGCTTGAAAGCATCACGATTCGAGCGCAAATCCTCTGCAGCTTCCTTGTTAAGAGGATCCGACGCATTGGGTTCAAGGAAAAGGAACTAAAACGTCATAGTCAGCCAAGTCCATCACCACCATGGTATGCCTAGAACCAAGTATAACGAGAAAAGTATGGGTAAGCGCACCTGCATGCCAACAATAACAGCATTCAAATTAAGAACAGGCTTCCAATCCTCTCTTAGAATGTTCAAGCACACATTCCCCTCAAGATCGATATTGGGATGATAAATCTTCTGCGTACACTTGACTTTTGGCGGATCATGCGGGAAATTTTGGTTCACGGCGAACGTAAAGTTGAATAGGCCTCCTTTGTACATGCCCTCATCAGGCTCGATGCTAAGGGTGAAGTTTAGGATGTCGTCGGGGTTTGGGAAGGTCATTTTCATTGTGTTGCCGAGGGTAAGTTCTTGGAGATCTAAACCAGAAAGTTCAAGTTAGATACGGATCTTCAACAGAGAACAGAGTGTTGGTAGCATGGATTCAGATCCAGAATATAGTTCTGGGTGGGTTTGGTTTGAGGGGGTATCGACCTCGTTGCACGCGCAGTTGTGCGGCGGTGACCTTCTTCTTCTTTTTGCCTCCGCCTTCGGCATTCTCAGCTTGTTGCTGCTGCTGCTTCTTTGGGAGTGTTAGCATCTAGATCACTGTGTATAGCGTATAGCGTATAGGTTGGGCTGAGACAATTTACTTACCATGGACCAAATCTTCAACATCTTGGCTGTGAATCACCCCGCTGGTGGAGGTCGTGTGCGGGCAGGGACGGCGGTTGGAGGAAAGACAGTCCGAGTAAGAGAGTTTGAGCAGCGCTATTTTTTGTGTGCAGCCGGATTGTGCTTATATAAAAGAGATGTTAGGTGTGGCAAAGCAACTGGACTAAGTGATCAAAGCAGTCCCAACCTTGCGGGGTCCTTAGGCACGATGCTGCGGTGTTATAAAGCGGTCGCCGCCGACAGAATCTATTCTCTTAGGCTTTTTGCTTACCGCTCTATACACCGCCCTTTAGCTATAGACATGCGATACGAGAAATCAATTCAAGGCAGTCTAGCTACACAGAAGAAGTTCGACATTGATATTACGAACAATTTTTGAAAATCTGAGTATGGATTCAGATTGGGAAATTCATTGCGCCCCGAATGCATTCCTTGCATCACTTTCCGACAAAAACATCACAGTTGAAGGCTGTCGCTAACCTCCATGATCCATCACGCTACATACCGGCATCAAACCAACACAAATAACCGGGCATCTTTAGGTAGAATACATATCGCAAGAGGACAAGAAGAAATGAAGAATAAAAATCAATAAAGGGAAACATGTGCCGAGAAAAAAGGTCGTGTATCCATGGTCCATCATCTCGTCATCCTCTACCGGCGTGCGAAGCAGCACTTGATACCGGTGCGACCCAGGAACCAACAGGCTCCGGTGAAACGGAACAGGGCCATAACAGCATTAGACCACAGGAGAGCCTGGAAGAACCGGGAAGTACGGGTAGTAGCCGTGTTCTGGAGAGAATAGTTAGTACTTTAAACCATATGAACAGAGTGCACGGATCGCGGAACATACCGTAAATCCAAACTTGTCTACCGCTTCACTGGTGATACAAACAGCTAAGAAAGCATTGCTGAAGATCCAGAAGGTCACCAGGCGAGTACGGAAACTCTTGTAGGAATCTTCGAGGGACTTCTCGTCGTGGTCCACAGGGGCAACATAGGGAGTGAGGGCACGTTTCACGGTAGCCTCAAACTGGCTGTCGATATCTGCTTGGGGCTTGTCAATTTCCTCAATGACTGCATCTTTGCTGCCTTCGTCCTTGGTCGTCTTGGCAGAAGGCAAGGCATCGGCCTTGTCAGATCCCTTGGTACCCCAGGAGACATCATGCCAGTTGCTGAATGCATAGACGTTGAGAATATTGATGTAGGATGACTGCAGCACGAGATACTGGGGGAAAGAGGTAAACATGTGCCATGGATCAGCGTACATGAACGAAGCCACGAAGTAGAGACCGAAGGTTGCAGCCAACGCAATGATGATGATACCAGCACCCGAGGATCCGAAGAATGACTTCAAGAAAGCACCCACACCTTCGTTGGTCACGAAATCCATTGGTGCGCCTCCACCGAAGGCACGGATTACCAGGTATAGGGAATCAATGACGATGTAGAGCTGGATGATACCAAACGCGACAAAAGATGCAAGGTATGAGAACTTCGAACCCTTTGGACGGTTACCGAGCGCAAGGATAAACTGCAAGAGCAAAAAGCCCAAGTACACGTACTTGACGATGGTATTGACGATAGGCGTAGCGGTTTTGCCAAATGGGAAGGCAGTCTCCTTGTTGCTCTTGCTGGGAGTACCAACCAGGTCGATGATGACGGTGGTGGTGAGCCAGTAAGAAGCCAGGGAGAACCAGGTGAGGAAAGTGTTGAAGATATTGTAGAGCATCTGAATATGCAGGAAGAACATGCGGATCAAGTTATGGCCACTCTTGTACATACGACCAAAGTGCATCAACGAATAGATACCAGCCGCGAACGAACCGTTAAGCCAACGACGACGCTGCGAGATAAACTCAGCGGCACCTTCGGGCACGTCAGTCTCAGCCTTGGAGGCTTTAACATATGACAAGTGCCATTTCGAGCCTGCCTTGGCGACCAGCTCGAAACAAAGGATACGATCCTCGGCCAAAAACATGTTTTTCTTGAAAATGTTCATGCCCTCGATACCCTTTTTACCCAGTTGCTTGGACAATGTGTGATCACCGTGGAAATACTGCTCCAGAGGGCGACCCATGATCGCACGGAATCGATAAGCCGAGAACGCACCAGGTAACACACTGACATATCCGAACGAACTTTCCAGAGGCTTATCGAGGATGTTACTGATTTTGTACTCGAAGTTCTGGGCGGCCACGAGAGGATTGACTAAGTTACGCCAACCTTTGCCCAACATGGCGTGGATCTCACCACAGGCACCACCAAGATCTTTGTCGTTGTAGAAGGCCTCCCAGAGGGAAAGCAACGACTTGGGGCCAGGCTTTGTTCCCGCATCAAGTAAGATGCAGATTTCAGGATTCAAGATGCGACCGAATGCGTTAAAGAGCCAACGGTGAGAGTTGATCTTCTTGCTGTTCTTTTGTTTAAGACAAAACATCATTTGCACCGGAGGCAAAGTCGAAGGGCCATCCTCTGTAGGCCGAATAAGCTGCTGGCTTGGTGTTACCGATAGCTGGGTAGTATATTCGAACTAAAAAATGTCAGCAGGCCAATCTCTCCCTATTTCACGATTTTCAGCCACATACAACATGCGCTACTGTCTCCTTTCCATCAACATCGCGCTTCATAACACCATCCTGGTAAATACCAACGGTTGCGAGGACATCCAAGACATCCTTGTCGCAAGGATCAATACCATCAAAGACGAGGCATACAACGATCTTCTGCCAAGCAGGCCCACCCTTGTTCCAGAACTCAGACTTCTTCAGGTTGACAATATCGCGAATGTTCTGCATCACACCGTGCAAGGTACGCGCAGTCAATGTCTTATCCTCGTTGTAATAGGTAATCGCAATCAGCAGCTCAGTATGGCGATTATACATGGCTGGACGCAGGTTGTAGCCATTGTGGAGCGTAAATTCGTTCGGATCGCAAGTCGCCGCGGTATCTGATTGAAGATCTCGTTAGTTTCCTGTCCCTGTTCCAAGCAAAGTCGCTTCCTCCGTCACGTACATCGCATGTGGGTAAACTCCTCACTGCCGCCTTCAAGGTCGTTGCGGTATTTGGCCTGGATGGCGTTCTGGATGGCGCTTGGAACCGGATAATCGACACTCAGGACGGAACCCTGAACCAGCTTCACCTTACGAGTGGCATAACGGCGCAAGGCACCACCACCATTTCCACCTCCGGGAGCTTGACGCTGGCGCCAGGCCTCGGTGGATGAGGTTTCACTGCGAGCATAGGGCGATTCAACTCGAGCTGGTACCCCAAAAGCGGTTGCGGGGTTCTCTGTACCCACGCTGTAGGGGTCGTGGTATGCTGGCGCGGCGTCTGTAGCGTAGGTTTCGGTCAAGCTGTAACCAGAGGCGGGGCGGATGGGCGACTGCCCTCGGATGGGAGACTGGCCGCGCGAGTGTGGGTCATCAAAGGGTGTCGCAAATGGACCCTGTTGGCTGGACAATAGTCCTCGCGATGCATCCTCATCTTCACGATACTGTGCAGGTCACGCGTTAGTTTGTTGATCGCAAAGGATATGTTTGATCTAGCCCTGGATTAAGAGGAGATCATACCTGTGAAGAGGGTACATCCTGCAAACGAGTTTCTTCGTAACCCGCCGAGTGCGTGTGCGCGTCTGACCCTTGGTAGGCCATGTTGAAAGCGCGCAAATCAAAGAGTGATTAAAATGGAGTACAGGAAGAAATCAGAAAGAGGGGTATCGAGAAACAAGGGACTCTTGCAATCCAAAATCCACCGATGAAGCCGCCAGGGCCTTGCAGATTACCCAGACTGAGTCTGGTAAAGGAAAGCAATAACAAAGCTGGGGAAGGAGGACTGGTTCCACGGGTCCCAGCACAACTCCGGAATGTTATGATGGAAGGGGTGTGAGAGATGGGAAACGAGAGAGGGGCTGGTAGGAAAAACAAGAGAAGAAAGGAAGAAAAAAGGAGTCTGCAGGTCAGAGAGCGTGATCGTATTATTCTGTAAGAGGGCAAAAATAGATCATCTCTAATCCCATCCAGGCTAGCCCAACCTTGTTCTTCTGGGGAAATCCGGTATCCACGTATGAGCTGTAATATTGTCTCTCTCTCTATTCCTGATTGCTTGGATTATTTAGCCTATGCAACACTACGCATATCTCATCCCTTGAAAGTTGAGGTATCGAACTGGTATGGAGTACTCGATTATGGGTCCCTGTCAGGGTCAATAGGGTCAAATAGGGTCACTCTAAGGGTCAAACTAGGGACAGATCAGGGACAAATCAGGGACCAGGGTCCTGTCTTGGCATTAACGCTTGGGCTGGAATTCTGTATTTTTACAAGTGTTACCGCGTTATGATGATGCATGTATCACAATATCCATTACTATGAGTCTATTCGTCCTAGCTTATCGATCATGCCCAGTCTTTCTTTAACTTCTGCGTTGGCAAACTCGAATTTTTTCGCTGTTGCTACCTTATCCTAGTTTATTTTGGTGCTTCTCCAGATCACCCGCACACTTAACTAATTCCAGCAAGTGGTCCCACTTTGAGTCTCGACTCCAATCAACGGACTCCACTGGTGAAACACGGTTCAAAGTGGACTGACCGCATTCCAACATTCCTGAGTTGAACGTTGATACTACCAGTCCCATAGGTATGATATCGTTGGTATGTGCCGCACGGCTCGGGAGAGCATGCATAATTGATGCCGGGTACGCCACCCTATCATGTATCCCGACCCGTGCCGGAGATGGATAGATCTGTTCGTCCAGTGAGTACCTGCACTCTGTACAGTACGATGGAGTCTTGTACGGTGGCAATGTCCCTTGATTGTACAGATGGAGAGCACTGGACTTGGGGTGGATCGGCAGTCATGTGACCTCTAACATGATTAATTAAGGGCTGCGCCTCCCGTGTCTCAGCGTCCCTCCTCAAATCTTACTCAGTTTCTAAGCCGTCATCCTTGGCACATGAGATTCTCCGATATGTATGGAGTATCGAATCTTGAAGTTTCCCTGCAAGGCTGGGATCGGAACAAATCGAATCTTCTGTAGTAGGTAAATTAACTCCAGCCTCAAATTGCCCCTGGTTCCCTTTGTCTTCAGCCTCATATCCTATTTTTAGTCCTTACTCTCACATTGTATTGTCAGACTACAATTTAACTTTCCTCAACTCTGACGGTTCTTTGAGATGAAAAAATCAAAAATTGTTGCTAATTATGTGTATTGATCTGTGCTTGATGCTTAGCCAATCATCAAGTTCCACTCGGACGTAATTTCCCGGCCCGACAATGATCCGATTCTAGACCGTAGTAATACGTAGGACGGGTCAAGTTCAGGTACACTGAACATCTAGTCAAGGCACTCTGCAAGGTGCCGCAAAAAGGGGGTTGAAACATGATATATCATGATCTTTGTACAATTGAATCACCGCATTTTCAGGCATATAATAATCTTTCTTGATCTCGGTTTTATCTTTTTCCCCGATCGCTAAATTAATCTAGCCTAATCCCCGCTCATCTTGCGTGTAGAGTGGAACCCAAGCCTCTCACGCTCAGGCCGCCCGTGACTTGAACTCTCCCAGGAGAACGTTCTCCTCTTTCTCTCCTCCTTCATCCCTCTATATCCCGATCCGATCTCAACGGGTTACTCCATCATTTATCAGTTTGGATCATGTTCGGCGTCAGTCCTTGATCAGATCCATTCTCTCACACTCGTTTTGGATTACGTCCACCCATCAACAAACAATCCCTGCTTCTTTTTTTTTGAGTTAGATCTTTGTCTTTCATGATTTAGCCTTTGACGCTCACGACTTGACGCCGTTTGAGCCTCCCACACTCCTTTTCTGCTCGAACTTCCATCTGCACATTCGTTTGAACCGTTGACCGGTCGACTGTTGATACCACCCCTTTTCGCATCCGATTCTATCCGCCCATCATGTCCTTCCACATCGATTCCAACACCTTCTCGGAATTCCAACCGTCCCATTCTCTCTTCAAGCGCTGCGTATCATGCTCTGATACCTCCCCCACCTGCCCATCATGCGCGACTGGCTACACATGTAGCATGTCCAGTCAGTCCTGCGACTCCTGTGCCACCACAAAATGTATTGCATCGACCTCTGGGAGTTCAACGCCAGCACCATCGGGTGGCTCCAACACGGGTGCGATCGCAGGTGGTGTCGTTGGTGGTATTGCCGGTCTGGCCCTGATCCTCTTCCTGATCTATTGGTTCGCCATTCGGAAGAAGCGCCAGGAGCGCGCCGAACAACAAGAGAAGAGCAGCCAATTCAACGCTGCCCGCTCTGAGCGCCAGTCCACCCAGTCCATTGCCTCCACCGTCCTCACTCGTGCCTCCAACGTCATTCAAATCGCCTATATCCCTGGTGTCACCAACCGCTCACCTCCAGAGACCCCGGCCACCCTGGTTCCCCCGGTTCCTCCATTGCCCGGTGCTCACCCTGACCAACACTTCTTCATGCCCGGTGACTTGCGAGACTCCACCTGGACCACCATGACCGGTCATCAGAGCATGGCGAACACCCTACGAAGCAGCGTTGCGACTACTATCTACCGAAACGATGCCATTGTCAGCGCCGTCCCCGCCCAACAGATCAGCCGAACACGCGCCAATATCGTCAGTGTCCACTCTGGTCCCGAATCTGGCACCTCCTCTCCCAGTGGCCAAGGTACACCGGTGGTGATCACACCATCCGATGCCCCGGCTGTGCCCGCCATTACCTCTGCCCAACTCGCCAAGGCTGGGGCCCTCCAAGCCGGCAACTCCCCCAACACCTCTTCTTCTATTGTCGCCCGCACCGTCATGGCCAAGCCAGTCATGGTCCGTGGTCCGTCATTGAAGAAGAAGGATGGAGCCAATGTAACCAGTGCCAAGGAAGTCACCATCTCCGAAAAGCCCATGACATCTGCCTCTGCCAACAGCAGCAACCAACAATTCGATCACCAAACCTCCACCTTTGACGGTAACTCCTCCGATGAAGACGATGATACGATGCCCTCCAGCCCCTCCCACTCCACAAATACCGCCAAGAAAATTCCTTCTATCTCCATCATTGAGGTCGACGAGTCTCCTTCTCAGACCTCAGAGACCAGCCCTTTCCACGACAGCTCGAGTGCAACTCCCTCGACTGGCCCCGCCAAGCGCAGCTCCAGACACACAGACCGGATGCCGCCCGCGCGCGTGGAGAGTCCATTCTCCGATGTAAATGAAGTGAAATGAGCTGAGCGTGTATTTTGAGATTATAGAGTTGGGTTTGTTTGGGTTTGTTCCTGGTTTCATTTCCTTGTGGATCTTGATGTGTTATTCTCCTTGTGTTTGATTTTATATACTTCTCTGTACTTATGGATCCCTTGTGTGTGGTACATTTTCATCATGGGCGTCGGTTCGTTTTATCTGGGTGCTCTGTACAGCGAGAATGCACCCAGAAAGCGGAAGCAGAAGTGGAAACACTCAATCGAAGTCAACTTATATGTTCATATTTTATACATTGTAATCTTAGCAAGTTGCATATCCCCTATTTAGTCAGGCTTTGGCTATCAAACATTTGAACTTGACCATGGTTTTGAACGACATCAGCTAAAAGTATCTACATCAGAAGGAAGGTTATAGGTATGATTCATATCTGGTATTGATCTACCTAGACTATCATAATTATTAGGACGTCATGACACTTCCAATTCTAGGTCGTTGTACTGTACTGGAATTTTTTACTCCTTTTAAGGTTCCAAGTTCCCAGGATTGTTTCGTGGTGCCCAGATGGATGTCCGTTATATATCGTGACGGGAGTGACCCATGGGTGTGTTACACAACCCATAAACCTTAAATTCATGTATCCTGGAACAACCTTGAAAACTTGATTCTTTAGATAGACACCTGATTACTTGAACAGATATAGGTATACCTATGTATATAGTGGACAGATAAGAAGGAGTGTGCAATCTAATATGTGCATACACGCTGCAAAGGTGCAGCAACCTCGGGAGTGACTCAAGTATTAGCGATGCGAGCAGGTTTCGCCTAGATTTGCTTGAATAATGACCTTATCTGCGATGGTGGCACCGATGTCTGCATTCTATCTGGCCTTAAGCCGTTCAAGATAAAAGCTGAAAACGTCGTCTTCTCCGTTTCGGAGATTGAGTCCCTTATCCATGGGCCACTGCCTTCCAATGAAATGATGACAAAGAAAGACAACTTGGAAGGTTGGCGATAAGGCCTCTTTGTCTCTCGTGAAAACCTTCCATTTCTCTAGAATGTCTAATCTGTTTATCTAGGTAAGCTGCTCGGACTTCGTACCCATATAGGCAAGTATGTGCTCACCACTGCGCAGGTGTACGAGGTCCCGTTTATCCCTTCACTGCTCTCAATTTCCAAGCTCCAACCACCTTTGTCTTTATCTACCCCGGATATAAATGCATCCATGGTTTTATCAGCCACATCTTACATTGAAGCCGAATAGGCGTGGAGCCCAGGGGCATCTCATCTTACTACGAAGCACGGGCCCTCTGTAGCATTCCTCATATCGAACATGGAGGCATGAGGCTGGGCCAGAGAGGTCCATTCCAAGGACTTCGATCCCCAGCCACTTTGGATATAGTACCTTTCTCATTGCCGCACATTGCTCGCTATCTGAAGCCCGATTTTTCAAATGCGCGCGTAGCCCAGACCGATACTGCGCGTGGCGACCCCCGTTTTCATACACAGAGGCCTGGCTATGCAGTCTAGCCCCAAGATGTGCTAACATGCGGGGAAAGGCTCAGGATCCACTTAATACAAGGTAAGTGGGAGGGAGACGATTTATTGATACGCCGGTTAGACTTGCCTGACTTTCTGATAAAAAGATAACACCCCGAAAGCATATACATCTTGAACCTCATTGACTCAGGTTGGCATGATACCGGAATAAGAACGGAAAAGCGACAGATGCCACATATTTATACACAGTCTTTTGTCCCCCATACGCATTCTCAATTTAGCCTCCCTAACCGCCAAAATGGGTACGTCTTTCGACAAACAGCCCAAGACAACGTTGTCAATAGACCCCGAGTCATTGCCTCTCGAGGGCCAAATCATAGATAAACCCCAAGGTCAAACACGACGAGGAATCAATTCACGACATGCTCAGATGTTGGCTATCGGTGGTGCCATCGGTACAAGTCTTTTTGTTGGCACAGGCGAAGCCCTAGCCCTCGCGGGCCCAGCATTACTTCTAATCGCCTACATCATAATCTGCATCCTCGTCTACGGCGTATTGACAGCGACATGCGAAATGAATACATTCCTACCAATCTCCGGTGCATCACCAGCGTACTATGCTGCCCAATTTATATCACCTAGCATAGGCTTTGCGCTAGGATGGCTATACTGGTACTCATTTGGAATAATCGTCGCCTACGAAATCACAGCCGCGGCGATCGTCATCAACTACTGGCCCAACTCAGTCCCCATCGCGGCCTTCATAACTATAATGTTAGTCGTCATCTTGGCCCTCAACTTTGCTCCGGTCAGAGTCTACGGCGAGACCGAATTCTGGTTCGCGTCCTTGAAAGTCATTATGATCCTCGGCCTGTTCGTTCTTTCCTTTATTCTTTTTTGGGGAGGTGGACCAGATCGCCAAAAACTGGGCTTCCACTACTGGAAAGATCCAGGTGCAATGAAGCCCTACCTCGTCAGCGGAGATAAAGGCCGCTTCTGCGCTTTTCTCTACGTGCTATGCTACTCCGTTTTCTCATTCAACTTCACGCCTGAATTGATCGTCATCGCCTCAGGCGAGATGAAAAGCCCACGAAAGAATATTCCTCGCGCAGCGAAGATGTGCTTCTGGCGACTATTGATCTTCTACATCGGTTCCATCTTGGCGATGGGTATTATCTGCCCAAGCGATGCATCTGGCCTAACGAACGGCTCCGGCGTCGCAGCTTCGCCATTCGTGATCGCCATCAAGACAGCCGGGATCCATGGTCTCGACAGCGTGATCAATGCTGTGATCATCACATCAGCATTGTCATCTGGCAACTCCTACCTTTACATGTCCAGCCGCTCACTCTACTCCCTAGCTATTGCGGGTAGAGCACCAAAGATCTTCACAAGATGCAACAGCTACGGACTCCCCTATTACGCCGTGATGGCGAGCTCTCTTTTCGCCTTCCTTGCATACATGAACTGCGCAAGTAGCCCAGCTACAGTGTTCAACTGGTTCGTCAGCGTAACCAACACCGCAGGATTTATCTCGTGGATCTGTTGCTGTGTTATGTTTCATCGATTCCGGAAAGCATGCCGACTTGCTTCCATTAAACCGAGCGATCTGCATTATACTTCTCGGGTTCAGCCCTATCTCGGATGGGTTGCGACTGTGATATTTCCCATTTTATTACTGTGTAATGGATTCTATGTGTTCTTCCCGGGACATTGGTCTGTGACAGACTTCTTGGTCGCATATATCGGGATCTTCGTCTTTTTGGCCATTTATCTTGTTCATCGTTTGCTGCATTGGGAAGATGCTTGGATGATCAAGGCCGAGGATATTGATTTGACATTAGGATTGGAGGAGGTTGAGGCGCTTGAATTTGAAGAACCTCAAAGGATGCCCAAGGAGAGGTCGAAAGCGAGTAAGATCCTTCGGCTATTATGGGAATGAACATACAATATAAAGCCTATCATACATACAAACCAAAATTTTATTATGATCGTTCAAATTTTATGATCAGAAGTAGAGGCAGAAGCAGTATGGCCAGCAGTATAGAATGAAGTAGTCTAACCTGTTTCTATCGTGCTGGTAATAAGTTCCAAAAAGGGTATCTACAAAAGCTCTCAGTTATACACAGAAAGGAAGAGCTTCATTATGAAACGGAAGTCTCCAATCCCATCCCACGTCCAATCTTAGTGATCAGTGCTCGCTTCAAGAATGCCTCACGCGCAAGACCGCGTGTTTGACGAGACCAAGAATCCACCCCAATAACGCCACGTACGAGAGCAGCCTGCAGCGCATAAAGCGCATGCTGGATACCCTCTTCTTCCGCAACGAGATCATAAAGCTGTTTCCCGACGACTGTGGGGGCAACCAAGACCTCGTCGATGGGTGGGAGGCCAGACGGAGGATCTGAGGGTCCAGCTGCAGTAGATGCTGACGGGGTAGCGGACGATACTGCGCGGGCCTGGGCACCTGCGATTGTGGCATCTGCACGATGGATAGATTGCTGGAGGATGGCGGTGTTGGATTGGAGAGTTGCTTGTAAGGCGTTGAGGGCGGACACTTCGTTTTGCAGGGTTGCCATTGCTGCATGCAGGGAGTGGGATTGCGAGACTAGGGAGTGTGTTGCTGCATCGGATTGCGTGGCTTGATTTGCTAAGGTCTCGGCCAGTGTTCTAGAGACAGCCTGTAGGAGAGCATCCTTTTCTGGGTTTGGTGGGATTGGAGGAGCTGGTCCTGTGGGTGCAAATGATGGGAGCCCGATTTCAAAGGGAGACGTAAGAAGGTCTGGTGCCTGGGTCTTTGGAGCAGGTGCTGCTGGAGGCGGATGTGGGTAATTTGATGGATAAGGAGAGTTTTGTGGGTATGGGGGCCCAGGTGGTGGTGGTTGCTGTTGTGAGAGAGGGTGTTGAGGCTGATAACCCGGGTATTGAGACTGTGATGCTTGGGGAGGATATTGGTGAGGAGCTTGCTGTGGAATCGGCGGAGCCTGTGTGCCATGTGGCCCAGCTTGACGAGCATAGGGTGGTTGTTGAGGTCCATTGAAACCGGCGTTTCTATTGTATGTTGGGCTCTGGGGTACCGGAGACATGGTGTGCCCCGTAGATTGCGAAGCTGGGTATTGTGATGGCGCATACTGCTGAGGTACCTGGCTTCCAGAGCCTGCTACTCCCATGGGGATTGACGACGCTCGTCTAGGGTCATATCCCTTCGGAGGCAGCGGTGGCAGCGGTGGAGGGGATCGGTACCGTTCTGCCAACTGGGCTGGCGATTGTTGATGCGTGGGAACCGACCCAGGTTTCGGAGGGAGCTGTGGAGGGGATTGGGTCTGAACTATTGGGCGAGGAGATTGTGCCTGGACCGCAGCTTGCGAGGGCCCCATCCCAGGTGGAAGAGGTGGTACCGGCGGGGGAGATTGTGTCTGCGCCTGTTGGGGTTGCTGAGGTGGCATCTGTTGACGATAGCGAACGGGAGGCTCCTTGGCAAATACATCACGGAGAATTGACAAAAAGTCGACAAGTGTTGATTTCTATTTCATGCGACATGTCAGTGAATGTTCACGGTCCCGTGGGGCGCAATTGCTTACATCCCAGGCTTCAGCCCAATGCGCAAGATAGTGATGATACACCCGCCCCTCGAGTGTGACATGTTGGCCAACACGGACTGTCATATCTTGGGGTGGTGTCACATATACCATGGGCGGTTCGCGCGGGTACGTATTTGGGATCCAAATAGCGACAGGGAACCGGTATGTTGTCCCTCGGAAGACCGTAGGCAGCGTGCCGACAAGGTGGAGAAGAAGGGCAGAGAAGCCATTCTCGTAGGCTAAAGACGGATATCGTTAGCACGCAATGCCAGATACCGTGGAATTGAGTGGCAACTCACTATAAACATCAGTGCGAGGGGAGAGCGAGGGGTACTGAGCAAGCGTGTTGACAACATCGTGGTAGGCTCGATTAGGGTCGTGGTAGGTCTGTTTGGGGTCGTAGTGATCCTAATTAAGTGTTAGATAGCTTTTGTAAGCCCTTGAGAAGCTGCGGACCTTGGTCAAGGCTGAATATAACCAGTTGAGTGTCCGCTGAGGGACTGCCATGTCGAAAGGCTGGGATGGTGGAACGGGAGTTTCGCGGTGCGGAGGACATTCACTTCCCCGCTCCCTGCCAAGCTTCCGCCATGACATACAACTGCACAAAAAAAAAAAATTGTCTTTCAGCAACATGAAATTGCTGCTGCTATTGGAAATGGAAGCCATTCGTGAGGCATTTCAATCAGGCCCAAAGTCTACTTTATTCGCACTGATTAACTTTCGTGTAATGTTTCACTTTGACAAGAGTAATATTATAGACCTACTTAATCCACTATTGACAGTTCTGAGCTGCAAACCCGGGACTGGACAGGCCTACTGGCTACTTTGATGCCTGGAGCATAGGGCTCCAATATTTGGCATCCCCAGGGGCAAAGTCACGTTTCAACAATACCCCTGAGTCCTTTCCTCTTAATATTCCTCGACCTTCAATTTTTGTTTGGCACCACCTCGAAATACCATATAATTGCTGCTACTACTCGATCAGCCACCCGTGCCAGTGTAATGAAGCCTAAGAAGAACGCAAGGGAACGCCCAAAGAAACAGAACCACTTGCACGCCGTTAACAACACTATCGCGAGGTTGAATGGCAAGAATTCATCTCCAGCGAAAACACCACCTGGATATTTGTAATAGATGTCGCTTAAAGATCTATCTAATGGTGCTATCCCTAATATCGACGAAATCTTTGCTATCCTCTAAGAAGTATAAAATCTCCACGTATATATTAGTATATCCTATCTTAGTATAGAAAGGACTATGATATATAAAAACTCTATAATACTATGACCGTTTATATTTTATTACTTTTTCCATATGCAGTATATATAAGAAACCTTAACTATATAGTAAAGTTGCTGCATAATCAAAATAGGCGCATTCCATAATGGTCCCAAGGTCCAGGAGATGACATCAGACTTATTGGCCTAAGGGGCTGTGGAAGATTAGGTTATATCAGTTTTCGCCACAACTCGCCCGTCAATGCTATTGTAACCTTAGAATGGAGCACGTCATGAGAGATCGAACCTCCCATATAGGTCTAAATGTGTCAATTGTTGAATGGGTCTTGCGACGAATGAGCAACTTTGCATCCCCAAAACGAATCGTTGCTCTCGAACGACGGTATGGAGACTTCTCTATAATGACGCAAAGTTAAGCTTCTCCATAGAGTTCTGACAAATGTATCTTCCTAATAGATTGCATATTTCTCTTCAACAGAGAAGTGTGCGAGAGATCCAAGGATCACTAAAAATATAAATCTCATAGTGTCGTCTGACATCCTCCAAATGACCGAAACGGGAAAATGCCAAATACTTGTAGAGAAGCGTATGATCTTGCTGAATGGCCTGGCCGACCAGTCATGGCCCATTTTAATTAGTCAGTGGATGCCTGGTTTATGAAACTCGGTCGAAGCCAATGCCAATACGGAAGTTTCAATATGGCCCAGACCGCAGAGAAGTGTGCTGACCGATTATAAATATTGCTATCCGTCACTTGGAATGAAGGGAATGACAATAAAGAACAAGAAATAAATTTGGAGTCACGCAAATTCCTCGGTTGCAAAATGACATCGAACGGTTCGTTCACCAATGGTGCTGATCCCCAAAGCCTCACCTTTCAAACCAAGCTTTTCATCGGTAACAAGGTACGTTACATGAAGCACTGCCTTCTGGACGAAAGCCCCTTCTAACTGTGCAAATGCACAGTGTTGCCCTGGTCCCTTTTTCTTTTTGCAAAGTAGCTTACCATCGTCCTCAGTACGTCCCTACCAAATCCGGCCAGTTTTGGACGGTTCGAAACCCGACCGATGACTCTGTTGTCACAGAAGAGGTCCACTGTGCCGGGGAAGAGGACGTTGATGATGCAGTGGCAGCAGCCAAACATGCGTTCGAAGAGACTTGGGGTAAGATGGCCAGCAGCGAGCGTCAAAAAAGAATGCTCAAACTTGCCGATCTACTCGATAGAGATTATCTTACCCTTGTGAAGCTCGAAAGCATTGCAATGGGACAGCCACTTGCCTTTGGCGCTGTACTCGGGGGACGCCTGGGATCCATGGTCCGGTATTATGCCGGGTGGTGCGATAAGCTTCCAGGAGAGCTACAGCCCGAGGATGGTGATGGTCGATTCAAACTGGTACGCTACCAGCCTTTGGGTGTCTGCGCTGGTATTGCTGCATGGAATGCCACCCTGGCTTTCTTCTGCATGAAAACCATGCCCGCTATTGCAGCTGGAAACACATACATATTCAAATCTTCAGAAAAATCACCTCTAGGGTCCCTGGCCCTCGGGGAATTAGTCAAAGAAGCCGGTTTCCCTCCAGGGGTTATCAATATCATATCAGGTCCTGGGTCGACAGGGGCGCTACTTGCTTCCCATATGGACATCAAAAAGATTAGCTACACAGGCTCCGTGAATGCCGGACGCAAAGTCCAAGTCGCTGCAACAAATAGTAACCTTAAACGCGTTACTCTCGAACTTGGAGGTAAATCGCCGTCGATCATCTTTTCTGATGCGGATCTGGAAAACGCCCTTGAGAATTCCTCTCAGAACTTTCTGCTTAACTCCGGTCAGATCTGCGTTGCTGCGACAAGGCTTTTCATCCATGAAGATATCTCCGAAAGATTTGCGAAAGAGCTGAAGGCTCGCTTCGAGATGTTTAAAAATACTATGGGAGAACCTCTGGCAGAAAAGACATTCCTTGGCCCACTGGCCGATAAGGCGCAGACAGAGCGCGTCCAGGCTTTCTTCAAGCAAGGTAATAAAGATGGTGTTGAGTTCCTCACAGGTGGGAAAATTAATGGTAATTTCGTCGAACCAACGATAATGAAGAACCCTCCACTTGACTCGTCTGTCTGGAAGGAAGAGATATTTGGTCCGGCTTTGGGAATCAGAACCTTCAAATCCGAAGAAGAGGCCATTCGACTTGCAAACGACACCAGCTATGGCTTATCTGCCTGCGTCTACACAAGTGATATTGCGCGTGCACTGAGAGTTTCTGGACTACTCGAGGCTGGAACGGTGGCCATCAACTCCAACTACATGCCAGGAGCTACCGTCCCGTTTGGAGGGTGGAAAGAAAGCGGGAACGGGGGACGTGAGGGTGGATTCGCGGCTATAAAAAGCTATCTGGAAGCCAAAACCATCACCATCAATATGGATGTTGGACCCAGATAGGTATTTGAACTGGGGACTAGAGTCGCATATTTCTATCTTTGGAAAATGCATCAAAAAACGAAATCAACTCCGTTGTTCTCTCCGATTTTATAGAAGAGCTTCTTCGCTTTATGGTTCTAACACAGGCCATGGTAAATTGCTAATAACATGGTTGCTAAGGAAATGTTAAGTCATTTATAGTTATTTGTCTACTCTAAACATGTACTACTAGCCCTAAGCAGATTATCGGTCATGGGTAACACCATAGATCCACTAAGACTATATACAGGAAGTGTATGTAACCAACAAGGGTATGTCCCTTTAGAGACCAATACCGTCCACAGGTAAGGGTGCATCCATATATAGGGGAAAGAAGTAGGGTGGAGACTAGTCGCAAAGCCCCAGTTAGATAGGACCAATCCCCTCAACTCGATATTTCTGGTATGCACCTTCTCGCCATAGTTAATCTCCACAATCAGGGCATAGGGGGTGCCATCGGCCTTGGAATGATACATAGCTCCCCTAACAAAAGTCATAGATATGATAATAGAAACATTAAGAGTAGAAATTGACGCGAAAGAGCCGTTAGGAAGATATCGGCCTGAAAAAAAATTCTACCTTACCCCAGCCAACCGACAAGTCCCTTGAAACATCCTCTCCAACATCGACCTCATAATCTCGACATCCACAGACTCATGTTCCCAGAACCTCAAAATCCGAATACCAAGCCGCACAAGCGCACCCCAATTCCCAGGCGGTCTCAAAGCCCAGCCTCCAGGATTCGGGCTCCGCGAGATAGGCACGTTGCTTAGTACAGCACCAAGAATTTGGATACCGCAAGAGAACACAGCCCGCACGACATTATGGACCCATTCGTGGCGGAAATGGTACCAGCAATTTGGGAGGAGAATGACGCAGTTATCGATTGCTCTCTGGGCTTGGATGAACACTGCTTCGGAGATTTGGGGGTCCGCTTGCACCCAGCTTGGGAGGGATTGGAAGTGGATTGCAAGGTAGAGGACTGGGCGGTAGATCTTCTCGCATGCGACGTGGTAACGACCTAACAGGAAAAATTCAAGGTCTTGGTTAGCTGTGGATGGTGACGGGAGGCTGCTTTGGCACATTTGATGCCTTCATTTTGTTAGTAAGTAGAAATTATGGACGGAAAATTAGCAGGAAGGGATAGGTGTACCAGGTTGTGACTACTTTCACAGCCTCAGAGGTTCGTTCGACAACACCACTGACATTGTTTACCCATCCTTCCTCGCCATTCCGCCACATATCAACTAACATATCATTGACGGTGCGACGATTGCAAATAGTTCCAACGTAGAATTTCCAGCCCATTTCCTCGTCGGTGCCACTGTGATCACCCAATATACCCATATGGGCTTCATTCTCACCACCCATGTGCTCTGGGGAAGATGAAGATGTTGGGAAAGGGAAAGTTGGGAATGAGTCCGAAAATCCTAATCTTTCAAGGCGACTACTCCACAGAGGCAATTCACCTTGCATTTCGCTATTGAATGCGATTAGTATTTAGAAACAAGTACCCCTCTCAAAGTACATACTATTCAGCTTGGATACAAGACCAGTATAGCCTAGACTCCAAGTTATGGTAGTTGGAATCTGCCCTCCACTGCTCTCTGCATAATGACCGCAGTCGAACTTCTAGTCTGCATGATGCTTGCTGAAAGCAGAACCACGCTTCCAACGGACGCATAACATGCCTGTGGTAAAATCCAGCTAAGAGAAAGCACTGGATATCCGTCGTAGATGCATGTAGTGACCCAAACCGCTGCTTTGCAGCGTGGAAGTAGGCCTCTGCCCGGCCAATATCAGCGTCAGATGGAGGTGGTCCAGGAATGAGATCTAGATCTTCGGGAATCTCCCCCAGCGGTATAAATGTAGATGTGGAATAGGCTAGAGCACACGCAAGAAGCTACCAAAGAGATTAGTCCCCAATGAAGGGCAAAGAACCCAGCCTTTGAATATAAAGCGTACCACCAGACAAGCCGGACCGTCCCACCCTAATCCCTGGATGGTCACCTCACGGGCATAGCGCTCGAGGTTTTCTATATCCACTACGGGATTCCGCCGATGTACTAACCGGAGATATTTCCGACATAGACGTTGAATATCGTCCACAAGTGGGCCAACCCCCAACATCTGGGGAGGTGAAGTTCCCGATTTGGAATGAGAATTCAGAGAATCGAGCAGAAAGGATCGAATGTGTTTCTCAGCATCTGTGACGACCTTATCATAGATCGGCCAACGGAGCATAAGCTCTGCGGAACTAGCCGCATATAGTAAGTCGGGATCGTGCTCACAAGCACGATAGTCACCATTGGAGCTACTGCCGCGTGAACTATGTATTCCTGCAAGCCCCATATCAGCCAGTGGACTGGGGTTCTGGGCAGTCAATCCGAGCAAGGAGCTCCGGAGCGAACGAGCCGAGGAACCGCCCGGAGAACTGTCATTTTTGATATCTTCCAGCAGCGAGGAAATATGATTAAGCTGTTGCAGGATCTCCTGATTGGACGAATCGTACCCAGATCTACGGGACAGGAGAAAATGTTTCAGTCTCGGACTCGCTTCACAAGGCCATTTTGCAAGGCCCGTAAGAAAGGTAACCAAGCCACTTGACTTACTGGCTAGGGCGTGGGGACGTCTCAGGATAGATGCAATCTACCCCTTGCAGAGCACAATAGCTACATGTGGGCCTGTTATTGTCGCACCGGGTCTTGCGTAGACGACATGTCTGACAGGCCGTCGGAGCGCGTGTCCGACTCTCGCGCTTCTTTGCCAACCTCAAATCGACAGGTTCCATGACACTCACTGTAAAGTAGCCTTGCTTTCGGTATAGGCAATATTTGGCCCGAGAGCTTCGGGGAGCCTCGGGGAGTTAGTCGAGAAAAGGAATATAAAAGTGCAACCCGTGGGACGGGGAAGCCGTAATTAGAGGAGATTAGAAGAGTGTCAAAGACCTATGCAGCAGCCCCAACAGACTAGTAGGGAAACAAAGAAACGGCGATGTCGAGGGCGGTCCGGCAAATCTTCACCGATGAGGGTTAGGGTGTTCGTCCCGAACAAAGAACTCGAGGGTGGATGCCTGCAACCCTCCCATGTCCTGACCAGGATTGCTGTAGTACCTGATTGGCTTGCGAGTATGACTTGATCGCCCCTCGACAAGCCCCAAAGATGGTGAAAGCCATGGAACTAGGGAACTGCTGCCGGTTTGATGCAGGCGAAACGTGGCCAATCGACAGACCTCCACCATTGATGCAGTGCCTCACTGGAGTTTTGCTGGAGTTTTGCGGATAAGGAAAGTGCATGTCATGTACGTGCAGGGATGTGCTGTTGGAAAGCTGCAATTGCTCATCATGCGGCGTCGAGCTCCGGTTACCCCGGGATGACAGGTCCAATTATGTGCATGAGCTGGACAGGAAATAGGAAAAAATACATCATAATGGTAATAGCGAGGCGCCCTGCTTCTGTGTCAGTTAGGTATCCTCTCGGAGGAGTGGCTGATACTCTCCAAGGTGGAGCCGCTACAAGGAAAGCAAAAAAAAAGCTAATGATGCTTGGCTAAAGTCGTCGTCGATTGCAGATCGTCACTATTCGCTAACGTGCATAAAACAGGCGCCAATTGGCCGCACTGGGAGTACATGTACAGAGTCGTGCCCAAAGGCTGCAACTGGGCAGAAAAGCAAACATTCCAACGCCGAGGAAAATGCGGATGAAAGCGGCCACCGAAATGAAAAAGGAGAGAAATAAAGATGATGGCAAGATCTCGCCACTACCTAACCCGTTTCTTGCCCTTCCTTGCCTGAGGTACTTCACACAGTTCGGTCCAGGCATCTTCGAACACAGTCTTCCGTGGACCAATCTGGCCTTCGTAAAAGTTCAGCTTGCGGACGACTTCCATGGCACCGGTTCCTAGTCCGATAGTCTTGCCCATAATAATACATTCAGAGACGCCCTCGATCAGATCGGTACGGCCAGCACCACCAGCATCAAAGAGGTGGTCTGCAGTCTTCTCGAAAGAGGCGAGCTGAAGGACCGAGTCACGCATCTTGGCCAGACCGAACCGAGTGATACCAAGCACCTCGCCCTTGTACGTCATGACGTCGGCCAGAAGTTGCATATGGCGAGGATCGATGTTCATGTCCTTCATGACTTCACTAATTTCGACAACAATTGTAGTTCTTGCCGCCTCAATACCGAGAACCTCGCGCGCTTCCATGACGTTGTTTGTCCTTGTGCGGAGGCCATCCACACCGACGGTCGTCATACATTCTTTCAAGCCGTAGCCTTCCACCAATAGAGTGTTGGAGGTGGAAGTCTCATCCGTTCGAATAATGGCGCGCTGAGCACGAGCGTGTCCAAGAATCTGGATATCGGGCAACAGTCGCTTAAGATGCTTGAGACGCAGGAAGGGGTCCATACTCGTGGCAGCGACCTCAGTCTTCGACAGACCTGTCTTACTGGCCGGGTCCATGTCCATGAAGATCCTGATGCTAGACGTGCCAACGCGGAATGTGAGATCTGCACCCTTGAAGCGTTTGTGGGTTTTAATCGCCTGAGCAATTTTTCTCACATCTAGCTCGAGCTTCAGATCAGAGATGGTCTGGAGGTTGATCTTGATGGTCACATAAGCATAGCTGCCGGTCCAGTTTTCGGTGATAGAGCGCATGATGTCACGCAGGTAGGTCTTTTCAATACGACCCTTGACAATACGTGCTGCAGCCATATGTTCCTTGTTGACCAGTTCACAGGCGATGACAGGCGTACTGATTTCTTTGGAGGCGTTGATGATTTCCTTAATACGAGGCACACCCTGTGTGATACTCATACCAGCGACACCAGCGAAATGGAAAGTCTTAAGAGTCATCTGAGTACCCGGCTCACCAATGGACTGGGCTCCAACAGCACCCACAGCATGACCAGGCTCAACTTGAGCTCTCCTATATTTCGTGAGGCAAGAAGTGATGAATGCGCGTAGAGTGGTCTCGGTCAGCTTTCCGGTATGGTCTAATCCTTGTCGGCTACCTTCCTCGATCGAACCGACGTCACCACCAAGGTTAATCAGCTTTTCGGCCTTGCCTTCCACATACTCCTGAATGGAGTCGAGGAAATCACGCGCACTCTCAAGCTGATCGATTCCGTGATCACTGCGATCCATATAGCCCAGCTCATTGCCCATAAGGTCCCTGCGGACCAGCTTGGCGCGCTCTGCGCCAAGCATCTCTTCGCAGACTTCCAAGATCTCCGCTGGCAGCAAACTCCGTTCATTATTTTTGTATGTGGTTGATTCAGAGTGGATGAAGGTTCGCTCGAAGTGGACAGGTCTGGCTTTGCCTTCCATATCCAAAGGATCCAACTTGTCGTCACCATATTGGAATTGCACAATAGCCGCAGATGAGTTCCGTACAGTATCATCGTACATAGTCGAAAGATCTTCAAGAGACTTCATCAACCGACGAGACATGTAACCGGTTTCGGCCGTTTTAACGGCAGTATCGACCAGACCTTCACGACCAGACATGGCGTGGAAAATGAACTCGGTAGGCAGAAGACCCGAGAAGAAACTGTTGCGGACGAAACCCTTGGAAGGAGGCTGGCGTGCGTTCTTCGGGAAATGAGGTAGAGTACGGTCCTGGAAACCATCCAGAACACGTGAACCGCCGATAATTTGTTGACCCACAAGCGCGACCATTTGGGAAACGTTAATACTAGAACCCTTAGATCCGGACGTGGCCATGATCAGGGGTGAATTGTATTTGCTGAGTTGTGCAATACACTCATCACCAGCTTGCTGACGAACTTTACTGAGAATACCAGAGAGCTGGTTTTCCATAGTTTGCAACTCGTCACAACCAGGATACTTCTCCAAAGTGCCAGCTTTGAACTTAGCAATAACTTCGTCACAAGCGGCGTAGGCTGCTTCGACTAGGTCGTTCTTGGATTGGACTAGCCTCTCGCTGGGCCACACATCCGTGATACCAATAGAGAATCCAAGATTGGTGAGCCAGCGGGCTGACAACTTAGACAGGCGGTTCATGCCCTGGGCGGCCGCAGCAGGTCCATAATCTCGAAGCATGATGTAGAACACATTGTCCTTTTTACCGTCACCGACTGTAGACTTGTCCATGACACCACACATGACTTCGGAGTTGCGGATCACCAGCCAAGCATCGTTCGGATCCAAGTCCTTGGGTCTTCCATCCTTTGGCTGCTTGAACTGTCGGCATGCCGCATCAAGGTTGACTAAGACAGGGTCATCTTTGTTAGGATGCATCAAGATGTTGAAAACTTGCTTGCCAGTCCAGAGCATTTGTGGTTTCATGACGGATGGCGGTGGCAAGTCAAATCGCGTCTCGGGGCCCAACATATAGAGACAAATTTGAGTGAAAGAGCGACGATCGTAGAAGTTATCTTTGCTGCTTAGCAAGAAAGCAGCACTGATGAAATCCTGAATGGCACCAATAATGGGTTCACCGTTCTTGGGCGTGGCCAAGTTATTCTTGACACCCATCAACTCCATTGCTTCTGCTCTCGCCTCTTCGGTTTGTGGAACGTGTAGATTCATCTCATCTCCGTCAAAATCGGCATTGTAAGGATTGCAAACACACTCATTCAGACGGAATGTCCGATGCGGTCGAACTTTGGCAAAGTGAGAGAGAATACTGAGTTTGTGGAGGGACGGCTGCCGGTTGAACAGTACAATATCACCGTCTTCAAGGTGACGCTCGACCACATCACCCTCTTGGAGTTGATTGGCCATATGATTCAAATTACCGTACTTCAAGTTTGTTTGCCAGATAGAGCCCTTCTTGATCAAGTATCTCGCTCCGGGGTATTTGTTCGTTCCATTACGCACAACGGCTTGCAACTTTTCCTTGTTGTATCGGGTGACCACCTCAGGATAGGTCAGGTTCCTGGCAACAAGCTCCGGAATGGCAACCTCATCTACTCGTAAATTGGGATCGGGCGAAATGACCGTTCGACCAGTGTACTCAACACGCTTTCCGGACAAGTTACCACGGAAGCGACCCTGTTTTCCTTTCAATCGTTGGACAAATCCACGTATGGGCTTTCCAAGATCCGCTTTGTTGAGACCAGGCACATCGCTGTTAATGTAGACTGCGATCTGGAGCTGCATGTAATCCCAGCATTCCATGATGGTTTGCACAGGCGCTCCTTTAAGCAGGGAGTTCTTGAGATTGATGTTACTTTGCACGATATCACCCAACTTGGCGGTCAAGTCGTCTTCGGTAGATGCTGCCTCTTGAATAACGGACGGTCTGATACAAACGGGCGGGGCCGGAATGAACTGCCACAAAAACATCTCCGGTCGGGCTTCCTTGGGATCTAATCCCAGAAGCTCGCAATCGCTGTCCGAGATCTTCTTGAACAACTTGAGCACGCGCAAGGCATTCAAGTCATCCTGTGCCTTCTTGAAGTGTTTCTCAACCTCGGTATTTGAATTTCGCACCTCAGAAAAAGAATCATCGAAGACGGTCTTGCTGAGTGGTGGCTGCTTCTTGACAGAAGTTGAGGCATTGAACGCACGGAACTTATCATGGGTGATCTTCAGCGCACTTGTGCCAATCTTCTTTACCACACCATTTATCGCGTTGCAGTGCTCGCACTGCCGAGTCTTCCGGCATCGTTCATTGATTCGCTTCGCAATCTGCATTCGTCGCAAATTATCCAGACCAGGACGTCTCATTTCTCGTAGGAAAGATCGGCGCTCGGTCTCCGGGAGGAGGATGCGTGAACATTCTTTGCAAATTTCCTGCAGGATGCCGATAACCCTTTTGAAGTACCCAACATGGAAAGCCGGGAGAACCAGTCGTACATGGCCGAAGTGACCATTACAATCCTTTGAGTTCAGTCCGCAAGTCGCACAGGTTGCAACTTTGCCTGAAATACCCATGCGTGTGTCGAGAGGACCATTGGAAACCACCTTTCTGCCATTCTCGAGGTCGAAAAACTTTCTGTCCGAGACTTCCACCGCAGCTTGCTCAACAATATCATTTTTTGTCCTGGAAGAGGAGAACATGTTTGTTAGTTATCGCATTCCGCGCAAAGAGTACTGTAGCTCAGTCTTGAAGCAAATCGGGATCCCATACAATACACCGAACTTCAGTTCTTTGATAATTTTAGGGGTGCGGTCAATGACCTGGGCCTTGCCCAGATCGATCTGCGCATCCTCCGAGGGCTGCATCGCGCCGTGGTCAAAGTTGGAGCATGGCAGGGTGACTCAAGGATGATTTGATCGGCGCGTGCGGGTGTCAGCCGCAGTCCACGGTGTAGAAGACTCGCGGGACAAAATGAACGTGTGATGCTGCTCAATAAATCAGCGCAGTAATATTCCGAGGTTTGAATCCCCGAAGAGTCGTTCTGGGAGAGGAATGGCGATGAAGAGAGGAAGAGGAATCAGAATGGACCGCGGGGTCGGCGACGAACACTTTTTTTCTGCCGCAAAGCTCTCACCGCTGGACCAATAGCACAACTTCAAGTGGGACCCTAGAAGTATAAAGATATCAAACAATAAGACTTCGCTTGTTTGTGGATATTCTATTCATGCTTCGTCTCCGAGTAGTGTTCGCTTAGCTTTACCAAGCTCAGTATGCATGGGTGCTGGGTGCATGCTGTCTTTTTATACGCAAAGAGTGGAACTCTGGAATGTATGGCCAAAAACGATAGATTTTGGTATCTTGTGTACAGGTTTAAGTGTTTCTAATATACAGGTGATTATTTAGACAGGAATGCCTGGAATGCCTTGTGATCGATCACCACATTTCCAACTGCGCGGAGCCTCTTACGACCCTCCTTCTGCTTCTCTAGCAGTTTTCGCCGCCGACTAACATCACTGGCATGCAATTTGGCCAAGACATCCTTGCGGTAGGGCTTGATGGTCTCACGAGCAATGATTTTCTTTCCAACAGCAGCTTGGATCACAATCTCGAACAGTTGCCGATCAACGTGCTCTTTAAACTTGGTCACCCATTGCCTTCCTTGGCGGCTGACCTGGCTCATATGCATGAGCCGTGACACAGCATCCACAGGCTCTTTGTTCACCAGAAGTTGGAGCTTGACAATATTTCCTGCTCGCCAAGCAGATTCCTCATAATCCAGACTAGCATAACCTTTGGTGCCTCCCTTCAACTTGCCAAAGAAGTCGTCCACAAGATGTGCCATGGGAAGTTCATATTTCATGATGACCTGGCTTGCGGTGAAGTATTCAATGCTTTGCTGCTCACCTCGGTTGGCTTCACAAAGCTCGATAACCTTCCCTAAGTATTCATCGGGGAAGGTCAATGTTGCCAAGACATAAGGCTCCTGGACCTCGGCGACCTTAAGCCGCAGGCTATCATCATCGGGGAATTTTGCCGGATTAGTAATGATTTCCTCGGTGCCGTCCTTCCACACGACCTTGACGGGGACGGAAGGAGGTGTGATGATGATACTGGCACCGTGCTCCTGACGCAGACGGTCTTCAAAAACGGAGCAGTGAAGAGTGCCCAAGAAACCCATACGGAAACCAGCTCCCAAAGCCTCGGAGGACTCTTTTTGGGCCGTCACACTTCGGTCATTCAAGACGAGCTGGTTAATGCTGTCATCCAGATGCTCGAAAAGATCAGCATTGATAGGATACACAGCCACGAAAACCATTGACTTTGGCTCTTCAAAACCGGGCAGAGCTTCGACTTGCTTCTCCTGGCCCACTCGAGCCAATGTGTCACCGATCTTGGCTTCTTTGCTGATTTTCATTCCGGGATTGAAATAAATGTATCCGACTTGACCTGCACGGAGGACTGTTTGGGGTGTCTCCGTCGGATACATGATTCCGACTTCACCGACATAGTATTTCAGACCCGTAGCAAATGATACCAGCTGCATGCCGGCACGCACCTCGCCGTCGAAAACGCGCACCAAAAGAATCACGCCTTTATAAGAATCGTACCAAGAGTCGACCAGCAACATACGAAGAGGTTTCTGGGTGTCGCCAATGGGCCTATTGAATCACGTTAGTATTCAATGATCTGACCGGAAACGTGGGACTTTCGTACGCAGGGATTTTTTCAACGACCGTCGGAAGGATAGCCTCGATATTGAGTCCAGTCTTGGCAGAGACCAGGACGGTGTTCTCAGTATCGAGCTCAAATGAGTTTCTCAACTGTTCCAGAGCCCGCTCTGGATCTGCCGACGGCAGGTCAACTTTGTTAATGACAGGGATCAACTCAAGGCCCTGTGCGAAAGCCAAATAGAAATTGGCCACTGTCTGTGCCTGAATACCCTGGCTAGCATCCACCAGAAGTAAAGCACCACCGCAACTGGCATAACTACGCGAAACCTCCGCACGGAAATCCACATGCCCTGGTGTATCCACCAGGTGCAGCAAGTAGTCCTCGCCATTGTGGTTGTAAATCATTGTGCACGTTTGCGCTTTGACTGTGATTCCCCGTTCCCGCTCAACGTCAAGTTTGTCTAGCACCTGCTTGTTTTGGCCCGGCTTAATGGTGCCGGTAAGCTCGAGTAATCGGTCGGAAAGGGTACTCTTTCCATGATCGACGTGCGCGACAATGCAAAAGTTGCGATATCGATCGAGGGGGATGGCTGCGATTCGTCGCTCGAGATCGGTATCCGGTGTATATGACTTTGATCGAGCGCTCCAGGCCGCGGAGGTTGTGAAGGATCGTAGGGAGTTATAGCAGGATGAAAGTCCAGCCAGCGACTTGAGGCTCGCAGCCGGAGGTTTCCGCGCTGCGCTCAGCCATCGGGCTACCTGCAGACATCCTCGCATCGGGATTCGTGCAGTGGCATGGAACGAGGACAATCGCCTAGGTAAATTGTCACAGTCCAATGGGTGCGACTCGGTAGATTGTCTCGGAATTTGCGGCGAGATCAATTGACTTGCGGAGCGTAATAAAAACCGAGTGCGGGCGGTGACGGCGATCGCTGCGGTGACTATCGTCTATCGGCATAAACAAACCCTCCCTCCAGCTTTGTCTCCCATTCTGTTACCCTTTCTCACGTTCAACAGACTCTGCTCATTATGCCTGAAGCTAAAGATAAGTCGAAGGTGCACAAGCTGGTTATCAGAGGTAGGTGATTGGGGGGTTACCGTCTTTTGCTGGTATCAACAAGCTCACAAAGCCTATGCGCAGGTTCGGCGAAGCTCGTGGCGGAATTCGTGAGTGCCATGCCTTCATCACAAACAATCTTTCAGTACTGATGATTGAATAGTTTGAGTACTCGATTAACTCGATACTGTGAGCTATGGATGAATCTCAACAGAACTATGGTGCCAGAGGCTCATTGAAACCATCATTGCAGATTCCAACGCGCTGTTTACCCTCCCGATGATTTTATAACGTAAGTGTTTACCCAATGCTTTCCAAATGTATTCAGAAGCCTGACCAAAAACAGTGTCAAGAAATATGGCCTCAACATGCTCGGTTCGTCCTTTCTGCCTGAGACCCTTCGAGCCCCGCTTCATTCTAACCCACCCAAGTTTCCGCCGACGATCAAGTGAAGGCATATATCAAGAAGATCATGTCACAGCTGAACAGGTGGATGGCCGGTGGAAAAATATCGAAGCTTGTGGTGGTCATCACTGATCGGGACACTGGAGAGCACGTGGAGCGATGGCAATTTGACGTACGTGCTGGAGTCTACAATTCCTACCCACGAGTTTTTCTGACATGTCGGCCACAGGTTGAGGTCTTTGGCAAATCCTCCAAGAGCAAGAGTGCTGGAAAATCAGGTGACAAGGAGAATGCGGCTCCTGGGTAAGCCTTCCAAGCCGAGTCTGGTCCATCCGATATGTCATTGCTAACCCGGATAATCTGTATTTTATAGCGAAGCCCAGCCCGCCGAGCCTGTTGAAAAGACCGAAAAGGAGATCCAAGACGAGATTCAGGCTATTTTCCGCCAGATTACCGCTTCGGTGACTTTCCTGCCCGTCCTTGACGGAGACTGCACATTCAACGTCCTGGTGTATGCCGATGCTGATTCCGATGTCCCTGTGGAGTGGGGTGACAGCGACGCCAAGGAAATCAAGAACGCGGAGAAGGTTCAACTGCGCAGTTTCAGTACCAATAACCACCGGGTGGGGACTATGGTCAGCTACCGGATGGCAGATTAAGCATTTGAAGCCTTTTTATGAATATCCACGAGGGATGCTCTATGCATTGGCGTTTGGAGGGGACAAGTTGAATTTCACGTATCGAATCAGAAGATAGTATGCCTTAATGAATACTGCATTATGTCCATAACTCTTACCTATGTTGCTAGATTGCCGTAGAACCAGGGCAGCTCTTTCATCCTTGGGAACAATTCATTACCGGTCCCGCCCTGCCAGCATACCAATTGTTCAACGACTTCTTGGAGTCCGACATTCACAAAGGCTCCTGTTTCCATACCCGAGGTCCAGCCTCTTTGACGTCGCTTGCCGGCCAAATCCTCGCCAACTCCATATAGATCTTGTTTCCAGAGCCCAATCCCTTTGCCCGCTTCGCCACGGACCAATGATTCTAAGGGAGTGACATCCTCTGGCGGGTTTATACCAATTACAGAAACCGCACTAGCTTCTGCATGTCTACCATCAATCCTCGGAGATAACCCCAAGGAGGGGAAATGGCACTCCATGAACCGAGCTCTTTTAAATTCATGGGTCACGACGGTAACGCGTTGCGGGTAAATCCCTGTGTGCAATCGAAAACGTAGAAGTGAAAAGAGTACATTTTGATATGAATCTGTCGCGAGATCCTCTGTTGTGATCCTCGATGTGTAAGATACTGTGACTTGTTTCGGGTCTTGAAAGTAGTTGTTCTCCTCTGCGAGTTTCTGTGTTGAAGTTACCAATCAGCCAGCCCTTGTTCAAAGAGCAAGACGACTTACAAGATATGATTGTCCCTCGCTCAAGTATGTTCTCGATTTCTTTGTTGCGCCCCTGCAAAAATAGTCATAAGCTGTGCATGCATAAGACATGCGCATGCGTGATTTGCAAACGCAATTCACATTGCAGTAAGCGATGTGCAATAGTATGCACTTACCCCGAGAAAATAAGCAGCGCACGAGGGTCGTCAGACAAAGCCTTTAGTCCAGCTATCGCATGATTGATAAAAGTGGGTGTCTCCCCCTTCTGGAAAGACTCAATAAACCTAGATTACTTGGGATCAGCGGACAGCCTGAACAGTATGTTGATACATAACCTTCAGCGGCGACTGACCATTCGTCTTCAGACAATCCATGTTTTGGGCCAACAGCACAAATGGCATGACAGCAGACAATGATGAGGTGGTTCAATTGATGCATGATCAATTCTGTGCCAAGATGTCGTATGGGTCTGAGACTTAGAGCATCGGCCCTTGATGTATCCGTAAGCCACGCGTTTACACCGCGTGGCGGGTGATGCCGCGCCTGTGAGGTGACAGTAAGAAACGGCCCGTGCGTTTTTCCGAAGTATAGAAACGCTAGCGCCCTTCCTAAAACGTTAATCTCCACGACCATGGTCCATCCCCACGCAACTTCCTTGAATAGTCGCAGCTTGCACCTAGAATGCCTATTTCCCTGGCTCTCATGTTCAAGTAGCACCGCTGGGAACAACTTCACATGCCGATAACTAGAGCAGAGGGCCAAGTGCAACATTCGAACGTTCTACCTGCACTGAAAGGCTGGATTGAACGAGAAGCCTTTGATACCTAGATTTCTATCTAAATAATCAATGTCTATCTGTAATAATGGGGTTTGAACCCTTTGAATACGCACAAAGAAGAAAGTAAATACCTAAATATATGCAATCATCATACTCCTTCCATGTATCGTCATCTTGTAGGAGCACCCACCCACACTCACCATTATCATTGTCGGTGGCCTGGAAACAAAAGGAGAAAACAATCCCGAGCTGCTGAATGTAGATGGGGAAGCTTGTGAAGCTGAAGCTATAGGCGAGCCAGGCAGATAGTTGGATGGACGAATTGGCGAGAGAGAACATGAAGAAATCAAAGTCGAAGATGGAGGGTAGGCGAGGGGTAAAAGAGGGTTCATCACGTAGCCCACATCAAGTAGGCACGCAAACAATGCCTGCCTGTGAGTGGGAGATTGCCGGTAAGCGAATATAAGATTTCCTCGGTTGAGACTTTGACGTGATCCCATACAACTCACCTGATTACTTTATCCGAACTCTTTCCCCAATCCATCGACAATCATCATCGCAATAATTTGCCATCTCATTCATCCTCATCTGAAAGATTCTCTTTGCCTTTTTTTCTTTTCTCGGAGATCTCCAAAATGCCTCCAAAGTTCCCTCCGGTACCTGGTGAACAATATGGCTGGCCACCTCCATTTGATTATCCCCCCTCCGTCGTCCAAGTCCCCCACAGGGCGAAATCCGTCTGTCACCTGGAGATAGTTTGAAAGTCAATATGGGTCTACAATCTGAATGGACCGATTTTGACCGTGTTGACTGGGTAGGTATTGATAAGGCCGTCGAAGAGGGTCAAAGGAAGAGACAGCTCGCACATGATGGTCCTTCTCGACACGTCTCGGATCAAGCAAGCAAAAGACAGAGAACCATGCCAGGCAATGCTGGTAGTGATCCCTTTTCATTTTCCCCTTTTCTGAAGGCTGCTCAGCCACCTGTTCAATTTCCTGCTGCATGGCCAGATGAGCTTCATCACGTCCAGCCTGTGCCATACATGATCACACGATTTCTTAATGATGCGTTAGAGCTGCCAGATGGATATGAGATAGATCCGCTCAAGTTCATCTGTTCTGAAGTCGCAGATTCAGAAATAAAGGATGAGATTTCTGACAGCACTTCATCTCAAGGCACAGAATCGGACCCTAATTTCCGTCCACCCGCTTCAGTATGTCACCGAAACGAAGATGACGACGATAGAACCCAGACCGATGTCGGTAATGACGACGGTGAGAACGACGATGACGACAACGGCCTTGAAGAACACGACGCCGACGAAGATGCCGATCAAACCGACGCCGACGAAGAGAGCAGCGCACTCTGCGAATTCTCCCACCCATGCCACATGGGCCCCTCCCCAGACGGGATGCACTTCCGCAAGGTCGTCTCCCACTTCTTCGGACGGAACAAGGCTTCGACGAAGCTCTTCCCCGATGCTGTCTGGGTCCACTATTGTCGGAAGCACTACCAGCGAGCCCGCTACCGCGCCGACCAATGGCCTTTCACGCAATGCGAGTTGCTTCTTGAATCCCTCTCCCGCATGGAGCAGTGGAATGGAGTTGAAAGCTTCGAAATTACACTCCGCCGCCGCGAGGTACTGCGAGTCTCAGAGAAGGAACACCAGAGTGATATCAGTCACGCTGGCCCAAGTCGTGCGGGTTCAAGTCGGTCTGGTCCCAGCAATGCTGGCCGCAGCAAACAGAAAAAGACCTCTGCTCGTACTAAGACGAAGAAACCCTCGACTACTCGAGGTCTGACCATGCGTGGGCGAAGACTTCCAAGAGCTGTTACTGCTCCCGTGCCAGAGTGGCTCCGTGAATGTGTGGGATGCGGAAAGTCTTTCCAAGAGATCCGTGACATTGTCAACCAGACTCATCAATACATGATAGATATGCGAGAGGAGGAAAAAGCCCATGAAGAATCTCTCGGTATCAGTGCCGGTGAAAGCAGTGCCTCGGCCGGGAAAAAAGTCAATGGCTTCCAGCGAGAAGCAGTTCCAAGGACCTTGAGCGTCAGCAAGGCAGCCGGGCGAGATTTCCGGACATCGAGATACTTCCTACGTTCAAGCCATGGGTCCTTGATGCTGCGCTTCGGCAGCGTGAGCAGGCAGGTATTGAGGCTGCTGCGGCGCACGGGGAGTCTAGCAAGAGAGAGGATAGCGACGTGGAGGAGAAGGCTGCCTCTCTGGACGGAACTGAGAGTGCCAGTTCCATGGAGGATGGGCGTGGTCGAGAGGATGCGGAGATCGGCCGGACTGGATTGAACCGAGGAAATTCGGCGAGCCAACGTCGACGCAACGACAAGAGCTACGTGGCCATGGTCACCAGAGTCACCCCGCGCGGCTCAGTCAAGAAGCCCCGTGACTTGAAAGGGAAAAGCCGTCAACTCTAATACAATGCGTTGACTTGAGTTGATCTATCATTAACCTGGTTGGAAAGTGAGAGAGATCTGACGTTAATTTGAGCCGAGCGAACCCCCATTATGTTATTATGTTGTCTTTGCATTTGACTATCCTCCAAAGAAAAATAGAAAGAAAGAAAAGCAGAAAAAAATAAGAAACATGTCAGAATGGAAACCAGGGTGCCTTGATATTTCTAAAAAGTCCTGCCTTTTAAATGTTGTAGTGTAAGCATGTCTGGAAGCTTTCAATTTAGACCTACGACAAGAACGGAGCAGATCGAATGTAAATGATATTGTTCATGCAGATGAAAAATCGTACACGGGAAAAGTATCAAACCAACATTCGCTCATGAAGCACAGATTGTCCGCTGTACAACCACATCTCATTGGGATGGACAACCAAAGAAAATTGGATAAGAAGAGATTATGAAAATTATGAAGGTGAGTATGGAGAAGATATCATATTCGTCGTTCCAGTCAATATCCACCAGAGATAAATGTTTAGCTGGCAACAGCCAGCTGAGCCACAAGGTCGGATGCCACATCTAGGAAAGGGTAGGGGCTAGTCACCTCCTTCTCCTTGTTCTTCAGACGCTTGCTGATGGGAGTCCATTCTGTGTCACCCTGAGCACGAATAACATTCTGGTAGCCATCGCATTTGAAATCGACCATGTAGTTGTTCTCTTCCAACTGGTAGAGTTGGATGTCAACGAAGACCCAGACGCCGTGGGAAATACTCGGGAGGCCATTGTGTTGCGTAGCTGATGAAGGTGCAGAGGGTGCACTGTTATCCTTGTCTGATGCAAAAGACTTCACCTCCTTGTCCTCAAATGGAGTCGAGATGCCCGAAATGTGGAATCGCCGACGCAGTTCCCCGAGGTCACTGCGGCTATTAAAAACACTGGTTGATGCTCCGGGGGCCTTGACTCCCTCTTTCAGCAAGCGTGCACGAATGAACCAAGGGTCCTTGGGGATGTAGTAGTCCGATGGGAGATCAGGGTATTTGTTCTGGAGCGGCTTGGGTTTGTCCGGGGAAGGGGTTGCTTCCGGTCCAATTTGAGTTCCTGACTCGACAGGCTGGACATCCCAAACACCACCTTGGGCAGCAATTGCCCGATAAAGATACAACATGGCCTCATAGGGCTGGTTCCGTGAGCGGATACCAAATTGCCATTTGCGGGATCGCTTGGGAGGCTGCTGCGAAATGGGGTGACCAATTGGTGGTTCCAGGCGCAATTTATCAAGATCAATTATACTCCGAGCATGGGGCTTCAATGCTCGAGCTGTAGCAGCTTGCTCCTCAGGTGTCAGCTCCAGACGCTCGGACCCCAATCCCTCCGCCTCGTTCCGAGCAGCTTCTTTCCGACGCACTTCATCAACACGAGCCCTTTGCTCTCGATCCCGTTGCTCCATGAGCTGGTCATGCACGTATGGTAGACTAGTTGGCAGGATTCGGACATGGCTGGGACGTGGTTCTTCGGACTCGGAATCTGCCTGTGTCTCTTCCGTACGGATGCGACGCGAGATGCTCTGTTTCCGAGCGGCAACTGGAGCAGGCGGCGCCTGAGCTTTGGGTGCAGCAGTCGCTCGATCGACTGTCGGTTGTGCGGGTCCTTTGGGTTGTGGGGGCACGTTCGAGGCCATTAAATTATCTTCCGTGGGAGCTATGAAGACCCAGTTAGAAATTGACACCTAAGTAATGGCATGGAGAAAGACTCACAGTTCGTCTGCATCATTTCATTTTCAACGACGATAGAAAATGCATCTTTGATTGCGCTGGGCTCCGGATGTCTGAGTGCATCTTCAATATCTTCACGGCCATATCCCATGCTTCGTTCGAGCTTCGACACGGCAATCTGGTGAACCTTGTGTTGCACTGGAAGCGGTTTTCCAGGAGCGACCTTGGCATCATTGGCCTTGCTCTGGTCGGCACCGGGTGCGATATATTCTTCTGCTGGAGGTTCCAGATATTTGGGGATGTTCTTACTGAACCACGGGTCATCCCGAATCTCGGGGATAGTGATTCTGTGAACAGGGTGAACCTGTAGCATGGCCCGGATTAACCGGGCAGCTCCGGGGGAGATATAACTTGGAACGTGGAAGTTACCCGCTGCAATCTTCTTGAACAGAGCGGGGATATAGTCGTCATCAAAGGGCAGTCGGCCCACCAACAGCACATAGAGGATCACACCGCAACTCCAGACATCCACCTCGGGGCCTGCGTAAAGCTTTCCAGAAATGACCTCTGGGGCAGCATAGTTCGGGCTACCACAGCTAGTCTTGAGGAAATTGCCATCTGTCATAATATTACTCAAACCAAAATCGGCAATTTTGACGTTCTTCTGGCTGTCGATAAGCAGGTTCTCGGGTTTCAGATCTCGGTGGACGATCTTGTGTCGGTGACAGTATTCGACAGCGCAAATGATTTGCTGGAAAAACTTTCTGGCTTCGTCATCGTTGCATTTGCCTTTTCGCACCAGGTAGTCGAACAATTCTCGCTCGGCGTACTCGAGGACCATGACAATGTCGGTCTTGGTGGCGATAACGGTGTATCTAGCGGGGTAAATCCACCCGATCAGCCTGGACGCACAACAAATTTAACTATGTGAGGAGGGAAAAGGGAATCATACAATTTGATAATATGAGGATGTCGGAGCAATTGGAGGTACTGAATCTCTCGTTCCACACGACCGACCATGTCCCGGGACAAGAGCTTACGCCGAGAGATGATTTTGAGGGCAACCTGCCGACCACTCGGCTGGTGAATGGCCAGCTTCACCTTTCCGAACGACCCCTCACCCAAAATCCTCACGGTCTGATACTGGTCAAGGCGTTGCATATCTCTTGTGGTTGCGGGGGACTGGGTGGCCTCCGCTCTAGCGGTCGGGCGCGGCGGCGGCATAGCCATGGCGGAGGGGTTCGAGCTGACCGGCCTGGTGTGGTCACGAGGGTGGTCACGTTCACGGTCGGAAGGAGCGAGTGGGATCGATAGATCTTCCTCATCAAAAGCGGCGGCCATGATGGAAGGACAACGTGACGTGATTGATTTTCTGGGTCGGGCCCAGCGGTCCGGACTGCTGACTGTGCCGTGGTTCTTCTTAATTTTTTTCTGCCCTTAGAGCATCGCCAATCAGTCGGTCTCGACCCTCTCCACAGTAGAACCGAAGGTGGAGCTTGGGACAGCTAGGATTTTTGTTTTCTCGAGGGGGCGGGGCAAGAATAGAGGGGTAAAGTATGTGCCAAGTGATAACCGAGACGTGTAACGTTTGATGCAAATAAAATGGAATAGAGAACGAGACAACAGTTCGATGCAAGAGTTCACCAAATTCTGGGGGAAGTCAAAGGTTCCATGGAGGAGAAGCCGATGCCGCTTAAGCTCTGACCGGTGGGAGAGACTGGGGTCGGGTCCATTATTCTGCCCAACCTTGAACACCGTATACTCGGAAAAATTAACTACAAAATTTACTGATCTTGATTGAAATAATTCAACAAGTAATTAGGTCGTATGAAAGGGGCATTTGCTGAAGGGATTGAATCCAACTCGATATTTACGTCACATGTCCAGCTCAAATTGTGTCCTGCAACATCAACAGCTACGCTGTAGTCTGATAACACATGTCGTCGCCAAAAGGGAGAAAAATGGGAGGAAAATAATGCCCATGATGTGATATAGAAGAAGATTGAATTTCTACTGTACCTGCCTTTAGGAAGATACAGGACTCGTCGATACCTATGATATGCTGGTCTTGCTATGCATAAATTCTCCGCAATGGTGAGCTCCGCAATGACTCATCCATGGTGGGTGACCAATCATAAAACGAGGTGCTTTACTGCCTTTGGTCTCCGCTTTCCCCTCGTATTCGTATTTCGGACTTTCTTTGTTCCTATTCTGCCAGCATACGCCGCCCTTCCGCTCCGCTCTCCGCTGCCAAGATATTCCACGTGACCTCGACGATGACGGATGGCAGTATACCCTTTATATTGTTTTGAACAGCGGGTGTTAACATATAATTAGATGCGCGTCAGACATGGACTGATGCAAATGGCAATCCAGTCCAGGTCCCACTCACAAGCAACCGTCGCAGAGGTATCTACGCCCTCCCAGTGGTGCGTCAAGTTGTCTGGCGAAATGGTGCAGAAGAAGGATACACTACAGAGAACCGGGCTTTGCTTGGTTACAAACAGCGTGTTGGGGTCCAGGCTCCTGCTGGTCAAGAGTGTGACTGCTGTAAAAGTGGTAAAGGTCCATTTGCGTTTTGTGTTGTGGTTGTTGTCAATGGAGTTCCAGACAGTCGCGGTGCCTGTAGCAACTGTGGATGGAATAATCAAGGTGTTCACTGCAGCCACCGTGAGTGACACCTATTTCTCAATCCCAGAACTTTTTCCTCTTCTGTGAATCTTCTGCTTACTGAAATCAACAAAGATCGGAAAGCCACAGCCACAGATCAACCTCTCTTTATCCAGCAGGAAATCAATCGCCAGATGGCTCCCCAGCAGGCTATGCAGCAGGTAGACTCATACCTCGCCCCGAGTCTCAAGCCAATACTAACGAACAGAAGCCTCAGCTCCAGCCTCACCCCCCACCTCAGCCCTTGACCCCTGCTATTCCATACGATGGACGGTACTATACGTCCCCGTTGGATGACGCAGGGTTCATTCAGTCCCATGACCTGTCCTTGCTCCAACGCACTCTGGAAAGCTGCAACACTATTGCAGAGCGCCTTAAGGACGACAAGGCATACCTGGCCAAGCACCTCCGGGATATTGGGGAGCCAGAAGTGAAGGATGGTGAGGATACCGTTATTGATTCCTTCGCCGTCCGTCTTCGGGCTCCCCGTAATCCCCACTCTGGCCGATTCTATGACGAGAAGTGGCTCACTTCACCCTGGGATGACTCCACGGTCTGCAACCTTTTCGACTTCCCGGCCCACCGCAGGGCCCTGCTGGCATGCAATGCCATAATCAACCGGGTAGAGGACGATAAGATACGCCTACGTCTGCGGCTGGAAGAAATGGGTGAGTCGTACGATTAGAATCAAGGAAGGCGGCTCTGCCCATGGATGGCATGGAGGATTATGATTCCTTCCCAGTGTATTGAGTGTTTGATCGATACATATGAGCATAAGATACCCTGAACCAGTCTTCATCTACGTTTCAATATCGTATCAAGGCATTTGTAGCCTGTAACTCGCCTCCCACGGCACTACTTCTTGATGCTTCATCTTCTAAGTGTGAAATTGAAGTCAGCGGTGCTCTTATATCAGAGACCTCATTTCCCATTTCTGCATTCGCTTTCTCCATCACTTCGCTACCTTTTGATTCATTAGTTCTGCGACTTCTATTCCCCAGAATCTCCATCAGTGGCCGTTCATATAAAAGTTGGCTACTGATATGTTTCACCACTGATTATTGGATCAGTGATGTCGTAATAATGGACAACCAGCGCGTACTGTTGCAACCCAAAAGAGATCCTCGCTGATATCAAATAACTATAGGCTCTCCGCAAGGCAATCCAACCACCTCATCAAGTTCTCGAATTTGTCAAGGGAATGATAGAGTACCAAATCCATGAGACCCTTCTTTGAACTATTCAGCATCTTACGAGTCATATGCTGGAAAGTCAATACAATTACGAGCGCAGATGAGCGAAATAAAGGTCAAGTACGAGGGACACGAGTCTCGGGTCCTAACTCAGCAACATTCTATCCAAGAATACTAACTCAGGCCTCCAATGAACGTTTTGATCGGTAGATTCAAGCCCGTCATCTAGCTTGATTTACTACTAACGCGGGGGCTGATGCAAATCACAGTCCATGAGAGACAGGACATTGAAAATGGTACTTTTATTTCTATGCAAATCTGTACAACCGATGGCCCGCCAATACACCGACGAATGGTAAATCCAGCCGAACTCCAAAAACTCATATTATAAGCATCATGCCTTCAACATGTCAAGTGCGCCCTTCAGCTGGAAGGCATTCTGTGCCATCTCCACCTCGTCACGTACGCGGAAATGCAATCGGTCCACCAACTTGTCAACCTGGGCTGACTGGCCCAGATTGGCCGAGTAGATGTCCAGCAGGTTCATGGCAACTTCAACGCAGAGATCAACCAGACGGGGCTCGCGAATATGCTTGTAAACCCATGACAAAACGGGCTGGAGTGTGACCTCGTCGCGGTCTTTGAGGGCAGCACGTAAAGCCGAACGGTGACGGAGGGCAGTGAATAGCGTGAGCTGGGCTGTCTTATCGGGACCTCCAAGGACTTGATCCAAGGCAGCGGCATATCGGCCCTTACGCAAATCAAGCTCCCAAGCTTGTTCACGCTTCCTCTTCTTGTTGTCCTGGCCCTCGATCACAATCTCGACTCCTTCTCCGATGAAATCGCGGCCACGCAACCGCTTCTCCCAGCCTGAGCCGCGAGTCTTATTTTTCTTTGCCACTTCGCGGTCGTGTTCCTCCAGCTTGCCCTCGAGCAGAGCCTTCATCTCCTTCTGACGCTCGCGGTCCTTGACCTTCTGTTGACCAGACAACCGGGTCTTGATAGAAAGAAGACCTGACTGCATACCAACGGCGATGTGCTTGTCCTCCTGTGCTATGCCAGAGGTGATAACACGCAGAGACAGGATGGGCGATGGGTATTTAGAGCCAGAGACCGCATTCCAGCCAGTTGTCTCAAAGACCTTCAGGTGACCATCCAATGCACCACTGAGCAATCGCTCTCCATTGGATGCCAACGCAAGCGAGGTTACTGTCTTCTGGTGGTTTTGAATCATGTGCATGGGCTTTCCAGCCACAATATCAAGCACCGCAATCTTGTTATCAGCGGAAGCCAGAACGGTAGTGCCCGCCGGCATGGGCAGCACATTTTCGATAGGAGCCGCCATCTTGAAGGTCATAGCTGCGCGTCTCTGCACACGGGGATCCCAGATGCGAACTGTGCGATCATAGGAGCCAGAGACAATCAATCCAGAGGAGGCCATTGCGCCGGGCATGAAGGCACCACTGCGAACGTAATCGGTATGGCCGGTGAAGGTACGTTGACTGGACTCAGCAGGCAGATCCCACAGACGGACTGTCCGGTCATCACTAGTGGTCATAAGAGCAGTTGGGTCGCTCGGAGAGAACTTGCTCACCCACACGGGCTGCTTGTGGTCTCTCCATGTCTTCAGAATGGCGCGGGACTTGACGTCAAAAACCTGGACTGTGCCTGTATCGTCACCAGTCACCAACACACGCCCGTCCGGCCGAACATCTGTACCCCGTACTGTATCATCGAATCGAGTGATTGTGCGCAGCAATTTCCGGGTGTGGATTGAGTAGATCTGAACTCGGGCACCGGTGGTCACGGTGAAAATATCGGGGGGCTGCGACAGGGAGCTGAAGACAGCAGAAGATGATGGGGCAGAGGGTTGAGTGATGAGATTGATAGGTCCATTGGCTGGCGACGGGATGAGGAGAGGGTTCTTGAATGTGCGCCAGTATTGTTGCTCTGGTGTAAGGCGGGTGGATGGCAACGAGGCGAGCTTCACCTGTTGCAAAGGCAGGACGGGAGCCGCCATGGTGAGCTATGGTATTCAATCACTGATGCAAGGTAGGATTTAATCTGCCAAAAAAGGAAAGAGAGTGTATACACGCTCAAAGCTCGTGGCAGCGCCGTGATCATGAAGGTTTGATCTTTTTTTCTGCCAATCAAAAAAGTTCGCCCTGATCGGGAATGGCGGCGGTGTCTATAGACACCTGAGGCATAACACCTTAACTCAATCACCGATTTCCCAGGCACCAAGGCATTAAGGTATTAAGGCAGGACACCCCCGCGAATCGTGCATTTCAAGTCTCGTAGATTCTTAGATACGTCACGATCGCTCGCCAATGGTCATGGTTGGCACATTCCGTGTTTCCGATTAAGTGTTTATTCCGATAATTTACGTAGTTGACCGACCCATAAATCTTCGGGATTCGCGTCAAATATCCTTGTGAGCTCATCTTGGGCGTTGCCGCGTTGGTGAATAGTGTAGCTGATGGCCAAGATATTTCCGGATAATAAAATGATTCTTCCAGGCTTCCATATATCTTTGCCCCATCAATTATGATATATCAAGAAACTTATTCAATATAATAATAGAAATCGGCCCCAGGCGTGTAAGCCGACTAGACAGAGCTCCCATGGATCACCGGGGCTGTGAAGCAGGCAGCGACCAAAACAAGCAGGGGATACCGATACTATCGAGGGTTGTACAAATGTACACTCCAGATCTGTCTCACGTAGAACAATTATTTGTTAGACACTATTCTTCTGTATAGGTTCGTTGGAGTATGGGCAGCAATTGCGGTCAAGCCCAATCAGATGTTTTGCCCGTCGCCATAGCAATCTAGAATCAAGTGGGGTTGACTCATGCATTTGCTTGACCTTATGAGTGGGGATGGCTGCGCCTGACAGCTGCGAGGCCTCGCAATTGAGACAAATTGAAACCGGATTCACTAACAAAACTATTGAAAGGATGACGATCGCTGCAGGCCAGTCGCCAATCGTTGCACTTCCTGCCAACTTGACCCCCTGTCGGCGCCGGGAATGCATTGATCGGTGGATCGCGGTGGCTGGGGGAGCTGATCGGAGCTGACGATGCTGCTCCACTTGGAGTCTGGACTTTGAGACCGGGTTGGACGAAAGTAAAAATGAAAATGGATATCTAATCTAAAATCTCATAAGTTTTCGTGAGGCTGGTGAACAGGAACAAGGATATGGAGGACGAGTTGCGTATTCACGATCAACTTTGGGATAGATAACGATGTTTATCGGGTAATATAAATCTGGTTTGGTATTGTCACATCGCTTTGATCGGCAGGGGAATACAGTCAAGTCAGTCAATCAGAGATCAGAACGACCCGCCCCCAGCCACCTGCAATACTGTCTCTGACATTCCAGAAAAGTGGGCGCTTTTATCTTTAACGATCCCCCCTCTTTTCGATTGATCGTCTCTTTTATTCTCCTTCTCTTTCCTGCCATACATGTTGAACACGAGCTATCGTTGATTGACCATGGCTAAAGTGTTCAAGGGTAGTCATGCGGCTGGCATCTTCGCCGACATGTCGGTTGATGGGCCACCTATTGGCACTCTGGTGGCTATTATCGATCGCGCAAAGAATCTCCCCAATCGCAAGACTATGGGGAAACAGAACCCTTACTGCGCAGCACGCTTGGGAAAGGAAGCAAAGAAAACTCCAACGGATTTGCGAGGTGGACAAACTCCTAGATGGTACGTTCATAAGCATATAGTGTGTAAGTAAACAAACTGACGTCAACACAGGGACCACGAGCTCCGTTTCACTGTACACCAATCCCCGGACTACTACAAGCTAAAAGTTTCTGTGTTCAACGACGACAAAAAGACTGATCTTATTGGAGAAACGTGGATCGACTTGAACAACCTTATTATTCCTGGAGGAAGCCAGGACGACCACTGGCACCCACTGCAGTCAAAAGGCAAATACTCTGGTGAAGTTCGAATCGAGATGACATACTATGATACCCGACAACAAGATGAGGCAATTATTGAGAAGCGAAAAGAAGCAGCAGAAAGGGTCCAGGGCAAACCAGCTGCTGCTGCCATCACATCAAGCTCTGGCTTGTCGGGTCCTAGACAACTGAATGCTTTCAAGCGACGACCACTGCCTACTGACCCATCAGGAGTAGCCCCTCCTAGACCTCCTGTTCAAGAGCAACCTCAGCCAGCCCCTGCATTGCATCACCCAATGCCTTCACGAAACATACGGGAACAAGTCCAAAATATGCCCATGGCTTCTGTTCCCGAGCCCGCCCAAACTTACCCGCAAAGACATCACTCAGAGCCCTCATATGAGCAACACTATAATGCATCACCTCAATCTAGGGCGTATGACGCCCCTGAAAACTATCAACGCGAATGGGAAGCTCCAGCCTCAGCCCCAGCGCTTCCTCCGGCAGGTGCAATGAGACGTAACCCTCCACACGAAACGACTTATGCCAGTCACGAGAACCCAGAGCTTGCATATGACTCGCGCCCACTGCAACCTCGCAGCCACTCCGACTATGACCAGCATCCTCCGAGAGAGTATCGCACTGTGTCCCAAGAGCCATCGTATGAGGTCGATATGCACAGTAGGGCAGTATACGAGCAGGGTGAGAATATCTACAGTCCACTCTCACCCCAATATACTGCACCTCCTATGTCATTCGGACCGGTGTCAACATTCACCCCACGCCAGCCAGCATATGCAGATGAGCCTCCACCTCTGAGCTACTCGCGGCCGAGTTCATCGTCCGGGCCAGCAGGTGACCCTCGCTACCAGCCGCACGACGTTCGAGCACTGCAGCCAATGCATCGTGAAGTCTATCATCCTGAATACGCCACTATGCAGCCACGTGTGGAAGATGAAGATGAGGATGGCCCACCTCCACCCCCACCAGTTCATCGGTCTCGTATGGCACAGCACCCACAGGCGATGCAGCCAATGCAACAACCGATGCAACCAATGCAGTCAGTCCAGCCAGCCCCGCCAGCTGCCAGGGAGCCCACATCGTCGTATCAGCCGTACACCCCGGGACACTCTAACTCCACATCTCCCATGCCCACCAGTCTCGTCGCTGGTTACGAGCCCGAGGAATTCCCGAAATATGAGGATCGACTCGGCCGGAGACGAAGCGCTCTTTTTGACGATGAGATGATGATTTCTCAACCGCCAGGACCGGGGGCCCTTGTACCCGTATCCAAGACTGCCCAAGCACCACCTTCGCCCTATGACTCTCCCATCTATCCTCTCCGTACCTCTCCACAGCCACCGACTGCCGAGCGACCGACCTCCAGCCGCGGTGGGTCTACCAGCACAGATATGCGAATGGTAACACGAAAATCGGTCAGCCCCCGACCCTCAATCTCTAGTGACCGTGAACGTGCCTCTTCGATCCCATTCTCGCCCGACTCATATAACTCCATCAACCCACATGCAGCACGGCCCAACAGCAGAGATCCTACACCAGCCTATGACTCGCCATCAACTGCCAGGGACGCAAATGCAGTGGTCCGCTCCGAGGTTGAATCTATTCGGGATCTCAGCCAGCCTATCATTGGTGACGATGGCCGTGAGATTGATCCATCTGATCATCTTCCTACGGACACTTGGGCTCCAGAGCCAGAGCGGAAGAATCGCAAGGCGGAGGTCATCATTCGCTTCAAGCATTCTCCTCGGGACCGGCCCACTTCCCGTGGTAATGACACCGCTTCTCGCAGCCCCGCGCCGCCTCGCGTGGGCTTCAGGACGGAGACTAGTTCATACAGTTCCGATCGTCCGCGATACACACCGAGCCATCAGCCTAGCCCTGATCCAGCACCGCAACGAGGGTACGATAACTATGGAGGTGGTTACACACAAACTCGAGGCTATAGCGCACCAACATCAACTGAACGCCCCCGCTCATCCCGTGGCTCCGTTTCACCATCTCCTGGTTCTCGCTCTCCACTGTACGACTACAGCTCCGGTCCACCAATCCCATCCAAGGTCCCGATTGCCCAAGCCTCTCCTAGTTACCCGGTTGCTGCCAGTAATGCCAGCAGCGGGAATCCTGGTATGGATGCCTTGAGTCGGGAGTTAAAGACCATTGAGATTGGCTCGGCTGGATGTAGCCCAAGTCGTACTGTTCGGAGATATGCCCCAGCTCGTCAATCAGCATCGATTGGATATGCTAGTTAAAAGGAAATGTATGATGATTTATGCGCGGCTACGTCTTTTTGGGAGGTTAAGATTCTTGTCCGATACTTATGTTCATGATTTGAAACAAGGCTTGATTATTGTTCAATATCCAGCATGGCGGCGTTTGGATTTGGTTTCCTTTATCTTTACTTTTTTCCTTTCTTTTGCGTTTCTACCCTGTTTTTTACATACAATTTGGCCCTACGGCTTTGCAGAATATACCTGCTGACCCATCCGCTTAAGAATTCTACCTTGCCTATCTAAGAGTTACATAACATGTAAGCTCTAGCCCTGTCATTTCGCGCTTAAATTAAGGAGTTGGACTTCTCGCTTACAGACGGGCGAGTTCCATGGAGATAACTTCGGACTCCGTACATCGCCTACCGATATGCACCTCTTTTATCCACAAGTTGGTCATAAAAAAGTGCTTATCATGTAAACAGCAATTGACCCACAGAGATGACAGATCTCAACTGCCGTTGATCGGCGGCAAACTCCGAATCAAAGTAGGCGATGCAACCAATCCCGCAACAGATCAATATCGCTTATCACTTCCCCGCCTTTTATCAAAACATGCAATTACAATATCCTCCGGTCCAATCCCACTCCCTCAACCACAGGAACAAAGCAAAAGCCAAGCAACCAAAATGACCGGCCTCACAGAAGCCCAAGTGGCCTCCTTCCACGAGAACGGCTACCTAGTCCTCCCAGACTACCTCAGCCAAACCGAAATCAACGACGTCCTAACCGAAGCCAACACCCTCCTACACAACTTCGACTTGGACACCCACCCTCTGACTCAATTCACAACGGGCGACGACGACACAACCGACCATGTAGGCGACGACTACTTCCTAGAATCAGGCGACAAAATCCGCTTCTTCTTCGAAAAAGACGCCTTCAGCACAACACCCGACCCAACAACCGGCCGAGCATCCCTCCTCAAGCCCAAAAACTTAGCCGTGAACAAAATCGGTCACTCGCTACACACTTTGAGCCCACCCTTCAAATCGATCTCCCTCAACGACCGCAATGCCGCAATCGCCAAATCCCTCGGCTTCATCGACCCCCGCGTCTTGCAAAGCATGCTCATCTGCAAACAGCCCTCCATCGGCGGCGCAGTTCCCTCGCACCAGGACTCGGAGTTCCTATACACGGACCCGCCCTCCGCTGTTGGATGGTGGTATGCGCTTCAGGATGCCGGAACCGGTAATGGGACGCTGGGTATGATTAAGGGATCGCATAAGGGTGCGAAGGGTGGACATATCAAGAGACGGTTTGTGCGGAAGAACGGTGCGTCTGGGACGGAGTTTATTGTTAATGAGGGTCCTGCACTTCCCAAGGGAATGGAGGAGGAGAAGGTCTCCGAGCCTTCTGAGGAGGATTTGGAGATTTTGGAGGTTAAGGCTGGTTCTTTGGTGCTCATCCATGGCAATGTGCTGCATAAGAGTGAGAAAAACACTAGTGAGCGCAGTCGGTATGCGTACACTTTCCATGTTATCGAGGGGGCAGAGGGGTGGGAGTATGATCAACGGAATTGGTTGCAGCCGCCTGAGGGTGGTTTCTCGAAGCTTTATCAGTGATGATTGCATTTGAGCTTGATTGGATGCATACGAGTTGACAGCATTTACATATTCTTTGAACATTCAATATCATTGCATAGGCAGTTCCTCTCTGCTTGTTATATACTTGTTTGTCACTGTAGTTTATAATTTTCAATGTAAGATGCATTGGCGGGTGCTTTATTTGCTATATTTACTTTCGCATCGAGACCCGAGTAGATGTGGTGCTACTTATGATAAATAAATTTCCATTCGGTTGAAACATTAGAAGTTGTAGTATTGGTTGAAAAGCTCAAGATACTACGTATCTACAAGCCCACTAACGTGAACCAGGACTTGAATAATGAAAGGAGTGATTGCATTCTGTACATCGGAGGTTGTTGTTACATTAGAAATCCCAACGCCATCCCTTGAAGGGCAAAGTATTTTGTTTCTCCAACGAAAGGAATTAATACCAGAGAAAGATATGAAACTTATGAATCAGTGCTGGCTCCACTCAATCGTGTTCAAGTCGATACCCTCCTGGACCAACTCCCAGAGCGGGCTCAGCTCACGCAGGAAGTGTACACGTTCACGCACGGCCTTGAGAACGTAGTCCATCTCGGCATCGGAGGTGAAACGGCCGATACCAAAGCGGATACTGCTGTGAGCACTCTCGTCACTGCTACCCAGGGCACGCAGGACGTAGCTGGGCTCCAGCGAGGCGGAGGTACAGGCACTTCCGGAGGAAAGAGCGATATCTTTGAGCGCCATCAGGAGGGACTCACCCTCAACGTAGGCGAAGGAGATGTTCACACAGCCGGGGTAGTGGGCCTTAGGGTCACCGTTCAGGGTGGTGTGCTCCATGGAGAGCAAACCATCGCTGAGACGCTTTGAAAGACGCTCAATGTGCTTTGTGTCGTACTCCATATCCTGAAGGGCGAGGCGGCAGGCCTCACCGAATCCCACAATCAGATGCGGGGCCAGGGTACCACTGCGCAGACCACGCTCCTGGCCACCGCCAGTGATGAGGGGATCGAGACGAACACGAGGGCGACGACGAACGTAGCAAGCACCAATACCCTTGGGACCGTAGATCTTGTGGCTGGAAATGGACATCAAGTCAATGTTCGATTTGTTGACATCAAGCGGAATCTTACCGACGGCCTGGGCACCGTCGGTGTGGAAGAAGATCTTCTTGGAGCGGCAGAGACGACCAATCTCATCCAAGGGCTGGATCACACCAATTTCGTTGTTGACAGCCATGACACTGACGATGCAGGTCTCGGGGCGCATAGCAGCCTCAAGATCCTCCATACGAATGAGACCATTCGACTGGACGGGCAAGTAGGTAACCTCGAAGCCCTCATCCTGCAAATGCCGGCAGCTGTCAAGGACACACTTGTGCTCGGTCTGGGTGGTGATAATATGCTTCTTCTTGCCGGAGCGGCCAAAGAATCGCGCCACACCCTTCAAACTCATGTTGTTACTCTCGGTCGCACCACTGGTGAAGATGATCTCCTTGGGGTCGGCTCCAATCAACTTGGCGATGTGCTCACGGGCCTCCTCAACGGCCTTCTCGGACTCCCAGCCGTAGGCGTGTGTCCGCGAGTGCGGGTTTCCGTAGATGCCGGTAAGATAGGGGAGCATGACGTCGAGAACGCGGGGGTCGAGGGGGGTAGTCGCCTGCATATCAAGGTAGATGGGACGAGTGCCCTGGTCCATGACAGTAGCCTGCTTGAGGATACCAGCAGAAGGGCTCATGGCGGCGTCGCCCGAGACCCCGGAACTAGGCAAAGTAACGCTGCCCGGAGCAACGCTGGCCTTCTTCATGAAAGACTTCTGCTCCTCCTTGATAGCAGTTTCGATGTTGACCTGGGCATGGCCAGCCTTGGTCTCGGTGACATAAGAACGAGCTCCGCGGAAACCGGTGGCGAGGACGCGGCGAGGGGCATTCAAGGTGCCGTAGGACGATAAGCGCCTAGAACAGGCCAAAGAGGCCTGTCTCCAAGCAGCAGGGGTAGTAGGCATTATGGCGATGATGATGGAGAAAGGACCATCAAGATGGAAGGAAAGAGGATAAGCCAACAATTTCCCGATAACTCGGGGAATTCCCATTGAGGTCATCCCGGACTCAGGTTTCTCCGTGATGCCTGAGGCACGTGACTTCCCCTACACATGGCTTTGGAGCAAATCAAACGATGGACTGCAGTGATAGTATTGTATAAACAGTTATGAGAATGAATGCACCTAAAATGGAATCTGACCAAGGTTTAGGAAAGGCGGTAATCACCAGTTTTCCGGCACTAGAAGATATACCGGGCTCACCTCATCTCCGCATATTAACTTACGGAATGTCCGGGATTACAAATTGTAGCCTATGCGTCAACAAGCCACGCAAATCATCATCTCAGCCACTGCAATAATACTCATAGGGCTGGCGAACGTGGAGGATCACCGAGTGGAACTATGGAAGGGATGGAGTCCCACCGGAATCTGCGCCCGAGGGGAATCTTGGAGCCTGCATCACTGCGACACATCAGGCACCGAATAACCATAGTATGTTACAGGTACATGAAAAAATAGTAAAAATAAAGAACCATTCAGCTCTTTAGCCAAGCCACAGATTGACCCATATCACGTCTCAATCCGGAGGCACCAACTCGATGTGGTATAGTCCCATAGGGTAAAAGTTAGGTACAGCCACAATGTTCTCCAAGGTGTGAGAAGTCTTATGTCATAGTTGAAGCGAAAGTTGGGAACGGAAAGGCCGAACACCCCGCCTTGCTCTTCTCGACCTTATTTTACTCCCACTTTCTTCCCCAATTCGCTCCCTAACAATATAGTCCGAGATGAGCTTCAAGGGGTTTTCCAAGAGTCTCGCCCGAGCGCCACAGCAGTTCAAACTCAAGTTTAACATCGGTGAACACACTCAGGATGCCGTGTATACCGACTCCGAGCGCCGCTTCCAAGAGCTAGAGAAGGAAACCAAGAAGCTACACGATGAGTCTAAGAAGTACTTTGACGCCATTAATGGTATGCCACTGTGTTCCGGCGCACTCCGAGGTCCCAGCATCCCCTTTCAAGAACTTCAGGCTGATTCTTTGCAACAGGGATGTTGACCCACCAAATCGAGTTCTCCAAATCAATCGCCGAAATCTACAAGCCCATCTCAGGCCGAGCCTCCGACCCCAACTCATACCATGATGAAGGAAACCATGCGGGAATTCAGGCTTGTGAGGAGTATGAGGCGATCGTGCGGGAGCTGCAGGAGGCCCTCGTGCCTGAATTGGAGATGATCGAGAGCCGAGTGATCAGCCCTGCGGATCAACTCCTCGAGGTGATCAAGGTCATTCGCAAGGTAGCTGTCAAGCGCGATCATAAGAAACTGGACTACGACCGTCGCACTGCCACGCTTAAGAAGCTGGAGGAGAAGAAGGACAAATCTATCAAGGATGAGAAGGCCCTATACAAGGCCGAGAATGACGTCGAGCAGGCGACACAGGAATACAACTATTACAATGATCTGCTCAAGGAGGAGCTACCGAAGCTCTTCACCCTTGAGGCAGAGTTCATCCGCCCACTTTTCCAGTCCTTCTACTACATGCAACTCAACGTCTTCTACACCCTGCACGATAAGACGCAACGCATGAATATCAGCTACTTCAATCTCGACCTGGATGTTGAGGAGGCATTTGAGCAAAAGCGCGGTGATGTGCAGGAACGCACTGAAGCTTTGTCAATCGTCCACTTTAAGGCGCAGGGCGTCCGTCGCTCCAGCTCCAAACTGCATCCCAAGCTGGCCGAAGCCAAACGTGGGAGATCTGCTTCTAACGTCGATGAAAACCCTCCACCCCCTTACTCGGCCGGTGCTAGCCCAACCGGCAGCTTCTCCTCAGCGGCAAAGGGCAAGCCGGCCCCGCCGCCACCAAGAGCGAAGCCCGCTCACCTCAGCAAGCCTGCTGAGACGGCCACCGCTCTTTACGACTACGAAGCACAGGCCCATGGCGACCTTGGATTCTCTGCAGGTGATGTGATCGAGATTATCCAACGAACTGAGAACACAAACGAGTGGTGGACCGGGCGGACCGGTGGCCGGGAAGGACAATTCCCTGGTAAGTACAAAACCTCGCGATCAATGTGTTTATATACTAACAGTTCTATCCAGCGAACTATGTGCAACTGAGTTAGTGTTTCTTTTATTGGTATTTTGGGGTTTCTTGTTCTTTTCCGTGCTCTGGCGCATATGGCCTCATACATAGAGCGTTCTGTGTGTACATAACCTTCGTTTCTCGACCGCTCGCTAATTTCAGCTCTATGGGATTTGTAATATTTTGGTGACATACGTGCTACCTGAACTATCCATGGACTTCAACATTGCTTTATATCTCTGATATTTAGCTTCCGCCTATGGCATTGCAACTATCCAGACTATATCTCCATCTTGAATACTATCCAATATCGGGCATCATACCCACTTGCATATTTACTTGCATGTTCAATAAAAATTACATCATTTCGTATCTCGCAGATCATAGGTGACTTCGTATGGATCCAAGTGTTTGGGCCCCTATCATAAGCGGGGATGACCTTGAAACAAAAGATTTGAGCAGTCTAGCGCATCCCATCGGGCCTATGACATCTTCTCAATTTAGCCACATTTTTCTTAGTGGGGGACCGCTACTTCAATAGTGGGAAGTGACATCATTTTCTTAGATCAGAGACGCAGATCACCCCGATCTAAAGAAGATGAATGGATCTGGAGCAATTTCAGCAATGGCTCCTGCCGACTGCTGGCTTTAGCTACTCTTGATTTTCGCTGTTATCGTTGATGAAAATTTTATCTCACTATAAGTACAGTGATGGTAAAGATGCTTCATGTACATTATTGCATATTCCTAGCAAAATTACGCAGTGGCTTCTGTTTTCCAACTTTCCTCTCATTCTGCATATGTTCTCTTTGCCAGCCAAATTCTCATCAACGCTGAGATTCACAGCCGCGTCCACGGCCGCGTCCACGCTGGGCCCTCTGCCTATCGGCATCTGCCTTCCGTCTTCTTCGCTCGTTGAGCTCATCAAGTAGGTGGGCTGGGGTGTGTCCTACTTTATTTGGCTGATTCATCGAGCCTCCAGCGTCCACCAGCATTTTAATCAACTCCTCCCGTGTTGTGTAGGGGCTGTCTAGGGGCTGCGAAGGATCAGGCAATCCATCCTCACCCATCCTTCTAATCATTGTACTTTTCATCACTTCGTGAAGAGGCGTATTCCCCTTGTGATTGATCACGTTCACATCCGCCTCCAGGCTGATCAGATAGCGAATAGCGTCGATCTGATCCAAATCTCGAACTAGATAGTGCATCGCCGTGCACCCATCGCCATCGGTGTCGTTAATACTAGCTCCCTCCAGCAAGCGGTCAATCATATGAATACCAATGGGTTCTTCATTCCAACCGCCATCACATAATCTATGTAGGGATAAACGAGCAGGGACCCCTTTCGCCAGCAACTTCTCGATTAATTGCATAAGCTGACCGTCATGAAGATTAACGTCACGATTCCTGCCGTACCTATCAGCATGATTATCCACTGCATCCTGCAAAGCTGTCCGGCTAAGTATGTCGGGGTATTCGAAAGTAGAAGCCAGCGGTTTGAAATCTAGAAGCATATCCACAATTGCAATAATGGTCGCAGGTCCCGCGTGGCATTGAACTGCAAAATTGAATACCGATTCGCCTTGTTGGCTTCGGGCGTTGATTGTGTCGGGTTTGGCCTCAAGAAGAAGTTTTATAGTGGTCATCATCCGAGACGGAATTTCGGTTTGGGTATTCTCGTCGGTATTCGTATTCCGGTCATTATAATACCCAAGTAAAGCCCAATGGAGAGGGATTCGACCATTCTCGTCCGTCTTGGAGACCATTTCTGCCACACTCAAGTCACCGCGATGATCGATCAGCGCATGAATCCCCTCAAGGTTCCAATTAAGGCTTGCTATATGCAAAGCAGTCACTCCTTTCCTTTTTCGTAAGACATTGGTAGGATCGAACCATTCACCCACGGTCTTTGTAGGATCGAGCCATATCTGACAGGCATGAACCTCGGCTCCTTCCGCAATCAGACGAGATACCATTTTATAGCCAGCATTAGGAATGGCAGCGCCGAGGACTGTTCCTTCGAGCTCAGCAGTTTGGTTAGAGGAATTCTGGTCTTCTTCGCTCTGTTTGACGTAGATGTTTGAATCTCTGACCGAACAGCCCTGGTCCAGAAGGAAGCAGATAAACTCTTCATGCTTATTCATCGACCTTGGAGGGTTCGCATCGTCACAAATGGAAGAATCATCATCATCGCGTTTGAGCCCGCGTGCCGCGCTGAAGAGTGGGGTTTCTTCACATTTAAACCGATCATGGATTGTCGCCTGAGGTAGAGCATGGTCCAGTAACCATAGCATTAGCTCTTTCTGCGCTGCAGCGCAAGCCACATTGATTGGAGAAAAGTCAATGCGTTTCAGGTACTGGTCAAGCGGCTCGATATAACTCGGATCCGCTAAGTAGATCTCTAGCATTAGACGAAGTGCATCGAAGCTACCACTTTCTTCAGCAACAAGTAAGGGATGCCAGGACGGATTGTCGTAACCTTCCCAGAATATTTTCGTTTTCGGATGGTCTTGATAGAGTTTTAAAGCTGCAACATCGTTCCTGCTGGCAATATAACCCATGAGCGCGCCGTAAGGATCGTCATAGACTGGAGATCCGTCTGTGTCGTTGAAAATAGGCTCGACATCCTGTCCTTCAAAGTCAGAGTGAGGTTGATGGAAGGGATGGTATGCCATGACGATTCCAATCAATGGTGAGATGGAGAACGATTGGATAGGGAGATTATGGAGTGTGCGCGAATCACAACACTCTCAGTGAGCACATCAGTCTGCTCAGGCCACTGAGCACGAACATGAAGCTTACATAAGGCTAGGCGATCCACTTCTTAGATCTGTTCTGTGAGCAAATCTTCAAATATCGATCAATGCCTCGGACCTACTCGGTGATCCTATAAATGCCAATAGATAGTCATTGAGGTAATCGGACCAAAGTATGAATAGTTCCATTCACACTCTCGGTGATTGGTAGATAGTGCATGCCGTAAGCGACTCTTTCACAAGGAAATTCAACAGTAGTGTGACTGTTGTTATCTCTTCATTGAGTCGACCCATTCAATCTCCCTTCTCTTGTGTTCAGTGAGCGGATCAGTCTGCTGAGCATGAGCATGAGCTCACGTAAGGCACAGCTACAGCGATCTGATCACATCTACCAAGTATTCAATTAGCAGCTGTTCAATCGTTACACATCGCAGTGCATGCTTTATGCAGCTATAGCGTGATACTAGTACCCACTCACCGATATTACACAGCTCGCAACGCGGCAGTTGCTCCAGTTCATGAATTGATTATTTGCCGAGGGACAGCACAAAGCCACAGCCTGATCACAAACTCCGAGAGTTAAAAATAAAAAGCCCAAGAAAGCACTGCATGCTGCCTACATATCTTGAAGCCAATCGGATGGTCAGTGGTACCGTGTCATACCAATTAATGCCGCAAATGGGGCCAAAATGATGATGTTGCATATGGCCCCTACATAACTTTTCAGCATTTGAGTTGGACGTCTATGCTGCTTATATGCATTGTCATTAGCCAAGAGGGCCGAGATACCTGTGAAATCTATCGGTGAGGACAGCCATGTGGCAGATGGTTCATACTTTCACGCCTGAAAAGTTCTAGAAGTTCATGCACTCTTAGTGATCACCATTACTGTGATTGGCCAGCGTATGCTTCTCTCCAGAAGCTGGAGACATAGTATAACCCGAGAAGGGAACAGAGAGGCTTGAGTTTTCATTAATATTGTATTCAGATATCATTCTTTAGAGTTCTCAGGTAACGACTGGTCCGATGATAGCTCTATCCTATTTTGAACCAGAATTCCACCTTCCGGCGTTTCCTTCAAATAGAAACTGCCTCTGTTATTTTCACTGGCTGGTGACCAAACATGAGCATTAGTTTCGGTGATGACCAAATTCTGAAAAGAGTCTCTGGGACCCGCACTGGCTCTTGTAGTCGAGATAGGAATTTTCAAAAAAGGCGCACTCTTGTTTCCTTTTGTGTTTGAACTGCCGTAATACTTTTCTCTTAACTCTGATTCGTCGGATATGCCAGAAATGAAGCCCCGTCTCTGCAGAAGACGGAAGTACAGCGGTGCGCACGGTGGTAGACAGGCGCAGACTATACCGATTGCTGCCTCGATGACGGTGAAGGTGACGAAATCGACATTTGCCCACTATTCTCAAGTTAGACTTCATGTTTGTACTGGCTGGGTGTGAGGGAGTGCTCATACTGTCACGTCTTTGGTATCAGTATCTCGGAAGATCATCACGATTCTTGTAATACCGCAGCCGATAGTGAAAGCACCGAGTAAGAATACAGTGGATATAGCAACCTTGCGCATTCTCTGAGTACTTGATTTCCAAATTATTGGCACGGGTAGAAAGAAAATTGCCAGGTCTGATGCTGTGCTCAAAATTTGGGGAATGCCGAGGTATTGATGAGTGTGAGGAAGGCACTTTCCAGCTGGTAATGATTCGCCATAATAAACGATGTACCATTTCCAGTAATAGTCCACAGGCGAACATTGGAAGATGAATAAAACTGTTGACGCGATTCCTAGCATAACCGCGTACAACGCGTTGGTCCATATTGCGATCTTGACCCAGCGTTGTGGCGCAAGAAATAGACGCTGATATAAAACGAGAATGGAGAGCTTGATGGAGGTGACACCGGGAGCCCAGAGGATGGTGATGACCCAGTAATTCTGCTTCTGTGGTGAGAAAAGGCATGCAAGTGTTCAATAATTCGATCTTGACTGACAGTGTATATGTGTTGTAGTCCACAGGGCGGATTTCTGTCTTCGTGCAGAACGCGAACCTGGTGCAGTCCAGCCCCAGTCTTCAAGGAAGGACAGAAGCAACAAACTCGGCATAAAGGATGAGCTAAAGAAACTCATAGTATCTTCAGTAATTGATCAAAACATTGTGATGAATATTCATACCAAGGCAATGGTGACAAAAAGATCATCGAGTCCCCATCTTTTCTTGTACATTCGCTGAGCATAAAGTCTCACCATGACCGCGATAGTTGCTGCAACTGTAGTTATAGTAATCGCAGCATATTGTTGCGATCTTTTATCCTCATTCCACTTGCTCATCTGGGAATTATATTCCTGACTTCCCAGCTCTGGCACATATTGATCTGTATATGTCATAGTGGTAAAACCAGCCGGTACTACACCGACAGATTTGCATAAATACCAATCGGACTCTAATGTTGGTTGTCAATATTTGCAATGAAGGTCATTTCATCCAACATGAACGATTGGCGTGAAAAGAGGAAAGTCCCCAGAGTTTATGTGATGGAGCGCTGACAGGTACGATAGACGGTCAGGCCACCCTGCAATCTATATCAGGGTATTTAGCTTTAGCCCCCCGTGCATCCCCGTGGCTGATAATGTGCCAAGATGATTAGGCGATAAGCAAGGCAATTATGCAACAATGAAAGTTTGCAGATATGTGACCTGCGTTGCCTGAAAGTGGCCCCCAAGTAGCATACGTCACGTAGAGTCCGCGTTTACGGGCCGTAGACGCTAAAAACGCTAATTGATGCCACGGCCGTAATTTAGTGCACGTTATCTAAAGCGGAGTTTGCTTTGTTGCCGAGAGCCGTGGAGTGGCTTAGATTGTGTCTTGCTCGGTAGCCATCATCTGCACAATTTTAGAATTTCAGTTGGAATCCACCCTACTCATAACAGTCATACACTGAGGACTTATATTCTTCGACAAAGATAATCAAAGACTAACCTTGCCATTTTGCCTGAAATTTACTACAAAGAGGGGTTGTTTGGGGGCGGAGGGCCGCCAAGCTCGTATTACTCCGGCTCGAATGCATCACTTTTTAGCGAATAGAATCTAATAACGTACATTGACGAATTCAAAAAAAAATATTTGCTGCAATTTGTCGGCAAGATTAAATACTGGTAACGAACATTCTCTATCATATATGCCTCGGAAAAAACTATTTAACAATGTAACGATTATGCAATGGCGCAAATCGACCTTCGCTAGCATTGCATTGACATATGTTCATATTTTGATTTGGAATTTCCAACGATATTCAAGACAGGCCCAACGTGCTGTCAGTAGGCACAGTAGGGATATAGTAATCATGCCGCCAATGAAAACGACAAGATTGGTTGGTCCAACTGCCTGTAACAGCTGTCCACCAATGGGAATTGCCACGAGAGGTCTAGTGAATAGAGGTCAGCAGATTTACTTAGGAGGAATTAAGATAGACTTACCCATGGCTGATGACAAGATAGCAACTTCCCAACCAAAGTCCAACTTCCTCTGTCTTGCACATTTGGCTGAGACAGACAGGAAGCAAGCAGAGGATAGTTCCGGTACCGAGTCCCATTAAAACAACGAAAGAGTACATCACACCAAGGTGATTCCCAAATGGGCACCAAAGAAGGAAAATAAAGATCATAGTAGTGGTCATCATTGCTGACATCGTATTGAAGCGTCCAAAACGATCGGATATCATTCCTGAAAGCCCCCGACCAACAGCCGCCGCACTAAAATGTGTTAGCTATTTTCAAAAGAGATATAAAGAATAAAATTACATACCCGTTATATACAGCTAGCAGGTAAAATCCGGTATCCGAGCTGAAACCCTGCGCGAGTGCGTATGTAGGGACAAGACCCATCGACGCAAAAAGAGCAATCTGAGCGACTAGAGACACAATCAGTACATTAAATCATCAATTTGGGATCGAACACATACAGAACTGGGCCATCGTGAACCAGATAAATCGCGTGTCTCGAAAGCACCGAAAATCAAAGACAGCCGTCTGGCCTTTGACCGGTAGCCTGCTTCGAACGCAGATATTGCCGATGGTGAGAAGTCCCATAAAGATGAATCCGATAATTCTCAGTGACCAGACCCAACCCAAAGGTTCAAGCGTCGCCCTCAATATCATGGGGAAGATGACTCCACCCAGACTACCCCCAACCATCGAGATACCAGTCGCCATGCCACGACGACGGTGGAACCAATGCGACAGAACAACCATGCATGGGTTCGAGACAAATGCAGCACTTACTCCACTGAGTAAACCCAAACAGAGCATGAACTGATAATACTTCTCACACAAACTCAAAAGGAATATAGACAGGGTGAAGAGCACGGATCCGATAAGCATTAGCCACCGGGGGCCATATCTGTCGAACATCGGGCCGACCTGTACCGCAGAGACCATATTGAGGTACAGATAGACTGAGGAGATCCATCCAATTGTACTGGAGGAGTAATTTTGCAGTTGATGTGTTTCCCAGTGTGACTGCAGAGCGCCGACAGTGAACTGCATACCGAAGGTACATGTCAAACTCGCAAAAACGCCGGCTACCACAAGCCATGCTCGGAGTCCACCTTCGGGGAAATCGTCGAAGACATCTGCCTTGATTGCAAGGATACTATCATCTTGGGAGGAATCGGTATCGACATGTTGTAGCTGGTTTGAAAACTTCGGTAAGTCGTCTGTTGCCAGCTCCTGTGGGGTTTTCTCGGACATGGTCACGGAAGCTGATGCGCGTGAATAAACTGAAGAAGAATCGAGATAAGTAGTTCATTATCACTATCCTTTATCTATTGCTCTTCCCCCTGGCTGACAATTCCGAAATATGTGACGTCTGTCAAGGGTTCTTGGTAATATGCCTGGTTGTGCAATGTATAACCTGAACATACCTAGATTTCAAGAACTGTGGATTGAGGCATACCATTCATTGGCGATCATGGCATCATTGTCGGAGGGATGTTTCAGTCGTAGTAGGATCTTCCTATAAAGCTTGGCTATTCTTGTTATCTGTAGCATAACTTAGCCTCACACATTGGGAAAGATCTGCACTTTTTCGGACAATTATCAGGATAAGTCACTATCGAGTCCGGGTGATTGGAGACGAATGTGCCTGCGAGGGCATACAATTGACTGGTTGGGAATAGCTCCACTTTTGCTATCGCAACTGCCGGGAGCCAGTAGTTCATGAGATCCATTTGGATTCCGGACTAGTGGATCGCGTACGTACTCGCCTATATATCTAGGGACAGGAATGCAGGGAGTGGAGAGGCTGACGAATACGATGATCTATGTTGTAGATCATTGAATAAACACATCGGAATAATTGAAAGGCTGGGCGAAACAAGCTTAATATTCGCTTGCAGCTTACGTTTTACACACTGCACGTTTCAGTTTATAAACTTGGATCCAGTCAGACTTCGAAGTCGAGCGGAGCTAGGATAGTCCCACAACCCTGGATTGGAATGCTGAGCCTTGACAGATTTCCGAGATATATCTCATTGGAAATATATTTCTTAGGATTGCTTTGTGCTCATCCCAATGTTACGTCTTGCTATCATGTTTTATTGAAGGGGGGTTTGAAATTTTTTACGATCTGCCAAATCTCATTTACAATGCGTTGAAAGTCCGCAGGTTTTTTCGTCTTGATATTTGCTGGAAGTTTCATATGATGGTGTAAGTAGAAGTACAGTCAAAAAAGATCACGGCAAACAAATTAAAAAAATGATTGGCAGTAGTGCACGTGTCAGAGAAAGGTATGAGATAAGAAAGATAATGTGTACCGTGTCCAGGGCTAAAGTAAACCCCGAGTATGATAAAAGACATGGTAATGCAGTTACTAGTAATCCGTTTGCTTCCAAAACTTGCTGACATTCAGAAGAAGCTGCAATATCAACCCAGTTGTTCAAACAAATGAATCATTTCGATGAACACTACTAACGGAGATATCATGTTCCACAGAGATTCCGAGAGGGATGTCAGAGTCATGAGATTGCTTGGATCCAATTGGATCCACATAACACAATGTCTGTGCGGCGGTGCTGCCAGTCATTTGCGTCACAGTTTGCTTGGTCTGGTGAAGGCTGTCTCCATTAAGGGCAAGTGCTTGCCAGAGGTTCTGGCGACGTGCAGGAACCGATTCAACACGGCGAGATTCAAGAGTGGCACCAGCCCAGATGGACGACAGTGGAAGAGAGATTGCAACGAGAGTAAGGACATTTGATGACAATTCGGGAGTGACCGTGAAGTATTGAACGATGGTGAATATAGTCGGAACAACGAGAGTCTGACATCCACAGACGAAAATAGCTTTCATGGGACCAAAGTCTCGGATCCCGAGCCGAGTTCGCTGTCGGATTGCAAAGCCCAGCTTTGTGACGAAAACGGTGCAGAAGAAGCAGATGCTGATTGTGATGACAATCGTTGAAGCGCTTTCCAGCCACTGAATTCCACTGAAGGACGAGAGGTTGATAATCTCAATGTCATTCATGACCATGAAGGCCATGCGGAACCCGACTGCTAACAGGGCCATCAGTATGGAAAGTACAAATAGGACCCGACGATATCGACGACGCAAGGTAGCGCACACCACATGGACTTGGAACACCAGCGAACTCTCGAAACACACAACAACGAGGGTTTCAAAGACAGTCGCAACGATTGAAATTGCGTATGCTGCAGTATCAACCCCGGAATAATCAAATGAGAAATACGGGTAGATTCTCTCGAACCCGGTTGTGAAATGGATGCACTGGAAGAGCAAGCGAAGGAAGTTGAAGAGCAGTGCTAGTCCATTGAGAATGAAGATCGCCGAGCGACGCTTATCACGTCGAGTCAAAAGGATCAGAATCACAAAAAGCACAGCTGTTGCGCCTAACTGGGTCCCATAGTCGATGCAGGACTTGATGTTGTACTGGACGAACTCCTCGAGCTCCGGAAGAGTCACGTTGAAGGCCTGGCCATCCCCGGTCTGGAAAACAAGGGTCTGTTGCTCGGGATTAGACGAAGCCATTCTTGTGAAGAACGAAATCTGGGGAAAAGACCTAGTTCAAAGTAATAGAGTAGGGTCTGATGTTAAGACTTCGTGTAAAGGAGTCGGTCGGGGACAAGCCTTATACTTCCTTGAAGCATCATTCACCACGAAGTTGATTATTACAACTGTCGGATGGCATCTCAAAGGGTCTAATTGTCTCATGGTGAAGAGGCCGAGACATACAATGGGATAGGGATTGTTCTTGTTGGATCTGGCGAAGCTGGTGGAGGAGTGAAGTCAAAGGAAGAGAGAACAATATTAAGTGGGGAGAACAATACTAAGAATGAACAAAGCCACCCAGACACTCATTTTACTATCTACGGCCACCAAGTCCAGACACGGGCAGCAGTCACACAGACGCGTCTAGATCTCTTGTCCAAAACGAGCACATTTATCCTATCTTGTGATGCTTTCTAGCCCGACCGGGTAGTTTGGCTCTTTGCGAGACAATAGAAGAAAGCGACCTCGAAATAATGACGGTTAGTACAATCACACCCACCACCCAGTACCTTTGGACCTTTTAAGACCAAACAAAACTCTGGGGCAACGAGGTGATCTACGTGACCATACTATTCTGAGACTATCCCAATGGTGCATATGCGGAGACATAGAGCTCACTGACTCGGTCACTTTTACCAAATTAGGTAAACCGACACCTCAGAAAAGTGGCACGACTCGGGTGTCTGTTTCCCAAAAATTGTCTTTTGCCACTTCCCTCAGGTGTCAATGTGGCTGAACCGAAAAAAAACCTTAAATACATGCATGTCTACAGGGACGAAGTACATTTGCTGCAGTGACGAATCTAATCGAAGTTTCTAGTCCGCTAGTTCCAATACTATAGGCGCCTCCGATTGAACTTTCCGAGTCAATGCCGACGGAGAATATATTCCGTCGAAGATCGGTCCATAAGTGGGTCCATCTCGGGGAGGAATTGAACCGGCCGACAAAAACCTCGGTGACTTTTGCCATCTGCAAATAATGAACTAGGATTCTTCACACCGCAATGTTTAAGTGCTGACTACTTATGATGACGAATCGGAATACATATTCCAAAGGTTCAGCCCAAGTCAATCCACTCGCCTGGTCCTTCATTCCCTAAAATTCTTCAGAAATCGGCGGGAACTAAGCCCAATGGATTTGCATAGTGGGGACAGCGGGCCTATTCTAGTCGCCTCTATTGGAAAAATTTTCGGGGATTAGAAATCAGACTCTAGTGGAGTATATAAAGACTTCGATAACAACCTTGGATTACCCCTGTTGATTAAAGCATATATTGAGCTAGTTTGTTATCGTTTATCTATACATTTTATATATAAACTTTTATATATACCTTTCAACATGACTTGGCCCGATATCCACGTGAAGCCCGCCGAGGGCATCTCCTACTTCACCCCGGCCCAGGAGCCCGCAGCTGGCACTGCTCGCAACCCTCAGACAGATGGCAAGGCCATCCCGAAACTGTTCCAGCCCCTGACTATCCGAGGCATGACCTTCCAAAACCGTCTGGGTGTAAGTAATCTTTGTGGAAAAACATGTTCCATGTCCACCCGAGACCGAGTACTAATGAGACATTCAGGTTGCCCCAATGTGCCAATACAGTGCCGACAACGGCCACATGACCCCCTGGCACATGGCCCACTACGGTGGCATTGCCATGCGTGGACCCGGAATGATCATTATCGAAGCCACGGGCGTCGTCCCCGAGGGCCGTATCACTCCCGGCTGTGTGGGTCTGTGGCAGGATTCGCAGATCAAGCCGCTTAAGGATGTTGTCGAATTCGCCCACAGCCAGAGCCAGAAGATTGGTATCCAGCTCGGTCACGCCGGACGTAAAGCCTCGACCGTTGCCCCCTGGATGGGTGGTGCCACTGCCACCAATGCCGTTGGTGGCTGGGTCGACAACGTCAAGGGCCCTAGCGCCATTCCTTTCACTGAGGGCGATATCATCCCCCAGGCTATGACTCTGCAGGATATCCAGGAGGTCAAGGATGCGTGGGTTGCCGCTGTGAAGCGTGCTATTGCCGCCGGTGTCGATTTCATTGAGATCCACGGTGCCCACGGATACCTGCTTTCTTCCTTCTTGAGCGCCTCTTCCAACAAGCGTACCGATCAATACGGTGGCAGCTTCGAGAACCGCATTCGTCTTCCCCTGGAGATTGCCCAGCTGACCCGTGATAACGTCGGCGATAACGTCCCCGTCTTCCTGCGTGTCTCGGCTACCGACTGGTTGGAGGAGAGCATGCCCGAGGAGAAGGGCTGGAAACTGGAGGACACTATTGAGTTCGCCAAGGCCCTCGCTGCACAGGGTGCTATCGATCTGATCGATATCAGTACTGGTGGTGTACACTCCTCGCAGAAGATTAAGAGTGGCGGTCCTTTCCAGGTCCCATTTGCTGCCGCAGTCAAGAAGGCTGTTGGAGACAAGATGCTTGTCTCGGCAGTTGGTAGCATCAACAACGGCAAACTTGCCGAGAAGATCTTGAACGAGGAGAACATTGATTTGATCCTGGTTGGCCGTGCCTTCCAGCGTGACAGTGGTATGGCTTGGGCCTTTGCCAAGGATTTGAATGTTGAGATTGCTATGGCTGGTCAGATCCGCTGGGGATTCAACAGCTTCCGCAATGCCTCCGAGTACATCCAGCCTAACTCTATGAAGGCTACTCTCTTTGATTAGATTTAATTTTTGAATATGCATAGCGATTGGACATAGAGCACGATAGAATACGATATGATTCTCTGGTTTACGAAGAAAATAGCTTTTCGAACCCCGTCCTTATAAGCAATTCATTCATGTAAGTCGGGTTTAGAGATCACAGAGCGTGAAAGACCATAACATGAAGATTTACAATCACTGGAGGAAGTGCTCATGCGAATGCGGATATGATTGATGATTTTGACAATGACGGAGTAGTAATGACGAAACACTGTCTAGATATCAAAAATGTTACAATAAATAGCTGAATCTCATGCAAGAATCCAATTTCAAATCCATATCTCAAGCACAAACCCGAACACAAGGCCACAGGATCGATTCGGATGGGTGATTCTTCACTACCATGCCTGCTGTAGGTTTCTTTTTTGGGTAGGTTTTTTCTTTTGTTGTTGCGCCGGTGATGATCTCGAGCGTGTTCCGAGATGCAGAGGAGTTATGCGAAAGTAAAATGTAGGGAATATCTGGAAGAGCACTTTCAGGGTTAGTACATGATCATCGGGAAGGGCCACATCGAGCATACCTTGAAACTCGTTTAGGCAACTTGAAGACTTGTCGATCAGTGTGATCAGTGGGTTGTTTGTTGTCAAATGCAGTCTGCATTTGTCCTGACACTCAGGTTGCGGGTTTGTGATTGGAGCTGAGTGACGCCTGTTCAGAGGGAACTCGAGCAAGATAAATTCGTATGGCCGGTGCTTCTTCACCGCATGCCGCCGTTGTAAATCTGTGGCTTGTGCCTCCACACCACAATGAGACAGAAGTTTGTTGTGACGATATCAAAAGCCATATCCTAATTGAATTTGTCCTGACACTCAGCCGAGTGATGCCTGTCCAGAAAGGATAGTTCAAAGAACCATGAGGGAAAAGAAGCCGTGCGACGAGTTTGAGGCCGTATTCCGAGATGCCGAGAAATGTATTCGAAGCTTCAAAAGGGAGGAGTGGCTCAGCAGACTCGATTGGTGTGGAAGCAAATTGTGGGGGCTCATCTGGAAGGAGGACTTGCACAAACTAAAAGGTCAATGAGAGTAGGTACATGGAATGATCATTGTACAATTACCTCAAAACTTGTCGATGCAAGTGGGAAGGGATTGAGATGATTTTGTGATCGGTGCATCAAGGAGGAAAACAGACATGATGAATTGATGTCAAAGATAAATGCATGATGGATGCATGAAGAGAAATTTGAAGGAATTTGGAGCTTGAAGAAAGAAGATGGAACTTGGAACTTGGAACATGAAATGAATCCAAGTCCGGAGTTCGAGAAAGCATGAAGCTGGAATGTGGGGACAGTGCAAGTTCGAGAACGAGGAGCTTGGAAGTCAGTGATCAAGCAAGTCCAAATTTCAAAGAGGAGGGATAGAGTTGTAAGTTGAGAAGAGATGTAGCAAGTTTGAAGGAAAGGAGTGAAGTTGAAAATTGAATTTGATGGAAGCAAGTGCAAATTTCGGAGTGGAATCTCAAGTAGGAAGTCAGAGCTTGGATGATATGGGAGTTGAGGAAGGAAGAAAGCAAGAGGGATGGTCGAAAAGTTGAGGCTATTTATATCTTTTGGGAGACATGGGGTACCCCAGGATCACTGCCTCTCGCGTGAATCGACCAATCAAGAGCTTGGAAAGTTTTCTCAATATCATCATTCAGTCCTAACTTCCGCGTTTTGGTGATCTGTGATGGTGAGCTTGGTGATACTGGCCTTCCACGTGCAGGATTACAACAAGATCACGCCTCCCGATTAGGTTCGGCCCATCCCGATTGAGCTCCACCTTGGCCCCATTCAAGATGGAACCATACCATAAGGCCAAAAGACCAGCATTTCTCGTATGGTATATAGATCCTATTTCCCCAATTCTGACAACCTGAATTAGAAATGAGACAAAGAATCATAAAGACATGCGGATATCTGGATCTACATAAAGAGCGCCAAAAACGAACACCATAAATCTAGTTTAAGCCCCCCACTATACGCGTTTATGGTATCGCAGTATTCGAAACCCAACGAGTAATCTTGTTGAGTGCATATATTCCCACACCCCGAAACCAACTACGCTATTACAACATATCCAGGTACCTACTCAGGCACCTGCTCCCTGAATCATGAGGCATTCTATGACTGATTGACACGTCGTAATTTCAATCTCTGAAGCTCGGCATAATACAACCTTCAAGGAGAGAAATATTATGAAGCTTAATCAGGAAAAAAGCAATCCCAAATGGGATGTGTGGTTTTGTTATGACGCTTTGCGTGATATGTCAATCTTGGGAAAGAGAGTGATTTTGCGGTTCCTATGGCGTCTCTCGTGGTTGGTCGATCCTGAATATCAAGTGTGATCTTGGGATACAAAGCGTGATTTTGCACGTTTCCTTTCCCCTCCCAAAGCTATAAATACCTCCATCTTTTCCGTCTTCTTCATTTTACCTTCTTCCTTCTCCATCCACCTTCCAACTCTTCTAACTATCAACTTCCATCTTACTTCTTCTTTGAGTCTGAACTCTGAACTTCCCTTCATTCATCTACCAACCTTGACATCCATCATGTCTATCTCTCATCGACTTCAAGTCTTTCAACATGCATGTTCACACTTCCTTCCCCTCCCCAGTCTTGCCATGTTTGCTTCGTTTACTTTTCTCTCTCTCGTTCTTTCTTTATCTTTCTTTATCCTGACGCTTCACATAGGATTTTGAATGGCCATCTCCAATCACACCTTGGTCACCCTGACCAACATACGGACCTCTCTGACAAATAACCCCTCCCCACCCGCCTTGACAAGACTCAAAGTACCTCCTACTGATCAATTCCATTCTTTTCCTGCTTGACTCGTCACTGACCTTTTCCATTGTTCTTGTTTTCCAGACTCCGCCATTCTTCCTTCCAGGAGACGCCGCACAAATTGCTTCCCCGCGATCTGCTTCTACACAAATTGAGTCTGTTGAAAAGCCACTCCTCCCTCCTGAAGCTTCCAATCAATGCATCTCGGAAAAATATTCTCGAATTCGTCATTGGCATCAAGAAACAAATATCTCTTTCATTGTGGTGTGGAGGCACAAGCCACAGGTTTACAACAACAGGCATGCGGTGAAGAAGCACCGGCCATACAAACATCTTTTTGCTCAAGTCCTTTCTGATCAGGCGTCACGTATCTACCCAGTTTATGTGTCAAGACAAATTCCTCAGACTGGGCTTGAGCCACAACCACACGCGCAAAATGGCTTGAGGATATCTCGCTGGGCGCAGCAACAACATCAAAAGCAACAACCAAAAGCAACAACATCAAAAGCAACAACATCAAAAGCAACAACATCAAAAGCAATAACATCAAAAGCAATAACATCAAAAGCAATAACATCAAAAGCAATAACATCAAAAGCAATAACATCAAAAGCAATAACATCAAAAGCAATAACATCAAAAGCAACAACCATCGACTCTCCTTCACAATCATTTCTTCATGAGACAATTCTGCATCTTCATGTGCCAGCAATCTTTCGCCGAAGCACTCTTCCAAAACATGGCTTCACAACACTTCAGACCTGCACCTTCTACGTCTTCTTCATCGCAACAATGCTCTTGTGTTTGTGGTTCGGATCTGGAAATGAGACTCAACTTGTTGTACTTTTCTCTAGACAGTGATCGTCAATATTACTCTGTCCAACCAATCAAACTTCCTGCAATAATTGTAAATGTTCTCAGTAACTTCAAGATATTGAACTCTCCAAGTTCCTGTATGCCAATTCCTCCTCGCTGCTGGGGAAAGACCTGCAATCTTAGATAGCGTGGGTACATCGTGTAGATACTCATTGCTGTTGGAAACTCGGTACACGATATACAGTCAACAAGTCCAGGGATGTGACATGATACAGATATCCCCGAATGCCTCATCTTCGGGTTTAGTCAGGCAAGAACCGAGGGTTCAGCACTGGACTCAACTTGGAATTTTCCATGGCAGCTGCGTTATGAACGGTCTTATACAGTTCGAAAACAAAAGCTGATCGGCGGCGTAACACAAAGAAGTCCAGCCCAGCCAAATAGTTGAAGCCACAAAAGCATCTGTAAACACAAGGAAAAGGACTACAAGAAATTTGATGAGGCACTTAATCTTCATTGAATGAAGTGGTTATCAATAATAGTTGTTAATGTACATATGTTTTCTTTCCCCCGAGGCATGCGCCATAAGATGAATCCAGGTACTGTAAAACCCCTTCGGAATGCGTAGACATATGGAAGATGAAGGTCATGGCCAAATAGTACACAGACAAAAAATAACATGGTAAAGATAGCCGCAAGAACGCCTTCGAGCCTTCGTAAAGGCCCATGCATGAATTTGCTTCGGGGATCGAAGATCAAAAAGAAGAAAAGAACAAGAAAAATCAAACCCGGACATCGTGGCACAGATGTTGATGCCAGCAGCAGGATTCTGAACCAGCATCTTCAAGGCCTTTGTGAGGCGGGTTAAGTGTCATGACGGAATGTGCAGTTGTCTCCTTTCCTGCACTTTCCTTCAGCCCAGAACTTGCATGCAACCAATCCATATTTGTAAGGTTTAGCATCGTTGGCCTTTGTCCGCTTCTGACGACTCCATGAAGGGTCATACTGGCCATCGACAGGTACGTCCTCACGCTCACGCGTGCGTTTCATACGTTCGGTGTCCTCGTAGCTGGCTGCTGGCTGCATGTGCTGCGGGGGACCAGACTGCTGGTTTGGGCCGGTGAATGGACCGAACATGGCGCCAAAGTTGGGGGCCATTGCAGGCTGGGTCTGCTGTGGTTGGGTGTATGCGCCAGGCTGCAGCTGTTTCATCACATTGAGAATATTTTGGAAATCAACGCCCGCCACCGGTGCTGGGGGTACCGGGGCTTGAGGGACGACGGGCTGTGTCTGGCGAAACATGCTGATGGTACGCTCCAGATCGGACATTGGGTGTGCAGGTTGCTGCACGGTTTGCGGTGGAGGTGTCGATTGCTGTGGCGTTCCAGCCTGTATCAGTTTTAAGATGTTAGAGATGTCAAACCCGCCTGGTGCTTGATTCGGTTGAGGTTGGATTTGAGCCGGAGGAGGTGGCGCGGGCTTGGGATTCATGTATTCGAAGTACCGTTCTTGGCGAGCCTGTACCAATTGCAATTAGTTACTATTCCTCATTTGTGATCGAAGATGACATACCTTGATGTTATCGGGCAATTCTCCGAAGGGAATAACATCGGGGGCGACCTCGTCGACATCAGGAGCGGGGGGTTCCTTCGGCGTCGAGGGGACATCAGCTGGAGAAGTGTGGAACACCATGAGGGTGGTGGACTCTCGGTGATCCTGGGCCTCTTTCTCCGGGCTGTGGGGAATCTGATTTCCGCCACGTTTGATGAAGTTCCCATTCTTCATTTCCTCGGATTCAATGACGATTTCTGGTTCGGGGTTAGTCAAATCTGGTTGTGGCATTCTGGGAAAGTGCAACTCACCAGTGAGAGCAGGGTATTCGCCGTAACTGGTCTCCCGTAGACCACCAAGATCGTCCTCCTCCAGCTCCTCCAAATCTTTATGAAGTTTAAGAACACTACCTTCACCTTTCACGTCGCCTGCGCCACGCAAGGAACCGTCGCCAGGGCCCAGCTCTTCGTCAGGGTCGTGAGTGAATAATCGGACTTCTGTGAGTGACTCCTCTGGTTTCCAGGTAACACGCAGCTTACGTCGCTCTTCTTTGCGCAGCCGCTTTGTGCGTTCTTCTTCTGTCTCCGGGGGCCTTTCCTCTGTAGGCTTGACGACAACAGTCTCTTTGGGTTTACTAAGATCGGCCATAATGTCACCGAAAGAGAAAGCGGGTTTGGGAGGGGGTGCTGCGGGCTTTTCCTTCTTCTCCGTGGCAGGTCTGTTTACAATATCAGTTAGGCTGCATTTCAAGAATTGGACACTATGTGAATGTGACACGTACGTGGACTTGCCTGCAGCGATTGCTGCGGCTCTCTCAGCATTTGTTGTTCCCGGTCGCTTGGAAGCGGAGCTCAATGCGCCAAACAGACTCGAAGGCTTGGGTGCGACGACATTGGCTCTAGGGCGAGGTGCTGCTGCGGTTGCAGGCTTGCCATTCTGAGCGCCTTCGACAGGTCGCTTTCCCACGCCATTAGCTGGCACGGCGGGTTTGTTCGCATCCTTGGGGTTCGACGTAACAACCATCCGCTTCGTGGCAGGCTGGACATTACTTTCTCCGTCTCGGGCACGTTTTGAGCCAGCAATTTCGGAGGGGGAATCTGCCGATGAGCCCTTCCCTGAGGAGTCTTCCGCTGCTGTTTCGGCAATCTTTTGCTTCCACTTCGTGGCGGCCGCAGCATTATCTAGGATTTTCTGCGCTGACTCCTTGATGGACGGTCCACCTTTCTTAATAAAGCGAGGTAGCAGCTTAGCAAGGTTGGTTTTCTGCAAAATCTCTTCATCTACAGTAATGAATTGCGCCAAAAGCTGGATCTTATGTCAGTCATTTAGGAAAACATTTTCGTCGCGTATTAACTTACCTTGATCATGTTAATGGTTAATGAGCCTTCGAAATCAGCGGCCTGGAAACGGTCTGCCAAAAAGGAGTAAATGGCTGCAAGTGCCACCGGATGTTCTCCACATCTAAACGCCAATTAGCAATCCGGTATAAAACACCAATATGAGATGAGACAGTGCTTGGCAAGGCGGAATGACACGCTTAAAGCTTAGCAAACGAGGCATTTTTGTCCAAGGCTTCGCAGATAGCTTTAGTCAGCGTATCTACCTGGAACTTCAGGCTTTGGTATCTGTCCATATGTGACCAAAAAAAGCATCATGGGATGCAGTCTGGAGCATAGGAGGCAACCCTTATTTCTAGCCATATTAATTGTATCTTGGTTCATTCCACGGGAAACAGGTTTACGCGGGCAATGCTCTCAATTTGCTTCAGACTTATATCGTCACGACAACCATGTGCAAACGCATGGTATCTTAGGAAGGAAAAAGTGGGCATGGGACTGGGGGTAGGGGATGCATACTTCTCGACGATCACAGGATGGCCCATCTCCATGGCAGTGGTCATTATCTTATCCATTGTCTGGCGCTGCAGTATCACACCTTTCCTTAGCGCGGCAGCTTTATCATTATCGCCTTGGTTCTCTGCGTTCTTCATCGCCTGGACCTGGTCTTTCCAAGAATCCCGAAGAGTCTTAATAATTTCTTTGAATGCCATCAACCCGTTCTTTACTTTATCGGCTGAAACTCTCTTGTTTCGGGGCGACCAGACGGCCTGCAGTGTATCGTACACAGCTGCTGCAATAGGCTCAATGGGCCGGACAGCGGGGATGGGCGATGGCTCCGGTGGAGCCTCAATTTCCAGCTCGGAGTCAGAGCTCTCACTACTAGCCCCCTTGGCCTTGTTCTCCTTCTTCGCGATTTTCTTTGCTGGTTGTTTCTTGGGAGGTTTCTTTGCCGCTATTACGACTTCGGGGACAGGAAGACCCGTGTGACTTGAAACAGACATACCATTCTGAGAGCCAGCGTGGCCGGGCCCAACACGGAATTGAGGTTGAGCGGAGATGCCATTTTCAAAGTAGTTGAACATCTGCCCACCAGCCCGATCAAACTCAGCAGGATTTCCATACATGAAGTTGTTGTGCATGGCTTGACGCTCTGTAGACTGCGTTGTCGGGTTAAGAAATTGCGGGTCGATGGTGTGGTGATGTCCGGGTTCGGAAGGGAAGTCTTCGGTGAGGTCGATGGTATTGTGCAGCTCAGAAGGAGGGTACCCAGGTGGTGCGGCGAACTGAGACAAGGCAGGTTGTGGATTAGGCACCTGGAACTCCGCCGATTGTGGATGTTGCTGTGTGGGACGGGTCTGGAACGAGTCCTGCATGGAGAGTTGTTGCGGGTAGAAGTTCGGTGGGAAGGAGTAGGAGGGGAAGGCTGAGCTCTCGGACGCTTGCAAGGAGCGCGAATCGTACTGCATTTGATTTGGTTGATATTGCTGCAGTGGTTGTGCAGTCTGGTATTGAGGAGATGGCACATAACCACCACGACCAGGTTGGTGCAATGGGTTTGGCTGCCATGATTGGGGAATTGAGTAAATCTCTAGGTTTGGGTCGTTCGGCGAAGTCATCTGGGTCTGTTGTTGTTGGAGCATCGGCTGCTGTTGTTGAAGCACTGGATGATCCCAGCTAATGCCCAATGGCTGCTGGGAGGACGGATCTTGGGGCTGCTGGGATTGGGATTGTTGAATCTGTGAATCAGGATACATGGAGTCCATACTGTTCCAGAATTGAGGCGAAGGCCCCTGGGGCGTTCTGCTATGGGGCAGACCCGGCATTCGATTCTGAGCCGAGGACTGCTCCATGATGTGCGCCCACCAGAGTTGAATGAAAACACTCTCACTTCACTTTACTTGAATGAAAGCTTGCAGCTGTATATTTGCCCTGTATATCACGTGGGTCCACTCTGAAGTGCTTTACCACCGCCTGCCTTGAACGGAGATTTGTCGGGAAAACGTTTGGCCGGGAGTCAGGTGCGGGGGTCACGCGTCTGATCGATGAGAGCGATCTGATTGGCTGAAAATGCGCGTCGGCGGCAACTGGTAACACAAGGAACACTGAGGAAATGACGAATTATCAGGATGTGATCGTCCCCAGCCTTTGCAAAGGTTATATCACGGATAGTACAGCTAGAGCAGGACTGAGACGTAACCAAGGATACTGTCGTACCTTTCTTTTCCTTTGTTTAAATTGCAAAACAGAATATGCGTGTCTTAGTGATGAGTTTAGATCGTGTTTGCCTCAGGCATCCACTGTCGCTGATGAAATCCTGTGGTTTTGGCGTCGATTCCTGGTATTTCTGCACGTTTTAAGGACCCTGAATGGCTGTATACAACCCGTAAAGAAGAAGATCAAGAAGTGGAAAATAGTTCTGAGACGCCTGGATTTTCCAGAATCCTTTATGGCTGTCTGCTTGATTTTTTTCCTTCTGTATTCTCTCCTGCACTGATTGTACTCTGGACCCTGGTTCCAGCTTCAGCTGCTCTCTCCTCTGGAGTTTTAAGCTTGTTTCCTTCAGGAGAAAAATACTCTGGGGCAGAGAATAGATAGGCTCCTATATCCAGAGCCACTCTAGCATCATAGCCATTCGCTTTACGAAGAAAAGGGGGAAATTGGGGGAGATGATGGGGTGATGTGGAGGGAGAGATTTGAGGCGGAAGGGGCAGCAAATTGCTACGCAAGGTAGGTAACGTTGAGGACGGAATTAGTACGCTGTGAATGGTTATCATTCGTTAAAAGCGTGATATATTACCGTTTCACTGTACTGAAACAGTAAATACTTTCAAGCTCCGCTGGTGACATGTCATACATGTGATACGTCCCCCGGAGTTTGCTCAGTTTGTCTGATTACCTCATCCCTAGGTCGGGCCACGCTTCATGCTTAACGGGGAAAGCGGGATATCAACAAGGAAAAAGCCCAGATCTTCCAACTTTGATGATTGACCTCCAGTTGGAATTCATATACTTCTTTTGAATGCTGTGGTGCTAAATACCAATCCCTGATTGATTTACCGAAGCCCGTGGTGCCTGGTCTGCCATGGCGCATCCAATGTCCCTCCGAGACCGACAGGTCGGTAGGTGATTGCTTTATATTGGCCTCAAATCTACGGTCTTTGGCTGACAGACTTATTCTAGCTTCAATTCAGAAACTCTTGAATCTAAATCATGATCCCCGCCCTGCAGAGGACTCCCATGATCCCTCTAGCCATGGCGGCCTCATCTCCCACTCCACCCCGATCTTGAATGAGGATGGCGACCCGATCTGGAAGGTCCTGGTATTCGATGGCATGGGCCGTGATGTTATCAGCAGTGTCCTGCGAGTTAATGATCTCCGAGCGTGGGGGATTACTATTCACCTGTATGCTATTGCGACCCCGTTCCCCTCGGTAAGCCGAAGTGGCTAACTAATATCGTCTCAGGAGCATCAATTCTCAAAGATACCCCATTCCCGACGTGCCCGTCGTGTACCTGGTCGAGCCAAATGAGGCGAATATTCAAGCGATCTCCCGCGACCTTTCCCAGGGTCTTTACTCCCCCGCCTATGTCAACTTCCTATCCTCCGTTCCCCGGCCGCTCCTCGAGGACTTTGCTTCGCAAATAGCTACATCTGGCGCCTCGGAGCATGTCGCCCAGGTCTTCGATCAGTATCTCAACTTTATCGTCGCAGAGCCTGACCTTTTTTCCTTGGGCATGGGCAACAACGCATACTACAAGATCAACAGCCCGAAGACGACTGATGAGGATCTGGATGCCATTGTCGATAAGGTGGTTAGCGGCCTCTTTAGCGTCAGCGTGACCATGGGTACGTTTTCTTATTTTTGATTCCATGGTCATATGCTAAAATCAATTAGGTTCCATTCCTATCATTCGATGCCCCAAAGGTGGTGCAGCAGAGCTCATCGCAACGAAGCTTGATCGGAAACTCCGTGATCACATTCTCAATTCTAAGGACAACCTCTTCTCCGGAAATCAAAGAGCTTTACCAGGAGTACCTTCGACGCGCCCCGTATTGATCATTATGGATCGAAACGTTGATTTGGTGCCCATGCTTTCACACTCCTGGACATACCAGTCTCTGGTGCAAGATGTGCTGCAAATGCGGTTGAACCGGATTACCTTGGATGCCGACGAGCAGGACTCGGGCAAGAGTGGGAAGAAGTCGTATGACCTGAATAGCAATGATTTCTTCTGGCAGCGGAATGCTGGTGCACCGTTCCCTCAGGTCGCTGAAGATATTGATGCTGAGTTGACCCGGTACAAAGAGGACGCAAACGATATCACGAAGAAAACTGGTGCATCTTCTATTGAGGATCTCCAGAATGATACCAGTGCCTCTGCGCAGCACCTGAAGGCGGCCATTACGCTACTCCCAGAGCTGCGGGAGCGTAAGGCTGTTCTTGATATGCACATGAACATCGCCACTGCCTTACTGAAGGGCATCAAGGACCGACAGTTGGATAACTTTTTCGAGCTGGAGGAGAACATCACAAAACAAACCAAGGCACAGCTTCTGGAATTGATCAATGACCCAGCCAAGGGCAGCAACCCCACAGACAAGCTGCGCATTTTCATCATCTGGTTCCTCAGCACCGAGACCGAGCTGAACCGTACAGAGATGACACAATTCGAAGAGGCTCTTACTCAGGCCGGTGTTACCGACATCACTCCTATCGCATACGTCCGTCAAGTTCGCGAAATTACTCGTATGACCATGATGACGACCGCCGCTCCAGAGCAGCAATCCTCCGACATCTTCCGCGGCTTCTCATCACTCTCCAACCGCCTAACAGATCGTATCACTTCCGGTGCGCTCGGTGCCAACTTTGACTCCCTCATTTCCGGCGTGAAGAACTTCCTTCCCGCAAACAAAGATCTCACCGTGACTAAGATCACCGAGTCTATCATGGATCCAGCCTCAGCATCCAGCTCTGCTATCACCAAAACAGAAAACTATCTCTACTTTGACCCACGCAGCGCCAACGCTCGCGGTGCCATGCCCCCGGCCTCCGCTTCACGAAACCAGCAGATGCCCGGTGCCATGGGTGCCTCTGGCCCTGGCACCGGTGCCACCTTTGGCCAACGCCGCCAGGCTTTCAACGAAGCTATTGTGTTCACTGTTGGTGGTGGCAGTATGGATGAATACGGCAATTTGCAGGACTGGGTGAAGCGTACGAGCGGTCAGCCAGGTGCCGACGGTGCACCTGCTGGTACTCGTGCTCCTGTGGCCCGCCGTAGGGTTGTTTATGGAAGTACGGATTTGATGAATGCGAATGAATTCTTGTTGGACTCGCTGGTGCCATTGGGACAGGAGAGTTAAATATGCAAGTTGCTTTATGGGATGGTATGGTCAACAGGGTAGATTCTATAGTTGTAAAACATACTTTAATTCAAGGCCCTTTGTGCAAAACATATTCATGTATAGTCCTCTACGTCTAGTGCTTTTCTGTTGCTGTGCTGTAAACATGCGGGGTTTAGCGGATTTAGCGATCCCGCCCCCAAATCTGTGCTGCGAGACGGGCAGAATACATCATCGACACTTTGAACTATGCAGGAGGATCCATTATGCATGCATCAAAATGTGGGCCTCAGGAGGCTGGAGGCGGAGGCGGAGGCGCGTGGGGAGATTTCATTATAGGATTGGTATGAGTTTTTATTCGTCAGTGGAAGCGAATGACTGCGGGGCCAGCAAACGTGCTGTACATATAAGAGGGGTTTCATTTGGGGGCCATCATTACGTACATCCCAACTTTGGGGCAAGATTGACAGATCGTCGTGGAAAGAAACGAGTTCCTTTGTCGTAGTAACATATAACAATCCTTAATTTTCCAATCAACTTCACAGCACTTCTCTTCACCCTTCTTAGCTTTTCTTAGAGCCACTGTTTATTCTCCCATGTTCCAATGGATCGCTCTAACATTGTCGGTCGCGCTGCAGAGATCAGCGAGATTGCCCACTCTCTCGCAGGTGTTCTGGCGAAATCCGGACAACGAGAGCCATCTTTCGAGCATGGTCTTCCTGATGCGCTGAGAAGCGATGCGCCAGATTCGGATGAAGGGGCGGTAGCCAGCCGCATGAAATTGGTAGGCTTGCTGGATGAGTTCCGCGATTTGTTGATTGATCCGGCTATGCATTTGAGCCCAGAGGGTGTAAGTCTAATGGTCATTAGTAGTAGTAAATCATTTCATTCTGACTCCCGTCTCAGCGAAATCCAACCTTGAGTATTCTCTCAATATCCCGTCTTCAAATTGCCAATCATGTACCGAAAGAGGGCATTTCTGTTCAAGACCTGGCTGGTAAACTGAACTTGAACGCGAAAATTGTCCGCCGACTGATGGCACATGCTGCTACCTATCATGTGTTCTTCCAATCAGAGCGTGACTACTTCGTGCACACAGCGAGCTCACGGCTGTTGGCTGAGAATGAGGGTATGCGGAATTGGATTTTGATGGGCGTAGGAGAGACCATACCAGCGACTTTCAGAGTATGGGTTTACTGTTTGACTAAAGATGGCGCACAAGCTAACTTGAATTTTCTAGATTCCTGATGTTTTACAAAACAATGGCTACTCAGAAGAACCACAAGATAGCGTAAGTATTCACTTCTATCAATATCATATCTGTTCTAACCAGACTACTAGAGCTGGTCTGTTCACAACTCGACGAATCTCCCAGTCTTCGCAGCTCTGAATGAAATGCCAGAGCGTGGAATCGTGTTTTCAAAGGCGATGGCCTGGCATAACCAGCTCCCAGGCTTTTCTACAAAGCATCTAATCGACCACTTTCCTTTCAAAGATAATGAGACTACTACTGTTGTCGATGTTGGCGGCGGGCTTGGACACATTGCACAAGGTCTAGTTATCCACGATCCCAATGTCCAATGCGTTGTTCAGGATCTCAGTGAGCCCGTCGCTCAAGGAGAGAAGATGCTATCAACGGAGGCGCAAGGCCGTGTTACCTTCCAGACGCACGACTTTTTCCAGGACCAGCCAGTAAAGGACGCGGATGTCTACCTTCTGCGGCATGTATTGCATGACTGGTCCAATAAGTATGCTCGTAAGATCCTTAAAAGTCTGATTCCGGCATTGAAACCTGGAGCCAAGGTCGTCATTAACGACCGGATTATTCCTGATTTTGGCGAGGCACACTATCTTCTGGAGCGGGAATCGAGGTATGTTTCTACTTTTTTTTTTTTATCTTGATCGCAAATCTTCTCTCTATCAGAGCTGGCCGTTAACAAACCCACAGGGACTATGACCTTTACATGTTCACTCTTACGAATGCTCAAGAGCGGACACGTTCGGACTGGGAGAGTCTTCTCCGAGACACTGATCCTCGGTTCAAGCTTACGCGAGTGTCTAGACCGGAGAAATCCTTCCTGGCTATCATGGAGGTGACATGGGAGGACGAATCCACGTAAATCAGAGTGATCTAGACCTAGAGTGGCCTCGACATGTAGATGTACCTGCTAGAAAGTGAGAGAATATTTGTTGGCGGGCTTAGGTTTTCTGCATTATTCGAGCAAATTCTACATAGTAGGTTCCAGGGTCGGTGAGTTAGTGGCTCAGCCCTCGGGTTCTGCGGTAATGGTTATATGCCCGAAGGTGCCAGGAGCTACGTCCTTATTGAAGGCGAAATTGTCGTGAGATCTTGTATTTGCGCCACCACCATGATTGGGTTTTCAACGAATTTGTCTTCAATGGAGCAACAAGCAATTGGGCGATGAAGCAGGGCCCTCTTAGCTGCCGCTATGCCAGGTAAAATCACGATAAGAATGAGTAAGTTTTTGCTAGTGCATCTTGAAGGTGGTAGGGGCCTGGTGGACCAATGGTGGCGTGTAGTTCATTATCGTGGATTCATATAACATCATCCGCCTCCTGAGGCAATATTTTGATGCCACGTTTTCCGAAGTTAATCAATCAAATTGAGTTCCAGCGATGAATGCGCATTCTGCTTTGATCGAAACATCTTGCCTCATTGCTAATTTACTCCATGTATGTGATGTCACAAAGGATCATGATTGTGAATCAGACGCCACAGGCACAGGTATAAGAGCCGAGTCGCTACGACACTACATGGCTTTTATACAAGCTAAAGAAACACATTCTCAACCTCAACTCTAGATACTGCACCTTCGAAAGAAGTCCATAAAGTCAAAAATGAGTGACCGCATTTACGCAGCGGATACTGGCTACCCAAGTGACTACGAGCCAAGTGCTTCATACGACACCCTCGGAACAAACTATGATTCGACCGGCACGACATATGATCTCACAGTCGGTTATTCTCCATCAGGCTACGGCACGACTACCACCGCCGCCACTGGTCTCAGCTACGATGCCGACGCTTATGACACTGGGTATGGTACAACAGCATACGATCCCAGCACCGGTGCATACGATCAACACCTCGACTATCGCACCGATGACTCACGACGACACCACCGTGAGCGCCTCGACTCTACCGGCACATACCGACACCGGGATGTTGACCGCCGCGACGACGGAAGTACCCACGTCCATCGGGAATACATGAACCCCAATACTGGTACCAGCTACCACCGTGACTATGAGCGTTGAATAAACATAGTGGTAGTTTATTGGAGGATATGCGTTGGATTTTGATCCAAGCTGGTTAATAGGGACATGATTTAAGACTAAAAGTGAAATCTCCCAAGAGGGAAAAAAAAAGATTGAAGTACAGTTCAAAAAGTCAATCAGACGACGGAAAAAAAGATAAAAAGGTAAAAAGATAAAGAGATGCTTCAAAACATCAAAAAAAAAATTTATTTCTGCCTGTCTTTAAGCGATAAATATTACGACCGTTACGAATCTGCGTATACTGCTAGTATCTTCAGCGACTCAGCATCATATAGCTATATAGAAGCATTACTACGTTAATAGACCAGTAAGTATAGATTTGACGGTCTAAATCCTGTTAAGACTTTACCCAAGTACATGGACCTAGTAACTTTGGGATTAAGTATAGTGTAAACCAGTACAGACAACATTCCTTGTTTCCTCACGAGAAGACACATTGTTCTTGATTAGAATATATTTTTGATATACGGACAATGACTCTTGCCTAGCTCTGAGACTATTCTAATGGAGAATTCATCTTGATTGTGTCTATACATTCTTGATCAGGAACATCCCGAGGTCCGGCCCCTAAAATAAGTGGGTGCCTAAGGCCTGACACTAAACAAGGCTCCACTGCATCGTCACCCAGTTCAACGATTCAACTGTTCCCCCCGGGCGCTTAACCCTGTGCAGCCAACTCGATGTTGGGCAGAAAACAGTTTCCACCCCAGCTTCCCATGTCCCCGTAATCATGTCCCGGAGGACGTTGGGTGGAGGTCGTGTTCTAGGCACCCCGACCGCGCTTTCATCAGCCCCGTCCCCGTCCCCGCAGCCGAAGCCAAGAGTGCTTTCGCCAACCGCCAGCAGCGTGTCCCTCAGTTCCCAGACATCTATCTCGCAGTTCTCAACAGAAACCCAAGATCTCACCTCCCGCATCTCCGTCGAGAATGGCGACACTTCTATATCTGCGGCGCCGGCGGCTCCCGGAGCTCAGCTCTCTTGCCCGATCTGCAGTGAGGAGATGGTATGTCTAGCTTGCTATGACTTTCGAGGTAGCAGACACTAACACATTGTGTTGATAGGTTACCCTCCTCCAGCTCAACAGGTGCTTTCCAATCCCCATCTCCGGTTCATACCCCTAAAGTGGCATGCGGCGGTAAATTAACAATTGTCGACAGACACCTCGACGATCTACACCAGAATCTAGAAGATGACCGACAAGATGAAGTGAAGGATTGGTTCAAGGTCCAGATGGAGAAGGCGAGGAAATTTCAGCCTCTAGCTGTGTTGAATCAAAAACTCAAGGGCCTTGATGTCTTCGAATCAAATGAAAATCAAACAGCCCCAGTCGCCAGCCGCCCTTTGAGCATCACCCATGCCGGGCCGTCCGATAGCGCTCCTAAACTACTTGATCCAGAAGACCTTATCACAAAGGAGCATTGGCAAATTGGGAATCTTTATGACACCTGTCTGGAGCCGTCTTGTGGTAAACGCCTGAACAGCACCAACGGCTGCGTCAACTGTCGGAATTGCGGCAAGCTATTTTGCGAAGAGCATACCATGTACCAAATGAAGCTATCTCGTTCAGCCCAACCTGAACCAGTCAGAGGTATCTGGGCTCGGGTGTGCGAAACCTGTTATAAGTCAAGGGAGGGTTATAATGACCATAATGGTATGCAATTCTCAACCTTCTTGTGGATTCACGAAGCTTATAAAGCGCAGGAACAATAAGGGACCATACGCAGGCATTCAAAAACATCAGAAAACAGACGGTGGACAAGGATTTCCTCGAGGTTTCCCGACTCGAGAAACGGTTGACTCGGCTTACACAATTGCTCGCTGGTCTACCACCGGATCAGATACAGTCCAGCACGACTAAATTAATCTCCATCCCCTGGCAGAGTGATCAGCGAAAAGCTCTTGAACAGAGTATTGTCAGCTGGCAAGATGATGCCAGCGTTAGCAGATGTCCTTTCTGCCAGCAAGACTTCTCGGGGTACTCTTTTCGGAGGCATCATTGCAGAACTTGCGGGCAGGTTATATGTGGTGATACCAGTACAGGTTGTTCCACTGAGGTGGGACTAAGCATCGCACCCCGTAAGTATATCAAACCCCATATTCCAAATAGCCATGTCTCTAATAGTTCAGTGTCAAAAACATCAGAGAAAGCCGCTGCAGACCGTTTAATCAATGTCGATATCCGACTTTGCAAAGATTGCAAGACAACATTATTTGACCGGCGTGATTTCCAAGCAGACCTTTCGCGCAAGCCCCCAGAGGTTAGGGCGTATGAGAACCTGGTTCAGTTTGAAAGAGGCATTCGCCTTCATCTTCCCAGGTTCCAGAAGCTCCTTGCTTCATTGCAGTATGTTGTGTTTTCCAAACCAAATGTACAGTTGCTAACACCACAACAGAGACCCGAGAAGACCACCATCTTCGGCACAAATTGCAGATGCTTCTAGGGTCCGCAAGCGACTTATCGACTCCTTCTCGAAGTACGATGTTGCAGCTCGACGTATCCGCGACCTGCCCACCAATTCTCCTACACAGCAACGCTTACAAAAAGCTATATATCAGCAAGCCAGCGCTTTCCTTCATCTTCACATGCTCCCTTTGAAATCCCTTCCGAAGGTACTCAAGCACGCCTCTCCGTCGAGGGACTCTTTACCAAGTCGTACTTCCTCCCCAAGCACCCTGGTCAACGGATCACCAGCCCCCATCAAACCACAAGATTCCGCGCTCGCATCAATTGCATACAACAAACGTCTCGCACCCAATGGCAGCAACACAAGTCTAGCCAGCGACACAAGCAGCGCCGTCTCCGCCCTCGAAGCAGAAGAGAAATCCCTGCGGGAGCGCCTCATCGTACTCGAAGAACAGAAGTTCTTCGTGTCTGAAATGATCGCAGACGCCAACCGTCGACGAAAATTCGACGAAGTAAGCAGTCTTGCCGTGAACGTGGAGGACCTGAGTCGCGAGATTGACCGAGTCAACGGCATGCTGGCCAGTCTTGACTTCGAAGGTGTCTACACTGGGGCCAACAATTTAGAGGTCAGCGGATGATCGAAATCTACATTCCCTTGCATATTACGCAGACTCGTGGTGTCTTGTCAATTACCACATTTCCTTTTTTCTGTTTGCTATTGCTTCCTTCGATTCTTGATGTTGTGACAGGCGTTCTCGAGCACCTACCTTACTTTGATATGTGCATAGCATCGGGCGTTGAGCGGTCATTGAAGGAACTATATAATGAATGGCCACTATCTTTGAATAAGAAAATATTCCGTTGTCTGATTAGAAACAACATGCTGTCCTATTTAAATGTACCTCGATTAAAAACTGTGCTATACGTTGGGCAGGTCATTCCGCGAATCCGTAAGCTAGCCCAGCTAGCTAATCGACGGAGACCCGAAAAAAGGCAAGAAAAAAAGTGTTGAAAGGATATTTTCCAAAAAAGAGAACCGAACGCGGGGGTCGAACCCGCAACCTTGAGATTAAGAGTCTCACGCTCTACCGATTGAGCTAGCCCGGCAGGCTTGTTGAAGGCAAATATATTTGTGGTTTCATAAAGGTAAAGTGGAGCAAGCCCTAACCGAAAAAAAAAATCTCCACTCAAAAAAGTGCCGATTTTTCAAAAAAGAACCGAACGCGGGGGTCGAACCCGCAACCTTGAGATTAAGAGTCTCACGCTCTACCGATTGAGCTAGCCCGGCTGGGCTTGTTGAAGGGGCTGACATTTGTGACTACATAACCTAATATCAAGATCTGCAGATTTGATGGGTTGGATTTGGCTACATTTTTCGGGTTCGTGGGTTTATACTTTTGTTTTTGTCATCTGTAGTATTTCAATTGAAATTGCTTGTTCTCCTTTCCTTCATTATTTACTCGAATGTTTCGACATGTCTGGGTATCAAATTAGGTAGTTGGTACTATACTGTGTCGTGTATGTAGTGTATATCTCTCCAAATATATATCAGGAAGTCATACTTCAATTCTTGACATGCCAATTATCAACATCAACAGGCTACTCGATAGACATCTGCTAGGCACCGATACACAACATTCACGAAGATAATCGTTCGTAAGGAATTAATTGATTTTAATTCTAATTTTAACAGTTAAAAGGATATAAAGCATTAAAACACAAAACCACCCAAAAAGAAATCTATGACTCGTCCTCCGAAACAAAGAAAGTCTTCTGCACATTCACCCCACGAAAGAACGTCCCTTTATGAGGGTTCAAGTCCTCCTGGCTACTCGTGCGACTATCCTGATTCGATGTGTGAACAGTAGTGATCACATGTGCCTCCTCGGGATCGAGATCCGGTCGCCAGTACCGTGGGCCAGAGGGATCACCGGAGCGTGCTGCGTTCACACTATCCAAGGGGACACTGCCACCAGTGCGCTTGCTCCGGGTACCGACGGAGCTGGGGTCACGAAACCAGCGAAAGAGTGGACGGAGAGTGACGAGGCTGCCTGCGGCGATACCGAGACCAGCCTCGACGTTGGACCAAATGGAGATGTTGGTAGTTGCATCTATAATGGGCATTAGTATTGCAGTCTCGAGCTGGGTAGGTCCTGGTATCGAGGAAGACTTACAGAGGAAGTTTTCGTCCTTGTAATCGTGCAGGAAAGGAATGCGAATGATGACAGCTGCGCTTGCACTGTAATATCTGATTTAGCTGGAGTCCAAGCACATATCTGCAGTTGAGTATGAACATACATGCATCCCATGCCAAGAATACCAGCCAATGCAGCCTTGGTCCGGGCATTCATTTGCAGATTCCAGACGAGGGAAACAGGCAAGAGTCCTAGGGTCAGATCACAGCACGTGGCGGTGACACTGTAGACATAGGCGATATCGATGATGCCGTCGAGATTGACACACGAGCCACTGACGAACTCGGGTGGTGTATTATACTCTCGAACTCGCTGCCAGAAGAATGAAATCGGGTGGCATTGTAATGTCAACATGAACCAGAAAACTAGACCGATGATCGTGGTCACGGCGATAACAGCCCATAGGGCCAGTCGGTGCACTCGGGAGACGGTAAGGCGAAGCAAGGCGAGGGCGATCGAAGCCTTTGCGACACTGCAGACCCAGACGTACATTGTTTGGCCGAGCCACCACCACTGAGATATTGTTAGTCTTCAAATTCTCGTGAAATGCGAAGACGGCAAGATAAGACCACATACAAACATTGCGGTTTCCATGGTGCCTCGTTTTATCAACACCTCCGTTCTCTGGCCAATGCCGTATAGTGCGCCGGTAATACCACATAATGCAAAGAGAATGTTCAAAAGCTAATTGAGAATCAGTCACATGTCATATGCATAAATTGGGTCGTTATTTACCATTGCAAAGACCATCAGGCCATCATCCCAGCCAAAGGCCTTGACTAGCTTGATTCGAACAAAGCATCGTAGGCAGACAGCGATAAAAGAAAGACCCAAGAAAATAGTAGTAACAACAAAGATGGACAAACTGCGACCCTCCAGTGGAAGCATGGTGATAGCAAGGTAAGAGATCGAGGATCACCAATTCATGTTCATCTGGAAGTGGATATAACGGCGGATTAAGATGTAACCCCAGAACCCGCTTCGTAACTCCCCAATGGAAGTGCAGTCTAGAGGAGAAGAAAGGAAAGAAAAGCAAACGAAGGAAATTGAACCACAAGCTTAGCACATTATGATCCAGTGGCAATGGAACGCCAAGGCGAGACGGGCACTGTTCTCGTTTTGAATAAGATTTACGAAGGGAAAAGGAAAGAAAAAATCTACTGAGGCTCCAGAACGGATGATATGCACATACTACCAACTAGTGCGATCAATCTTGGACACTGACCCGCGACGGCAATTCTAGGGGCCTGGGAACTACCAGCCGAGCCTGTGGGTCAACCTTCCGTTCTTACCACTGGGAAAACGGGATTTCTTCACAAACCTCAGGGGCGTCATACTAGCTTGACAGGAAACGTTACATGTTTCACTTTCACCATGGACGGCAAGCACCATATGCGGAGAAGATTGTCCGGAGTCCTCCGTCGACTTGCCTGCAGCTCGGGTCTTACCTAATTCTGTTCGTGGTAAGTTCCAGCCTACCGCTCCTAGCCGCTCAGACCTAACGCAACACCCCTCGAAAACATGGGTTTCATGGTTGGAGAACTTCGGGGACTGCGACTAGAAGAAATCGTCTGCCAAAAGGGAAAAAGCCTGTTGTATGCCCCCACCAACGAGCGATGCGTTCCATCCGCAATGTGGAGCAAAAGTCTTGGCAATCCCACCATCCAGAACACACACCACGAACTAGTCTCGTTATAGTCGTTCTACGGGAACATCGTTGTCTCTGTATGGATGAACGATGCATTAGATCGATTTCCGCACCCCACTCCTGGACCACCTTTGCACATGCTGGTCTGCAGCAACCCCCTGTCCCGGCAAGTGTTGGCCCGGGGCGCTGGAATAGATGGCCAAGGAGTCTAAAGGCATGTGCCCATTACCACGGAAAAGAAAAGTTTGGGAAGGTTTGACAGCAGACTAGTGGCAAACTAATGAACTGTCAACATGTGAGTTTTCGGCTGGATTTTAGAGGGAAGGTCAATGAATCTGGAAAATCCGATCAATTCTCATCGTATCGACGATATCGAATCGAGATCGTGAGATGTGGTGTACCTCATCGTGTCGAGGCCAAGTAAGCCCAGCGCACTGTCCGGACTACTTGCCAATACAATAGGCGATCGACGGGAGAAAAATTACGTCGGTGCCAGAAGCGAGACACGATCTGCAGTCTTGTGGGCTCCCGGAGATTACTTTACAATTGTGGTGTCTCCACCAGTATGGCCATTATGGCCAGAGTGGACCGTTGCAAGTTAGTGATCGCTTGATACCTGGCGTGCCACGAATGCCACAAACAATTCGACGCCTCTCGATGAGTTAATATAGAATATGTGGACGTTGGTGGAGCCAGAAAGCTGTTAAAACTTTAAAACTCCTTTTGCATGCTTAAATTTCTTAAATTTCGGATTGCATGCATCCCCAGGGACGTTTGGAGCAATGCCATTCAGTCCGGGGAGAACATTAAAGTCAGCATTTTGAGACATCCGTTGAGGTGGATCGCGAATAAATTAAATGTTCGATCCCTATCAATCGGCTCCAGGTTCTCTAATCTTGCTAAAATTAAAACGATCTGGATCGTGCGGCATTGGGTGGCAGTACACCATACAACCGTGGTACGTGGTCCTATAGCCCCTTTCGAATTGCTCGGGAATCAACCTATCGCATTCATGCTTTGTAGTAAGCGAGTATAAAAGAGGGCCCTACTAATACCAATTGAGTATTACTGCCACCACGTTCCAACTTCTTGCCGGTGGTCAATTGAAGAAGCTTTCTAAGCGCCTGCCTGAGCTAGCATGATAGCCTGGAGACCAGGGATATCACTCTTAGATGACGCAAGGTGATTTCGAAGGTTATTTTAGTAACCTTGACGATCACAGCTTAGTGATTGGACAAGATATATGAAGTAATTTGAAACCAATCACTTGTTGGAACAACAGAACGCAGCTGTTGTCCTTGAAGTACTAAGAACACCACCTAGATTTCCTGATGGTAACTACCATCCGTGTTACTTTTAACAACCATGCGCAAGTCAAATATTCATATATGAATCATTTTTTAAAGATAACTGTCGCAGCCACAAACAAACTGCGTATTCGCTATATCAAAGAGACTTGATGTGCTCACAGAGCAACAGGTTCAATATGTACAAATCAAAATTGCATTGAAGACGTTCCCAATGATCCAGCCAGCTGCCTCACAATGAACTTACTTCCACTGAGCCTCGGGGGTGGCCTGGAAGGTCTTCAAGATCTTCACAACCCGCTCCAGAGCCTCAACCTCGCGGCTCAGACCAGCAGACACGCGAGCCTCAACCTCAGGGTCAACCTTCTCATTCTCGTTATCAGCGGCCTTGGCGTTCTTGTCATCAACCTTGCGGAAGAAGGTAGTACGGTAGGGGCAGAAGCCCATGGCAGCGCTGAAGACACCCTTGACAACGAAGTTGTGGTGGGGCTTGAGGGTGGTGCCGTAAGCCTGGTTGAAAGAGACAGAGAGCTGGGAGGAGGGGTTGTCGAGGTTGTGGCGGAGAGCCTGGACGGTGAAATCGAGGCCACTATTTGACAAAATGGTCAGTATCCCGCTGAACAATGGAAATGCAATGGGCTGTTTGCATTGGGCAAGAGTAACTTACCGGACCAACCAGAGGAGTCCCTCGGTGGCCTTGTGCTGGCCAGACTTCAACTCGTTACGGACAAGGTCCTGCAGAGTCTCAGACTCAGCAGGAGCAGCATCCTTGCGCTTTTGCACTTTCTATTATAGACATCAGCCGGTGTTATGACGGAATGAGGGGCAGGGGTGACGAACCTCGATGTTGGTGTTCAAGTCGGCAATGACACGGTTGAAAGTAGTGGCTCCAAGGATGTCTGGAGCATGACAGGATCAGTATCAACATTAATTTGAAATAGGAACCGGTCAAACATACCGAACAGAGTGACCAAGGACCGAGCAGCCTGGAGGAACTCCTCAGTGTTGATGGCATCTCCATTGGCAGAGTCAATGGAGACGTTCACGAAGGACTTGCCCTCGATCTTTGCGAGCCAATTGGTTTCAGGGTTAGCAGCCATGATTGCGATGATACAAACAAGAATTGAAGTTCAGTGGAATTCGAAACAACAAGGAGATAACTAACAGCTGTCACTCACCGCTGCCTGCCACGTGAACCAATGGCGGGGCAGTATGGATGCCAACAGTGCAAACATTATTGTTGTTGAGAGCCACGTGACATGATCTTCAAATTTGGTTTGTTTGCTTTGCTTTGACGTCATCGAATCATGTTGCATCGAGATCCTGCGATTGATCCACCGAGTTTATAGCTGCCTGATTCGATCCTTTCCCCGCTGCAAGAACCTCGTTCTTCAGGTGCAGCCAATTGCTCTGCAATACAACCCTTTTGGGCAATTTACCAGTGCTATGAGCGCCTCTCAGTCCGACGGCACTCGACCAGATACCACTGAACCCATCTACCATGAGCACTACAAGGGCCTGCAGGTTGGGTCCTACACGGACCAGAAGCTGGTATGCTGGACCCATAATTCCACCTCTTGATACCCCAACTGACTGGAACCTTATCTAGCGACATGCCTCTGCCCAACATCTGCACATGACAAATCGTCGCTTTTTTATCGGACCGATTCCTGCTGGATGGCTTCAGGGCCACCGAAAATCCTGGTACAAATCACGGCTTCGACTTAAGAATTATACTTCGCAGACCCTTTCATTTAAGGTCGATCCTGTCACATTTCATTACAGCCAGCAAGAAAACTTTGGCGACGGCCATCAGCCATCATCGCAGCCATTGGAGGAGGAGGTTGCTCTCACTTATACCCATACCCACGACGGGCCATCCGAAGAAGAGGAAGATATAACATCCGAACAAGATGAATCTGAAGAGCCACATGGGGAGCTTCGTACACTATCTCACCCTCCACTAGAAGGAGAGGCACATACTCAGGCGGAGACAGAGACGGAGACAGAAACGGACACGGAAACGGAAACGGAAACAGAAAGGGGAACGAACAACAATGATACAGAGGATGACGATGATGGCGAAAGCACACCACGCCCGAGTGCCCCGGCAAGTGCGAAGACACGAGAAAATGTTTACAACGATGGGACCGCATCATCCTCGTTCGTCACAGCCAGAGAGGAAGTAAGCAGCAGCGCCGACTCGGAATCTACTACATCCACTATACACCCTAGCCCGAACCTGGCCTTTTCCGACCAAAGGCCTCGGTCTCAGTGGTCTCAAAATTTGAGCGTTGGGGGCCCTAGCATTGGAAATACTAGTGGTACTTCTGGTGTTCCAAGTGAAGCCAACTCTACCACTGATCTGTTGAAAGGCAAGCGGAAACAGGAAGCGACCCAGAAAAGCCAGGCTTCTGCTATAACTAGGTTCACGTTGGAGCATCAAGAACCCCGAGACGAAGATGACACTGAACAAACAGACTCAGGGCTAGAGGGACGGGCCCCGGGGCGCATCAGGGGAAGAATGGCGAAGTATAACCTGGATGACAACATTAAGGATAAGCAGCAGAGACTGCGCCACAAGATTGCCAAGACGGGGAATACCATATCTGCGAATCGGCCACGCCGACGGAAATTGCAAGATGGTGAGATTATCAAGGCCGAGAGAATGTTGGTTCTGGTGGAAGAGTCCATGAAAGACGAGATTCCCGAGGACTACTCTGAAAATGCCAGCATGCGAATGGAAAACCGAACCGTGGATAAGTGGCGCGAGTTTCTGGTCGTATGTCGCAAGAGCTCAATCGAGCATGCGCCCTTCGTCCTCCAGATGTACCGCACCCGTGTGATTCCTGACGCTCAAAGCTCGAATGGCAAGACACGGCCTTATTACGAGGTTCGTTTGAACCATAAGAATACTCGCGTCAATCTTTACTCTACATTGGACAAGACCATCGTTATTTGGCATCCCTGCAAGCGTGGCACGAAGATCTACATCATTCGACCTAAGTCTTCCGCTCATGGTGCTGAATGGTACACGTTTATACGACAAGTACTTGGGTGGCAACGGCCTAACAAGCTACCAATCAATGTTCCTGACCTTGGTGTCTCTTTGATCTTCAAGAACCCGTTTCAGCAGCTGGAGGCCCGGCTCGGCCTAGACCATGATGATCACCAACACACCACAGTGCTCAGCCGAGCTGCAAGAGAGGAAAAACACGCCGCTGCTGCCATCATTCGGGGCTGTATAGAAATGCTCGAAGGTCGCCCCGAGTGGGCCGAAGTGCTCAAGGCTTGGTCCAAGACCGAGAAGATGGGCCTTGCCTGGAAGCGATATGATCGCCTTGAGTGGGTGTACGGCGCCAACGAAGAGAACATGTATGGGTCGATTGCCATGCAGTCATCCCATGAACTAGAGCTTCGGCCACGCCACCACTACTCAACTGCGATCAAGAAGCAGGCAGATAAAAAGGAAGAAGAGCCACCGCCATTGGAGGGATTTCTGGTTCGTTTAACATCACAGAAAGGCGTACATCAGAGAATGAACAAGATGTTCTACAAACGTCTTTACTTTTACACCGAGGACCAACACCTGATGTTTTGCAGACCTGCCAAAGCGTTTCCTCCGGCACCACCAAAACTTGCACAATCAGAAGATCAGAGCATACCGTCAGCTCAAGAAATCCTAAGCCAAGCACCAATCACCTGGGATATTGACCCTTACCCAGTTCAAGATGGTGACGTTGAGTGGCTATCTAGTGGAAATCCAGAGTATGTTCAACGGCACGACGAATATGCCTATGCACAGTGGCAAAGGAAAGTACATAACATCAGCCATGCGGATGGATATATTGATCTATGCAAAGTGCGTGAAGTACGCCGCATGCAATGGGGAAGCAGTCCTGCCGACCCTAATATTGAAGAAGGTCCAGCTGTCGACTTTCACCCTGAAGGAGCTAGTTCTCGTCAGGACGATGGTTCTACCAAGCAATTCGATGATGACCGGACATTTGAAATGACACTTGAGAACGACTTGGTGATCCGTCTGCAAGCATACGACCCTGACACCCGCGACGAGTGGGTAAAAAGATTAGATGCTCTGGTCAAGTACTGGAGAGCACGCCATGCTGACGATGCTGCCGAATTGATCGCTGTGCGCCAGCGCAATCTCAAGCTCTTGGAGATTGACGAGGAGTTGGAGTCAATCGTAGGCCAGTTTGCAGAGAAGTGGGAGGTTAAGAAGGCCGAGGCATCGCCCCATCTACACAATATGTGTACGCTCTCCGGCTGTCGGACCATCAAGGTATGTAATTATCTCGAATGAAAATCAATCTCAAAACTTACCAAGGTGAACTCCAGATGTCCGGCCAGCTCTACCGCAAACCTCGTCGCCACACCACGTTCTCTCGCTGCCACGCCGTTCTCTCCGACGGCAAGCTCCTAATTTTCCGAAGCACACTCCGCAAATATAATGGTGTCCAAATTCCACATATCCACCAGGAACACGAAACAACCATCGACCTACAAGACTGCTACATCTACTCAGGACTCATAACAGAGAATGACCTGCTATATGCGAATCAGACATTCGATAGTAATAACCCCGGTCTCCGCGCTCTACCACGCGTCTACCCCGCCTCAGATTCATTCACCAGCCGAGATGGAGACACAGCAATCACATTCGTGATCTGGCAACCCCTAAAGAAGAACCTATTTCGTGCCCAGGAACATACTCTGCAGGGAACTGCGAAGAGGTCTTTACGGCATGTCTCGACGCTTGGCAAGCATGGCCGAACGATCGTGTTCAAGGCGCGGAGTCGTGTTGAGAAGGATCGGTGGGTGATGAGTATATCTTCTGAGATTGATCGGTTGCAGGAGGAGAAACATGAAGATATACGGATCGTTTCTCAGTAATTATTAATCTTTCACATTCACCGTCACGAACACGCATAACATTCGGGGATTTTATGTAATTGTTTAGTTTTATTTCCGGTGATTTATGAATATCCTTAGTTCTAAGGTTATCTTGATGCAATTATTCAATTTACAATCCACACAATGGAGATTCCAAAGGTTGCCATTATATCTTAAGTAGGGTTTTGCCTAGGGAGGCTACCTGGACAGTCGGCCTTTTAACGAACCACAGTGCTCTTGGCAATGTCGATCTACACTTGGACAAGAACTTGGTAATACAGATTCTATGCCGTGGATTCTGAGCTCCAAGATTGGGCTGAAAGCTGGGTAGCGACTCTGCTTCAAGCCCATAGCTTGACAAGAGGGGTCTTTACGGCTAACTTCAAGGGATTTCGAGGCATGTCAGCACTTGTATGCATGCCACCGCATTTGGCTCCAGCCGTAAATGTCCAATCGGATTCAAACCGATGGTTACTCGGCCTTTTTTGGATTCAGAATACGGCGGATGAAGAACACTCAGTCCGCATCTGAGCCATGATCTGCAAAGATCCGAGCCTGTCGGCCACCAAGGTCAAATGCTTATATCTATTCTATGTGGATCAACCGCTTGCCTAGTCTATTCAAGTTAATGAACATAGTCGTCGACCATTTCACTATCAAAGTTGAACCTCGGTGTAAGCAGCAGTGAATGCCGGGCCATGATGTCTATAATATCGAGGAATGAGTCTTAACCTGGAACTTCATATCTGAGGTCAAGGTGCATGGGAAAAAGGAAAGCATCTACTCGAGGCTTACGGCGGGGTGTAAGTGCAACGGTAGCGACTAGATGTTTATCGAAAATTGAATTGAAGTGGTTTAAAAAGCCAATAACAAAAAGAAGTGAGCATGTCAAGGATTGAACCCGGGATGTTCAGATATCAAAGGGCGCAACTGGCATTTGATATAACCTCACTTGTATACAGAACCTCATATATTGAAATTTTCCGCGATGTAAACCTAGCCACGACCATATCAACACCAAAACAAAACAAATCCCACCAGGAGGAAAGCTCGCCAGATAAAGCAGATCGTCAGCTTCCTCTGTGCTGAATATAAAAGCAAAATAACCTGTGGAGGTGGATCAAACATCCTGATGTGTTAGCGCTTGTTCCTTTATACCCCCTAAAAAAAGGTAAAATGTCATATTCCAGCCAGTTAACCTAGTGGTTAAGGGTGTCAAGTCAGGTGCACATGGCTTGATGCCACTGCTTGCGAAACGTAGGTGCACCTACGTTGTTAGCAGCAGTTGGTCCTAAGATGGTCTGGCGCGGCCTAGGTGTGTCTGTGGAGGCAGTAATGGGGAGCGCGTGCAATGCCTGTAAGCACGGAGTAACGTTACCAGCCCATGATTCAGACAAGTTAAGGGATTATCTTTTTTGATACTATTCACACTTTGTTTTACCCTTGAGCTTTTGATGCTATTCACACTTTTTGCACCTTTGATTTGTTTTCCACCCCCCGATCTCTGTTATTACAATTGCCTACCACGCTTTGCATTCCACAAGCCACCCATTCACCATCGCTACTACATGCTTGTTGTCGTTTCACACTTGTGAGTGGGGACCACATCTGTCAAGTCCGGCGCTTGAACAAGAAGAAGCTTAGCGCAAATCTGGCCATTCTCAATACAGAGAAAAATCCAACACTTTTCTCCGATTGACACAAACCTTCCTCTGATACCCTCACCATGAACCACTACCTGTCAGTCCGAGTCCACACACCAAGAAAACATCCCTAACAAATATCTGATACCACAACGAAATACTTTCCAGACTTGGAGTTTCTGCAAAATCCCATCTTTCTGCTAAGCATATCAATTGCGAGTTTAGCCGCAATCACGATAATGTTAAGTCGCCCACTTCACCAGCGCATCATCAACATACTCCATCATACCAACATGCACCAACGTCAACTTCAAATAGCCTGCCTGTGTGGGACCTTTCTCACCCTCATGCTGGCAATTTATGTAGGCTGGAGGCATCCAAGCACTGGCAATGTTGTCACCTTTACGACTAAATACGGGACAGTGCACACGGCTGATGCTGGTGAATACAACAAGCTTTATGAGGGGATGGCCAAGTCCCTGAAGGATAATCCTGGCGACATAACAGTTAAACTTACTTCTTTTGCGAGATTGATTGATGGCCAGATGAAAAACTTCTACCTCGTTGAGGAGGAGAAGTACATAGATGATGAAGGTAGGGTTTGGACTGAGGATGAGCTGTATGCTCTTCCGAGGGAATAGGCCATGTGGAGTCGAACAAAACTGAACCGTCTATTGTTGATATAACTTACCTGGATGATCTGCAAAGTCCTGTTCTTGTATTTCATGATATTATTTGTTTGATGTCAAATGCTCCCTATATTGGACAAAGCCATACCCAGATCAGATAATGCAAAATTGGAGATCCATACTGTATGTACTTGCAAATACTGCCTTGTCTACCTCGTTAGTACTCTATCAGCATACCTTGGAAGGCTGATCGATCACTCGGTGCCCAACATGAGGGCTGCTGCCTAATATCTCACCTGCAACTCTGCACATGCTGATATGCCCCCGCTGCACTCAAAGCCAACCAGGATTGATCGAATGGCCGGGCGGCCATTCATTTAGATTAGATACATGCCCAGGTAGTTCCCCGGGGTGGAGTTAATATTATGCTGAGCCATGATCTACGATCTCCCTTGCAGTCTTGAGAGTCTTGAAAGAGTTGCGATCCTAGATTAGGCCCACCATCTTCCAAGCCGTCCGATATGATCGAGAAGTCGGATGGCCATCATTTTGCTTCACGAACAATGAAGAGTGGTGCTGAGCTGTGATCTACAAGCATCTCTATATCTGGAAGAGTTACGATCTTAATTAGGCCCGCCACTTTCTCATCAAAAATCAATCGAGATGATTAAGAATAGTTGTCCGCCATATTTCGATAGAAATCCGGACTCAGCCACAAAATGGATAACGACGACTTGAGCCACGATCTGCCGCTGGGCCACTGAAGTCTTCAACGAAAGTTCTACACCAGACCAGATTATATTGCAATTCACTATAGTAGACTAGACCTCCGCTGCTCGCAAAGCCAATCAGGATCGATGGAGTAGTCGAAAGGCCATTTTTTAGTTTCGTTTCGCATCACGCATGTTCACGCTCCACCTTTGCTGAGCCATGATCAATGAGCCTCGCTAACCTGTTCTTGTAAGCATTGCTACCCAAAGCTAAGCCTAAATATTACAGATATAATCCAAGGCCCACCACTAGCCAGGTGAAGCCAATCAGAGTTGTTCAAGATGGGGGACGGCCATTTTTCAGTTTCAATGAACTAATTACGGCCCAACAATGCTGAGCCACGATCCACGACCTTCTCCAATCAAAGCTAATAAAAATTAGCCACGTTATTGCAATTATTACTGTACTGTATGCTGAATCAGGTTCCTGCAGTCAAAGCCAATTAAGATCAACCTAGACTGCGGATGGCCATTTTTTAGTTCCAATTTACGTGCACTATTGAGGCTCTGTTTAGTGCTGAGCCATGATTTACAGGCCGCATTAACCCATTGTGGAAAGAGTTGCTACCCAAAGCTTAGCCTTAAATCTATGAAAACCCAGGTCCCATTCTAGTGTCGCAAGCCAGTTAAAAACAGTCTAGACGGCGGACAGGCATGTTCTGATTTGCATTTTCGAATTACTATTATTCTGCCTCATTCTGAGCCATGATCTACGAGCCTCAATAATACAACGGAATGTTGCTTCCCAAAGGGCCAAAAGTAAGGCATACTTTACAGCCCAAGCCTATCATTGACCAAGCCAATGAGAATGAGGAAATATGGCGGGTGGTCATTTTTGAATCGATTTCAGTAGGCTGTGAGGCTCTATTGCAGTGCCGAGTCATGGTCCATGAGCCTCAACCCGTTCCTTTTGGAAGGAGAGGGGCTGTTACAGTATCCAAAACCAAGCCAAATTAGTGTTACATTCCAGGCCCATGTATGACTACTCTGCCCAAGCCAATCAAGGTCAGACAAGACGGCGGGTGGCCAGTTTTGATTTACGATTTGATAGCCTCAATAGTTCAGAAGTGTGGCTGCTGAGCCATGATCAACGAGCCTCCATATCAGAGCCTCATAAGGTTTGACACGCAAGGCTGAGGTGACTGAAATTACGGATGAGGGGCTTGTTCCAGTCGAAGTTATTTTGAAGAGTGTTTAGTCAATTAACAAGTTAAATATTGGAAGAGATAATTCGCTGCCGAATTCACGATCTCGAAAGGTAGTGGTAGGCTTCATGCTCAATTTACAATCTCATGAGTCTAGCCTTAGGTAATAACCCCTATCTACAAGAAGCAACAAAAAGTCCAGCACTTAGTACTGGGAGCCTAATTTAAAAGGAAGTCTTCGTCTTGCATAGTTGAGGTTCGTGGTCTATGAAGTTCTAGAACTTTAAGACTGAAGCCTCAGGCTACGATCCTCGGTCATGGCTACGTCAATCTACAGGACGGAGACGTTAGGAAAATCTGCACATGTGGGAAAGAATCCAAAATAAATGAAATACATGCTCAGACTACCAGGACATACGAGTGCACAGTTGTAGAAGTTGGAGGAAGTGTATTATCCTTCTTGTTAGTGTACATAGTCACATATCGTCGTCGTCTCATAACGCTGCATACCGGGGTAAAATAAGACAATTTGAATCGAAAACGCCCCAATCATACCGAGAAACAAAAATATCAAGATTAAGCACCATAATTCTAATCCTGATCACCATTGGAATGCTTGAGGTCTTCATCTGTGGGAGGGAAGACATGGCTGAAGAGGTTAGCATTTGTTAACATTCAAAGCACAGTAAAAGAAACACTCACGGAAGAATCTGATTGTAAATCTTCACATCCACGTCTTGGAAAAGGCAGAAAATGACACGATCGATCTTGGGCGCATCTTGAGAAGTCTCAAGGAAATTGCGAACTTCATCCGCAGCCGCGATCGCAGCCTCTCTATTAGGATACCCATAGATACCAGTACTGATACACGAGAAAGCGATGCTTCTAATTCCTCTATCCACAGCAACCTCCAGGCAGCGACGATAGCAAGACCGTAGAAGTGTTTCAGGGCCCTGTGGATCTCTTCTGTACTCCATCCCGTATACAGGACCAACAGTGTGAATAACCCGTTCACAGGGTAAGTCGTAAGCAAGAGTACATTTCGCATCGCCAGTCTCACAGCCGCCGAGCTTTTGACAGTCCTTTAGCAACTGGGGCCCAGCTACACGTTGGATCACGCCGTTAACACCACTACCACCTTCTAAACCACGATTCGCAGCGTTTACGATGCCATCGACTTTCAGCTTGGTGATGTCAGCCTGCAAGACAGAGACCATGTCGTTCATGGATTGCATAGGTGTTCTCGGGGTGAATGTGGTGGCGTCATTTCCATTGTCGGATTGGGTCGAGTCCTCGATGCGTAGTGGGGTTGTCTTGGAAAGGATGCCTCTCCGATAAAGCTGGGAGAGAACGGGAATCTCAGCCAGTGTGAGCAACGAACTCGTCATCTTGCGTCAAAACGTTGATAAGAAAGCGTGATGAACCGATGAGAGAGAAGTGGGGAGTTTGACGGATGCGGGGGAGAAAGACGTTGGAGATGATCATTCCCCGCGCCGTTGGACGCGTCGAGCCCCAGATGGTCACGTGCTATGGATATTGGAAATGAGCGAGTTGCGTAGCGACTACTGCAGGGAAAAGGATGTAGGTGGGATTGGGAGATAAGTGAGGTATCTATTCAAGTCAAACATGTTGTGAGATGTACTAAATATGAAGGTCAGCCGCTTCGGGGGCCGGACAGCCGAATAGGCACGGCTGTAACAAAGTACTCCTTAGCCAACGGGCTGGCCAGCCTTTCCCCGGATATATTATCGCACATTACAAATTGGAGATAAGAGTAGGATTTATAAGGTGAAAACAAGTAAGATGGAAAAAAGCAACGTCAAGTTATGGAGCGCCGTAATCCAGCATCTAGACCTTCCTTTCTATAACATTACCTAGTCCCCAATTGTCCACATGCAAAGCTAATCGAATCCCCACCAGTCATAATACCGCGTATGACCCTGAGATCACTCTAGTCAAGACACAGTCAGCCTAGGCTGGAAGCTTAAAGAAGCGGGAATCATACGACTCATGCGTCCAGGCCTTCACTCAGCCGGACCTTTCCCCATGACAAGCGTAGCCCAAACTGAGATGTCATATTGCCAAAGGACTCGATCGCATGGCACTTAAAACGGTAAGCTGCATTGCATATGCACTCTGCGCGCGACGGAAAGGGGATACGCTTGGACTGGTTCTTGACCTTCCACCAACCATTTCCCCAGTCGATCCCCTCGTCAATCGTGATCCATCCAATAGGCCAAAAGTACCGGGGCGATTTCCCGCCCAGCCCCCCTTCTTCCCCCCTCTTAGCCTGGTCATTTCAAGCCATTCGGGATTTGCTGACCCCCCTCAAGATCCCGGCTGGCAATGGGTAGCGACGGATTCATGGAATACTCTGGACTCAGCCAAGGGCTAGGCGCCTCGGTAACACATGACTCCAAGACAAAACCAACATGACAGATCGCCACTGAGTCATTTGGATTTTTGTTTTTCCCTGGAGATGAAAATCAGGGTATTCCAGGACTCTGGGGGGGGGGGGGGCATGGAGGCAACCGAAAGTTAGCGCTCGAGGACGCAAGCCAACCCCGAGGGTCGCACTAGCGTTATGCCCCATTGTAAAGGATTGGTACTTTTTTGTTTTCCCTTTCGCACTTTGTTTGAGCACTAAGAATAACAGCCGTCTTAGTCTCCCGGGCCATAACCATGGAAGCATACGAGAAACTGGACAGTCGGCGTTCCCTCCCATACTTGTCGTCCAAACTCCTATACGGATTTATCCACCCACGTCAAAAATGAGGTCCCACTTTCTAGAAAAGGAGAGAAAGAACGACGGTCACAACCTCGGGGCTCAGGTCTCGGGGATCAGGACCAAAATTGGGAGTGGGCAAGAGTGGTTTTCCGCATGGTAGACAGTGGAGCCCGCAATTCCCCCCTTGTCCCCCTGGCCCCTTGTTAGGTGGAGAAAAAACGTTACCCGGGACTGAACACAGCCGTTTCCTGCCAGGGAGGTTTGACGTTCCGAGGGCCCGTGGATCTGCGGGGCCCAGTCCATGTGTCTACGGTCGATAGTCGCGGATGGTTGATTTGATTGAAGATTGCCGATCCTTCGGCTGTTGCTGTCTTCGATCGCACGGATCTATCTCATTTCGCCAATGGACACTAGAATAGTCACTAGCTTGATGACTCCTTCCTGTTGCAGAAGATGATCTGGGTGGATTAGTTGAGAAATGAAAGCTTCCAAGGGGAACGACCCCATATTTTGAGAGGTCCGAGACCGAACCTGTTCCTTTTCTCTCCCGTTTTTGGCGTTTTTTCCTCAATTAGTTTCTAGATCTTCGTTTTCGTTTCCCTGGAGGTTCTTGTGGAGTCAAACCGTATTCCTGGGTTTTTGGATGGGGGAGGACAAGCCGAGTGGATACAGTTTTCTAGTGGTTATTGGTCATTGGATCGTCCTTGCCACCAAGTTTAGGCGACCGAAATTGTACAGAGCCCTTTGTACAGGGTGTGTAAAGAGGGTGTACAATTCATGGCAGTACCTGTAACTGTACTGAGTACTCAAAGTTATAGTTATTTGGAATATTTGGAATGAGAGTTGGGGGATTCCAAATCCTTGTTCCTCAGAGTGACTGGTTGTGGATTAGCTCCAGCTGTCACAAAAACTCAATTTTCTCCTCGTTTTGCGGGCGGTCTAGACTGCCAACTCCTGCATATGCTATTTTAACCAGACCCAGTCTGATATATCGTCTACACAGTAAAGGCATTTGATCACAGTTGACACATTCCAAGGCAATGCAACTGTTCAGCTCTCCATACAGCTCCCGAAAGTCTGAAGTCGAGGGCCAAGAGCACGGATTTGAAATACATCCCTGTCCTAGCAAGCCATGAACCCGGTAACATTCAAAGGAAGCAATTTGAGATACATTTTGACATGCATCAAGCTCTTTGAGAGAGGATCCGGCATGCACTACACTCATTTTGGCACTTCGCATTCGATTGCCATGCGTAGATTGTTTCAAGCCTCGAACATCGGCATACAACCTCCATTTGGACAGCTCCTAATGACAATTGAATGCGAAGTTCCCAGCCTCCGATTCTTCAAGGGAACTGTCCCCCGACAACCGAACTAATTAGCTAATACTCCATACTCGTACTTCTGCCAGGGTCGATCCCCCCTGTCATGTCAAGCAGCGCCGATCGAACAAACATCTCATCCGCTGATCTCGATGCACCATGCCGGACGGATGCAGAAGCCGCGGATATGACGGGCGATGACAAGCCTGACAAACCCACCCAAGCGCAACGGAAAGGTTCCGGTGCATAAGCCTTACATGGGGTGTTTGAAGTCGAAACCGGCATTATCTCTGCCACGACTCGGCCGAAATCAGCCAAAAAAGCATAAAGCAACGATCCCTGAAACGTAAGTCGGGACCATGCCACCTATCGACAGAACTAGCATCCTGCAGATAGACACATCTAGCGTCAATCTATACAGGGAATTCAATGCGTTCCCCTGGATTTGGATTCCTTCCGGAGCGCGAGTTCAATTCCCGCGAGACTAGAAAGGCGCCGTTGCAGGGCTCGTGCGAGGATGATCAACTGTTGCCACAGGTGCTTTTCTCCTCACTTGATTTGTTCTTTAGCTTGATTCTGGATTGACAGGAAACTCCCTCATTCGTTGTGACCGCCGCTTTTCTTTTTAATTTCAATTTTTTTCTTTTTTTACTAGTATCCTTTCTTCCCACCAGGGGACAGGTCAGACCAGCGGTCAAAACTTGAATCATGAAGGCTAGAACTGAAGCTAGGACCTGAGATGACGCGCTGTAGAGAATGATCGCTCTCATCGCCACCGCAATGCAGAACCCACCGACCCCATCGCAGACACGGGATATCTCGAGCCAAACGGGCACTAGTAGCGATTGCGAAATCCCATCGTGGATTCGGTACCGAACCGGGAAAAAAAAATCAATAGTCATTACGAACACAGATTAACGAATGGACTAGGCTGTTTTGTTTTCACTTTTCCCTGTATGATATTCTGGAAGGACGGCACATGGCAAACCTGGAGCAATAGTCGCATCCACAATGTATCCACTGAGGCGGATCTCAAAAGATTTCTGCTTACCTCGTGGCTATTACTCGTCTCGGGTCTTTGGGTCTTTGGGTCTTATCTCCGCCTCGTATCGATCTGGTACTGCAGAACTAGCTTTAGCATGAGAAAGTAAACGAAATGAAGAACTCCGTTGAGCTCTAACGGCAAGATCGGCGTACCTGTAAACCTGTCAGTATGGCAGTTTCCAGGGGCCAAATACCTATTATATCCAGGCCACTGGGAATTAAGTTCGAGGTTATCAGCGGAAAACCCCCCAAAGATGATTTTCCGTAGCTCAACGTCTTTGTTTACCTGCGGAGCACAGTGGGAATTCTCCGGTAGCCCGGGATTTGCAGAAGAACGGCCTACCAGTCTGCAGCATCAAGTGGGTCAATAAAACGGAGTCTCCCTCCTTTGGGATCCATCATCAAGATTGGCGTGGAGCAGCAATAACAGAAAAAAAAAACTAAGATGAAAAAACCACCCCATTATTAAGACACCAAGCCTAACTGGGGGGCTCATTCCCACAGTCTGGGAATCTCGGCAGCGAGACGCGCCTTGCCCACATCATAGGGATCGACTACAGGCGCGTATCTTCGTATCGAGCTAATTTAACAGTTGTATCCACCCTCCTTATCCGGTATGACCGGGAAAACCACTAGTCCGGAACGAAAAGGTTCTCACCATCTTCTCTTCTCTCTCCACGCCGATCAAGGCGGTCTATCGGGTGGGTCTGGGAACGGTCCGGCTTGAAATCGTGGCCCGTTTAATTTTGCGTGGCCCCTTTGTCTTCCCCTAGATTCACCTTACGTTGTTTCCAGTCTATCGGTAGTACGTACACATGACTCGCGATATTCAACGGGATGCTTCTCTGTCGGGGATGTCCCGATATCTCAGCAGATTATTAATCTTAATCTCATGAAGAAACTTTCGTGTGCCGTGTGTGCTAGGACTTCAGGTTGGAACGTGCAGAAGATGTCCGCTGAATCACAATTAGCGCAGGTGGCTCTTCCCCCTCCCCCTTCAGAAAGTCAAACTCGAGTCACTGGGGACCAGGACCCTGGCAAACTGTAAATGTATCTGCTGTAAAACCATTGCCACTGCCTTCAATGACATGATAGTTTGCAGATTAAACTGGACCCCAGTCGAGTTTTCACGTGCAAACGGATGTCGGGTATATGGATAATAGTTCCTGCCGATAGGGCAAGTAGATTAAAATATATAGCACCTGGGCATGTAGCTAAAGCCGAACCGTTAGCAATAGTTTCCACCCGACCGAACTAGTGTGTACATGTGTACATGACCGAAAAAGAAAAAGAA